CCAAACAGGCGACGTTACTCGACCTCTTCATTGTCACACTACTGAAGATATGAGCTGTGTCAATGATGATGGACTCCAATGGTGCATCGTAATATGACGGAGATTGGCGCCCAGAGTACGCCGCAGCCCTTCTCATTCATGCTCCACGGGTATTATAATCTTCTGGTGGCGAACCGGGGGTCATTACCATGGTATTTGTGGCAAGGCTCTCCGTCCAATCCATCAAGCCACACTTGCTGACTTGGTGCCAGGGTTCCAAAATCTCCGATTGAACAGTGCTATGCATGAACGACTTCGCATAACGGTGCACATGATGCAACTCGGTTCAATGCACTAATCGACAACCCCATTCAACTGTCAAATGATACGTCCCCGGGCATCGAGTACCGGCGTTAATTCTCCGAAGGATCAACTGGCAGCCGGCACTGTCACCTCCCGCCCAAAGATCAGACGTAGGTCGATCGGCTAGAGTTGGTCACACAAGCCTTTCGAATAATATGCGATGAATTGACCATGATTGGGCTCTTGATGCACAGGGCTGACGCTCGTAGTGGTCACAGGTCACTGACGGCGCGGTCAGGCCTCGTTGGCCCAACCTTCAAGCCAGAAATCACAGTCCCAATGCCCTCTTGTAAGTGCCAAGGTAGCTCGTAGTGTCACCAAACCTTGTCTCAATGATAAAACCGCTCTAGGCTGTCAGTGCCGAGGACCGTATTGTGGTCAAAGAGCACATGTTTTAAGCAAAAACGTTATTCAACTTGAAAACCAAGATCGCCACGTGTTTAATGCCGGTTCGCGACTAGAAAGAATCATAAGTTGAAGATCTTGTGCAGAAATGGACACATCGTCACCTTCTTGGCGCACGTTCTTCGTCTGTCTTCGCACGTTTTCGCATGCAGCATGGTCTGGACGGCAATGCGTCTCTCTAAAATGCCTGAGCGTACAGCATGGCAATGCGCCAGGACTAATTTGACACCTCCACCGAGCTGCTCATTCGGCAGCAAGGTCCGTGAGTCTCCCATATAGGTCAAGGCTCTCTCCCGAACAAGGTCACAGGTGTTGTTTACATGATCGCATCTCAAATTCTGGACAACGCTACCGCTCAGCAGAATGGAGTACATAGAGCGGCAGAGTGTACCCCAGCCGGGTTTCATGAGCCCGCAACATTTCTGCTGAAGCCCTGTTCTCGCCTCCATGATGTAACCTACACAGGGTAGCCAGGTAATGGCAATGCAATCTCGCTCTCAAAGTCGCGGCCAAGCAGCTTAGAAGCTGGAATATTGTCTCTACCCGGGGTGCGATTCGTGATGCATCGTGGCCGAATCGTGCTCCAGGGAGGCTTCAGTTCGTCCGGAGTAACAACCGAATCGGCATGTCTCCACAAGGCCCGGGATCGACCGCTGAAACCCGGGATTCCCACCGGCATAAATCGGATGACAACCATTCAGCGGCATCGTGCATCAGGCTGTTGACTCTTTTATGGCTTTTCTGGTAGTGTGTCAAGTCACACGATCCCTCTTGGCAGATGCCAGGGTTTCATGCTTCTCCGAGTTTTTGGGAATCCATCTTTCAAGAATGTTTCGTTTCGTCTGTAGTTACTGTCTTTGACACCTCCGTCTGGCCATCCCCCCGCAATGCACGCGACTGAGCCCTCCACATACCTAGGCATTCACTCAGCGTGTCACAGAATTCAGTCACTCATCACTGCAAGATTTGTCGTCCCGTGATCGGCCATGTATTTACGTTTTTCTCGCTGCGCTGGATTCAAGTTACTGCCGTGCAGCCCGGTGCTTTTCATCGCCGGTATGTCATTTATCGAGCACAGGATTGGTCTGCTTCGGTAGCACACAAGGTAAGGGATCGCATAGTCTAGAATCTTCTGGGCTTGGCTCGGATCATTCTTGCACCATACCGACCCTCTCTGTATGTTCGAACTGCCACACCCTGGAGGTGTCATGTTTCAGTCCTTCTGGTGGCAGGCACACAGTACCAAGACGTAGATCTCTTATTCACCCGGAATTGGGCCTTATCCATCTGAGACGCGGCTCGGTCTAAGCGAATCGAAATGACTCCCCGCTGGTCATAATCGCCCCCAATCAAACCCCACGAACGCCTTCCGACCAGTTCATTCCATCCATATGTGTAATGCTAACGGTAAGATTACGCGATTTCAAACCAAGCTAGCTGAGATCCTACGGACTCTTTCCTTCACAATGTGCACTCCTCTTGAATTCCAAGAACACTGCTCCAGCTAAGTACCTATACCCTCGTACAGATCCTGTGTTCTACCTGAGTGCGGCTGGTGAGATACCGCACAGTGAAGCTGTCGCGGCACAGTGGTGCGACGGGTGAGTGACTGCACGCCATACACCTTTCATGCATCGCTGGGCCAGCCCGTGTGAGACGGCAATGGAGCTGTTGAAAAGTATCCACCCCCGGGAACGCCGGAAAGCCTCCTCGGCCAGTTTTCCTGACCGGTTTCACGTTGGTTGACGGCTGGTGCCCATCCCTCCCGGTGCCATGGGAAGACCGTTTGGTCATATTAGGGGCCAGAAAACAATGACAGCCTGGAACGAGGCACCAAAGTCAAGCGTACATCATTGATGCCGTCTGATGTCAAAGGACTCTGCTGAATCCAATATCATTAGATGAAGAATGGGGATGCATAGTTTACTGATGGTGGTCTCAGGGAGATATTGGCAACGCAATGACTGCATATGCCGTTGGAAAGGGCTCAGCCACTCTGAATACAACCATTCTTATGGCGCAATGACGCAGCCACATTCATTTCTCTGGAATTGAAATCCGTTGAAGTGAGGGCATATCGTACCGCCAATTACATTTCCTGGTACAGGTCAGACTTTATTGGACTGGTCCCGTCCACTTGGTCTCTGAACACTGCGGACCAAACATTTGGCTCCCAGGTTGACAGGTGTCGATCGTCCACTACGTTGCGGTCGCTAAAGCGTCCTCTATGCTGAGAAATGTCAATTGAGATGGCAAAGATGCATAAAAAGGCCTCTCGGGTCGTGTGAGGGCCACGCCTTGGTCAAATAGCTGTTCTCCGGTGCTCCTAGATGGGCAACACATCAGGGATCATGGATCACGGATGCTGTATAAACTGTGTGAAGCCTCGCTAAGGGGTTTTCCAGATGTTGCTGAGACATCTGAAATCCCTGGGGACGCCATTCTCGAATCATTTCCTAATTGCCTTTTGTGCATTACTTAGACTTAGATCGGTATCTGAGAAAGCTTTTTGTGGAAATATATTACCTGCTTTGTGAAGTCACGAAGACTCTTCATTAAAAATGTGCCTTGAGGGACAACAAAACTTTGAATCGTGTGCGTGCGCAAGCTCATCCGCACAATGGTCATGTGGGTTGGCGGACCATTGTGTGTCCAGGATATCGGAAGCCAGAGCGGAAACCAGCGTGCTCTCTGCATGAGGGGAAATTCACCAATGATCCCAATTCAGGAATCCGGGCCATCGTGGAGTTGGCGGTTAGACGCCTGGTTCTGGTTTCCTAAGTCGTACCATGGAGTGCGGTATCCTGGAACGGTAGCCGTCATGCAGCGCACTTCGTCTTGCCGCCTATCACCCGCACCTTATCAACAGTGAGATATAGGGGGGGGGGGGGGGGGGGGGGGTTACCGGCTTCTTTCCAAGAGAGACCTCTGCGCCTGTACAACCTACATGTTCCTCTTTGGGCAGATATCGGCCCGGACATGCGTGACACGTCTGACCCCTTGGCTATGGCTGACTACGGGTCATCGGATTGGTTGCAATATACAAGACAATGTTCATGCACACTCTGCTGAAGGAGGTCATGTGTCCCAGAACTGGATCTTTCGCAGTCAAGTTTGCAGCTGCGTCGAACTGGATATGTAAGATCTGGGCCTAGAGGCTCGGTAGCCCTGGGGAGGGCACAGACACCCTCCAATATCGATTCATCGACATCCTATCCAGGCTCACTGGAACTCTAAACTAGCCGGTGAGCCCCTTGTTATTTTAATGTTGCCCTCATGGTATTGGCATTGATATTGATAAATCACAGTACAACCGCGTCATGTGTCTAGCGGAGGCCTCAAGAATTGAGCAGTGTCGACCTGCTCAATTGCACGCCACAAACGCACTTGGCTGGTCTGTAGTTAGGTCTCTAGGGCTTACCGCGCGGTTCGATGACCCTTGATCCTTGATGAACGATACCGTATAACCACCCTTTTCTGCCGCCTGCTGATAACCATGGTTCCGCAGTTTGAGATTATGGGCCGTAGGACGTCATTTCCGGGGAAATGACCGATGTCGCTTATTAAAGAGCACCGAAAGCGATGCACCCACGATAGAAGACGACTTCGGTCTGGTCCTTTTGTAACGCGACTATCAGCGCTTCTGTGATTTACATGGACTTTCATGTGTTGCGAGGCCGGCAGCTGATCTATGTGCTAACTCTGCTATTAAAACTCCCTTCTACTACTGTGAATACGCTTGAACGAAGCTTCGTGGCATTATATCTTGGCAGGGCTATTGACTGCGGCGAGAAATGTTTTGCCAGGTGTAAATGCGGTAATTAGCTTGTCGAATATGTTCTTTGTCAAGAAGGCTCCCGGGTATGCCGAGTAAAACTTTGGATCGTCTTCATGCACAGGGATTACGCGTATGGTGTGAATTGGTTAACAGTTTTCACCGCCCATCATAGTCCATTCATGATCTGTTTGACATGGTGCACTCTTCTTGGTAGCCACCTAGGTGATTTCGGGCGACACAAGGAACCAGGGGAGTTGGAAACATAGATATCCGGCATTAATGAAAGTCTTATCAAGGCACGGTACATAACACCATAAGACGATAGCAGACTCTATAAGTGAGATGGAACCATGGTATAAAGGCGATTGTCTTAGTCTTCACTCTAGTTGTAAATTATGACACAACCCAGTCTTTTAGCCTGTACGTTTCTCTATTGGTATAGATGCCCAACGTCCTCTCGAGCCGGGTAGCGGGTCTATGATCGTTGCTTGACATACTTCGTATGGGTGCCACTGGCGACAATTGGCCCAGGCTCCCCGTCGACAATCTTGGAAATAAGGATCTTTGTGAAGGCGAGAGACCCTCCAACCTTGTCGGCGGTTGCTTCAATCTCAATCTCATCGCCGTCCTTAGCAGACGAGAGATACCTCACGTGGATGTCGACTGAGACACCCGTCCTCTCTCGAAGGTCCCATGTCGCGATGGCCATGCCGCCGGCCCAGTCAACAATAGTCGCCGACACACTGCCATGGATACCGCCACCAGAGTTGATGTGGTTCTTGGTGAGCTTCAGTCTGGCCTTTACGCAGCCCTTGGTTGCCGAGTGAATGTGGACATTTGAAAGAAGGAAGTTGTAGATAGGCGAGCGCGGAAGGTTGTTGGCCACGAGGCTCTCGATGTGGGCCTTGATCTGGGCGTCGTCGGCTTCCATTGTGCGTTGGGCCGGTTGTCAAGCAATTCGATATGGTATTCGGCACAGAGTCTCGATATTCTTTCTCTGCTGCAGTTCAGCGAGGACCGGAGCGAACTTTATTGCCGGTTGCGGCCATCTAGCTGCCAGTTGGGAAGGCCTGTCAGCCACACCTGCCGAATCCAGTCGCTCTTTATGACTGCAAACCAATACTATCTATCGTGTTTCACATGCAAGCAGCATACACAAGACACGAATAGAAATATCAAGTTTCAAGTTGGTTAGATGATAAAGTATGCTGTGTGGTTAGATGATGCAAAGAGCAGGAATTGCAGGGTATGTATGGGCAGGCCATCGGAGACCAGCAGGCCACAACTGTCAGTCCCCAGTTCATCCACTTGTCTCCCGGCTCTACACCACGTATCCAGAATCGAGACGGTAGCGTGGCACAACGGCACAGATCAATAGTTATAAAACAATAGAATAAGGTGTTTAAACACTCACTAATCGAGTAAATATGAGTCTTCCAAGTTCAAACAAAACGTACCGTCGGTATACATTACTATCAACCAGCCAACACCTATAGAAAGTGCCGTGCAAGGCACATCGCGTGTCAGCTGCCGCTCTCAACGCAACACCTGACAGGCTTGACATAATTTGGCCTGCCGACCCGGCAAAGGCCACAAATGGAACATGAGTCGTGGCACGCGTCCGAACATTCCAAAAACATCAGAATCGTCAACCTCAGCAAAAATAAAACATCTACAACTCCCAAACGGCCCAAAAAGAGAAGATTGGGTCTGGCCGGGGATTGAACCCGGGACCTCGCGCATATCTGCTGTAGGGTGTGCCCTAAGCGCTGGATGGGATGTTAGCGTGCTGTGTGAGAAATTTTGTGGAGGTGGAATTCCTTACCGAATCATACCACTAGACCACCAGACCTGTGATCGGATTGGATCGTTGAAGCTAGTGGCGCTTAAAGAAATATCTATAGCTGGGCCAAGCCATGCCTCCATGGGCGACGAGTCCGAGTTAGAGGCAGCCTGACCTGCCTCATACATCCACGTCTTCACCGCTCATACAATAGAGTCATTACCAGATCGAGTCACACTGCTTGTCCAAGTGATGGTGTCGGAGGTATTGCCGGGCACAAAATGGGTTATGAACCGACCCGAGACTCGACGTATGCACCCGATTAGCTCGTCAAACCTACAAGATTGCGCGGGAAAGGAGAATTTTCCTCATTTATTGTCTTCAATGGCCACCACATCTCAGTGTGAGACGTTGCAACTTCGTTCTGGCTTTTGTTCTGGCCGTGACGCTGTTGATTTAGGCCCATTGTCGCCGTCGTGCATAAACCCTAACAATATCGTGACTCAACAAATTCAGACCACAGCCTCGACCATAATTTGACGAACGCACAGATTAGTGCCCTTTGTCGAGATCCTGGAGGGTACAGCATTTAGAGGCTTGCTGTCTCGGCTCTCTAGAGAACCAGTATCACCGTGACATACTTTAACCCAGCCGCCAGGACGGCAGAAACGACATTGCCAAGCGACACCACACACAACGGTAGTTTTCGTTGGCTCATATCTGCCAGCTACCTGAAACATTACCTACGTAGTCCCGAAGACATTGTTAGAAAGCCAAAACACAGACGTCTTTGAGTCCATGCATCTGCTTAGCATCGTTGAATACCTTGAATTCGGCTACGATCTCTAAATGCGAGTTCCGTGTGGTGATGCGTTCTGCTCTTCTCTATCTTAGCCATACGATGATTTCGGAATCTTCAAGCGGCCATGAATATAGTCCTGGGCGCACGGGACTCCATGGGAAAGAGGATCTAAAGAGTCATTTCTTCGACTGATAGCTACCACCAGCATAGCCTGCCCGTGTTGATGATGCAGCAAGAGGCATAGGCTCAGCAGGTATAAAGGCCGCAGCAGAGGTGCGATTATAGGGACAGACAGACTGCACTGAGTTGGCTTGAACGCTGTGTATCGTCTTCGTCACGGTGGAGTAATCTGTCCTGTTGTCGAGGCGCATAACCCAGCATCTTCACTTTGAATGGGCAATGACCCAGACTGACACATCCAGAGTGATAGATACCGAAACCCGACTTGGTCATTCTGGGTTTGGATGTTGATTCTGAGAGCGATTTACAATGCTGTTGGTCGTCGGATGTCAAAACTCGGTGAACTCTTTCGACCCGATGTTAGGCTTTTTTCAGAGCTTTGTAGGAGCAAGAGCTTTGGGACCAGACTTCAAGCATTTCATGCCACTAGTCTTTATGATAGAGAAGGGTTGAACCTGTGGCTCCTCTCGTAGTAAGTATGATGATGTACGCTTGACGCTTGACGTTTCAGTGCCACTTGCAGTGTGTCCTCGCAGCATTGTCTGGATTGAGATGTAAAGTTATAATGGATTAATTCATATGAATAGACGTCGAATGTTATCGGTTCCTTCAGTTTTGACGCCTCCACATGAGCAGAGTTTTGAACGGTTCCTATTCCTATACGGCTTGCCAAGAACAAAGACCTGATAGCCTTAACTGACTGTGTTTCCCACGGCACAGCATGCAACTACTGACTTCAAGTAAAGAAGGCAGAAATAAATCGATTCTCTAAAGTGTAAGTATATCAATGCTTCCAATTTTAGCGTTCTCCTACCCTGCATGTGAGCTTTGTCAGCAGGCGTTGAAGACGGATGCCTACGTCGTAAAGGTAGCCAATCAGGTACAACACCGCGTTCAAATACGACGCACAAGGCATCCGAACCAAGAGATACGACGTGGCTTACCAAGGATAAATATCCCTAAGGGGTGTTATTCCTGAGCCCACAATTCCCGCCACTGTCCAATTCCTATCGTGATATTACCGAATACGCACGTATTCTTTTCGACGCAGGATAGCTCGTTCTACCAAGTGCCGGCCCTGGCTCCTTGGCCCTTACTCCGAAGCAGTGACGATTTGCGCGCCATTTTGAGATGGCGGACCCTCTTCGCAAAGTCAGGAAGAGACAGAGCGCCCCAAAAGGCCGGGGCGGCTGCTTGTGCTGCAAGCTATCTCATGTTCGGTGTTTCGAGGAAAAGCCGCAATGCCGCCGCTGTCAGCGATTGGAGCTTGACTGCACTTACGCGCAAACTCTATCCGAGCCTCAGAGACGACGTATGAAAGTCCCTGCGACGCCGATGAGCAGCAAGCCTAATCTGTCGAGCTATCGCCCAAGTCTGAGCAGCTCAGATAGTCCTGAAGTGGTACGTACACTCGGCATCCCCTTCCCTGTGCTATTCGACACAATTCAAAGCAAATTTGCTTTTTCATCAGATGTCGAGGCCCTGTTTGGTCTAAAACCGGCAGCCTGCCCGTATATAGCAAGCTTCATCAAGGGAATTGCTGACTTAATGGGTAAAGAACTATTATGCTTACCACTTTAGGGTCAGCGTAGCTCCCACCATGAATATTGGGAGCTTGCACAGCTGCTCTAATTTCTGGCTGAGAACCGTCCCTAGAGAGACGGCAACCAACGAGGGTGTGCGATACTTCGTTGTCGCTATTGGTGCGCTTGACCGTGCCATGAGTCAGGTGGAAACGCGCAAGCGGCTGCATATGTCCACGGGACCACCCATATCAGCTTGGAACAACGACTATAGAACTGCGCTACGATTTTACGGGAGGGCCATCCAGATATTTCGCACCGAGATAGCGGATCAAGAGCGCGTCATCCAGCCAAGGACTTTTCTGGTCTACTGTATGCTGCAATCACTCTTTGAGAGTTTGCAAGGCAATATGGTTGGCTTTCGAATAGCAACACGTACGGGGTTTGAGGTATTGAAGCACCGTGTTATGCAGGACCAGATCCTGATTGCAGCCCCTCTCGACGATGAGGGCATAGAAGAAGCAGAAGTGTTCCTCTGCCGGATGGTCGCTGTGAGTTATCTCATGGGACCTGCAGATGAAGATGCACAAAGAGCAAGTATCACGATATCCGTTCCAATTCATGCCCCGATGCCAGATAACAACGCGGACGCGTTGAAAGTCTGTAGAATGTTCAGCGCATTCTACTCTCGAGCAGTCACCTGGACCATGGAGTATACCAAGGTGATTACTGCGGGAGACAGTGGTTCTATGCGCATGACCGGCGAAATTTGCATCATCATAGCCCAGCTACGGGAGTGGCTGACTTGCCTGCGGCGCAGGATTCTGATTGCCTCCAGCCCGGTGGATGTTACCCGACTGCAGGTGCATCAGCTTGATGCAATGTTTGGAATTGCTATTCAGAAATGTCTCCTCTATCGCTGCAGCTTGGAGGCTTATACGAGCGACTGTCTCGACATACTCCGCCTTGCGAGGCAAACGGTAGAGAGAGCCACTGGAGGCGACCCAAGATACAGTCGTCTTCAACAAGGCCTACTCTCCGAAAAGCTCTTGCCGCTTGTAAGCCGAGCCGTCGAGAAGTGCCCAAACCAAGAGGTACGACGGCAGGGATGTCAGATTTTTGCAATGATCACAGACTTTTCAGATTACAGTATATCTCAGTATTCTTCCTTGACGATTGCTCATCTGACTCCGGGAGGTATTGATGGCAAGGCTACACAAGAAGGCGAGTTCGAGCCTAATTTGAATCACACAGTGGTGGGATACAGCTGGGATGCACAACGTAACCTATTCAAGGTCAAACTGGGTGAGCCTAGAAGGACCACTGATAAAATAACTGCGCATGGGCATCCTTGGTAGCACAACGCGGATAACGCATGAGCACAAGACGCACCTGGCATGTCAGTGTTCGAGCTGTCTTGCATAATAGAGAAAATAATTCATGTTGAGATCTCCGTGGTCTGTTGCAAGAGATGTTTCACGCATATTGAGATTGACCTGATACGTTGACCTATGCTCTCGCCTCCTTAAGAGACTCAACTTTGTTCCCTTGAATATTGAGCACTTTTTGCTCAACCAATTCTAAAATATTCGAAAAAGCTGTTGCTTGACGTGTCCACGAATTCTTCCAATGCCCAAAAACCTGTGCGGCTGAGCTGGCAATCCCGCTTGGGGCCAGGGAGTGGGGTCCGAGGGTCACCTTGGCCTCAAGTTTTGCTGGGTATTTCGCATGCTGACAGCCAGCGAACGAATGACAAGGCTGGGTCCACAGGGTACTTTTCTACTATCCACCCAAGCATCCCGTACTGGGCATCAAATGGGAGCTTAGATCCGCATACCAGGGGTATGAACTGGTGGACATCAAATCTTACTTACCGCCGCAGATACTTGCAGTGCCGTATGACTGCAGCGACTCTGCCTCACCCTCATTATGCGACTGCCCAACCATTTTTCTCTGTTTCCACAACATCGAGTCTCGATATGACTCTCACTTGATCAGTGTCGGGCCCAGTGGCAATATGAGAGATTCTCGGCCATCGAAATGACAGACCACCAGGCGACGTACAGTACTCTTGAAGTCGCTAGTCCTCCTGTAAGTTCCCTCACAGCCTCGCCTGGCAGTGTGCCGTTCAGTAAACCAGTAAATTAATGAGCTGCTGCTGACCTGGTGGCAGAGGTATCTGGACAGTTCAGCCCCAGAGCGCACCTATTATTCACCGGAATATTCAGATAACAAGATCGCTGTGGATGCTACTACGGACAAGTACTTTGTCCCTCAAGATGTTGGTCTGGAATACGTTCCTCCGACGGTAGAATCGAAGTCACGATCATGCTTTGGGTTGACGCGTAGGAAGGCGTGGATTGTGCTAATAGCTGCGGTTGTCGTTATCGGCGCCTTGGCCGGGGGTATAGCTGGCGGCCTTGTCAATCGAAACCGTGCTGCTGCTCCCGACTCCGCTCCTGTTAACACGAGCCCAAGTGCCTCACCGACACCTTCATCGCCAGATGCCACATCGACGGGGCCTGAGTCCGGACCGCTAGCCGACTCTCAACTCTCTAGTCTCAATTGGACTGATAGTTCTGGTACACAGCGCAGGGCAGTCTTCTACCAGCTTGATGGCGCGTTGTTCTACAGTCAAAAGCAGGGAGCGGACGGATCGTGGTCCGCGTTCAACATTAGTGGAGAATTCCAGCGTCAGAAGATAGACTTGAGCCCGCGGCCAGGCACTGCTCTTGCCGCAGCTGCTGTATCAAGAGAGGACATCGACTTCGGGCTCTCACCATTTGTTGCAACATTATATTACGTTAGCAACGATAACTACCTTCAAGAAATCACCTGCCGCGATGAGAACTTGGAATCCTCTTGGAGTCGCGGAGATCTGGGCAAAGCAGAGCTTGAAGCTGCAACGAACTCGAGAATCGCAGCAATGGGATATTTCTGTCCAAACGACAACGTTGCCTATCTGTGTAATAACAATTTCGCCATTCTCTATCAGGCCTCTAATCAGAGCATCATAACAACCTGGGGGCCTTCCTGGACGACAACTGCGCAAATCGATTCAGGCTGGGCAGGGGCCGGTCTCGCCATGTACCCCTTTGTTTCGAGTGCTGGGACGAACATCTCTGATGTGAGCGAGATTCGTTTCTATTACTATTCGAATCCGTTCATCAAGATGGTCTACCAGAATTATCAGGGACGCACTCAATGTAGGAATTACCCAAGCTAGCGCCCCTTTGTATCTTCGCCCGTTTCCGCTAACGACTTTGCCAGCTACGACCCCCACGATATCATCGCAAGAAGTGATAGACGGCATTGTACCGCAGGTCGTTGCATCACCTAGGAATTTCCACTCGGAGGCCATAGTAATGAGTATGGACGGTAGTGGTAAGTTTGCGGCCAGCTTTTATCAGCCCGACACGTGGACACGCAACAGTCCAGTCCACTTCGAAAACGAAGGAGATATATCTACTGAAGATCATCCTGCGGTGAATTTGACCTCAATCGCCATGGATCATGATGGAATGTTGTACGGAATCGCTTCAGATGGGAAGACCGTGGTGGGGTATACTTGGAGTTCCGGTACGGGGAACAACTTTGTTTGGAAGGAGAATATTACAGTGATATGACATGCACGATTAAAGGATATTTTTTAAATGCAGTAATAGAATCGGATATCCACAATTATAATCTGGTGGCTTTAGAGCTGTCAACCTCATAGTAACTAGTCACCGAGAACGAAGTACTTGCGACACACCCCTTCACGAAACACAGAATGGAATTCACGCTACAGGCTTGTAAATTACATAGATCTTAACTATACAACACTCGCATCGCAAATACCTGATATACTGCCAATTTTGGTTGGTGGCTAATACTAAGAATTGGGTGCACTATACGCGAGACGGAGGACACAATCTGAATATGCCGTGATATTATAACGGATAGAGATTATGACTTCCACGATCATCAGTCTAGCAGAGCAGGGCAAGGGGTAGACGACACCGGGACGCGTGTCTCGTGAGAAAGAACGGACAAAGGGAGATACGAGGAACATGGCAAAGACTTTCACTGAATACAACGGGAATATCTCTCTCGCAATGCAATTGCAATATATACTACACACTAAGCCAACACCCGTGGAACGCCGTACTCTTTCTATGGAAACACCACGCCCATGCTGAATCGAGAACTGAACACGGTCCAACGTACAGCGGCGCACACGCAACCTTGACGTAAGGATACATCGGAATCCGCCGCAACACAGCTTCGCGTATGGAACAGACTGTGCACTAATTGCTTCATACCATCTATTTGTCCCATGCACCACCCTCGAAAGTATACATAGTGTCAGCCACAATGCTCGCGGTGACCTGCTTGAACAGCTGGCAGGTATTCAATGGCTGATGGCAAATTCCCATATGCGTGCTTCCGCATACATCTTTTCCGGCACGGCTGACCTATGCGAAGTAACTCTTCCAGAGTACACCTTCGAGGTCTTCCAGCTGTTCTGAAGTAAAATACTGGGATAGTCAGCTTCAACAGTCGCCAAGTTGTCGTCAATGACGTCACATACCTTCTGGTCAACTCCCCAACTATCCTGTCTGGTCTTCTTGAACTCCGAAAGTATGCCCTTGGTAGCCTTGCCAACTACACCTGGGTCGCTGGCTGCCCGTCTCGCGAGGAGTGCAAGCACTTCAGGCATCCACTGGGGCGGCGGCGTGGCGTACGGGAAGGCCTCGATCAGGGATCCAAGTCCAAGGACAGCTGCATGACGCCGAACCACCTGCTGTGTGACATTAACAGGCGTGTCAGTTCCAGGAGCCTTCTTCTTCGGCATCGGGTTGCGCTCAAGCTGAGTCTCGAAGCGCTTCTTCAGAGTCTTGATGATGGGGTTTCGAATTGCAGCAGGCGAGCAACGGATCATTCCGGCGAGGGTAGCGCCAGCAACCGTGCGGACTTCTAGCTGCGGGTCGGAGAGCATGTCACCCACTGCGTCGAAGAGAAGCTCTCGTTGTGCCGGCGCAGTCAAAAAGAGGCGTCGGAAGTATATGACTTGCATGTTGACAAGGGCACGAAGGCGCTGATGCCACGACGTAGCGCTCTTGCCGATGCGGATCAAGGCCGAAATGAATGCAGCATCCTCTCCAGACCGGAATGGAATATTCGGCAGGTGGCGGTAGACATGATAAGCCAGTCGCATCAGCTCAGGGTCTTCTTTGACATCCATCATGTGGAGCAACTGATCAATGAAGGGCTCTGGGAAAAATGAAACTAGCTGCGCGCACTCCTGGGAAGATAGAGTGCTATCCAACCATGTCAAAACAGTCTTGGAGCCCGACGTGTATGAAGAAGGAGTTTGCTGTCCGGGCTCGCGCTCATGTCTCCATTTCTCCAATCGACCGAACACATCATTGATGGTTGCCGAGAATTCCTCGGTTGGTTTGTAAGGGCGTATACCGATGGTAGATTCGGCTTTGTTCTTGTCAAGAAGAGTAGAAACATTCTCAAAAGACTCGTGATAACGAGTGCGGTAGATTGTAGCAATGACGCGACCGATCGATTCTCGTACAGACTTGTACGGGTGATCAATGTGCGTTAAAAAGTCCTGCAGAATCGACTTCTCAATGCGGAAGTGCCAACCGCAGTCGTTGATGAGAATCTCGAGGAGTAAAACCTTGGAAGACTCCTTGAAGGCAGCATTGGAAGACATATCAAGGCGGAAAGAGCTGAGGCTCTCGACGAGTTCATGAGCACGACGCGGATCTTTGGTGTCGATGATAAAGTGCAGACATGTGCTCCAGTAGTTGAGGTTCTCCGGCGTCAAGCTGTCAGCGAAGATCTTGAGCATCAGTGGCTGGGCGAAGCCCCAGGATCGATCTCTCATTTCAATAGGATCATCCGCAGAGCCCGCAAGCAAGGCGCCAACAATCTCAGCAGTTGCTCGATGCTGATGCTTGTCACTGCCATCGCCATAGACCTCCAGTGTGAGCTCCTTTACGTCATCAAATGTCAGTGCGGTCTGGTCGTAGTTCATCAAGTCAAAAACATGCATCAATAAGATGACATTCTGACTCCGGAACCTATCCGACGAAGAGTCGCGCGGTTCTTGCTTGAGGTAATCAAAACACTTAGCGAGCCACTCTCTGGTGAGTAGCTTGCCAATCTGTTTTCTCGCAGCTCTCTCAACGTCATCGTAGTCATCAAAGCGATTGGGCTTGGCCTTGAAGGCCGTGAATTGCTTTCCCCAGACTAGCCAACCAACGTGGTCAGTATCGATGTAGTAATCGGCATTCTCCGAATGTTTGAACTGGTCAAGGAACTTGTCGGTGTGTGCAGCATCGCTCTCCGTTACAGGCACTATGATCTTGTTGGAGTCCTTCTCCTTTTCTTCCAAGTAGTCCTTGTACGAGTGGTTGTAGACTGCACGCTGGTCGATCACGGTAAAGATGTTTGAAAATGCCGTGATATAGCCCGTACGCAGACCAGGATGCGGATCGTTGGCGCCCTGGATGGCCAGCTCGATGAACTGTGACGGGGCGACGGAATCGAAACGAAGACACAAGTTTGTGGCAAAGATAGCGCACCTGCTTGCTGTTTTCCAGTGAGAACCTTTGGCAATGTCCACCAGTTCCAAGCCGAGGGCGGCCTTCTTCTCCTCAACCTTCTTTCTGCGTTCCAGGATGAAATCATGGCGCGAATCGATGACTTTCGAGCAATCTTCGGAAGGTTGAATCAAGTTCACGATGTTCTCATCCAGCAAGACCATAAGCTCAAAACGCTTCCCGAACTCTATCAGCGGAAACAGAGCGCTGGCGCCGAGGTTTTGGATGGATGTTTTGTCTACCCCGGCGGTCTGGATGTAGAGGCGCATGAGATCGGGGGCAAATCTCCAATCTCTCATCAGAGTCTTCAGAAGACTGGTGAAAAGCAGAGTGTACATAGAGCCCTTGATACGATCGTGGTCCACCTCGGCTAATGCCTTGCGGAATTGTTCCAGGATGACAGGTATGACCAAGGGTCGGCCTCCAATCAAGACTTTGAGTGATGCATCCTGCGCACCTTGAGCCACTCGCCGCACATCGGCGTACGGTGAAGTACATGATTGGGCTAGGTCAAGCAGCAGCTTCTTGTCAAGTTCACTCTTGTTTCTGACGGATGCGTTCTGCTTGACTCGTTGCAAGTGATATGCATCCGCTCGTTTGATTAGCAACGGGCGAGGATAGGCCTTTCGAAGGGCACTGATTTTGAATGGGCCAACATCTGCCTTGTAGAGTCTCTGCAGCCTCTCGAGTGGATGGGCAGATCTTTCGAAGCCCACGTCAGTGATCCACATCCGATATGTAGAATACAAAGACGTGAAACAGGCGACGTCATCGGCCTGATGGCTGTTGAGGAAGGAGTGTGTACGAGATAGGAGGTGGCCAATGTTGTCACGGATGTCGTGAATGCGTGAGTAGAGTGAATCTTCTGGGGTGAGAAGATAGCCACTTTGATATTTGTACTGTGGTCGCGTCTCGTCATCCTCGCCAACCTCAGCAAGTGGATCTTCTTCCTCATCATTATCCTCCATCTCCTCATCACCCTCATGGTCAATGCTACCATTGGTGTGACCGTTGGCTCCCCCCGAAGCACGTTTGGGATCGAACAGAGTAGAGATGCCGGAGATGACCAGTCGCAGTTGACTGAGCTGACGGGAGACCTCGTCAGACCACTCCTTGTTCTTGCCGTTCCTGCTGACAGGCGGATCATCGCTCATGAAAGACTCAAGTCGTTGCATGGCGCCCTCAGCCTGTGACTGGAAGAGCTCGACGGCGAATCTCAGTTCTTCCGGAGTTGCCCGATGCCAGCGGATAGTCAAGTCAGCCGGCGCAGTACCGCGTCCCCAATCGTCCACGTCCAAGCCCCGCTTGATCACATCGGGTTCGTACAAGGCATTGTCGATGGGATATGTGTGTGTCAGGTTCAGTAGCAGGTGATGGATATAGTTGCTAATGTGAAGAGTGGGGAGACCGCGGCACTTCTCCTGCATGTATTGAGCAATGTCGAACAGGTCTTTCTTGTACCTCAATACTTCGGCACCAACGTGAACAACACACATGCTGAGAATGCTCACGTGCCATACAAGAGCTCGATCTCGAGGGAGAACCTCAGTACCACTGCTTCGGTCTGATGCGGCACCGTTGTAGTCGATCTCATTGCGTATATTCACTGTCAGCATGGGAATGAAGACCTTGAGTGTCTTCTCGGGGTTGACCTTGCAGAGCGCATTACAGATCCAAGCCATACTGTCGCGAGCTTGGTGAACGACATGGGTAGAAACAAAGGTCGCAAGTTTCTCCAGCGTCATATCGAATAGCTCAGGAGACAGAGACGCAAACAACGGGGTCAAAGCTGCCGGCAGAGTGTTGATGATGTTGTCCTCGGGTGACCCTGAGCGTAGATGGGACGAGTCTGGGAGATTCTCCAGCAGTGTGAAGACTTTCCCGAGCAGGGCCAGGATGAACTCCCCGAAACCAGCAGTCGAAGAGCGCACAATGTTAGCCTCATCTTCATCACTGAGCTCCGTCTTGTAGTCGATCTTGACTTCCTGGCCCTCTCTCTCCATCCGTTCCATCTCTCCTTGGACCCATTGCATTGCGACGCTTGTGTCATGAATATTGGCGTTCTCCTTGGCCAGGTTGACAAACGGTATGCTATAGGCGACGCTCTGGATGAAGTTGAGAGTATACTGCGTCTTGTTCAGATCGTTGGCATCGATTCCAGGCAAGGCCAAGGCAAGCAGAGCGGTGATATGACAACGGAAACCCTTCTGCTTGGACATGATATTGGCGATCATCTGCAGGCCACACAGACTAGAGGTTGTCCGATGCACCTCGACTAGACCTTGCAAACTAGGATAGAACCTCTGCAGAGCACCAGGAAGCATCAAGTCAGGTTCAAGATAGGTCAAATTCTGAAGAGAGCCAAAGTACAAGTTTGTTATCTTGGTGCTCTTACCAAACAGGCCCATGAAGGTGACCTCCCTGAGACTCAAAACAAATCTTTTCTTGAGGTTATCATCAAGTCGTCGATCTTCAGGCGTGTCTTGCTCGCCCCTCTGCTCCTTGTTCCACCTGGACACAAACATCTCCGTAAGATAGAAGGTCAGCTGGGCGAGCATCTGAGTCCATGCGCCCTGATTGGAGGGGTGGAAGAAGGTGTCGACAGACTCCATCAGCCCCTCCAGGCTGTTCAGAATCGAACTGTCCTTACCCAGGCATTTCGGCGACAATGATGAGATGACCCAGCGGGAAATAGTGTACGAGATGGGATATCTTTTCTTATCCTTTTCCAGGAAAAGACCCAAGCCGGATGAGTAATCCAGGTTGGTGTAGGGAGAGTTGGCCTGGCCTACGGGAATCTCGGTCAGGCGAAGGATCGCAGTAAAGAGCAGGTCCGACTGGTCTCGTGTGAAGATGCCGTGCTCCGTGAAAGGCACATGCTGGCAAGTCAGGTAGTCCCTAGCCATGCGCGAGAAGATGTCGAGAAAGGCTGTGTCGAACACCTTGGATCGGGTGTTGAGGGACCAGAGATGGAAGAAGGTGGGCACGAAATCTGCAGGCTGTGACTGCATCTCCGTCAGGGGTGCGGGAGTGGTGGGGAGTAATATGTTGAGGGTGCCAACCACAATGTAGGCGTTCTGAAGGTCTGATGTGCTGAAGTAGGGCAGGATCTCATCCAGCATGGCACGTCTCTCCCTGGGATCGAAGTATATGGAGGCTTGCAAGCACAGTTTCCACAGGTGCTTCAGTCCCCTCCTGCGCGAGGAGTGATGCGCAGGCGCCTCGCCGGGCAAGACCAAGGACTTGATCTCTTTCCAAATCGGGCGCCAATCCAGCGTCAAGTCGTCTATAGGCTTGACGAGGTGCTTCCGCTTGGCCAAGACGGAGACCATCCTACTGAAACGGTCTGCCGTAGTGCCGTCCAGCCCTGGGGCCAGGGACAAGTGGAAGTACAGCTTCGCCAGCTTGGCCCGCAAGTCTCTGGGCAGGTCGAACTTGAGGTTCAGCCATGATTGCAGCTGTCTTGTCCAGTGCAAAGCGCCTGGCGAGAAGTCCTCGGCCTTGATGGCAATATACAGTTGCTTGAGGATCCCTTGCAGCGCAGCCTCACGTTGTGCCTCTTCCTCGACGGGATACGGCAACAGTTCGAAGTAGGAAAACGTCCTCGGCCGGTAGCGTTTGCTGTGGTCTTGGGCGCCGTCGGAAGAGGGGATGCCCGGCGAAGTAGCTCTGGATATGGTCTCGCCCGAGGCGAATGTGCTTAGGAACTGCGAGGCTCCGGACAAGGCTGCGGCGCCTGAAGGGTCGAGCTGGTCTTCCATGGTCGATGCGGAGGCGCGTGCGAGATGGGATGTTCTCGGCCTAAGGGTGGCGATCGTTGGGGGAATGGTCCGCTGTAACACGGTGTGCAGTGAAGGTGTCGTCTCCGTCGTCTCGTGCGTGGCCGGTCGCGAGGCACTGCTCAGTAAGCGATGGCACGCCTCGAGCCGAGGAAATGAGGAAAAGGATGAAGAAGGGTCGTCGACAGCTCAGCCGTAACGACAGATATCGAAGGACGGGGTGAAGGGGAGCTCAGATATGGCAATGGTCTCGTGGTTCGACAGAGCTTCCGATGACATGTCGCCGCTCGCAGCTCGTGGGGCGTTCGATAAGCTTGGTTCGGGTTGGAGCTGGGGAAGAGAGCTCTGACTGCAATGTGAGATGCAGTTGGTTGGTCGCACCCAGCTGCACTGTGCCAGACCTGGACCTGGACCTGGACTTGGACCTGGGGATGACAGCGAGATATGTGGACCTTGGCTTGCGTTGCGTCGGTGGCCGTTGGATTATCGAGTCGCACAGCTTCCCATCGACTGTAGCTGGTATCACCAACTACCTACCTGTGAGCGAGCGGGAGTTGGGATAGAGTGAAACTGATGACGACACTGCGTCGGTGGATCTCGTCGCTATTGTGCGTGGTTGCGAGTCAGGTCGGGGCCGCTCACAAAGCAATTGTTATCAAGAGACAATCGGCCTCGGGCTGGAGCTGACGTTGGCGTCTCGGGGGCCTGGAGGGTCGGAGGGCTGGAGGCTAACTCAGTTACAGCCCAGGGCTGCTGTGTATAAGCCGGGCTGGCAGGCTGGATGGACCTCGGGAGCTCAAGCCAAGTTCCTGGAGCTGCAGCTAACGCGCACGGGTAAGTTAACTAACTACTGTAGGAGCTGAGATCTCCGAGCTAGGAGCCTGGGAGCTGCTGCCGGCCCAGGGTCGAGCTGTCGGGCTGAGGCCCCAAGGGTTCTACCAAGTTCCAATGCCTGGACTGTGCTGTAGATAACTGACTCGTGAGTTCTGTCTCGGGCGGCCAAGGACGAGGACGCAGTCCGACCCTCTCAGTGAGGTGTCAAGAGAATGGAGTGCCTGCCCTTTCCCGAGCGGCAAAAGCAACGCCTTCTATCGACGAACCCATGCACCACACGGCCTCGGTGATGCCTTGTGATGTGTTTTCTTTTCACGCGTTCCGCAATGCTACCGTACGCCCTTCCGCAGTTGGGTGATCACACACTCCAATCTGGGATGTCGATGCGGTGATGCTCCAAGCGCGTGGGGTATGGGTGCAGTTGGTTGTGGTGTGGTGTGGTGTGCTGTGCTGCAGGCCAACCGCGGACCGTTTAGCGTGCTGCAGGCGCCCTATGCAGCGCGTCCGAACCCTATGGGAGGCTACAGGCAGGTTATGCGTCACGCTCAGTGGCAGCCTCGCCGTCCGCGCCCAGCTTCTCGACGCATGTGCTTATGTCAAGGATGGCGTGCGCCGCTGCTAAGTTAAACCTGCGCCTTAGAGTTCAGCGGAACGAAGACCCATCGTTCCCCGGTTCGAGTTTGTATGTGGGAATCAAGAGCTGACAGAACTCTGTAAACATGAGATGATGCAGGCTTACCTAAGCGATCTTTTCGAGGGTCGAATATCGTCTCTACACAGTAGGCGCTGTCCGGACTCTCGGGTGGATAGGTCACTGGCCCGGGACACTCGCGCCTCGCTTGTATACAATACAAGAGATAGCCGTCGGAAGTGAGCAGTGACACTGCAACCTAGGCTTACAAGTCTTGCCGTGGAAAGCAGAGGTGGAAACACGACAAGAATCAACCAAGAAGCAGTGATGCGCTCCTGTACACGTTCCCTGACAGAGCCAACTTCACCGAGGACTTATACTCATTTGCTTTCTTTACTAGGCACACTGGCGACGACGAATCACACTAATCGCTAAACTCATGCGTCCCTTGCACCTCTTTTTGCTGATCGGGTGACTGAACTATTCTTAGGCCCGCCACAACGCTTCTCTCCTCTTCAGGCTGCAAGGGATATACGCAAGCCAGGTTCACGACTGGTGCCCTGACACACCCCTCTTGCAGCGCCTGTGGTCTTCTCTGTAAAGTTGCGATTACGCACACAAGAGACTGCCTTCCTCGCCGGGCCCAAAAAGGAACCTGCGTGGAATTTTGACGTGTGCCACAAAAGACCTGGTCATGCGGGTCGGTAAGCCACTGCGATACGAGCAGCTTGTCTGACACCCAGAATACACGCTGTACTACCCTCTACCTGAGCTCTGGGAAGCTTCTTTCCAGGACCTAAGCCGGCGTGCTTGATTACATGATTGTCTGCACGCCCTTGAGCCCGTTTCAATGCATACTTGCACAATCCGTTGTTAAATGCCCGTAATGTCGGCTCATCACAAGTCAGGTATGACCATCCATCATCTTGAACCCTCGGGATAACCGGATAGCTGGTAACCAACCAGAAAGTATCGTCCGATGATTAATAATGGCATTTCAGTGTTTCCTTGTCAAAGGCCATCGATCATACAAAGGTCCCATGGCCCCTGTAGACACCAAGTTCTCTCAACTACAGGGTGCGTCTGGTATGTCACAGCCACCCGGTTCCAAACGCCCATTTCCCACCCGCATAGCATGCGAAATCCCAGGGATTGCTCGTACTTCCTTTGAGTTGTACAAATCCCCGCGTACCAAGTGGCCCGCGGATCCTTCTTGAATCCAGTTGATTCCTTCACAAGGTCACCCACCTTGCGTGATGCGTGCAGCCCTCCTCCCTAATGTCGATACTCAATCCACGCACCTATGAGCCCACACAACAGAAATGGCGTAAAGATGTACTTCTGCGGGAACGCCGGGCCCCCGAACTCCGGGTCCACACCCGTGGTGCCCTCGGGCAAGATGCTGAGCAAACCCGTGACCCAGTAGATGGATCCTACAAATGCAGCGGTCTTCATGAATTCTCGGTGCAGCGCCGGGCTTGGGGCTCGCCGCCAAGCAAAGTACAGCGTTGCCATGGCGAGTGTCACGGCTAGCCCAACCGTTTGGGCATTATGAAATCTGTGAGCGAGCGTCAGCCATCATGATTCCAGTAATACTCGCCAGAGGATGGCCAAGTGAAGTTATGGCTAGCTGGCTTATCGTTTCTGCAGGGAACGATGGGCTCAACTCACTTGGCGTGCGGCGGCCAGTTCGGATTGAACATATGTGTCTCGCTGAAGTAGTCGGCCTTGAGCGCGCCGATCCCCATGCCCAGGGCGTCGACGGTCAGGAGGATGCGACCCCACATATCTGCGCAGTGATTATGTAGATGCCAATGGATAAATCAAATTGATTATTGTTTGTAGAATGCAGACCTGCAAAGTGCCAGTCGAGTGCAACTAGAAATCTTCATAAATTCTCACAGGATCGGGTTTTAACAGGTTGGGATCGGACCCGGCAAGCCCGGCGATGATGAACGTTATCCCCGCATCCCGGTGTCTCGGTTCGGACGAGTGATTCCACTAGCCTACCTATGTGCTTATTTCCGTCCACAGTCATGATCAATTATGTCGAAGTCCTTTGTCTTCACTGTTGTTGAAAACATAGCGCCACTGGTTCTTATAGATCTATAGATTTCGGTAGTGTTATGGCCCAGACCCCATTCTATCCACTACAGGCCCTTAGTAAGAAAATCAGTATATTCTGCGCATACGGAATGACGTATCGGGCATACGTTCGGAGAATCATATTACTTCTCAGTAGCATGCTTGGTGAGACCGCCTTGTGCTTAATCCCTCCTCCAGCTGGAAGTTTGCGCCCTTTGGTCAAACGGTGCAAATGCACTTAGACTCTAGGTGAGTCTGTTGTGATCGTTCAAGTGCAATGCGGAAGCGTCTCTGTTCCCCTCGCCCTCTTCCATACCTTTGGAAATACGTACATGTACAAATCAACATGTCGACCTCCCCCAACTTCTGGTACGACTTTTTGCAGACCACATCTACGGAAAAGTAGAGAGGAAGCTGCAGAGTGCCCTTTTCTCCTCCCGTCATCATCCTTCCACCATCCGTCTCCGCCTCCCTAGTTATCCGCCACGCATCATGATAGGCTCTTGCTCCAGGCCTCGGCCAAGCCATCCCAAACCAAACCCATGCTCTCTGGACAAAATTTTCAGGACCCAAAATCCGCAAAACCGCAATCTTCTCGCTCGGGAACGCGCAGATCCACAAGTCTGCGTTCGACACGCTGGCTTCACAGCAGGTTGTTCGAGATCAAGGTCTACAGGACATGATCTTGAAGGGCGATTTCGAGTTGGAACGACATTAATTCCTGTCTCATGAATCATGTTCCGATTAATCCTTGGTCGAGGTTACTTCAAATCTCCGCTCCTAGGTGCCAAGCTTTCTAACAGCCACATTCGCCTCGACTCGTCCAAAAAAGAGTGTACTTTTAGATCCCTCGTTATCTCGGACAAGACATTACAACCTTCTATGCTTGGATGATGTATCGTTTGGCAAGTAACGTATTGCCATACGCTAAGCTGGCGTAGACGAGGGTTATCTGCTGTCCCATTGTTCTGGGGCAGGATTGATTTATAGCCAAGCATAACTGGCCCCACAGTTCGAGTCAGACTGATTCTTCCAATACCGTGGGAGAGTGAAAAGCTACTATTCGGTCTTGATATGAATTTAACCACCTCCATTTGCCACAGTAATATTGCCAGAAAAAGATGGTAACTGGAGATAATCTAGAGTCCGACTCGTGCACCTACAGTATGGTTGAACTTCGAAGGGAAATGCCACATCTCAGGTCACCTCATGCTCATTTACGTTACATCAGCCGGGAGTATCGCTTGGCATTGGAGCTGGGTAGGGAATTGGCGACATGGGTAGTGCTTCTAAGGCAAGGGTAAAAGAAGCACGTCCGCGGGCTGGACAGATTAACGTATGTGATCTTCATTCATTTTCAAGAAGGAGATCTTTGGTATTGTAGCGAGTCTGTCTTCAAGTCACCACATTCCACAACGCGTCGAGTACGAAATGCTCTTAGTTCTGTCTTGAAGATATTTGTTCAGCTTCACAAGATGAAACTCGTAATGGGCGTATGTCTGCTAGCAAGGCTTACCAATGCAGCGTCTCTCAACGTTACGCTCCAGATGATTGGCAACACTGCAATTAAAGTCATGACCACCAACAACGGCGGCGAAGATCTTAAAGTCTTGAGGACTGGTACTTTTCTGGAGAGTACGGCTACAGAAAAAGTAGAAGTGTTCCAATCTGGTAAGAGCCCCTCAGTCTCCCTCGTATAATCGTGAATTATTAATTATATGGTAGGCTCAAGGGTTCCTTTCGATGGCATCCGTCTGCTCGTTTCAACTGCATCGCTGGACGAAGATGCTTTTCAGACTATTCCAGTCAATGAAATGATCGAAACGGAGTTCGACATCTCTCATATGCACGATCTTAGTGCTGGGGGTGTCTTTCAAATTATTGCAAACGGTGCATTATCTTATGCTAGTGCTGGCAGTACTGCAATCGCCGGCATCGTTCCCTATACGAGTAACATAATTTCAAGTCATATAAACGGATCCCAAGCGCAAGCTGCGCGCAAAGCCTTCCTCGAAAAACGCACACTATTGCAGTCCGATTGTACTGGGACAAACTTGACCACCCTGAGAACCACAATTGATAATTGTGCGTTATGGGCTACTCGGGCAAAAGAAGCCGCAACCGCTGGAACCCGACTTGTTGAGTATTTTAAGAGCAACTCGTCATCCGTCAGTGGTACTGTCTCGGAAGTATTTGAGAAGATCGCCGCGGAGTGCAATCCTACCTCTGGCATCTCTAAGACTTACTGCTCAGACAGGTATCCAAACTGTGTACCAGGAGTGTTGGCTTACGCAATCCCTTCTCAAAGCTATATCGCTTATTGCGATCTATTCTTTACCTTGCTTCCGGCTGTCACGCAGGATTGCCATGCACAAGACCAGGCAGGCACAATGGTGCACGAGTTCACTCATCTTGATCAGATCAAGGGGGCCAATGATTATGGATCCTATGGCTATAAAGCTGTCCAAGCATTGCCGGCCGACAAAAACATTAATCATGCAGATACCTATGCGCTATATGCTCAAGGTGCGAAGCCTACTGATCCGAAAATATGTGAAGCTCGACTAACCTGTGTCACAGCTGTGATGCTGGATTGCGACTAATCAACACCGAGCTGCGGTCTGGACTGCTGGGGTAATTGGCGGCGATAAAATATTCGCACAACGATTTCTCGGCTTTCCATTCAACTACACATCGCTCTCGCCACACGAAACGAATAGGCACTTTCAGAGTTCTGCTGGATCTGGCACTGGCCTTCAGCATGGCAATCTTCATCTCAAGCATTCAAGCTCCTCAGACACATAGCCAAAAATAGATCGCAGAGGGCACACAGCTTACCATGGCTGCTCATGGAAGTTCACCAAAAGGTTTTATGGGCCAATCGTGAGGTCAATGGAAGTTGGTGGGTTTCTACACTGAGGGATAGCATCAAGAGCTCATGGGGCATTCAATACTAATAGCAGCTGCATTTTGTGTTAGCAATCTTCACGGCCGGCCTTGACTTCTGATAGTATGTGGCGAATCCCACAATCAGCGATATGGTGATATGGTTTTGCTGTTTCACACACATGTTTGTAGGGCTTTGGTTGGCAATAGCACAAGAATTCAAATCAGTCTGTCAGATACTAAATGATCATTCTCAACGAGTTACCGCTTAGAGGTCGTTTTATCGAAGACCGCTTTGATTATGAGCTGGACATGAACTGTGTTCAAGTGAGCACACTCGCATAAAAATGTGTCTCAAAACCTGCGTGGAACTTTTGTAGTAAAACCCTAGAGCCGATATGTTTCTGAGGTCTGTGATATGGGATTTAAAACACGATCAACTTATTGGTTGCAATCGATTAAGATGGAAGCATAAACAATGATTCTGAATAGATTTTATGTCGTGTGCGACTTACCAAATCACAGGAGTGACATGACAAGCGTTTCCAGTCTTCTCCAAATTTGGGCCCCCTCCCCTTACTCACTCTTGCGCCCAAATCTGGGTAGCCCCAGCCAGATTCCGAAAATCACAGCCAGCAGCGCCAAGATAATGGGCTGCAAGACCTGGACTCCCTTTGCTTGCGCAATGGCACCAACAGCAAAAGGTAAAATCGCAGCACCGGACCCTCCGAATGCGGCGGCGAACCCGATAGCTCCGACATGTAGATGGCGTGGCAGCAGCTTTGACATGGCTACAATGGCGGCTGGAAATAGAGGGCCCAGGAAGAAACCCTGGAATGACACAGCAATAGCTGAAACAATGAACTGTGGAACCAGCCAGAAGAGAAGTTCCAGACCGATCACAATTGGGAGATAGATCTGTGGTGGGTCATGTCTCAGTGTCAACTTCTCAAGGATAGGGAATCTGTAAGAGAAGCCAGAACTCGTCGGGCCTTTGTAAGGAGCAATATACTGGGCTTGGGACTACTCACACTAATAGCCAGCTTCTCGCCGATCCGCGGCGTCACAAACCCTAGGATCACGCGTCCGACAGTGATGCCGAGCCAAAAACCGGTGGCTGTCATACCGGCTGCGAACTCAGCGCCTTGGCGGACCTGGATCATGAAAACGACAATCCAGCCCCCCAGTGCGACCTCGATACCGACATAGCCCAGCAAGAACAACGCACAGAGCCAGGTGACGCGGGCTGCGGGCCGCTTGGTCAGCGCCGCTCGCAGACTGCCCTTCGGTGAGTCCGCCGACGATTGCGTCATGGACGCCCGGTACTCGGCGGCGTTGGCAGACCAGAAGCCCGCAGTGGAGGTCATGAGCTCAATACCCGCGAGGCCGATCTGAATATGCTTGTTAGTGAACATTCCAGAAAATGAAAATTCTCATCGATTTCCCCTTCTTGGTCTAAAACCAAGCTACCAGAGTCGAATGAAAAATAGGGCGACGAACCATGAGATAATAAAACGTATACCACTGCAACCCAGCTTTGGCAACCATACTCGTGGCAACGAGCGGACTGATGACTGCCCCAAACCCGTAAAGTCCATGGAGGAACCCGAGGATCTCGTTGGCATGATCCATGTTTCCGATGAACGCATTCCATGCAGCATCCGCGAGTCCGTTGCCATATCCAGCGATCATGAATGCGATGACCAGCACGGGGTACGGTGGGTGCAGCGCGATGATCAAGTAGGCGATCATATGGCAGCCAGAGGCGAGGAGGGCGACGCCTCTCTGGCCAAAGCGATGGTGGATCATGTTATTCATGAAAGCTGAAGACGTGTAGCCGGCAAAGGGCGAGAGGAAAATCAGGGAGACAATTAGATACGTCAGGTTGTAGTAGCGCTCAATCTGCAGAAGCGTCAATATCCGTGATCAAGTATAAGGGAGCCTCGCCCTCCACCAGGGTAAGCAACGTACGTAATGTATTAGTGCCTATATCTCTATCAGTCTCGCGGTCTCTGATTTTCAAGAATTTCACGTCAAGTTCACTTACACCATATGCAGCATCATTTGCACCCATCACGACAAAGCTCCAGAAACATGCCGCCACCTTGGGAACGTTACTCCGGGGATAATTCCATCGCTGCTTCACACTGCTCGCCGTGCTCGGGGGCGGGAGGTCATCGTCCTCGCCAACAGTACGGCCATGATCCTGTGTCGTGGGATCGGCGGGTGTGTCAAATGGGATGGTAGCTGATTTGGTAGAGGGTGCCAAACGGACGGGCTCAAGCTCGATAACTGAGGTTGAGGAGGAGCCTCCGTTGTTGGTGAACGAAGTGGACGCCATAATCAAATGACTGCTCTAACGATATTTCCCTGTTAAAGCGCTGGTTGTGTGTCCCGATTCAGTCTGCCAAGGCACCTATACCGTAGCTTGCGTCGATAACAACCACCGCATACGACTCTGCTAGAAGAACGTAGGTACCTGACTACTTATATGTAGACAAGCCAAAGCATTAATAATACGAGGCCCGGTCATCTGAACACGTCAATCGTCAGATATGTAAGGAGAAGAGAAGGAGTCGCGATCTCCTGCATTTCTCTAGTTTCAATAACGTAGCTCTCCGCACGGGGAAGGTCTTGGCATACAAGGATCGCTAACGGCCTGACGGCTGGGTGAAGTTCGGACCTAGCTTCTAGCGCAAGATCTCCGCGATGAGGGGCGGAGTTGGGGGTGCTTATTCGTTGGCCGGAACGCAGAGTTCGGCAGGCTGGCCGATTATCCTGGGACTTGAGGGTGTCGGTAGAACTTCGTGGCTCCGTAAGGCGTGGATCATAACGCTCCATTGAGTCAGGCGGCGGGAAATTCGTCGCTTGAATCCCTATTGGTGCCAGGTTTTGTCAGCAACGCTGGATAGAAAGCTGATGCGAAACTGGGCCGGATGACACGAAGTTGACTTCGTCGACTAGCTCGATGAGTTCCAACCAAAACTTCGAAAATAAGTGTATTGTTTCTTGGATTCTAAAAATACAACAGCTTGGCTTGAATTCTATTTTGCTGTCCTACAGAATTGTTTCAGACCAAGCCTTGGATGGTTTATCCAGAGGTCGCCGCGTCCAACGCCGTATAGTCCAATCAGTTTGAAGGCAAAATGCTAAGGGTGCCTTAATTCTCGAAAACCGTCCTTTGAATACTAATACAGCCAATTCTGCCCTTGCAGGCCCGGTTCGTCTAGACGCGTTTCGTCAACCCATGGTATCGATGGTAATAAAAGATCCTACTCCTATGCCGTATTGCTCCGAGGCCGCCCCTTTACCCCAAGAATGCGTGTCCTTCTGGATCCAAGGTGGGATCTGCAGGCTTCCTACCGCGACCGCAGCTTACTGAACCACTGGCTCACACGATTCCACCTGTGATGACGGCGTCCATCTGGCACCGGGAGGTCAGTACCTGCCGTTGGCGGCTGCGGGTGTGTCAACATATCCTGTCGTTGTGCGTGATTCTTATCGAGTGGAGATGGGTGCAGAGGGTTAGTGGTGAAAACCTCAGACACAGCACGCCTGCCCGGCTTTGATGCCGGAGTCTTGATCACCATTTGATCTGACCCAGACAGCTCCTCAAGAGGTTGTCGGCCGACAACATCCGCAATTGATGTGACTGTGTGTCGATTCGCAACACTCCCGTTCCAGTCACTACTCAAGACACGCCGGCCCTTGGATCGGATGCTACCCGTCTCGCTTCCCTCTGGTGCCTCTGAAAGCCTTTGGGTCATAAGTCGCTGCATCTTTGCCGCCCCCGTTGAAGTTGCTCTCCTAGGCAATATTCCTGGGCTAAAAGCACCTTCTTCCCGAAGAGAGGGAGATGGATTCCTCCTCCGACCGGTTAGGTCACGCGACATACGCGGTGGTTCGGCTCCTGTTGTATAAGAGCGACTCCGATTGTGTGTTGGTCCCCTTGCATCGGCCGCTTTAGTTCCTGTATTAGCAGATTGCGGAATGAAGTCTGCAGGCCGGAATTGAGGCACCCAGCCGTGTCGCAGAGCCACCCATAAGGCCGATATTTGGATAAATTCCTTTTGCCACTCTTCGACACGCCTGGTCCGTCTCACTGGCGAGGCTTTATTTTCCGAATTTGGGCTCTCAGGACTGCCTAGTTGAGGGGAAGTTGGTGGGAATCGGCCTGCGGACTGGGATACGGTCGTGTAAGCGTCCTGGATTTCCAACGCGGAGGGTTTCAAAGTGGCCATAATCGGATGACGACGGCAGTCCGGGTCAACGATGCTGAAGGTAAACTTGTGCTCCAAAGGTGGAGATGAAGGTGGGAAAGGGAAAGAGAGGGGACCAGAAGTGGGAGATACAGGGGTCGAGATGGGTGGTGTAGGAGGCATTGTAGGAGATGTGGTGGTTGGTGGAGATGTGCTGGTAACCTGGCGTCGAACCCAGCGAGCCGTGATTACGTGGCCATTCTCATCGACGTTGGTGAACTCGTAGGAAAGACTTGAGCCGTTGACCCGTGGAGCAGCCACCCACACATTGCCATTGGGGAGCGCAATTTCTGCCTTGTCTTGCCCTCTAAGCGGACTCAATATGGCCACCAAGTCTCGGCTCTTGATGTTATCCTCGTCGCCGTCACTATCGGAGTCGAATGTGGTCGCATCGTAGTTCTCACTCTTGACCAGCAAAACATCTTGTATACCGACTTCCTTCTTGATCCGGGCCAATCGAGGGAAACGCTTGCACAAATGTGCAGCGATCGAGGTGTTCGCAATGCCAAGCGAAGTATATACATCCACGGTTGGCCTCGGGCGTTGGTCGGCTGACAATTGCTGGAGCTGGAGCAGTAATTTGGGGCGAATGTGCAAGAAGCGTTGTTTCTTGCCTAGGCTCGGGGGTGCTTGGGCGAGCAAGTAAGAAGTGCACTTCTTCGTAGATCGGCGCCCACGTTGGCGGGTTGAGCTCGCAGCACGACTTATGTCGCTGTCTGAGACGTCGACAATGGAAGAAGCTTCATCCTCACTCATTGCATCGGCTTTGGTGGCAGGTACCAGCCCATCTTTCGGTTCAAGAAATCTCACGACAGATTCTGGCGTTGTTGTTGGGGATTGCGTGTAGGCATATCCGTGGTCCGAAACGGGGCGTAATCTTTTCAGAGTCCTTCCGGTGGTCCCAGCACTGGGTGAAGTCGAAGGAGACTCTACGGAGGGCGACGGTCGACTCAACGGCGTGCCAAAGGAGGATCGTAGCAACGGGTTGCGGCGAGGGGCAGCATGTCCAGTTGCTGGGGTGGTTCTGTCCCTCTTGGAATACTCATGGCCATGCAGGCTGGCACCTGAGTGGAGGAACATGGTTGACGAAACGGCACGCTCTCATTGAGCCGCAGGTGCTGCTATCCCCCTTGCGGGCCCGACCAGGTGCAATTCGAGGGTAATTATTCGGTTCGGCGGGGCTGCTGAAATGGCGTCTCATATGAAGAAGGTTCAATGACGAGGCTCCCCCTTTCGGAGAAGAGAGTTCATTCGATCGTCTCGCAGCCGGACTGAGACATGCATGTAAACATGCGCAAACTCTCGCCGCCGGTCGCTCACCACGCAGAATCAACAAGACTAATCACCACAGGACCACTTCAACTAAAGGGATAAGCCGATAGAAAAGAAGAAAATTCGAAATCAGGAGGCTAGTCAGCCAGGAACGTCGATGAGGCTAGAATCGTAAGACCGTGGTCCAGGTAAAATTGCGGAGTCCGGGTAGTTTATTTAGGGGACGTCGCTAGGGCTGAGCCAATGAGAGACAGCGCGCCAGTAAGCGAATGCCCCAGGCCGGGGAGCTGAGATGGGAGGCGCAGCTATTGAGCTGAGTGTCAGATAGAGTTGAGCTCGCCCATAATCATTGAAGTCTGATGAGTGCTCGTGATAGATGGACTGGGGATTGGCCAGCGGTGCGAATAGTGAGTGGGATTGAGTGTCTGTCGTGGGTTGGTCGGGCTGAGGGCGAGGAGAGCAGTAAAGTCGACAGATTTGGGGGGGCTGTAAGCTAATTACTGTACGTACAGTAGTATCAGAGTAGGCGCAGCGAGCCTAGGAATGGCAATCGAGAAGGGCGAAAGCTAAACTCGATGGGATTGATGGATCTTGGCGGGCGGAGGCATGTAAAGAGGATGGTGGATGCTGACAGGGTCCAACGGATCAAACACGTTTGCGGATGATGCTGGCAGGAAGCCGAGCTGCCGGCGCCAAGCTTGGCGTCTTGCGATTGGCTGCCGAGGCCCTTTCACAGGTGCCTGGCTGCGAGGTCGATCCCTGGGAAACGGTTGGCGCAAAGCTGCGGCGATCACTGACTATCGACACTTGCCCGAGTCTGTGTGATGCGCTTTTGCTGAATGCGGCGATGGAGAGGTAGGGCGAGGTGATGCAGGCCACACGCGGGGAGCATGCGATGCTCGTGCAGCACACAAGGGTCGCTGCAGATGCAAGTAGCAGAGAGCAGGCCGTCCGTCAATAGTCGGTGTGGGAGAGGTGCAGAGAGGTGCAGAGCTGAACGCACGAAACAGGTTGCGAGAGTGCCTCGGCTGAAATAGTGGGCGTGAGCAGGTCCACGGAACCCGAGCAATACGCAACACGTCTGTAGATGCGAGATATGTGCACTGCTGAAACCAGGCACAGCGATATTCCGGCAGCGGTCGGGCTGCGGTGAGGCCCCGGGCGAATCCGTCACAACTGTAAGCTTAATTGCATCTGCCCATCCGTCAGACTGTGACGTTTATCGATCGACGATTGGATGATTGCGTAAGCTGTCTTGCTGGCCCTACTTATCCTCGGCCGGCTCGACCAAGGCAAGGTCGGTGACCCAATGACATCTTCGGCCGGGCTGGACGGCACGTTTTTGAAGGTGAGCAGTGGTCAGCCAGGTCAGGTTTTGCAGGGCTCGCGAGTATCAAGGCAAAAGTGCCCGAGGTCCGCCGAGCCATTTCTGAGGGCCAGCAATAAATCGTGGGCCTACAATACATCATATGACCGCAAAGCACCCTTTCATTTGAACACGACTTCAGCTAGCTATGGCATGGGAAAAAGGACGCGTCGGGGCTCGGGAATCCGGTGCACCCGTGGTGTCAGTTCATGAAGAGGCAGAACCCGGTGGTCTTCAATTGCGAGCCGAGTCTTCCACAACGTGACACACGTGTCACCCCACTTCCACTAACTTATCGAGATCTGGCAGCCCTATGCGAAATGCGGCCCTGTCGGCTTTTGTGGCTGGCCAGCAGCTTCAGGGTCGGAATGTGATGAATGTTGTGACTGCAGATCAGATAGGATTAATGGTGGTGTGTTGGAACCATAGCATTTTGATTGCATACCTGAAGTCCTGCTGCACAATCCTGAGGTCAATACCTCGTTATTCCACGTGGAATGCTCAATAATCGCGAGGTAAGTGTGGCGTCGCCGCCTCCCAATCTGAAAGTGCAACATGTGGCTACGCGTGGCGTTGGACGATCACGCCTCAGGTCTCGACGTCCCCTTTCCCACCCAGGATCATCCGACAGAGCGTCTTCTTCACAACCGGGTTTCGTCGGTCGACTATGTTCTCAATCGATCCCGGCCGGCCGAGAACCGCTTTGACCAGCGCCTTTGTGGCCTGGAAGTCTATCCTGCTGCTCATCGCCGTTGGTAGCAGCCTCGGTCCGGCATATGATACCTCCACGACTCTGATCGGACCTCATACAACAGCATCCGAGGAAGCTATACTCGATGTAGCGACGAAATTGACGCGATGGGATGCCATATATTTCATCCAGTCCGCGCGCCGCGGCCATGTGTTCGAGCAAGAGTGGGCTTTCGGACTGGCATTGCCGAGCGTCATCTCATTCCTCGTGAAAGGTGCGTGTGAACCTGTGCTCATCGTTCGTCAGTGCGGCCAACTTCGGCTCTCTTCTACGGCTTCGGGCTCGTGTGCAACACCCGTGGAAGACCTGGATGGCTCTGGGTCATAATGCGCGAATGCTGATCGCGGACAGGTATCACGGGATTCGGTATTGAAAACACCGGCGGATTGGAGTCAACAGTCGGCATTGTACTTGCTCATCTATCACACTTCCTCTCCGTACTTGCGCTATACCACTTAGGGCTGAAGCTGTACGGCGAGCGGCGCCTTGCATTCGTTTCCGCGCTGCTACATGTCCTATCTCCTGCTGGATTGTTCCTCTCAGCACCGTACAATGAGAGTCCCTTCTCATTTCTATCTTTTGTCGGGTATCTGCTCTTCGCACAGGGATGTCTCGATAAATCACGAGGTCAACTCGGCGATGCCGCCATTGTAGGGTCCGGCATCATCTTCGGGCTCGCAACCGCTTTCCGCAGCAACGGACTTTTGAACGGGATTCCTTTCGCGATATACTCCGTTGTCGAACTAAGGCAGTTCTTGAAATCTCCGAATACTGTCAGCCTCAGGCGGCTAGCTGCGTTCGGCATCGGGGGTCAGAGCATCGCGTTGGGATCCATCGGCCCACAGGCTCTAGCCTACGAGATTTTTTGCTCCGAGCTTTCCGATGCCGAGCCAAGGCCGTGGTGCAACAAGTTGATTCCCAGTATCTATACGTTCGTGCAGGAACGTTACTGGTAGGTTCTATCTTAGGCCCGGTGCAAGTCTTCGGTGGGCTAACAAAAGCAGGAACGTTGGCTTTCTGCGCTACTGGACACCCGGGAACATCCCTCTTTTCCTGCTTGCCGCACCCATGATCTATCTTCTGATCAAGTCAGCATGGGACATGCTCATTGCTATTTCGACAACTGCCGGGAGACGACGGACCGATTCGAGTGTTCCGTCGGATTCTTCTATGCTCATCGCAGCAATGGCTCTTTCTCAACTTGTCCTGGCCACGTCGGCGGTCACCACCTACCATATCCAGGTCATTACAAGAATCTCTTCCGGTTATCCTCTCTGGTATTTCTGGCTGGCTCAGAAATTATCGGCGCCCGTAACATCCAAGACGGCGAGTGGCGTAGTGACCTACATGGTAATGTACGCAGCGATTCAAGGGGCTCTGTTCGCGTCGTTTCTTCCCCCAGCTTAAATACGTTTTTAGTGTGACACAACAAGACCATTTATTCTCATTAGATCTTTTTGATGCTCAGCTGTTGATCAAGGATGGTAGAAAGGCATCTTTGCCCTGTAGAAGTTTGACGTAATGAATCCCGGCGTTGCAAGTCTTGATCAGTTGATGAGTTCGTTCATGAAAGGACTCAGCTTGTTATTTGGTTTATGATAAGAAGGTGAGGCGGGGTCAGCTTCAGTGTCGCTGACTTTGTGTGTTGTTCCCAACCGGATGTATCAGGAGCCTCCTCGGGTTGCTAGTCCCTGACAACTGCACTTGCTGACAAAGGCCAAGGCCAGCTTTAAGGTGAGGACAAGTCTCTCCATTCATAGAACCCCATTTCGTTCGACTGAGCTACGTTGGCACACGCAACTCGTATTAGGATGCTAGATAGCTGACAAATGAGTGTGCCAACCATGGTTCGTAGAAGTGGATAATCTCTGTGACGCATTTGGATTCGAGGGCTGTGAGTTGAAGCAAACGACCGCTCAGAAATCTCCATTTTTCCGACAGCAATGCAATCATCTTCAAGGCCTGGGTGACGCTAGGGAGCACTGATATGCAATGATTAAGAGGTTTGGTGTAAAAAGGGACTACTCCTCAATGTGTCTCTTCCTTCAGCTATGTTTTCTGGGACGGAGTAACTCCTTGAACTATGAAATCGAACATGATTCAGACTATGAATTTGGGTGCGGCATAGTTTTGCTTCTCGTTGCTAGATGCAACATGGGACAAACCCATTTTCAGTTTCCAGGCTTTCAACGACGATTCGTTCTCGTATGCAAGTGTGGCCAAATTACGTCTTTACGTGTTAATATAGAATACGATAAGGTTGACCAATTGCAAACCTGAGGCAGTGTGGAAAAACTATCGAACATAAGTTGTTACGGCAGCTACAGAGAACATCACCAGCCAAGTTACTCAGAAGCAGACCATCGATTGCGATGACCAGACGATACGCGATATGCTACTGCGGCTTATTCAAGGTGCTCCTTCGCCGTTGGAATTGTTATCTCACCGGTAATTCATTTCAGCCTTCTTAAACTGCCATTGTTCAGATCCCAACCAGCACTTTGGGCAACCACAACCGCCAACAATCAGTATTGGACCAGCCTTGCTCGTCGTAAGTGAAGCATCTTGCTATGCAACGTTTGCTTTCCTCGAGCGCTCTTTTCAACAAGTATCTCTAATGCACACGCAGCCTTTGGAAACATACCAGCGGTTTACTATCAGTGTATCGACCCACGAAGTCAAGATGGAGGACCACCGCCCCCGGTCGGACACTGCTCACGATCCTGACTTTGAGGATTGGCTGACCTTCACTGGATGGCACGATGTCAATTTTCGCCACCGAAAGTTGGAGTACTTTCGCGACCGCGAGGCTATGGAGCAACAGAGAGCCATTTGGACTGCGAGAGAAGCCCGAGTCCGAGATTTCGAGCAGAACTATGGTACTGCTCACGAGATTTACCGCCCCCATGTCATGCTTCCTTCTACAGAGAACGACTCCTCGGCAGGTGATGGCTATGGACCTGACACAACCGATCCAGGTACTGGCAACGAGGTCCGTCACCATAGACGCACTTCGCAAGGTGAGAATCAGTCGACACCGCCGTACGACGATGGCAGTAACGCGACGCGTATTGTTACACCGCAGCCTCCTGAGCCTGCGCAGCTTTGCACACCATATACAGGTCATCGAGCAGCCCGCTTCAGCGACTCATCTCGCACGATTGGTCGCGGTAGATCTCGTAGCCCGGTTCCGTCAGCACAGTTACGTCACCATCGCTACGGCATCATCAACGGCGGCCTATATGCTCAACATCGCGAGTACCGAGAGCGCTCCTTGGGCTCACACCCATCTCAGGAACTTGAGCTGGGTAAGAATGGCGGTAGGGCACAATGACATCGTCTACTACCTAGAGATACTGACTCGCACATCAAATCCAGACACCCGTTTTTTTGTGATCAGATCCTACAATATTGAGAACATCCGAGCATGTATTCAGGAGGGTATCTGGGCCACGAAACCTGCAAATGCTGGAAAGCTCTGTGAGGCTTTCAACAGTTGTAAGAACGTGATCTTGATCTTTGGAGCAAATTCCTCTCACGCCTTCCAGGGATATGTAAGTGGCGTTTTTACCGTGTCTTATTAATTTCGTTGTGTCTGACAAACTCCGGCTTGACCATTACAGGCTAGGATGATCTCACTTCCGTCAGCTGATGTTCCCAAGCCCAGTTGGTACCACACGCTGCGCTGGGCCAAGTCGGAGCCTTTCCGGGTGGAGTGGATCCTAACAAAGAGCGTTGTTGATAGCCATGTTCGAGGCTTGAAGAACCCGCTCAACGAGGACTTACCGATAACCCGATCTCGTGACTGTCAGGAGTTGGACGACTGTTGCGGTCGCGATCTGCTGAACATTCTCCAGCGTGAGGCCACAAAGGCTTCGAAGTAATCAAAAGATGGTAAACTACCGCTGAGAACAGCCTTTCAACAGCGAAGTCAGTGACTGGAACTGAGGTTGCAAAGCAAGTCCATTCAGTCCCTGCAGGTGGGATGCATATACCTCCAGAAAAAGAAAATTGGGTGAGACGGAAGGTGGGAGGAATTCTGCAGACCTAGATGGCTTCTCGCGGTATGAATACACATGTGCTCTGCTTGCACATGGAACATGGCTTTGGTTCTTCTGAATGTAGAGGCACAGGGAGACATAGCTTTCTCTAAGGAATGGAAGCTATGATGCATCGTGGAAAAAAGGAGACTCTTTCCTTCAAGCTTTATCCATAACTGAGGTAGTTGAGCCGACTAACGCAGCCCAAGAACAGCGATCCAGAAAAGTATTGCTTCGGGTGGTTTCCCCGTTTACAACGATTTCTATCTTCAACGAAACACGCTAAATTAGCAATTAACCCTGCTCTTCGTCAGGAAGCCAACTCCGCAATGAGTACTGATCCTGGAAGAGGAGAGTCCTTCGAAGTCTAACAGAACGTCTGGCCCTTTAAAAGCCACACGTAACTAGTGATGAAATGTCCCAAGATGGTGACACCCAGTGTGCTTTGCACACATGTGCACCACCTATTGTCGAAAATTGGAGCATCGAAGGCAACGCAGTGTGTAGCTCTTTCCTAATTGTCTCGTTTTCCCCGAAAGTCGTCGTAACAGAATTCCTTTTTCACCCCGTGCCATTGTATATCATTCAAGTGCCATGCCTTGGTTTGAGATCCGAGGCTTTTCTGCCATCCTCCAGTTGTCTCAGTCGATACTCATCAACAGCAACTTACGATTAAGACATAAGACGCCACCTTACTAAGAGGCATAGGTATGTAGGCAGGCCAGCCAACCAAGCTGGATCAGACCCTTTCGGATAGTTGCCGTACCGCCAATTTTTCAATAAGTATTACCCCATCAGAGACATAATTATGCACCTCGTTATTTCTGGGTTGCGACTTACGCAATGCAGAAAGCCTCACCCGGATAAGCGTAGCTTGGCATCATTCTAAACCCTTTCAGGGCCTCGTCTGAGACCAATAACTCAGACATATGAGGTATAGCATCTGGTTATACTGAGCAGCGCTCGATCATGAATTATGTGATACGCATACATCTCAACTCATCAGCCAATAGAGGACATCAAGGACTCCATCTGGAAGTGGCTGCATCGTTTGCGTCCCCTTACTTCTTGATCGATTGCTCTGGTCATGATGAGGAGAAATAATTCCTCAACTCATGTATAAAAGCGTTGGCTAATCTCAGTGTTGGTTGAAAGCCCACAATCTACAAAAATCACCAGATATTCCTGTTCTACTCTACATCATTCCCTTTGAGCCCAGCCAAGAAAGTCGACCAATCACTATGCGTGTCACCAGCTCCGCCATTCTGCTCTGTGCAGTCAAAGTTGTCAGTGGAGTTGCCTTTGAACCGAGACAGGCTGCAAGTTGCACTCCTGGCATCAAGCTAGCAAACGTAAATCCTGAAAGCTCCCCGCAATTATTTCTGCTGATCTGGTATCCAGTACAATGACTTGCCCGCCATAGCTATCGATGATGGCAATACCGGCCTGACCAATTTCAACCCGTACCTCGACCTCAACTACACCCGCTTCAGCGTCATCGCTGCACAGCCTGACAACAAACTTCTCTTCTATTCCTTGTCCCAAATCTCTAGTGGCCCACTGGCCGTTGTCCAGGCCGCGCTCGTGGCACTGCTAGGGCCTTTGGGTGGAATCCTGCCCCCTATTCTGGCCCCACCGAGCATCATCGGTGCCACACCGCGCACTACCTTCAGAATCAACAGTTTCCAGTTTGGCTGCAGCATCCGAGCTGGCGGCGCGGCCACGGTCATACCATTCAGCTGTCGAGTCACTGTTCGGCCGGTCGAGCCGTCCCGCGCCGGCGAGTCTGCGACTTGTACATACACTGCTAACCCGACAAGTCCTCCGGTATTCCAAACCTGCAATGTCAATCTGGCCGCAGGTGTAGGGTACAAGTTCCAGACTGTAGCCACAGTCTCAATCCCCGAGTTCGCACAGCTGTCATCGCTCATTAACGCTGCTGCGGAGAACTTCTTGGTCACCGGTCTCGATAACTTATCATACACTGAGTTCTGTGCTCCCTAGGCGGCCTAGGAGGACTTGAAGTGAGCATAGTCTTATGGGCTATGAAGCCATATATGGCATAAGTGTAGCGGAGGCTGCGACTGAGGGAACGAGAATAGGAGCACTCTAGTATGACCTTTTGTCTTGAGGATGTGACTTCCATTCAACATGGAAGCACTTCAGCAGCTTCAATTGATGATTAAAGCCTTTGTTCTTTTGTGAGCCTATCTTCAAGTCTCATTTACGTGAAAGTTATCTCAGTCTTGTTCTGGGTTCAGCCATTTGGGGATGCTGATATATCTGACCCTGAAGTGGCCAGAAACCAAGTTTGCGTATCTAATGCGTCCACTTGTGAGAACCAAAGTATTTCGCTGAGCTGCAGACGATAGGCTGAAGCTAAGAGCCAATGGCGCCGAAATCAGTAAGGATAATGCATTGCATTTAGCTATTAGCTTGATATGAAACGGAGGAGGCTCGTAATGTGAATCCTTGAAAGTATATTTCAGTCTCACCAAACGTGACCGGAATTGGGGCTGTCAGCCTTCCTTATTTACGTTTTATTTTTTTGTTGTTCAGAAGCAACTTTAGAGTATCATTGTTAAGTCATCCCAGCGGCGTATCACCAACACTGACTATTCATCTTAAAAAAAAAAGGAAAAAAAAAAAGCGGCGGCGCGGGAGGGGGGGGGGAAGGGTTGCAAAAGGTGAAGAAGTTGTAGGGAGGCTTTGTTGTACCAAAATCTAGCATACCTTGACTCGATGCGTGGTCTCAGCCTTTTCCCCGCAGCCAATATGATGTACTGAGGTTCTTCATTAGCGCGAGGGGTAAACTCCCTGGTAGCAATACAGGGGTCAAGTTCGCTTCATTTCTTTTCCTCGTCAGTCTCAGTCTCTCAAATCAGCCGGCAACTTCAATCAACCTAGTCTTAATTGTCGATTAGTCTATGACCTTCTACATTGTAAATTAACTACTAGTTACGGTCTCAAATAAGCTTTGCCAATTTCGCCAAGTCTATGCTTCACTGATCCTGGGGCCCTGATCCCCACTTCCCCGTCTTTTCGGTATAATTCATGCCATTGCGGAGAGATCGTTCCCGAGATCGACATCATGACGATCTCCACCAAGATTAATGAGCCTTGATAACCTGCGGAAGGTGCATTTTGGGAACAGTATATCGGCCGCATGCGCACGTTCTCGAGGCGCCTCACCATCCCTCTACCCATTAGTTCTCCTAGCCCAGTAGCACGTCTAGAGTCTCAAGTCCTAACGCGTATGATGTGGTCTTCCGGAGTCTTTGCTCTGCTTTTAGCAGTCTGGACAGTTAAAGCAGATTCTTGTTGGAGAGATACGGCTTGCGATGGCCATAGTGGTCCAGCGTTCCCAGGCACGTGGGACACATATATGTACGCTCCAAGATCGCGAGATGTTGAGCCTCGATTCATTCTCACTCTCGACAACCTGTCGTCAACCTCTTATAATGGGACTGTCTACCTTGATGGAAACGGCGCTCAGGCAGTCCTAGACTTTGGACGCGAGGTTGGTGGTATTACTTCCCTAAGCTACGCCATCAATGGCACAGGGCAATTGGGTTTGGCATGGAGCGAATCTAAGAACTATATTGGGAAGATGTCAGACAGTTCAAACGGACTGAACGGATATGATCACCCTGACGGGCATCTGATCGTCAACTTTACGAGCAGTAGCTCTGGATTCTATGAGGTGCCATTGGAACAGATGCGGGGCGGTTTCAGGTATCTGACACTCTTTCTTCTGACCACCGACGATGCTGCAATCGAAATAAACGACATCAACCTCGAGATAAGCTTCCAGCCCACTTGGGCGAATCTCCAGGCTTATCAGGGGTATTTCTACTCTAGCGACGACATGCTCAATAAGATCTGGTACAGCGGAGCCTATACCCTCCAGACGAATAGCGTGCCCGTGAACACCGGCCGGCGCGTCCCTTTTGTAACTTCTGGATGGGCCAATGACGGGATTCTTGGAAATGGAAGCACCATAATCGTCGATGGCGCAAAGAGAGATCGCGCCGTGTGGCCGGGCGACATGGGGATTGCTGTCCCAGCGGCATTTTACAGCCTAGGCGAGCTGGATAGTGTTAAGAATGCGTTACAAGTCATGTATGACTTCCAGGTAAGTGCAGACTCGGCGCTTGGCTTTTCATCGTAGCTTATAATGGAGACAGAACAGTGACGGCTCTTTGCCAGAAGCCGGCCCACCTTTGTTACAACAAGGCAGCGACAGTAAGTTCTTGGTCCAAAGACAATTCCACGAATGCTTATCAAGCCCGCAGCCTACCATATGTGGACTATGATTGGGACATGGACGTATGTCCTGTACAGTAACGACACGGGCTTCCTAAGCAACAATTGGGGCCGTTACACAGCCGCGATGAATAATGTCTACGGGAAAGTACTAGACTCAGGTTTGCTGAACGTAACCGGAACGAGGGACTGGGCAAGATGGCAGCAAGGCTGGAACAACAGTGAAGCGAATATGCTGTCAGTATCATGTGTGCACCCTCTGGTTTCACGAGCCTCATCTAACTGACTGAAAGGCTTTACAAAACGCTCTCTACAGGCGCGGAACTCGCAAACCTAATGAATGAGGCCGAGCTGAGCTCTTCGTACGAGAACCGCGCTCGGAGATTGAAGACTGCCATCAACAAGCATCTGTGGGATTTGGACCATGGCGCCTTCAAGGACAACGCTACAGAGACGATGCTTCACCCACAAGATGCCAATTCTCTGGCCATATTATTTAACGTAACCGACTCTGAGCAAGATCAAGCTATCTCAGAGCAATTGACTGGCAACTGGAACGCCATTGGTGCGGTATCACCGGAGCTCCCCGGCCAGATTTCTCCCTTCATCTCGTCCTTCGAGATCCAGGCGCACTTCCTCGCGGGCCAGGCCCCGCGAGCCCTGGATCTCATCCGCCGGAGCTGGGGATGGTATCTCAATCATGAGAATGGAACGCAGTCAACCGTAATCGAGGGGTACCTGGCAAACGGCACGTTTGGATACCGCTGGAACCGTGGCTACTACAATGACCCGTCGTATACCAGTCACGCGCATGGCTGGAGTGCGGGTCCGACATCCGCCCTGACCAACTTCGTGCTGGGGCTCACAGTTACTGGACTTGCAGGATCGGAATGGACTTTGATGCCGCAGTTTGGAAATCTCACCTTCGCGGAGGGAGGCTTTTCGACGAGCTTGGGCAAGTTTCAGGCGGCCTGGGGTACTGCGCAAGGCAATGACGGCTATAACGTCACCGTAAGTACGCCCGAGGGAACTTCGGGTACTGTGCTGCTACCACTATTAAACAATACAACCGAGGCCAGAGTCATGTTCGATGGAGAGGCTTCGACGTGGACTGCAGGGACTGTGGGCAAGCTAAGAGGATACGTGAAAGGCGTAGGAGGAGGAAACCACACATTCATAGTCTGCAGCCCCTAGAAACGGCTCCGCAAGTGTTCGCCAAAGTAATTCTACTTCAAAATACTGTTCAAGTCTTTTACAAATGTACCTGGTCATAGTCAAGTGGCCGCACTGCAACGTATGTGGACTGGAATTGTTCACTTCGGATGATCTTGGCGATGTTATTGCAGAAATACCCCCGCTCAATAAGATGCACTTGTAGTATTCAACCTGGTGGCAAACGGGCACCTCGTCAGAATGTCACAGGCAACTTTGATGAGCCCAAGTTACAACAAGTGTCATTGGTGGAATCCGCTTCGCGATGATCCACCGGCTCTATCTGTCCGTTGCAATGGCTATGGCGCGCGCGGGGAAATGTTGGCAGCGCGGACCTGTAACGCTTTAGTACGTGCATGTACCCCGCCAAATCTTGATATACTCCGGGTCATTGAATGAAGAGCTCGTTGTAGTCTAAACGGGAGAGTAGATGAAGTATTGAGTGTTTGCATGCGCCCGTATCTGAACAGGTTGCAAAGTACTATATATATGTAGGTATGAGATGTGAAACTGCAATGGGCTTGACGAAATGAAAGACTGCAGAAGGTGCGATGTCAACATACCCCATAAATCTGGTCCAAACAACAAAAATCACTATGGCACTCTTCAGGATGCTGGCATCGTTTGCTTCAGTCGTGTTTTTCGTGTCCACTGTTCAGGCTACTACAGCACACGCTCCGAGGGGCAAAGCTAACACTTGTGTTATCGAGGCCAATGGCAACGGATCCGACGATGCTCCAGCCATTCGTGCCGCATTCTCCAAATGCAAGCGGGATGGCCATATCATCTTCGAAGACAAGAAGTATTATGTCAATAGCCCGCTAAACACGACAGATTTGTCCAACGTTGATATCGACCTTCACGGATACCTCCTTGTGCGTTCCTCTGCTGATCATCTGCCATCGCGGCAGGAGTGTAACTGACGGCTCCACCAGTGGAGCAATGATACAAGTTACTGGCTCAAGAATTCGATGCCCATTGGCTACCAAAACCAATCGACGGTGTGGTTTCTCGGTGGTCATAATTTGCATGTCAATGGCTTCGGCACGGGGACTTTCGATGGAAACGGACAGGCCGTAAGTCAGATTCAAGTGTTCTGTTTCGTTAGCCTCCGTATTGATTCGAGAAGTGGTACGATATTGTGAAAGGCGTGTCTAATTACCCTGGTAAGAGTCGATAATTCTTGTTTCTTATTCAAACACTGACTATGGCGAAGACAGGCCAATGGGCTTGACCATTCAGGGAGCCGTTGACTCTTCCTTCGTCGGGCTCAACTTTGTCCAGAGTCAGATGTGGTAGGTCATGTCGCGCTATCCCACGTCTTATCTCGAGACTAAAGCAGGGTGAAGGACCATGACCATTATGCATTCCGACAATGTCCTGATGGAGGACATATACGTGAACTCGACCAGCCATAACGGGAACCCAGCCAGGAATACAGACGGCGCCGACACAATGTTCTCAAACAACATCGTCATGCGCCGGTGGCGGGTCGACAACGGTGACGACGCTATCAGCCTCAAGGCCAATTCGACAAACATTGTTGTCGAGGACAGTATCTTCATGACCGGGCAGGGTTTCGCCCTCGGCAGTATTGGGCAGTACGTTGGCAAATTCGAGACGATCGAGAATGTGACGGTGAGGAACATCACAACGATCGGGACCAAATACGCGGCGTACGTCAAGACATGGACCGGGAACCAGGTTGACTATCCTCCCAACGGCGGCGGAGGTGGATTAGGCTGTAAGCTCGCGTCTAATAGAAGTGCATCGTTTAACATGCTGAGCGAATTGGCTAACATGGAGCACCAATTAGTCATCCGCAACGTCTCGATCCAGGACTTGAAGCTGAAGGGAGTCCGAGATGTCGCGGTTAACATAGGGCAGTGCACTTCGTTCTCAGGGGCGAAGGGTGATTGCAACAGTTCTTTGTTCCACGTCGGCGATATCAAATTTACCAACTTCACCGGTGACATTGCTGGCAAATACATAGGTAGCATGCAGTGCAGCTCCGCAGCTGGAGGATGTAGCGGCATCGAATTCGGTGATATAGACCTGATCAAGACCGCAACAAGCACAGTTGTGGATGACTACAAGTGTAGCAACGTGCAAGGACCGATCGGCTTCGAGTGTTAGTTGCACACTGATGATAGAATCGCATCGCTGTCTACCGGAACCGACTGTGTCAATAGGATATGGCCATTATTATGCATTATCATAACTACATATTCATATTTAACATGTGCCTGGGTATCTCTGAGCACGCAAAGCTACAGCGCGAAGAAAAAGCAGCACCGCCTGCCAGGAAGCTTGAAATTAGAATCCGCAAGGCTCGGATCTCATTGCCGGCCCTGTTCAAGCCTGACCCCTGGTAGAGTCATCGACATGCAGGACACGACCCGAGTCATCAATATCAACCTTGACCTTCTGGGTGCTTGCCTTTCTCGGGTTGGGGGCCTCAAAGATCTCTCCCAACTCCTCCAAGGTCTTGCCAGCGGTTTCGACGAAGAAGAAGTAGATGACGACGATCTCAACCACGATCCAGCCAATGTAGACCAGGTACAGCTTCCAGCCGATCGCTTGCATGCCAACAGAGATACCGTAGGTGTTGACAACCATGGCAATGTTCAGGAAGAGGAAGTTAAGACCAGAACCCTTAGCACGCGTGCGGTTCTCCAAACATTCGACAGCATAGAGGGTCTGAAGAGGCGTGAAACCCCACGCAAAGCAGATGCCGAAAAGGTAGATCGAAACAATGGTTCCGTAGGCAAGGTTCGGGTTGCTCGAGGTCGAGGCAGTGAATGCAGTCAGCATACAGTAGAAGACAAGCGCACCCATCAGGCCGAAGAGCATCATAGGGCGGCGACCAAGCTTGTCCAGTAGAGTTGCGCCATATACGGCAGCTATCATGCTGAAGATGGGGTTGATAGCGTTGATCAGGAGTTGCTTGCTCTCGTCGTGAATTCCGGCAGACTTGATCATTTCGGGCTGTTGCTGTTAGTGACGGTCAAATAAGTGCTTGGATTGTGCCTCCTTACCATGAAATAGCTGACAACGTTGTTTCCACTCCATTGGCCGAAGAACGACATGCCGATGACCATGGCCAGTCTGTAACGGGCAGCGCGGGTGTTGACCAGCTCGCGGAAGTCCCACCAAGGATTGTCATTGCGTGTTATCTGGGCCTCCTCCACAATCTCACGGTACTGCAGCTGAACCAAGGGGGAGTTCGCGTCGCCGTCACCGTGGTACTTGGCGAAGATAGCGAGACCTTCCTCAGCTCGGTCCTTGTGAATTAACCCTAGCCCCGTTAGAATGGATGCGTACGTTGAAGTCGAAAAGAAAAGAGTACTTACAACGGGGGGATTCGGGGAAGAACATGATCAGACACATGACAACAGCAGGCATACCAGCCTGGACAACGGTGGGAATACGCCACGCCCAGCTGCTCTGCTTGTAATTCTCAAGCGATCCGTAGGTTGTCCACCCAGCCAGAATGTTTCCCAACCACCAAAAGTTGTTGTACATTCCAGCCATTGTTCCACGATACGCCGGGTGCGCCAGCTCGACAGTATAGGCAGGGCCGGCGGCCGAGGCAATACTAGCACCGAACCCGAGGACAAACCTGCCACCGATGAATTGAGGCAAGTGGTTGGCGGTACCCTGAACGGCAGTTCCGATGAGGACAATAAGACATCCGATGAAGATGCAGATTCGACGACCGTAACCATCGGCCAAAAAACCACAGACTGACCTCGTTAGACCAGATCAGAGCTAGCCGGCCTTCGCCCAAGACTTACAGGGAAAGCTGGCAATCTGGCCAAGGTTATAAATGATAAAGATGATACCGGTTGTAGATCCACCGCCGGTCAGTCCGAAATCGTTCTGATACGATGGCATGGCGTTGATGGCACCCATGAGCGAGCTATCGAATCCGTTCATGGTAGACACAACTATCAACACGATCTGTAAGCAAACGACCACCCCCGAAAGAGAGACACTGTCTTGTAGGCGAACTAATACATACTGCCATCCATTCATTAGTATATTTTCTATCAAGAGTGCCGGAGACAGGCAGAGAGAAAAACCAAGCTGGCTTGTGTTGGACATACCGGTAACCAATTGCCATGATGCCATACAGTTTAATCATGTTGGACGAGAGAAGGTTCGGCTTCTGCTCTGCGACAGCTGCCGCGAGAGCGACCGAAGCGGCCTGGACCTGGTGAACCTGGCCATGAGGCTGCTTCTCGTCGACGACGGAAACCTCCGGCTTGAGGTTATTGTCAGAAGATGTCATCTTGATCTCTTAGTCCAGAACCGAGGAGAAGGCTGGATAAACAGAGCTGGTGATGCTCGATACGGATTGGAGGACAAGACGAGGGATCGGCAGACACTTTCCTGAGGGAAGTGGGCAGGACTTATATGCGAAACCGCGCCCTCGGTCCGCAGCGCACCGAAGATCGTTGATCTGTGTGGTTCCCCCAAGCATTCCCCCCAGATTCCAGATTCAAGCTGACGCCCGTTAGCCCCAGAAAGGCTTGACCTATTCTCCGCCGCATTTCAAGTACCCCACAGGGTCTAGCAGCGGACCCCCTGGGAAAGCCTGGGGGTGTGAAGGGTGATGGCTTGGCTGGGGTCGGGAAACTCTCCAGATGCGGAGGTGGAGTCGTGGTCGTTGGAGCAATGCAGGCAAATGGCCGGTTCAGAATCCTCAATGACCGGTAGCAGACCAATCGTCGGAAGCGTTCACCGCAATGCCAAGGCCGGGATCACGAGGCCTCGGCCCATCAACCGGGTTGCTCGAGGGCATGCCGCAGGACCTCGAAGGGGCGACAAGTATGTGAGCAACGGCAAGTAAGGGTTTTGGTCATGCACGAAGATTCACTGGGTGTTGTCCCATTGGCGTGCGAGCCCGTCTAGACCGCGAGATCACCGCTGCTTGCCCTTTAAAGTCGAGGAAGGGTTACCAAGTCGCTGCCGGCAGGGGTGCGGCCAGCGGTTGGCGTCAGGGCGGAAAAAAAGAGAAGAAAAAAAAAGCCTAACGCGCATGGCTTCCCCGTGCACCAGACCAGGCCCTGGCTGTCTCCCAAGAAGGACGCTGCCGGCAGACGCAGCCACTCAAGCCACTTCCGAGATTTCTTCCAGGATGACGATTAATATCCGACAGAAGACCTTTTGCCGCTTGGATTTTGGCCATGTTCGTTTGCTGGATGGTCAAAGTGGTGATGGGAAATGCCGAGGATCATGTAGTGGCCACCGGCCAGACTCATTCGCACCCATCATTTCCAGTCAAGTCCCGGTGCCTTTGCCCATTCGCGAATTAGCGGCAGTCCTCCCAACTGTCGGGAAACTGGACCACGAGCCAAAATAGCGCCCACGGGAGAGGCCTGTCAGTGTCATGGCACGATGCTGGTGCGATGGTTCCCTGAGTCGCTGCCCTCGCCTCGCCGCCCACGCTTGTGTTGCCCGAAGAGGGCACAGTTCCAGTGGACCAGTACCCGCCCTGCCCGCCAACGTCCCCAAGAAAACCTGCCCATCTCACGTGGCAGCCTCCCCAGTCTCAAGTCTTCCCCAGCGGGGGACACGGCCAGCCAATCACCTACGGTAACTCAGTTGGGGGGCATTCTTTCTCCGCCCTGTACTGTTTCTCCAATACGTTCCCCCGCACAAGGATCGCAACCTGGCCGACCTCCAACCTCTTGTCAAGTCCAGCCGTGCCCCAGGCCAGCTTGCCAGCCCGCCTTTGTCAAACCAATCCAAACAGATCTGGGCCACCGGATCTCACTCAGCCCAGCACTGATTGACATGCAGTTACGACTTACATGTCACCCCTGATGCAGCATCTGTCCTGGGCTCTCCGCGACCAGCCCGTATTGCTGCTGGCTTGACTTCGGACCTTGCCTCGCTTCGGGATAGGTACGCCGCATTCGACAATCACAGCTCGCCCGCTCCCATAGCACCGACCACGGCACGGATGCGCTCAACGCCAACGCCATCCATCTGTCCAGTCTGCTACAAGCTTTCTGGGGCGCCTTTTTAGCTGGAAGCTGGAAATTGCTTGCAATAATCTCACTCGCCCGTCCCTACAGTGGCTTGGGAATTTCCCGCCAGTTTTCCAGCACCACCGGCGCCGGGGCGACTCCACTCAGTCCTCATGGCTCCGAATAGTTCGCTGCCCCACACCTGCCCCGAGGGCGACCTCTCGGCCGAGCTGGTCATTCGTCCACACACTCGCCTCCGGGTTGACTTGAATGTCGCTCATTTGGAGCCTTCAACGTCTCAATCCAGAAGGGCCCGTCCGCGCCGCTCATCATCGAGGGACCCACCCTCCGCCGCGCAGACTACTGTTCAGCCCAACCAGATTCCAGACTGGAGTAACCTCAAAGTCATACACCGCAACACGCTACCGCCCAGAAGCCATTTCTTTTCATATAACTCGGACGCCGATGCGTTAGTGAACGACCCCGGCCGGGCGAGAAGTCTCTTGCTCTCCGGACTGTGGGGTTTCGACCTCGCCGAGAGCCCCTTTGGTGGGCCCAGGGACTTCTATAAGCCAGACTTTGATAATGCGGAATGGCCACTCATCAAAGTCCCGGGCATGTGGTTAGTATTCCGCAGACTATTCTCCCCGTGGCGTTATTCTCGACCGCCTCCTCCCCTATTCCGTAGTATTAGTGACGTGCCGCCAGGCAGAGACGTACCACGAGAGGTGGCTGATTTGAAGATCTTTCCAGGCAATGTCAAGGTTTCGGCAAAGGGCCTCAGTACACCAACGTGAACTATCCCTTCCCTGTGAACCCGCCCCATGTTCCTTTCGATGATAATGAATGCGGGCGATATATCACCAGGTTTGCTGTGCCGGACCAGCTGAAGGATGGCACCCAGTGGAGGCTGAGATTCGAGGGAGTGGATTCTTCCTTTACAGTCTGGCTGAACGGAAGAGAAGTTGGTTACTCTCAGGGTTCCAGAAATCCCAGTGAGTTCGATGTGACGAGCTATCTGGATGTCGACTCTGTGGAAAATTACCTCGCTGTTGAGGTCTACCAACGGTGTGACGGAAGCTACATCGAAGACCAAGTATGAGGTTCCCTTCCCTAGTAAACTTTTGCTGACAAGTACTGCAAGGACCAATGGTGGCTGAGTGGCATCTTCAGGGATGTCTGGCTACACTCCTTCCCATCAATACGTATTGAAGACTTCCACGTCCAGACAAAGATTGATGACGATTATATCGATGCCACATTGGATGTCACTGTACAGTTGAACGTACCACAAGCACGTGTGGCTTTGAAACTCCTGGATGATGATGGGAAGGCCATCATAGACGATGTTCACTCGTCTGATCAAACAATTGTCCCATGCCAGCACCGCCTCAAGTCACCTAAGAAATGGACCGCTGAGGAACCTAACCTCTACACTTTGATACTGTCTGTAGGGACTGTGTATGTTTCTCAGAAGATTGGTTTTCGCAGAACAGAACTCATCGGCGGTGTGTTCTGTGTCAATGGCTCGCCAGTCAAGATTCGTGGCGTGAATCGTCACGAACATCATCCGTAAGTCGTTCACACTGTGGTGCTCCATGCTGAACCTGTGGACGGAACAGTTCAGCTCAACTGCAATTGAGAAGTGCTAACGTTGAAGCAGTGAGTCGGGAAGAACTGTTCCTTACGACTTTCTTAAGGACGACCTCCTCCAGATGAAGTTCTACAACATCAACGCTCTACGCACCTCACACTACATTAACGACCCGAGGCTCTATGAAATAGCAAACGAGATTGGGCTCTGGGTTCTGGACGAGGCTGACCTCGAGTGTCATGGATTTGGGGAGGTAGGGGGCGACCCAGCCAGTTTCACTTCCGATAACCCAGATTGGAAAGAAGCATATGTCGATCGTGCGAAGCAGATGGTGACGAGGGACAAGAATCATCCTTGCATCATTATGTGGTCTCTAGGCAATGAGTCTTTCTATGGTCGTAACCATCAGGCCATGTACGACGAGATCAAGAGGGTTGACCCCAGCCGCCTGATCCACTATGAAGGCGATCAAGATGCTCAGACTGCCGACGTCTTCAGTCGTATGTATACGTCTGTTAGCGACATGATCAAGCACGCCGGAGAGAGAGAATGGAAAAAGCCATTTGTCATGTGCGAGTTCGCTCATGCAATGGGCAACGGACCCGGTGCCATCAAGGAATACATTGAGGCTTTCTATAAGTATCCGCGTTTGATGGGTGGATTTGTTTGGGAATGGGCCAACCACGTAAGTTTTCAAGACTTTTCGCTTTTGTCAGATGTGTGAGGTAGCGATTTCTTCTGACATTCTTATTGCAGGGGTTGAAAGCAAAGAACGCTGATGGCGAGGATTACATGGCCTACGGCGGTGACTTTGGTGATGATCCGAACGACTACAACTTCGTAATGGACGGCCTATGTTTTGCGAATCATGGACCTGGTCCTGGCCTGTGGGAATATGCGAAAGCCATCGAGCCAGTTCAAGTTACAGGCGTCAACGGCCTGGAAGTGGAAATCGTCAATCGTTATGATTTCCTGACCCTGGACCATCTCGAGTGCTACTGGGGGTTTATTACCGACAGAGAACAGGTCATCGGACGCCACGTCCAGATCCCTAAAGGCATCAAGCCCCACGCAAAAGCAAAGCTGGTTGTCGGTGGTATGCCCCGAGCATTTGCATCAGAAGCCTGGCTCCGCTTGGAATTCGTGCTCGGTAAACGGACCCCATGGGCGTACCCAGGCCACGTGGTTGCGGTCAGCCAAGTTCCATTGAGCCGGCCAAGGTCCTTAACCATGCTCAAGACTCTTTCGAGCCCAGCTGTGCCAGGCATCAAACGCACCGAAGGGGCCATCAAAGTTGTCCTAACAAATGGCACCATCTTCGGTTTCAGTCAAGTTACTGGTGCATTCAACTTCCTATCCAACCAGAACCAACCGGAGCACAACCTCATTACGGAAGCTCCGGCGTTGGACTTTTACCGCGCCTTGACAGATAATGATAGAGGCGGCCACGGCAAAGAATGGATAGACTGCCGTCTCCATCAGACCCGTAACCACTATACTAAAGTAACCACTAGAGAGGGCAATGGTGTCCTAGAGATCATCGTTGAAGGCAGGGTTGCCCCCCCAGTACTGGCTTGGAGTGTAGACACGGTGACAACATACACAATCACGGCCGATTTTTGCAGTGTACGCATCAAAGCCAAACCCCGAGGCCAACTGTTGCCAACAACCTTTGCCCGTTTCGGGTTGACCTTCGGGCTGAAGGATGTCAGGATTGTGGAATGGTTTGGCCGTGGCTACGGCGAGTCATATTGTGACAAGAAGGAGTCACAGCACATGAACACGTATGGCACAACCGTGGACGGATTGTTTACAAATTACGATTTCCCTCAAGACTGTGGCAACCGAACGGACGTTCGGTGGGTTGAGTTGCGCGAGGACTGGGGAGCCGAGTTGGAAGGGAGGTTGCTGCGGGCGCGGTTTGGGGATCACGACGGCGCAAGCTTCAGTGCCATGCACTACACCACGAAAGACCTGGACGAATGTACCCATCCGTATGAGCTCCGCAAGCGCAAGAGGGAGGACACTGTTGTTCGGTTGGACTGGTATCATCACGGACTGGGAACAGCGAGCTGCGGACCAGCCACATTACCGCAGTATCAGCTGCGGACAGACCAGGAGTTTGAAGTCGAACTCCTCTTAGATTAGATGTTCGGGAGGGCTGACTTACCCTGGGCATGAGTGCGATCTTTCGCATAGCATCAAAATCAAGGTATTTGTCGAATTTTGAGTTATGTTCTTCTTGATCACATGTGTTATGAAAGGCCAATATAGACAAGGTCCGTTGTGCTCGGCTGGAAAAGAGTTAATACAGTGCTAGCTTGCAACATGATGCAGTCATTCTAAATTTGACTTTTTTTTCAAAACTAGAGTAAAAACCAAAAAGTGCACCCGGTCTTGGGTGATATGCCAAGAAATTTCTTTAGGGATAGGAGGATGATATGCGCTCAAAGCCCTGCTCCCCATTGGTGAGTACTCCGGAACTCATGAAAGACAATCCCCTCCTGGTGAGACTCTTTGCAGCATCAGTACCACAGCCCGTCACCCATATCCGGAGTTTGACTACAGTCTGGCATTGCGTATCATGTCGGGTCATCGTCGTCCAAGAGGGTGGAGGGAATATCGTAGAGCTCCGCTCACACGCCCACTACTTCGGGCCGCAGGATGGGATTTTCCATCGCGCGGACTGACACCGGGAGAATTCTCCAGCCGCCGATGTCACCCTTAACCGGGATTCGCGCCCACTGGAAGCAAGGGCGTGCGGGCGGGCAGCAGGCGGGCATAAGCAGGAGCGGCACAGTCCCCTGGCTCCCCCTCTACGGGATGACGATGCGGTGGTGAAAGCTGGGGGGGACAGGGCCCTGGTGCGCACCTCGGTATCAGGAGGAGGGGTAAAAGCTGAATGTTGGGCACTCCGTCACCAAACAGTCGTGCAGCTCCGTGCGTAGCAGTAGGGAAGTTTGTGCCTCGTTGGAATTTGGGCAACTCGCTTGAGATCGTGATGGCCAAGAACGGTGCGGTGCACAAGCCCATCGTCCGTGTGTAGGCGTCCGGGCTGACCCAGACGCAATGACATGACTATAACATCTGGCTTGCCGGGGAGGTAGCTACCTGCACGGCCATGCGGGTGGTCAAGCTCCCGGGCGATGGAAAGTCGTTTGTTTCTACGGGTCACGTTCTACGAGCGAGTCATGTTCAATATGAGTGGCTGTAGGATATATGGCGCGGGCTCGATGCAGCCAACACGGCACGCAGGACCAGACTGTTGCGTTTCCTGGTTCCCTCGATCTGGACGGATCTCTATGCGGTTGGCAATGATGCCAGTGGAGCATGCCGGGGTCGTGCGTTTCACGAGGCCCTGCCGGCTCCTACTTCACCCCTCATGATCCCGATTGTCGCGCATATCAGAAGAATGCGTGGGAAGACACGACGGGAGTGACTTGTCGTCTCTTGGCGCCTAAATCAGATGGCCGGATAAGGACCATGTTTGCGAGTTGGGTTTGGCTGGAAGAACACTGGCATGAAGTTCAGACGGAAATGGAAGTTTGCAAGGTGTTGATAGGTTGCTGGAAGGTCTCTCAGGTTAGTCATGGAGAACACGGTGGTGGCTGGCATAGGTCTTTCGGGAATGACAAATCAGACCATCTCAGCTATCAGCAAGTTTCCTGCAAAAGTACCGGCAACTAACCACATAAGCGGCGGCCAGTGCGCTGAAGACCGGGATCACTGTCATATTTGCTCGATATATGCAACCTGGCTACGGGATCTGTGCTCGGTCTGGGTGCGACTAAACAGCTGAAAAATTCATTCCATGGGAGTTTGACAACTTTTCAAGATCCGGGATCGACGTTATCTTGCGTCCTAGCACCCACTCATCTGGACTCTTGGATGTGTCTGCCGAAAGAAACTTTCCCAGGTGAGATGACGCACCACCTGCATCGTGGGCCGTCTGTGCACTGGCACTTTAGACGTTGAGATTCTCGATCCCGTCCCGCAGGTGCTATGGGGTGCGTGGTGGGCAGGTGGGCAGGTGGGCTTTCGGCTTGAGACTTGTGCTCGGATCCGAATTCTCTGTGCTGCAAGGTGAGAGCATCCTTGCTCTTCGTGAAGAGGCCGAACGCTCTGGCAGAGACTGCCAGGGCTTCGTGAGGTCGTGAGGAGGTCCTGAGACCAACCGAACTCGCTTACCTCGCTCGCATTGGGGGCCAAAATGCTGCGGCTCTCGCAACGCTGTACGGTCTCGGTCGCTATAATCGGCCTTCTATTGTCGTTCCGAGCATCCAGACATCTTGGCTCTTCGAGCCCTGTTTCGACTGATACGTAGTCAAACCCCGTAAGAATGGGGTGGTGTGGATCTCTTAAAAGTTGAAAAGTACGGAAGGCAGTTGACGGCTAGATCAGATCCCGGGGTCGGTAAGTTGCGATCTACCCAATAGATAGGATGATCTACGAATAGACGCCTTATAGCTCAACTACATCTTCGTGAAAACATGGGTTATTAAGAAACTTAGTGGGGATAAAACTCCAGACAGATTACTGATATTATTGTTTACATGTCACATCATACGGGGTAACAAGCTTTGCACCATGCGCAGTATGGAGGTATCTAAGATGAGAGCGCCGGGAGGTGTTGTCCTGGACTGGGTGACACTGCAGATCTGTCTCCAACCAGTCCCTCTGCAGCGGAGACTGGCTAGGATTTGCTCCACAGTCGTGACTTGCGCGAATAGCAGAGACTATAAATCTATATAGTAAATGACATGCAGAAACCAGATCGCTAGGCAATGGGCAGAAAGCGAATTGGGAAACTTGTCATTTGAGATTTCTCCATCAGCAAATCGTGGAGAAGCTGGATGCGCATCTGTGGTTCCCCCCATGATTTGCGTTAAATTACCAGGACCCTCGAACGCAGCGAACCCCCGAGGAGCGCGGGTTCCGTGGTAGCGAACATACCCATGTAACGCCAGCCACTGTGAGACATCATTGACGTCCCGTCTTTTAGTCTTAGCCGATTGAGCATAAGTTACCATACTCGATTACTGCACCGTCCGATCCATCAGCTGTTGTGTATCTGCGCCTTTGTCCGTAGCGCCTTTGACCAATTTCGGATATCGAAAGCCCTTAGATAACTGATATCGGTACCCGGCATTTTGGCGTCAGCGGCCAAAGGCAGGAGACCGCCCAGCAGCCTATGGGGCGTGATGCCATATAGGCCTTCATATTGGCTGTAGCACGTGTTAGTTCAGAACCTTGTGCTGAGGTATGAGCGTGCGATGTATCGGCAGATCCATCGTGAACTCGGATGCCCATTGAATCTTATCTTCGCTACGGCGGCTTCAAATTTCGGGTTTCGCTGGCGCTCGTTGCCGAGGCCAATCGTCGGCCCTACGAGTCATGGCCACGTGGTGTGCCGGAGAGTCTGGACAGGAACTCATCAAACTCGGAATTCTCTGCAGATATCGATGGGCTGTTCGCCAGAGTAGCGGGCGTACTATTGCGATAGTCTGGACAAGTGCGTGCAGCTCAGGTACGAGGCTCTCATGCTAGGCGACAACTACCATTGATCGGAGATTTCTTGGAACCCTCAGCTAGCGTAGCTAGCTTGCTTCAGCTCGCAGCGCCGGACTCCCAACCAGCCAAGATACGTAAGCACTGGGAGCCGCAAGTGTCTATGGGCCTATGAGGTCCTGTTGTCCTGATGGATCTCAACGCCGGATATGTCCTGAATTGCCCTCAGTTGCACTGTGGTAATCACCCCCTGACGATGCGCAGCCGGGTTCGTGACGCCGTGCGGATCTCCCGTCAGCATACCCCATAGGCAGTACAACCAAGTCCAGCGTTTCATAGAAACAGCCCCCGTTTGCTCCCCCAGACCTGAGACGTCCCACCCGAAGCTGCCCGTAATACTTTATGTCGCTGCCGATGTGCCATTTCGGTGAGCTTCTGACAAGAGCTTCTGACAAGAGCTTCTGACAAGTCATCAGTTCGTCATGCAAGAGTGCGGCCTGCTTGTCTCATGAATACCTAGGTATGGGGTACCTGGCTCAGGAAACCTACCGTCCTAGCGGAAACTTTGACTGTGGGGCTGTAGGCTGGATGAACAAGACCTGCATCAACTTTGGACCTGGGAGACTGGATCAGTTCATTGGAAACCTTCACCGCCACAGCCTCAGCAGTATCTATGTAGGTACGAAGTCGTAGCCTAGTACTGTGCAACGCACGCAATTCTAGCACCCAGCACCAAAACCCAGGGTGCCAGAGGCTTGGGTTTACGCAGCCGCGTTCTTCCTGTAGTGGGAAGCTAGAATGCCGCTAGCATCTTCCCCTTGGGCCATTGCATCACGAGCTCATCTTGGATAAGCCATTTTCGGATGGACAATAGATTTATGCTCCTCCACTTAGTATGCTCCTCAGCACACTACTATGTACACGAGAGGAGGTCAGCTCCTTTCGGGTTGGGCAGGGGCTACATCCATTGCTTGCATCGTACCGAAAAGCAACTTCACCTGACGGTCTTGATGATCTGGGGATCCTTGTCCTAGGGGTGCCGGCGTCCCTCGGGCAGGGTCCTACCTTGACAAATCGCTAGTGACGATTACTCCTTTTGAGATCTCGGCGAGTCCAGCTACCTTCCCAAGCCGGCCGGCCCTGCCAGCTCTGCTCGCCAGTGCTGTGCTAAAAGCAAGCCCAGACGCGACCGGCGAGGTAAACGTATCGTATCTACGATGTGTGACTATGCACTCGCTGTTTGCCTCGGCGTTTCGCGACGGCCCCGAGTAGTCGTCGCAGCTCAGGACCTGACGGCTTCAAAGCTCTCTTGGCAGAAGCGCGGCACATGCACTCCCAGACTGCCCTCAAGTTTCTTAGTGAGATCGACCGTCACTGCGGCTTGCTCCATACAGGGGAGCGTCAGGCCAGGGGTCTCTCGATCCTTGTCGATACCATCTGCAGTGGACCGTGGGTCATGGCTGTCCACCCATCTGCAGGTCAATTTGTGCAAGAATTTAGGTCGCGCTGGTGTGGGTGCCATCGCTCCCAGATAGGCTTGGTGTAATTAATGGCCCGGGAGGCGGCTGTTCGTCGACGAAATGCGGGCGCCGTCGTCTCTGGAACTCGCCCGAGTTTAATACCAGAAAGCCGCCGGCTCTGGCCCTGTCACACGTGGTAAGGCAATTACTGACTCTCGTCCCTTTTTCTTTTTTTCCCGCTCGTCGACGCTGTCTGCCCTGGCCAATCGACGCCTTCGACACCGAGTTAGTATCTCGTCCCGAGATCACCAGCAGCAGAAGAAACGTCTGTGGCTGGCCGTGCCGTCTGCATTGCATTCTTCTGCGACTCAGCCCCAGCCAATTCACTGGAATCAAGACGACAACCAGACCGGGACATATGCGGACAATGATCTGCCAATTTCGACGACGCTTCAACTCTGCTTGCTTTTGAGGATGGTAGTGGAGCAAAGAGCAAAGTTCTGAAAGACCCCCGCCACGAAACGACTGCATGAGGAAGTGCTCCGGATCGCCCGCCTCGAATTCACGGTTTAGAGATAGGGAGACGGTGCCACCACTTACAAACGCGGCAACATTCTCACTATTCCGTCTGCCAATGCACATCCAGAAGCGAGACTATTCAATCGTATCGTCAAGATCTACGAAACACACTTACTTCCTACATCGGGACTCCATATTGGATTGCTGTAAGGAAATTGGCATGTCTACACGGCTCGGAAGATTCACACAATGGGCCACAAGTCAAAGTTCACCTTCCCGGTGCCAGGGTGGAGGAGCAAGCAGCCAACAACGGCAGCACCACCACCCCCAACAGCCTCAGCGCCAATGACAAAGGCGCAGAAGATCCTGGGGACTGGTGGGATTAACATCGACTCTCCAGCAACATCCAAGGGCGACGGTCTGAAGCTGCCATGGGATTCAAGATCTGGCATCAGTATCTCGATATCGGAGAGCAGCGCCAGCTACACAACACGCGATACGGGCCTGGGCATACTCGACGAGGAGGACGATGGGACACAAGGCACAAGTTACGGACGGGGCGGCTGGGATGCTGAATCTGAAATTATACCTCGACACCATTTGGGCGTCGGCAAGGGTCTGAGAGCGCAACGGTCTGCCGCCACTATCGGGAATGACTACAGGACAGATGCATCTAGTGTCCAACGACGCCAATCGAATGCCTCGTCCTTTGCGGGTCACTATGACCGAAGCAAGGTCCCTCTGTCTGTTTCCCAGCAGACGTCGGCTTCGGCAATGGCGAAAGGATACACAAGCAAGGCCCACTCGTTACTCGACATGGACGGATCTATTGCAGGGCCCATGGGCAAGAAGAAGAAGCCTGCGAGGCTAGACCTCTCTTTGCTCAAGCCGCGAAGCCGCAAAGAGCAACATTCGCAACCTGCCCCAGTGTTGGGCAACAACTACGTCATGCGGTCGCCCTCCTTTGTGTCACAAATGTCACCAGCATTACCAAGTGCTGATTCCGATACTCCCAGAAAGCTGACCAAGGTGCAATCGGCAGGGACTACTCACAGTAGCCCTCGTGGACCCAAGGATATGACAACCCTGAGTCAACTGTATGAACATTACGAGCAGATGTCCTTCCGAGGGGAGCACTCGCCAGACCAGGAATATTCTTCCCATTTCGACACTGTCGTGGAGGAGCCTGAACCTACGCCTCCTTTAACGACCGCGTCGACACTGACGCCTGTTGTGACCCCCTTGTCCAACCCTGTGATACGTGAACCGAACAGACACCGGGCTCACTTTAGGAAGGATTCATCGGGCAGCCGAAACACTGTGGTTTCTGGCAGGAGCTCAAACTCACTTGCTTACCACGTTTCGCCGAGGCAGGATTGTGCATCCAGCATATCCAGCCGCAACACCCGCACGTCCAAGACGTCGCGTACGATGGACTCAGACTTGCAGCAGAACAGCGTACTATCTTTATCTGACTCGGACTCTGACGATGCAACATTCAGTGATTCAGCACCAAAGTCTTCCGTGTCGTCTCACACAAACATGTCGTACGAGGATATCAGCAGCACAAAGGATACAAGGAAAGGAGCCCTGGGTAAACCCCCTGTAATCCAGGAGAGGGGATCCAGTAAGTCGAGACAGGCGGCCTTTACGCCGCTCAACGACTATCTTGCCATTCCGACTCCCGGCAGTAGAACCCACAATGCTCGTGTTCCTTCGAGTAGCACTTCCAGATCCCAGTCGTCCTCAACAAGCACGGCCACTGCTACGGGGAACTCATTGTCCGGATCAACTCGTGGATCTAGACTTTCCGTATCAACGACTGGTACATCTGAATCCACACACAGCAGCCGTTCAGGCTCCAAAAAGCACCACAAGCAGGACAACGGGCTACAGGAAGCAAAGGCCGTTACCTTTGCACCAATGGCGTCTACTGCTGAGGCCCTCCACTCGCTATCTGAAATGGTCGCACAGGAGACGGAACGTCATCGGCTTACTCAAGGATCGGATCAACTTACTCCTCCACTTTCACCATCCAGCGTAGATTTCTACATGGGTTCACCAGAGCGCAAGAACAACGTATCAGATGCCGAGCGCGATGCACACAATGCGAGGCTCATGGCAGTCACCAAGCAGGAGGAGATGCTTCTTGCGGCACTCCGTCAGAAGCGCGCAAGAATGCGGGAAAATATCCTCGCGGAGATCGAAAGTGAGAAGAGCACAACAATGAGCGGTAGCCGCAAGAACAGTGCAAGCAGTAGCACCCGCGGAAGCCAGAAGTCGGCCAGAAAGACCAGTGTTTCTTCTAGCGCACCGCAGCTCCCACCTTATCAGCCACGAACATCGTCACTCGTTACAAGTTTCCGTAATCTGACAGAAGGGAGCGAGGCCATATCTGGCCGAAAGAACGAGAACAACGTTCGTTTTGCCGATGAGCCAGCGACCAGCGGCCGCAGCGATCCTGTCGAAAAGCGGTCCAGTTCCGCACTCAGCAATGCCACAATTAAGGCAACTCCAGCTTCCGGCCGCCACGAGCGCGTGTTGATGTTCCTCGACCGACCCTTGAACGACATAGACTTCATCGATGCCGCAGAGCCCAGCCCTGACTTGAGTGAGTTCATGGACTTTGACCAGGATAGCGATGGGGAGATTGTGCCTGAGAGGCGCCGCAGCAGAAGGCGGTCGAAGTACATGAGCATCTACGGCAGCTCACAACCTGCCGTCGGCAAGCGGGGCAGTGACCGTCCTCGGGTAGATTCGAACTTGTTCGGACCCCGTGGCACGCCCTTGCGCTCCCAGCTTGAGAACCTTCCAGAAACGAACATGGAAGAGGACATCGAGATCGACTTTGATGGATTCTCAGACGTCATGAGCGTCGCGAGGACCGAAAAGTCCGCCGGTGAGCGCACCAGAGAGCAAGGTGTCGCTCGCCCGGACAGTCCAGTATCTGGCGGGCTCCTGAAGGGCCACATTAGAGGCAAGAGCAGCGCCGTTCGTTTAAGTGCCGTTGGCCACGCTGGCCTGGTTCTGCCACCTGAGGCTGGCGTCTGGGGCGATGATGGCTGATCCCGCTGCTTGATGGCCTACTGGGGCGTCCTCTGGATATGGTATGGCTTTGACACCTCGTAATGACCAAGGGGTTATCCAACGTCGAACCACGAATGAATGATGAACACACTCATCGACTACATTTTTCCTATGTACAAACGAATACTTATTGCATTTGGGCCATAGCGAGGCGAAGCGAACTGGAAATCACAACTCGGCCTGCGCTGCTTCTTCTTTTTCTTCAGCAAACTCAAGTCAGGTTAATGTTGGCGGGAGCGCCTGCTTTTCTTGGTACATTACACTAATATCAAGGCGGATGGGAAAGGGAGGGGTAATGTAAGGGGCAAACGGAATGAACGATCTGACCTATTGATGGGGTATACTCCAGCAAACGACACCAGGAGACTCCTGGACGTATGAGGGGGCGCAAGCGCTGGGCATTGTGACTTGTAAACTATTTAGAGAGGAACGGAAAGCGTCATTTACTTGGCCACTCTTCCAGGCTTAGAAACGGCCCATGCAGCAGACTCAGATGAGTTGTCGACGCAGAGCTAAGTAAAAAAAAAGTCTCAAACATTGCAACGAAAATACTGCCACCGTTTGAGATCCCATATTCCAATTATGTTCTAACGCTAGCCTCTACGAGCATATGAGATAACTGATGAAAAAAGTCATTTGCAGAAGTCTCTTACGAGTGAACTGCAGAATCTTACACTTGCTAACAATGTAATGATCCACCACTTGAGTGCTCACGAGGAAAGATAAACGCGACTGTGGACAACTTATGACCTCAGAAGATACCATCAAATCACTTTCTTAAACAATATCCAGGCTTGAACCGGGAAATCTGAGAGAACTGCTTGTGTTGCTCATAAAACCCCACTACAGTCATTTGTATAAAAACAAATCCAATTTGCTCGTCTCTTGAGTTGCCTTCACAATCCAATTGTCTTTTGCTATCTTTTCGGCCGTGGATATCCACGCCGCCGCCAACAACGCCGCTCAAACACTATAACTTCCCCGTCAAAGGATTGCCTCTAGTCATAGGTGACTAGCACCGAGTTCATACTTGCACATATATTTGATGCAGAATCAGCCGAAGAATGGCGTGTCTCGAATATACGGAGGCACTTGGATGACTTGATCAAGTACTTTTACACTAGGTCGAGGGAAAGGATCCTCTGCGTGGGCTTCACGATTGGGCTTGGTCTCCGGCCATCAAACGACAGAGGGTATCCAGCCAAGCCAGTAGAAGCTTTCGCTTCAGGATCATATTGTCCGCCTACGAGCACGGGGTTGACAGCTGTCCCTTCGAGCACTTTACGATGGACTTCTACTAGGTACAAATGCTCCGGGTCGACCACGTTGAGACTGCCCATTGGCAAAGGTCGAACAGGCTTAAGCAGTAAATCGGGACTAAAATGTCGTGGAGCTTGCCCCGCCATGGAATTTCGAAACTGGTAGGTCTGGGAGGCTGGAAAAGACCTGTGGCGGTGAAGGAGACAAGTCGCTTGCAGCCCCCCAAGTATTCATTGATCCATGACTCGCATCTAAATCGCTACACAACACAAACCGAACATAGCCATGGCGTGACTTGGAGGCAGGACATTAGGGCTGGTGTTCTCCGTCGCGTGACTGGTATAGTTAGTTGGTCGTCGAAATGCTCCTAGACAGAGCTTCCACCCTGGCGTGGTGTCACCCCGCATCCGCCAACCACCAACCATCCAACCCCTCCATCGCGTAAGTTGACCAGCTGCCAGTGGGATGCTAAAGATACATCCGAAGCGGCGACAGAGCGCCTAGGTCATGCGGGGCTGTTGAGGCGACCAGTCGTTTGTCGCAGATTCGCGATGGCGCGCTGTGTGGTTGAGACCATGTGGTGGGTGATAACCTTGCAATCCCTGGAGGTAGGGCGGGAGCTACTGCGGGCTTCCAAGTGATTGACGTCCAAGATCGTGGGTGCTCCCGATGAGGTGGTAGGGACACGTCAGGTGCACGCATCGGCCATTGCTGTCGTTAGCCTAGACTGGGCATAGGGCAGGCATACATATAGGCGGCAGAGGCAATCATCTGGTGAACAGGGACTGCAATTCAAATGAATCCCCCGTAGCTGCCCACCAGGACGCACCCCAAAGGGTCCCTCGACAAGGGCTGAGCATGAAATCTGCACACGGCTGCATATATAGAGAGATTGCTAAAGGGGCCTGGTGCCAAACCATCTGCCCAGGAGAAACGATCCGAAACAACTCTCGTTCGAGAACGCACGGGCAGAGTTGGGAAAGGCACCATTGGCCGTGAAGCATGCTTGGCATGACCAGTCGACATTCGGCTGTCCGTCATCTTGTATCGCCTGCTGAAGATCTGGAGATCTGATCCCGCGGAGACCCCTAACGTTGAATCTCTGTCGCAGGAGGCAAGAGGCACAACAGTCTCGGGCAGCTTGGGCAGAGACTCAAACCCAAAAAGAGCCCCGACTCTGCACTTGCAGAAGTGCCCGCACCAGCAACAGAGTCAACTTGGGCGTGGGGTCGACTGCATAAGACCTAAGACCCCTGCACGCACCGACACCAAGCGCAGCATCACCGTTGATCGGCGCCAAACGATCGCCTCTAGAGCAGTGCTCCCGAAGCTCAGGCCACGGCCACAGTCGCACAAAGAAAACCCAGAGAGAGTCTCAGCCAGGCAGCTGGAAGCATTGAGAACTTCAACCAACCGAGGATTATTGCTGGGGGCTGGCTCCTGTAAGCCTCAGCATTGAGTTGGGCTTCGACACCTTGTCGTCTGCGCTGTCAAATCGGACTCCTGCGGCCTGGGATTGTGCCTTGGAAAAAATCTGGGGAACAGCTCAGCCATTGATATCATCAGTCGGGACGGCATTGCACGCAAACTTCGAGACCGCTCATTGCTCTCGACCCGATTTCGAACTTTCCATTTATTCTTTTCTTTGCATTCGGACCATATCTGCGGAAGGTCGATTGGGACTGTCAGCTTTCCAACCCATCCATTACCCACCAGTGGACGTGAAGAGCGCACCCCGAGCTGCAGATTTCTGCGGCAGCCAGGGCAAGGGACCATTCGCGGGAATCCAGGGGTAAAAACGTCACGACCCCAAACTCGCCGATTGAACGACGTGCGCAGGGCTGCGACGGCAGATTTTCTGGCCTTTCTGCTTTGGGACGCGACACATTCTTGATTCCTTGACGGAACATTGCGCCCAATATACTTTCATAGCGATCGCAGCACGACCAACACGGCGGGCCCAACACAATCGAGTGACGTACGGGCCGGGCACGGAGCTCCGTCTCGATACTTCCAACAGCGCAGCGGATTTTTGGGCGCAGGATTTGGGAGCTCGCCCCTCTGTACCACACCTCAGTCACCAGAACACCAAGCCGGCACGCCTCGTCGTTGAACCACTCCCTCAGGATGGCGCTTCTGGACCTCCCGCCGGGCAAGGCGACCTCGCCGACGCTGCTCGGCATGCCCATGAAGCAAGTTTCGCTCATCACGGTAAGCGGCCTCATGCGCGCGCATATCTCTTGGCATGATAGCAATCGCTGACGGGGACCTGTCTCCCTACTAGTTAACCTTCCAGAACTCCGCGCTCATACTACTGATGCACTACTCGCGAATGATGCCACCGAGTGGCGACCACCGATACTTTACGTCGACGGCCGTGTTCTTGACCGAGGTCATCAAGCTGGCGATATCTCTCACTTTTGCCATCTACGAGGTTTCGAGGAGCCTGGCACCGTCCACGCCCGCGACAGTCTTGTTCGGGCAGATTTACAATGCAGTATTCTCTGGGGATGGCTGGAAGCTGGCCATACCAGCAGCATTATACACACTGCAAAACACGCTGCAGTATGTAGGAATCTCAAACTTGGACCCGATACATTTCCAGATCCTGTATCAGCTCAAGGTAGGTAGCGGTACCCAGATTCTCTTCTGCCTAGCTAGTAGTCACTCTGGTACAAGGCTGACAAGTACCAGATTCTCACTACTGCACTGTTTACTGTCACAATGTTGGGCCGATCGCTCTCGCCGAAACGCTGGATCTCGCTCCTGATCCTCACCCTAGGCGTGTCGATTGTTTCCATTCCGTCCTCGAACGCCAAAGACGGCTCATTTCTAATTCATGACATGACCGACCATTTCTTCCCCCGATCGGTCCATGAGTTGGGACAGATGGCCAACGGGATGGGCGATGTGGCCAGGGAGCTCACCAAGCGCACCATGGATGGTCTGTCTGACGTAGGCGAGGCGCTGACAAAGCGCTCTGCGACCTACGAAGGAATTGAAGAGGATCAGAACCTTGCGCCCATCATGAACTATTCCATTGGTCTCACAGCCGTTCTGGTCGCAGCTGCAGTCTCCGGCCTCACGGGTGTGTATTTCGAGAAGGTCTTGAAGGACCCTGCATCAGCTGCTTCAGTATGGATTCGCAACATCCAGCTGTCGTTCTATTCTCTCTTTCCCGCCCTTTTCATCGGCATTTTCTTCAAGGACGGCCAGGAGATTGCCAAGCATGGCTTCTTCGATGGCTATAACTGGGTTGTCTGGACTTTGATTTTGCTGCAGGCCTTTGGCGGCGTCCTGGCTTCGCTATGCATCAACTACGCCGACAACATTGCCAAGAACTTTGCAACAAGCATCAGCATTATCATCAGTTTCCTGTTCAGCGTTTACTTCTTCAATGTTCAGGTCTCAATTCTCGTAAGTTATTCAGTCATGACAATTGCCTGGATGCATCATCTCTAATACTATCACAGTTCCTGATCGGCACCACGCTCGTCATGGTCTCGACCTATCTGTATACTGGCCCAGATAGGAAGCGCGGTCGCCCCCCTCCGATCAACATTGTCAGCTACGAGAAGACTACGATTGACCCCATGCACACGCCTAGAGGATCGACCGACAGGCTCGCGGTGCCGAACCCGCTGGACTCGGCGCAGGGCTTGGGCTTGTCGACTTCGCGACCGGCATCGCCGTTGCGACATCATATTCGGCAACCATCTACCCGAGACAAGAACCGGGATGAGTGAGTCTCGGAGACGGAGAGACTTGTTGGGTGGGACACCATCACCAAGACTACACGCAGAGAGGCGTAAGCTACTCTGATGACAGGCTCTTGCCTGCAAATAGTATATACATATGGCATACCATGTATAACCATGAGCAACGTACAGGATATCGAGCGATCAGCGGCAGAGTTTAAAATTTGAGAGATTTCGTGTTTACTGTTCTGCATCTTCTGGGCAGGGACCTTTAGGGATACTGATTCTCGAATCAAGTGGACGTGGCGTCAACACCAGACCGCCAATGGGAAGCCAGGGTATTAAAAGCGTGGGGTATACGCTGTGGAAAATAGACCGGATCAAGGTGTCCTATCTAGATACGTACTGCTTGTCGTGTTGAGTGAGTCCTCATGTGCTGAGCACAGAATTGACCAAGCACCAAAAAAAAAAGAAAGGAAAAAGAAAAAAAAAAAGGTTTGCTCCAAGTCCTTGAGTTCAGTCTTCGACAGTTGCTCTCCATATGCCATCAACACTTCGCATCAGGTCGTAATAACATAATTCTTCGACGTGTCAACGTGTGAGCTACGTCACTGCAGCCTATGCCGCTGTCACCCCAAAGGTACATCGATGTCACAAGGAAGGAGTTAACCCGTTATGCATCACAACACGAGGCAAGAGCACCATTCCCACTTGTTGTGGCCCGGAGGAAGGATCCCGTCTCAAGATCCAGGCAGCAGGCCGCCGCAAATCTTCTCCGGGCAGGTTATGAGATGGGTTATCACATAATTTTCATCGTCGACGCCAGTCTGTTGGTGGCATTGACAACCCATGACAACTCCCTCCGACATATCCCTACTGTGTGTCACATTCTTCATTCTTCCGTGTCGCGCTCTCCCCATCTGTCCGATTTCTGGTTTTGTTGCAAATTCCGTTTCCCAGTTCGCCATTCGACATGCCTGCAGAATCGAACCACGGCGATGGCAGTCACATCTATGGCTTTCCAAACACATCTGGTCAGGATAGACATATCCAGAACATAATAAGTCACACCGACGCTCTGTTCCCTGACCGCACCTTGGACTTGCCTTTCTCGCTGAGAGGTGTCGGGCGGGAGGCTCAGTTTCCAAACCCGATCGGGCAGGAATCGGCCCAAGAAGGAGAGGCAGATGCTGGTTATCTAGATGACTTTGGTAAGCAGACCAAGCCATGGTTCACTCATCTCATGGCACAACTCACGAACAGTCCTAGATCTCCAACTGCTAGGCCGCCATTCTACGTCCTCTTACTCGTGTAATACCAACACTCCAACATCGCGGGTATCTCTGCCCAGGAACCACGTGGCATCCACTCATCATCAGCCTCGTGTTATTGGAGATGCGAGTCACCACTTCCGGCCCTTTGTTCCTCGTAGTGAGGTTTATCAGACTCCTCAATTCATCAGCAATCCTATCAATATTAACCAGCTCAACCCGAGTCCAGCGTCACGTCACATATTTGATCAAGACAGATCTCATCGGGTGTCAGAGCTTCAGACTGGCTCTCAACTGGTCACGCCTCCATTTTACGCAGGTCAGTGGGAAACAGTCCGCCCACTTTTGATCCTGATATTAACAAGCACAGTGAAACAAGACCGAGTGACGCCTCAACCACACAGCTCGTCCCCGTTATTGGGTACATCTAGTCCATCTGCTCGACTTGCTCTCAGGAAAAGAGAACACAGAAGTGTCGTTGAACCTCATGGGTCACAATCATGTTCCTCCAGCAACATCAAGCTGAGCCTAGATCATGCACCCACGGAGTTAACCCCGAAGGTTGCTGGCGCCCGTCTTGTCAACCCCCGCCAAGCCCTTCCAGACAAATGCGCGGCCGTCTTCCCATATGAACTTTTCAATGCTGTTCAGTCCAAGAGTTTTCCCTTGGTCTATGGGTCAAACGACAATGTCGTCATATCCGCCCCGACTGGCAGTGGCAAGACAGTCGTTCTAGAGTTGGCTATCTGCAAACTGGTTACGTCAACTGACGGCGAAAACTTCAAAATTGTCTACCAAGCACCGACCAAGTCACTTTGTTCGGAACGCGCAAGGGACTGGGATAGAAAGTTCAGTCATCTCAATCTTCGGTGCATCGAGCTAACGGGGGATACCTCACAAGCTGAGGCAAAACGCGTGGGGAGTGCCTCCATCATCATCACCACACCGGAGAAGTGGGATTCAATCACCAGAAAGTGGTCCGACCATCGGAAGCTTTTGGGAATGATCCGGCTAGTTCTCATTGATGAGGTTCATATACTCAAGGATGTGAGAGGTGCCACGCTCGAGGCTGTTGTTTCCCGAATGAAGACAAGCGGCGCAAACGTTCGCTTCGTTGCCTTGAGTGCGACAGTCCCAAACATCACCGACATTGCAACCTGGCTTGGGAGAGATCACGCACATCAACACGAACCAGCCAAGTGGATCAGTTTTGGAGAGGAGATGCGCCCAGTGAAACTGAAGAAACATGTCTACGGTTATGACAATGCAGGGAACGATTTCATATTTGACAAGACTTTGGACGGCAAACTGAACCTCCTGGTGGCGAAATACTCCGAGAGGAAACCCATAATTGTGTTCTGCTTTACCCGGAAATCTTGTGAGCACACTGCACAGAAGATGGCTGAGTGGTGGACTACTGTTCAGCCCGAAGAAAAGCCATGGCCGGCACCTACTTCAAGAGTCCCAGTAGTGAGTAAAGAGCTGCAGGAGATTGTTCGTTACGGCGTTGCTTTCCACCACGCTGGGTTGGATGTCCAAGATAAAGCATCCATTGAAAGCCACTACCTGGCCGGCCAGCTTCATGTGATATGCTGCACTTCAACGTTAGCAGTGGGGGTCAATTTGCCTTGCCACACAGTTGTCTTGAAGGGCACCACTGCGTATACCGATGACGGCCCCCAAGAGTACTCAGATCTGGAAGTTATGCAGATGCTTGGTCGCGCTGGTCGGCCACAGTTCGACAGGAGCGCCACGGCCATAATTATGACCAGGTCCTGCAATGTCCAAAGATATGAACGCATGGTCTCGGGACAGGAAGTCCTTGAGAGTAAGCTGCATCTCAATCTTATCGAGCATTTAAACTCGGAGGTGGGTTTAGGTACCATTGGGGATCTGGAATCGGCGAAGAGGTGGATCTCTGGCACCTTCTTGAATGTTCGAATGCGAGAAGCGCCAGACCATTATCACCTCAATATCCCACAGACGAATGGGGCAGACACGAGCTCAGAAGAAAGACTTCAGTCTTGGTGCGAACGAGACATCAAGCTCTTACAGCAACATTCCTTGATTACTGAGGAGAATCCCCTAAGTTGCACCGAATATGGAGTTGCGATGTCTCGGTACATGGTCCCGTTTGCAACCATGCAAATCCTATTAGCCATTCCGGTAGCTGCAGATCTCGAACACTTGGTATGATTTGTGTTTACCCCTTTCAGCATTGTACTGACAACATACTATTTAGCTCGTATCGCTCTGTAAAACAAGAGACTTTAGAGACTTTCGTTTCCGCCCAGCTGAGAAAACAACCCTTCGTACCATGAATCAATCGGTAATGTTTCCAATTAAGGGTACCATCAGCGACACTTGGCACAAGATATTCTTGATGGTGCAGGTACACCTTGCAGCGCTGGAATTACCACCTGGCAAGGAGACAGACATTATCAAGCGCCAGACTGCCATCGAGAAACGCCTTATCTTTGACCGGCTGAACCGCCTTGTGCGATGTGTGATAGACTGCAAAGTGGCTGATGGGGATGGCCCTGGTGCGAGAGTCGGACTTGAACTGGCTCGAGCCCTTATGGCAGACTCATGGGAAGCACATCCTGCACAGCTTCGACAAGTCAATGGTATTGGCCCTGTGGCCATGCGGAAGCTCACGTCGCACGGCATTGAAAACGTCCTGGAACTTGCAGGTCAGGAAGCTCAGGATCTTGAGAGAATTATGAGCAGGAATCCTCCCTACGGAAAGAACATGCTGAAGCTGCTTGATGGATTCCCGCGATTGACAATGCATGCTGAACTCGTCAAATCATCACAAATGACCTGGACCAGGACTGAAGACACTGTGAGCGTGATGGTCAATGTACGGATTGGATTTGAAAACTCGAAAAGTCCCAGTTGGAAAGGCAAAAGCCCCGCAGTCGCACTCCTGGTTGAAACGACCAGCGGTGCGTTGGCATACTTCTGGCGCAACAACATATCGACTATCAAGGATGGCTTGAATTTGCAATTTCCTGTGGCAGTGCGTGAGTCCACAGAGAACGTCACCTGTTTCTTCAGCTGCGAAGATATTGTGGGAACTCAGGTCACCGAAACCATTTATCTAGATGTTCCTGCTTCAGTCTTCCAGGATTTACCTAAGCGACATGGAACAGACCGGGCTACATCGAGCAGTTTTCAAGACTCTTCTTATGACGAAGGTTTGGCCGATCAGGATATGCTAGATGCTCTCGACACTGAATATCTAAGCCTGCCGTGCCTCGAGTACCAGTCTGCCAGGTTTGACAAGGACTTCCCCGATATCGATAATGTCTTGGATGTTACAAAAGAGATTGACGTAAATGAACAATTTGAGACCGAGATATGGACTCCGGTTCAACTGGACAATGGCAGGTGGATGTGCAACCATCATTGCGCTGGTGGCGAGCTTACGAAAAATGGGAAGCCTTGCTCTCACAAATGCTGCCACGAGGGATTGGAGAAGCCGAGGCCGCCTCCACACAAGAAGAAGGCTCCAAGCAAATCGTTGGATGTGACAGATCAGGCATCTGCAAACGAAAACACACGTCATCAACCCCGAGAAGCAGATGTAGGCACGGCCAGATGCGGATTTTCTGCTCAGTTGCCAAAGTCGACAAAAAGATCGGAGTCTCTGGGGCTGTCACAGCTTGCCCCTGACCCAAGCGGGCAAGTCAAGCCACCAAAACCCTCATTGAAGAGAGTCTTCTCGCCACCCGCGGACTTGGGTAATCAAAGGAAGAAGCCTCGCTCCACTGTGTGGATGCAAGAAATCGACGGCAACGGCAACGGCGAGTACATTGATTTGTGCGCTGCTACGGATGAGGAAGAAGATAACCTCCAGACCAATCATTTTCAAGTCAAAGGAAACCGGAATAACCTCCAGAAACTGGACCATCTTCATAGCCGGGTCCAATCAGGTGGTATTGGATCCACGCGATTGACGAAACCTTGCAACCCAGTGGGCAACTCAAGCACTAAGGATCAGTCCATTCATACATCCCACTATGAGAGCAAAACATTTGAGGATGAGGCTGAAGAATTTCCAGATATTTATGAATTGGTTCGCAATGCAGAAGGTGGTCATGAGATGGGACGCTCTGGAAAGAACTGGAAAGGTAATGAAACCTTGTGCCCTAGCGTCGTTGAGTCGTACAAGGAAAGTAAAGAAAACGGTTGGGAGCCAAGCCTCAGCTTTACTACGGTCAGTGAACTTGAGAAGGCTTCCCAACGTTTCGATATCGAGGCCCAAAGTAAAGACGGTGTGTGCGACAACCAAGATAACCCGTCGCTCACATTGCCTGGTGCGTTTCAGTCTTCCAACGAAGGACCAAGTACGTTGGAAATGAGTCCAAGCAGTAACCTACAGCAATTTAACGGAGGAACCGCTTCAGGCCCATTGGATATCGAAACGGACAGAGAGCCGTTGATCTTTGACGTGGATCCTTTCCAAGTCGCCGTTGATGTCCCGAAGTCAAGCACACCCTTCACAGCCCTAGAGCCAATACCGAATCCACTGGTCAACCGTCTGCCAGACGAACCAGCTTGGGTATCAGAATTCGATCCAGAGTTGATTGATATGTTCAGAGGCCACGTTGAGTTCGTGGATTGAGAGACCTACGGAAGCAATGTTGGCATAGACCACCGACACTGGTGGCTCAGAGTCCTCAACACGAGACGTGTCTGATGAATGTGCTGTCATATTGCACATTTCGCTTTGCTAAAATCTGGCTATGAAATTTTCATCAAAGTCGATCAGGGGATTCTTTTTGAGGAATCGCTTTGCTGAGAATTTCGAATGGAGAAACGGAGATGTTGAAGAATTTGAGAATTGTAATCGCTAAGTAATTACAAAAGACATCATAATCATTTCGAGTGCTAAACGACCGAAATACCTCGAGTGAACGCTATGACTTGAACCTACTTCAACCTCTCCGCCGGATGATACCTCCCACCTTCCACCTGCATAGCAGCCCCTATTCCATCCGTATGCCCTTGACGTTCCCTTATCGCTATCTGGTCACGGTATTTAATTAACATCAGCGCGGGGATGAAATGGAAGAGAATGTTTACTTGCCCTCGAAAGTGGGCCCCGATTCCACTCAAGTATTCAGCAGATGGAGACTTGCTACTACCGGAAGAAGTTCCATTGGTGGTAGTAGTATTAGTGTAAGAAGAAGCGGTACGTCGCGATGAAGGTGAGGGGGCAGGAGAGCCTCGAATGCCTTTCGTGCTGGACGTGTCTCCAGCATAGGTGGAGCTCTTATTGGGGCTGTAGGGGGTGTTCATGAGCTAAATCGTAAGCTATGAATGGAACAAGAGGCCTACGAGCTTGAGGTTTTCTGCGAAGAAGTCGGCATAGTGAAGACGATTCAAATACCTCTTCTATTCGTAAAACAGTATGATATCAGATATAGTCGTGATATAGTCGCCAACATTAATCATTGACATTGATACGTGAGGGATCCAGTTACCGGTCGGTCCTGGACCTCCTTTATATACTCATGGTACTACTCCCTGGCATCCCCTGCTGAGCGATAAAACAACCTTCGTATTCGTACGCATCACTATAAAGCCCGAAATGACAGCAATGGGGTGCCGGGTGGGCCTTGCGGAGGTGGGCACCCAAGTCATCGTAACAGTACGAGCGCCAGACAGCTTGCTCAAACCCATCATGAGATACCATATACGTAGTATTGCCTCCACACTACTGAATGTATGTTGCGACGTGGCCACGATGATAGCCCCAAGCAGCGACGATCTTCGCACGTTATTTCATGGCATGCGAGATACCAAGACCTGGGATTGTCTGCAACTAGCCGTCGGGCATATGTCCACGATAGCAGACTATATTGACTCACCCCACCAAGCCTCACCCCCCTAGAACCAACTACGAATAAGGGAAGTTGTAAGGCAATTGAGCCTTAGCATCCCAACATCATGAGAACCAAGGGACACCCGTTGATACGGTCTGACGTAACCATCCTTTGCCAAGGAGTCTTTCAGCCTGTTATACCAGCTACGTTCTGAGGAAACTGCTCGGCCGTTACGGATCGCCGGGCCAAACCTATTTCAAAAGATCGTGAGAACTGATGAGAACCACGTTTCTCCGTTCAGGTGGTTGTGTAACCCGGGGCGTGGAATATGGTGGATGGTGTGTATGAAACGTTCATCACTGCAAGTAGCCGTTGCCAAGCCAGAATTATTGGGAGGCTAAGCAGCCAACAAGTTATCAAGTTGGGCTTCAAACCTTCCATTTCACCAAATGCGTTAGTTTTCAGGTGTTCCATCTCGCACCAAAATGCCATGTATGTCAGATCATTTTCATATCGGCTGTGGTTGCCGGCTGGTATGCTCTTGATCGCAGGGTGCAGCTACCCGACGAACGGACTTATTCGATTGGCTCAAGGGGGTTGCAGAGCCCTCGGATAGGTGCATCGGAAAGCGGAGCTGGAGGGGGTGGGTTGGGATCCGAACTTCCAATACTCTGGGTCGGACGGGTAGCTGCCTTGCATCGCCTAGATTCTTCTGTGCCGCACGGCAGAGAAGACGGGGGACCCCCACAGGCGAACCATCTGCCATGAGTAATCCGGGAGTGTCAAAAGGAAGCATCTCGGAAGTTTGACAGGAGTGTGGCTTGCATGTTCACTGGGTTAGGGGAGAAGAGCGCGATCCCACCAAATGGGATGCAAATGCAAGATAGGGCTGCAGGCCGTGGGATTGCCTTTCTCAGCCATGCCGTACTTCTGCAGTCAACTTTACCGCCGATGAAATTATAGATAAGGTTCACGCCAGAGTACAAACTGCGTCTCGCCTGCCGGATCAAGCACTTATTGTAGTCAGCAGATCAGCGCCGTCGGTGGTGCGTCGTCACCATTGACCGACGTTGGGCGATGCAAGTGATCAGGCAGCGGGGCGCCTTGTCTGCCGTTGGAAGTGGGTACCAAGGGCGCAGCATCGAATGATCACGGGTACCATACACTGCAGACATGTGGCTGACTGGAGATGGATGGGACGTTGCGGAGGCTGTTATGGCAGGGCATATAGTCTCACGCTGGTATAGGCCGGTGAAAGAATCGGACCCTTTGGGGTTTCCCTGCCCAGCCCGGTGGCGCTGTCCTCGAAAGACATTCACGACGGTCTCCTTAGGAGACCTAAAATTTCGTAAAGAAGTGTGCGTTGGCAGGCTTTCTACCGACTGGATGCGCTCTCCTCAGACAATGAAACCGGTGACCAGGCTACGGCTAACAGCGGAGGCGCCGGGGTTCGGGATCCCGAATTGGGGATCTGTCGACTCTTTTTTTCCACCATATGGAAGCTGCCAGGGGAATCAATACAGCCAACTGATCGGATTGTATTCCATGGACTGATGTCACTCTGCTTCGGAAAGACCAGGACTCCCACGCATCGACGAAGAAGACATACGGCGCGGATGCGCCATCAAAGTGGGCTTGACCAATCATGTCACTCCAGGCTATTATGGCCAGCTGCAGTGATTGAACACGTCGTATACGATTCGAGCGCTTCGGTCGAGTGTTCGCCGCATTTTTGGACTCTAGATAATATCGCAGCTAGGCTTCACCCGGTCTACCGTCGCTCATTCCGTTGGTATCACCTTGTGACTGACAACACAGACTCTCTTGCGGTACTCCAATACTCGATGCCTAACTGTTAATAGGCCAGAGGGGATAGATACACGCAGAAGGCGTACTCATGGGGAGACCCAGCCTCCGAAAGTTATGTTTAGTGACAATCAAGTTGGGCATGTGCTTAGCGACTGGTATCTGGATACAATGTTGGGCAGGCGAAGGATGGAAGGAAGAGGTGTGACGAATGAATGATCATGATCTCATGTATCGTGGCGCCCAGGCATATCACGTATATCATCATATGCGTATCGCCCTAAGCTGCTCCTCATAGCATTGTATCCTATGCCAGTCCTCCCTCTCTATTGACATATGGCGCTATGCACCCCGCTCTCCTCACCCATCATTCACGACGATACGCTCCTTCTCCTTCAAGGCGGGGATGAAAGCGCTCCCAATCATACATCCTGGCCAGTTGAACCAAGCCTTGCTAGTAATGACACCGGTCTCGGCGTCTACAGCTTCTGGAAACGAACCGTCGAATAACATGACGGCGCGAATGCGTCTCCAAGCACTGCTCTGTGCCTCGCGATCTCCAATCATGTGCGCGTACATGAACTCCTGAAAATAACCAAGGGCCCATGGATCGGGGGTGTGGACGCTTCCCAAGCCGCCGAATGGGCCACCCTGGAAATAGCCACTGTCGTTGGCCGGGGACAGCCCCCAGTCCACTGTGAGATTCATACTTAGTAACGCCTTAAGCAGACCTATTTGGAGGGGCAAAAGTCATCTGAGAGACTTAATTTGAGAGCCCCAAGTGTGCTGAACAAAGAGGTATAGAACCACTGCGGATTGTACGTACTTGTATTCTTCCATACTCCTAGTTCGCCGGCTGCCTCAATAAAGTCCCACTTGACGGCGAAAAGAGTTGGCATATCGTTTGCATCGTGATATAGTCGGTGATTGCCGTTGCCATCGCATAAGTAGGCAAAGATCGGCTGGCCATCACTTTGCCTTGGTGCAACAAAGTGATGAAGGACAGCAGCTTTCAGCTCCTGCGCACGTTTCTGTAGTGTAGAGACGCTCAGACTGGGTACAGGCCCAGCTTCTTGCACCAACTGGGCGACTCGGGATAGTGTGAACCAAAGAAGAACATGACTAGAGAAGTGGAAAGGGTATTCCACCTCGTCATCACCAGGTGTCTCGTCGGTAGGAAACAGTCCCGTCGATGAATCTTGTTTCGACCACAGTAACTCCAAGACTTCAGTCAGCACACCCTCTGCCAGAATCTTTTGCACTAACTCCATCTTCTCGGGATAATTGTCATAGAAGTCGCAGAGCTCCAGCAGGGGATAGCATTGCTGATCCAGCTGAAATGTTGGGCCGTCCTTCGGTTTACCATCTACGAGATACGACCTGTGCCAAAATGCATGAGGGCGATGCGCCCTGCGGAATACCCACATTAGATGGCCTTGAGATATTCGATCAATCGCTTTCCGGTACTCCTGAACAGCTTCGGGAAGTACAAGCGAAGTAAGGTTTCGCCTCACATTGAGTATGAACCATAATTGCCAACTGCCATTCACCAAGTCAGTGATGCATAGATAGTTGAAGTAGAACGCGCCTACTAATTGTCCCTGTTCCAGCCCAGGGGGAGTGCCACATGATCAGTCATTAAGGCGACATGATGTTCTGACACAGGTACAGCCAAGCATCCTAGGATATACTCCAAGTTTCGTCGTATGATGAAGGTTCCTAGTGTAGCACCGTCGAACCAAAGATGCTGGTGGTTTGCTGAGATTCCAGTGTGGTGTAAATGGGGCTTAAAGTCGCCCCTGATTTCGACATCAGGGTACAGCCGAAAGCGAGCAACAATAGTCTGTTCCATTCCAGGTTCTAATTCTATCCAATCATGAGCCTCGGATGTGATCGGAACGCCTTGCGTCACCTGGTCCCGCAAGTGCCCGACCATTATAGTTTCGCCATTCGCCTCTAAGCAGCCTTCTAGGCGCGCGCCCAAATGAGGATTAACCACTGAGAAGAACTCGCCATTACCGTGGACAGCGAAGCGGTTCTCAGATCGGGGAATTGGAATCGGCCCGCCTTCAGTCAGTTGGCCGTAGGATGCTCGGTTAACGCTGATTCCTAGGCCAAGCGAGTACTCGACTTTAACGGTTGAAGTAGCTGCAGATGACAGAACAGCTGACTGCACCAGTTCGCCACTGGATTCTACGCGTAGCGAGAGCGCGACGGATATGCCTTCCGCCAGAGGAAAAGTCACAGTCGCCAGATTCGCCGTCCGTAAGTTGATGTCGACTTGCTCTGTGGGGCTAATGAAGCGCAACCCAAAACCCGGGGTGCCGTCCCTGACCGAGTCTAGCATGTGTCGCCGGTAGGATCGGACGTACCGTTGATCATAGAACCTGGAGCCGTCGAACTGAGCATAGGGCGACGCTAGGACGATCCCGTGGTCCGGGTGATGGGTGCTTAGCTGGAGAATCTGGCAACATAGCAAACATTAGGATTAGGACTTCATTTTTAAGGTTTGGGCTCATAAGTTGCTAGGAGATCTCAACGGTGGCCCCCTACACTCCCGAGTGGTTCCAAGGCAGCGGAACTCCCATTGTTGCCGATATCGATGGTTTTCGACGGCTTTTCGCGGCCGAGATGGAAGGACAGGGGTTTTCCATAGGTCTCGATGATGCCTGAAGACAGCCGGCTCGGACTAGAGGTTTCTCTTCCCGCTACATTCATGTCGACCGGATGAATGATCGCCCTCGTGAAGCCTATAACGCGGTTGATGGGAATTCACTCCGTAGGAATTAATCCCCCGTTTGATCCAGACTTCCGTCTAAGCCGGCCATTCTTATCTGCTCTCGTCTAGGTTTCGGATAGTTCATCTTGTTACCATCTGTGTATGACACGAGCTGAGATCTTGAAGATGGGTACAATACCCGCGATGCCGATCGGCACCGAGTTCTGTGCAGCTGAAAAAGGATCCCATCATTGTCCAATGCACCTTTCACACTGCCATGTTGTAATCCACTGCCACGTGTACGGTACCCGTTGCATGGTCACAACGGTATTCATATCGTTCCCTTGTAAGTGGTTATTTATGATTAAAAATTGCCTTCATCCAGTCTACATATAATTTCTCTATCTCGAAAGGTTGGTATAGAGTTAAGGAAATGCGACGAGCCATCTCAAAGTTTATACCAACTAGTCCTGTTCAGCATTGATAGCATAACAGCGTGGCGTTCCGCGTTACCCACGGATGTGAGATCGAGCGGTCCCTAGAGTTTCACACACGGCGATGTGCAGCATATTAAGAGCACAGTCCCCTGCCACAGCATTGCCTGCCGGAAGGGGTACTGGACCAGATACCTCGCATGCAATTACAGCATCCCCTAGTCCATAAACCAAGCGCGGCACAGAATGTCACCAGACACTTCCAAGATAGTCACTCCGACCCATGCGGCCAGTGGCATCGCCGTGGCGCGATCACAGCCTGATAGCGCAACCACCACGGTCACTTCGGACGTCTCTACAGGTAACGAGGCTTGTGGTAGCATGCGTGGGCGGACGCTTGAACGCGCGCTAAATCGAAAGCTCGACATCGCGTTACTTCCCTTGCTGGCGGTCTTGTACCTTTTTAATGGGCTAGATCGTGGGAATATTGGAAATGCGCAGACACAGGGTGAGTTGGTGGTCCAACCGGCACGGCCAGAGTACCCGTCGAGGATCATGAGATCTGATAGTTCATACGTGCTCAAGGCTTCACTGACGACATTGGCGCGGCTCCGGATGATCTGAACCTCGCTGTTTCCATGTTCTTCATCACTTTCATCTTGTTCCAGCCGCCGTCGGCTGCATTTGGAAGATGGTTAGGCGCAAAGCATTGAATTCCGGTCACAACTGTACGAGAGTTCCACTATACCTCAACGTTCTAGGGACTTGGCATTGGGTGCTGACTCCATTATTAGTTCTGCTGGGGTCTCCTGACAATCTGCCAGGCGTTCATTCGAGGCAGAGGTAAGCATCTGTTAAACAGTCACCTCAGCTTGCTGGCTTATACGGTTTTAAGGAGCATTGATTGCCATAAGACTACTTATAGGAGGCTTCGAAGCCGGTTTCTACCCTACCGCCGTAGCATACCTATCGTCATTCTACCCACGCTTTGACATCGCGGTCAGGCTTGCCGTATTCTACGGGCAATATGCCGTGGCCGGTGCATTCTCTGGCTCCATTGGTATGTTTCCGGTCTCACCACGCAAGGACGCTTGCTCACTATATCCCAGCTTATGCAGTCTTCCACATTCAAAACGGATTCATGGTCGACTGGCAATATTTATTTATTATTGAGGGAGCTGCGACGTGCGTCTTTGCTCTTATCGCTTGGTGCTGGCTACCGGCTGGGCCAGGGACAGCCTGGGTCCTTGGCAAAGATGAACAAATCCATGCAGTCACACGGATCCATTTTGAAAATGCACTCTACGTTGAACACGAGTACGCGAGAAATGGTATAGAGAGGGATCGCCTAAGCAGGCGGGATGTTGTGGAGACAATGAAAGATTGGAAGCTGTGGTATGTACTTGTCTGTAACATATGCACCAGTGTGCCAAACCAGGCATTTTCAGTATTCCTCCCTCTAGTTGTCCAAGGACTAGGCTACTCATCCATTCAAGCAAACCTAGTAAGTGTGCTCAAAACCGCACTCGATTGATATAGATCCCTCATATTCGCAGATGTCCGTACCACCATATGTCTGCGGCGCTGTTGGCCTTTACTCCTTTGCCCTCAGCTCCGATCGCAGGTGCAAATGGATTACCCCAAGCCGTTGCGCATCGACTAACTATTCCCAGAATGGAGAGAGGATATCATATCGTCATTGGAATACTTATTGGCATGATCGGCTTGGTGACGGTGTTCTTGGCAAACTCATCTCGGGCCAAATACGCCGGACTGTGTGTTTTTCTTTTCGGCAGCTACATATCTACACCCCTGACGGCTGCTTGGTTGATCGATAACACACCGGGTACGCAACCTTGCTTGCGTCATCGAAAAGAACAGTAAATGAGCTGACAATATGCTTTTCAGAGCCGGGGAAGCGTTCACTTGTCCTCGGCATGAATGGGTTTGGCAATCTTGCCGGTGTGATTGGAGCTCAAATATTTCGACGAGAATATGCACCAGACTACCAGCTGCCCTTCCGCATTACACTCGGCTTTGTTGCCGCTGCGCTTGCTGGCTACTTATCGTACCGATCCACACTGGCATCCATGAACCGCGGCCGGGCGCGGATTCGACAGCTGAAGACAAGCAGCGAAGTTGATAGAGAGCGAACCGACCCGACCAGATATGCTGACAAAAAATGGACATTCACATACGGACTGTAGCTGCCATCAGTGCCCTTTTCTCACATGGGATTGTTGTTATAGAGCTGGAAGAAGTCGTCAGGCCTCCAGGCAGCCATAGAGTTGATCAGCTCCATGGGCATCACGCCTTGTGGCGTGTCGTCCAACGGTTGCTCGGAATGCCTCACAATGAATCCAACATGGTACGATTCGGACTGCGCTTGGACTTGAGGTACATGAAAGGCAGTCGATGTTTGGCGGCCTGGTAGCAGTAGCTGAGCTTGGTTCATGCTTAGGTTGCATTGATCAACCACCATGGTCAACTGACTTAGGACTCCCGCACAGTCCCGGACGTAGTTGCTGTCGCCTTGTGTTTCGGTTTTGAAGCAGTCAGTCGCAAATAAGATATCGGCTCGGTCGCTTTCAAGACTGTCGACAAGAAGCTGATTTAGGAGAAGTGTTACGGCAGCATTGAAGATATAGTGCAGTATGTGGGACATAAGCTTATGAGATGGAGTTGAGCTGCGGACAAATCTTCCGAGCCTCAAGTTTCTCCGAGCAGCGTCACAGCAGCTCCTGATTTGTGTGACTCGCGGATGTGCCTCAAGATTCCAGTTTGGACTAGCAAAACGCTCGGCAACTGCTTCCTTGATAGCGCTAAAGAAGATTGGGCGGACTACTATTATAGTGAGCTGGTGTGCTTGTCAGTATACGCAAAAAGTGTTAACTCCCAACCGGGTAGAATACCTGACCAGCAGCCATGTGTAGCTCACAGCATGCTCTATCATTGCTGACCTGGTCGCCAACAATACGCATTGCGGGGGGAAGATCATTGGACCAGCTAGCCAGCGATCTCATGGCTTTTTCGATACGTTCTGTCGTCCCTAGCGTATAGTGCTCTGATGACGAAATCCTGTACGTATGACAGACGATATAACCGGCTATCCTCGCCAGCTTTACATGCGCCTCTAGACCGGCTGCTGAAGGAAGTCCACTGTTCAAGATTAGTTCATGTAGTCTCTTCAGATCAACGGGATGCCTTACGGGGTATCGCATGGAAGAGCGAGCTTGATCGCCTCGTCCATCAGCGTGGGAGGCCGGCCCATCAAAACACTTAGCCACCTGTCTAGGACGTACAAGGTCCAGAATACTCGTTTACAACATTCAGCCTCAGCTCCTTCACCCTCGATCCAACCTCTATGTACACCACGAGTCGTAAGAATGTGCATTCCAAGGGTAACGTAGATGTATGCAGTATCTCTCCGGTTCATTTCGACCAGGTAAATACTCATTACTGCTAGTACAGTTGCTCCAGATATATTACACAACGCTGGGTCAAGCGGATTACCCAAAAGCCGTCTAGCCTCGGCAAAGAATGACTCGCCGTGCTGTGTACTGTGTCTCTGTGCTGATGGTGACTCTAACTGGCAAGCGATGGCAGAGGCGGCGTAAAACAGAGCAAGACGTTGGGCACTCGGGTAGGATACGCATTCGGAGGTAGGGTCGTACAATGAAATATCAAGGTCACCCCAGTAATAGATTCCGCCAGAGATGAAATCGCCACTGCCATCCTGAATGAGGTATCGTAGATTAGCCATCATCATAGCCATTTCTGTCTTTTGAGGGGGCCAGAATGACTGCGAGGTATTATCTATCATAAGCGGCTGTGAGTCGAATGTCTGATAGTGTCCAAGTGAGCTCAGGAAAGTCATTCCCCGTTGCTCTAAGTCCGGATCAGCGATTGGAAAGACAGCTGTGATGAACTCTTTCAGGAGATCCAAGAATGTCGCCCCTGAAGTCGCACCATGGAAGCGTCCTACGCCGGCTGAGTCACGCAGAACGCGACCCTCGTTATCAGTATCTGCATCATCACTGGCATCCAAAGTAGCTGTTGTGCTGCTGGCAGCACTCATGGGACCAGCGCCAGACTGGGACATCAGAGCCTGTCGGTGAGTGTCGTCTGGTACCAGTTGCTCAAGACATCGTTCGAGCTGTGCACATTTTGCTCTCAGCTGGTCCAATTCGTCCTTCGGGATGGTGACCTTCTCAACCACTGGTGGGTAAATGCACTCCCTCGAAGAGTTACTGCACTGACTGCAAGGTCGCTCCCCCGAGCACCTTACCCTTCTTACATTGCAGTTATTGCAGCTATTGAGAACTCAGCAGGCTAGCAACTAGACCGGCCCGACTGGGCTCGACTGAAGTAACAGCGAACTTACGCTGTGGCGACTCTTCTCCTCTGCTCTGGGGCAACTCTATGGCGCCTTGAATTCACTGGCAGGCGATGTGACGTCGGCGTGCTCGTCGCAGACGAACTGGACGCTCTCCGCATGTTGGCCATATGCGACAGGATGCTCTTGTGAGGACGCGAGCTCGCCACTGTGGGCCAAGGATTATAATGAGCCAGATAGGCTTCCGTTCTGGATCGGAGCTAATGACGGTGCACTTGATTGAGTTTGAAGCTATCGACAATAGTTCATCCCAGCAGTTTAAGTCGAAATCGACGTCCAGATCAATAAGGCTGTGGCCTGCGGGGGTGCATCGGCTAGTCATAACGGCGCTCCGTGACGGGCAGCTTGCAGGTATGGCTTGGCAATCTATCCCAAAATAGACGAAGCCCATGCAGCAAGCGAACGAGCTGAAAACCCAGGGTCTGCCGAGAAGCAATTGGACGCAGTGCTTCGGATGATAAGTCAGCATTGTTTTTTCTCCAGAAGAGCCCAAAATGGCATCAGTACCCCGGCAGCAAGACAACGGCGCTTCAAACCAAGATCGAGAGCTAGCTGTTATCTACATACATTGGAACGGCTATGGCCAATTACCATAGAGAAGAACAGCGCCCTCAAGTATTGTGTCGACCCACTTCTTGAGTACCTCAAGTTTCTGCAGCATGCCATCTCTAACCCATCCCCCTGGCCAATCGGCCTAACTTTAAAGTGATGACGGTTGGCATCCAGTTGAACCCTGCTCAATAAAGACGAGGCTACGAGACACACACAGGCTCTCTGAATAGTCATGATCGCAACCTATTCGTGGGTCAACCGGCCATTATAAATCTTGCTACCCCCGTCTGATATGGTGCATGCGCAAATCGCCATGTAAGACTGATGGACAGGCAAACGTCGCAACCGACTTGCCAGTGGTCTGGTCTGCCTCCGTGTAACCTGGCAATTTGATGCAAGCCTCTTCGTTGCATCCCGTAAGCACAATGCTCTCGCCAGCTCGTCATATTGTTCATTGGATAGGGTATCCGGTCAGGTCAAGCGCCATCTAGGCTGGACATCGCTTTAGATTGTACCATCATCTGCTTGCATATTGGTTCAATGATCCCCTGTTATGTGACCAGATGGCTTACTTGGCAGGTAAGCACTCCGGGATAGCCAGCGGTAAGCCCCGTGGTGAGGCAAGGCTTCCACGTTTTCCTATTATGATTTGTGATCAGCAAATAGGTCTAAGCAACTGGGCGGCACACCTTTTGATCACCGTGCCCTTTTGGCACTTGCTGAATGGATAAAGCCGGTCATTTCCCGAGAGTGGCGAGCCCCCTCCCTGGATGCTTTCAAGGTGTTACGGTGCCGCCTCGATTTTCGATTCTTTGGCATGGCAATGATGGTCCCTCGTACAGTTGCCATTAGCAGCGAGAAGAGATCCCCCGGTGATGCTATTCAGGCCATTTTTGACCGCTGTCCTTCCTCCGTATACTGCCATTGCGAATGCTGGATCACGTTGCTCTGTGCTTGGGAGCAGCGCCAGCTCATCATTGTAGGTTTCTGTATCATCTCCAAGCCTCTGAGCGCCATTCGTAAGTTTAGGGGCTCGACGAGAAAATGACTCTTCCTGACTTCGCTCATAAGTACTCCCGGAAGTATTGGCTAAATTATGTGTCGAAAAGGGGTTGTTCATCTTGAAGAAGATTGGCCTCAGAGCTGGGAGGCATGCGCATATGATTCCACAGTTCAATTCGACCACAGTCCAGTATGAGGCCGCAACGTTATATCACGTTGAATCTGTGGTTTCGATGGCGCCGTAGAGAAAGAACAGACGAACAATTGATATTATGCACGTGCTATACCGTGGTCTCAGCGACGTTGCTGGGTGGGAGGCTAACGACGACTCACAGGAAACCGAGGCCGATTAAGGACACCACCAGAAACTTTTGCTTTTTCCGCAGCTGAAGTTTCCGGATCGCTGGCATTGATACCAACAACACTATGAAATCGGTGACGATGTTCATAATGCTGGTGAGATACCAAATTGTGAGGCCATCCACACAGACTGCCTCCCACGCAGGGTTGATCAAGGCTATTGGATTGCAGCTCATTCCGACCAGTACATCTTGCGCGACACCCCAGAAGCTCAACAAGACCCTTATCCACAGACATACCCGTCTCGTGCGATCGCCTGTAAAGATGCGGCGATACAACGCCAGGAAAGAGAGCTTGGTGGGTATTTGCGACGTATTGTAGAGAATCATGCCTGGGAGAAGGGCCTAATACCTAGTCAGCAGTCATTATCACCAGACAATGAACACACTCACTCTGAGCTGCTTGATCAAGTCGTCATTATCGACGACCCACACGTGGCGACCCAATCCGAATCCAGTCTCTGTAGCGCTGTTAATACCGATTTCTTTTATCGCCCATCTTGAGATCACATACGCAGTAAGGTTGAGATGGTTACACCTAAAGAAAACACCTTCGGTGAACATTAGTTGCGAGCAAGCTGCAAGACTTCATCTACCTACCAAAGAGATAGTGATTAAGATATCATCCAAGCCAAGAGTAGTCCTTATAACCGTCCTGGTATACAAGCGCAGTCCAACTGCCAGCAGCGAAAGTGAATTGAAGGCTATCGATGTACCATACAGCACGGCTACCCGCGTTTCAGCGTCGAGTGCCGCTTCTTCCCCTGATATCGACATCGCGTAGGTGTTTACTTGTAATAAGTTTCGAACTGGAAATACGATCCATTGCGGAATGGAATGCTGAAAGATACGATCTGTGCTTTTATATAAATAGATTTGCAATGGTATAAGACCCAGTTCCAAGACTTGAAGCCAGGGGATAGGTGGGCTCAGACCTGTGCTCGCAATGCACTCGCGTCGGAGTCGGAGGCGACTCGTTCTTATCAGAAGCATGCAGCTACTGGGTGTCAAAGCGTTCCAGAAAACATTTGAAGGCAGCCAAATACCCCGCGGATCGACGATGTCTCTTATCTCTACGCAGCATCATGGGTCGCGCGGTATAAGTTACAGACCTTGTAGACCTGCTGTACCACCTTACTGCTGGGTGATTGACCTGGATACGGCTAGCAGACCAAGTAGAGCACAAACTGAACTATCTACTGCACGTCTCTCCCACATCAAATTGATGTATGTCAGAGAGTGCATGGAATATAGCCTAAAGCCCCACGCGCACAGACACCGAAAAGACAGTGATCGGCTGGATCGTGAGAGATATGACCATGTGATGTCAGCTCGGCGTACTTGATAGGCCGCCTGGCTATACCTGGACCCGAATCGCAGGGACGCGCATTAGCATTGGTAATGATGCTTGTATTCGGATACAGTAAAGCCGCCTTGCAATTCAAATCTGCAGGTCGCGTATCAAGCTGCTGGCGCTTCCCCAGAGTGACGGGTTCGCCGTCACTCACGGGCGCTATAGTGGACTATATCACACCTGATCAGTACAAGACTGGATCCACATACTCCATACCGCCGGCAGGCAAAGGGTGCCTGGGTGCGGACAACATGCCGATTAACAATTTTCAATGAAGGTGAACGTATGTAAAACTCTTTATTCAGCACCGCGGGGATGCGAGCATCAACCTCGCGACCGGCTTTGCTTGACCGCCTGGACTCGGAACCTGTTCGCCGCCTCTCGTAGTTGACTTCCGTGACCCATGATTGTCAAACACCTTGGCACTATCCCGAACCCTAATACACATGTAAGATGTTTGATAACGTCTTGTTTGCCTTGACAGCGGCACTTGTAACGGATAGTATTCTGCAGCGCTCGCCGGCGTTGGTGACTTGGACGGTATCACTCTGGGTACAAAGGTAGTCCTCGGCTACGCGTTATGGAATGTCAATGTTGGAACGCTACTGTAATTTGAGTGCCGCTTAGAATCCTCTCGTTGACTGCAAGGGGTCAACGCCTAATCCTAAGAGAGTAAGACTTACTTCACAAGCCGTCAAAGAACCTGACCGTCTCCTTCCCCACCCATTCAGATTTGCTTCTTATATCATTTATGGACCAAGGTCCCTCGTCCGTAATGTAAGCACTGATCAAGTGGGCGGGCACCCACTCAAAGTAGATATTCTTCACTCTGACGCTTCGTTGGGCCTTTTCTGTCTCTGCAGCGTGCCTGGCTATAACATCGGCACCTTTGACGGTCTGTTTCCAAGTATTTGTGAGCTCCGCAGTGTCGTTCTCCTCGACTATGTGTTCATCCATCGCTCCCGGTCCTGCAATCTTTTCCGTTTCGCTGAGAACAATTACTCTTGCCTGGGGAGAAACATGGCGTGTGCTCAAGACAGCAGGAAGAGTTCCAGTCTTATTGCTGACGTCGCCCTCAGAGCTTATCCGATCCGCACCAAACAAGAGGATGTCCACATCCAGAGAAGCAAGAGCGGCGGAAGCATCGGAGTATAGTGTGACGTTCACGCGATCATTTAGATCAGCCTCTTGTAACAGCTTTGCAGCCATCGTCACCCCTTCGCATAGAGGTCGTGACTCTAGTATCCGGAGGTCTAGATCAACGTCTAGTGCAGCGGCCGATGCTAAGAGGCTACTAGAGATAGTCGAACTTGACGACAAAGTGAGTATAGAGAGTGATTTGGGTGGTTTCTCACTACTCAGGACGCTGGACCTAACGTAGTCGACGAATGAATCGCGCATACGTATGACCGCACCTTCGCGCTGGGAAAGATACTCATCAAGCATCTTCAAAACCGCTGTCAGCTTTTCTTGGTCTGTGCCTCCAGCCTGGACAATAGATTCGACCATATCGAGGGCTGTGACCAAAGCGCTGATGATTGCAGCTCCCATGCTTTCGCGACCGTTCTTCCACAGATGCCAAGCTGACATGTGTATTTTCGTCCTCCAGGCATCGTCTAAATGAGTAGAGTCTGTCTTTGAAATGACATCTCTCAGAATCAACACAGATTTCGCGGCCAACTGCCTCGCTCCGCTTTCGTGATCGTTCCGGAGTGATTCAATCCCTTCGGTTAAGGCATTCCCCGCATCTGATCCGAGGTCGAACTCTGGCCATACCCTGCGCAAGCTATTCAGAAGTTTCGGCACACCGCCAAACTCCTCCGAGTCGTTGATCTTGAACGGATCGTACCATTCCCATCCTTCATGCTCCCAGTCGATGGTAATGCCACCATCCCCTTTGCCACCCTCTTCGATGGATTTGAGCCGGAATGCAAAGGGGTTGATCGTCCACTCCCGGCCAATGGAATCATCGGTGAATGAGTACGGCTTGCCCTTTCGTAGTAATTCAATTGAAGTGAGATCGAGCGTTGTCTCCTCCTTGATCTCTCGCAAGGCTGTTGCTAGAGGGTTGGCGTCTTCCTCCTCAACACTCCCTGAGATTGGAGCGAGCTTGTGCCTCCATTGCAAATCAGCAACTCGAGCTCATAATCTTGCGGTACAGAGTACTTACTGGTAAGTACGGACTTTACCACTCCTCCGGAATAGTGCAACCTCGGCTCTTGTTGGGTCGCCCTCAGGGTACCGGAATAAGAACGTCCCAGCGACAGCTCTTTTCTTGATGGGCTGACCAGAAGCCATCGTACGTCGCAGTGGGTAAAAGGAGCAGTGGTTGGCTAGTTGCTTTCCAGAGTGAGCCCACGCCGATTGAGAGTTAACCCATGGGGCGCGCAAGAAGCGCACGGCATGATACATCCGGATGTTGTGGTTTTCTGGTGTCGTCAAGCTTCTCGGCGCTGGAGTTAGGCTACACTGTAGTTATGATGTAATGCCCACAGCAGGGGGCCACGCTCTATAATACCGGCCTTTTGATTGGCTGAGGTACCCAGCGATCGTACACGCCACCGAGCGATGCACTGTAAGAATTGTAACTGATCCTATGTCTGGCCCAACCAAGACCCTCAATTGATATCGCATGGGGATATGAAATATCACAAAGCGCACAACTACTCATCTTTCGCCAAGCTCGTACGTATTGGAGTCGAGCACACAAGTCCCATTCTACGACGAGGCAGCTTTGCCTTCTCAAAAGCCAGCCTATCACATCAACACGGGGACAGCATCAAAGGGAAGGCTTCTGGGTTTATCATTATTCTCATAATGTGCAAGTGAAATGTCGCACAGAGGTGCTATGTTGTGAATGGCTATATACATCGATCAAGGAGCTCCATGATCGTTTCAGAGCAGTAACCAAGTTATGCATCAGAAAGCAGCTGAAAGTTGGTTGAGGGCATTTAGCAGACACCGGAGGGGATGACAGTGCTGCCGGTACGGCTCTTGGAGGCGTACTTGGCACCCTGGCCAAGGCCACGCTTGGCGAAGGCGGTCCAGATCTCACAGGCGTTGTCACCACCGGTAAGAGCCTTGTCAGCATCGAGGATGGCGTCGCGAGCGTCGATAAAGTTGGGGTTGCAAGGTTGCCTGGTATTATGGTCAGTCACAAGTTTTTTTTTTCCATCTGGATGTCGCATCACCAGGTGGAGTGCAGGGCAACTTACAGAGCCATAGCGTCAACAACGAGCTTCATGGTCAAGAACTTGCCATCAGTGGGGACACCGTTGGCATCGAAAGTCGGACGGGCACCGGTGTTCTTGCCGTGCTTGTCGATCAGGTTCCACATGACCTCGTACAGCATCGTGGTCCAGGTCTCACCGATGTCGTGGACCTCGTTCTTGCTGTTGAGGGTAGTGTAGGTGTTGGGGTTGGTCGTCAAGCTGGTGGAGAACAGGACGGAACGGATACCCTTGGGGTTGTTGTAGACCCAGGCACCCATGGGGTAGTTGGTGTTGCGGGTGTCGCTAGCCTTTAGGCGGATGGCGGTAGCCATGAAGTCACCCCAACCCTCACCCATACCACCGGACTCAAGGGCGTTCAGGCAGTTGGAGTTAGCGGGACCACCAGTGAGACGGGTCGAGAGACCGTGGGTGTACTCGTGGATTACAACACCGGCCTCGAAAGAGCAATCTCTGTTAGGAGTAGCCGTGGTCCAGATGTACATCCTCATGCGACCAGGCTGGCCATCGGGAGGAGTGGCAAAGTTGGCGTTATTGGTGCCGGAACCGTCCTGAGCGTTCAAGATCGCGAAGTCGCTACCCTTACCACCCTTGTTCTGGTTGGTGTTCTGGAAGTTGCCAGCCTCCTCAGTGAAGCCCAGGGTGTAGAGAAGGTCGTGGTACTCGTTACCAGTGTAGAAAAGCTGCGTAACGGAGGCATTGCGGTAAGTCGACGGAGGAGTCAATGCCGCAGTCCACTGGTACGAGAAGTTGTCCTGTGCATTCGCTGGGCGGAAGTTGTTCAGGTACTGGTTACCACCGTCTGGGTTGACCTGAGCAATGGCATTGTTACCACGGGTGGTGTGGTATGTGCTGGTCCCGTCTGACAGCCAGCCCAAGGGAGACTCATCAGTGTCCCAGGGGTTGGTGACGGTAGTACGACTGCAGTCATTCGGGTCATTGCAGCCCCAGGGGAAGACCTGGTAGGTGGCCTCAGCGACGTAATCGACAACACCGTGAACAGCCTCGTTGGTGGCGGCATCAACGTAAGTGAGCAGCCAGTTGTCGAGGATATCAGTCTCGACTCGCCAGGTCAGAGCCAGAGTACCATCCTGCTTGACAAAGTACATCAAGCGGGCCTCGGGGTCCTTCTCGGCACCAGAAGTGCCCTTCAGGACATATGACTCAGGGGCCTCAAGAGCCTCGGCGGTGGCCTCACCAGTCACAGGCAGGGACAGGATGCTGGTTGCACCAGTCAGGGCGGCGGCAGGGTCCACGAAGTCACGCTTTCTCAAGGGGCTCTCGGCCGGGATCTCTCCGGTGTAGAAGTTGTTACCGTACGAGAAAACGGATCCGTCCTTAGCGATGTTGACATTGAAGTCAGAGTTGTCCACATCAAGGCCGTGAATGGTTTGCTTGAAGTAGACGTGGCCGACGCCGTTGGTGCCGATATAGCTGTTGGCGACGCGGAACTCGGCACCGGCGTGGACGCTCTTGACCAACTCGGTTGCGGTCTGAACGTAGTCAGAGCGCTTCAAGGCCGTGAGAGACTCGTTGGTCGAGGTGGCATTGGACGACTTGTACACCGAGTTGGCGTTGGTACGGTACTGGTTCAAGTCCACAGAACGCTTGTTGAGGCCGTTCTTGTAGGCAGTGTTGTGCTGGTGGGCAGGGTGGGCAGAGACCGTGATGGTCGCGCCAATGACGAGGCTGGCCAACAGAGCGTAACGCATCTTGAGTGGACCGAAGTAAAGTAGGCCGAAAGAGAGACTGGGCAACCGGATGGAGATCAAACCGCAAGCTGACCTGTTCTCTCCCGATCTTGGGCTCCTAACCACCCTTTATATATCTATTCGACCTGGTTTCTCCCCACCGTCTCAACTTCCTAATTCGAAGATAAGCTCATCATGCAGTCTTGGTGAATCTTGTTCTATGTGGGGGCGGGCTATACCCGGCTCGGCGGAGTTGATGGTATGCGATGGCATAGCGAATCCATCGTGACGAGGTTTACTTCTAGAAGGTCAGCCAAGGGTGCATGTCACGCGAGCTCGAGCCGGTGGCGGGTCCACGGCACCTCTTCCTGACGGGAAGGTGACTCCGGAAATCGATGTATGACAGGGATCCGACTCACTTAACACTTACCTGAGATGACTTCTGGTCCCCAGTAGCATTGAATAAGCTGTAAAGATCTACACGAGGTCAAAGTGCAAATCCGGCAGTCTCCGGTCCGAGTGTCGGGATGCAAGATAGCTGCATACACTGGACCCTTAGACCCTTATGGTACTAGCATTACCCTCCAAACTAGGGATACCATAGATTTGACTCACACGCCGTCGATAACCATCAGATGACAACCGGTCAGACGAGGCTTCGAAGCAAACCAACTCCCATACCACTGACTTTGTGAATGTGGTAGGATTTCGCGCAATAGTTGCCAACGGCCATGTAACGGTATAGGACCCTACCAGATGTCAGAGCGTCATAGACCGGGGTCATTTTCTTGAAAGACAGCCTAGCTAGAAGTACTCTTGGTTCATGCGCCCAAATCAGACGATAGGTACCTTTGGCAGCTGCAGATGCGGGCTACCAGGTTGTCGAGTATTGACGACGGGCCTTTGGACAGCGGTTATGATGGTGGACAAGAGATGGCACATTCTCTTCGAAGCTTAGCTATACGCTTGGCATGCAAGACGTGATGTGCTTGGCACAACGGCCCAGGTGCTTAAGACAGGAACAGGCAATATATAGGCCTTGGCACGAGACAAACTACAGCCAAATAGCGGTGTTCGTTCCATACGACGTCGAGATAAGGTGGAGGCGCTTGCAGTCGATGTAACTCGAGATCGAGTCTAACGATTGAGCTTATTATTAGTAGTACGAGGAAAGGGAACAGTAGGTGGTGGTATGAGTGGAATGATGGAGCCGTTGTGTGGGGTCTGGGGCATAATGACCTGCCACTTTCAGCGCTGGTACCGAGATGTGCAGTACGGAGTGTCGGGCGCAGTGATTTGGTTAGGCATGTTGTTCACTTGGGCATGACACCCAAATCCCATTCCTCTCTGTTGACAGATACTCTTGAAATAGAAATGACTAACTATCTTGTGCCGCTATCCGATGAGCGATATACTGCGAAAGGAAGTAGCCCTGGAGACACCACATAGAGTTCCAGTGGAATACGAGTTGACTACTAATACTTGCACAACAAATTGAGCGGGAACAAAAAAAAAAAATTTCCAGTCTAGTCAAACATGCAGTGATGACTGGAGCAGATTTACTGGAAATCATGAAACTTTTATCAAATAACAGATCAGGTAGAGTTCGACTATGGCTCCCCCGTCAGTGATCGCATTCAACCTGGAGCCAACCAGACTCAAGAGTTACGTTAGGGCGCAACGTGAACTGTTATTAGTGCACTAGTCAGTGGTCTCACCAATCGGAGAATTTTAGATAAGCTTCTCTCATGCTGCATGCAGTGATCCTACCGCATCCTGACAGCATCTGGGGGCGCATTCTCCAGCCAGGGAACCGACGGCATTTTGGTGCTTGGCTTCTTTTACGCCTTGAGACAGTCTGATGCTGTCATTCACGTTCTGTGGTTGAAGACAAGAACGCCAACGGTGCGATAACCGCCATGTCTGACTGCAGCAGGTCTGTGCCGATTGTCAGCAACTTGATACACAGTAGTTGCAAGTGCTGATGATCTTGAGAATTTGCATTCCCAGAAAGACCGAGAGATGTGAAAGTAGGCACCCTGGCGGCCACCTTGATGGACACTTGAATAGACATAAAACCCGCAAGATATCTCGGGCTGTCCTTACGCTTCTTTCTGTCCTTCTTTCCCTCCTATGCCGCCGTTGGAACGAAACCTTGAGACCAAACCCCAGCAGTAAGACCCTAGTCGCGCCTCCTGCTGTTTTGGGCATCCGTGCCCGTCACCTGCAGCTAGAGTTAGTGCACTTGAGCTGCCGCCAGCACAGCATAGTACCACAGTAAGTGACCTAAGATACGGTAGCAGCCGTCCATGGGGCACTCTTACCAAGGTGGACACAAGAAAGCCACCTTGGTGCCGAGTCAGGTCCAATATCCTTAAGCACCTACCCGAACGAGACGCCTTTTCCCCGCCTTCGCCCAATCATTCCACCGAAACGGCATCAACGCTATTGCAAGCCGATGTAACGCAGCTGAAGTCACCTAGGAGGCTTAAACGCTGAAGACTAAGGTAAATGGAGCATCACTGGTCTGGCCTTGGTGAAAACTAAACCTCATCCTTTAGCGATGTGACGGGATGCATACGACAAGCGGTGACAACGAGAGCAGACTATGGGTCTGGAACTCACTGATGAGAAAGCGAACCGTATCCCCAGACCACTTGCGCCCAAGGTGGTGGGCATCATGATAAGCCTGCATCGAAGGAATATGAGCAGTGTCTCACTTTATGCTGGTTAGCCGAGGAGCCATGTGTTGTATAGTGGTTTCCAAGTAGACGTATCATGGTTTGTTCTTGAGGCAGGCTTACACATCACCGTCTGTAAGTTTCTGCTGCCCCCCAGTGCTTGATGCAGCCCGGCACGATTGGGTCACCATCTTGGACGAAGTTTGATAAGCAAGAGACCTGGAAATCAATCCAATTGGAAAGAGACGTGTACTGTTTTTTTCTTGTAAGTGTTGCTCACGTGCTTCCCTGAATATGGTGTTCTCAGCAGCAGGGATGAATGGTGGAAGACCATCAGTGGTCCCACGAAACTGCACTATGGGCGTCCGCATTCAGTGGAATAGCCCCTAAAGCTGAGCGGCACGGAGACGCTACGCACCGATCTATACAGAGCAATCAAACGCACCCCGGGTATGGTTGTGCACTTGAACAAACAAAACTATAGAGCTTGTGGTATGTCAATTAACGAGCACATGAAATGTCAAAATGCAATGGGGCTATATCTCTCGCAACACACCCGCAATGCCCTCAATCACAGTAGATGCACCTGCCCGGGTCAACAGAGAAGGAGAAGCAAAAACACCAATATCGATGGCTTGGCCATGCGCTGCCGCTTCGATGTCCACCGCATCCTGTAGCCTCTCATCAGCTTATTTCTAGAGAAGGACCCATCATTCAACTTACGATGTATGCATCTGCCGTGCTATTTTCTGCCAGCCACGTATCTCCCGGATGAGCGAGCTTCCTCCATTCGATCAAATTGTCCTGACTATCCTTGGGGACAGTAGATGTGGTATCGCGAAGCTGAATATCGCTTGCCTCATCATCTAAGGTCTGTTCTGGAAGACTCAAGAAATTGACAAAAGAGTCGACCTTAACACCTGTCCATCGCGCAATCTCCCACAAACCCGCTGACGCGTTCTCAAACGAGTTGATGTCCAGTAAATCAGCCTGTATCTGCTTGGCTACTTGTATCACTGTGTCTTCGTCTCTATATCTGACTCTAAGCGGAACAATGTTCAAAGTTGGAAAAGGCAGGTCCTGCAAGGACTCGTCGAAGGAAGCTCGGTTTGCCAAATAGATGCCAAATATCACATCTCGGTATTGAGATTCGGAATCTAAAGATGCTTGAGAGATGTTGACAAGCACTTTTGCATAAGCCGCGAAGAACAATGCCTGTAGGCCGATGCCATTGGCTGACACTGCATCCTTGAGCTTAGTAATGTCAACAACCGAAGGCCGGAATACGGCAGTGCGTGACATTTCGTCAGATGTATTTCTTGCAAGGTGTTTCTGAGAGGCGAATCCATCGAGATAGGCTTTCCAGAAGATCTCTCGCTTTCTACTGGTGGTGTTTCCGTAATGGTCCGATACAAACTTTTCCCATATCGAGCAGCTGAAACCAGCGGGAGGCGGCTTGGGTTTGCACAAGACCTTGAGGCGGTTGGTGATACTGGGTAGGCTTACGCCATCATAGAGTGCGTGGTGGATCTTGAGCGTCAACATGTTCATACCCTCGGAGGCTGTTGAAACACACAGCGAAACGAAGGGGCTGCTGTCAAACTGTATCTGGTTGTTCGTTACTATGCAGTTGTCCGTTGAACACACGTACTCAGCACTTTGGATGATCTGAACAAATGGCATTTCAGGAGACCCGGTTGCGACAAAAGAGGTCCTCAGGATAGGGAGCTCAGATACCAGTGTGGCCCAGGAGGCTTGTATCGTTTCTTGCGAGATCTTCCCATGTAGGTCGTAGGAAAACTCATTGAAGAACAGATTGCCTCGGCTATTTATCCAGGTGGACAACATGTAAACTTGCACTGGGAGAGCAGGGAGCACCCTTTCAACTGATTTTGAGTCAATCCCAGACTTTGCTAGGAGTGCTGTAATGTCGACATCCTCCAGAGGGTTCTCCAAAGTGGTTGTCTGTCGAGAAGCCTCATCTGGCTCACTTCTGTTGTTTTCAAGCGCAATATGTCTGATAGATGCGGCCTTAACCATGTCTCTTACAGAAACAAGTATGCCATGCCTCCGAAGGAGGGAGCTTGCTTTGATGGCGCTGATCGAGTCCAACCCAAGATGGTAGATCGTTTGAGAGGGCAAAATCATCGATCGTTCCACGCCGGACACTTCGGCTAGAACATCAACAACCTTAGATTCTCTGCTAGACCAAGCGGGGGTCTTAAGTTGGGACGAGTAACTCTCAGTCTCCACATGTTGGCCTTTTGCTGTTAGGGCAAAGAAGGGTAAACCGCATACAGAAACGGAAGTGCCATCAGGAGTGAACTGAAGCATTTCTGCCTTTCCATCGCTCATAAGGTGCAGGAGGACATGGTCTAGCTGATCAGTGATCGCCTGGATGTTTTCCATGCTAATGTAACGCTCATCGGCTGCGAGCCTCCAGATCAGCTTGCCTGAGACCAATTCCATTTCGATACACAGTGGATACTCCACTTCCGAGGCAGACCTCACCGATTTCCAGATAGCATGATCACTTCCATCACTCCCGTTCAAGCTGGTGCTGGCCTGCATAGTGAATAGAGCATTGAAGAGAGGACTGCCGCTACGGTTGACAAGTGCTTGGGCCTTTCGCAGTGGGAAGTGTTGAAATTCGTTGATGTTAGTCAAGTTTTCCCACATGTACTGCAGATATTCTGCGGCAGTGCCATGCAAGATGGCTCTGACAGGCACGGTATTCATTGTCGGAAAACGCAGATCTTGAGTATCCTCGTTATCCCTGCCCGAGATGACGACGCCCAAGATTACGTTGAGTGATTTGACCAGAGTCGCCAGGACAGCTGCAGAACAAGCTTGTCCAAGAGTTTGTGCTGTAATATGGCGACGCATACAGAACTCTCTAATCTCCCGTGACGATACCCGGGATGGTGCTTCTGACTTATGGACCAAAGGAATATGGCCGTAATGGTGCTCGGTGTCTTCGGGTAGCGTGGTTGGTTGGGCATCACGGAGGTAATCTGCCCAAAACCCATCTGCATCGTCTGATGCACTGGAAATGATCCTGGCCAGTGCTGGATGACACGGTTTTTGAGGGCCGTATTGCCGATAGTACGCCTCCTGAACATCGCGGTGGAACATGTCAAGGGACGCTCCATCATACAAGGCGTGCGCGATTGACAAGACGAGGTACTGACGCTCTGCTACCTCGACCGGAGTAAGCTGCAGAAGCTCCAAGCGACCACCTGAGTTGAGCGCCCTTTGACGTGTGCTTTCAATGGCCAGCCCCACGTCCTTTAGGTCCTCGAGTAATATCTTCTCCTTGAAAGGGTTGACGTCGTTGAAGATAACTTGACAGTACGCAAAGTTGAGTGCTGGATCGTCGACTTGAACGAAACCTGTTCGCAAGATAGGACAATTCTTGATAACCAAACGTATAGCCGACCGCAGAGCAACCAAATCCACGCTTTCTGAAATCTCAAGCACATCGTGGTTGAAATACCTAGAGAAATCTGAAAGGACCATCTCAGCTACCATTGAGTCTTGCAGTGGTGTTGGGGGTAAGACATCTTCAATGGCTTGAAGCTCATGGCCATTGTCTCCCAAGTATCTTCTTAGATGATCTTGGACAGAGAGGAGTCTTTCGGCTCCAGGCAATGCATGACCATTGACTGATCTTTCTGTTTCACTGCAAGCTACGATACCCCGGATAGATGGCTGCTTCATGAGTTGACTGGTGGTAACATTGACTTCGATGCGGCGCAGTCGGGCAACAAGTCTGATCGCATCGATACTGTCTAGCCCAATTTCCAGAAGCGTGGTATCTTCTGTGACATCATCGCATGGGATGTCGGACAGCGCAGCGATCTCTCCTTGTATTTCGCGAGCTTTGGGAGACCACACAAAATCTCCCATCTGCGTGTTCGATAACGCTGCACGGATCCCTATGCCATTCGTATAGGGTTTAGAAGGTGGGCGCTGGATGTTGTGCGGCTGTGGAAGCTCATCTTCAGACTCCATTCCGGCCAGCGTTCGACCCAGTGTTTCAAGCAGACTATTCAGAAGACTATCATCGGCAATATCCCTTCGCGCTGCGATAGTGATATTTAGCTTATGGTGCTTCGTAACGACACCCTCAAAAGCAAGTGGAAAGTCTGCTGTGGATGTTGAGGTGACATCTGTCCAGGGGGTATTGTCTGTGTCTCTTGAAGGGCCATCATCACGTTCAAACGTAAACAGGTTGTCAAACAATGGTTGACCGTTGGAACACCACTTCTGCACTTGTCGTAAAGGTACGTGTGCGAAGTCCAATGCTTTAGCGTTGAATCTGTGGATTTCGTGGAGCAAAGATGTCCAGGTCTCAATCGAAGTATGTCTGAGCCGGAAAGGAATTGTGTTGAAAAGAGGACCAACGATGTTTTCGGCTCCCTGTAGTAGTAGTGACCGGCCAGAGATCACTATACCCATCGAAGGCCAGATTCCAAAGTGTTGTCTCAACGTGGACAGCCACGCAGCCTGCACGATGGTCTGCTGTGTCACGCCAAGAGCAATTCGTTTGCGTTCCAAGTCAGCTATGCTGTAGGATGTGAAAACTTGCGAGTCACCAGCCCCAGTCCCAAGGGCTTTTAGGACAGGTTCTAATGTGAATCCACTGAACAAGGCCGTCCAAAAAGGCTTGGAATGGCTGTAATCGCATAAAGGCCCATGCGGTAGTGCTTCGATGAATGGAGGCCCCATCGGAAGCTCAACTTGGTTATACGCGGCAGAGAGCTGTTTTATGATCAAATCAAAGCTTCTCGCATCGTATATGCCATGGAACACTCGAACTACCATCAGATTCATACCACCGTGCTGAATGCAGTCGACCTCGAGAGCTATGCTGAGTTTCTCGTCGTTGGACCGCACCCACGAATCGTAACGTTGCTCAATGTGCTCTTCGAGTTCTCTTTCCTCAACCGCAGTGTGGTGCCATTTTATCTGTTGTCCTTTGAGAGCCACTTGGATATAACTCTCAGTCGTCTCGAGGAATGAAGTTCGTAAGATAGGATGGTGATCAACCAGACTTTGCCAAGCCTCCTTGAGCCGGGCGATTGAGGCGTCTGGTGAAAGTTTGAATCTGAATGAGTTATAGTACGTACTTCGTCCCTTTGACTTGGCCGACCTAATAAGCATTCCCTCCTGGAGAGGCGTGCAAGGCGCTATGTACTGCACCTCCGGCGGCGTGGTCTTCAGTGCACGACAGGCCATACCAAGGTACCGATGATAATATCCTGATATTTTCTGGTTGATACGTAGGGCCTCGCCTTCGTCCTTTGTCGCCATGTCGTTCTTCAGAATTGTGGCCAAGTCGTTGAGGCGTGGGTGCTGAAGAATCATTGATGGGGCAACACCAAGAAACCCGGCAGCGCCAAGTCGACGAGCGAGCTCTATTACCGTTATCGAATCTACTCCAAGCTCGAAAATGGTCGAGAAAGAAGAGATAGAATGAATCTCAATATTAGTGACATTTGATATAACTTCGGCAAGTTTCGGTTCTACTTGGTGGAGTAGAGCACTTCCATTGCCCGACGAGGATGCGATAGCCCTAAGTTGATCTGCTGAAAGACTATTGAAAATCTGCTTAAGGATACCTGTTTGAGCTTTGTTGTTCGCGGATAACGGGATGTATGGAACACAGAGCACATAGGTGGGAACCATGTAACCTGGCAGCTTAGCACGACATGCATCCTGAGCCTCCGAGGAGAGCCTGTGGCTTTCGTGGTCACCAAGTACCTCAAGATTATGTGCATGGTCGCTGTTCGAATCAATAACAATGAATGAAACCATCACATCCCTGTCGTGACCCTGGTGCTTGGTGACCAAGGTAGCCACGTCCATTATACGCGGGACGCCAGACTTTATGGCATGGTTGACCTCGCCGATCTCAAGACGCTGGCCACGAAGTTTGACTTGGTCGTCAGCTCGGCCAAGAAAGTCAAAACACCCGTCGTGAAGGACTCTGACGAGATCGCCCGTACGATAAACACGCTCGTTAAATCTTTCCAGTAGGGGAAATCGTTCTTTGCTGAGATCCTCGCGGTTCAAGTAGCCTTTGCCGACCAGCTTCCCCGAAACGCATAGCTCCCCGATGCCGCCTCTCAACACAGGGACATCCAAGCCGGGCTGAAGGACATAGGACCCGACGTTGGGGAATTGTCTACCGATGTTTGTTGCCCGTCCATTTTGGGGTACCCTGCAATACATCGTAACGCCGATAGTTGCCTCGGTAGGCCCATAAGCATTGTAAATGACCCCTTTCGAACCCCAGACATCGAGAACATCTTGCCGGAGCTGCTCACCACCAGTAATGAAGACGCCCCTACATAGGCTAGGTACTTCGTCTGGATGAACAAGACGGGCGAGGCTGGGTGTCAAGTCTATGTGGGTGATCTCGAGTTTGGAAATTGTGGCTATTAAGTCACTCAAGATGAGATCTCGTGGTGCTGAGATGACAGGAATACCAACGGACCACGGCCAGTACTGTTCCAGAACCGAAACATCGAAATGGAAAGACGCAAATTGTAGCCATCGTGAACTTTCGTCCCAGTGGCCAGCAAAAAGTCCTTGAAACGCGAGTATTGCTTGAACAGCATTATCATGTGTGATAAGGCAGCCCTTGGGTGTGCCCGTTGTTCCACTTGTGTAGAGACAGTAGCAAGTATCGTCTGGCTCAATTTGAGTGAGGTCCAGGGTATCTCCGGCATATATGCTAAGATCCGTGGCGCTCACCTCGAGGACAGGACAAGGTGGGTTGAAAGTCAGATCCGAGGATGTCCCTTCTTTGATCATAAGCGCCAGTGCCTGGGAGTCATGCAGGATGAACTCGTGCCGAGAAGCTGGAGCACTTGGATCAAGTGCAACGAACGCGCAACCCGCTTTGAGGACACCAAGAATTGTGAAATACGCTTCGGGGCATTTGTCGAAGCATGTGGCAACGATGCCACCTGCTGTGATTCCATTCGCAATCAACAGCCGCGCGACCCGATTTCCAATTTGATCTAAATCTTGGTAAGACCAGCGCTGGCTATGAACGTCTCCGGCAATAGCGTCCACGAACTCTAACGCCAGAGCATCCGGAGAGTTGGCTGCAGTGTGCTCCACAAACTGGTGTAGGAATGCCGCTCGGGTGGGCAATTCACTACACTTCGCTGGCAGTATAGAGTGAAGTTCAGGGCATCCAGCTACTAGGTCCTTTGCCTGACTATCAGGTGCTTTCAACAGGTGAAGAAGCGATGCATCGAATTGTGCCAAGAGCAACTCAGCTTGCTCAGTAGGAAGCAAGTCAACCCGGAAGTCGATACTGAAATCAAGACTTCCAGTCAATTCTTCTTCGACTTCAATCGAGATTGGGTAGTCTATGGTCGCTTTTTCGCTCACGACTTTCCATGGGAAGCGGCCATCAGCGTCAAGCGCCCCTTGCTGATAGACCAAAATGGTGTCAAATATCGAGGTTTCTGTGTAGCCGATCCATTTCTGAATTTTCGTCAATGGAACATGTTCGTATCGCCTCAAAGTTGCATTAAAATCCATCATGGACTGGAGAAGTTGTCGGTTCGTGGCGTGGTTTTGAGCCACGATGGGCAGGGTTGTGATGCAGGGAATTAGCGCCTGTTCCAAGTCATTTGCGGAGCGCCCTGATAGGACTATGCCAAACGTAACAGTATGCTCCCCGTGGTAAGACGACAGGACTCTTGTCCAAGCAGCTTGAAGAGCAGCTTGGACCGTAACACCTAATGTCATTGCACTATCTCGTAGCTGTTGAAGTAAGGCACCGGACTTCCTGGTTACTCGGTTTCTCTCCCGCGAGGAGATGCGTAATGGTGTCATGGTCGGAAAGGAGTTGACGACAATACCAGGCGATATGTTTTTCCAGAATTCGATGGCTTCCTTGTCTTGGCTTGATACATGTTCAAGGATAGATGATATTGCAGTTTTCATCGGAACTGGGGACCCAACTTCTACATTTGTGAAGAGTTGGAACAGCTCAATAAGCAGCCTCTGCAATGAGAATGCATCATACAAAGCATGGTGCATTCCCAAGTGCATCGACTTCGATCCGCTACTCTCTAGCAAGACAACTTCCCAGGGTGGCTTAGTCAAATTAGACAATGCCTCCACGGTACATTTGGTCTGCCACGTATTGACGTCAAAAGCTTCTGCTTGCTCCACGGTGAGATGCTTCACCTGCGCAGATGCTCGTGGGTTTCTATACACCATCATACTGAATGCAGCATCTGGATGAGAAACCGGCGCAAAGCCAGTGCGGAGAATCTGATGGCGGTCTGCAAGTTGCACCCACGCATCTTTCAAACGCTGGCAATCCAAGTTGGAGTCAAGTCTCCAACTTACGAAGTTGAAATAGCTATTCCCTTCTGACAGTATGAATTGTGAGATCATACCCTGCTGAGTCGGTGTGCAAGGTAGGACAAGCTCCAGGTCGGACAATAACGTCGACTCGTCCAGTTGTCCGGTGACAGCCTGGTGGAATGCTTCGAAATCGTAGCTGGGCCTGGGATTATGCAAACCTGGAGCCAAGCTCGTCGAACAGGATACAATGCCAGCGCATGTGGGATTCATCAGCACCCCTGCCGGCGTAATATTAATTCCACTTTCTCGCAGAAGATTGGAAAGTTGAACCGCGCTGATGCTGTCCAAGCCAAGCCGGTGAATTGAAGTATGTTTTCCGATCCCGATTATAGGAACAGCGGCTAGCGTGCCGATGAGGGTACGAACTTGTGTTTCTTTCTCGCTCCACGGTTCGCTCAAAGCATCTTGACTGGCATTGTTTTCGCCTACTGAGGTTGATCTGCGAGGTTTGAGGGAATTTATAGCTTGGATATGTGAGTGCAAACCATTGGGCAAAATCCATTCAAGACTAGCATGCGAGGCCGGATATTGAAGACAGAATTGTAACGCATGAGAAAAGACCTCACTGAGGAGATTGCACATAGCGGTAGAAATGGAATCACTGTATTTCATCAGTCATCGACAGATAGAAGGCAATCACGTTACTTTTCACTTACGGGTTTCGATGGATGTTGATCGTCAGCTTATCGTTTTCCGCCGACGGAATTGCTTCGCAGACCACAGGGACCTTGCCAGCTATTATCAGCCTACCTGTCAAAGGGTAAAAGTTGAGTTGGACTTACATCCATGGTGCCATGATCTTGCTCAAGAATCCAGATGTCCTTATTCAATGACTGCGCTGGTGGTTGCAACAGGAGCAGTGTATCAAACAAACTGGTGTCGCCCAATTGATGCATCAGAGACTGAATCCTCCGCAGTGGCGTAAACTGAAATGGTAACATAGTTGCGCTGAGGCTTTGACATCTTCTCATGAGTTCCCGGTTCGAGTTGACGTCAGATATCCTGATTCTGATTGGGATCGTGTTAAAACAAGGAGCGACCAGCCTTTCGACATCATCCACTGGGATGGATCTCCCGTTGTAGACATTCCCAAAACAGACGTCAGGTGTTCCTGAGACGGTTGCCAGGGTTTCCGCCCACGCTGCCTGACATAATGACAATAGAGACACCCCAATTTCACGCAATCGTGTCTCAATTGAGGATAAGGTAAGATCGAAACTGTTAGGGGTTGAAGACGAGAATCCATTTGCACCGTTGGCGTGAATTGAAACGTCTTGGGGTATACAACTCAGCTGGAATCCATCTAGATGCTCCATCCAGAATTCATCGGTGTTGTCTGATGTTGAAAGAGATTCTTGAAGAAATGGTTTCAAACAAGGAGCCGGGAGAAGTTTCTGCCCTACCGCGAGATCCTCGATTTCAGATAGCAGGATGCTCACAGCCATTCCGTCGTATAATGCATGATGACATACAAAAGAGATGTAGTTGTCACCAGTAGAAGTACTGATGATAGCCAGATCCAGAGGCGGTTCTAGCGTGTTCACGGCACCAGGCAAGGAATCCAAATGGCGCAAAGCACATTCATCCAAATCTGTAGTTGAAAGTCGTCTCCAACGGAAGGGCTGTCTCGGAAGTACTGCTTGTACGAATGGGTATAGAATGTGATTTGTAGACATGAAGCAGGTCCGAAGTATCTCGTGGCGGAGACGCATGTGATCCCAGTGGGCCATGATATCGTCGGGGGCTATGTGAAGACGGAATAACATCTGATTACGATAAGCTGGCCCATCTCCAGTCGTCATAGAGGATGCAAGCATAGCTGACTGCAAGGGTGTACATGGTAGCAGGGTTTCAGCGTTCTTTCCCTGTTTAGCTAGCTGTGCTTGCAGAATCTCGGCCAAATCGGCTGGTAGCAGATCCGATTGACGGCCCTTCTTATTGCTTTGAGTCTGAGATTCGGCGACAGACCTAGCAAGGCGGCTGACACTAGGATTCTGAAGAATCTGTGACAAAGGTATGCGCCGGTGGAACTTTTCTTGAAGCTTCCTGGATAGGGGCATCGCCGATATCGAATCCAAGCCGAGCGTAGTAAATGAAGACCAGCGGCCCACCAAGCTTCTGCTTACCCTGAGTACCGCAACTAGGGCATCTGCGATCATCTTTTCCGCATCGCTCCACTCCGTCGATGCATCTTCAGGTTGCGTTAACAGGCTGCATTGGTCAAGTGTCTCTTGTGATAGGGCTGAGGTAGAGCATCGCAGTTGCTCGCCATCCGTTTTGCCTGAGGAGGTCATAGGTAAGCATGAAATAGGGAAAACAAGTGATGGGATCATATAGCTTGGCAAGGACTCCTCGAGCTTTTCACCTATAATCCTCATTTCATCTTTCCTCGACGTGGCCAAGGGAAGGAACTCGAATGTATGACTACCCTCCTGGGCAGGAACGTAAAATAGAACAAGTTGTTGAGACTTTGCATTCTGATGGTTCAGCACCACACACGAGCAGGCCTTGGCCACCCCTGTCTCCATAGCCAGCGACTGTATCTCGTGAAGCTCAATACGTTGGCCTCTGAGCTTTACTTGAGAGTCCAATCGTCCCAGGATTATAAGTGACCTATCCGGTAGCATACGGCCGAGGTCGCCGGAACGGTATATGCGCCCAAACTTGGGATGGTCGAAGAACTTGGAGCTTGTCAGTTCAGGCATATTCAAGTACCCAGATGCGACTTGATCTCCTCCAAAACAGAGTTCGCCGAGACATCCTATTGGCACAAGGGAATCTGAGTTAGGGTAAAGAACGAAAGACGATGTGTTTTCGAAGGACCATCCTAAATACTGAGACGAATCGCCGGGAGAGACTTTTCTCACTGTGCAAATGTTTGTCGTCTCAGAGGGACCATATCCTAGTTGACTTAGCCAAGACAGACGCATAGAGGGACTTGAATTGAGCTTGTAGAAACACACCTTGGTAAAGGAACGACGCCCACCTATTGAGCACCTCGTCGGTCATGGGTTCGCCGGAAGTGACCAGGAAAGTCACGAGTGGTACGTTCCTCGGGTCCAACAACGATGCCACGGTGACTGTCATGCTGAGGTGCGTAATCCGGTGTTGCCGGATGAAACCTTCTAGATTGTTGAAGAGTGTATCATTCGTAGCGCCGCAGAGAGTCATGCCAGTTATCCAGGCGAAGAAGATCTCAAAAACGGAGACATCAAAAGCCTGTGAGCAGGCTTGAAGCATTCTTGATCTTTGGTCGTATGGGTAGATACGAGACAAGACTTCAATGTTACTTAACATATTCTTGTTTGTGACAGCAACTCCCTTGGGTGCTCCTGTTGTGCCACTCGTAAATATGACATAGGCTGTCTGACTTGAGTCCCGAGGAACATCAACGTTCGAAGTACCAAAGCATTTCAATTCGTCGACGTTGACATTGATGATACCGCATGGCAGCGGTAGTGATTTCCATTGTATATTATGGTCAGTGATGCATAGCTGAGGCTGCGCCCGCTCGAATATCAGCCGTACTCTGTTTGCGGGTGTTGTTGGGAGAAGTGGTAGGTAGGCGCAACCAGTTTTCAGAATGCCCAATATCCCACAGTATAGCGCGGGTGACTTTTCCATGATAATCGCAACAATACCGCCAGGAGTAACTCCGGATGCCATCAGGTATCGGGCTATTTGGTTGGAAGTCTTGTTCAGTTGCTCGTACGTTATTGACTCGCAACCTTTAGCAGCTGTTGTTGAATGAACGAAAGACAGGGCCATTGCCTGTGGTTGCCGTTCTGCTGTTATCTCAACAGCTTCAGCAAGGCTGGAGCACGTTTCAACCGATCTTAGCCCTGATGTATATGATGATAGATTGAGGTTGTCGAATGCGTGCCGTAAAGAAGCTATTGGCAAGGTTACATTTTGAGCAAAAGTCCGACTTAGAGCTTCAAAATGTGTTGCAAACGTCTTAACTTGGCATTCGGAGTAAGCATCAGAGTGCCATGTCCATTGGCAGTTGAAATTGTCCCCGCGTGGCTCGATTTCAAGTAGTAGCTTGGTCTCAAGATTGTCTTTATGGGATACTTCGCTGACGGCTCGTGCCCTCGCCCGTCGACTGGACAGTGTTTCTTGGTAGACCAGTAAGATGTCGAAGAGCTTACTGTTAGGTGTCATCCCGGCAGCTCGTTTGATCTCCGCAAGGCTAAGAGAAGCCAGATTCATGACGTGACGATTTGTGGTATGGATGCTGTGAACGACATCGTGGACAGTGCTTGATTCGGCAAGATTCACCCTGATTGGAAATGTACTCAGACACGGACCCATGACTCGCTCGATGCCCGAGACGGGTGATGTTCGCCCAGAGAAAACAGTGCCAGTGGAGACATCCTCAATGCCGTTGATGGCGGCCCAAAGCCAGGAGATGCATCCTTGAAATATCGCTTGAGGGCTCACCCCTGACTCAAGGGCTAATGTCCTCACAACTTGAGGGCGTATACTCAGGGTAAAAGACGCAGTGAGAATTTGGGGGGTCGGTACTGATGTTGTCCTAAAGTTTGGCAACAGACTTCCTGAGAATCCTCGAAGAAAATCTGCCCAAAATTCGTTGGATGCAGCCTTGCCGACGTCGCTGGTAGCTCTGGAAACTGACGAGGCGATTTCGGAAAATTGGGGTCTTTGGGGAAGATTACCTCCTCGTGCCAAAGAAGATAAATCATCGAGGATCAAATCAAATGTCCAGCCATCATACACTGCATGATGAATCGTTATTCGAGCGGTCCGTGTATCACTCTTCATTTCGACCTGGAGAGGGTGCTCGAGGAATGATTCAATGTTCATGAAAGCTTCCTGGGAAAATTCATCGACGGTCACAATCTGCGACGTGGAAAGCTGTTTCCATATGACTTGAACCAGATCGGTACCCAGATGAATGAAGCCCGAGCGAAGGATTTCGTTTCGATGGGCCAGTTGGAAAAACCAAGACCTCACTTCTTCGTGCGTAATAGTCTGCGCAAACTGAACCTCCATAGTGTTCACATATAGTCTTTGATCTTTCAGGGTTTCTGCAAGCATCGCGGATTGAAGAGCTGTAGGCTCCGTGAACCGTTCGATGCTATCGGCCTTCAGAGCGTGCGCCGGGTTACCCTGCAAAGTAGTGAACAGATTTGGCTGGTCAGCTTCGTGGGGCTGATCGATGCTCAGCATCGCTTGCGTTCTGTTCGCTCCCCTGGACTTGATGCGATCTAGCAATTCAGACACCGTAGCAGCTGCCAAAACATCCAAGGCGCTGACTGAAAAGTTTTTCTGCTTCAGCTGCGCCGCCACTTGAATGGCCGAGAGCGAGTCAAGCCCGACTGAATGTAATCTGGTAGACTTGCGTATTGATACTGCCAGCACGTCATGGAGAGCTTCACATAACGCCTTCTCAGTCTCATCAACGTTTTCTATGGGCGGTTCCGTCATATCAGATTGGAGGTTGACGTAGTCTTGCTTTAATCTGACGCGGTCGATTTTCCCTGATGGTAACCTTGGAAACGAATTCGTGATTATGAAGTCCGCGGGTACCATGAAAGATGGTAGCCAATCCTTGCAGGTTTTCGCGACCCGGTCTTTCATTCCGTCAACATTCTCAACCGCTGCAAAGGCGATCAAGACGTTGGTTAAAACGCATACGAAGGCACTATGGCAACCAGGAGTGCGTAGGACGGCATGTTCAATCTCTCCCAGCTCCAGTCGCTGGCCGTTCAGCTTGATCTGGCCCTCAGCAACTCGGCCGAAACATTCGATGGTTCCATCTGCGGTTATTCTGGCCTTATCTCCAGTCTTATAGACTCTTCCGTATTCCGTATCAATGAAAGCAGCCGCCGTCTGATCTGGTCTGTTCAGGTAACCGTCCGCTAGTTGATGCCCACCAACAACTAGCTCGCCTATTTCACCAATAGGGACCAAATCGAAATGTTTCTCTTTTCCTTCATCGTCCTGGATTCCGATGACAAATGCAGAGACGGTTTCCAATGGAACACCAATACATCTTGGCGATGTTTCCTTTCCGAATGCTGTTTGTAGTGTACTAAGACATCGAGTGAGTAGTATGTCTATAAGTTCATGCTGTCGAATACTTACCAGTGAATTGCCGCCTCCGTTGGGCCGTACATCCCCCAAAGGATACTTGGCATCTCCTTCTTTCCGCCAAATTCGCTTACCACCGGCAAAGTCAACATCTCACCTATCGTTAGGAGAAGTCTCAAATGGGGAGCATTTTCTCTAGTCCTGAGTAGACTACCAGCAACAGACGGCGTCAATTCACAGGCATCTACTTCCATCTTCCCCAGGACACCAGGGAGGTCAGCCAACAAATCGGCTCTGCTGCAACATATTAAGGTACTGCCTCTAAACAGGGGAAAGAATATCTCGAACACCGAGACATCGAAGGTTGGGGCTGCGAACTGAAGAAAGCGTGAAAATTCCGGAATGTGAGCATCGTGTGCCAGTAAACTCTGAGTTACAGCAAGATGAGAGACCCCTACGCCCTTGGGAGTTCCTGTGGAGCCAGAGGTATACATCACATATGCCAGGTCCTGTCCATGGGGCGTCCGGAAGTTGCTCGATGACGGGCTTTCCTTGACTTTCACCGTCACGGTGGCATGGTCATCATCGATGGTCAGTATCCTTAAGCCTGGATCCGTAGTTGAGATTTTGTCTTTCAGTTCGGGCGTGGCCAAGACGAGGTGGGCACTGATGTCACCAAGGATAAACTTGATTCGCTCGACTGGGGCGTCAAGGTTCAGTGCGCAGAATGCGGCTCCAGATTTGAGGATCGCAACCATGGCAATGTAGAGTTGAGGGCTTTGAGGTATCATAAGGGGAATAACGAGACGTCGTCCAGGGATTTTCGTCTCGAGCGTCGCCAGTTCGCGGGAAATGCGTCGCGAAAGTTGGTCTGATAATATCTCGAATTCTTCGTACGAGTACGCAACTCGTTCTCCCTTGGTGTCGACATAATCGATAGCCGGGCCGTTTTTGACGCTCGATCGACAGATGAGTTCATGTAGTAGCGTTGGGCCAGGGAGCGTCCTGGGGTTCGGGTTGATAATGGAGAGTCCCTCCGCCTGTGACAGTTGTCCCATGTTGGACAGCTGGAATCCAGGGTGGTCTGGGGTGCTTCCAGCTTGGCGACTCGGTGGCACGCCAATAATTGTGATAATCTGCAATGAGAACTGGCGTGTGAATTCATGGAGTAGACCCGTAGAGGCTCCCCAGGCAATTCGTAATCCGGCAAATATGATTGGGTGGCTCCGGACATATCACCTATATAGGCAATCACGCTTGTGAGCTTGAGGCTGATACCTGCGCCGTCAGTCCAACCGTTTGGGCCTGTCGTGCTCGTCCAATCAACTTAGACGTGATATGGAAGGCTCCAGGAAACAGTGCAGTGGTGGTGTTATTCACTCCTTGCTGATGCTTGTAACCGTTGGACGTGCAGCTTCGGGTGCGGCGCGGGCTGCCGAGATATGCAGTGCCCTGCAAGTCGAGTTGAGGATAGCTCGGATGCAGAGCGAGCAGTTGAGCACTTGGGTATACTTCAACTCGGGGGTTGTAATTGATGACAGTCTAAGCAGGCAGCCAGGAACATGATTATCTGTACGTCGCACGTCGCAAGTTCGAAGTCGCATAGCACCGGGATAAGCCACTTGAATTAAGCCCACCAGAGTGCCAACACCAACACCAATGCTAAGCTGTTGTCTGCCAATGAGCTGCTTCCGTGCAGCAGACAGAAGTGCCCTCAATCTGGATACCTTAGTGTGGGTGCTGGGTAGAACCTTATCCTGCAAGCCTGCAGCACACGAGGCACCTCCGATGCCACTGCAAGACATCGTTGATATTCTTCTGCCTGAGGTACAGTAGCGCCTCGTCGGGCACACTGAGGCCGCGTGTGACAGGCTGGTTGGCGCAACCAATGTGCGCCTTTTTCCGTGGTGGGTTCTTCATTGCACATGCCAAACGGGCCTACCTCAGACTTCGGGTCGCCGTTACGCAGTAACGTGGGCGGGATTGCTTGCTGTTTACGTCATTGATTCAGTAAGATGTGGGTTGGCAGCGCGTGGGGAGCACCGCGAGGCCGAGAGCCACCGGAGACGAAGAAGCGACACGCTTTGTGGCCAGCCTGACTTAGAGCAATGCGCCTTTATGCATGTATCAGTGCCAGAACATCTTGCTTTCCTGGCCTGCCGGTCTTGAATCTGGCACCTGTCGCTCGAGGTGGGTTGCATTTGCTGGGCCCATTCGAGCTGGTCGTTCATCATCAGACGGCACGCGCACTTTTGGATATCACCACGCCAGAGTCCAGACAGGCACATACGAATCCCGAGCCGACTTTTGTAACTCCGACCCCGAAAAGAGCGAATTTCTGCCCACGCCGCCGAGATCCATCTGGCCCAGACTAGGTATGTAGGAGGGCATGCGCTGGAGGTACTAAATCGCTTGGAGCCCATCACGACAATGACCGGTGCGGGGATCATCAGCGACAAGTCGGACCCGCCCTGGAGTTGCACCCATGGGCACCTCGGAGCTCTTTGCCATTCACCGTGTTCTGTCCCCATTGTGAGAGCCATGCCCCTGCATTCTCTGCCGATGAGCTGAAGACTGTTGCGAGTCTGAACCCAGGAGAAGAAGCCTCGTACGTTTTTCTGGCCGTAGACCGCGGTGAGGAGGAGTTCGACCTTCCCGTTTCCGAAACGCTTCACGATCTTGCGGGCAAGCGGGGCTCCGATCTCCTCCAGGACCCCGGCATGCCAAGGCGGTCGGTAGCCTGGATTCGACCAGATAATCTTATCTGATCATCAGATAAAATTCTGCATCCAATCGCCCTGCTTATTAATGTGGATCGCATCGTCAGATGCTCCAGGTTCTTGACATAAGAGGCCCATTGCTAGCGGCTTCTTCTGCCTTTCTCACGTTCAGTGAAAAATTTTCTCCCCCATCGGTGCAGGATGCAGAATCCCATTCCTGAGGCGTCCCGGGTACGCCCGATATGTAGGTACACGACTCTCCATGCTCCCATTTCAATCTATGGGTTGAGTGTTACCAGACCGAAGCAACATGCCAGAAGATATCAAATTCGGAGCTTGATACATTGGTACTCGGGTCGTCTAGCCCATCTTGGATCTCCAAACATTTGGGTCCCAGGTTCCCAGGGTCGTTCTTGCTGTGCTGTGCCCTGGTCCTACTGCAGACTCGTTGGCCAAGGCCGTAAACCCCTGAGCAACTGTACGAGGGTCCTGCAGGGACAGAATTAGAAAGCTATGGGCAAAGTTGCGTCTCGGCAAACTAGGCTGACGTCGGTGGACTCATAGCTTTCTCGTCACTTTTGTGTAATAGCACCGGACTAATTAAAAGTCCCAATGTTGTCCGCCAGTCATCACAAAGCCTTGCCTGTAGGAGCGTTCGGGCCTATTCGTTGTCAAGTTGGCTTCCTTGTTCTCCGGTATCAAGTTGCCGTCTCGCTGTCAGTAAGCATGGGCATAACTGTATACATCTGGCACCGAGAATTTGTGATACGAGTCTGACCCAAACCTACGCCACCTGGAACTCGATGGCGCCCAGGGAATAGTGCATCTCGGAGAACTCTATTCACAAGCAAGGGATGCATGACACTAGCTCTCCAAGCGAGAATGTGTCGGCCGTGGCCCCAAGACCGTGAACTCTTTGTGGCAGTGTGCGCTTTGCAGCCTGCCCTGACCTTACCTGCCCAGCTTAATCGCTAATATCCGGCTAAGGTGAAGCTATTACCTACCTGCTATGCATTGCGATGGAGGCCAGGCACGTAAACCCGAGGCGTCAAGCGGCAATTGGGTAAATCCTTGGTCCTAAATATCGCAAAAACCAAGGATTGGCCGGTTGTCCAAGCAAAAGATGGCAAGCTCCAAGGAGCACATGCCGTTAGCCTAATGCTGCTAATGCAGATCAATCTTATCAGATTCATCAGATAACGCCGATGTCGCTAAGAATGGGGACCCCCAAACCCCACTTGATGCGTTTCTCCTGCATGGAAGCAAAGGCACCATCTCATCTCATTGCCACATCAGCCGGCCGACGAGCGAAAGCTGGCAAATACTTCTTCGGGGCTTCGGTTAGCGACCAAAACCGAGCTTGGCTACCGACGAAACAGACTGACTGGCGCTTGTACCCGTCAAGAAACCATGATGCAGCTAAGAGGAGGCGGAAACTCTCACCAAGTTCACACCAAGTACCGCAAGGGACGCACGCTAATTCCTCGACCACCGTTCAGGCGGGTTGCCCGTTCAGGCCTGCCCGCAGCCGTGGTTGATTGGATGATTCATTGTTCTGCCGGCTCTACCCAAGCTGCCATCTGTCCCAGTCGGCCGAGGTAGCGATACATTTGCTATACTTACTTGCTCCTGTGTTCACCATGCCGCGCTATCACTCTGAGACAAGCGTTACTTTCGGCCCAGCTTCACTGAAAATGCTTCCCACGCTATGCAGGGTTCCACTGGCCCTTGGACGGGGTGAAGCAGTCGCTGGGTCGTGTTATGGCACGTTTCCTAAATTGAAGACGGGTCCTCATGAAGGGTGCCATGTCTAGTGGGACAACCTTGAACCCAACGTATGCACGGCCGTGACCTTATTTATGGGTGGCCGTGTCCTGGTGTATTCAAAAGTGACGACTCTCCTCCTTCACTGCCTGAGACTTCATCTGGCAGAGGGACAACTGGCCCTCCTTAAAGCTCTCTTGCCTTTTTCACACTCCATCTTACGCTGATATCCACCTGCGGACCTAGAAGGTAAACGTCACCAGTACCGCAATATCCTCGTTAGTGGGCCTACACCAGTTTGCTCTATTTGCCACGCGCATGACCGGGCGAGTCGAAGTACAACATGCAACCTCATAGCCTTGTCGGCAGCCACATTGACGGCCCCCCCGCAAAAGCCGTTCAGCAATCGCACCTGCGAGCGACGCCTGCGGAAGAAGTCTACGACCTTGTGTGTGTAGGATTTGGCCCCGCAAGTCTTGCGATCGCTGTTGCTCTTCATGATGCGATTGAGAACGGCAAATTGTCCAAGTCGCGGGCACCAAAGGTCCTGTTCCTGGAGAAGCAACCACAGTTCGCCTGGCATGCGGGTATGCTTTTGCCGGGGGCCAAAATGCAAATATCCTTCATCAAGGACATGGCAACGTTGCGCGACCCTCGATCCCACTTCACCTTTTTGAATTTCCTTCACCAGCGAAATCGCCTGATTGATTTCACCAACTTGAGCACATTCCTTCCGGCCAGGTCAGAATATGAGGAATACCTGCGGTGGTGCGCGAACCATTTCGGAGATGTTATCCACTACGGGCAAGAGGCTGTCGCAGTGTCACCGGTTCCTACCACTCAAGGCGGAAATCCGGTGTCGCAATTCACCGTCACGTCAAGGAATATCAAGACTAGCGGCCTATCCAAATTTCGAGCAAAGAACGTCTTGCTTGCAATCGGTGGCCAACCAAGCATTCCCAAGTCGCTGCCTGCAAACCATCCCCGCGTAATACACTCATCTCAGTATGCGCATTTGGTGCCCAAGATACTGAGCAAGCGAGATGCTTCCTACCGCGTCGCAGTCATCGGTGGTGGGCAGAGTGCTGCTGAAATCTTCAACAACGTTCAAACGTTATATCCCAACTCGCGCACGTACCTGGTCATGAGAGGTGAATTCTTGAAACCAAGTGACGATTCTCCTTTGTAAGTACATAACCATGAATGGCGTTATTATCGGGTAAATGGTTTGCTAACGGGTGACTAGTGTCAACTCAATCTTCAACCCATCTTTTGTGGATTCTTTATACCCTAGATCAACGGCTTATAGGAAAGCCCTGATTGCTGATGCTCGTGCTACAAATTACGGCGTTGTACGACTAGAGCTTATTGAGCATTTGTATGAGCGCATGTATGAGCAACGTCGTGAGCTTGGTACCGACGAGCGCAAGTGGCCGCATCGTATCCTCGGAGCCACTGACATTGTTGGAGCCGAATCGGAGGGAGAGAAACTCCGCCTGCGGGTGCGTTCTCTGCGTGACGCTGCCAACAAGGATACTGTCAACGTCGTCTCCGAGACAGCTGAGGACACCCTGGAGGTGGATCTCATCATCGCCGCAACCGGCTATCAGAGGAAGGCCCATTTGACTATGATGGACGATGGAATTGCCAGCCTGCTCCCCAAGCAAGCGGGTGATTCTAGCAGCGGGCCAGCTGCCGATGAGGTGCAGCTTGATATCAAGACCAAGCGATCGGGCGTTGAGCAGAGAAATGTGAAGGTTTCTCGTGATTACAGCGTGCAGTTTGCATCTGGGAAAGTCGCACCGGGTTCAGGCATTTGGCTGCAAGGCTGTAATGAGGGCACTCACGGCGTAAGCATGCATACCAACCTCAATTGATGATCATTAACTAACCTGTTAACAGTTGAGCGATACCCTTCTGTCTGTGTTGGCCAACCGTTCTGACGAGATCGTCGACTCGGTCTTCTGTGCTGGCCCTCAGAAGAAGCTGTCCAAGTTGTAAATTGTGTGCAAAAGTATACGCATAGTGGCATGGCGGTGAAAAATTACCCTGGATAGCATATTGGTGATATTATAAAAGCATTTTTGTTTAGATTATAGCACTACTCATCGTTGAAGCTGTAATGCTTCGCTCATACCAAGTGCATTCAGCTATGATCACTGTCTTGTGGCATCGGGACACGGTAATAGAAAGAGCACAAATACATACTAGATTCAATCCACTCTTGTGTAATAAAATGCGTTCAACAATACGATCCCACGATATTCGAGAGCTTTCCTTGCCGCAAAGGAGATGAATTCAAAACCGGAGCCATTGTAGTATTGAATGACTTACCGGTAGGTCAATAGCCATGCATACGGTTAACTGTCACTACGCATACCGGGACCAAGCGCTGTATTCGTAATCTGCGCCTAAGAACAGCATCAGAATACTCGGAGATACGACCAACATTCTGATAGCCAGAGCCCGGTTGGGTATTGTAATATTGACCCGCTGACTGGCTTCGTTAATATGGCATTATCTTCGGATTCTTGAACGATAAACTCATAGTCCCAGCTGGACTGACCCTGAGGTATTTCAAGAGGATCGGCCAGACTGCAAAGAAGTGAAGTCTCAGGCACTGGGGTGCGGAAAACATTATGTAGCGGAGATGTGGTCTAAGTATCTTCTATGCATACTTCTGATTTGGCTTACCTTTGTCCAGTATTGCTAAATATGGCCGCGAGGTCTTCATATAAAAACAGCAAAGCGTATGTCCAGTGGGTATGATACAATTGCCAGTTGAAACCTACAAATTCCAGACAATCGTCATTATGAGGTCGTAGCTTCCGATAGAGCGAGCAACCGTTCACATGCGTTGTCTTCAAGGTGTCAAGTACAGTGCATTGGTCTAGATTTGTCCGAAGAGATTTGTTGCTAACTCCGAGGCTCCAATGGTCATGGCAGTTTGACTCGTGTAGTTTCATTTGTCGAGCCGGTTCATTCGTCAGAACTGCATAAATCTGGGGTTGGTGGCTACTTGAAATAAGACATTGAAACGTTCCTACTAGTCTTTGCGAATGATGAAAGCCACACCAGGCTGACCATTTTTAACGCAATTCATGTTTGGACACCATTTTCCGTTTTTGTCCATGGAAAACTATGTAGTATACTTTCGATAATAATAAGAAAGAAGGCAGTTGCTGATCAAGACTAGCCTACTAATATGTTTTCGCATCGCCCATTGTCATAGCGTGATTATCGTCCGATATATCTAGTCGGAACCATTGGCTTCACACGCGATACAATAAAAATCGACACTCATCCAGGTCGATATCAAGGCTGAAAAACTGTATCTTGACACCAGAGGATAAAACCTCGCGCTTCCTGTGATATGCCTACAACATAGCCCGGGGTAAGCCGAGTAAATATCCAGTGGCCAGATTCATACCATATTCAGTATTATTGGAAAATTGAATTGAGGCGCTACCAAATGTCGCCAAGTTAACATGGGCACATAGCTACCCGTTGGCGACAGAAGTACGACAGGATATTCGCTCCCCTGTTCAATGAAGACGCTTGAACGTAAGCATGACAAAGCCTCGATGATCGATATTCAAAGCCGAGCATGGCGCTCAATCGTTGGTTTAGGTCGTATTTGTGTGCTTAGTGTATGTGTGATGGGCTGCAGGTTCTTACGCTAGAATCCGTTCGGTACGCGAATAGCGGTGCATAGTGCCTGCAAAGATTTGAACGAATACTACGTTGATCCCTAGTCTTGGTGGCTATACTGCCCCAACTAATTCCTGCATGTTGTTCAAAACGGCCAGGTCCAGAGTCCCCCATCAGCAATGTGCATGAAAGCTGAATTCTGTCCCCAGAGGCCCGGACATATGTAGGCACAAGGCACATGTGCTGGCGTAACATCCGAGCCCGCTCCCCTGTCCCAACCACTCTGTCGCTTCTAGGTAACCGAGCCTTGTCCCAAGAACGTAGCGCGGGACGTAATTTTGGCCAAAGACAGAGGGCTTCCTAATTCGACCCGGGCTGCCGGTCTGCTTTGTCCTACGGGCATTTCCCCAAAGGAAAAGAAAGTACGGTAAAATTGCCAAGTCAGCTATTTTTAGGCTGTGGGCTCGCTGCGATTGGGCGGGCTACACCGTCGATGGGCAGACTATCGAGATAGGCATCGCTACCCCGGTCAGCGGAAATTAATTGGCATGTGGGGAGTCTAGATCTGGGTTCGTGGACTCACAGTCCTTGGAATGCCCAGCTTGGTATCTCTTGGGAGGGCCAACTGGTTGAATAGAAAAATCATGAAGATCGTTTACTCTTTCGAGTTCCCAATTTGCCCATTCTACTTCACACGACATCGCTATAGTGTGGCAGCTGGTATTTCTGCGCCTTTTCTTGTTTTAGTGCTCGCGCAGGCTGTTCTGCACCTGAATACTCTGTCAAGTCAATTGACCGCCTGTATTTGAGTGGAAGCCCCAGCGCGCCCCGTAATCATGAGGGACCTGATACCAACTTGGGCCTGCGGCCTCCTCTCGCTTCAGGCCACCTTTTCGACAGCACTCTCCTTAGGCCCTCGCTCTGTCGCATCGAGCAGCTTGGCTCAAATCACCTCATCCACGAATGGCTATACAGAACTAGAAAGCGGCGTCAGGATATACGGGACTTGGACGAGCAATGCAGAGACAACAACCACCACCACCATCAAGCGCCAGAGCAACCCAAGTGCAGCCGCCGCTGGGTGGTGCGGCGCTAGCAACATCTTCAATGAGGGTTCCAACAACTCCCCGCTCATAAGCGACTGCCAGGTGATTATGGATCAGGTGTACAGTCTTGCCCAGGCCAACAATGCCTATTTCGGCAGGTCGGAGTGCAACCCCGATAGCAAGGGCCAGTTCACCTGCTATTTCCCGGTGGTCTCGTACGGAACTTGCATGTTCGGCGCGAGTACCATAGACAGCGGCACCAGCATCGCTGTGCGGATAGGGTGGCAGGACGTTGGCGACCTCATCAAGGACAGCATCTCGCAATGCGGAAACAAGCCGTCTTCTGGAAAAGTCGGCACGTCAGGTGAGATGTCCTGTCCTGAGGAGATTAATGCGGCGACAAGTTATGCGACGGGCTGGGGACTGTATCATTCATGATTGATCAGTGTCTGCAAACGACGCTGGACTCCTGATTGCTTCCGTGCCGATCCATTACGTTGTCAAGACTGGGAACTCGCAATCTGCGAGCAGGTACACGCACTGGCTGATGTCTGTTGGAATAATGTTGAATTACGTACGCCAAAAGAGAGAGATGTCGGGGTGAGGACGTCTGGAAGCAAAATTTCATTCGGATAGAAGATGGTCAAACTCAGGTTTTCAATGTATATATTTGATCTTCATGTAAATTATACCTTCTCCACGGCGATCCTATGGAGAGCTTGGTTTCATTGCAGTTCAATATGCGCGTGACTTGAACTGTCTCGTTGAATGTGACTCGTTATGAGGTCCACTCACTGATGATCCAGGAGAGCGTCTCGAGCCGCTTTAGATGCTTTGGCATCGATCTTACCACCCTAAGCACCCCATCTACCGTTCCACATTGCTCTCGAAGGATCCCAATGGCCTTCATCAGGTCTCTTCCTGTCCCATGTAACTGCTCATCGCATACAATCTTTAGGCTCGTTTGCGCTAAGGATGCTGCGCACCATAAAAGGAGCATTTTGACGCCTGGGTCGCCACCGAAAGCACCACAGCCCCAGAAAGGACTGATTACATTGTGGTATCGGCCGGAGTAGAATGAAAGGTAGGCCTTGCGTAGCTCCCTGTCGATGCACTCAGATCTGAGATCCGGCAAGCCGTCTTCGTCCGACGCCAAGTCAAGCTCCAGCGCGTCCATGAAGAGCATTGCCCTCTCCTGCCATATACTCGCGTCTAGTTGCCTGGGTAGGATTTCTCCGATCCACAAGTTTCGACGTTGTCCCACTACATTCAGTATTGCGCTCGCCCCTTTCACAACCAGAATCTGATCATCTTCCAGCGGAGGAGTGAACAGAACAGCAGGACAGGCTTCGGGTGTGACACCGACATGAATCTCTTCTTGGGTTGCCGATTGACCGAAACCGATGAACTTATTAGCCGAAACAACAGCAGCGCCATCAGGTAGACCAAGAGAGTCAGGAGTTGTGTCGTAGTTATCCACCAGTGCCACCTCCACAGGACACAACCTGCAGTCAAGTCGCGGCAGCTCCAACGAAGCTCCTGCATGGAGGTGATAGGAGACTTCCCAGTTCTCGCTCAAAGATAGAGATAGGACTATGTCATCTCGAAGTGTCTTGAAATACTCCATTATCGACGTCAGGTAGATCCTGCAGGCCTGTGGGTGTCTTTGGTGATTGCTGTACCATATACTGAAATCGTAGCATTCATCTCGCCACTGAGGCTGGGGTAGCGTGCACAGGAATTGGTGCGCAACAAGACAAGAAACTTGTTTCTTCGTCAGAGACAAGTGTTGCGTGGATACTCCCCTTTGGAGAAGTGGCAAGCGACCTTGCGGGAACAGGAGCGGCATCTCCAGAGCTGCCTCGACGATTGACGGCCAACATTCTCCAAAGAACACCTCATGATGAGAAGAAAGGAAGTCCCTGAGGAGCCCGAAATCTCCTGCAGGTCCAGAGCTTTGCCTCAGTGAGACTGCTATTGTATCCAGCAACTCGATCAACTGAGTTGGGATTGACACCGGATTTTTCAACAAGGTCTCCAAGATCACCCAGAATGGTACGAGTCCGTCCACGTCCTCCAGCCCCGTAGACTCTGTAATTATGCTGAAGCGGTCTAGGCACCTGTAAGAAGCGGAAGATGGGAGCGTATAAGTTGCCATTGGTTCCGTTGCGTGAGCAGCGTGAAGTGAAAGTTACCAGACGCACAATGCTTCTACGAACATGGTGGAAGGGTGTATCTTCCGCCAGTTAGCGTCTGTGGGCATGTAGGCTTAGCGGCAATGAGTCATGCCGACCCGTTGGACCCGTTTCACGCATCACTTAAACAGCTTCAACTGAGTGCCAAGTGTGGACGTACAGAAACAACTACCACTAAAGTGAACCTGTATTCGAACAGTTCTAATTCAGTATCGACATGAGCTTCAAGCCTACTTGTGTTAGCTTAAGTAGGAGACCAAAATAGAGTGTTAGTAGCTTTATATAGCTGTAAAGTGTGGGATTAAAAATTCTGAAAATAACTATGGGAACTATTAATAAATATGATATGGTTTCATCCATGAAACAGGGAATACATTCATGCAGAAGTAGGCAGACTGTGCTGTGTCGCGTGAACATGGCTCTGATTGTTCACCGTGATCACCGCCAATGAGATTCTTTACTGCAAAGCTGCATTTATACAAAACAAAAACCGACCTTACCATAATACTTGTAGCGATTTTCAGGATGATGAGAAATGGTGTATCACATGCTAGCATGCTTAACTTGGCTTGGGAGGTATTGGGGGTTCGGACTTATATTGGGCCTTGATCAACCCTCTAGCCATGTTATGTAATAGACGCAACTTTTAACGTCATATCTATAAATTCACCCAAAATTCTGTTGATCAAGTCATATGAATCATGCTGTACATGTGAAACTATGCTAATATCCTATCCCAGAACATGTAGGCCGGAACCATTTCACTGCCGAAGTTCTCAGTAACAGAGCTCTTCTATACTGAACAAACCAAGAGATCTGGCACTTCACGTACAAAGAGAAGAATAATGCTGAAAAATAATATGATATCCCGAGTCTGGGCATGTTTTTGAAATCTCGGATCCTAGCAAGGCGATGCTTGCGTCATATGCTTATTGAACCTACAGTGTTGGCTGGCCAGCAATGACCACGGTGTCAAGTACGCGTCCGACTGCCAAGAAATCTCCTATTATTGGCTAAGTCTCGAGACTTTGACGTGAGAAATGATGACTCGGGTGTACTATTCGGAGGGTAAGCTGACTGGCGGCGAAGGAAGGTCCTACGCCACAACGGCCGTCGGAGCTTGACGAATCGAATGAGGTAGTTCAATATGCAAAGACAATGCCTTGAAGAATTATGTAAAAATATACCTGAATTGGCATCTGACTTGCAACTTGTTATTCCTTCAATCACCTCAGATCCGAAAAAAAAAAAAATGGCGATCATGCTACCGAGTGACTATAAAATGCGCCAAGACTCCCAGTATTCGGGTTAAGCCATAAACACACAACCTGACTTTATTTATCTCGAACTGAACTTGCCAGCAACGACTAACAGCCTTCAAGATGAAGTTCGTTATTACTACCATTTTTACTTTTGTCGCTTTCGCCGTGGCGGCTCCCGGCCAGCTTGACGGCAGAGACAGTGATGTACGTATCTACCTCCCCATAGACAGATCATCTTGATGACACGGTCGCTGATGCGTGTAATAGTTCGTCTGCCATCCTTCGGGAGAGTCATGTGGAGATGCTTCACCGTTCATTTGCTGCCCTCACCTCAGATGTAACGATGAGAACGTCTGTGTCCCTATCCTTGACTGAGTCGTCGTTTTGGGTTTTGCAAGAGAGTGAGCCAGCATGGCAAGACGACAGGGGAGGCATGATAGTGGAGTTGACTCGCTCGTAATTTCCAAAGAAGTTTCATCGGTCTATAAGATATGTTACATACAACACCCGGGTTCGATGCGGATTTATGCATGCGTGAATGGTGTGGAGGTGAAAGAATCTCCTTAAGCAGGTAACTCCCATGTCGGCCTGAGGACGGCGCAGGCTATCGATGATCCCCTATCACCTGTGACCAATTCCTAAGGAATGTCGTTGCGCCCATCTCTAGCCAGGGCAATTGCATTGTGACCCTCAGGGTCTTAGAAAGCCCCGAGAGATTGGTAAATAGTAGTGCCACGTTGAGAGCTGTCACATATGGCTAGGCGAAGTTCGAAAAAGAGCTTGCCCGACTCGGGCAGCATTGGTGTATCAACCAAAGTTTACGAAAGCCTATTGCCGGCGATCTGCCCCTAGTCCTGAGGACTGTTTGTACATACATACGCGCATCAACGCGTGCCACGAAGCACGGGGACGAATGTGCACCACAGGAACTGGATGTGACCGACTTCTTGGAAACTTCAATGGTACGATAGCTCGCATGCAGACTGCCGGCATGCGGGGTCATAATCGTTACCTCCCACGTCCCCCACCGCGACGTTCCAAGTACTCGACAGACGGCATAGGGGCAAAACTCTGTGTATGTAGCACATTCTCACACAAACCAGAGGTCGAGGCATCTTAAACAAGGTGATATCTGTAATTGAAATCAGCACCCTCCCATTGGCGTCCAGCAGAGCATCAACGACCGGATCGTCACTTCTTTAATCACATCATCCGTGTCCGTGCGAGCCACGGATTCGGCGGCCCGTTGTACTATGGAGCTGCCATGCTCGTGCTGAAATGCTTGACTATGCAATGGCCTGTTTATGCGGGCGAGTGGACTCGGGCCGCATGGTACTGGCCAGTAAGAGGGTTGTTCGGGACCCCGGTTGACACCATCCTGCCTGCTGCAACTGCTATATGTAGTTTAATCAAGTGAGAGGCAAGATCGCTTAAGAACTGTGGAGTTCGTCGTGGTATTGAGCCAAGGAGGGGAAGATGGAGCGCTAGCGGCATGATAGCAAAAGGACGGACGTACGGTAGTTCTGACTTATATAGACAGTAGTAAGAAAAGCCAAGAAGTCATGACAAGATCGCGCTGACTTTGGGTGCGATAATCGATATATACCTTTGAGCAATCACGATGTTGAGTATCGCTAGCATCACGCCCCTGCAGGTGGTAGGAGCAGCTATCGCCACAGTAAGCCGCCACGCCATATGAGAGTGACGATCCGCGTGCTAACGACAGACTCCAGTCCGGCCTCTACCTCTTGGGAAGATGTATCTACATACTTTACCTTCACCCTCTAGCCAAGTTCCCGGGCCCTAAGCTGGCTGCCCTCTCAGATGTGAGCCCCGCTCTTACCAACCTATGTCTGCGCAGACTGACCGAAGCCCGGATCCCAGGCGTGGTGGGCATGGATGTTCACAAGCGGTCGCGGCGCCCAGATCATGCTGGATGTGCACCGCAAGTACGGCGATGTGGTGCGTATTGCGCCCAATGAGCTGTCCTTCTCCAGCGTGCAGTCGTACTTCGACATCTACGGCCACGCGGGGAGCAAGAGCCGCGCCGAAGGGCGATTTCTCAAGACCGAGTTCTACGATCTAGGTGCGCCCCGCATCAATACGGTGCGGGACCCAGTGGTACAGTATGTCTACAGTTGCGAGTCCTTTTCTGCCCTCTTCGGCGAGTTTGGAGCTCCAGATACCGCCCTCTCTGGAGCCAGATGCCGCTGTAGACGGACTTGGTGGCAAGAACGCTGACATGCAATGTTGCAGTGCGCGACAGCGGAAGGCGTTGTCGCACGCCTTCAGCGCGAAGGCACTCCGTGACCAGGAAGATGTCGTGCAGCAATACGTTGATTTATTTGTCAAACAGCTCACGCGGCTCGGCTCGGCTGGGAAGAAGGCCATCGAGGCCACAGAGGCGTATAATTGGCTCACGTTCGACATCATTGGTTTGTCTCCAAAGGATATGAAAGTCCCTAGGGATCCAGGTCTGGCTAATACGCAGCGATAGGGGATCTTGCCTTTGGCGAGTCGTTCAACGCGGTTGCCGACGCCAAAACGCACTTTTGGATCGCACAGATATTTGATGCTACACAGTACATGCTGGTACAGCAAGTGATAAAAAGAGTGCCCCTGCTCAAGTATGTCGAGTCGTTCCTGGTACCGAAGGGCTCGGGGGAGAAGTTGCAGATACACACGCAGCTCTCACACGACAAGGCGTTGAAGAGAATGCAGCTGGGACCCGATCTGCGGCCTGGTAAGGAGGATTTCTTCGGCCACATGATCCGGAAGGGAACGATTACGGAGACCGAGATTGCGGCTCAGGCCAGAGTCCTCATCCTGGCGGGCTCCGAGACGACAGCGACGGCGCTGAGCGCGATAACCTATTATCTTCTGCGCAACCCAGCATGCCTGGCCGAAGTACAAAAGGAGGTTCGCGGGAGGTTCAAGGCCATGGATGAGATCACCGGCGACTCGGCAGCTGGCCTAAAGTATGTGCACGGTGTGATCGAAGAAGGGCTGAGACTGTCTCCGCCTGTCGGGAGCGGCTTGCCACGCCATTCACCTGGTGCTGTCGTTGATGGACACTATGTCCCTGCCGGCGTTATCGTGACGAACGGCAACTACGAAATGGCCAGAGACCCTCGCTACTGGCACGACCCAGAGGCATTCCGGCCCGAGAGGTGGATTGGCGAAGGATATCACGACGATAAGAGAGCCAGCCAGCCCTTCTCAACGGGCTCCCGAGGCTGCCTGGGCCTCAACTTGGCCTACCTCGAATTGAGGATAATCGTGGCCAAGATCGTGTTCGCGTTCGACTTTGAGCTCGAGTCGAAACACCTGGGTGACTGGAACGACGAGTGTAAGCTATACGCGCTCTGGAGGAAGCCCAAGCTGTTTGTCAAGTTCCACCCGGTGGTATCAACGGCCAACTAGAATTTGTGGTCTGTCTGATCTTGAAGGTTTTGTGAAGACAGTGATCCAGTCTGGGCCGATACATTGGTGGAAGAAAACTACGTGAGTATAGCAGCAACTGAATAGCAGTTTCTGGCCCGATGTAGCCCAATGACAATTGGATTGTCCGGCGTCATCTCGCCATTTGGACCGGACTCCCCTCCCCGTGGGCTTTTTTTTTAAAGTTTTGCACGTAGTGCGTAGTGGATCGTGCCGCGAGAACGAATACCCGAAGATCTCTTTGGATTATACGGGCTGATATATGTATATCAATACACACAAAACCCGTAGGCCATAAGCAAGCAAAGGCGTACGCGGAAGAAACACAGAGGCCATGGCCATCCGATACTCATTAACCGAGGGGCACGAGAGCGTAGGGGGACCAGGGTCAGCTAGCTCGCTATAAGCTCCGAGCTTCAGTTGGAGCTCTCGGGTCACGTTGGAGCTTCTTAGTGGAAAGCTCCCCCAGCGTCTCCACCAAAAAGTCCGGAACCACTGAGCTCCAGGCCGAGACCAAGCCACCAGGCGGCCCACAGCGCAGTCGGTATTCCATCGAACGAACGAGAGAGACCAAAGTCACACACCACTTGACGTCAACCGCTCATCCTCACCCCCCGTGCCCGTCGCGTCGCCTCGCCTCGCTACAAGTCGAAGCCCTCGATCGGCCGCAAGTCGAGCGTCGCAGCCCTCCAGAGAATACACCGGCCGGCTTCCCAACCGCACGCACCAAGCAGCAAGCAGCAAGCCATGTCGCTCGCCCGCCAGGCCGAGCGGTCTCTGCTCGCACCCGCCCTCCGGCGTGGTCTCGTCGCCTCACAGCAGCAGTCTTCTCCGGCGTCGACGACATGCCCGAGGCAGCCGAAGGTCGCCGCCGCCCCCAGCAGCCAGAGCCGCCGCTTCCAGACCTCGACGCGCAACCCGCTGCCTGTCTCGCCCGGCGGCGGCTCCTCGCTCGGCGGCCTGGGCGGAGGCTCGCTGCCGCCGTCCTACTTCCAGCGCCCGTCGCTGCCCGCCAACACCATCATCCGCTTCGTGCCCCAGCAGACGGCCTGGATCGTCGAGCGCATGGGAAAGTTCAACCGTATCCTCGAACCCGGCCTCGCCATCCTGGTGCCCTTCATCGACCGCATCGCCTACGTCCGCAGCCTGAAGGAAGTCGCCATCGAGATCCCCAGCCAGAGCGCCATCACAGCGGACAATGTGACCCTGGAGCTGGACGGCGTGCTGTACACGCGGGTATTTGATGCGTACAAGGCCAGGTGAGTTCCAATGCTTCAGCGGCACTTTACTCTCTTCCTTCCTCTTCGCTACCTGCGCCCGGCTGTCTCTTGTGGAACTGAGCTACACATCTTACTGCCCGAGAGGGAGTACGACGAGCATGCCCAATTGGCTAGCCACCATGACGAGACGTACCCAGAGGCACTCCCAGCTAACGTGCAATGTCACCCAATAGCTACGGTGTGGAAGACGCCGAGTACGCCATCTCGCAACTGGCGCAGACGACGATGCGATCCGAGATCGGCCAGCTGACGCTCGACCACGTGCTCAAGGAGCGCGCCGCCCTCAACACCAACATCACGGCCGCCATCAACGAGGCCGCCCAGGCCTGGGGCACCTCGTGCTTGCGCTACGAGATCCGCGACATCCACGCGCCCGCCCCCGTCGTCGAGGCCATGCACCGCCAGGTCACGGCCGAGCGCAGCAAGCGCGCCGAGATCCTCGAGTCCGAGGGCCAGCGCCAGAGCGCCATCAATATCGCTGAGGGAAAGAAGCAGAGTGTTATTCTGGCCTCGGAGGCCATGCGTGCCGAGAAGATCAACAACGCCTCGGGTGAGGCCGAGGCCATCCTGCTCAAGGCCCGCGCCAGCGCCGCCGGCATCGACGCCATTGCCGGCTCCATCCAGCAGGGCGGTGGTGCCGCCCAGGGTGCCGTCAGCCTCAGCGTCGCCGAGAAGTACGTCGACGCCTTCGGCAAGCTGGCCCGCGAGAGCACCGCCGTCGTCGTCCCCGGCAACGTCGGCGACCTCGGCGGCATGATCGCCACCGGCCTGAGCGTCTACGGCAAGGTCGGCGAGGCCCAGAGCCGCTCCATGGCCGAGAAGATGGTCAACGGTCAGCAACAGCAGCAGCGCCAGGGGGCGGGCGAGAACGGCAACGGAAAGACGGGCGAGGAAGACAGCATCGTCGACACCGTGGTCAAGGAGTTCGACAACGCCACCGGCAGGAAATAAATGAGCGAGGCGAGAGAGCGTGGCACGAGGGACCAGAAGCTCTTCTGCAACCGGCAGGGATTCGTTCCTGGGCGAAGGGAAATGGAAGCGAGCGTGAGCTCTACTGCGGTGGACGGACGAGTCCATGTAAGATACAAGATGCTTTAAGGGGTTTTCTTAGGACGACCGCGAGCCTGGTGTCCCCTTTGTTTTGCAACACGAAGGGAGAGGGTCTAGATTTGGTGGTGGACCAGCACGGCACACGGGCATGGCATTTCCAGAATCGTCACGTATTTCTTGCATCGCACCTCACGGGTCATCGGCTGTATGTATCTATGACACAAAAAATGGGACAGCATTGGGACGGCGAAACTCAGCGAAAGAAAGCTCAACTCAAGACGGCGAAGCGGCAAGTTGGTAACTCCTTTTCTCTATTCTGGCTAGTTTAAAAAAACAGTACAAAAAACACAGAAAGCAATTGTAACACTTGGACGTACATTGATTGACACTGCTCCTTCGAGTCTCCCTGGTCGAGCAGCCCATCGCTAACACGGTAGCATACGTCATGCAGGTATAGCAGCAGCACTTCAATAAATTCCGGACCGAAGCCGTCTAAGCATACCGTCTATATCGACCCCCTTTCTTGTCACTCCTTTAAATCCCGAGCTCGCCGCCCACCACCTCCAAGCACTTGCCGAGCCGGCGTCCCATCTCGTCATCGCCGCTCCTGCCGGCAACGGCCACTGCGCTTACGACGAGCGGGTAGAGGCGCATCAGGTGTTTTCTCGTCTCACTTTCGACATTCGTGCAGTCTGGGATCGCTTCGCTCTCGCTCTGGAGCTCAACCACCCGTTCAAGGATGTGTCCCAGCTCCTTTCGCTGGCTCAGCGGCTGCGGCATTCGACCCCTCAGGGGCTGGTCTGCGATGTAGGCCCGCAGTGTCAGAGCAGCTCGCAGTATAAGATATGGTGCCACCACGCGAGCCAGACGTATACGGAGTGCGTGCGGGGCCTCCGAGGGGCCACTGGCTGCCGAGGGCGTTCCGGGAGGAGGGAAGCGTGGTGTGGGGGGCTGGATTGTGATCTGGGGCGGCTTTGCCTCGTCGTGGGAAGCCACGAGAGCGAAGAGCTCATCGAGACATACATAAGCTATCTTCTCACGCAGGACAGGTGGTGGATCGATGGTACGACCTGGGCGTGATTTGTAGAGTGAAGCGAGGCCGTGCGTTTCCGTACCGTTAGTATTACCGTGGATAAGGGACGTATCGGCAGGCGCCGGAGTATGAATGATAGACATTCGGAAGAGGGATTCTGCGAAAACTTTCCGTGTCTTGTCCGGAACGACGTTTGATCCAAGAGCCGGAATGATGAGTTCCCGAAGCTTATTGAACGAGCTGACATCAAAAGCTTGGTCGTCCGCCAGGTGAATGCGCTCAGGTGGTGCATCGCAGTTCGCATTCGTGATACCATTTGCAATGGTTACGATCATTTGCCAGATATCCTGCAGCATTGGCCGGGGAATGTCAAGTGTGAGAAGGTGGTGCAGTGTTGCCTCGAGGATAGCAAGAGCTGAAGTCGTGGCCTGCTTCCATGGTTTGACCGACTTAGTGGTGATTGGAAACTGATATTTTAGCACGATAGGCTTCGACAACGAGGTCAACGCAGCTAAGAAGGCGCCGTCGCTGTAAATATCAAGGTCTGCTGCATGCTCAACAATCAGAGTTTGCAGAATTCCCATACTGGCTTTGGACATGGCCACATATGTGCGCTTATCTGTTGGCTCCCTGTCTTGATACCTATCCTCTGCAAAGGCTATACTGATGAACTCAGATACCTGAGCAATGATGGCAGAGGGGGCTCCTGGTAGATCTGTCCTGAGCATTTTCAGGACGTCTAATACCTGACCCTGGAGAGGTGTGACATAGTCAATGTCGATCACAAAGGCTCCGGGAAGGGCTTGCTGTATCGCCTCCCGGAGAAGGGTCAGCATCCGACGCACACGGTCAACGGTGAGATCTGCCTGGATAAGGCGATAAACGTCTCGAAGAGCTGCAACGTAGGCCAAGAGGCAGTTTTGGTTGTCCGTTGGCTTCTCGCCATCCTTCTTCCTGGCTATCGGGATACCCCGAGACCACAGATCCCATGCCAAGTCTAATGTTGTCTTGTTGAAGTTCTGCTTCGCTCCGTTCTGGCTTTGTGATAAAATCTGCGTTAATGCCTTGAATGTGGCTGTATTGATCTCTAAAACCTGAAAATCGAGGAGGGCGGCGAAGTGGCCAAGAAGCTGCTGCCAATATGAATTGAATGTAGGATGAACGGTGAGCACGTCTAGGTAGTTGGCGAGCAGCCCGGATATTCCATTCAGAACAACCACGGCTGTATCATGCCACTCGTCACGGATCTTGTCGTTGGCTTCAGACTGACCAACAGAGCGAAGTTGTTCTTCCACGGACGACATGAGCTTGAATATGACTGATTTAATGCAAATTGACCAAGCCTCTGGGCTGAGTCGATCTCCATAGGCATCGAAGATGCGCAAGAGGGTATGAGTGGCACCTGCAAGCTTGTGAGTACAAATCAGGTTCTGATCCGGTGCAAGTTTACTGACTATTTCTCAATTCGAGCCTGTCATCGCTCGTCACATTCGTCAGCCTCAAGAGAAGCAGCATCCAGAGGGCAGCATCGGATGATGCATGCTGTGAATCTGCCGCTTTTTCTGCCAAGGCGGTCTCATCGGCATCCCCAATGAGTCTGTCTGTTATTGGCAGCGACTGAGTTTTCCCTGATAGGAAGTCTGAAAGCACCCAGTAAAACGTAACAGTCTGCGTCAGTCAGTAGCTGACTTCCAAAGTCTATCAGGGATCATACCGTTAGTGCGATATTCAGATCATCGTCTTGCGAGCAGAACTGATATAGGGTATCGACAAGGATGAGAAAGCAGGAATTCGGCAATGACGAGAGGAAATCCGAGCTGATCAGCTGGAGCGAGTTGAAGGAAGATCGTATGAGCTTGCTGGATCGAGTCAGGATTACAGTTGACTGATTGGTGGGATCCTGAGCATTGCTGTCATTGGCGAACCTCTTCTTCACAAAGATACTGCCAATGATTTCGAAGGCTATATCCCAGCCACTGATCAGCGTCTCTCCACAATTATCAAGCAGGCTCTTAAGCCCCTCCAAGATGATTTTATGAATGTCAATGTCAATCGCATAATGTGCGATAGATGACGGCCGGTTCTCTTGCTGCAGTGGCGACAGTGCGTCTCTCAGGGCCTCCAATAACCGAAGTTGGACCTTGCTACGAGACTCATCGCCCAAGCTTGCAGCGGTATTCGCAGATTCCAAGACAAGACGCACTATGATCTCAGCAGCACGGACACGAACTTGGGCAGACATTGACGCAGAAGTCAATGTCCGTATGAGTTCCGAGGTTAGTCTTGACCAGCCAGAAATATCAGGCGGGTATGAGAGCAACCTTTCAATATTGATAGTTGCGACGTCGCCAAGTTTTGCAAGCGCAAACTGGTCTTCTTGATTCGGGCCGCCCGTAGCTGATGTTGAAATGCTCAAAAGACGACGGTGCTGACCACTGGGAGTCCTCCGCCCCTGGATAGGGGGCGTTAATGCTTGTGAAGAAGATGATTGGGGTCTACTTTCGGGTTCGGACTGCTGCTCCAAGTGTCGCTCAAGAAGCGTACAGATGGCCTCAACGACTTCGCCAAATGCGTCATTTGGGAAATCAACAGTGCTTTCGAAGAGCCTTGCCGCTGCCGTCTCAACAGCACGGATCTCTACCCCGAAATTTGCGATGAGCGACGCGGCCTCGCTGTCAGCTCTCTGATCTGCGCCCTTGCCAGCCAGAGGCGTCCTTCCCGCCGCTTTGCCGGTGGAAAACAGAACGAAATCAGCCTGTTGAAGCGTCTCCAGTACGATTCGCCAGGACGAAGCCAGCGTAGGCCCAAGGGCGATGCCAAGGTTGAGAAGCGCACGTAAGCAGAGCAAGTTACGCGTGTTCAGGGTCTGGGGCACTGTAGTAGCGTCTATAGATGCTTGTCTCTGTCGCTCTCCGGCAGCTCCAACAGGAGTAACCAAGTTGTCGACACTCAACAAGCCCCGGGCGTTACCTAATATGCTACTGGGTGTATCTGCAGCTGGAGTCGCAGGCGTCGGTTTCGACGAGCCAGCATTGAGACATGCCGTGAACACGTTGGGCGGTACAGCGGCCTTGCCAAGTGTAGTAAGAAAGGCATCACGAGGTGTAGCCAACTGCAGCAGACCTGCCACATGAGCGAACTTCTGAAATGCCCGCACGAGTCCGTGATAATACTCCGAGTCCAAAGCGGCGTAGAGGAAAGTGGAGCAAGTTGCGAGGATCGCTGGCCAACATTCATCAACGATCTGAGCGCATATTTTGACCTCCTGATGTAGCGGATGGTCTTTCAGCGTCAATGGGTTTACAGGAACCGGATTTCTCTTGAAGGATCCGGATCTCTCGAGGGAATTCGCAGTACCTGCCCGATCTATCACAGTCTTGCTGGGCTCGATGCCCTCCTCAGGAATTGCAGCGGGGGAGTCTCGGCCGGCATCTGACTGCTTGGTGGCCTTCCGTCTGCCGCGGCTGTCGCCAGGCACAGTCAGAGGAAGAATGAACTTGGCCAGACCCTCGGACAAGGATGTAATACAAGACAGGGTAAGGGCATATATGTACGACTCGGGTATAGGCGGGGGCTCCGTCTTGTCTAGCTGGTCTATGCAGGGGACTCTCATAGAACTCCAGTGAGAACTGATACCGGTGTTGTGGCCCTCGCCACTGACTGAACTGCTGATAATGCCAGTAACGCCGCTGGTTTCGAGCATTGCTTGATCCGTCGAGCTGCCAACATTGGCGTAGGGGTTGGCGACGGGGATGGTTGACTGATGACCGAGTCCAATTATGACTGGTTTTTCGGTGCTCACACGGACGAACGTGGCAGTCAGGCTTTTGAGGACATCCTTTTGCCCTTCTTTTGCATCATAGAGCATATAAATCTTTCGAAGAAGCCCAGGCTCGGCAAAAATGCCCCTGAAAACCTCCATGCAAAGAGCTCGTCTCCAAAGGGCTGTGTCTTGATCCAGAAGCTGCGTCAAGATCTCGAGGGCATCGCCACCCTCAGCAAGCAAAACATTGAGATGCCGCCTCAAGAGGGTATACAATATCCGAACGAGCCGGACGGAAGTGGCAAAGTTGGTTTTGCCCGACAGTGCACTGACGAGGAACGGCATGACGTTTGTACGCAGCACATGTGCTTGTTCCGGGTGGGTCGAGAATATGGAGGCATGGTTCGTCAATACAGACTCTATCAGCTCGAGACCAAAGGTCTGTTGCAAGCCAGTAAACCTGAGATACTCTGGACGCTGATTCTCGGTCATCAGGCAGATATCCCGGAATACGCGGTAGGCGTCCATGGCGGCCGACCGCAGGTTGATGTTGCCATTTTGCGTGGGGGCATCGCCGACGCAGCCGGTGTCAGAGGTGGTTCTGTCCTCAGTCACGACCTTGTCGAAGACAGACACCACCAGCTGCTGGAGGGTGGCAGCAGAAGTGTTGCTGACTATCCCGTTCTTGCTTGTCTGCAGTATGAAGCAGATATTGAGGGCAGTAACCAGCAAGTCCCCCTTGATGTCGGTAGCATAGTTCTGCAGCAGGGTGGGAAGAGCTTGCAGGATCTTGAGCTGAACATCTAGGCCCGCCGACGTGGCCTCTCTCAAAGCCTCGAGTACAGGGTTCAGTTTGGACCTGGGCAGGGCGCTGACCATAATCAGGCGCTGAAGGCAGACTATGGCAATTCCTGTGAATTTGGCATTCTTGGTACCGCAGGCAACGATAAAGGGGTTGACAAAGCTGAGGCGTTGGGCGAGCTCTACGATGGGGGTGGTTAGAGACCATGTACCTCTGGGAACGCGTCACGGAGCAAAACGGGTGGTTTACCGGCGGCTATCTGGGCTTCATTGGCACCGCGGAGGCTCTTGAGCTCCTCGAGCGACTTTTCAGCAGCCTGAGATGAGTATGAGCGTATGTTCAACCACGGCCAGACTCTTGACAGGGGAGACGGCTGCAGTTGGGAGGTGGGTCAGGTATAGGTGTAGGTACCTGTCTGAGATCATTATGCTTGCGCTTGCTCTCCTGGATGAGGTTTGTGAGCTCGGAAGCCAGGAGCTGTGTTGTCATCTTGGCCGGACGGTCTGGGAAGAATCCATCGGAGGTCGAGGGAGTGTGAACACGCGGCAATGAGCGCAAGTCTGGCGCAAGGCGGCTCTGCAAGACGTGTCGGTTGGTGAGCTTGATGCCAGATTCATGAGATTCAATAAGTCCCTGAGGCTTAGGGGGGCCCCGATGACTAAGCCCAGGTAACAGCCACACCAGCGCCGGTGGGCGAATGACCTTGGCTGCCCCCCCTTGTCGGGTCGGGCCCAGTATCTTTTGGGGCTAGGCTTCGTTTCAGGCACGCTGGAGGGCTGGCCTCTCCAGCACAGGGGTGGTTCATTAGCGACTCAGGCCTGACAGATAGCGGCCCAGGAGCAGCGACGGCACGCCGTCATAACCCCGCCAAACAGCCCGGGGCCCAGCGCGCGGTGCCCCTGTGCCCCTCCTTCTGGACCAGAGCAGCTGAGCACTGATGCGCCTTTGGTCAAGTCCAGTCAAGTTACCTACCTGTACCACTACAGCCCTGCCGAACTACTTCGTTTCCCACTCCCACTCCGGCCCCCGTTGCCTCCCATCAGTCGCCGTTCGGCTCCAACGTTCGATCGTGTCCGCATTTCCGCCCGCCAGTCCCTTTTCTTGCCAACTCTGCTGCGTCTTCAGCATCACAACACCACACGGACTACACCGCTCGGCCTCTCCCTCCCATACCAGCGAAGATGGGAGCCAAGGTTCCCCGCAACTTCCGCCTGCTGGAAGAGCTCGAGAAGGGCGAGAAGGGCCTGGGTGCCGGTAGGTCGCTCCATATGGCCGCGGTATGCTTTGTAGAACCATGAAAGTCGACGCTAACATGCGTTTTCGCAGAGGCCTGCAGTTATGGCTTGGACAACCCCGAGGATCTCCTGATGTCGGACTGGAATGGCACCATCCTTGGACCCCCTCATGTAAGTCGTGCTGGCCGGTGTGACAGCGCAGCATCCTTCGCAAAGACGGCAAGATGCTAATCGCAAGGGTATAGAGCGTCCACGAGAATCGTATTTACTCGGTCAAGATGCACTGCGGCGACCAGTACCCCGACAAGCCCCCCACGATCCAGTTCGTGAGCATGGTCAACCTACCCTGCGTCAACCAGCGAAACGGCGTCGTCGACCCATCGCAACTGCCCTGCCTGGCCAGCTGGAAGCGCGAGAACACCATGGAGACGATTCTGATCGAGCTGCGGAGATACATGGCCAGCAGCCAGTGCAAGAAGCTGCCCCAGCCTCCAGAAGGCTCCGTCTACCCTGGCCAGTGAGAAGGACACCATCTGGGTCTCTGATAGGAAAATTCTGGAGCCCCAGGGGAACGCGGGCCTTACTTACATCATCACTACGACGACACGAATGGTAAACGACCATCAAGCAAACCCTGGAGCAATGAAACCCCCGCCGATCCGTTGTTGGGTGGGCTGGCGCAAACGGATGGGGCAGTGGGCATAGTGTCTGGAGTATACATACATAAAGGGAAGAGGTGCTGGGCGGGCTATGCAGACAAACAAACATGCAACAACACCCCAAACAGTCGCCGTGCCTAGTCTTTTATCTATACTGGCGGCTGTCACGCACAAGCAAACATCTCGATTTCTTTTTGTCCCTCTACCTCCCATCCTATGGGTTGCGCCCAAATGTGCGCCTGTTGAACTGGTGATGGAAATGCGCCCCACGTGACCATAATACCGTGGGCGGAAGCATTCCGCACGCCCATTCCTCAAGCATCAACATTTCTTCCAAGATCCGGTTCACGTCCTGAACCAGCCTGAGCTGTGATCAGCAACCTCTAATTCTCCTCCCAATGCCGTACGAATGGAGGTCAAGTAGCTTCTTCATCCCTGCGCAGAACTCGCGCCACCGCACAGCATGTAAATCTCCCCAGCCAGCGTGCACTCCCTCTCTCGTCCGCGCGAAAGCTTGAGAGCTTGAGAGCTCTCATGCTCTCATGAGCTGCCTGGCAACCTCTAGCCCTGGACACTGACGCCTACCTCCTTAGGTCTTGCGCTCTACCGAGCCCTCCTCACCCTCTCTCCGAAGGTACCCCTTCCGCCGGACCTCGCGACAGCATGGCCCGGCCCGCGTAATCCCATCGCCCACGTGGTCCGGCGCTCCTTCGCCCGCAACCTGACCGACACGAGCCCGCGCCTGGTGTTTCCAGCCCTGGCGGCCGGGTACCGCATGCTCGACACGCTGAGCCGCGCCCGCGACCCTGCGACCCCCGAGCACGCGTCCGTACTTGGCTTCTTGCGCGCCCGCCTGGCCAAGCGCAAGCACATTCTCGAGATGAAGGCCCTGAAGTCGCCCAAGCCGGCACCGCGGCCGAGCAGCGCGCCGAACGCGTCCTCGGTGCCCCTGCTGGTCCGCACGACGCCTGAGCCCACGCGCGAGAACCCAAATCCCAAGCACAGCTACGCCGCCGCCGCACGCCCCCGGCCCCGCGACCAGCTGCCGCCCGGCGCCAAGCGCAAGATCCCCGTCTTGGATATGGCGGCCGACTTCCCGATTCTGCGCCTGAACAAGCCGCAGCCGGCCGAGCTGAGCCGCGTGCTGACGCAGAGGATCCGCCGCCGCGTGGGCCACTTCACCGATGTCGAGGCCTTCACCGACGAGAGCCTGCCCGAGTGCGAGGAGGAGGATGCCTGGGAGCAGCACGTCATGGATCTGCTGGACGCCGAGGTGCTGGGACCTAGCCTCAAGGCGGGGCGTGTCGTGGGCGACGGAGCGGCCCTCGCGCGCGCCGCGGACGAGGTAGAGGCCTGGGTCGGCTCAGAGGGTGCCACCCAGCCCACTTACGCGCACTCCCTCCGTGTCCACGGCATCCGGTGGACGATGGACTGGCTGACCCGGGAGCGCGAGGACGCCGTGGCCCGGGCCGACGCTATGCGCAAGATCATCGCGGACGAGACGGCGCTGGCCGCGCGGGAGCGGGAGCAGGACCGCGCCGGCCGCCGCGCCCGCTGGGAGGCGCGCATGCGCGCGGAGCACGGCGACGGCTGGGCCGAGGTGGTCGCGGAGGAGAAGCGGGCGCGGGATCTTCGCCGCCAGCAATGGCTGGCCGAGCGGAAGGCCGCCCGTGAGGCCGAATTCGAGCGGCGCAGGCAGGCGGAGGCGGAGAAAAGACAAACAACACGCGGAGGCAAGAGACAGGAGCGTAGCGCTGGAAATCCCAAGGGACGAACTGCGGACGGCGCGACGGCGAAGCGGGCGTCCTCCTGATATACCAGGTACGTCAATGCGCCTTCGAGTTGTTCCCGAGGCGTACGTGGATATGTGAAAATATGTGGATAATCGACCGCTATGTCACTGGAGATAAACTAGACATTCCCATATAACATAACTTATACTACATTCGAAAGCAACATGCTCAAGTCTTCAACCCAGTTGAACAAGATTGGTTTTGGCATGTTCAGTTACGGCACTCAGGGTAGTTGTTTGATGAATCTATATAATTAGCCGTATATCAGTACTTTGTACACAATGAAATGGAATGCACCTGGCAATATAGCTGGTTAGAACCGCCCTCCTAAAAATCTACAGCCCCTTGCGCCATGCCTATTGGCCATGCAATTTCCCATCCCATTGATCACATAAACTCCAGCAGGGTCATGACGCCAACGCTCTTTCAAATAGCGTTGGCATCAACCACGCTAGCCCAGAAAGCCAGGTCGACGTCTTTCGGTCTGAACCCGGGTGTTCTCCCGAGACACGTTGCCTTGGATATTAATTCTGTACGTCGGTTAGTCTCGTGCTCTTCGAGGACGACATGCCTGGGCGGGACATGAATCTCGAAACTCACCAGCAATAAACTTCTCAACATCGATCCTCCACGCCCTCTTCCGCGGTACATAAGACTGCGCTTGAGGCAGCCCCTGAAACTGTGACACTGGAGGCTGTAGGAAGTGTTGTTGCTGCTGCTGCTGCTGTTGGTGCTGTTGTTGCTGTTGATCGCTCGCGGCATAGGCTAGGAGTGAGGGGTCGGACAAGGCCCCAGTGACGCTGCTGTCGAATGCGGACACACCTGGTGTACCTCTTACGGTGGTGTACCCTTGCGGTAGAAAATCGGGGGAGCAATGGTGTTGAGAGGTCCACGATTCCTCTGGGGCACTTGAAGTGACTGTGACGTTGTCTCCTTGTGAGCCGGGGCTCGAGTTGCTAGTTGAAGTAACTACGGTCGAGCTAGTACGAAGCGTCCTAGGTATTGAGTCAAGACCAACGTTTGCGGCCGCAGTATAAGCTGTGCCCGAATTTGATGACATCGGCGCCTGCATGCCGGACTGGTGGTTGTTTGGTGGCGGTGGAGGAGGTGGGGGGGCCGCGAACGTTCCCTCGTCCATTTCGACTACACAATGGTCTACCAATGGAGGGATGTTCACTCCATTATGAAGCAGGTAGAACTCTACCTCATCCGCATCCCAGAAGACACCATCGAAGCCGGGAAGGTTGATTTGTCCCCCCAGACCAACAAGCGAATCTCGGATTTTGTTAGTCCGGAGGTCGAAAGGTCCAATCGAAAAGGGTGCAGAGTCCTTCGGCCGTCCTGACCTAGGGCTCATGTGGCCTCCGTGGCTGGAAGACGAGTCCATTGATGCAGTCCTCAGATCCGTCGGCCCCATATGTGAAAAATGCGTTCCGTTGCCTCCAAGGCTTTGGAACGGATACTTCGGATTATAGAGACTTTCCTGCGCAGTGACGCCGGCACATGCCAGGGTGCGCTCCTTGATCTGTTCATAGGTTTCGAACAGCCGCGCAAAGCCGAATACCCGCATCATTCTGTCAGGGGGTGGGTGCTCCATGGAAATTAAGCTTGCTGCACATTGAAGTGCGGTGCGCTGTAACCTCCGGCCGAATGTAAGTTCTTGAGAAGCGTAGGTGCGTGGGTTGGGTAACGAATTAAAAGGCGACGGGACTGATGTCCAAGGCATGAAGAGATGAGCTTGGGAAAATGTCATGTTGGGTGCGAAGCTCGCATTCTGGGGTGTTGGCTGGGCTATAATCTCATATCCTGCATGAACCCCCGGGTGAGCTGGCGCGACATTGGATATGGGATGGTGAAAGTGGTTATTGGTTTCTACTGCTGGTTCATGACTGACCATGACTCCAGCCCAGAGCTGTTGTGAGGGTGGTTGTTGTTGTTGTGCTGGTGAAGGCAGTGCGATGTCGGGAGGCGATGCACCACTGCTCTTCCGTTTAACCAGCTTTGATCCCTGGCTCGTACCGTCTGAAGAGTCTCCATCAGATTTGATTAGAGTCTCACCAGACTGTTTGGCCAGTGCCTCGAGCGTCGCAAGTCGCTCACCAAACTCAGGGGCCTTCTCGAGGAGACCATTGCGAGTGGCGAAATCGAAAAGGTCCCGGTACGCTTGGCTCATCTGATCGTTTACTTCTTTGAGTCCGTCAACCTTCTTTTCCAAATCGCTGATTGCACTCTCCTTTCGGTTGCGGTACGCCCTCTGCGCCAACCGGATCTGAGTTCGCCGTCGCTATAGTTATGTTAGATCAGCTTCAACGACGACCGTCACGAACCCTCGGAGGATCTATGGCGTGGCCGCCCACCAACTCAACGTCGAAGCATGTAACGCCAACTCGTCGCCCTTTCTACTAACATCTTGAAAGAGTGCTATCGAATGCAGAGGAAAACACTAACCTCTTGAGGTGTCGCATCCGTCGGGTTCAGCCTCGGACGGCCCCTGGCCCGCTTCTTTTCTTCCTCGGGCTCATCCTTCTCGGGGTCAGAAACCGTCCTTGGCCTCTTCTTGGTGTCAAGGTGGTGATCCGAAGAATGAAGGTGCTTCTGCGATCCGCCGGCGCGGGCCCGAGAATTATGGCGACCATCTTCATACTGAGCGGCGCTCAGAATGGCCAGATCGGAATGCATGACACGCATTGGTGTGCCACGTCGTGATCCGGGGAGGAAATACCACAACAAGCTCCTATGAGCGTCGTTATCCTGACCAGTGACCTGCAGAGACCGTGGTACCGAAACGGTCGGTGCATGGGGTAGATATCACAGTCCCGCGAGTCGAACCCTTCCGGTTCCGCGGCGTCCCGTGCGTGGAGTCGCGGCGCCTGTGGGCTCCTCCGGCGCTGGGAGGGTACGACCCGCCGTGCTGGGAAAGCCGGGGAACTCAATGTACACAGGGCTGGAGGATGCCGTGTGCACAGTATACGGCACCACGATGAGCACGCACGTCGTTTCTCCGGGCGCCTGTACGTGACGGCAGGCAGGACAGGATGGCAATGCCCTTTGCTAAGCAGGCCGTTGACGAAGGGCGTGGTTAAAGTTTATTAGTTCCATTACTAATGGGGGCACGTCTGAGGCCGTGGGTGACGGGCGGCTAGAGTCGCCTGGGCAAATGGGTAGGTGCCCATGGTGCCCCAGTGCTGCTGCTGAAGAGTGCCGGAGTGGGCGCTGCCTTGGCGCAGCGACCTAACCAGGGTCGGGTAGTGCTGCCATCCTAGCATCCGCCAGGCCCGCAGCTCGCTGGCTGGGAGCATGGTCTGCATGGGGGCCGGGTCGCTGAGCGGCGACAGGGATCGAGCTTCCGCGGCCCTCCTGTCGATCTGGCCCGGGACCAGGGCTGCTGCTCATCAAGCTCGTGCATCTATGGCGACAGCCCAGAGAAGGGTCTGGGTGCCCATGGCCACGGCATGGCACGTGGTATGTGTTGCCGAGCACTTCTGCCCATGAGTTTAGCACTCACAGAGTCGCGATGAAAAACAGCTTGTTGTGTGGCTCCGTCGAGTCGCTGGGCCACGGCACATTGTGCCGGTGCCAAAAGAAAGTAGACTGCAAGTTTAGCGCCACGAGGGTCTGTCAAAAAGCATTGTATCCTGGGAGATTGCAAAAGTACTCCCAAGACTTGGCAGGCTGGCGACATTCTGTCGTGTTGTTCAAATGGCTCGGCTGAGACTGCGATGGCCGGCAGTCCATCTAGACCACAAGTTTCTCGTCTTGTAGCTATTATAAGTACCACACCGCGTTCGGCCCACAATCTCCTCTGTTGTGGTCTACCAACGTCAGGCTGTCTGACTATCATCCTTCCGGCGACCGGGTAGCTAGTCTCTCTTATGCTACGCACTGTCATGGCAGGTCTCGCCGATATTCCGACAGCAATCCGTCGTCGAGCTAATATGCAGGCTGTTGGCGAACCGTTGGATATTTTTAGAGGATTAAGCAGCGGGGCATATGTTTATCGGCAACCGTACATTCTCAACATATAATATCTAGGTTGACTCTAATTCAGCAACTTACCTTATGTCCACGGCAAGATGGCTGTACTCCACGACCGCATTACTGTCGCATGCTCAGTTGCGTAAAATACCCAGCCGCTGATTATTAGCAGAGCATGACGTAATAAGAATAATATGTGCAGCACAGCCTTCTTGGGTTTGGAAGCATTTGTCGTGTATTGCACACACTCTCCTCCTCCAGCTGCACCCTATCGGTCTCACCCGTCAAGACGTGAAGGAAATACGTTTGCTCTTATGATCCGGGATACGAAATGTCACCGTTTCTCTCTTCGCCGGATTATGGAGACTTCAGCGTAGTAGTCGACTTGGATACTATCGATACCCCAGGTACAGTAGCTCATCATTCAGTTGGTGGGCAGCAAGAACCGCAGACGGCTAATATCAACCGGCAACCCCTCGACCATGGAGGTCTTAGTCCTAGTCGTTCTTCCTCTTCAGTCTCCATTATCAGCCAGAACACAGCAAGCGATATTAAAGAGGCGCCTCAAGAGACTCACAAACATTCCCAAAGCATCATTAGCATTCGATGCTCTTCCTTGTAACAATAAAGAGGTTGCAGATGATAATGTCGGTTGCCCCCCGCTACTCTGAAGGGGTACACGACGAAGTCTATCTATGTCTCTCATTGGGCAAATTTCATGGTTGTGGTCATCCTTGTTCTCTTGTGTTGGGCTATTGGGCCACAGAGACGAAAGAATCTGGATCGTATCTCGTGGATCCAGATTGCACTGCCCAAATCATTGGTCTGCTCGAGAGGGTTTTCTGTATAAACCTCCAGGTTTCACGAATCCTATCTTTCACACAGGCAAAGGCTCTCGACCTTGCATGGAAAACAATACTCGGACAAGGCGGACGTTTACTCCATGGTTGGGTCCTTTACGAGATCGCGGCGAGTTGTCTCACCCTAATTATGGAGATCTTCGCGATACCGTACGAGTTTCAGATAAACATCCTCTTCGCGAAAATCTCGCTCCCATCTCTCTGGTATTCGTCGAAGTTACTGAGCTGCACATCAACACTTCGCCCTGGTCTCACTGCTACTTTCCTGATATTTGCCATCGCCTACACGCTCCTTTTCCCGGCGGTTTGGAGTGCTGCCACTGGTTATCTCAGTCTAACTCTCTCACCTTATCGGATGCCGGATCAATCTTATCCGACTATAGAGGCTCAGAATCTAAGGCTATGCTACGTAGTTGATGATCGTCGGCTTATTGGGAATGCTGAGTCTATGATTACTGAGGGAACCAGTTTCGGGGAGTTATTCAACGTCTGGGATGGGCGCTCACAGTCCGGATCGTTAGGGAGCCAAGATTACGGGCCCTTCTAACATATATGCCTGTACATCAAGCGCAGTTCCTAGGTTGCCTTAAACGAATAGTTAATCAGTTGGCAGATACATTCACCAAATCTATAACCAACAGCTTCTATACAAATATCAATTATGGAGGAGCGTAGTCCTACTTAGACAACTCGACGCTGAACATACTGGCACACCAAAATTTGAAACTTCCCTTAGAAGCTGACACTATACTATACGTTACTGTCAATGGTTTCCGCATGGTTTCGGGGGGAGAGTTCATTTACATAATGAAGATAACGCCCGCAGTTGGTGCAGAAGTGGACGGCATGTCGTTGGCTCGGGCACACCTTGAGCTGGACCGGAATATGTCTTGGGACCCAGGGTGATAGTCAAAGGGGTTGTGAGGTTAGGTATAATCAGAAGTCCAAACGTAGGTTTCAATTCATTAAGAGACTTAATCTTGTCCCCTTTCATGGAAGAGGGACAAGATGGAATTATATAGCGGACACTGTTCGGTGTCTCACCGGACCTTCTGTAAACCTAATGCACTGCCGTGACAGTGATCTGGAGACGTCTTGTGGACGACAATTCCGTACGACTCCAGTATATGGCTGAACGACACCGTCATCACGGTTGACGCATCGTTCGCCAGTTTCCCTCACAAATGTTCTAAAGTCATGTCACTCAGTGGCCTCAAGTGCCGTATCTGTTACGATGGTGCATCTCTAGAGCAGGACTGGCGAAGAACCGAAAATATGACCTGCACCAGCAAATCTGGCTATGTATGGGGCTTCGCAGGTATGATAGCCATTACCGGACTTTACCTAGAAATATTTTAGATCATCGGCTACTTTGGCTTGTGGCTCGACTCCCATATCCATAGCACACTGCTGAAAGCCAATCGCAGTGGTGCCGGCACTGCGAGGAACATTATCGATGTTGGTACTTCCATACCACTGGATTTGGGTACTACAACGGGAAATTACTCAAGAAGGAGAGCTTTAAAAGGCCCTGGCCTCATGCGCTCCTGTCGGATACGCCATAGAAGAAAATGGCGGGTTAATATCTATAAAATCAGAAATGTCAAGCAACGTGGGAGACATGACAAAGATCGCAGAGAACGACAATTGGAGGGTGCAAAATTTCCCGATAAATACCTGCATTTTATATGGAGATACTTATCGTATAGCCGGACCCTTCTTCGACTTGCTTGACAGGATATCCAACCCGCCCACAACAGTGATAGACTGCATGTACACGAAATCGACTCCAGAGTATCCGCTTCAAGTAGTAGGATACACATTAGCGTGAGATCCGAATTTACCCCGCTACAGGCACCCTGTTGGGGCCGAGTTGTCGGTTACAGTCCGTACTGTACTACTGAGATGATGAAATGATTCCAGTAATTCCACGTTCGACGTGGGTAATCGTGAGAGATTTGCATGCGAATATCGATAACTATAGCAATATGAGGCCCCTCCACATCAGCTTCTTATTCTGGTTTTGGAACCAACCTAGGCGCCGCTCGGCGCATTCATAGCTGTTAGAGCTGTACCTGGTCACGGCCTGTATCTTTGAACCAACCGCGAGCTCAGCCGCAATCTCACGCCGATCGCACATGGGCGGTGCACCACACCTTTGGAGGGTAGAATTCAAATTTGAGATTTCCTCCTCCGCTCTGACACCAAACACTGCGCAACGACCATGTGTTGATCTGATACTGCACACTACGGGATGGCGATGATGCGTGGGCCATTTCAACGGTAATTAGAGCTACCCCCAAGCTACCGCAATGGGTGACGCCGTGAACGGTTGGCAAACCGTCCTGCCCACCACGCGGGTCGACCGACTCGAACGGGTGCAGCGAGAGACCGTTGAGCGTCAAGCCTTGGACTCGTGGGCAAAGCTGGATGGCGACTGGTCTGGCTAGTGCGTAACTCCAATCCGATCTTCTCTGTTTTGACCTCGCAACTCACTTATACTTTACAGTGGAAAGCACACAACCGAATATGCCCAAGCGAAGAAGCTGCACAGCAAGCTAAGGGCAGCCGTCATACAACCCCTAGGCCGCGGCGGCCAAGGCGAAGTCGAAAAGTTAAAGTACACCCACAAGAACAGATCGGTCGAGCTAGCCAGGAAACGACTCCGGGGCGTGATTGAGGAGTTAAGGGAAGAGGCAGACATTCTGGAGCAATTGTGCCATGACCACATTGTGAGGTTGATTGGGACGTATGGCTACCACCCGAAAGAGCTTTACCTGCTGTTGTGGCCAGCGGCGACTCGCGATTTGGCCGACCTTCTGAAAGACCTTGACGATCTTCGGTTCGACGGGGGAGACCGTGAGGACATTCTAGAAAGGCTGCAAGACCTGGACTTGACCAACACGGCTGCCATTGACAACGTCTACGCTATCACCAACCCCAGCCGCGACAGCAGTGATCATTGCCCTCTGAGCTACTTGCAGCGCATAATGGGTTGCCTGACCGACGCTATTGGTTATTGCCATGACCAGAACATTCGGCACCTAGATCTTAAACCGGAAAATATCCTCGTTAGTCCCGGACGAGTTCATCTTGCAGATTTCGGCATATCCAGAGACGTGTCAGACCAAGAACAGACGAACACATTCCTTGAGATTGGTACCAAGAAATGGTTCGCGCCTGAGCGATTTCCCAGCGATCAGGGCTGGTCGATGCAGGCAGCTGACGTATACTCACTGGGTTTGATATTCCTGAACATCAGTGCAATCATCTATGGCGCACGGCAAGCTCATCTATTCGACATACTGAAGCAGGTCGACTGGCAGATCAAGCTCCGTCAATTAGATGCATATCTTGAAGACTTACAGAAGCTTGCTCTTGCTACCCAAGAGTTTGCCGACGACAAAGCAAATACGTTTGCGCCTAAACATGTCGTCGGGCTCATTCGGTGTATGACATCGCTGGATAAGTCAAAACGTCCCGATACTGCCAAAGTCAATGCAGAACTTGTCCGTCTTGGTGGACTCGAACAAATCTACCACAACAGCTGCTGCAAGCGTCCAGCCAGGGTCCTGGTACAGCTACTGGACAGAGAATATGCCCAGGCTTCCATGGAGCGTGATCGCCTAGCAGAGGAGAATGAGCGTATCGGCAGACAGCTTCAAGTCTACAAAGATCGAGACGACATGTATGACTTGCGAATCCGAAATGAACGAGAGAAGCATGCCAAAGACCGCGAGAGACTGTTAAAACAATTAGAGGAAGAGCAGAAGCACCGCAGGCAGCTAGAAGCTCAGCTTTGGGGCCCAGAGCAGCATCGCCGGCACCGCTCAAGCGTCACGGCCCCGGAGCGAAGTGCTAGTGGCGGCCTCATGATGAAGACCACTAGGCAGCCGGCCAAATCACCGTCACAGCAACCCAGCAAGCCAGTGACCACGCCTTCGGTCAATAATCCCCCCTTGCTAAGATCACCCACATCCAACACTGGCAAAGGACCTACGTCGGATCTTCGAAAGTCTACAGACTCCTTGGCCGGCAGTGGTCTGCTCCGTACCAGTACTTCTGCGTCTCGGCTACCACAACCCGTCAAACCATCAACGCCGATAAGATCTAGCACTCCAAGTACTCCGCGGGATACCAATCTCACCGATACGACAACAACCAGCATAGCCTCATCCCTGTTCAGCCGAAGTAGTCGACGCACCACGGGGAGTGGCCTCTCACCAAACCCCAGTCCAAGCTCTTCCAATATTCTAGCTCGGCCTGATGCCCAGCCTGATGGATCCGCTGCCCCAGATGCCACTGCCAAATTGCCTCCACTATCTTCATACTTTCCAAGAGGCTTGGAGGCCCCTCGCCATGTGGTCAATGCAGAATCTGAGGCGGGGTCCGTTGGCACTGATCTTGCCGAGCTCGACCTGCTCCATGATAATCAGAGTCAGGCAGGAACAGATGCCTCTGACCTTCCAGGGCCAACAAGAGTCCCATCTCTGCCAGTAGACAAAAGCTGGGCGGCTATTGCCGGAGATCGGAGGGGTTTAGCTAACATGATCAGCGCTGTCACGAGCAAGAAGAAAAAGACTTGATAAAATCTGGGGAGATACTCGAATGCATGGCAACCGGAACTTACGCGAAACCACAGCTACGATTAATGACATAATTGAGATACCATTTGCATATTGTGTTTTCGTATCATGCGCCGTAAGACATTTGCCACTTTCCTAGTTGGTCGTAAAGCCCGCATTTGGAATCATCAACCCCTCCTGATAGTGTCCCTGCCTACTGACAATGTTATCTCCCTTCGGGCGAGTGTTCTATCGAAAAGCCTTTGGTCCCGTGTTCCAGCGCCATCACTTTTGGCACCTGCCAATGAACTGTGAACCAATCGCGAAGAAGTCATGTATGTTGCTACATTCGCTGCAACACAGTATGGATGAACTCTCAGATGAATCTACAGACTGTCGCTCTTTATCGGGAACAGCAATTACCGTTGTTGGAGTCGGAGATGAGTGATGCACTCGAATGCTCAAGACGTCGACGTCAGAGGCACTGCTGGCTTCCCTGCTTATACATCCGTAAGTGTCATCTCGAAGTGTGTGTCGATTCTTACGGAAGACGATCAATTTCCATGCTGGCTCTACTTCGCGACATAATCATCAAGATGATGAGGGCTCTAAGACTTTGGTATGTTTCCCTTCTGGGTTGACAAGGCGAGACTATTATTTAGGTCTACAATTGTTTTGGGTTCATCTAATGTATCCCGGTGGAACGCATTTGGATAGCCTGTAATCAACTCGGCCGCCTACCGTCGCGGACAGCCCTACGGACTTCGTTGACGAAGCAATGCCGCAATCCAGTTGTCTGATCCGTTATGTTCTCTGCCCTACAATTATTCTCACACCGGTTTAAACTTTATGATATATCACCTTACGGTGGCACGTGCAATTTCTCACGACAACTTAAATTTAATCGATCCTGCCAGCGGCTAGTCGAAATAATGTTGCACAGAGCCTGATACCACGCACAACAGCTGATTGGGCAGCCCCTATTGATTCAAGCAGTTTTTCACACCATGGAGCACAAATTCCGAAGATTATTTCTTTTTGTTTAGTCAACAATCTTACATGCTGTGTCCATACCCATGTCTAGGGACCTGTATGGAAGAGAGACAGTAAGACTCTTCGAGGAACCGCCCTACCGAGACTCGAGTGCGAAACACAAACCACAACCGGGGTCTTTGGCAAGTTTTACCGTCGGCGAAGAATGGATGGTAACAGATACTCGCAACAGCCTGGTACACATATTAAAAGCTTGCAATAAGGTGAAACTCGCGTTTATACAGAATTGTACCAATAACCAGGCGTCCCAAACAATCAGTAATCATGCATATGTGTAGCTTTATATAGTCTCTCATTCGAACAGATTTCCAGCCACTGTTGAATCATTTTACACCATTTTGAAATCATTCCAAGTTTAAGCCATCAGTTTCGTGCGTGCTGGTGTAAGTGAAACCCCAGACCAGGTTACTGGCACACTTCATAATCTTGTGCATGTACAAAAAATGATTTTCAGGGACCGGATTTACGGCTGGCGGATGCACTATGGATGCGTGAATAAATGCGAGGAACTATCAGTTAGCTCAAATGAGCCAAAGTTGGACTCTTTTCCTCATTGCAGAACGCTTGCTCAATTACTCTCTCGGCACATTCCGTAGGTGCCATATGCTAGGATTTCATCGAGGTCCCTCGCCACAGCCATAGCAGGTCTAGGACTTTCTATCCGGCTACCAGACTCGAAGGTACATAGGAAATCATACGCCAGCTACGCGATGCTAAGACTAACCGCCGCTGCACGTCTACTTTCAATTTGCATCGGGGAGATGCCAAGCTCAGGGTGAAGTTGTCTTGGCGAACTGGACATGCAAGTGATGCATCCAGCCATCTGGTCTGAATACCGTGAAATCTTCATTTGGCATCACTAAATGATGGCGGGAAAATACACTCTATCATTTCATGAAATTCTTGTGAGACTATCAGCTTCCGATCATCTATAGTGACGGGGTAGGCGGTGGCTAGCTCAGAATGTAGTCTTGATATTCTTCGGTCTCAGTATGATCGAGGGAACCTCAAGCGTCTCTCTTCAGCGCAGCATCTCAGCATTAAATTGCAACATTAGGCGAGCAATTGTTTCTTGAGCATATAATTGGAGGGTCCGCTAAAGCAGGGAGGCGCATTGTCTCTCCCCACTCGTCCGCCTGTACTTCGTGCATGTCCAATGTTCCTAGTATCCAATGCTCATGTTAAAAAGTCCTGTGGCAGAATTATCGGACTTGCCGAGATCTTTGAAGGACACTAAATATGATTCTTCAACACGATTGAAAACAGCGTACTGGGCTAATACCGAATAGTTCAGCCTGTCGGCGAAAAGCAAAATCTGGTGGCTTCAGTCCCATTTCGGCGTATGGCACCGGTAACTATGGAGACATTCTGTCTGCCAAAGACTGTACTTCACGGTTGCCCTGTCTAGGAATGTTACTCAGAAGGCAGCGTAGTGTTGTCCAAGAGCTCATCGCGACAGTCCCGGCGCCTAGAATGTGTGCTATCGCGGTCACTGCCCACACAAAGGCACCGCATTTCCTGAACACGTCTTTACAAGAGCAAGAACAACGAATCTGAGTCATACAAGAAGCCTCAAACCGCCCGCTAAAGTAACTGGGCCAGGCTTTTTGTGACGTTCCAGCCCTACCAGGCTGATGTAGTCTAACGGCTCAGCTGATGCAAGTTCAGCCTAGTCACATTTGGCTGAACACTAGTTGCAAATCACCGGGCACTGGGAACGAGTCCTCACATCTGCTCACAAGCCACGGCTGCTGAAACTTTGCGCAGGTCACTGCATGATTACGGACCAGGAATTCTGTTCCCCTCCGGGCAAATGATCACCGAATTTCAATTGGTAGATTACTTAGCTGGATAGACCGCTCTCCCCAATCACGCATATGTGGCTGAGTACTCGTGCTTACGCCACGACCCAAACTATAATGTATTGGCTGAAACGGTAAGCCAAGCTCATTTCTTTCACTTCAGCACTCCGACGATTCTAAAATGTCAAGGGATGCAAGGGATGCCTGGAGGGCGGTGTGAGCTGAGCTGAACATATAGTCTTGAAATATATATTTTGACGCGTTACCCATAGTCAATGTCTAGGCCTGTGTGCGAGGTTTAGAGCAGTCTGCTTGTTTGCTCAGATTTTTCTCACTGGGCCAGTTCTTATTCACCTCCAAAGTTACTTCAGAAACACTGTAAAATGTCAGACGGAACTACCGGTCCAGTGATTATCAATGGCATCAAAGCCGATAACCCCGGTACGTGGTAAGGCCACATTTGAAGTTGACCGTCTAACAGCTCAAAGCCAAACCTCCGGTCCGTATGGAGGTACGCGACATGATCAAAACTCAACCCGATCAATGGAACCTCTACCTTCTAGGATTGGAAAGGTTTCAGAAGTCTGTTGCTGAGAACATGCCCCTTTCCTACTTTCAGATTGCTGGTAGGCCACTGCCGACAACCTTTGGAGCCATCCCACTCACTTTCGATAGGCATCCATGGTCTACCATACGTCAAGTGGCCCAACCAGAATTGGAATAAGATGACTCAAGTCAGCGGCAGGACAGAATTTGGAGGGTTCTGCACCCACAGCTCCATTCTGTTCCTTCCCTGGCACCGGCCGTATCTCGCTTTGTTTGAGGTTAGCCTAGCAATGCCGTGATCTCCGATAATGAGCTGACAGCTAGCAGGCTGAACTTTATAAGCATGTGAATGCCATTGCCAATGAGTTTGGCGATAACGAGAGAAAGGCAGATTACGTGAAGGCCGCTAAGACGTTTCGCATGCCATATTGGGATTGGGCACGACCTGATCTCTCGATCTTCCCCCCTCAAGCAGGGCCTCGAGCAGATAACCAGGTCGTGAAACCCAAGAGGCCACAAAAGGCTGCGATCAGCCCCAATCCCCTGGCCGCTTATCAGTTCCGTGAATCTGCTAGCAACTCCAACATCAACTGGGTAAGATGAGAGACCAATATCGAACTTCAAGTATGCTAATAAGCATAGTTCCCTGATGTCAATGCGACTGTGAGATACCCTGCTCAGACATCCGATACACCCGATGAAGTCAGTATGAAGCAGGATTTGACTGCTTTCTTTGAAGGAACGGACCAGAACCCAAAGGGACGGAACTTGACCGAGCGTGTTCTCTTCATCCTCCAATCTTACAACAATTTCGGCGCTGCATCGAGCAACCGTTTCAACAGCCAGTCTATCACTCCTGGCTTCGAGGAATGGGGGAGCATTGAGGATATTCACAATGCAATCCATACCTATACCGGCGGCAATGGGCAAATGTCTTCACCACCGGTATCCTCCTTTGATCCCATCTTCTGGCTTCACCATACCAACATCGACCGGCTCTTTGCCATCTGGCAGGCATGCCACGACGACCCGAAGGTATCAAGCACATACGTGACACCAAAACGTGCTAGCAACAGTACATTCTCAATGAGGGCGGGATCCACCGAGAACATAACGACACCATTGACGCCATTCGCACAGTCCGGAACCAAGGACAAACAGAACTTCTGGACGTCTGAAGGTGCGAGATACACGAAGTCTTTTGGATACGTCTACCCTGAAACCCAGGACTGGCTATTTCCAACACGAGAAGCTGTTCTTGCAGAACTCAACCGGTTATATCAGAGAGCCTCACTGGCCAACATCTTGAGTAGTACTGGGGTTGACCTCAAAAACTCTATTGAACAGCTACGGGCTCGTGCTGTGTCTCACTTGAAAGTCGAGAACAAGGCCGAAAGCAACTTAGTGTCTACCCAAGCTATCAATCTAGCTGCCGTGCCACCCGTACAGGCACCCTTGGAGATTGAGAGCCAGGTCGCGGAAGTAAAGGTTCCGGAGGACCGCAGCATCAACAAATTGGCAGACAACAACAAATATCTGGAATGGCTTGTCAACATCAAGGCCTTGAAAGCTGAGCTTGGAGGTAACTACGTGGTCCATGTGTTCCTGGGAGACCCCGACGATTCAGCCCCAATTCTCTATGTCACTAACCACAGTCATGTTGGTGCATTCTCCACATTTGGACAGGGCGAGAACACCGCATGCCAGAACTGTCAGGATGGGCATGCAGAAGGCCTGCAAATCACTGGCCAGATTCCTCTCACTCTAGCGTTGGTCGAACGGTATCTGGCAGGTCTTGTTGATGATCTTTCTCCTAGCAGCATCATCCCTTACCTGCAGAAGAACCTTCACTGGCGAGTCACCCTGCCTGGTGGCGAGCGCCGTTCCAGAGGCGAAGTGAATGATCTCCTGGTCAGTGTCGTAACCAACGAGGTGACGATCCCTGATAGTCCGAACGGTCTTCCACAGTACTCGGACCAGGTAATTCCACGTCCAGAGGCTACCACAAACCGTGAAGGAGGAGCTCGAGGGAATGGTACGGGATACATTGGCGGACAGGTTACATCTCCTTAGTCTATCATCACGCGCTCCTTAACCTATATCCCATAAATATTAACATCTCATTTGGAACACCAATACTACCTGGACATGATTGGCAGGAAGTATTTGTGAAATTTTTATCTGGCTGCTAGTGGTGCCCAAGCTTCAGTAGCTTCGTCTAATTTCCAGTTATTGGTCCTTTATTTGGAACTTTAAAATACGGTCCTTGCGCTGAAAGCTGGTTCAAAGCCTGTACGAAATCTCATTCATTGTTGCAGCCTGCTTGCTCATACCCGCAAGTAGCAGGGCGAGATCTCTCCCCGCCATGGCGAATCTGAAGTCAAATTGTAAGAAATGATGTGTTAACTAGACATAGAAATGTGTACACCTACCGTATCGATGGATGTTTCTTGACGAAGTTCTCTAGCAAGTCGGGGCGCGGTTCTAGTCCGCCGAGGCCGACAAAGACTTTTTGTCCGTCGACAGACGCCTTTTCAGCGGCTGCTGCCACTCTCGCAACCAGAGAGTGAAACAGCTCAGAATCGTATTCGCCTGGAATCCCGAATCTGGTCAGGTCAGTCAATTGAATATGTGCACCAATGGATAAAGATTATGCATACTCCATACAAAGGTCAGCACAGCCAATAAGCAGCGCATCAATTCCTGGAACAGCTGCGATTGCCCTGCATGTATGTGAGCTATGGCTGGTCACACGCAATGATGATATGAATCGCCGGTGAGATTGGTAAGTGAATATGGAGTCCAGACTCACTCAACGTTCTCAACCCCCTCTTGGGTCTCAATCATAGGCATTATCATCACTTCATCATTGACAACTTCTCCAATGGCAGCGTAACTTAGATTTGTTGTGTATTGAGTCATAGCAGTGACCATTGTCACAGATCTGTGCCCCTGTGTCTTGTTAGTCCAGGTTTCTTCATCATGAACCCTGAAAGGTTCTAGCCTCAACAAGATAGAATTGACTAAATATACTCACGAGCGGAGGGAATTTCGAAGCATTAACACACATCTGGGCTTGCTCAATATTATTGACGTGCGGCACGATGATGGCTTGTGCTGCTGAATCGAGGCATCGCGAAATCCACTCTTGGGAACACGTAGGCACAACCACCATAGGTGTTATTCTGCTTCTAGTCAGAAATCTGCAACTCGATGAACGTTCAGGTTCAACTTTATCCTCAGAGCGCCTGATAGCTGAGGTGGGTATAACCTAGCCTAGACCCCCACCCGATGGAACGCAGTAATACGTGTGCTATTTGATCACATGCCTCCACGAGCCAGAAGTCCAGGCTGAAAGGAAGTACTTTGCTGAAGCTCGCCAAACTCAAGGAACTCAAAGATATCCAGGACACTCACCCAACATTGAGGCAGGATACTGCGACATCTTTCATGGTCTCGATGCTCATGGCCATATGCTCGAGATTCATCAGGACCGCAGAATATCCAGCGCGCTTAGCTACCAAGGGCATTTCTGTGGAGAATGCAATGCGCATGCCAAACGAGTGTGCAAGCTTGTTGTCGCGCATCAGTTGCTTTACCAGATTCGGCCGACATATTTCGCGAGCCAGCGCAAGTTGCTCCGGAGGCACTGCTGCTCTTTCAATGGGCGTGGTGTTTGGTGACATGGTCTGTGGCGTTGAAGAATGATTGATAGTGAAGTTGTTTCCCTCTGAGAATGCGTATGGCAATACCTAGAGAAGAGTACTGGTTTGCTATCGAACCCTTGTATAGGCGTCAGTTCGGGGTCCTGCCGCCGTTACTTGTATAGGCGTCAGTTCGGGGTCCTGCCGCCGTTAGCGTCCCGCCAGCCAATTCTACTATAGATTGGCTATCGTACCTAACGGTGGGGCCGCTACGCCTTGGCAACAGCTAATCAACGTGCAGACCGACCTCCCGAAGCGCCCGCCTATCTTCCTATCATCGGCGCCGAGCCCGAAAACAGTCGTTCCACACGCTCGCACTCTGGCTACGCGACGTAATGCGGAGAGATGTGGGCCGATAGCGAAAGATGTATTGCCGAAACTGGGTATTCTGCACCGGATTCCACACCCCGTGGTTATCAAAAACTCGAGGTGAGCCAAAGGGGCTGCGACGGTCAAAAAGGATTGATGTGCCGCTACATTCTTGCGCATTTGGATTGAGCCTTCGCAAGTTCTGGTCAGGTTAGATCAGTATTCCAACGTGGTGCCCGATAATGTCATCCAGCAAGGCGGAAGATGCTCAGCAGATGGGGGTCGCAGGAGTCGATTCGAACTACACACCACCAGGGAAACTCTCCTGGGGGAAGAAGGTCCTCTATCACCTTTGGGATGCAGACCAGCATTTAAAGAGTCCCCAGGTATGCCACGAGCGGGATCCAAGTGTTTGCTTTGCACTCACACAAGACAGGAGCGAGCTCTCGTCAGGAAGCTGGATTTCGGCATTTTGATATGTGCAACTCTGGGATGGGTAGGTCATGACCAACAACCGTCTCATGCCACACCAAAGCTAACCGTTATGTAGTGGATGAAGTATATTGACCAATCCAACATTGCCAATGCATGTGAGTTTACACCTCTGGTGGGCAGTTTTCTTGTAAGCCACGAGGCTAATAGGAGAACAGACGTTTCAGGAATGAAGGAAGACCTGAATCTCGAGGCCAATGAATACACTTACATGCTGAGTTAGCATATTGCGACCTCTACGTGTATCGAACACTGTTACTAATGATATAGAAGTGTGCTACACGATTGCATTTGCCATCATGCAAATCCCGGCCAACGCCATCGCACTCAAGATCCGGCCGCGCGTATGCCTGGTTATCTGCGAGATAGGATGGACAATCTTCACGTGAGACGCTCATAGATGAGTTCTTTGAAGCGATGAACCGTAAACTGACACGTGTATCTCGCGCAGATTCGCTCAGGCAGCTGCCAGAAACAGCAACGATATGTACGCCTTCCGCTTCATGGTCGGCTTGTTCGAGTCGGGCTTTAGTCCAATCATTATTTTCCTACTAGGTTCGTGGTATAACAAGTCCGAACTGGCGAAAAGAATAGCTATTTGGCATATCACGGGATTCTTCGGTTCAGCGACCTCAGGCTTTTTAGCTGCTGGTATACACGCATCCCTCAACGGACATCTGGGCTTGGCAGGATGGAGATGGCTCTACATCAGTAAGACATAATACCCTGCTACAGATCTGAGATAGAGCATTGATGTAATATCCTAATAGTCTGTGGCTGTATGTCGTTACCCGTTGCCATCTCGGTCTGGTTTTTACTCCCCGACTATCCACACAACACTAAAGCGTGGTACATAACCGAAGAAGACAAGCTTATCGCCATGCGCCGATCAGCGAACATTGGAAAGAAGGAGATCACTGGACGGATGGACTTTGCACTCGCCAAGCGTATGTTCGGAAATTGGCGATGGTGGACACTATGCTTGATGTACATCTTCTACGGCAACAGTTGTCAAGCCAACCAGTACTTCTCGGTGTACCTTAAGTCGGCTGGCTATTCCGTTACATTGCGAAACGTAATCCCCGCGTGTGCTAATCTCGTTACGATGGTTACGGACTTCTCTTATGGCATGATGTCGGATATGTTCAGGAATCGCGCCTATTGGATGGTCGGACCACTGGTAAGCTATGCGACCTTTTGCCGCAAAGCATATCCCCAACATTGCTGAAATTTGAGATCTTAGATGTGCACAACCGTTATCGGATCCGCTATCCTGACCGCCTGGCCGGAAGCAGATGCACCCAAGATCGCTGCTTACTTCCTATGTGCCTCAGGTTATGTCACAGCTGTAGCATGGGTAATTCTTCCGATGTCCTGGCCATCTTCGGCGTGTTGACGTAATTACAGACCTGGGCGAATGAAATCAATAACGGTAACGCAGAGGAGCGGGCTCTGACGGTTTCAAGTATGAATGGTTTATTTTACGCCACAAGTAAGCGACCTCCAGAAGATTGCATTGCGATGGGAATGTTGACCATTTGGCTCGTTGACAGACTCCTTTCTCCCAATTTTGATCTTCCCGCAAACCACTGCACCACGTTATGGGAAGGGTTTCCCGTCCATCTTGTCTTTTGCTCTAATCGCTGTTGCACTTGTCTGTAAGTATCGAACATTTTCTCCAGAAATGAATGAGACTAACGGTATCCTCAAGTGTTGACAGACTTCCTGCATAAGCGTCAATTGAAGCAAGAGCAAGTATTGCAGGCTGAACTTCCACCGTCTGAGATCTCACAGTCACCTGAGGTTGAGCACAATAAGGAAATGGAAAACAAACTTGCTAGCTCCATTGAACCCGTTCGAGGTTCAGTTGCCATTATGTAGTGCATCCTAGGAATATAGGTGGATCAAAGTTTGAAAACCGAACTCTTGCATAGATGCATAGTGCAAGGTTACAGGCTGTGATAACGTGGAATATTCAGGCAAAATTGAGTTTGTGCGAATTGAAGTTGCTACTGTCGATGAGGACCATGTGCTGTAAGAAGAATCATTGTCCTGATCCTGTAAGCTGCAGTAAATGCACAGGAGATTGAGGCCTGACAACTATTGATAGGCATGCCAACTGACGTCACTGCAGCTGAACTGCGGTAGGTTTCTTGTGGAGCACCGTCTAGATACATCATAGGGGGCTTGGGGTCACAATACCGGACTGGCCAAAGCATACACTATGAGACAGCTACTTGGCCTTTGTAGGAATCTAGTATCGACTGAGTGTTACGCCATACAAGTTGTCTAGTATAACTTCTTGTGAATAACTCCTATCAGGCGTCACAGATTTCAAGACCTGCACGATTCTCAGGAGTGCCGACCACGATTAGTGCAAAAGATTAGAGGGGCACGGCTGGCAACATGGACACTGGGGACTCAATCTAGCACAAGTACGTATTGCTTATTGATCGCCATGATTGTCAGACGTCTACTAATTCAAATCAAGCACCACTCCGCACTTTTCACCAAATGCCCTCCTCCAGATTGGCTGCAAAGCAAGTCCTGAACGATATTCAACACCAACCTTTCTCGCTTGATCCATGACTCTCGCCCGGATCTTCGCACCTGTGGGATTTTCTGGGTTATCTAATATGCGCTTACGGAGCACTACTTCTTCGAGATCAGACAGGAGCCAATCGCGTCCCGCAGAAAAGTCCTTGAGTAGCGAGCAAGCCACTTCACTGTAGTCGTTGAGAGAGCTGTCGAACAGTTGGAAATTCTTAGTAGACGACGGGAGAATCTCCGTTAGCTTAGGAACCATTGCCGGGGACCATTTCTGAAAGCCTTTGGACGGGCCGCACGCCTCCAAGCCGGCCATTTCACCAGATTCAGGGGACGGACCGGCGAACAATGCAACATCAAGCTCTGCGCGTTCTAGGCAAGTAAACTCTTGAAGAGATACAATACCCGTGACAATCTCCCCAGATAAACCGTCCACTGTTAAGGCTAGGTCCGTAAGCTGATGGCCACAATACCTCCCAATTGCAGCTGCGAAAGCACCGGCGTTCCAATCATGCCCACAAGTGTGCCATTTTTCCTGATGACTATACCGAAATGATTGCAGATTGGGTGTGTTGGCCAACAGGTTGGAAAGCTGGCTACTGTCCATGCAGCAGCTTACAAATTCGATTTTGCGTAGAGGAGACTTCAAGTCTGGATATATCCACGTGAACGGAATTCCAGTATAATCATCTATGGCCACACAACTCGTAGCATAGAGTTCCTCGAGGTCATGCATGGCAAGAAATGCTGATAATGAGGATAAGCCAACTCTCGAGTCGTAGTGTACCGGGGCTAAAGCTCGAAGTGATCTCAATTGGCACAAAGGAGAAGTCATACGCCGCTCGTGGCTTTGCCTCATCATAGCATCCAGGAGCTGCCAAGGTTGAGTGTTTACGTCTGGCACCTCAGGCCACCCTCGCGGAAGGGTCAGTTGGCGGACGTCCGTTAATAGTGTCAAGAGGAAAGTAGACGCGGAGAAGCCATCTTCAGCCTGGCACGTCCAAGTTTCCGTACCTGTATCAAACAGATGCGAGAACTGAGAGGCCGCAAACAGTTTCTCCACATCGTCCATAGAGGCTACCTTTTCGAAGACGAAACCCAGGAGGAACCTCGTGTAGTGATGGCGTGACCATGATTCGGCCGCGCAAGTCAGCAGACTGCACGTAGTGAGCGGCCACCGGCTCAGCGGCGATATTTCGTAGGAACGACAATCTTGAATCCTCATCGTGATAGCTGTTGAACGAGATATGCCTAAAGTGCTTCCTCCGCGCATTATGCGTTGGTATGCTTGATGATCCGCAAGCGAACAGGGCATGGCAAGTCAGCAAGAGGTTCTCGAAATCATCGGGCACCGAAAAGTCGATGATTCGACCAAGCAGTTCCGCAGGTAGGTCCAAGATGCCCATGGCGACCGGGGCGGAGAGTCTCTCGAAACCCTCTAGGCGAATTGAAGAATGCTGTTCGTAGTTGCGTTCCGGTGCTACTTGCTGACACTTGGCTAACAACCCGAAGGATTCAAGCTACCCCAGACGCTGCCCAGGTGGCGTCAGAGTCAGGTCTTGCCCCGCAAGCATGGAACCAACTGGGTCTGTCCACCCACACACAAGGCAACAGCGTGCACTCGTTATCAGAACATCGATATCCTTTCGGTAGTCGAGAAACCTGATCCTCTCGGTATCAAATATCAATGTGGGCGAGGTGCTTCTCGGGGAAGGTCATCATACCGTTTATCAAGATGGTAATCGCATGATATTCCTATGAGATGATAGCGCCGAGCTCACTAAGCGCCAAGTTCGGCATCGCGTTGGACCGTGAACTTACTGCGTACAGCGCTAAAGATCAGGCAACTTAGTGGGCCAGTTGTTGGCCGTGCGCCGCTCTCCACCGGGCCGCGCTGCAACAACGCCCTCCCCGTCCGCTAGCACCTTGTTGCCCGCGCCGTTAGACTTGCGTTGGCCTTGTCGTTACCAATGCCGCGGGCTGCTTAAACCTTTGCCCTGCGAGCTCTCGGCTGTTGAGTTATGAGGTACAGTGACTTGTACTGAATAACACAGTACTGCACGATGCTAGGGAAGCAGGTATATTTGTACCCGTACCCGAGCAATCCTCGTACCTAGTACTTCACTTGCAGTAGTACATCCAACATCGACATCAGTCTCATCTCATAGATCTGGTCCTGAATTCGTTCTTCTGGGTTCCTGGAGGCCACGTTCAGTCATGGAAAGTTTCAGAAAAATGATTAGAACAGGCAATAAATTACACGCCGTGCGTTTTTACCAGGCCAGTGTCTGCCTCAGAATCAGGTCTGTGGTTGAAGTGAAAAGGGCCTTTCGTATGAATGCATTTGTAAAAAAGGCTCGCTAATCGGGGCGCCTCAAGAACTTCTTTCAATTCTCTCCCCTTTCTGAATTAAAAAGGCACAATGCCAAATAAAGAAACTCTGCTGGATAAAGTGTAGGTGTCAACTCACTGGCTCTAAGGGTGGTATCGTAGTGGTGAAGTCTCTGAGAGAAAGGCGTACGGATACAACCGTCGCGATATTTCCAGCACAGTCTGCACGACTTCGTGTTCTTCGATTTTTGTAGTCCCATGCATAACGGAAGCAAACCGAGTAATAATCTCAACTTGGAGGCACTTCCACCCTATTATTATATATTTCGTTTCCGAGTAGCTTCAACTGTACAAACATACTCGGCGCCCAACCAGAAACCAGGCCCAGGTCTTGCCAGAGATTCTTGCTTTCTGGAGCCGGAGCATAAAGTTGACCGATGTGCCCCTTCCAAGTTGATGCGCCTAGTGACTACAAACCCAAAAACCGCCTAGAGTTCCACGTGCCAAAAGTCGTATCGCATCACTAAAGAACATTATCCAGAAACAGACGAAGATCGCCGTATCGAAATACGAATTACCTGCGATTTCTCTATTCCCAAGAACAACCTTCAGCGAGGTAACAGCTGGCCCGGGACTCAGTACAGAGTGGTACTGGTTGGATGGGCCAGTATGATCGAGCTACGTCTTTTAAGGCTGAATGTATAATGATTGCGGGCTACTTTCTGAGATATGAACCATAGCCGTCTAGCCCTCTGAATGCACTGAAGTTGACGATATCTCTTATTGACCGCCGCGAAGCTAGGATAGGGACCTATATATATGGCTCATATTTGATCATTGAAGACATTAATGTGAGTTTTGAATGCCACCTGCATGTGGGGTTGTCACTTCTCTGCATGCAAATGTCGGCGCCGGCTGCTAGCGTTAGTTACCAGGTAATAGCTTACGAAGCAATTCTCGACCTGAAAATACAACTCATCACTGTAGGTCACTTTACTACACTTATTGATGATCTGATTAAGACATTCGTGTGTTAATAATATCATCGGACAAGTTATTTCTGGGGCATGCTGTGTTCGTGGGTCCTTCATATGGATCTAGATGTACAGTCTACGGGGGATCAAGCAAATCTTTTCAGGAATGTGCACATCTCGTCAGAAGTTCATGACTCGACCTTCGGGGCTACTTACAACAGTGCGCGGCCAAATCTACCAGTAAGTCTTTAACAATGCCTTGGCTTGGGAGGCCACCCCTGTGACTGCGGAGCTTGATGAGAGTGCAGGCGGCGGAGCAGGCAATATGCTGGTGATGGATCTGCTGCCGGAAATTTAACGTTGGGTTATATATCCACCGGTGGTATTGCCATCTACCGTTCATGCGATGAGTCGGGGTTCATCGAAAAGCCTGGACTCCATGGAGTGGCCCTGCTCTGGGCAGAAGCCTAAGGAAGAATGACGCATCGTTGTGCTAGAATGGTTGGCTCGTGCGAAGAGACAACAATTTGATAAAGTTCAAGACAACGAATTTTGGTAGGACACCATGCACTAGGTATACATACCTTGCCGTCTATCTACGTAGGTACGCTTGGAGCGTAGCGCGTAGTTCAAGCCAAAGCCAGGTGGATACCCAAGCACATGTTTCTAGGTAAGTTGTACTTGGTTTTCACGGAAAAGTCCATGGCGAGCTAGAAGACGTGTACAGCTGCGCCTTTTTCTTCTTCTTTTTCTTGACGGCATATGAGATGCGTCCCCAGGTAAGCCTGGCTGCATGAAATTGCCGGTGCGCGTCACCATGAACCGAACGGCCCCACACGTTAGGATGGTATCACTATCGTTGGATCCTCTAATGCTATTTGCCTTGTTTCTAGGGTTTGCACGCTTATGGAAGTATTCAAAAGCAGTATGCAATCCTCGAATGGCGACGCAATCACGATCAAACCGAGCATGATAAGGCGTTGGCGCGAACTCCCACACAGTGGTCGATGAATCTAGCACGAGTCAAAACCATGGTATACTCTCGCTGTGTTACATACAACCTTGTTGACAACGAGCTTATCAGGTATGAACATTGACTCGATCCCTATTCCCTTCAAGTGTAACACTCCCATTATGGAGCTCAGGGATCCCTGAAGATATCGGGATCTCTGCGCGCGTTTTCTGGCGAGTACTAATACCCAGTGTCGGTGGGCTTTTGCATAATGGCGGTGATTAGCGTTTGCCGTTGTCGTGGTTGTCCACGTAAGGCTACCAGCTCTGTTGAGACGGACTAAACCACATTGGACGAGCCGGCACCGAGGCCCATCATTCTGCCATGGAAGTCGGCACTGTGGTGGCTCCGCTCGGTGGGGCGTCCATTACGTCGGGACCAACGGCCGCCAGCTCTGGAGCGATCCATGTGGTGGGACTATCAGGGATGGGGACTCCTCCAATTGTTTGTCCCTCCCATCACTCTGGACGGCAGGCAAGGCAGTGCTATGTCAATGGCTGCAAGAGTCGATCCCTCAATGAACGAATCAAGGGTCGACCTACTGAAAAATAAGGCTCGAGTCCACAGTTTCAACATGAGATGAACCCAAGCATCCTCTTACCGACGTAGGCCCCACTTCGCCAGCTAACACTTGCGTCTGTCCGCATCATCCACCGGAAGCATGGCACCCAATAGACGTGAGATCTGGCATGAGTTGAGTTCCGGTTCGGTAACTGGGGTCAGTCAAAATTCATGATGGAAATCTGAAAGTGAAACAGACCTTAGGGAGACCAAGGGGTCAAGCTACGAACCTATAAATCTCGTCGTCGCTGCCGATCATCGACGTTTCTGTGCGACTCACGCACCGCATAGTAGAGATCTACAAGAAGCGCTTATACATCTTCAACAAAATTTTGTGCAAATCACCATTACCATGTTCCGAAACGTAGCCCTTCTCGCCCTTGCTGAGGCTATTGCTGCCCTGACTTTCGATGGCACCGGCCAGATTCGTGCTTTGTCCTCGAGCAGCTCTGCCGACGTCGGCTGTTTGGCCAATGATGGCTCTTGGACGACGAGCGACACTGAATGTGGTACATTCACGGGAACAAGAGAAGATGATTCTACTGATTTCATTATCTCATCAACAAGCGGCCCATGTACCCTCGTTGACTATGCGACCTTTGAGTGTGCTTCGGGTCTTGAGGCCTTGACATTTTGGGTATGAGCCCGATTTCGACCCTGCGTTATTATTACGCATACTGACATAAATACAGGCCTGGACAGGCATTGTCGATGATTACGATGTGCTGGCGTATGGCGAAACCGTGACCTTCTCGAGCCCTGTGGATCCCTCCGAGGAACTGGCTCCAATCCGCCCATATCACACTGAGGACTCGAAGCCGTGGATACACTTGGGCTGGGCTGCACTTTAGATCCAAAACCTGTGAGAAATACAACGGAAACAAGGGAAAGAACGGGAACAACTGAAAAAATAGTTCTGGGATCTTTGAGTTCATTCAAGTATCAAGAAGGTGACTTGGCGGATTAGGGGCCCTGTGATGCGGGCTCAAAGCAAAACACGCATGATAATTTTCCATCTATTGGGTTAGTAAAATGTGATCTTTCAGTCTTCGTATTGTAGTAGATTCTTCGGCCCAAAGCAAGCAGGTTCCCTTTTTCCTGGTATTGCGAATGAGGTTCATGCTTTGTTAGCTAGGTTTGCGACAACCTGGACGTAATCAAGCTTCTGGCAAAGTCCGCATCTCCATCCGCTCTGATGAAATTTCATCGTCCTCAATAGCCTTTTATCAAGGTAGGCAAGAGGGCTTGCTACATAATTTCGCGCTCCCCCGTGGTTATGACACGCCACATACTTCGATAGCTGAGCTTATTTTTGAATCAGCTCAGTCTCGGGGCTTTGAGGTACAGAGCTGTGGAAACACTGCGCGTCACCAGTTCGAGAATCTTCCTGGCTAGGGTTGTGTTTCCTCGGACAATTGGATAGTTTGTAATCTGGAACGGCAACAAAGGATGCGGTAAGCGCCGACCATATAAGGTTGAAACGTGTCTTGACCCCGAAAGAATATCCCGATATCCAGACAAGAATGGCACAGAACGAACAGTGAGATCTTTTCACGCCCTGCGAACAAAAGAACGAGACAATGCCTTTATATCGAGCACAACGTATCAGCCATGGCAACAAAGGATGACCACATGAGCTATCGCAGACCCTAGGTACAGATCCTCTGATACTTGGAAAATTCCATCCATAGTGTTTCACTTAGGTTGATTGTATCGACAACGAAATTGGTCCATTTGTAACTATACACTCACCAAGTGGGCGGCATATATATATTTATATATATCCTGGCATATTCCAGACATCTTTGAACAGTGCATCCAGTGTTCGCCGACAACTCATCCCAATTACTTCCTCGTGCCACCGACGCGCCTTCCTCTGCGAAACCTGCTGCTAGGAGGATGAATCGTCGACATAGCCAGACGATTCCTCGTCGAAGCCGTAGTTCCCGTGAGCCACGGTCTAATCGACACAGTCTCAATGGTATTGCACCATCAGAGGACAATAGCACCAGGTTGGCTCGTGGTCGGACTGAGAGTTTTCATGTTGACGAGAATTCGCATCGTGACCGATCGCATCTTGAGCCTAATCGTAGAGAAGGCAGTCGGCATCGCTATGAGGGTAAACATCAGTCTCCACTGCACACAGGCCACCATGAGCAACGGCAGTACATGTATGAGGGAGCCGCACCGGATTACGGTCGACGTTCCGGAGGTCGCACATACAGGTATGGGTCTCGCGATGGCGTCCCCGTGCAACGTACCGAGCAAGGCACTTATAGCCACCATCGACCGGACAATGCCGGCGGCCATCACTACAACGAGGAACCTCGTTCACGACGGGCCTCAGTGAGAGAAGCATACCCGGAGTATCGTCGGGGAAGAGTGTCCATGGATGATATCCAACTGCCGCCTGTCGCTGCTGCTCCCGGATATACGGATAGGTATCGTGATGTTGCGACAGAATCGCATGGCTATCGTCGCGAGCCGGAGGAGCAACAATCGGAGTCTAAACATAGCAAGAATTCGCCCAGACTATCGAAGGCAACAAGCATGGCCCATAAAGAGAAACAGAGGAGCTCGGCAAGACGGGTATCTAGTGTTGCATGCCAAGCCGACATTCCGAAGCCCGAGAGGGCGGGCTCAGCAAACTTATGCCAGGATGAAGCGAAGCAACAGGCCACCGAGGCCGTTCTAGACCGGAACGGTGGCGAGAAAAAAGATCAACGCCTTTCTGTTTATGTGAATACTAACGTAGGAGGCAGTATGCATCTACCAAGTCCTATCGAGACCAATCCTACAACGGTGCCAGGTGACTCAAATAGCCGAGAGCGCCGGCGGCGTCGCGATGTTAGGCGGGAGCATAGCTCGCGGCACGATGAAAGGTGTACAGAACCGCGATCCCAGCGGCAATATAGATCCGCCCGACCCCGTCATGAGCGTGAAGAAGCATGCCAAATTATGTGAAGGGCCAGGGGCAAACGGCCAGATGCACGAGAGGACACTTTGATTCGGCTTTGAAATACCGTGCTGAACTAACGTAGAACCAAGCAAAAATATATTCCAGCAGTCTAACCCTCTATTTCCATAACTTGCATGTGTAATTGGCCTAGCGAAGACATGAATTGCCGTTGACTAGTAGACCTCCGTGGCCGATGGCTGTCGAATATATTTAGCAATATGTTCTGCTAATAATTCTCACGATATGACTTTGCGGGTGCTAAGCCCCAATGAAATCAGCTACTCGGGTCCTGTCAATCTTGTGAGTTCAGATGGTAGGTTCCCATCGGGGATCTGACGCAATCTGTCAGAGCATAGAGTTGAGGTGATACTTGGTTCGTCCGAATAACGGATGAACGCCGACAGAGATAGACGTTTAGGGGTTACCCTGCTTTGGTTTTGAACCACCTAGATCCGAGGTGCTACGCAGCGGGCTTTCCAGGGGTCAATATGAATCACAGGTCTAGTCTCCCACCAGGTATTTTGACCAGCCTTGCGGCTCAGATGGCGTGTAACCTGTACTCAAGGCCTCACCGGTAATCATGCGAATGCCAGCAAGTGGACACTGATGGTAGACAAGGGTGCAGCCGATACGTTCTAGACCATTGTCTTTGGTCCTACTTTGGAGAACCAATTTCAATCGTCAATGCAAGCCCCAATGTATCACCGACTCTTGTTGCTAGTAACTTCCGTGGGAGAACCATAGGGATGTAACATTGGTGTCGAGAGACCAGTGGCGATTTCCTGGTCCGCAGGCGATTGATCGTCGCGAGTATTTGCGGGGTGAGCATGCACACAAAACACATCTATGAACACCAGTGCATGCGAAAACTGGCGATAATTGCATATATACAACATGGGCGATGCGACAGCGTCGGTGCACGACTGCATCAATCGCCAGCGGCGGAGATCCTGCACCAATAGAACGGGAAGCCGGCGCGCGTGAACGTGGTCGAAGTCTGGGTGCATTTGAAACAGGGAGTCTGCTTGTGGTTGATCGTCGTCCGATCCAATGCACCCGAGCCGGCTATTTGTGGACCGGTTCAGAGTGGCTGACAGCTCCCCCGGATTTCGGATGGCGGGAAGCGACTGATGCCTGCACAGTCCGAGTGACTTGCAGATGGGTCGCATCCGGGGTATGACCAGCCTTTCCCACTCGACCGTCTACACGCCGCTGAAACGGCGACGTCTCGACCTTGGAGAACTGCCGATGTTCTATTCTCTTGACGTGTGGCTTGCTTGATCGTCATCGCTTTCACATCTCCAGCGCATTCCCCTAGGCACCTCGCCCCTGGTTTATGCGATGAACACCCCTGTCCGATGCTTCAGACAACTATAACAACGGATCATTGCCCCGGGGAACGATGGGATCAGAGCGACGCGATGAACCGAATTTACGATAGCCCGGTCACTCATTCATACCGCTCTTTTAACTTTCTCCACTCCACTTCCCAGGTGAATGTGATGTCGCAGCCGGACACACTCTGCTGCTATCGTCGTTGTTGCTGTTGTTGAGAAAAGACGAAGACTCCTCTGCAGCCTGTGACGCCGCGGTATTAGCCGCTATGTCTATTTCGAATGCTACTAAGCCGGACACATCCTTCGTTCAGGTTATCAACCCATCGCTACCGCACGATGACTATGGACCACAGGTTATCTTGACCGTTTGGGTCCTCAGTTCTATGGCTTTTGCTTGGCTAGCGTTGCGAATTTACTGTAAATTTCTTCGATCTCGTCGGCTCTGGTGGGACGACTATGTCTTGATTGTTTCTTGGGTATATTAAGAACCCCAGTGACTCCTTATCAACGCTGCTAATATGTGTATAGGTCGTCCTACTGGGTGGAAACATATCGATCACATTCGCCGTTGGTTTGGGATTTGGCAAACACACCTATGACATCAACCTGTTTAAATTTTCGCCAATGCTCTTCGTGTCGAATTGTGGCGGTTCGTTCTTGATCGTTGCCGCAGCATTGAGCAAAACGGCCTTCGCGATTACACTCCTGCGGATCTCGTCGGGGTGGCAGAAATCATTTGTATGGTTCATCATTGCATCCATTAACGCGGTTTTTGGTGTCAGCCTGCTACTTACTTGGATACGATGCTCGCCAGTCGAAAAGGCTTGGCTTGTTTGGCTTCAAGGAACATGTTGGCCTTACCAGATCACCGTCAACTATAATACCTTCACCGCAGGTAAGGCATTTCCATCCTATAGCGACATGTTCTCTAATAATTGGCGTTTAGCGTATTCTGGCATGATGGACATCACCTTAGCACTACTTCCTTGGAACATCCTTTGGGGCCTCAGCATAAATAAGAAGGAAAAGATAAGCGCATTGGCTGCGATGAGCATGGGCATCTTGTAAGTACGAGGATTTGTCAGTGCCTCAGTATGACTAACAATGGATATAGTGCTGGTATCACGTCTTTTGTCAAGATCTTTGCAATACAGGACAGCAACAATGCAGATATTGGTAGGTGAAGACACATTGTAGCAAGAAACCGTCGTTGACCCAAAACAGTCGATACAGTCCAACTTGTGGTACTGGGAACCGCTGAGGTTGCCGTAACAGTCATCGCCGCTTCAGTGCCCATCTTGCGAGCACTGGCTAGAGATAAGATCCCTCAACCAGGGCCTTTTCTGGCACTTGACGAGACAGACCGTTGGACTCGACAAAGAATGTCAGACGTCATCACTCATCCGGAAGATATCCCACCTGTTCCATCTACTCCACATTTTGAGGACATCGAAATGCAACCTACAACTAAGAAGAAGTGGGCGGCTGGGAGAGCACAGGTACAACACCTATCTCAAATCGAAGAGTCCGATGAAGGCTCCGTTGATCGGAGTCAACGAAGGTACGGTTGGGGTCCACTCTAAAAATGGGGAAGAAATAGGTGTTCAGCATGGAAAATTAGGAGACACAGGCTGGTGTTTCATTATGGCGTCCCGGTGTTCGATGAACTGGGGGAAAGAGGTTTTGGTGTAACTAAGGTACATGCCTACAGCTGGCATGGTGGCCGGAATACCGGCTTCAAGTGGGTCACGGCACCACAGATGGATCAAGGCTCTGCTGCAAATCCTGTAATATCGCAAACTTTGAACCTGGGGTGGAAAGAGAAGCCCATTCCCCGTGGACATCGTGTTTTCTATTCTACGCGTGTGGCCTGAGCTGCACTTACCTCTCGTACCCTATCGATCCTTCATAACCTATTGTAGGTTACATCATGGGTTATTATGTGCATTCATCGAGCTCGCTAGCACCGCCTTTCCTACAACCTACACTTTCTGCCCAGCAAACAGTCATCGTCATCATCCGACAAAGAACCATGGCCGCGAAATGCTCAGTACCTTCCCGGAAGCAGGATAAATGTTCTAGCAGCCAGGTTCGTCATGGGGGACCGCCGTCGCAATAGCTGCCGCGCATTTCCTCAGCCTTATTTTCTACAGGTTGTGCCTCCATCCACTATCTCGGTTTCCTGGACGGAAACCAGCTGCACTCACTTGTTACTACGAGACTTATGATGATCCCATCTGTAGTGGCCGAATTTCGTTCCAAGAACAGGGGCATGCATGAGAAATATGGTCACTTTTACAATCCTGCGCCTTGCGTCTAAGCAAATTATAGCTTAACCAGTATTTTCTACCCTTCCTGGGCCCATAATTCGTATCAATCTTACGAGAACCCCACATCCTTGACCCATCTCCTTGAAGAGCCATACCGCTATGATGGATGCTGGAACAATTATGCCTGGACCTATGGCGTCTTCGGTGCGATATCCATGGCGATATGTACTACTGAGCATGCAATATCTCATTTGGGCAATGGTGTGTAAGCTCATTGACCGCATGACTAGCGTGGGGGCTCAAACATCCAACTAGGACTGGCAATCAGCGCTTTCAACAGAGACGCGGCGTTGGAAATTCCCCTGGGCAAAGACTACAACAAGCTAGACGAAGAGAGAAGCTAGCAAATCTACTAATTCAGGCTTATGGCATACCTCAAGTTAACAGCGGAAATCTCTTGAATAGTATTTTCATTTTGAAAAATAATGTCAGGTAAAAGAATAGGTTTCGATGAGCCAACGTTCGCACACCTCACTCAAGTCATCCTGACGCCATCTCGGCCCATCCCCGAAGCACACGCCTCTCCGTGCTAGGAATTTCATAAGCGATCTCATGATTCTTACTCTGTCATCAGTAATGCGCCCCGTAAGAGTATCCTCAAAAGACGTGTATCGGCTGCCCAGAAGGGTACGCAGTCCCTCTGCGACATCAAATGCCGTGAGATAGTCTGAACTCGGCCTAGGACTATAGGTCGCTATGATAGACAAGGTCATCGCTTTGCCAAGATCCGGGTCGCGGGCTGCGTGTTCACCCGCGATGAAGCCTTGCGTGCGAAATAGCAAGCGGCCGTGTACCAGGTCGTACAGACTATCAAGGGAAACATGGCGCAGTGCTTCACCATACCCCTGGTTAACAAACTCAAACGCCTCTGACGATCTGTTGTTAGGACAGTCTCGGACTGCTTTGACGGCTGCGTAGCTGTAAGCCAATGTGACCCAGTGGATCTGACCCGCCACGGTGTATGCAGCAGCTCCCGTGAATGGTTTGATATCGGGGGGTGCCCATGCAATCATAATGTTGCGATCTGCCTCCAACCCGGCGTAAAAATCATAATTAATGTCTGCCGTAGGTCCACCCGTCGAGGCTGGTGTGCAGAAGCCGTGGTTCTCTGTTGATAATACCATTGCAACACTTGGGTTTTGCCGTTCTTGTTGTTGTATCTTCAAACTTGTCGAGTCGAAGAGATACTGCTTCATGATGCGACAATCATTGCTCATCTCAGATTCTCCGTGGCTCGCTGAAAGGTCTTCATCCGATTCTTTTTGGTTCTGAATGTCCTCGGCTGCGTCCGCGCTAGTGTTACTAAGGGCGAGACGCTGAGCATCTGCGATAGCTTTGCTCAAGGCCTCGTTGCCCACCGCAGCTGCCTGCCCGATTGTGCTTATGGCATCACACAGCTTCTGGTTCCTTTCTTTCAGCGAACGAATAGTGTCAATCTGTCTCTGTCTAAATGCCCGCTGTGCTAGTTTTCCCCTTTCCCGTCGACACTGTTTCTGAGGAGTCAGCGAGCTGGATTTGTCATCAACAACCCCGTCTGGCTGCCTACCTTAACCTCGTCTTCTGGGCTTTGGCTCGAGCGTTGAGACAACCGGTCTGGACGTACAGGCATTTCAAACGGTTCTACACTCCAGTAACCTTTGACCACTTGACGCCTAAGTTATTTTCCATGGATGGTCAGTTGAAACGGATGCGCGTGAACCACATATGGGGTATGCTTACGCATTAGTCAGCCGGTCAGCCCACTGCCAAGTACGTACGCTTCGGAGGTGGTTAAGTAGTACGCTAGCGCCTTATTGTCTCTCTTGTCGATTACCCAGCGCAATAGATACAACTTACATAGTACGCATTTTATCATCAAGACTTTGAAGACTATAGGCTGATACATCCGATCATAAAAGTTATATTCGCAGTAGCTTCTCTCTCTCAAAAGAAAAAAAAAAGACGAATTGTGCGCATATTAGGAGTCCATGTACTTTGAAGGCTGTCTTGAACTCAGCATAGACAGGACAGTGCCAGGGGGCATGATGACAAAGTTCTGCTTAAACATTGCAACTTCAAGCTGATTAAACGAGACACACAGTTATGCTATCGAAAAGAATAGTCGGCGCGGGGTGCGCAACGAATACCAAATTTCAGCCGCATCCTGATCCATAATAGCATCAGAGCACCGTCCTCTGATGCAAGTGAGCCTGCAGCATGTTTTCTGGGGTTTATATTCAAGCTTGTGGTCGACCTCGCCTTTGCCATCCAATTAGAGTTGGCCTTGCATATATTCAGCTGCTTGAAGGTTTCCTGACGTGGATCGTAAACGCCTTGTTCCGTCGCAACACTCTCCGCGAGCAGGATTCGCCGAGATGACGCGGCAAGGTTGTAAAGCCTCATATAGGTAAGGCTGTCCAGCTGTCGCATCTGCACTATGTGAACATCAAATGGGGACGTTCGTCGGCGCCAGAATGCTTGCGGATTGCGATTGATTAACGCTATTAATAGGCTTATTCGTTTGTGCTCCACCTTTAATAAGCCAACTGTTTCCAATTCATGGGGCCGATGGCATTGGTCTGCAAGGGTTCCAAATCGACTCCGCCAGGTGCAAGCAATCCCTGACGACGCGTATCCAGTGGCGTCACGTATCCCATATCTCCTACCTCCAAGCATCGAAAAGAAAGCTTGTTGCGTAGTGCGCATAAACACCACGCCCGATTTGGAATAAATGTGACAAAGCTCCCAATTCTGCAGAGCTTGACCTTGATCGGTAAATGCACGATTGGTTGAACGTCGGTGCAACTGAGATGTGCAAGGATCATCTACTCAACAAGGAATTAAAACCTGGCAGACTGTGGAGAGACCCCATCACGTAGAGACCCCTTCATAGAGGGCGACGACCGTCAAATTATTAAAGCACCCAGCCCGGTCGAATATGTTTCCAACAGATTTGTGGCTACTTTTGACGTTTGCAAGCCAACAGGTGTGCCTGCACCTTGTCGCCCTTTTTATTAGGGCAAAATGGAAGGTTTCGTGTCAGCAATCACCATGAAGAGACAGCAACCAAAGTCAACTCTGAAAAGTAAGCTATTCTCCCTACGATTATTTACATCAACGTTTCGGCCCATCGATACCTGACTCCCGACATCTGGTGGGCTGACGGTGTTCTGTTACTCCCTTGTAACAATTTTGTTCTGCGACGGAAAGCCACTTTGCCATGGGTGGCGGACTGTTGGCCGATGAGGGAACGCCAACAGGACCAGGACTCGGACTTGAGCCTGAACCTCCAGGATCTGGCCCTCTTGACAATTTGACAGGCTCCTATGTGGCACCAGAGGGTCTCGCAGCTGTGGTCCTGGCATTTTCGGTGTTCTTTGCCGTTACGTCATTGCTAGTCGTCTCTCTTCGACTCTGGATCCGTGGTCGTACGAAGATTCTAGGACTGGATGATGGACTTATGGCCATTGGGTTACTTCTGTTCCTGGCAGATGCTGGCCTTGCCTCCTACGCAACATTCCAAGGACTTGGGATGCCCTTTAGCAAGATGAACAAGGGCTCGATCACCGAGGGACTTAAGGTAAACATTTCGTGCAGTCTCGGGCATATTTTCCACCATAAGCTGAAACATGTCTTAGTATGTGGTCATCTGGCAGTTGTTCTACGTCACCTCACTGGTGTTCATCAAAAACAGCATCTGTATCACCCTTCTGCGTATATCGGTCAAGGGAGCACATCGATGGGCGATTTACGTGACAATTGGGGTTTCTACTATGGTGTTCCTCGTTGCCCTCATTGGTCTCATTACGGTTTGTCGACCGATTCAAGCCCAGTGGGAGGCTGGCTCTGGTTTCTGCGGTCCCCGGTCGGTCACAATGGCTCTCAATTATGTGATTTCCGCAGGCGCCATCGCGACAGATTGGGCATGTGCTGTCATCCCAGTCTTGATCTTGTGGAAAGCACAGATGAAGAGCAAATCCAAGGTATCAATAGGAATTGTTCTAGGGCTGGGGTCACTGGCATCTTTATCTACATTTGCTAGGCTTCCATACCTACGATACTATGGGGATGACGACGATTACTTAGGTGAGACGTTTCCCACGCTGTATCGCTCCAATCACTAATGTGTATGACCTGGTAGAGAAAGTTGGCAATATCGTTCTCTGGTCTGTTTTCGAAGGAGGAATCGGTCTGATTGCTGGATCACTTCCCATGCTACGGCAGTTGTTCAAGCACTGGTTAGGAAACACGACACGAGCCACACCAGCAGGCCCATCCCACGTCATCACTGTAGGGGGGACCAGCAGAAAGTTCAGTGTTTCATCTATTCAAAAGCCTCACACCCAATTGCGCTCAAAGATACAGGATGATCGATACTGGGATAGACTTGATAACGCCAGTGTAGATTCGCATCAGCTCCATGACGTCCACGAAGACTCAGAGTCTCAACACGAACTTCAAGAGCTTGGCAGACGCGATGCAGCAGTCGCTATTAGAGATCTGGAGAAAATTCTGGCATAGAAAGGGATTTTTTCACTTGGGTGTACTCCGCGGTCGTTGCAAAGGTTGGAATGATATACCTAGAAAGGCTTGAGTACTTAAATAATGAACTAAAATTATATTCATGAAACATGTGTATTGCACCCCATATTGCGCTCCATTCGATTACTAAATCGATGCTGAATGGAAGTGCCCATGCACCACGGAGTCATGATGTCGAACACAATAAATAACGACCACGGCTCTTTTTGTCATGTCAAGTCATAGGCACCCTCACCACTGTTTTGATTCGCATTTACTGAGAGGCCCCTTAACCTTAAAAGTCACACGACGCCGAAAGGTCACTTTGGGGGCTTCAAGAAACAGATAAAGCTTTAACGGTCTTGTGGTACATGATCTAGAGACCTATAAAGTAGCGTGGAAGGTAGTTGCGGCGGTGGTCCTCTGGCGTGTCTTGGCATCAGATTTGAACATAGCTCCTAAGTATTACAACATAACGGCAGCTTCCTTTTGGTAGGAGAACGTACAAGACAAGATAAATGATAGAAATCGTAGGATATGAACGACTTGAATTATGTTCAGAGCTAGTTTATACAAATTAGGTGAATGAGAACGTCGAACTTGTGTGCCCTTGAAACTCCAGCCGAGGGTAAACCACCAGGTACCCTACTTAGAATCACCCTTCCTGGAGTCGCGCTCCTTCTTGGACCACATATCCTGCTTTGCTTTTTTCAAGGATATGTCATACTTTGGAAAATCCCCTGCCTTGTCCCAAATATGTTCTGGTACTGTGTCCTTCTCCCAGCATTGGAGTTTTGAATGGATACAATGTTGGCACTTCTTGCTCTTGAACCAATCAGGATTACGTGCGACTCGGCAACCATGATTGTTCCTGGCGCATTTTTTGCACTTGTCTTTCTCAGACAAGGACTGCCCGAAAAGGTCCGATGACAGGACCAGCGCTTTCTTCCGTTCTTCTATGGTCTTGTCTGGGTGTGCAGACGCTGAAGTTTGACTGTCTTTCGGGGAATGTTCGTCGCCTGGTTTTTCCGCATCATCTTGAACGGAAATCACATCGGGCGAACCATCATCAGCCAAGATCTCTTCGTTGTGCTCTTGTCTTGCGAGAGGTTGTGTTTCGTTCCGAGTATGCCACTTCGCGCCGCCAGGCGACCATGGGACACCATACTGTCCCCGGCCACTTTTGAACAAATCTGGGCTCAATAATGAGCTTTTCAGAGCCACCACGGAGTTTGTTAGAAAGCGATAGAATCTGTGTCTACCGTATAACGGAGCTCGCGGCATTTCATCTGACAAGCGAGCCCAGAATCTAGCCAGTAAAGCACATCGTCGCTGCGGCGTTAGGTTTTCCGGAGCAAGGTCAAGTTCCCAGTCGCCTTTGCCAACTAAGGTCCGCTCGAATGTCTTGTTCATAGTTTTCTCTATGCTCGCAAAAACCCTGGACAACTCGGCAGAGGTGAAACGACCTTCGAGGGTTTCCCCCGCCCCGACGCGAAGGCTAGAAAAATCTGCTTGTAGTTGACACGCCACGTCTTCAAGGTCGATCTCTGGGACTCTCTGGTCGTTAGAAACTTTGATCAAGCCCTGTGTTAAAAAGTCTCCACAGTCTCCCAAACTCCCGACGCAGGCAGCATCCAAGTCCTAAGCGAATGGTTAGCGGCAATTCATATGTGCTTCATATATACAACAGTGGAACTAAGGAACCGACCCGGATCCCTAAATCAGCTTTTGAGGACAAGGTTGCCTCGAAGAAACGACTATCTTCGCTTCGAATTTCGAGGTCGACACAAGTCAACAGGAGGTGGTGAGGACCCAGGCCTAGAAAGGGGCAACAAGACATCGCAGCCGTCAAACAGAAGGTTTAGGGACATTGGACTTACGTCGAGCCGGTTGTCATTTGCATTTTCCGCCATTGGATCCAGAGTCTCCGATCATGAAGTATTGTTGTTGTCGTATTTCGAAGTCATGACACGAGCGAACAAGCGAGCATCAATCGGGTTGATCGTTCGCTTTTGTAGGCCCTAGGCGGGCTTTCGGAGGTCGCTGTCGCTACAGAGGGAGTTAGTTGTGTCTATCCCATATTTCCCACACTCAAAACTGGATGCGCACTTACTGTAAATCAGATTGAAGAACTCTGTTTGCGGCTGTGCAGCGTGTGTGGCCAATCGAACTCAATAAAGTTTGTGGTCTTCGTGGCTCAAAGCTTTTATTGGTTTGGACGCCTCAGGTCACTGAATTTGGGAAGCAACCCGCCCCGATTCCGAATGGCATTGAATCAGGATGGGCAAGGCTGTGGCATTCTCATCAATGTATCTCTTTCAAGTGTTTCGTCCGATTAGGGAGGGGGGGCCGTCCTGTGGCTTGGGTATGAAGACAGTCAATCCACGTCCTGCCTTGAATCGGAGGAATGAGAGATTGCTATGCCGCATGGTATTGAGGACCGCACAAGCAATGAAATATTTTCTGGGACCGATCAGAACTTTGTGGATTAATTCTCTTTCGAGTTAAGTACTGTTTTGTGGCGATCCAGAGACCTTCCAGGGTCAAGGCTGCTAACGTTGGGCGATCATGAAGCAAAGAAATTGAGTCGCTCCCGTGAAAGTCGTCTTGCTACGCCTTTTCACTCTATCCTCAACTTCATAAGCGTTAAAATGCATTAGGAAATGCAGAAGGGTGCCAGTAAGCTTGCATCTCTGCTGTGGTCATCGGTATGGCCATTGACTGGCCACCATGGCTCCTGCATCCTCTCTGAATTTCGTTGTCTAGCCTAACCTTCCACACTCTGCTTTTAGAAGCGAAAACGTTCCAATATTGAGGCCCAGGAGGATTAGAGCCTACCGACGTAGTAAATCTCACCAATGAATTGTGGCCTCGCTTAGTGCGTCATGTCAACGCTGTGAAACACCATATTACATATAGCATTTTTATGAATTTGCAGATGCTCGACGGTTACTTGGGGATCATAAGCTGTAAAACTCTCGACCTGTGCCTCGATGTAAAGAGAAACATACCCTAAGCCCATTTCGAACGAGGTCTTGGAGATATATCTATCGTTGCGCAAACAAGGCCAAGGCCACAGAGGATAATGTTGCGGACTGTATTGATGTTTTACGTAATCGCTACTCGCTCGCTAGTAGATCTCTTGGGCTTCTGGTCAGTCTTCCCCGCATTTCGAAAGAGCTCTGGCTACAGGTATGCAGCTATTGTAGCTTTTGATACTGACCAAGTAATTGTGGCTGCCGGCTCTTCGTGAGTGGTGGCCTAAATGCTCATGATCTACCAAACCCACCAGCGGTCACATTCCTTTTGACGCGTAACGCAATGTTGCACTCATGCGCCATACATGGCCGGCTCCGCCAGGCCTTCCGGTAGCCGCCCACATCCCGCATATAGGCCGCGTCACTCCAATTCCCATGGGCAGAACCGGAAATTGTATGCTCGAACCATGGAATGCACCAAAAAAAAATTATTCATTCCTTTACGACCATGTCATTTGTCCTGCATTTAGCTCCGTTGCATGTGCCCGGTCCGGCACATGACAGCTCCATAGTCCAGAGGTCGAAGGTAAAAGCCGGGTGCATGAATTTGACGAGTCTTAGAGTAGATTTACTAGTGCCTCTGAGCATTTCAAGGTAAACTACGGCCTGTTTTCGATAGCGATGTGCTTCCCAGCGACTGTCCTTATATGAACTGGATTTGAAAGCTATATGGCTCAGCTGTCTTCGAAGATGGGTTATGTCAAGTTGTGGGGGCGGAAAGCCGAGACTAAAATGAACAATGACTATATGCATATTGTTGCTAGGGGCCATAGATCAACACCTTCACTTCCGTAGTGGAGGTCGACATGTGGGGAGCTGGTGATCTAACCTCGAAGAGAACAAGGCGGAGAATCCATGCATGGAAAGTGTCTGTGCAGACCGCGAACTGGTCCAATAGTAGTGCAACTTTAGCAATAGGGTTATCCCAATATAAGGATCTCTTGCAGTATAAGAAGTTTGAAGTATGCTGAACACTGATCCTGTTTTTCAACCATCACTTGAGCTCTTTCTCCATCTTGCATTATCCACCGAAGATATTGCTTTAATCCACCAGCTCTCTCATCAAAATGAGATCAATTTCTGTCCTCCTTTCACTCCTGGCCGCCCCTATCCAGGCTGCCGTTAGCATCAGTGACCCATCTGATGTGATTAACCCTGCAGACTGGGCTGCCGACAACGCGTTGCTGGCTGACTATAATGTGGCGTTTGTAGAGACCCAACCGTCCGATGGTAAGACTTCTGATCCAAAGTACATATTGACATTATGTTTGCGTAATAATTAACCATCAAGGCAGTCAAGGCTGTTCATATTTACAGCTCCGAGGCCGTAGCACTTAATCATTTGTCCTTGTCGGCGGATGAAAATGACACCAGTGTCATTCTAGTATCGGAAAATGGATCATTGACAGGTTCATATCTTGACATCTTGAAGACCGGATATAGTTCAAATCTTCTGTATGCCAGTTTCTGGGGCTTTAATGCAGCAGTCAACGTTGTGAGTCATGGCCGATTTACGACCCTTGGCATGGCAGCGCTGACAGTTCACCAACCTGATTGTAGGCTAACAGTTCCTCTGCTCATCTTGATCACGTCAACATTACTGTTCACAATGGAGCAGCGAACGTTTACTCATATGGAACCGGGTCAGTTGTCCACATTAATGACTCCTGGCTGTATAGCAGTGGTCCAGTGAGCCACGGACTTTATGCTTCTGGAAACGGAACGATCGTTGGACGTAACTTGAAAGTTTATAGTGGAGGCACTCGCTCTTCTTCGTTCAGTGGCGACTCTCCTGCTGGTTACATCTACGTATATGACAGTGTTGCACACGCGAAGGGGGTCGGAAGCGCTACTTTCTACGCTCTGGGCACCGTTCATGCGCAAGATGTTGTATCAATCTCTGAGCACGGTCCAGTAGTTTTCATGGATGGAGCCCAGAATGCGACATTGGTCAACTGTGACGCGACTGCCGGTCTGTTAGGCGGCGTTGCCTTGTTTAGCTCTTCAGACCGCCAGAGTGGAGCCAAACTCAACCTCATCAACTCCAAAATTACCACTCTTGGCGACATTCCAGGTCTTTGGTTCGGGAACACGATCGTCGATGTTCTCATCAACAGCTGCCAAATTGTTGCCCCCAGTAACGTTCTGATCGTTGCCAACTACTCTCAAATTACGCAGGATTTTGACTATTACGCTGGCTTTGAGGCAAATAGCGACCTGCTTCCCGCAGAGGTATATGCCGAGGTTCACGAATCCGCCCTATCAGGAGACCTGGTCCCATACAATGGAAGCTATATCTCTTTCTCTTTGAATTCTCACAGTACATGGAGTGGTGCTGCTTATTCAGGCTTCGGAGTCGGCTTGATCGATGTCGCCTTATCGGCCAACAGCAACTGGACCCTCACCGCCAACTCAACAGTCCAGAACCTTACAGACGCAGACACGACGCTTTCCAATATTGAAAGTTGTGGCTACACTCTATACTACAACTCTACTCTCAATGAATGGCTTGGCGGTCAGACCGTATTATTGGCAGGTGGTGGTTCAGCGACACCGGTATAATGATATGCAAGGACGATTGCACGCGGGCGACGTCGGGAAGGCCACAAATAAGATTGAGTCTGAAAGTCAACTCAGTTCGAGACCCTAGGAAACAGGCTTCTGACGTATTGAGCATGTAATGGGGTTCTGATGTATTACTAGAAGGACCACATTGCTAGTCTCTGAATTGTCCTTGTGGCGTGTATCTCCACTTTGAAAAATAAGCAGGAGATCCACCTTCGTGTCCGTTGCTAGTACAATAGACACCAAGAATCACACCTAATTGACATCAATCTTGCTTCCTACTGAAAAGAGTGAGTAGGATACATACCAGTGAAGCCCCAGCTTACTGCCGCATTCGAGACGTCGATGAGAGCTCGCATCTGTGACTTCGCACGGGCAGGTCCGGCCGAAAAAGTGTAATGAGTCATGTTACTGGCCTTTATTTCGAGGTGCAGCGTATCATTCTGCCAAGAATCTGGAACAGGAACAATGACTGGCTCGGGGACTGCAGTGTATGATATGCCACGAAATCTAAAATGCGGGATCGGTGCTGAATGATCACCCGACAGAGTTCGATTGGTCCCTGGGAATGGGCCTGTGCTACTATTTGCTGGCAACATAACGACTCCCATATCGAAATGATGGTTTTGTGTCAGGAACACAGTCACACCAGCCTCAGCTTCGATTGAATTGGGTAGAAAGTCCATGTCCACACTATAGGTAAACAGAGTATCTTGTTGGCGGCGACCGACGAAGCTTTGACCCGATGGTCCAGCGTAGTTGCCGTTCAACGCGGTGAGATTGAGATTGGAAGGGTTCAGTCGAAGGGTGTCGTTGTGACCGCTTGGCGAGACTTGGTACGACTCCGCGATAGGGAACCGCCAGTGGGTGAAATGAGCCGGCAGAGATGAGCCAGGCTCAAAGTCGATAACATCTCCCTGATCAATAAATGGACTTTTCTCCCTGTTAGTCATTGAAACTCCTAGGTATGACGACGCTTACCCTGAGCCACCTATGTTGAGATTTGGAGGGGGAAAAGGCCAACCACTCATTTCCCCGTTGACTGTCGAAAATTGAGGAAAGTCCCCTTTGTTCCAGGTTACAGGCGTCATAATTGTTTCACGACCCATTGGATAATTGAGGTACTCGGGACCAGAACGCGTAGATAGCGCAACACACCACCTATCCTAGTCATTCAGGTGTTCCAAGTCATCTCGTTAGAAATGCAGTACGCTACTTACCAATTGTTGTTGGCATCTTGAAAGAGATCGGCATGACCTAGAGTCTGGACTTGCGTGATAAAAACGTTATTTTCTTGGGCTCAGTCAAGGGTTGCTTCACTAACAATAGTTGGTGGTGTTGGCGTTCGTCAACACTGGATTCGCGGTGTTTGAATCGTACGGGCCGTTGATCCTCTTCGATCTTGCCATAGTCACCATGTGCAGTAGTCCAGTCCCACCTACAAGTACGGGTTAGCCTGCCTAGAAATATACCCAATACGTTGCTTACCTTCTGCTGCTATCAAATAGTAGTGATCATCCTTGTGATAGATATGCGGTCCCTCAGGGGCCTATAAACAATTCAACGGGGAAGTTCATCGTGGGCTGGTTTAAGGAACCTACTGTCCCGCCTGTTCCATTCCAGATTGTGACCCAGTCACCAGTTTCCCCCGTTTCGAGGTTGACTTCGGTCTGCTGAATGCCCGGACTAGGTGCAGATAAGTATTCGTGATCAAGGATTAAAGAATCTCTTTACGTACAATACGCGCCAAGCATGGGCGCCTGTCATGTAAACCTTGCCATCAGAATCCCAAAAGGGTGAAGTATCGTAACCAACAAAGTTAAAATGCACAGCTGTACTCCACGAGAGAGGATCATAAGGGTTTTTGGCGTTGAAGATGACCTATAATTGGTCAATGAGATAGTGAAGCCAGTGATAGGGGTAGGTCCAGTACATTGTCCCACCGAGATGGGTCATCTGCTGCACGGTCGTCATCTACTAGAGTTGTAACAAGATAAAAGTTGTTATCGTGAAATCGGATCGCGGGTGCCCAAATGCCACTTGAAAGCATCAATAATGAGTAGTCAAAGGAGGAAGTACATGGTATATAGGAAACCAAATTCTTACCTTGTCGAACGATTTGTTTCAGCAAGCCGCGGAAGTTGTTCTCTCCGATTCAAGACGTGTCCTTATTTTCCATATATCAGTAACACGAATCAAATAGCAAGATGGTCACATACCGATCAGTTTCCAGTTCTGCAAGTCTTTCGAGGCGTGTATAGGTATCCCAGGGAATGCGTTGAAACTTGAAGATGCACAGAAGAATGTATTGTCCCATTCGGGTACAAATATGCAGCTGGGATCTGGATGAAAGCCGGGCAATATAGGGTTGTAAAATGTCGAATTGCCATTGGCATGGGCGTGCGACAGGCTGAATATTGCACAAAGAAGGGCAGATACTATTGAAAAGTAATGTGACATTGCTTGTATACAGTTCTCAGGGCTAGGGAATACTCGACTCATCGTAACAGGTGGGCACACTTAAAGCAGTTGTGTCGCGTTCATGTACTTACGTGCTCCGCACACCCCGCATCTCGGCGTTGACTACAAGCTTGTCGGTTAAAGAGAGTGGGTAAAATCGAAAGTGGGCATATTGTTTTGGTCGGTTGGATAATACACCGAACTACTGGATGTTGCTCCTGTTCCTGAGGCAGGTCGAAAAAGAAAGCAAGCGTGAACACCTCATTGTTGATAGACAATTGGCCGAGTTACTTCCACATGATATAATCTGCGACTGATTACCAGCATCCCGTCATTTCACAACCATTCGATCAGTTGAATCAACTCTGACTCTGCATCTGCAACTGATTCTGGCCTTGTGTTGTTTGCAGTCTCCTCAAGTTCGAGATACTGGCTTGTCGTTATCGCCAATAACCCCCATTTACACGTCCGATTGCTTGATTGCAACTAGCTGATCATCAATGTGCTTCTGTGGAAACGAGATGAGCTGAATGCACACTCGCAACGAAGATAGGCCGTACAAAAGTCGCCGAGTATTCAAGTACCATTCGTCTCTACATTTGCTTCCAGAGACAACATCAGGGCGGATTGTAGAATTGGCATCAAGGTCTCCCACTCGAACGAGTACCTAGGTATGCATGAAAGAGTCCCATTGATTGTCAAGGACGTGTGATGTGAACAGCACGCTAAAGGTAGGGGTACTTACACTAGGCAAATCACACTGTACAGTGACCGACAGCCGTGGGTGGGTCTAGCTCACTGCGGGGGCCAAGCTACTATAAGAATTCACTGTGGGGAGTTCTAGATTCACCCCACACAATTACCTGGGGCGCTGCCCCTGGAGCAGTGCACCAGTCACTACGGGATGATCATAGTTTACCCTAGACGTGCGTTAGGAACCAGAGTAAGGGCATTCCCAGTCTGCCACTGGCCAGCATGCAGTGAGAATCCCGCATCTATGTATGGTCTGTGGCCGGGGTGACACCTGCCAGCTCCTCAGTTACAACTCATCTCTCTACCAAGTGTGAACCTTCTACCATTCCATACTCAAGTTCTGAGATTGGTAGATTAACCATTGCATATTCACTAGCCGTCTCCTTCTCCGTCCCAATTGAGCAGTAAACTCTCTTAAGAGCCCCTTGAAACCTGTGTCAACGGTCATGGCTACACAGAAGCGGCCCAACTTTCTCGTCATCGTTGCTGATGACCTAGGCTTCAGCGATATATCTCCGTTCGGCGGGGAGATCAACACGCCGCATCTGGACAAATTGTCCAAGCATGGCATACGGTTCACAGACTTCCACGCTGCTGCCGCATGCTCGCCCTCGCGGGCCATGATCATGACCGGCACTGACCACCACATCGCCGGCCTCGGGAACCTGATCGAGTGGACCAATATCTCGGGGCAGAACGACCCCTCTGGAAGCATGTCGACGTCGGTTCAGAGGGGGATGCCCGGCTACGAGGGCTACCTCAACGAGCGGGTCGTCGCCCTGCCAGAACTCCTACGTGACGCCGGCTATCTCACGCTCATGTCGGGCAAGTGGCACCTCGGGCTCACGCCGGAGAGGAGTCCCAAGGCCCGCGGTTTCGAGCGGAGCTTGGCGCACCTGCCAGCCTGCTCCAACCATTACGCGTATGAGCCTCAGCTAGAAGGGAAGGACGAGATCCCGGACTTCATGACGATGAGCTACATCGCGCTGCACAACGAGGACGGAGAATATGTCAGAAAGCTCCCTGACGGGTGGTACTCGTCAGATGGCTATGGTGACAAGATGCTACAGTATCTCAAGGACTGGAAGAAAGCGGGGGACGAGAGACCCTTTTTCGGCTATCTCCCCTTCACTGCACCGCACTGGCCACTACAAGCTCCACAAGACTATATCAAGAAATATCGAGGCATGTACGACGATGGACCAGACGAGCTCAGACTGAAACGTCTGCAGCGTCTCAAAGACTTGGGAATGGTGCCTCAAGACGTAGAACCCCATCCTGTGATTGCCGATGAGGTAAAAACCTGGGAAGATATGAGCACTGAAGAGAAGGCCAATTCATGGTAAGCAATCTCGGTATCATACCTGGCTATCTACTGACGGGAGGAACTGTTTGTAGCCGAGCCATGGAGGTCTTCGCCGGTATGGTGGAGTGCATCGACGCCAACGTAGGCAAAGTGGTGACGTACCTCGAGGAGATAGGCGAGCTCGACAACACCTTCGTATGCTTCTTGTCAGACAACGGCGCGGAGGGGGCCGCGTACGAGGCATACCCGATCTTTCAAGGGTCCATGGTACAGCATCTCAAGAAGTACTACAATAATCACATTGATAACCTCGGCAATGGCGACTCCTTCATCTGGTACGGCCCCAGATGGGCGCAAGCAGCTACTGCCCCGAGCAGATTGTACAAGGCCTACACGACTGAGGGAGGTGTCCGGGTGCCGTTCTTGATGAAGCCCCCAGTGAACTTTAGCGGTAAGGTTGCAGGTGACTCGATCACACACCAATTCTCAACAGTCATGGACCTGGCGCCCACCATCCTGGAGATGGCCGGCGTGAAGCACCCCGCCCCGATGTACCAAGGGCGGGAAGTTGTAAGCATGAGAGGCAAGTCCATGGTCCCATACCTGCGAGGTACAGAGGAGCGGATCCACGCACAGGACTTCATTAACGGGTGGGAGACGTGTGGGAGGGCGGCGTGCCGCAAGGGCGACTGGAAAATCGTCTTCATCCCGAAGCCCAAGGGGCCCGAGCGGTGGCAGCTGTACAACCTGGCGCGGGACCCGGGCGAGGTGCACGACCTCGCGGAGAAGGAACCGCGGCGGCTGCAGGAGCTGCTGGGCCTGTGGGACCAGTACGTGCTCGAGACGGGCGTAGTCCCACTGTCTCCCGCCCTGGGCCACTGGATCGCGGCCATGGAGGAGCAGATGCCCGAGAACGCCTGGATCGAGTACGAGTACTGGAAAGAAGGGGCTCGTGACGACCCGGCTAGGTTTACAAAGCAGATCCCAAGGTTCATAAGACAGGTGAAGTCTATCTAAAGTGGTGCAGCGAGTTGTCAATCTATAGCCAAGATCACATAGTCAAGTATCTATGCTGAAATCTCCACTTAAAATAGTCCGCGGCATGACTGCAGTAGCTATACAGAAACATTCACGAGCTTCATGGACATCGCTAGCTAGGACGGAACAGCGCTGCAGGATTGACCACAACCGAGCCACGGACCTCATCAGCAGATTGTACCGGAAGCTACTTGATTCATCCTTGTGTGTCTATTTTATGAGGTCTCGGATGAACCCAATCGCAAGTCACAGGTAGTTGTAGGCCCTGGATTTGTAAACGACTTATGAATGAACTGCAGTTGCTGTATAAATCCTACAGATGGAGCCTTTTGCTTGCCATGCCATGGCGGTGCACCATACTAAAATCTCCGCCAGCCTGCAAACATCCAGCCAAATCAAACGCTGAAAGAGTATTGGGTATATCCTCCATTCGCTCCGACGCCAGTCTTTTCCGTAATATCACACGGGTTGATGAACGCAAAGCCCATATTTACTCCGAGTCTCCACCAAAGCTTGAAATCATCGCAGCTATCACCACGCAATGGTGGCCCAAGCAGTAAATTTTCTGCCCAATCCTTTCACAAATCTTTGGTCAGTTTGTTGGTGTAACGAATGACCTTCGCCAACTCATACGAGATGTCCGATATTGCGAGCTTCTTATCATCATCGGGCGCGCCAGAGGCGTCCAGATCCTGGATCCTGTTCTTGAGGACACCACGAAGCTTTCTCATCTCCGAGACCACGCCATCGAGGAAGGTCTTGGTCTCGGGCTGTCCAGTCAGAGACTCGAGATCCGATATCGAGGGCGAGAGTAGTCTCCGGGGCGTTTCGTTCCTGAACGCCGACCGCTCCCGCAGCTCATCCAGCTGCTTCCCAAGGTCCGCAAGCTGAGATTCAATGGCCGCGTTGTGTGAAGTGTTCTCGGAACGCTGGGTGAGCTTGTCTTGCATCCCGTCGAGCACCTCTTGAAATTCAAGCAGTCGCTTTTGGTTCGCCATGGATGTCATGGTCAAGCTGCGATCGACGTAGTCCCGAACATCACAAAGCTCTGCCGTGACACTATCTGAGGCACGAGACGTCTGGTCCTGGGACATATAATTGGTGATTTCAGTCTTGAGCTCATTGACGAGTGTCTCAATGCCATCAACTCGCTCTTTTGAGGCTTGCTGCAGTATTTTAGCCATCGCGCCTTTCAGATCTGACTCCAGAGTGTCCATTCGCTTCTTCATAGCATTTTGGCCAAGTTGGCTCTTCAGCTCCTTCACGGTCTTTTCGACAGTCTCAAAACGCTTGTCAGAGATCTTGTTCTTCGATTTCTCCTCAATTCCTTTGAACGCTTTCTCCACGGCATCCATACGAGAGCTTTCGGGGCATGGTTGGTTGACCTTTTCCTGTAGTTCATGCACTAACGCCATCAGAGTGCCTGGAATATGCTGTTCCGTGTGGTGGCTCGTGGATGATTGTTGCAATTTCTTTAGCTGAACCTCCACGGAATCCACTCGCTTGATCTCAGACTCTTGCTGATCCTGAACTCCTTTCATAGCGATATCGAATTCGGCGGAACGCTTAGTCACTACTTCTTGGAGTTCTTTCACTATGGACTCCACTGGGCCGATTCGGTCGACTGGCGCTGTCTGGGCCTTGTTTAACCCCCTGACTTGGTCCTGAATGTCCTTGGCAAAAGTATCGAGAAGATTGAGTCTGTTCGAGTGTGTTCTTCGTACTTCTTCTGCAATGTTGACTTCGGTCTGGACTAAATTTTGCTGATTAATGAATCTCGTCTCTAGGCGATTTATATGATTCGTAGCCAAGGTAATCTTGCTTTGGATCTCCCTGACCTGGCCGATTTTGACTGAGTGATCTCGAGTCAAGGAATATGTGGTTTCAAGTCGTTCTTTATCAATTGATCTGTAGCGTTCCAGATCTTTGACTCGGCTCTCAAAATGATCGATACGACGACCGTCGGTGTCTCCATGGGCCGGGTTTTGCTCAAGGTTCCTAATACCGGCCTCCAGGTGATCAACTCGTTGCTTGTTGATAGAGAGTTGGTCTCTCAGGCCCTTGAACCCTTTGCCAACTAGGGCGAACTCCTCAACTTGCTTGTGCTCATAGCCGGCGAGTTGATCGGTCAGTAGTTGGACACGTGTTTCAAGTTTTTCAATTTGCTCTTGGTCCGATGCTCGTTTATTGAGCTTTGCTTGCCACGCCTGCATGGATGTTTCAATCTCCTCAAGGCGTTTCTGTCGTTTCTCAAGACTGATCAGGAGGTCTCGAACGGCATCCGTACTGCCGCGTTCTTGTTCATGATCCTTCTGCAGTATTATCGACTCTGTATGGCTCTCCATCTGCTGTGACGCAGGGAGCCTTGCGGCTGGTATCGTTTCCCCTCTCTGGCCACCAAGTGTGACAGAGATGTTCGATTGCTGCGATGATGGATTCATACTTCGGGCTTGATCGCTGTGTATGGACGTACATGCTGCTTCAAGTAGCTCAGGTCTCGGTGCTGGCGTGTTGTTTTCGGTAGAGTTAATTTCCATGGGCGCATCGTCATTGCGTAGCTCCTCTCTAGGCTTGCCTTTCTCATACTCGGTGTTCTCGTCCAGCTGATTTTCATGTATAGGTCCCAGGTTTGAACTGACGGACGGAGTTACAGCAGCGGCCTTGGATCCCTTCTTAGCCACGGCATTATGACCAATTATAGTCTCAGGCAGCGGGCTAGTCAACTCTGGGCCCTCTAGACATGGACGCTTCGAAGATGCATCGGCTTCAGCGGTTGGTGCACTAGTGTCGGGTGCTCTAGATCCTTGCTGAGCGATGTTGCCAGAATTATTGCGCTCAAGTGACGGCCGTTCCTCTCCCACGGCATCAGAATGAGTTCGCTTCCGTGAGTTCACACCATTTTGATCCTGACGTGCTTCCGATGTTGCAGGTTTTTCGGCGCTCTGAATGGGGGAAACACCGGACAACGATGGCTGTGGGGGAAGGGGATCTCCGGTGTGTTTCTTTGATCCAGTATCGCTGAGACGAGCGCTACCCTGCCTGCGGTCGTGGTTTACTGACACAGTTGAGCTAGTTTGCCCTTCGTGCTGTGCAAGTCCCTTGATCTGTAGTTCACGTGTTGGATCCGGCTTAAAGAATCCAGGGCCCAGATCGTCAGGACTGCGTGATACGGAGGTGGGGGTATCATAACCACGGGAGTCGCGGCGCGGTTCAGAATGGCTTGGACGATAGCTTTGAGATTCCGTGATTCGGGAAGCAAGAGAGTGTGGTGCGTCAGACCTCAGTTCCGGTGCACACCTCCCAGTCCGCAACTGGTTGTAGTGAACTCCAAGATCCGCAAAGATTCTGCCCTTCTCGTGTCCCCATGTCGACTCCAGAGGCGTCCACCTAGCTTCCGATACAATGAACCCGTTAGGTTTAGGCCGGCGCGCCAAAGAATCCGCCAGAGCTGCCAGACGGTTCGTGCTGTCGAAGTCGGGCTGGCGCTCACCCCTGATGTGCTTGGCTCTGCAGTATGCTTCACGCCCGGCGCAATAGGCATTGACGACGTCCTTCAAGTTCCAGGGTGATACGGCGGGGCTGAATTGAAGAGTATCACTCAGCCTAGACCAAAAGTTTTTGGCCATCGAGTACAGCTCGAAGTGGTTCGCAGCCTCGAATATCACGCGTAGATTGGTACGGAAGCGCAGGTGCTCATCATTCTCACGGATTCTCTTTCCCGGCATGAAAGTAGGCTCTTCCAAGACCTTGCGAATATCAGCATTGCATATCATAGGGTCGTCGTCGTAGGCAAACAGAAATCCGTCCAGTTGCCATATGCTCTGTCGGAAATCCTGGGCAGAGGCCTGTGGCGACGTTGGCCGCCTGGGTAGTGGACGAGCAGGATGAGCCATGGTGTCTGGTCAAATGGCAACACACAATCTCTGTCCCGCGTCGAGTCTCAGGTTCAAGACCCAGCATAACTGTTTCACCAGCTTGATCCACTGGTTAGAGTCCGTACCAGTGCATGCGTTGAACGCGACGGGAGCTGTTGCCGTTGCAGTATGAATTGGCAAGAGGGTGAAGAAATCAAACGCAGCATCTCCTGGTCTCAGGATCCTAGGTGTTCCCCCCTCAGGCCTCGAACGAAAAGCTGGAAATTGCCATCGGTTTGTCAACGACAGGGTGCGGGGCCCAGGCGTGGCAGAACCGCTGCTAGCGTGGGTGTTAGTCTGGAGTCTGGTGATGGATACCCAGGTAACGGAACGACACCGCGCGAAGTCACGAAAAGCAAGGACACCACTGGCGGCCTGTGGACATCCATCGCACGGATGGCGTTTGCTTTTTCCTTGCATGAATAGCTGGCTGCAACCTATGAACTCGCTTGTTGACCTGCCGCTCCGTTTGTTTGCCGTTCCTTTACAGGTCCCAGACTCTTGGTAACTTGTAAGCTGCATGCAGGCAGGCAGGCAGGGTAGCGTTGTCGCTGCATGGCCATCCCTTGACGCCGGCTCTGATTCGCCATCTGGACCACATCTATCCCTAACCAACTCCTGCCTGGCAGGGGTTTGTGCGACACCACCCTGTGCAGGTGACCGTCGGGAATTGATGCCATCAAAGTAACACCCACCAACACCCGGACAACGCCAAGCATGACCGGAAAGTACTGTAAACCTGTATCAAGTAGCCACACATCTTAAGCGGCGCCTACGATTTCTATCAGAAGTCTGGAAAGGCCGTATATACTCTGAAATCCTGTCTCTTCAGTGTTAAATCCTGCCGTTAGCCTGTACATAACGCCGTTAAACCGGTCCTGTAGTCACACCAATACTAGGAGACGACATCTCTATTATAAGATGGACTTGTGCATGATAAAATCTCGTGGTATTAGTTGGTCGCCAGTCTAGTTTCTAAACAAACGCAGGCCCTCCTCCTCGGCATTCACCTCCTCCGTCTCCTCATCGGGCACATCCTCCTCGTTCAGCACCATCTTCTGGCCGAACAAGGTGCCGAAGAAGCGGTCAATGGCGTGCTGTTCCCAGCCTCTGCGGTCCTCTGGTGCCATGAAGTTCTGCAACTTCTCGTGGACATTGAAGCGCATCTTCCGGCCCTTGCTGGCCTTGGTATCGACGTGCTTCTTGTTCTTGGCCTCCTTCACGGCTGCGTACCGCACAGTTGCTGCCGAGCCGCTACCAGCTGAGGTATCCGTCGTGCGCTGGTCGACCAGTTCCTTGAGCAGAAGCTGGTAGAAGTCGGCGTCATCGTAGATCTCTGGGTCCTCGTTGACCTTCTGCGAGACCTGTATGGGTGCACAGGAGCGGGGGGTTCGAGTCCGTTTGATGAGTCTCTCGGGATCTTGCATCTGAGACTCTAGGGTCTTCGACAGCTCATCCGCTGCTCTCCCAAGCTTGTTGCCCTTCCCCGTACCAGTGTTGACCATTTGTGTTGCCTTGACCTTTTTCGACCAGTTGTCGAGGACGGCTTTGCGACGCAATGTTGCTGGATGCTCCATGTCCTGCATAGAAGCCCAGATGTCTTCACTAGATGATGCCGGCTCGAGGTCCCGCTTTCGCTTTTGTCCAGCTTTGGGTTGCATCCCCAGGCGGAAATCAGAGATACTGTTCAGGAGCTTGATGGCCGCTGCTTCAGCAGCTTCATAGGGTTCTGTTGGAGCCGTGGCGTCATCCGCTTCCCCAAATGAATTGACCGCCACCAGTGCTTTTTGTAACCTGATGCGGATATTGAGAGCGGCGTCGAATGCCTTCCTCTGCTGGCGTACCGCCACTCCCTTGGCGACGTCCTTCTGGATAGAATTTGCAACAGCGCCGGCCACGCTTGAAGTACCGGCGGCCATCATTGACCGCAAATCTCCCCTCCCAGACGAATCACTCTTTTTGGATTTAGACTTGATGGGAGCCTCATCCTCGTCGTCATCATCCTCGTCTTCGTCGGACTCTCCACTCAGACCTGCCTCCTCTGCTTCATCGTCGTCAATAGATCCGTCCTCCTCGTCGACAAGGTCAGAGTCTTCTTCGTCGTCGATGAAGCCATCCATTTCGTCCTCGTCCTCGTCCTCTGACCCCTCTTCCTCATCGTCTTGCAAGAGCGCGCCGTCCTCATCTTCCGACTCCTCTGCCTCTTCATCCATGAAGTCAGCAGCAGTAGGCCGCTTGACCTTCTTGCCTCGCACAGGTAGGGCCTGCGAGCTGCCGCGGAACGTGAAACCCTCAAACTTCTCGTCGTCGCTATCGCCAAAGGCATTGTCGCTATCAATCTCGGCGTCCTCGTCGCCTTGCTCCTCCTGATCGCGCTCGAGGTCGGCCTTGTCTGGGTCGTCAAAGTCCTCACGAGCATCCTCGTAGTCAGAAGAGTCGGACGAGGAGCCGTCTAGGGCGTCGCGGCTCACTCGCGCACCACGGTACTGCGGGCCAAGAGATGCGGCATCCTTGCGGCGCAGCTTGCTCTTGCCGACGGCGACATAATGTTCAGTGCCAACGTTCTCGTCAACGCTGTCGTCGCTGTCGCTGGCTGCATCGTCGACGGGCGCTTCGGCTTCTGGGTCGTAATCTGAGGTCTCCCGTTAGCATCAGGTGCATTCGCGTGTCAATGTACGTTTAAAAAGAACCTACCCTTGACTGGCTTCTCCGCCCACTCGGCGAATTGCTTCGCGCGTCCCTTTGCCTTGGCCATTGCGTATAGACACGGCTTTTCCTTGCGAGCAGCGAAAGGCTTTCCAGGAGCGAAACTGGCTGCGGCAAGACCCCACCACCTTCCTAGAGCCGGGAAGGCTTTTGGAAATTTTTAGCGGTGAGTGATGGCAGAACGCGCGCTGCAGCGCTACGAGAACGTGACAGGGGTCCTAGAGGTCCCGCAATGCCGTCGTCGAATTAAGCTCAGTGGTGCTGAACCAGTGGACGAGCTAGGAATGCAATGGGAGCTCTGAACAAAGCCGATGCACTCAGTTTGCGCCATCCATTCAACGCGCCAGTGACACCAGACCCTCGCTCACTGCGACAATTTCCGTTAGCAAAAGGGTCTCACGGGATCTTGAAAGTGTCCTGCTTTCGTTGGAGACTTTTGCCCCGCTCATTCCGGTCCCTGACAGGGTTGTAGCACAGCTCCAGAGGAGTTTTTGAGGCCTGCAAGGTCCAATTTGTGGTACCTGTAGTAGCTTGAATGCGAGGTATAGACGCCATGAAACCGCCCGCTTCATCGCGATTGTTCCATACTCTGCGAGCACTACAGCATGAGAACCCACTAGTGAGTGCCAGATGCATGCCCTTTCCGTCACTCTACAGCTCATCTTTCCCAGGGGCTCCCGCGCACAGGGACGATACCCCGGATGCAAAGAGGTCTTCCCGAGCGACGCAAGATCAAGGATGTGGCCAAGGTGGTTGCTGTGTCGTCGGCTAAAGGTGGTGTTGGGAAGAGCACAGTGGCAGCCAACTTGTCTCTCGCTTTCGCCAGGCAAGGGCACCGTACCGGCATCCTAGACACAGACATCTTTGGGCCCTCGATACCGACGCTATTTAATCTTGCGGGAGAACCTCGTCTGTCATCGAGTATGGAGATTCTCCTGGCCATATATCAATGTATTGCTAACGATAAGCTCAGACAACCAGTTACTCCCCATGTCTAATTACGGCGTAAAAACCATGTCTATGGGCTATCTCGTCGGTGAAGATGCGCCAGTGGTATGGCGTGGTCTCATGGTCATGAAGGCGCTGCAGCAACTCCTTCACGAAGTCGAATGGGGCGGTCTAGACGTCCTGGTGCTCGACCTGCCACCAGGTACTGGAGATACGCAGCTGAGCATCACACAGCAAATCGTACTCGATGGATCGGTCATTGTGACAACACCCCACACCCTGGCCGTCAAGGACGCGGTAAAGGGCATCAATATGTTCAAGAAGGTCAATGTGCCTATTCTAGGCTTGGTCCAGAACATGACTCTGTTCAACTGCCCGCATTGCCATCACGACACTGCTGTTTTTGGATCCAACGACAAGGTCCAAAGGGTTTGCCGGGAGCATGGAATACAAGTCCTTGGCGACATTCCATTGCATCCAAGCATAGGGGACGATGGAGAGCAGGGAAAGCCTACGGTCGTATCAGAGCCTGACAGCTCAAGGTCCCAAGCTTTTATGAGTATTGCGGCACAGATCGGGAAGCAGATTGGTCTATAGAGGCTCACGTTGGAGTGCAGGGTAGGAGATGTCTCACGATATCGCACGAGAGACGTTAGCGCAGTGTATTATAGCATATCCAGATCACTACGGTCAAGCCGCCTGGATGGCCAGGACCCGAAAGATGCGGGATTTGAGGATTCTCTCATCAAATGTACCAATAGCTGGGCCAGGTGGCCGAGGTTCCTATGCTGAGCGATATCTTCGCAGATCAGGCGTAAGACATGTCATTTAGAAAACCTTTGTAATTCTTCGGTGCACTCTATGGAGCTTGATCGATGTATTCTAGCCTGATGGTCCATCTGAGAAGCAGCGAACGCATGGAGCGGCACGAATGTCTTACTCGTAGACCATGTTAGCATCCGCAAGGAAAGACGGCAAGAAAATGAAGGAAAGGGGTCAAATCCTGAACGCCTTTCCATGTTCCCAAAATCATCAACGCCATCATGGCCGCCCTGAACCATAGGAGACTGAGGCTTCAGATTATATAGGCTACCTGCAGGCGGCGTTAGTACCTAATCCAAATCTTCATTGGCTTGGTAGATGTGGCGACTCCTGGTCGGATCTTTCCGCATAGCTTGGCCAGAGCCGGTGAACCCAACTACAATCAGTCAGCGGTATTCCCAGTCACAGAGTAGTATTCGAGACCAACCTCTACCGTGTACTCCCTCGGGGGTGCGGAACATGCTGTCCTTCTTGGTCTTGGCTGCCTTGGCAAACTTGGACTTGGTGTTGAAGTCCTGCCACTTGTTCTTGCCAGCCTCGAGCTCCTTGGTCGCCTTGATCTTCTTGAATTTGGGCTTCGCATCTGCATCTGGCTTTTCGGCTGCCTCTCTGTTCTTCTGGGCGAGCTCGGGGTTGATGCTGGCCGCTGCAGAAATGACCCCAGGGGCCGGGCTCTGTGTTGGGGGCGGAGGCGGTTGCGAGGGAGGGACCAAAGGCGTGGTGTTGTTTGTCGGCGTTCCATCTGCTTTCCGCTTTTGTGCTACAGGCCGGATGTCCTTCGCTCGTAATTGCTCTGTGTTGTCGTAGCTCTTGAACTTGACGATGTAGATGGGTGCCGTTGACGAGCCCGTGATGGAGGTGATGCGTGCGGGATAGAAGCCCTTGTCGCCGGAAACCCACTTCGCCATGACGTTGTCGTTGACCTTGTAGTTTACTGGCGCGCTATCGTCCTTCTCCTCGGGGGCCGCGGCCTTCTTGAAGGCTGGGTGGTTCTCGCGCGACCATTTCTCCTGCACTGGAGGCGGCGACGGGGCCTTGGGCTTCGGTGGCGCTTTCGCAGGCTTGAGTTCAGCAATTGTTTCGTTCAACAGGGCGATTGCATCGTCTAACTCAGATTTCAAAGCGAGCAGCTCTGCGTTACCGGGGTCTTCTTTGAGACCGAGATTCACGACATCAAGCTAGAAAGAGGCGTTAGCAGATTCTCCAGGCGGGCGGCCAGCACGTAAGGGAGTGGGATAGCGTACCTGCTCGCGGTATGCGTTGACATCTTCTTCGAGGCTCGCGACATCGGCCATAATGTCTTGTTAATATCTGGGCGGGAACGTATGGGTGGGAGAGATGACAAAGGAATAGGCGTGATTCTGCTGTTGCGAAACGTGACGTTGATTGCGAGGAAACCCGGACGGTGGTGAAGTTGTGGCAGCTGCCAAGACGAATTCCCAACCCCCGCATGCTGCAAACAATGCCTAAAAGCTATGCCTATCGGATACATGCATAATCCGATTGCTGCCTGTCAGCCTCTCGGACTCCAACGCAATCAGATACACGCGCAAGCAATGCTGTTGTTTGTTCACGGAAGCGAGAATAGAGTATACTGTCATCGTATTCCTTACCAATTTCCAAGTTTGGCAGTGCATGGAATTGGAAATAAGGGATTGCGGTCGGTGCGTTCTGACTCTCTACGCAGGTCTGCCATTGCTGGTGTGCCGCTTCTGCCAACTAGTATATGAACTATTTCAATGGTTTGTTTCCACCCACAGAGAGTGTTTCTAGTGTTGAATACGCTGAAGTACTTCATGCGAAACGATGGTGATGAAAGTTATGGACTAATCATAGGAATGACCCTTTCCGATGGGATAAAATGTATTTCAGCAAAAGAAGAGTGAAGTCTCGCACCGGTCAAATATCTGTGCTGCTCTCTTCTACCAGAGAATTGGGTACAACAATGACTCGCAAGCCTGTAGCCCACCCGAAGGAGCTGCAATTGTCGCGAGGGCAATACTGGAAGTGAACGATGGATGCACTTCGACCAGGAACCAATCCTTTGCTTTGGCAGCATAGGACCTTCAAGTTGGTCGGGTTGCATGTCAAGACATTCTCATTACCCAATTACTTTCTGCGATTTAATTGAGCATGACGCCTTGGTGTAACGTGTGCAAGATCAGATGCACCAACTGCATGATAAGAGGACATGACGATGGCGCCATCCGCCGTCTCCCCCTCCCCCACCAAAAACAATCATAACTCACGTGTGGGACAAGGCAGGATTATTAGTCCCCACCCACACACATGGTTACATATATTCTCTTCGATGATGAGGATCTCGACCAGGCTGGCACTTTTAAACTGAAGGACATTGATCGCCAAAAAAAAAAAAAAAAAATTTGGTAGACACACCGGTCGCCTCTTCACCCGTGAACAAGTTACTTTGGACGATCCTAACTATCTAACAACTCCCTATTTATTCAGGTAAGTCGTTTCACCATACGCTTTTGGACTGTTTGCCGCCTTTGCATACCTTGGATCCACAAGTCCTAGGACTAACTTTGCTACATGTAGTCTGTGCGAAGTCTGTATTGGGTTAATCTGCAGCTGCATGCCAGTGATCACCGTTCCGCTGAAGTCCTTAATAGAAAAAACCGCCTCATCATGGAGCTTGGCCAAAAAGCACTCTGAGACACTGTTCTCAGGGGAAAGTCATACTACACCAAACTCAGCCAAGGCCAAATTGCCTGAGGTTCCGAATGGCATAATTTCAGGGATGAGAACATTGATTGGCAAGCTGGGTAGCCAGGGCGCCGAGAGAGCTCCCATGAGTGGTGTTCAAACCTTCGCCACACTTGGTTCGGAGGTAGAGCAGGACTATCACGGAAAGCTACATGGTAACCACAGCGATATCGAACTTCTTGCCACTAAGCCTTCTTCAAGTCACAGAGAAACGGCTTAGGGGGAGAAAGGAATGGTACAAAATGAAAAGCTGTAGCTTTTCAACCTGTATACGCCGGAGGAACATATTTGAGCATATAGTAAGCATGGCTTTTGCTTCTCCGTTTAGGATAGCTTTATCAAGGAGGTACGAACTATCACAGTATCTCGGATCTCATGTGATTTCATCGTTTACCGCTAGACAGGAAACGAATGTGTCAGGAGAACGTAGAGTTTGCATAATATTCGAGTTCTACATTCACTTGTATCAGCCGAATCCAGGAGTCTTCCGGGTTGTCTGAGGCATGCTGGGCCTCTTTGTGACTGCGTGCTGTTTGTTGAATACTACTGGCGAGTATTGAATGTGGTTTCAAAGAACTCCGCAAAATCTATATCTTGAGAAGCCATACATAGTTGGTTTGGCAAATGCTGCGAATATCAATTCAGATTTCACTCAAATCTCTCCTGCGTGATGGAATATTGGAGAAACGACTATTTCGCTCACTAGGAAAACTCACATAGGCCCTACAGTGTGCTACATTAATTTGGAAATAAAACAACCCAGACAAAATTTAAGCGTTGGCGTTGCAAAGTCAAGTTACATGCCGTTTTTGTGGGGGGGCCTTACTCCACTTGCGGGCAATGTTACACAAGGAAGATGCCAACTCTTTAAAGGTGTGAACCCGCCCATGCTACAACATTCCTCTTTCTCGCTTCTTCGCTTTCTCACTCTTACAGAATACATCGACTGTGTGCATCATTACTTTTCTTGAACAGCAGAATCTCCGCCCACATTTCGTCCTCGCTGGCGTTGATTTATGTGCCATCATCTGGTCTCATCGTACAGCAATATGCTTTTGCCAATAATAGTCGCCCTTATCTCTTTGTTAGGGTCGTACCTCTACAGTAAACTTCGCTACAAGAGATTTGAGCAATATGCTTTCCTGCCCCAGATGCCCCCGTCCCTTCTTTTTGGCCATCTCAAAATTATGGACGGCTTTATCCGAGCGGGCAACCCAAATGCTCATCCAGGTCAGTTTTAATGTCTGCTGGTGATAGTCGTCTTCCTACGACTCTGCACCTTTAGAACACCTATGACTCAAAGCTGATTGGCTTACGGAGATCTTGCGTTTGCGGCTATCAATGATGCCCAAGCTCGACCACCACTAACATTTGTCGACCTCCGCCCCTTCGGTCCTGCAATGGTCCTTGTCAGAAGCCACGACATTGCTGAGCAAATCTCTAAAGCATCTAAATTACTGCCGTACAGCCTTACAAAGATGCCCGAAGTCTATGGCCATATGGTTCATGTCACTGGTAAAACCTCAGTATTGGCTGCGCATGTATGTAGCCAATTTCGTGTCAGCCATTTATGATCGCTGACTTAAGCCATATTCCGCAGGGTGAGGACTGGAAGCGCCTTCGAAGGCGGTTTAATCCAGGGTTTGCTCATCAGCACTTGATAACATTTTTGCCCAGGATCCTCGAGAAGTCATCGGTTTTTCTCAACCATCTCAACACTTTGGCAGACACGGAGGACCCGTTTTCCCTTGTCCAACTTCTTGGAAATCTAACATTCGATGTTATCAGCAGTGTTGTGATGGGAGTCGACTTCGGCGCCCAAAACACGAATCAACCGGACGATTTCATCCGGAACTACCGCGCTCTGTTCCACACTTATACAAGCGAGAAAATGGATCTCCCGTGGTTCTTCACACCACGTACGGAATGGAAACGCCGTCGGCTTGCTAAGCGTTTAAGAAACACACTGAGAACTATTGTTCAAGACGCATTTGCTAATCGACGAATTGGAATTGCCGAATCTAGGAGCGTTCTCGCGCTGAGCCTGAAGGACCAAGAACACGCCCTGACTCGACAGGCTCTGGATGAAGCATGTGACCAGCTCAGTACCTTTCTATTCGCGGGACATGATACTACTAGCATCATGCTTTCCTGGCTTTTCTACGAATTGTCCCGTACGCCTCGTGCCCTGCAACGTTTACGGGCGGAGTTAGATGATGTGTTTGGCCCAGGTGAGCCATATTGTCCTGATGCCCACGTATCCTGATTGCGCCTAAACGTGACAGGATGAACCTTTGCTGATGTACGCTAGACACTGACCCTTCCAACGTTCGCGACAAACTGCTCTCCGATGGTGGCAAGGAGCTTTTGCAGCAACTGACCTACACTGCAGCTACGGTCAAGGAAGCGCTTCGATTGTGGCCACCTGCCGGCACCGCCCGGATGGTAGAACCAGGAACCGGATTCAAGGTACAGACATCGACTGGCGAATACCTGCTGGATGGAGTGTGCGTCTATAATTGCGCCATTATGATCCAGCGTGACCCTGACGTGTATGGAGATACGGCCGACGACTTTCTGCCAGAGCGTTGGTTGGGCGATGCGGCTGAACAGATCCCAGCCACGGCCTGGCGTGCCTTTGAGAGGGGTCCTCGGAATTGTATCGGCCAAGACCTTGCGAGCATCGAGTCACGCATTGTTATTGCACTTGTTGCACGGCGATTTGAATTTGTGAAGGTGCGTGAATTCGATCACCCACCCAATGCTGCCTGAGAAAGCATACATGCTGATTAGGACCCTGACCAAAGGTTGGAACTGGGGAGTCAATTCTCGATGAGGGGGGCAAGCCGATCCTAGACTCCAAGGGACGAGTCAAAGTGGCTTCGGATATGTACCCAGTAAGTTTTGAGATATGTTTGTTGTGCACCTATTGCGTTCTTCGCTAATACGATCCGACGTAGACAAGGCAGGTGACACCTAAGCCAGTCGATGGAATGATGATGAGGGTGAAAATAAGGTAATGATCTGGTTAGTGAAACGATTTCACCAAAATAATATTGTACGTCACAATGCAGTGTTTAGATTTTTTCTCTCTTCTCTTTCAACTTGTTATACTGCTGTTTAGGGACACAGACTTGACCGAAATAGGCATCTTTTGGAGCCTCTTCATTCTGTCTTCATTCCAAGCTGTCAATGTGGAAGTCGAAACGTAGCGTAGTATAGATGGCTGTTGGTCGTGTTGTGTATGAATAATATGCGTTTTGCTTGACCCTTCCTCCCTCTGTACTCAATTGTAAACATCGATAAGCTGAAAAGCTGGTATTGATGTAATCATTCATGGCCCTGGTGTCTGAAGAAGCCTCGATCTGATATCCCGGGACATCTTTTGGGCAGCAAATTGCGATGCAAAGCTATTTAAAATCACCAAGGCAGCGTCACTTCTAGCGGTGACAGCCACACTGAGCCAAGCCTGTGTTGGGAGATGGCGCAAATCGCCGGATCAGGGTCTCTCTGTTCGGTCCAGCCCACCGCCTTACTTTGATGAAGCAGAGGAGTTACGGATTCGTTGATGGTCATTCACATGCGCACACACCGTGATTATGAGTCAGGTTGACATCAAATCAGTCAAGACCTGATCAATTTGGCAACTTATGCACCAATACGGACCGGCCGACGTTATCGTGGCACATGCCACATATAATGCTGTCAACTTTTGAACTTCGGAGTGGTTAGTCTTTCGCTTCCGTAACCGTGCCCTCGAGCTAATCTAAAGCCATTTTCATGGCAGGCGATGATGCAATTTAGTCAGATAGGTGCTCAATAAAGTCAGTCAACCGCAACTTGTAGCACGGCCAACGATGGGGTAAAGCGGTGACTTGGATACCCTGCAGGCCGCTATCGTAGCGCGCCGTAACTTAGCGCATCCTATTCGTAACGGACAACCTGGCTTGCCTGGAAGCCCCCGGGCGGGGTGCCCTGGGTGCCCTGGGTGCCCCTCGTTTCGTTATCGGATTATGCCGCGAGCGTCATGTCATCGCGCTTGTGACCGGTATTGATGGGCCAACGGCGCCCATCTCGTCACTTGACACCGGGCCGCAGTTGACTACCTGCCATCATTCAACTCGCCCTTCTTTGACTCGACCCGACCTCCACATCCAGTATTCCTCTTCCACTCCTCACCTACCGCTTTCAGTACTTTGTCTAGACCCTCGGCCGACGCCCCTACGTTCCTTGTTTCGTCGCACGACTCCCCACGCCGACTCCGGAACGTTGCGGCCTACACCTGGTTAACCTCGCCTCCCACCACGCGACCACGATTCACGATCCACGATCCACGACCCACCCTGCGATAAGACACAGCTCCCGCTGCAACCGTCACGATGAGTAGCCCTCGCAGACGTATCGAGACTGATGTAGGTTCCTATCCGAACTCTCCAGGCCCTTGTTACTATAGCTCCAAGGCTGACGAGATGCGCAGGTCATGAAGTACTTACTCAGCCCGCCGTGCACGTGTGTGTGTACCAAGACAAAGCTAACAAGTGTACAGGATGTATGAGTGACCGCTTCAAAGATCGGTGACGGAAACTCTGGACGTGGTTTACTGATATGCTCCATCACCAGGCTCATGAGCGACTATGAGGTCACCCTTGTTAATGACAACAGTATGGCGCCCCCGCCTCTCATCTACACACTCCTGAGCTAAGCCGCTGACTCGTGCTGCAGTGTGAATTACACGTCTCCCCCCGGCGCCGAGACACGAGTACTTACGATAGTCTAGGCAAGAGTTCTATGTACGCTTCAAGGGCCCTGCAGAAAGTCTGAGTGCCCCTGAACCGCTTGTAGCTCTGGGCACCGAGCTGACCGAGACCCAACAGCGCCCTTCGAGAACGGCATCTGGAAAATCCACGTGGAGCTGCCCGACCAATACCCCTACAAGTCCCCGAGCATCGGCTTCGTGAACCGAATCTACCACCCCAACATCGATGAGCTGTGAGTGCTTGGAAACCTCCCTCTTGGATCACACCATGGCTGGAGATGGGCAGGCACTAAGAGCAGGGAACCATACAGGTCGGGCTCCGTATGCTTGGATGTCATCAACCAGACGTGGTCGCCCATGTTCGACATGATCAACATCTTCGAAGTCTTTCTGCCCCAGCTCCTTCGGTACCCGAACCCGGCCGACCCCCTGAACGGCGAGGCCGCCGCTCTGCTCATGAGAGATTCCAAGAGTTACGACGCCAAAGTCAAAGGTCAGCTATTCAACTCTGGTGACCTATAGGCGGTGTTCACGGAATCTAACACAATACAGAATACGTGACGAAGTACGCAAGCAAAGATGCCGCCGATGACGCAGGCGCCGAGAGCGAGGACGATGACGACATGTCGTCGGTCGCCAGCTTCGGCGACGAGGACGAGGAACCAGCAGGACAGATGGACGACGTATGAGGGTGCCGCCTGTCCGGGGTTCCCCCATCTCGATCTTCTCACTCCCAATCATACGCGTCAAGGGTCTTGGAGTCTCTGGTTTGCACAAGGGTTTATACGGGATTCACTGGTAGGAGTTTGCATACGCTCGGTTGACTCGTTTTGAGACAATCTCTGGGTTCTTGATTTTCAGACGCGGCTGCTTTTGAAACGAGGAAATTGCTTTGGACGGCTATCGCCACTTACAAACACATGAATGAAAACAATATCCGAACTTGCTTCGGATTTCACATGACCAATCGTCTTGGACAGGTCTCTTTTTATTCTCACATCGTGACAGTCATGCGGCTGTTCTCTAATCGTGTCTAATTCATGTAACCCTGGGTATCATCAAATTCAAGCCAAAACGCCCGATACCAACATGTTCCCGCTTCAAGACGATTCCGAGTCCGAGCTATAACCCACCAACGCCATGGATGCGGTGCCTGTTGCCCCGTTCGACTGCCCCTCCTTGCTCGTATCCTCCAGCGCTGCTCCTCCCTCTTGCTCGTCCCGCTTCCGTTTTATCCCTGGCATTCTGACGGGAGTCTTTGCAGTAGTTGCAGCCCGGCCTGTTATTAGGAACGGGTCCTGAGTCGCACGGGTATTACCGACAATCTCGGACACCAGGCTCTCTCTCATCTGCGAGGCCGCAATCTCGGATTTGAGCCGCTTGTTCCCATTGGGCACTGGGGTGGGCAACTTCGACGTCTTCCTCTCGAATAGCGGTTTTGCCAACGCCTTGTCGCCCACCTCCCGGCCGTCGAGTGACCCGAAATCCACGAGCTTCGCCCTCCTCGCGTCCTCCTCTGTCCCCGGTACCAAGTCGATGCCCAGGCTCATCCGGTCCCTCAGCTCCTCCGTCTCCTTACCCTCCTTCTCCCTCTGGTGCCTGCCCACCCGGAACTCCCGCCGCAGCCGCCGGTTGAGGTCGTAGGGGTCCTCCCAGGTCCGGCTGTTGGCGTCATGGATCTCCTCGATGCGCGCTTTGGCGGCGACCAGCTGCTCGCGGTCCTCGATCGTCTTCTCGAGCTTGGCGAAGGCGTTGCCGCGCAGTGCCTCCCTCTCCTTGTCCGTCAGGATCGGCGGCTGCCGGCCGGCGCCTTCGCTCTCATCGTCGTCGCCGGTGCCGCGGTCCTCGCGCCGCCGCCCGCCCTCGGTGACGACGTAGGCCGTGTTCTGCGGGTCAGTGCGGATCTCGAGGGCGCCGCCGCACTCGGCGTGGCGCATGCGGAAGCTGAAGATGGGCGTGCTGTGGTAGGCGCCCACGCGCTTCTTCTCGGCGTTGAACCGCACCCCCTGCCCGATGATGGTCGGCTTGGGGCACGTCCCGCACCACACGGCGAACGGCATCTCGAAGCGCACCGTCAGCACCCCCTGCGACGCCAGCTTGGACGCCCGCCCGCCCAGCGCGTGCTTCTTGTGCAGCCGGTTGCCCGACGTCGTGCCCTCGACGTCCGGCGGGACGTACCGCCCCATGTTGAAGCCCTGCATCGCGGCGGTCGGGGTTGGGGTGTTTCGGGCTTGCGAGGCGGCGGATGCGAGGGCAATAAGCTGGAAAGATAAGTGCCTATCTAGTTACGGTCGGTGGTAAATTCGTTATAAACATGAAGTGTTTGTATGCGGTGGTGGCCAGATGCTTCGTTGGTGGAGTGCGGAATGGTGCCGTTAGGCCATCCGCAGCTGCTCTAGGTGGTTCATGGTGGGGTTAACGTCAGCAAGCGACGCTACCTAGGTACCTTTCTACGCAGTCACAGGCACCAACCGTAGCGAGGCTCCCTGACTTAGGTACTTGGCCATGTATCAGCATTCTGTCCGTTTTTCACTCGCGATTTATCAACTGAAGGTATCCCAGAAGCTATAATAACACAGCCTGTCCACCGGTTTCAAGAGTTACTACTGTTCGAATCGCCATCGATATATCAACTGTTTGAGGGAAATGATCATCATTGATAATTGACTTGTGGTAAACGCCTGCCTTGTGTAGATCGATGGTCTTGCCGTCTTTATAGTCCTTTATGACCCTTGATATCACACTTGCCTCCCGTCCGCCAACATGTCTCTACAACTTCGGCAAAGGCAGCAGCTCTTTTCCAAACTCGCCCTTCCCATGCAGTACATCCAGCCTGTGGATCTGTGCAGGATAGGCTAGCATATCCTTGAGGAGATCCACGCGCAGGAAATTACGTCCGCCAGGCCCAACATCATGGTCGTGACGAGTCTCGGAGCTCGAGAAGGCCTCGAAGATGGCGAAGGTAGTCTGCGAGTATCTGAGCCCGAACCAAGGTCCCGTGCCCGGTTCTTGGTGAACCCCTTTGTTGATGTCCTTCAGGAACTCGGCGACTAGCTCCTCCTTGCCAGGCTTAGCCTCGAGGTGAATGTAGTAGGCCTTCGGGCCAGGGTTGTCGTCCGTGCCGTGGATACGGAACCCAGGATGAGATCGGCTGTCTTCAGACCAGTCTGCAGCAGGGGTGATGGCCCGGAGGTTTGCGGGATAAGTCTTTTGGGATTTGCTCTCAACCATTGTGTAACTTATGATGCGATTCCAGTCTCTTTCGTTGTTTATATGTAGCTAGGGAACACTTTCAAGCGTGCGGCTTCTGATGCTTGTTGCAGCGGATTAACGAAGGTTTCAACCAGGGAAGTTGCGATGGGAAGCAGATATATATGTGCTCGCAGGATAACATCTAAGTGCTGACAAGTGACTAATATATGGCCCCGCTTCCATTCTTGGTCTTCAGCTCATTTTGAGGACCGACAACGAAATCTGGACTATTGTTCGGGGTCATCATGCCATTCGGAGAATAGAGTCTTCCTCATTCGCTTAATGGAGGAACGGACTTTGTCAGCAACGACATTGAAGACGTCCAAGTTAGCAATAGAACGACATTGCTAAGCACCATATGAGTATGCATTTGCACAGCGTTGAAGGTAGGACCTGACGCCAGGTACACTGAGCGGGATGTGTTCTGTGGAGATGCGGAGTAACTAAAACCTCGGCAAGCTATGGGGTCATACTATCCGGAGTCCCGGAGCCCCGGAGTGGATTCGCTTGCACATCTGACTGGACTTGTGGACTTGCGCCGGACGGTTTTCCATGAGGTCGTCAATGGTACGTCGACATTTGTTGATACTTCTCTCAGACCGTTTTTGGCGGACATCAATACGCTGATAGTCGGGTGGAGTTTCGCTTCCACTGGCATCAGAAGCATGTCATTCCCTGAATGCCATTCTCCATGTTACTAGCGGCAAAGGCCTCCTAACTATCTTCTAATCAAGTTCACAAGAACGAAACCAAGCTGCGCTCCCGTCCTTGCACTTGGATTCTACTAATAGGGGCAATATGAACTACATCCTACCAAACGTCTATTCGGGACAAGTGTGTTCCCATATATAAGTCACCTAATCCAACTCAACAGAACGTACGATGTATGATGCACAGGTTTATGATTCTACACTCATTCTTCATTCCTATCCGTGTTGTTATGTAGCAAGTAAGCTTTTTCTCGCCACAAGTCTTGGTGATTTTGAAACCTCAGCCAAGTATACTCGGTGATTGGCGCGATCTTTGGTCACCTGGACTGACTCCATACTTCAGTCATCTGCACGAATTATCCAGGCTTGTTCTAATCCTGTTCCTCCGTGTGAGCCATTGAGAGACACCTGCACATTGGTGCCTAGCTTTCTACGTGCACCCTCAATGATTTGCAACAGCCCGAAGGTAGAGCCAGCCACTAGACTTTGCTTCCACCATTCGCGTCTGTTGTTCCTGGGCCCTCGCTGTGTTTCTTTGGTTCCGCAAACGCAGGCTTCCAATAGCATCAACAGCATCAACAAGATGCATATCTCCTCCGTGTAATCTGTTACATCTTTCAGAACAGCTTTTCGGGATGGTGATCCGGTCAATAGCCCGACTTGCGCCTTCAGTCGCCATAGTCTTTCCCAATGAATGGGACTGTGCCGACACGTGAGGAACTTCTCACCATGTCTCTATGGAACTGGCTCACCTTGCCTGGTCGGTACAGAGAGATCTCAGAATCTTCAACGCTAGCCGTCAGAATCGATCATCCCCCAGCAGGCTTCTTCTTCTTTGCTGCTGGTAGATTCAAATTCAAAGGTGCAGGCTGCGTGCTCTGTATGCCGCAGGTGACCTCGATACTTCTGATGATTCCACCCACTGGCCTCAACTCCTCCATGAAGACAGCCAGATTGGTAAAGGATTGGCAACCCAGCTCCCCAAAGACCCGCGCCTGACATCCATCCTCCATATTCGCCATGAAAGTGCCGCACTCAGCCTGCGATGCGGCGGTGACGTTGTAGCAGGTAGGACCCTTTGGTGTGGCCACCCCGGGACCCTTTGGCAGATTGAGACTGAACACGGGCGTACCCCGACATTCCTTGGGGCCCGGGGAAGACGAGTACAGTAGCGCGGTGATAGGCAAGATGGGTTTGGCCGGCGCTGTGGCCAGCGGACGTGGAGCTGCAATGGTTACCGGGGCACTGCTGGGAATGACGGATTCGATCATGGCCTCCTCGCTGACCTCCACATCGGCTTCGTTGACCGCACCATCGACCATCACTGGTTGCGGTTGGATGCGCCGCCGTTGAGCTGCAATGGGCGATGCCAGCGCAACGAGCAGGAGGAACACGCGCAAGTTGAGTCGCATTTTGACGTTTTGAATCTGAATGCGACGGAAGGCTGTAATGAAGACATCACTGACATTTGACACCGATGTGAAATCTGGGGTCTTGGGAGGTTTTTGTGTTGTCTCATGATACACGCCAAGCATTCGGCGTTGCGATCTTGGCGTTTCACACTGCACGTTCCTTCACGTCTGAGCTCGCCAGGGTTATGGCCTCTTCAGCTTGCGTTTGAGGCAAGACTAGCTTAAGTCTTAGGAAACAGTAAGAATAATAGCACTAATGTCGCATTCCATGGACATGGTTACTACTGCAAATCTATCATGTTTCTCAGCGCCTCCCCAGCACCATGAACAAGACTCGGAATAACCCCCCTAACCCCCATCATCCCTAATTGATCCTCAGCTTCTTAATTTCAAAGACGACATGCATATTTCGTCAGGCTTACTTTTGCTTCAATTAAGTATAACTAAATCGTCGTATCTAGGTAGATAAGCGCTAGCAATTCAACTATTGCCGAGGGCCACCAAGTGCAGTTGTACAATGTGGTACTCCTTTGAAGAGATACGACGATTGATCTTGCCGACTCAAGTTAAGTATTCCTTGTGAACGTGGCTGGGGCAGCGACAACACACTCTCACTGCCTGATAGTCCGACGCTGTCCTCTGCGTTGGGTCTAGATTTGGCTGGTTCTGAAGAGGCTCTGTTTCCAACACAGGGTTCATCAAAGTCTCCCCTCCTCCAACAACCAGGCCCAGCTCAGTCAGACCTAGATCAGGAACAGCAACCAGCCCGACGAAGCTCGCAATCAAAAACGGGTTCTGCTCCATTGTGCATCCTAAATTTTCTCTCACCAACTCCTCAAGCCTCAGACTCTGATCTCTGACCTCTTCCCAAGGAGCTGACGACATGCAACCGGCGACGTCCAATTTCACAGTCCCAAGTACTTGGTGGCCCTGGCCACTCACTGCAAGCATGCCGCCACCAAGCAACTGCATGGCTAGCACTGCTGCAGCAATCGACTCATCATCTGCGCCGATAACCACGAGGTTCTGATTTTCGCAGTTGGTGGTAGTAGCAATAGCTCCTCGCTTGAGTCCGAACCCGCGCACAGATGCAATACCGCGATTGGCCGTGCCGTGATGTCGGTCTATGATGACTACTTTCAGTACATCATGGTCGGTATCGCATAGTATGTTGTGTGGTTCTTCGGGGCTGACGGGTAGCTGGTAATGAAACGCTCGCTTGAAATAGCCATCATACATTTCCACGCATTGAACCCAAGCTTTAGGATTAGATCTGTCTGAAGGATACAGATGATACGACGCTTTGTCGAAGTGGCACTCATTAAGATGAATAGTATTGAGGGTAAAGTCAGGTACGATGTCAGAATTTGTAAACAGAGCCTTATTGTCCTTGGCTACAATGGAACCGTTTCCAATGACAAGACTTGGCCTATGAATGGTTATTAGTACTGTGTCTACAATTTATATTCCGAGAACAGACCGTGCGTCTTCAAGCCTGTCAAGGATCAAAAGGTCGGCAAGCTTGCCCGGCGTGACACTCCCGATAAGGTGATCAAGCCTGTAGTATGATGCCGCATTGATTGTTGCCATCTTATAAGCTTCTAAGACTGGAACACCTAGCTCAACTGCTCTTCGGACATGCAAGTCTACGTGTCCAGTTGTGTCCAGATCCTCGCAATATTTGTCGTCTGCGCAGAAGCTGATGAATCTTAAGCCGTCTTTATACAAGGCAAAATTGCTGAAAACCGGCTCGATATTAGAGTTCATACTGCCAGACATGACAGTGAGCATCATCCCCAAGCGCAGGCGTTTAATGACGTCGTCAGGCCGGTGCGCGTTATGATCGTCTCCGATGCCACCCTATCAGCCCGTCAACTTCGGAAGAGCCTCAGACGGATAATAATCACCGAAGGTTTAAGACAAGTTAAGACGAACATACAGCGCAGTAGGCCCACAATGGCTCGTTTACTAGCAAGGCAGAGTGGCCGGTTATTCTTTTTCCGGCCTGCAAAGCAGCAGCTTGCTTTTGGGCGGAGGCCATATCCAATGAGAAGGGATTGGATTCCCCAAGAGTGGCTGCTTCGCAAGCCGAAACCCGGTGACATATCTGTGATGTGGATAGCGAAGTGCCTCCAAGTTCAATATTAGGGCCGCTCATGGGCACTTTGTGGGATACTTGACGGAATATACGGAGAGGTGTGCTCGTTGTTCCTGCACCAAAATATCAGAATTGAAATCCATTTTCGTCGCTTGCCGCGTTGCGTTTCCTCACCCATGAAATCCATCCCTCTCCCACCAAGAACCTGACAATTATTGTTAGTCATTGGGTTTGGGATGTAATTAGATGGTTATGCCTCTTGCCTACATTTGCAATGCAATTGGCATCTGCGAGGACGGTGGTGGTTCCTCTCGGAACACTCAACCTGGCAAGTTCCCCAGGCACCAATTTGGTATACTCGATATGTATGTGAGTGTCAATGAATCCAGGACTGATGTATTTCCCTGTTGCATCAACCTCCTCGATATGGGGATCGCTGGCATACTTAGACGTTGGGAAATAGTCCCAAGGCGTGACTGCAGCAATGTGTCGACCATTAATGATGATGTCTCTTTGCAGTATTTCGCCGGTATGGACAGCAACTATAGACCCGTGACGAATGATTAACGTTGGTCGTTTAGTACCACGAGCTACATGCCGTAGCTCAAATAGTTCTTCAGCTGTGATTGTCAAGTGTGCTCCTGTTGCATTGGGAACGACTGGTGTATGCGACATTGTCGAGGTATCGCTCTGCTCATCATATGTGTTGTTGAACTCTGATTCGCGGCCACTGCAGGCTGGGAAGGGAGAGTATGCAGAAGCCTGATGTCAATTACGGATGTAATTGCGTTGCAGGCTCCTTGCTGGTATCATCGTGCCGACAGCATTCCCGAAGCGGGTCTTCCCTTGCAGCTCCCTGCTTAAGTACCGAACCCTTGTGCCTACCGCGCTCAAGCTGTCTATGAAGGACAGCAGTTTAGGCAGCATTTACTTCGGTGACCTCCGTACAGCTCGGCAAGACCTACAACATGAATTAAAACATATCATCGGGTGCCTCCGCTCTGCACCTTGCCATGATTGAACGTTGTGTGAAGCATCTGGAGGCCATCGGACTAGCACCGGAAGGGAGTAGCGAACGATAAGGAATACCTGCCTCTCTACCACAGTGATAGCGGGCTTATCCCTTCCTCTAAAGTGTGATTGGTTGCTGGTTCCTTGTCGAACTAGCTCTCTTTCTCCACTAGGATCTAGAACTCTCCACAATGGGGAACTCTTGGAGCTCTTATCAGTACCTAGTACTAGGCAAGCTTGGTCGGTCGCAATGGATCTTCAGTTGTAAAGAGACGGCACAGGGTCCACCGTACCGCATCCGGGGTTGGCTTTGAGAACTATCGAGGCATACAAAATGGATGCTCTCACACCCTCTTGGTTCTTGTTACGTACGTGACAGCTTCTTTCTCAGCCCGAGACGACCAGAGTCTGCTCTGCGCCAGTATGGAGAAAGACTTCGGATATCCTGCGGCCCACGATACCCACGTGGTGGCCGGCTCGGTTTCTTCCCTTCCGAAGGGCGGGCTTTGGTCTCGGATCAAGAGCCACGCGACTTTAGAAGTGGAAGAAAGCACCTACGCGCCGCCGGGCACTTCGTGGAGCAATAAGGATCTTGATCCAATACCCCCGGAGCTCCAAACGTGGAGAACGGTATAGCTTCTGGAGTCTCGAAGCACTAGAAACGAAGCTAACAATCACAACAGTATAACTTCGTGACCTACTGGATTTCCGATGCCTTCAGCATTTCCAATTGGCGCATTGGCGCATCGCTCATTGCGATTGGCTTATCGTGGAAGTTGGCCTTGTTAGCAGTCGTCATTGGAAATTTCGTGACGGCGTTGGTGGTCACTTACAACGGTCTCATCGGTGAGTCCACGCGATCTTTCAAGCTGACAATCTGTACTAACAGCCATAGGGGCCCGGCTGCATATCCCGTTTACGGTCCAAGCACGATCGGCGTTCGGCTTTTACTTCTCATACGTAATGGTCGTATTTCGAGTCGTCGTCAGTATATTCTGGTACGGTATCGGCACATACACGGGCGCTGAGTGTATTCGGTCGATCATTTACGCCTGGGCGCCCAATTTCCGCAACATCCCGAACCAGCTGCCCGAATCTGCAAACATTGATACAGGTTTCATGATATGCTACTTTATTTACTTCATCCTGGTTTTGCCGTTCCACTGGATACCGGCCCACCAACTTCATTGGTTCTTTACTTTCAAGGCTGTGGTCACTCCCATCGCTGGATTCGCAATCCTCGGGTGGGTGATACACAGCACTGGAGGCGGCGACCAGGTCTTCGCCTATGGAAACTCCTATTCTGGATCGCAGCTAGGATGGGCATTCATGTCTGGAGTAAATGCGATGATCGGTAACTTCGCCACCCTGGGTGTCAATATGAACGACTTTGCTCGGTACTCGAAGAAGCCGAACAGCCCTTACGTTCAACTGATAGTTGTTCCGACTGTCTTTATTATCATGATGCTGTTTGGAATCATCGGGGCTAATGGATCTCGAATACTATACGGCGAGGTGCTCTGGGACCCGATGCTGATCATCGACAACTGGACGTCGCCCGGCGGGCGAGCAGCGGCATTCTTCATTGCCCTGGCTTTCTTAATCGCTAGTATTGGGATCAACATCTCTGCCAACAGTATCTCTGTGGCTGTTGATCTCACAACCCTCTTTCCCAGATATCTCAATCTGCGCAGGGCGCAATATGTATGCGCCGTTCTCGGGGCGTGGGCAATGTGCCCCTGGGAGATTCTTGCTTCGGCCGAGTCTCTGCTGACATTCATGGACGGGTACTCGATATGGTTGGCGCCCATGTCCGGCATACTTATCTCGGATTACTGGATTGTTAACAAACAAAGAGCAAGTATCCCAGACATGTATCGTCCGGACGGCATCTATGCGTACGAGAAATGGGGGACCAACTGGCGAGCCGTAGTTGCCTTCGTCGTTGCCTTTGCACCTCTCCTCCCGGGATTCGCGAAGGCGGTAACTCCTTCTGTGAATGTGACTGAAGGGTCCTCTCATATTTATGCCCTCGGATATTTCTACGCATTTCTCAGCAGTTCTGCATTGTATATTGCTTTGAGCAAGATCTGGCCACCGAAGAGTGAACACTCCGGAAGGCCGATCGCTGAACATCTGGCAGAGGATAGAGCTCAGGTCTGAGCGGCGAGTTGAGGAGATGTTGGCAGAGGCGTATGCAAGTTAGAAGACCCACGAGCCATCAAGGTCGGTATATACAAACTCAATACACTCATCATCCACTTGCAATCGCCTAAGGGCGTCTTGTCCTACAGCGATAGCCTGGCTGACAAAGCCGGTAGTTATGCTCGGGTTCGCCCTCGGGGATTGTGGATCGTGCCTCGGGTTTAGCGAGACGAGCGCTAATGAGCCCAATATCAAGGGCCCTGTCGATGATGCAACCACGCTAGATAAAACTGATGGTGCGCGCCCGGAACAGGTGGGGGGCCATTTTGTTATCCCTTAACAGACTGAGCCGGCCATGGTGGGCACGCTTTCCTTGCCTTGTTCCACATTCTTTGTGCTCGGTGAATATGGCCGATACTGCTGAAAGAGTCCCGTCGGCAGGGCGCTCGTTCGGAGGCCTGTATCGACGTGCGTTGACACCATCTTGGCTGCAATGGGACTCTAGCGCGAACCATGACCTCACCTGGACTCAAAACATCATCTTTGGCTGTGTAAGCTCGACATCCATCAACTATAATAAGCAAACAACACTATACTAACGCCCGCACAGGTTGCAGCCTTTAGTGTCGCCAACCTTTACTACACCCACCCCATTCTCAATGTCTTGGCAGACGACTTTGGTGTCTCAGACGAGCGTTCGTCGCTTGTACCGACCATTATGCAGGCCGGCTATGCGGGGGGTCTGCTCTTTGTCATTCCCATTGGCGACATCATTCGTCGTCGGCCAATGATCATAGGACTGATCTTTTCTACCTCAATGCTTGTACGTGCTCCGTTAGATCTTTCTTTGGCGTGCATGTCTGATCCTCAGCAGTGGCTTGGCTTGACTTTGACGAACTCGTTTTCTGTCTTCTTGGGACTGTCGTTCGTTGTAGGAGTATTGACGGTCACGCCTCAACTCATGTTTCCATTGGTCGTTCAGTATGCGCCGCGACGCCACCGCGCCACCATGATCTCCATAGTCATGTCTGGGATTGTCTTTGGTATGCTCATCGCTCGTTTGTTGTCGGGCATCGTTACACAGTACAGCTCATGGCGCAGCGTATACTGGATGTCTTTCGGTTTGCAGGTGGCACTTCTAGGGCTTTTGTATATCTTCATGCCTGACTATCCCATCCTCCGGCCCGACACCTCTTATCCCCGAAGCCTGCTTACCATCATCAAGCTCCCATTCAGGCATCCAGTTCTCACCCAATGCAGCTTTATCGCATTTTTTACGATGGCAATGTTTACATCTTTCTGGACGACTCTGACCTTTCAGCTTGCTGGTCCGCCTTTCAACCTGACTACTCTGGCCATTGGGCTCTTCGCCCTCATTGGAATTTCGCCAGTCTTTCTGAACCCTGTCATATCCCGGGTACTGACATCGCGTCTACATCCTAGCGGGACCTTGCTTATCGGTGTCCTGGCTTCATTGTTTTCAGTGATCATTGGTACGTTCACTGGTACGTTTTCTCTCGCTGGACCTATAATATGGGCATTCTTGGGTGACTTGGGAATGAACACCATCATTGTGGCCAATCGTATGGCTTTCGCTGCGGTTGACCCAAAAGCTCAGAATGCGGTCAACTCCGTTTACATGGTTTTGGTAAGTAACCCGAAAGAATCCACACCCGCCTTCTTTCAAGACTATGTCCCTATCTCTGTGCACTGTCTGGTGGTTGCTATAACCCCTTATGGGACACAAGCCAACTCCAAGCAATAGAGCTAGCACCGTACATTGCTTTGCTGACTACTTGTTCCTCTTCATTAGACATTCTGCGGTCAACTGTTTGGTACCGCTGTTGGGAACAATCTTTATGCTCAGGGAGGCTGGGTTCGTAGCGGTGGTTTCAGTATTGGCATGATGGGTGCAGCATTGCTCCTTGTACTAATCAGAGGCCCTCATGAAAAGGGATGGATTGGATGGGGAGGAGGCTGGGACCTCACAGACAAGACAGTAGAAGAGAAGGCACAGGAACGCCCGGGTCAAGACCTCGAACCCAATCTGCCTCAATCTTCAACGGAAGACGAGAAGCCCAACCATACAGCGATGGGCGAAGGTTCTAGTGGAGAATCAACTGCGCCTAAAGACCGTAGCTAGCGCGCGCAGCAACATGAAGCATGCCTTATTGACAATACAGGGATGATGAGAGATCAAAAACCACTTCTGCTCCTCATCGGACAGTTGATGGCATATCACTTTAGAACCGCCAATGGAGAATATGCAGCGTAATAGTTGAGTGATGTATTTATAGTGCCCCGTTTCTTCAAATAGGGGTACTTATTAGTAGATGTCAACTGAGAAGGATAATGTTATGATTCCTATATTCAATCCAATTCAACACGCGCATTAGCGGCTCCAGCCAGTCAATTTTGGTATGCTTGCGTTTGAATCGATGGCGCCTTATGGGGTGTACTTCGCGTGCTACAGGGCTATGAGTGCCACATTTTCGTTCAGCATTGTAGCTTGCCTCAGGATAGATAACAAGTAAAAACTGGTAGGGCGTTTGCCCGGAGCCAGTAAGTTGAGTCCCAGATATCTAGCATGAGCGGTGATAATAACCAGACGCACGGAGGGCGTAAACGACTGGACGGTCTCAATAGCATGTTAATGGAAGGGCGGCTTATGCCAAGACTGGACCCCTACAGCCGGCTTCGGTGTGGGTCTCGGTGCGTCTCGTTGCGCTAATAGCCCGCTACACAGAATTCTCAATTCCTATCTCTTCGCGGAGCAACCTCGACCTCCGACCTCAATTCCGTCTCTGCGACTCCTGTTTCTTAGCGCGGAGTGTATGTTGAGTTGTGAAAATGGACGAGACTCAACCGCTGCTTCCCGAGTCCCACCAGGTCCCTATTCCTGAACAGGACCAGATCGCAGACAAGGACACTGTCACCTTCGACCCTAGGGGCGATGCGGAGAACCCCCTCGATTGGCCAGCAGCCTACAAATGGAGTATCGTTGGCCTCCTGGCCTTCATGGCCTTTACTGTGTGAGTACCCCTGAGCAGCCCCATGTCCCCAACGGCACTGACAATGTCTGCAGAACTTTCACATGCATATCGGTGGTCCCAGTCGCAAATCGGATCGTGTCTGATCTTGACAATGGGCGTTCAAGTAAATCAGCAAGTGTCTTGCTGGTGACCATCTGGGAACTCGGCGAGGCTGCCGGCCCGCTGCTTATTGCGCCTCTCTCTGAGATGTATGGCCGCTACCCAGTAATCAATGTGTGCAACATTGGGTTTATCCTGACGACGGTCCTAGCTGCACTATGCCAGAACTCGGCATTGTTCATTGTCGCCAGGGCGCTTACCGGTGTGGCTGTCGCTTCCAACGTCCTGAACCCTGCCATTGTGGGTGATATGTTCCCACCAGAGCAGAGAGGCTCAGCGATGAGTCTCATCGTTCTAGCCCCCTTAACTGGCGGCGCAGTTGGGCCTTTGATCAGTGTTGCTGTTGCTGAGGGCCTCGGATGGAGAGCCGTCATGTGGATGTGTGTAATACTGGCCGGGACAGCAGAGGTACTCTTTTTCACCTGCTTCCGGGAAACTTACAAAGTACCCATCTTAAAACGCAAAGCAGCTAGATTACGAGAGGAGACTGGTAACCTCTCGTTAAGAACGGCTTTCGACGAGGGCGCACAGAGCGCATCGAAGTTAAAAGATGCTGTTATGCGGCCCGTGATCGTATTCGCTGGTTCAGGTGTCTTGCAAATCATCTCACTGTTCAGTGCAGTGGTTTTCACATTTTACTATGTAATGTCAACCTCCCTCCCAGACATTACTGGTGACGTTTATGGTCTTGAGCCAACCATTACCGGGGCTGTATATATCAGCTTTAGTAAGTTGCTGTCTTTGTCTGTATGTTAAGGCGTCAAATACTAACTCCCACACCCAGGTCTTGGTGCTGGACTCAGTGTCATCGTCTGCAACACCACGATGGACAAAGTTTATATCAAACTGCGAGACCTCCACAAGGGAATCGGAAGACCAGAATATCGTCTCCCCTTCGTCATTTTCGGTGCTTTTACGCTGCCCTTCGCAATCGCCTTCTTTGGCTGGGTACCCGCGTTGCACCTTCCTGTGGCGACTCTGATATTGGCAATTGTAATTATAGGAAGTACGTTACAACTTGCATTCCTACCCGTACTAGCATATGTAGTCGATGCTTTCGGGTTGTATTCAGCATCCGCCCTTACAGCTCTTATTGTCACTCGGTGTCTCATGGGGACGTTCTTACCGCTCGCTGTGAGCCCCTTGGTTGACAGGTTTGGATATGGTTGGGCTTTCACGATACTTGGAGCAATGATGATGTGCCTTGGGCCGATTCCAGTCTTCGTATTTAGGTATGGGCATAAGTGGCGCCAATGGTCGAAGTACTCCAAGGATGAGGAGCACTAATCTATGGCGTACGGAAATAGCGGCACTGATAAACAGCATCAGAAACCCCCACATAGGGTTATACAATATTGTAAATCTATTAAAATAGGACTTGCAGGCTTTAGCTGCCATCGTTCTTGTGTGAATGAGACACATTGCTCATCGTGATGGGTGTTGAGTTATAAACCTCGTTTCGCTGGGTTGATCAACCATTTTGCCTAGCAGATAGGAACTCTTTGAACGATCCCTTTGAACTCGCTCCGTCAATACAGCTCTACTAGCCCGAAGGTGGCATTCTAAACAATGAATCACGTGCTTCCCTTATGAGACTTAGAGACTGTGATACAAAGAGCGGTTTGAGGTCTTGAATGATAAGTCGGACAATGGCGGTTGGTATAAGTACAGCTTACCCGGTTTAACGGGGGGTTTCGGGGCCATAAGACCGGACTCACACAGTATGACGAAGGCAGGACTGAAACGTAAATTCTAATGGCTGATGCATATGAACACACCAAATGGCGTGTGGAGAAATGGCTCATGGGTGTACAGGAGCTTTCTGAGAAGGGTGAAGAGACACCTCCCAGAATTCCGGAACGAAATCCCCTCCGTCTCAAAGTCAGAAGAGAGGTCAACTATGCGGAAGATCTTGAGGTTTCCGCGGATGATATAATAGAGAAGGAACATCCCAATCGTGCCAAGAGTCATGGGCATCCCAACTCAAAGTTGACGAGTGGGATGGTCTAGCGTGGATGTGCCTCCACAGCGATGGGATACATATCAGTATCGAAATCAACTCGTTCATCACTTATAGTCCGAAGTCACCAGAGTCGAATTGGATCGGAGATGCCTAATAAACCTGCAAACGGTTAGCTTCTTTCTTCAAGAGCGACTTCGAGAGTGACCGATGTCGGTAAAATCCCGAAGGCGCCGGGCTTGAAGAACTAGACAAAACTTCTTGGTGAAGGTTCAAAGAGTCGCGCTGCTACTTAAACGAAACCAGCATATTAATATATAGGCCACTGCGGGGAACGATGAAGGCACAGCCAAGTAATTCGCTACTACACCATAGATGGATGCGATAGGCGTACTGGCGGGCCGGTGCAAACACTGATCGCTGAACTACCAATTTCCTGTTGGAAGTGCCTATCCTATGACTTGTAACTCTTTCTTGGACCAGAACGGGGGGTTTACAAGACTGTACTCTGCATCCATGACTGGAGAGAGAGGCGAGACGTGATTCATGACCTCAACTTGCCGTAGGTCTTGTGACGGATGGGCTCTGAGGGTAGATTAAGCTTGCCGCACTTGTGTAGTCACTTGATACATAGTTCCTGAAAATGACAGTGCATGAACCGGAGATTTTTGAAAGTGGTTAACATTCTTTTGAATAAGGTACTGGTACTGGTTGAAGCGCTCCCTTCACTGGTGACTTCCTTGGTATCATGAACAGTTCGCTTGTTTGTGAACCACCTGGAACTCTATCTTCGGTAGGTTCTCGTGACTACAGCCATTGTCACTGCACTTAGATCATCCTTCAAACTTGGAGCCTGACCTTTCATGCATCTATTTCTCAATGAATCCTCCGCCTGTTTCCATGGATGTAGATTGCTGTGCACACTTGGCTGCCGTTGGCACCGATGATGACTCAGATGCGGAAACCGACGCTGAGTGCTTCCGTCGCTTCTTTTTTTCTTCTTGTTCCTTGAAGTACTGCCCTGCTTCCGGAGATATTGGGCGGCCAGGATTCTCCAGATCAAAAGTACAACTCTGCTTCTGACGCAGGCACTTCTGGCACTTCAGGCTTTTGAAGGCTAGTGGGTCCCTTGCGACAAGACAGCTGCCATTCTTACACCTTCTGCAAGCGGTGGGAGCCTGCATCCCTATATCCTGTTTGGTCAACTGTGCAGCTTTGACGAGTTCCTTATCGTGCTTCCCTGACTTATCCTGGCCATTCGCTCGGGTGGTCAGATGTGATTCGGCCTTGACTTTCTTGGGAGGCGGCTGAGGCTGTGACTGGCTGGATTCTCCTTCATCGAAATGTTTGCGTTTTTGGGCATTGATTTGAAGCTCTATGTCTGAATCGGGAGACACGTGGACCTCGGGGGACTTATCCGGCACAGCCAGCACTCTACCTTCAGCGAAAACCTGTGGCTTCTCTTGGCCAATAGACACCTTCTCTGAGGTTTCCTGACCCATTCTTGCCGAAGTCGTTATACTTTTGGAAACCTGTCTTTTTCCAGCTCGATTGCCTCTAGACTTCGGTTGTAGCGGTTCGAAAATCTGGTAAGTGACCGTTTCGCCCTGGCGAGAAGTGATCATGGATTCATCCAACACACTCCGCAGCATGTTATAATTATGCGTGAAAAATGCTCCTCTGTAATTTATGGCCATCCGGTCAGTATCAGTACGGTCAGTCTCTTCCGCAAGCTGATCCTTCAGGAATTTTGCCTCATTCTGGAGACGAAGGCAGAGAACCACAATGTCGTATCTGGCCCTCCACCAAGGGCTTAGAATTTTCTCAAATGCCTTTTGGTCCTTGTGCGCAGGCTTGAAACTTGTGTAGAAGTCTTGATCCATCTCGTAGAAGGCTAGGGCAGTAGTTTGTGCAATATGCTTGAAGTTCTCTTGAGCTATAGCAATGGTGATTTGCTCCACAATGTTCTTGTAGAATAGTGTCAGCCATTTCGAGTCGCGTGAGCCATCAGTGCGCTTCTTTTTCTTGATAACACGCCTAAGTCTGCTCCTGTTGAGGTTTGGCTTGAAAGTAGAAGCCAGGCGGTTGAAAAGCTGATCAAAGGCCGTTAGATTACCTGGCTCGAAGTGATCCCCAGGATAGTCCCAATGCTGCGAGTCACGCCAAAACATGCGTGCAGGAAGTGAGTCATCTGTGAGCCCGAGCCTCAAGCTAGAGTCAGTGGCCATCGCGCCCGGAGAAATTTGGCAATTTTTGAGGTTGATATTGTTGTGAATTAGTTGAGAGTGAAGAATTCCCAGACTGGCGCAAGGAATTTCGGCTGTTGCTTGAATGGTCTTTGGGCTAGCTTTTTGAGTTATATGGTGCTCTTCGACCTGCTGAGGTCTAAGAATATATATACAATGAGGCCACATGCAGCCACAGTACATGAGCTATTTTTCCCCTTCTCGTCTGATCTTGATAAACCCTTTGTGGACCGAGGCCAATTGGAGGCCATGGATAAGGCGTTAAATTCCTCTATAAAAGCAGGAACTTTTGAGGCAGTTTCACCAAAGGCTAAAGCTTGTCCAAGCTACTGCAGCATGCTCGCGCCTTTCTCCATAAGAGTGCTAAATCAAGCTCTGTATCATTGAAATCAAAAGGCAGGTGGAATTAAGGTCCTTCAGGGAAAAACTGATGAGGACACCCATTTTACCCAGTTGACGACTCTCTGAAGATGTAAATTTAACTACCAAACGGGTTGCCATGTGACACCGCAACAATTTTCAAACCTAATCACTTGGCCCTGTTCCAGTGACAGTGACGATTTGTTCCCATACACACAGTTTATATAAAGGCAAGGCAATCGAGGAGTACTGTAAAAAATCGCATACATATTTATATCGAGATCAGGACTGGTAATGATCGAAAGTTCAGGGTGTATTGCTTGGAGTGGCTTGGCCACAACGAGCGAGTGGTGGAGAATCAGCTACTGGCTTCCACTCATTGTCTGTGAATGCAGCTATGATAGTGGAAAATAGCGTCACATTTTCTTCAGAAATCCCCGTTTCCCAATTACCTACACTCCGAAGTCCGGAGGCTTGCGAATCAAGTGTAGCTTTGGTGAACCTCGGCAGTAATGGCCATCGGGTTTTCATCACGTTGTCTTCTTCCAGCCCTCCCAACGTTCAAAATCAGCTATATCAAGATCGAAGAGGTCTAATATACGACCAACAGTCTGATCTGCTAACACATCTATGCTTGAGGCCTTGATATAATATGCAGGCACTGGAGGGAAGATGATTGCACCGCTTTGTGTGACTGAGAGCATATTTCGCAGGTGAATATCGCTCAAAGGCGTCTCTCTCGTGACCAAAACTAACTTTCTCCGTTCTTTGAGCATAACATCCGCCGTTCTTGCGATTAAGTCGTCACAGTAACCTGTGCTGATGGCAGCAAGGGTCTTCATTGAACAAGGGACGACGATCATGCCATCTGTTTTGAATGAACCGCTGGATATAGGGGCGGCCATATCGCTTAAACTGTGGACATGATCGGCCAGTGCCCGGACATTTTTGGGGTTGTAATCCGTCTCGTATTTGATCGTTGCTTCTGCCCATTTACTGACAACGAGGTGGCTTTCGATATTTAATCGGCGGAGAGCGATAAGTATTTTGATACCTAGAATAGCTCCAGTCGCGCCTGTCATAGCTACCACGATTCTCTTACGGCGTTGCACTGAATTATCGCCAACGGTCGGGATTGGCGAGTACCCAGCGGTTGGTGGGTGAATGGAGTACCCATCGAGCCGTTCTGAACCACGACTGTAGTCAGATTGTGGCGTATTGGTGCCCGAGTGTGGTTGTGATGTGGGCATCATGAACAACGGCGGTTGGCTGGAAGTTTAATTCTCAAGAGAAAGGCAACCTGGTCAGGTTATCGCAGATTGTATGCAACGATTTAAGGTAGGTGAAGTTGGAGTGGGTTTGGTTTTCTTAGAATGGCGGAAAGTAAAGGCGATGGTAGCCTTAGACATCAGACCTAGGTCAAACTAGTCAAGTCGCTGTGCTGAAAACGAAAATGAACCCTAGTGCTAATACTCTAATACTTTTTCGCCGTCTGTAAACAGAAGCATCTTGAGCCAAGACATCCCCGCCGTCTGCCTCGCCTTGGACTGGACGATAGAGGCAATCGAATAGTCAAGTGGAGAGCTCTCCCTCTCCCTTCTACCTCGAGAGAGTGTAGGTACTTCTGGGCCATCTACCACGACGTTGCTCGTGTTGACAAGGGAAGCGCCGCTTGGACGGGCAGCTACACGAGTTCTAGGACGCCTAGCCTCGTACACGCAAATTTGTGGATGGCCTCGCCTCCCGCAAGTTGCGCAGGGTATAGCGTTATCGCACCCAACTTTGCGCCATTTGCAGGGCACGCAAGACTTGGATTCGTGCTGCTTGCGCCTGAGTCGCAGAACCCGATCAATCTCATGGTCGTCCACGTTCGGACCCTCGGATGCAATATCAAATGATTGCTGCAGTTGTGGCGTACCATCCATCTCGTGACAAGCAACGGTGAGTCCCGCAAATGTTTCGGGATTGAATGGAGGTCAGTCAACAACAGTAACCTCCCATTTCCTGCCAGCACGGTTTATGGCCAGATTTGCGCCTCGAAGCCCCGAAGCCCCGAAGGTGCGGAACGCCCGACCGCGCTATTTTAGATGGCATCAACTTATAATAACTGTTTCCGAGCCCACTGTGGATGAACAGGATATCGGCTAGATTTGCCAAAGACAATTTAGGTGGGGACTCAGAGTTTCCGTCAATGCAATGCCTTAGATCCAGCTCGGACCTTCGCATCCATACATGTCACGCCTCTGGCATTTTGTGTCATTCACTTGGATGGGGTTGTGTCTGGATAAGATGGACAATGTAGTCATCCATGACCGAACGTCGGACCAGGGAAGCATTTATATCAGGTTCTGAGACATTATATATGCCATGGGTTTTCCCACACTTTGAAAGAATAGCGAAATTCTTAATCAGTTTCTTGACAAGGTGTTCTTCAGTTAAACTGGTCAATTCCTGTGCACTACAATATACACAATGGATCACTGCTTCCGCGACTTTGTCGACCAACTCAGATCCGATGATGATCTGGTTGAAATCAATGATGAAATTGATCCTTATCTAGAGGCTGCAGCTATAACACGCCTTGTTTGCGAGACAGATGACAAAGCTCCCCTATTCAACAATCTCAAAGGCCAGAACGAGAAGGGCCTATTTCGCATTCTTGGAGCGCCAGCTTCACTCAGGAGGTCCAAGAAAGACCGCTATGGCCGCCTGGCGCATCACTTGGCATTGCCTCCCACGGCCAGCATGAGAGAAATCCTCGACAAAATGCTTTCCGCCAGCGAGCTCTCCCCCATTGATCCCTCAGTCGTCTCGACGGGACCTGTAAAGGAGAACTCTCTTGTAGGGGATGAGATCGACCTTACGGCCTTGCCAGCGCCAATGATCCATCAAGTCGATGGTGGACGTTACATTCAGACTTTTGGAATGCATGTTGTTCAAACTCCTGATGGGAAGTGGACGAATTGGTCAATTGCTCGTGCCATGGTCCACGACAAGAATCACCTTACTGGTCTTGTGCTTGAGCCTCGGCACTTGTGGTAGATACATCAAATGTGGAAGAAGGAGGGCAAAGATGTCCCTTGGGCGCTGTGCTTTGGCGTACCACCAGCTGCTATCATGGCGTCCTCAATGCCCATTCCTGACGGTGTTACCGAGGCGGGCTACGTCAGCGCAATGACTGGCCGTCCGTTGGAACTTGTTAAGAGCGATACAAATGAATTGTACGTGCCAGCAAATTCCGAGATTGTTTTCGAGGGCACATTGTCAATCACCAAGACCGGGGACGAGGGTCCTTTTGGAGAAATGCACGGCTACGTATTCCCTGCGGACACCCACAAATTTCCGGTCTATATCGTGGATAAGATCACCTACAGAACCAACCCAATACTTCCCATGTCAGCATGCGGCAGGCTTACTGATGAGACCCAACCATGATTGGTGCCCTAGCTGCAGCTGAGATCCGAAAAATCTGTCAGTTGTCTGGCCTGCCTATCATGGATGCATTCTCTCCATCTGAGTCGCAGGTGACCTGGGTCGCCCTCAAGGTTGATACTCGTAGTCTACGAGAATTGAAATGGACACTCAAGGAGCTGCAGAAGAAGGTTGGCGACGTGGTATTCGCCCACAAAGCTGGCCATACTATACATAGGCTTGTTCTTGTTGGAGAAGACATCGACGTTTATGATGGGAAAGATGTGATGTGGGCCTTTTCAACCCGATGCCGCCCTAACGCCGACGAGACATTCTTCGAGAACGTCCGAGGGTTTCCTCTCATCCCTTACATGTCTCACGGCACTGGTCCCCCAAACAAAGGCGGAAAGGTTGTTTCGGATGCCCTTTTGCCAGCAGAGTACATCTTTGGGGCCGATTGGGTGGCTGCTGACTTTGAGAATTCTTATCCCGAGGATATCAAAGCAAAGGTGCGTGGAAGGTGGGAGTCGCTCGGTTTCAAGAGCCTCGATTAGACTACGACTTCGAGCTTAACATCTTCCCTCGATTAGTGGCCGATATCAGGAGAGGAATTGCAGTAGAGTATGACAAAACTCGCATTTTTGGTCGACTCGAGTCTACCAATATCTATGGACATTTTACTTTGGTTTATGATTGATAATAATCCAAGTGTGACTTCACACGCTTTCAAAATGCTAGAACCAATTAACCACCTATATTCACAGGGGTAGGTACCTGTTTGTAAGCATATAGCAGCAGCCATCCACTGGCCCAGCATTACTAGAACTATCATCTATGGTGATCACGCAACGTAAGATCCCCATGTCATGGACATCGCCGACGCCCTTCCCCACCAGGTCGGGTTGTCCCGCTGTTCTACGCCTTCCCATCGCAGAACACGTACCTCTCGGTTACTCTATTTTGGATTCGATCGTAAACCACCATCAAGTCTGCAACCTCACTCATTTGAACTCCCACAAGCAACTGCTCGGAAACGAACTTCGTGCCAACAACATTCGCTAGGAATATCAGTTCCTTCCTTTTATTATAGGTATGATCCTTACCATGAAACGCAACTTCAACCTCTCACTTTCATGAAACCTCATCCCTCCCCTCGTGCGAGGTCCAGCCCACGATCTTCATAACCACAACACTCACTTACAGTATCGCCATCACGTCACCCAGTGGTCCTGGCCACCTACCTTCGACATCACCGGCAATGCAGCGCGTCTGTACTTGACGGCGAAAACTGACCTTGCCGCAACTTGACCCTTGAATTTCATGATCATTCACAGACCTGCGCATCATCAATTCTCTCCTCACGTATCTGAGTTTCTCAGCTTTGGCAACCGCCACTATTCTCCTTTTGAGACACTAGATCTCTCAACCTTTCACCGACATCCTACAAATATTTCTCTTGTGGTTGGTCATTCCCTGAATGCACCGAACCACGAGCCTTTGGAGCACACTGGAAGTATTGACTACCCTCATCTCAAATTCAAGGAATTTGGGCACGCTGCACCTTCACAGCACCACAAAGCCACCCAAGATACAGAATCCTTAAAAATTGCCCTCAAGACTACTTTCAATTCGCTTCGGTCCTGTCATTCTCGATCACACCTCACCTTCCATCACTTTTATCAATTACTCCACCTCAACCCTGCAGTTTCAGAATCGCACTCGATCTGTTGACCGCCATCACCTCACCTTCCAGATTTTGAGCACACTGCACCTTCCAGTTGACAGAACCCATCTGAACTCTCGGGCTTCTTGATGGCACACGCCTTCTCACTCGTCCTTGAGTCATTCCGTTCTCGAGATTATTGATCACATATCATCTCACCATCAAATGCATCTCAACCCTTGAGGATTTCAGCCATACCAGACCCTTTTACAGTCCCCAATTCGCATCTCTCCCAAGGTTTCTGATCATACCCTAACCAATGATTCTCATATATTGACCTCTGTCTGAAGCACTCAGGTCACACGTTACATCTGTGACCATAAGCAGCTGGCGTACCACATTTCACATCCCGCCTCTCACTTTGACTGCCTTGTCACAACTTCGCAATCATGGACTCTGACAATTCGGACCTGGACATTGGCAGAGTCCGGGACTATGAAATAGAATTCCCCGATGAAGAATCAGATGCCGTTGGATCGGATAACGAGGCACAGGATGCCTCAGATGACGACATTGGTAGCTCTACCCGTCCCTTCCCTATTACGTGCAGCTAATAGTTTGTTTTAGATGACCCTGATGTGGATGCAAACATCTTACTTCAAGACACAACTGATGATTCCAGCGCCGACGAGAATGCCCCACAGGAGGAGCTGTGGGAGCTATACCACAGGCAAGTCACCCGGTGTCAACGCAAGAGTCGAGAGATGCGCGAGATGAACCGAAGGCATCTCGCGGTCAAACAGGACCTAGATGAGAGGGATGCAAGGTTCAGACAGGATAATAAGCAACTTGCTTCCCTGGTTAGAAACCTTCGACGCGAGAACGAGGAGCTCCGGAACCCTCCACCCCGTCGACAGGCCGAGGTAAGTTCCGCTTCTGATTCTTCTTAGTACGTCTCCATGAACCATTTGACCTAACCCAAGTTTGGAATCAGCCCTGGATCTCACGTCTACGTAAATATGTCCCGGAAATAGATCCTGGCGAGGATCCCGATCTTGGAGAGTGGGAGAGCATTTGTGGAGCCTGCAACAAGCAGAACAATATGAGCCAGAAGGTGCGCAATATCCATCCAAACTTGGAATTACATGGAGAGTGCTCAGACGAAGACTACACGCGAAACATTTCGAACGATATTGATGGCGCAAATGGTGCCAATGGTAACGATGGTGACGATGGTGGCATTGACGACAATAATGGTAATCCCAATAATCAAGCTGGCCTTGCTTTCCGTCCGTTCGATTTCAACAAGCTACCTATCGAGGTCCAGGGGAAGATATTCGAGCGCCACTTCGTGAAACCGGGCCTGATTCACTGTCTATCCCGCTTGGACGACAGGCATCCGCCCAAGCAACGGGCTCACTTTCCGTTCGCCGAATCTGGCACAAGTGGCCTGCCCCATCGTTTCGCCTACGGCACTGGAATAACAAGGACCTCCGTTATGAAGGCCAAGAAACCCAGCGAGGTGCTATCTTCACTACTCGTCTGTCGACGATGGTTCTATATTGGCGTCCATGCTTTCTACGGGATGAACACATTTGCGTTCAGCTCTCTCGGCGAGTTTGGTCGTTTTTTCAAGGGAATTGGGCGGGCTAGGGCTGAACGCATAGCCCATGTTGAGCTCTTTTGGCAGGGCAGTATTATGCCACATGACCCAAGGACCCGTGTCAACCAGCGGACTTTGCCATTGACTTGGCTAACTAGATCCAAGCGCCTCCAGACTCTGGCAATACATACCGACGAGAGTTCAGAGTCCAGTAAGTTACATTACCCGAGGTTCTGACTTTCTCATTGGAATTAGGAACTCGGCGTCATCCCGAATTATTCCGTTTATTCAACATCAGATCTTTGCTGACATCCCATAGGAACGCGCCGTAAACACGAGTTTCCTAGAAAAACGAAAAACAACGGGGCAAGGACTAAACAGGCAGATATGTCAGACCGTTATAAAGACTACACACGTGCAAAAATCGAGAGGCTGAAAACCCATCAAAAGCTTTTGAAGCGGACAGCTCAGCAGCCCAATTTTAGAGGCTACAGATCCATGCGGACTTGTCACGGCATGGACTATGTTTACCAGTTGCGTGGTATGCAGTGGGTCCGCTTTTACGAAGTCCACAACAACGCCGGTCAGAGAGAGCATATTCGCGATTGGAGTTTCGAGAACGAGATCAACGTCGTCGTCACCTTGCCCAAGCAGCAGGCATACGCCTCGGAGTGCGACATTACAAACCTATCCCGACTTCCTGGCCTACCTAGTACCTGGCGACCCCAAGACCAAGACCTAGCGTTGGTGGACTCCTTCTATTCACCGAGAATGGTGCATGTCGACGATGATAGCGATACATCCTCAGCTCGCTCCGGCCCGCCATCTCCGGCCCCTTCCACTGCTAACAATGATATATCTGATTTGGACTTTGACTTCGACGAACCCAGGCCCGAAATCATATTTCCCGACGAGGGGTATCAATCTGGCCCAGACATGAATATTGGCCAAGATGTTGACGCCGATGTCCCTCATAAAGTGGAGGATAGCGATTCAGACAACGAGCCACAGAATGACCCTAATGCGGGCCCTGACGAGGACTCTGATGGTGATTCTGACAATGATTCTGACGGTGGTCCAGATGATATTCCGGGCGGGATCAACGCAGACCCTGGAGGTAGGGCCAACCCGGGTCCTAGCCCTGATCCCGAGCCTGGTCCCGAGCCTGGTTCCGGCTCCGACTCCGGCTCGGAGCATAGCTCTGACAACAGCGACGCAGTGTTTGACAACGCTGCCTCCACTACGGACGCGGAGAGAGCCAACGATACCCAGCTGACTGCCCCTGAGAGTGCCGCCGAGGGAGCAGAGAGTGGTGAGGCGATGGATCAGGACGGCGATGATGACGATCGGGAGAGCGTCGCAACTAGCGGGCTTTTCGTCCGATCCGACGGGCCCTCCAGCATCCGAGGACCACCCAGCGTCGGTCCCAGTGTGACTCCAAGCACCGCACTAAGCACTGGCCGAGCTTCTCTCGCATTTCGAGGCATGGCTCCTCCGCCGCGTCCAAATCCTGTCGTTATTGACCTGACGGCGGATGATAGCGACGATGATGAGTCTAGCACGGTGAGCAGCAGCTTCGACTCGGAAAGCCTGTTCGTTCGATCCCGCCGCGACGGATCGACCATTGCCGCCCACGGATCTTCGAGCGACGAGCGCCGCCGTCAAATCTTCGTCGATCTCACCGCGGACGAGGTTAAGAGGGAGGACGACCGGTCCAGCGTGACCTCCAGTGGCACGAAGCGCACCCGGGATGGCGATGGTGGAGGCTCGGGTAAGCAGGAGAATAAGCGCCCTCGCATCGCCTTGTAAGTAGTTATTCGGATTGGAAGCCATGGAACCACCATGGGATAAACGTGGCGGGACATGGGACACCTATGCTAAGCTATGGGATGGTTAATGGATTGACCTATTAGGACTGGTTAGTCTACTCGGATGGCGTTTATACGGATTGCGCAGATTTCCCGCGGTTGGGGAAGGCCGATAACGATTCATGGTAACCTAGATATCAATCTATCAGCTCTGCAATGGGTAACCCGTCTTCAAGATCGATCCACAAGGCTCGGCAGGGCTTTGAGATCCTCGGGCCAGCTGATCCTCGGCTCGTTCAGGGTCTTTGCCGTTCACACTCGTCGATCACGTTGGTTCGTCCCGTCTTGTCGGCTGATCTCCTCTGAGCACCAGGCAGCCATGGTCAAATATTGGGCGACAAGTCAGGGTGATCAGACCTTCAATTATATCAGGCGGTTCAACCAAGTTGTATTTGGTACATCTAGATCTAGTCAAAAACGACCTTCTTTCCCTGGAAGCTGACCTTCTGAGCAGCCTCCTTGGCCATCTTTGCCGCCTGCCAACTGGCGTGGAGGGAGCCTTGATCATCTCTCGACGGCTTCGGTTTCGGCTTTGGTGCGGGCGCCGGTGCGGGGGTAAATGTAGGTGCCGGTGGAGGTGCCACCCTGGACTGGCTCTCCGGTGGTCCAGCTTTTCTCGCCGGCGGTCCCGAGCTACCGTCAAAGTTTGCGTGCCTATCGGGGTGGACACCCTCGGGGGCCGTCTTCTTCTCAAAGGGGTTCCGGATACCCTTCTTCCAGGGACCGGCATCCTCCGCCCCGACAGCTCCTCGCTTCATGTCCCATCCCTGATCCCGACCGGATTTGTTGCTCTGGTTTTTGATGTGGTTCGCCTTCTCCTTGAACTTCTTCTCCCATATGGCCTGTCTTGCTCTTTGTCCACGTCTATTTTTCTTCATAGGCGGCGCGATGTCGATGTCGGAGGCTTCGGAATCCGATCCAGAGATGTAACCGCCCATCAACGACGGCAGGAATGTGGAGTTGCCCGAAGATGCCGGGACTGGCTTGGCTGCCTTCTTTGCCTTCTTGGGGGGAGGGGAGACAGCTTCGTCATCCTCCGAGTCTTCTTCTTCGTCTTCAGAGCCGTCAGACTCTGCATCTGACTGCTCATCGTCAGAATCTTCTTCTGCAGAAGAGCCAGAAAAGTAATCTGAAGGCCCGCGAATTGACCTTGCGCGGCTATCCTCGGCATCATCGTCACTCGCGGCGCCGTCTGAGTCCTCGTCGCTGGAGCCTCCTAGCATGCCGTCAAAGCGGGAGAAGGCCTTTTCTTCAGCATCGCTATCTTCGATCCCATTGCCATCGGAACCGAACCCTTCCCAGGGCTCGCCGGAGCCGGAGTCCTCTTCATCTGACTGGGGGGCTTCTTTTGACTTCTTGGATGACTGCTTCTCAGCGGCAGTTTTGGACTTGGACTTGGTTTCGGTCTCAGCCTTGCGCGGTGCTTTTTGTACGTCGTCTGCCTGCTGTTCCTGGTCCTGCCTGCCGTTCTTGCCCTTGGCTTTGCCCTTCTTCTCCGGCATAGGGACACGCAGCGCTATGCAGGTGCCCATGATGGCCTCGTCAATGACGTCCTTGACATGCTTCCTGTTGCAGAGAGCGCTGGTGACATTGTGAAGCGCAGTCTTCTCTTCCTCGGACAAGTCTGGCTTCGGTATCGGCTTGATGAACGCGGGCAGGTTTGGCGACTCGGCGATTCCTTTGATCCTCAACAACGACGAGCAGAGGTGCGCGTGGGCGGCTTGGGGCAGGTCTATGCTCTGCGTTCGAAGGGTCAGAAGTGTCTAGGGTTCAGTGTACCAAGCCAACATACCTTTAGCACGGCAATCTCCTTCTCCAGACGTGCTGCTTTCTCCGGGTCGGCTTCCCTTTGGCGTTTCGAGTAGCGCTGTCGCTCAAAGCCCTTGGCCGTCTTCAGGCCCCGTACGAGCTCCTTCTCCCACTTCTGGAGATTGACCTCCAGTCGCGGTTCTTCGCGCTTTCGTTTGACCATTTTGCAACTCCACTTGCGCTCGAGTATTTGCTGAGCCGTGAACCCGACACCAAAAACTTTTGGCGGCTTGTCGTCGAGGCCTTCAACTTTTTAGTGGGGTCTTGCGAAAGAAAAGCTCGAGCCAGTGCAAGGGTCCGCAGCACCCTGGCACCCCTGGCACCCTCGCGCGGAACAACATCCACTGAGGGGTAACTAAGGATAGACTAACTGCATACGTCCTGTATCATTCGTACATGACCACCAGTAGAACTCACAAACTCTCGGGTTGCACGAGAAAACTTATAGTAGTCCTGCTTATATGTGAACTACCAAGACCGAACACTAGCCTTATACTTCTGCATTATGTATATTTATTTAAAACCAGGGCAGTAAAAAGGGCGAGTCTATGGGCTGAAAGCTCGTGGCAAGGTGGGTTATAGGTATGCTGAGGTCATTATGAGCCGGTTCGGCGGAGGTTTGCCAGATGAGTAAACGGCCGGTGGAGCGATGATGGAAACTATCCTTCCTTATCTGTAACCCAACAGCTACTGAACGAGCTCTATACACTCCCTTCAATAGCCAACCACTTCTACTTACAGGTAACGAGATCAGAGTGAAATAATTACTATCACAATGGGTTCGATTCAAGTTTCCAGCGACGCGGCGCTTCAGGCTGCCCAATTATTCAACGTTGATGGCATGGTGGCCGCCGTGACCGGCGGTGGCACAGGTACGCAGTCCGGAGGCCCGGCACATATTGAGCATCCACGATAATAACGGACCCAGGCATCGGGCTGATGATGGCCAGGGCCCTGGCTGAGAACGGGGCCACTGTATACATCCTCGGCCGTCGCGCAGAGGTCCTGGAGGCAGCTACCAAGTCTATAGGAAAGCCCACTGTCAAGACGATCGTCTGCGATGTGACCTCAAAGGACAGCCTGAAGGCCGCCGCTGACACGGTGCAGCGAGACGTAGGATACTTGAACTTGCTAGTATGCAACTCTGGCATCGGCGGTCCTCAGACGCCGCGGCCAACCATGGAGTCCAGTATCACCCTGGAGGAGTTTGCCAACACGAATTGGGATGTCCCTATGGAGGACTACACCAATACATTCGCGGTCAACACCTCGGCTGTCTGGTACACGACCATGGCGTTCCTCACGTTGCTGGACGCTGGCAATAAGAAGGGCAACCTCTTCCAGAAGTCGCAAGTCATTGCCACCAGCTCCATCGGGGGTTTCAACAAGGTGAACACGGGTGGCTTCGCTTACGGGCAATCAAAAGCTGCGTGCACGCACTTGATAAAGCATCTAGCAGTTGCATTGCCCAAGTGGGATATCCGGGCCAACGTCATCTGCCCTGGGTGTAAGTACTCCACTCCCAAGATTAATTGCTCAGGTCTAGACTCAGAAAGCTGACAACAACAACAGTGTACCCAAGCGAGATGTCGGCGCCCATCATCGAGCGGGGAGGCGGTGTCGGGAAGGACATGGTGCCGCTGGGCAGAGCCGGCGACGCTGCCGACATGGGCGGTGCGCTTCTCTACTTGGCATCGCGAGCAGGTGCTTACTGTAATGGGGCAGTCATCGTCTCCGATGGCGGCAGGTTGGGAACGTTCCCGTCTACGTTCTAGATTCGACCTCGAAAAGAATCCATGTCTGCCTAGACGTAGACAAATCAGAACATTGCCTTAGATATAGCCTTCGCCATAGGCGCTACATATCTTGAAGTTATTTTAAGACGTGGAGCAGTTCAATAGATAACGGCATGGAATCATGGCAATTACCGGTCGCTGATACGCCTCGGAAATTATCGGTTCGGTGAAGACTGCAAGCGGGACCGGAAGTCACGATCTCCTAAGCCGAGCCGAGAACGGTGCCGGTGCCGGGGCCGGGGGATGCTTATCAATATCGGCATCCGATCTCGCGTTGTTAAATTGAGCGAGTAGCGAGCATGCTGTGTGGACGCGGATTATTCTTCTACTCAGAAACAAGGGTAGCCACCATGGTCGGGATCAACTGTCGGGAACGAGCTCTACTGAAGAGTACATAGGGAGATGTATTGTTGTACAGCCCACCAACGACGTAGGGATGGACTGCGCACGACTTATAATAGACGTGGCGTAGCGCCACACTTCACTTCACTGCAATTCCAACCCTCACGAAGAGCAGAGGAAACTACTGTGTATGTACACCGGCTACGAATCAGCCCTGTAACATGCACGGGCCATTCTACGTCATGGGAAAGCTCCTGTGCCACCATGCAACAGGATCGGAGAATCCAAGCCTCCCTCATGCATCACGTACAGGTGGAAACACGAATGACGGGGATCGGCTTTTAGCAAATATATTTGTGTTCAATGCATGGCAGACTGGATGATAGGGCAGTTTGAATAGCTAATTCAATATAGCCTTTCTGCAGAGAGGCCCTGCAAGTCTGCGGATTCGGAATGTCCAGCAACTTATGGGCTATTTGCTTTTGTTGGATTCGGCCAAGCAGCTGCGGGCTCCCTACATGCAGCCAGCAGCCAGCAGCCACAGCTTGCCTGCTTGCCAAAGCTTCCCCGCGTTCGGTGGCCTGAGGGGCGTCGAACACAAGCGGGACGGGGATGCGGCATCTGGGGAACTCGACTAACACGCAACCTACAGGGCGTCGATCATTTCAAAGCAATCTGTATTCCATAATACCGACTGGCAGGCTGGCGACAAGTATCGCGACCGGTGCAATGGAAAGGATGTCGGGCAAACACGGCGCGTCTAGGTAGGAATTAGGGGCCGTCTTTTTCGTAGTATGCCGAACCAATGCACAGAGGGTGCACACCACCAGCGCTTTTGAGTTGGCTCGCCTGTCGGGGCAGCGGCTAGAGATCTCGATAGCTTGGTCTGTTGATACCTACCCCAGGCATGTGTTATTCGGCCATGCGCAGAACATGGGACGGTGGTGCCATCTACGTCAATATATGTCAAGCTGCAACTGGCGCAACAGCCCATCCTGCCCCAGCATCGGCCCTTCAAATGTTCGCTCGAGCAGCAAAACCCGGCAACGCTTCATGAGGGGGGGCGGCAACGGTACCTGGGCCTGGGGTTTCTGCTTGTTGATGGAGGGTCGTGTCAGGACGGCATTGGAGCCAGACGGCCGACTCGAGGCAAGCCCGTTCCTCGCCTCTCCTCTCGTCCTCGTCGAGGGAGGGGGCCTGCGACTACCAGTCGTTAGAGCATTGACTACAGACGTGTCGGCCAACTTCCCCGCATTCTCTGGAGGAATGGCAGTCTCCGTGGTGTCACGTCCCCCAAGGCCGATTCCCACAACGATGGCGTTGCCGCCCTGTGTTGCGTGCGTGTGTTGTGTGTGTATGTGTGTGGTGTGAACTACTTGCTTCCCGTCCATCCCCAAACTCTAATAAAAGTCAGGTGCTGCCCATCTCGGCGTGGTGACCGAATCCTCCCATGAACATCTTTTAAAAGGTTGTCGTGACTCCATCCCGGACATACTCGCGACTGCATATCAAATTCTACGATTATACTACACGTTTTTTTGCTTGACCGTCTGCTTCACCTCTAGCTTTTTGATTGGGTCACACTACGTCGTTTTATTACTACTCACCATTACCTCATTTCGCACCGCGCCCTTATACACGTGGTCGGGTGCTCGAGAAATTAAACGTCTTGTTCTACAACCTAGGCACGTTCGGCCGGCTCTGCGGGTGTTCACGGAGTCCAGCAAGAAGTTGGTGAGACAAGGCACGCGAGATACAGACTTGCATGCAAAAAGTCGAGGGCTGCCTCGTTCTTGCTTGCAGCTTTTCTGAAGAGGAAACCTTCCAGAAGCAGGTTTCGGATTGAGTCAGAAACTCTGTCAGTCACCCACTCTCAACTCACTTGTTTTTGAGTTTTGCAGAATCGCCCGCACGGTTGATCTTTTTTTGGTTCTCAACATATGTCCCTTGTATTGCTTTCGCATCCAAGGGTGGATGGAGGAGGAGGAGGAGGAGTGGAACCCCCTCCCTCTTCTCACCAACCGAAGTTCCGAAGGACCGGAGACTCCAATTGCATACTCCGTACTATTCCTGCCCATCCCGAATTCTCTCGGCTCCCCACTTCGGCCCTATATGAGATTCCGCGCAAGATGCTCGAAACTCTCCTGGGCCAATGGTACAACTGTTGGGGGTCCACTGGCGCAGACGAGTTATCATGGCCCGTCTCGCCTGTCGCAGGATATTAAAGCCTCAATGGGCGCCATGCACTTGCTAATCATGGTTGATCTTTCTAGTTCTCGGAGCCGTTGACGTCGCTCGCCCACTCCCCTCATAGCTCTGACCCAAGCCCGTAGCCGTGCTTCTTTCAACCGCCCCCTCTTGAGGTCAGATCCCTTGGCCGCCTGAGCCAATCATGAGTTCCAACACTCTGAAGCAAGCAGCTGAATCTGCACGTGCAAAGGCGTCCAATATGAGCAAGCAGGGCAGTGAGACCGTCGCCGCGGTCAAGACCGACTTCCTCCACACCCCTGTCATGCGAGCTGCCCTGCCCTTTATCAATGGTGGAATCTCTGGCATGATAGCGACCACCGTCATCCAGCCGGTTGACATGATCAAGGTTAGACTTCAGCTCGCCGGTGAGGGTGTAGCCACGGGGCCCAAGCCTAGCGCTTTCGGTGTAGCCTCAGACATTATACGCCAAGGCAAGGTGCTTGACTTATACACCGGCCTGTCGGCGGGTCTGCTACGCCAGTGCGTCTACACCACCGCTCGTCTGGGCTTTTTTGACACTTTCATGAAAAACCTGGCCCAGCGAGCAAAGGACAATGGCACCACGGTTGGCTTTGCTGAGCGGGCGGGCTCGGGTCTCGCCGCTGGTGGTATAGCAGCCTTCATCGGCAACCCGGCAGACTTGGCCCTCATCCGGATGCAGTCAGATGGGCTGAAGCCGCTGGCAGAACGGAAGAACTACAAGTCGGTCATCGATGCCCTGGCGTCCATCACCCGGTCCGAGGGCGTAACGGCCCTCTGGTCCGGCGCAACCCCAACCGTCGTCAGAGCCATGGCTCTCAACCTCGGACAGCTGGCGTTCTTCTCCGAGGCCAAGGCTCAGTTGAAGACCAGGACGGAATGGTCAGCTCGGAGCCAAACCCTTACCGCCAGTGCCATCGCCGGTTTCTTTGCCTCGTTCCTGTCCCTGCCGTTCGACTTTGTCAAGACGAGGCTGCAGAAGCAACAGCGAGGACCGGACGGAAAGCTGCCGTATAAGTCGATGGCAGACTGCTTCCGTAAGGTGGCAAGGGAGGAGGGGCTTCTGCGATTCTACCGCGGATTTGGCACATACTACGTGCGCATCGCACCCCATGCGTAAGTCACCATTCGCTCCATTGTTTTTGCCAGCAAGATGCTAACATGTATATCCAGGATGGTGACGCTGATTGTGGTGGACTACCTTGGCTTCCTGACCAGGTAGACGGTACCCAACGGATCTAATCTCATAGTGTTTCTTGCGAACGAACAGTCCTTTCCTAGTAGGCGTTGGGTGGCATTGTCACGGTTTCGAGGTCGATCAGGAATACCAGTCGTACATAGCTCTATAGCATCCAAAGGAGGGAGGCTTCAACTGCTTCCAACTTGCGCAGAATGCAATATATACATTTTTCAAGTCCCTCGTTGCTTCTTTGTACAGACGATCCAGTTCAGGTAGCCTGTAGGCCACAGGAACCGCTCCCTTCCGCTCTCGATCACCCAATCATCGGTATTGGTGCCACACGTGCGCAGCAGGACCTCGACCTCGTCCGGAGTCCTCGTGCGCAAGGACGAAATCAAGCCATCGAAGACAAGGACGAACGGAATGATCGGGCACAGGTACACGAAAAACAACCTTGTCGGGCTCCACCAATAGAAGAAGGGCGCAACCAACAATATGAAGACGCCATACAGGAAACACGTTATAAAGCTGCCGATGGAGCGATCCTGCAGCTCAAAGATGCCAAACCCATCGCTGCTCTCGACCGTGTTCTTCAAGATAGCCCGCGCCAAGGGATCGTCAAAGTGGTGGAAAGCCAGGTTGAAGAGGCGGAACACCTTCTTTCCCGCGCTCTTATATCTACCGACCAGGCCTGGAGGTGCGTTTGCTGCATCCACAGACGAAGGCTCATAGGTTATATGGGCGGACTGCTTTGCGATTACGGCCCAGGACTCGGGATGCGGGTGTAGGTCCGTCAGGACAAAGTCCACAGCTCCTTCTGGTACCCCGTTACTCTCAGCTGCCACAGCCGCGTACGAGGGCGTGTCTTTGGAGGCAGCATCGGTGTTCGAGGGCGCGGCACCCGGTCGAGGCTTGGAAAGCGACGCGTTGAGGGCTCGTTCTATGAACGGGGTCGGGCCGCCGGCGCCGGCGCAGAAGTCGATGAAGGCGAACTTGGATATCGACGAGCCGAGGATGCGCTGCAGTACGTTCGCCACGAGGGTTGCGGGACTGCAAGGCTGAAGGATTGGCAGGTAGAAGATCCAGGCGTGCATGAGGCCATCTTGGACGCGAGCACGCAGGTATGGCGGGAACCTGCACTCAAGCGTCAGTATGCTCGTCCCTGAGGCGTGTTCGAGACATTGACCCGGTGCGCCTGGCCATGGACAGGGTACGCAATGGGACAGAGGCCACAGATGCTTGCTTACCACGACTGGTCGTCAATCTCGAATAGGTGCAGACGGGGGATAAGAGGCGCCATCTCGGCAACTCAGCAGTAGGGCTGAAGGGAGGCTTAAGCTCTAACTCAGGGTACATGTACCAAGATGCCCGAGAAGCTCAATGGAGAGGGCGACAGCACGATTGAGTTCGTTGAGGCCATTAGCACCCGGGTAGGTAGGTAGGTAGGTAGGTAGGTAGGTACATGCAAATCCAGATATATGCGGCGGTGCCGTCATGACTTGGACCCCTCTGTCCCGTAGCCCAGGTCCAAGCTGGAACGGTATTTATCAGTGGAGCTGTTGAACTAGACCTCCTTGCCTCCGGCAGCTTGGAGCTCCAGGACAGGCCAGACAACCAGGGCCCGGCAGCCAGGACCGCAGGAGCTCTGGGCGTCTTGGCTGCTGAGACAGCCGACAGGGGTAGGTAGCTGCGTCGCTGTTTCATGCCCAGTTTGGGCATTGAGATCCCTGTCAATGGACCGTTCGGGCGGGACGCACAGGCCCTGCCCAGTGGTGACGTGAAAGAGCCATCAGGACTGTCCAGTGCCGTATGAGCTAGTTCCATGACCAGACGCTGCGACACAGCGGCCGAGGCACCGTGTGCTGCGAGATCACTTGGGTGCGCAGTCAATATCCAGCCCGAGGGCCGCTCGACCATGTGTCTCTTCTGCTATCGAAATCTTCGTTCCTCAACAGAGGACTCTAATCTCGTCGCCTAGTCCCGGAATACTAGCGACGAGCACACGCTTTCGTCCTAGGCGCATCCGCATCCCGCGGACGGATAGTTTGGTGCCGGCCAAGGCCACCGCTGGGGCTAACCACGGAGATTGGGACCAGGCCATTGGGACCAAACCTTCGGATCGGACTTTCACCTCCAGCAACATCCAACCTACACTCGTTATCTGTTCTTCCGCAGCTTGCGTGCCTGCCATGGCTCTGCTAGAAGGCCCGGCCTTGACCATCCTTGGCCTGCTCGGGGCTCTGCTCAGTTACCGGCTCCTGTTCTACACGCCCGTGCTGACCCGGGACGGCGTACCCCTGAAAAGGGCCCCGAACACCCTGCCGCTCGCCGGGAACGGCATCGTGTTCCTTCAGGCCCGGCAGAAGCTCTTCTCATGGTTCACGAAATGCGAGCGTTTATTTGGTTACGAGACTTTTCAGATCTCTGTGCCTACCCTGCCACCTGGTGTCGTGGTCAACGACCCTACGAACCTAGACTATGTCCTGAAGAACGAAGGCCTTTTCACCAAAGGCGACCTGTTCAAGAGGCTGTCATGGGACCTTTTTGGGGGCGGTATCATCAACTCTGATGGAGAGCTCTGGAAAGTTCAACGGAAAGCCGGGTTGGCGTTTCTGAACACATCAAATCTGCAGGTGTTGACGGACGTCGCCCTGCCCAAGTACCTCGGACAGAGTGTTGGCGTGCTGAAGCGCCATGGAGACGATGGCAATGCTGTCGACTTGCAGTTGGTGTTCCACGAGATCACAAGCCAGCTCATGGGGAAGATGGCATACAATATGGAGATGCACGCCGACGATGATTTCACCACGGCCTTCGATCATGCTTCTGGTATCACAACCCACCGATTTCAGAATCCACTCTGGTTCATCACCGAGGTATTCACGGGATCAAGATTTCGAAAGTCATTGGCAGTCGTGAGGTCCTTTGGGGAACGGATCGTGCAGAGTGCGGTGAAAGACCGCCAATCAGAAAAGCCGATGGGTACTGGCAAGCTGGACGAGGTTTCTGGCACAATGATACAGTCTCTGCTGAGCTCGATCAGCGATGAGAAGATTGTTGCTGATTCAGCCCTGAACTACCTGTCTGCCGGAAGAGATACGGTCGCCCAGGCACTGACTTGGGCGTTCATGTTGCTCATGGAGAACCGGTTTGCAACTGGCAAGGTCCGCAAAGAGATACATGATTTCCTTGAGAGTGTAGATGACCATGCAGGTGTGGATACAGGAGGAGCGGGGGTCAATTCGACCCTGTTTACACCTAACACCCTGCCATACACCATGGCCGTGTTTTACGAGTCATTGAGATTATATCCACCGATCCCATTCGAGATTCGGCAGACCGAGAAAGCAACTACTCTCCCTGATGGGACGTTTCTACCGGAGAGGTCCATCATCATATGGTGTACCTGGGCTATGAACAGATCAAAGACGACATGGGGTGACGATGCCGATATATTCCGCCCCGAGCGGTGGCTAGTCAATGGGAAGTTTGTGAATAGGAGCGCTTCAGAGTTTCCTGTCTTCAATGGTGGGCCCAGAATATGCCTGGGCAAGAAGATGGCAGAGATGATGGCAGCCCAGATCATTGCGGCCTTGCTGCTGCAGTTTGATTTCATGCCCGCCTACGGCACGAAGCGGGTCAGCAAAGACAGCCTGACGCTGCCTATGGACGGCGGTCTTCCATGCTATGTGAGGGCGAGAAACTATAGACCAGAATAGATACACGTAGGTGTGAAAATACTAGATATCGAGTTTCACGATGCGACTCTCCCCGAGGTCCATTCTCAATCATGCAGATCGTGATGAATGGGTGTTAGAGTGTCTTTCGCCAAGGCATAGTTAAGAGCGATATTGGTTACTGGGATCAAATGGGATATTAAATCCAAGAAGAATTAAGAATAAAGGGAAAAGAAATTCCGTCATGACCTACGATAGTAGGCCGGGCCCGAGTAGGCTTACCAACAAAACACTCGCATCAGACACCTCTGGAAAGTTTCGTGTCAATAGTATGTAGTGAGTATGCTTAAAGGGGAGCAGTCGGTAAGTGATTTACTCGCATTACTACTGAGAACTCCCAAAACAACAAAACAAGCCCATACAAAGGTGGCCATTCTCCTTGTTGCATTGTTCACTTGCAGACAATGGGATGAATGACATTGTTTGTTGGGACGAAGTATTAAAGCCAAAGCCTCTTACAGGTAGGTAAGCAGACGAATTAAATCAGTGTTACTTCCCGGTCTCTGCACGTGTCGGCTCCGATCAAGTAAATTCAGCCTTTGATCCTGTCACTATGGAGAGCCGCAGTGAAGTCAGCGAGAGTGCCCACAAGGAGGCGAGTTCAGTCCAAAAGACCACCGAAAGCCAGTCCGCGGGCCATACGCAAGAAGATGGACCAGGATTCAGCCCATCATGCCAGGTAAGTGGCAAGTGCCAAGAAGCAGAGGGCAAAGGCTCTGAGCAACGTGGTCCAAGAAGCGCAGGACGCCGTGGTAGTCCCGCCACGCAGGAACATTTCCGTACCCTTCAAGACCTAGAAGGCGGCATCGTGGCCGGAGAGCAGGATTGCGAGGCCAGCCGACCTTCAGGTGATGGGGATGCTGTGCCAGGCGACAAAGTCGGGATATGGGAGCATGAGACGGCCCAGGTACATCAGAAGGGTGCCAACTCTGAGCGAGATTGGATGGAGGAGACCGAGGAGTTGGAGGCGACGATCGGATCGCCCAGCAACACGAGGTACTATCGCACTGAGACGAAATAAAGGGGCAAAGCTCGAGAGGTAAGTATGCAGCTTATTATTGGCTACTACGTATTGCGAAAAGCCAGTGTAACCGGGTACCTGTGGACTAGCCTTGTGCGTAGCACAGTGACATAACGTGGACCTTAGTAGGTGCTTGAGTCATTCGAGACTGGTAATCGATTCCTCTGATGCTGGTTACTTGATCATGGCGTGTTGCATTGTTTCTAATCGTGAGTTCTACCAAACAGTGATATCACCAATGTTTAGATCCACCAACTCCATGGGCCTAGCCCGTGAGAAGTAGATACGTAGACATCACTACTAAACATGGTCGTGACTTGCCAAGCAAGAGAGTACCACACGTGCCAGAGATGATATTGCGAAATTATATTTATATTTATCCCCGATACTCCACGCTACCGTGCTCGTCCAAGCCACCTTGCATGGTCTTCGGCAGTGTTCAAGTCCGTTGGTATGGGTGACGAACCAAGTCGAAATCGCACGTAGAGTGGACTGGACACCACGAAAATACACCATTTAATCAGAAACTTTGCGCTAGATCTAGTCATAGAATCTCAGAATTAGTGTCTTCCTGAATTTGCTGATCCAGGGAAAACATAGAGGTCACTGGGAGATAGTAAGCGTTGTGTGCCTTTAGAGTCCACCTTGCGGAGAGGGACATACTCGTATAGGCTGGTCTGGTTGAAACGATCGCACCGCTTTGCTGACGAGCTATTCAGTCTCTCGTCCGCCCCGCAAGCGATAATGATCAAGTTGAAGGGCCCGGACGCTTGCTATAAGACACGGCAAAGTTTAGCAAGTGAAAGCTCATTGTGGACCAAAACGCCGCAGCAGACGAGGAGGGCATAAGATCCAGACTGCCTCTCTGTCCCCTTATGTGAGAGTAACAGAGCACCCTAAGTCTTGGGAATATCGAAAGGAGTGTTGGCTTACCCGCTGTGTCTTCTTGTCACACCAGTACCCGCCCCGCTCCGTCGACGCGCAGAACGACACGCAGCAGTCGGTGCCGTTGGGCTCCCATATGTAGCTCGTCGAGTTGAAGCCAAACATCTGGGCGCCGACCTCGTCATACTTGTCCGACGCCCGACCCGTGAAGTTGGGCTGCTCCCAGGACTGGAACGAGAAGTCGTACTTGGTGACATTGAAGTCCGCGGTTGGTGTGGCGGTCCCGGGCGTCGTGGACGTCTTGGTTGACGTCAACGGGGAGCCGGACGTGCGCGTCGGTGCCGGGGTGGTGCTATATTAACACCGAACGTTCAGAATATGCGCCGCAGGTTTATCCTCGTTATCTCCTCCTGGGTATATATAGCTTACCTAGCCGGCCCATTCGATTGCTGGGCGTCACGGTCACGCTGCGCCTTGGATGCCGCGATACCGCCGCCAACACCGCCCCCAATCGCGGCGGCGATGACGATCAAGGCGAGCAGCAGCACGATCCAGAATTTCCTCGCGGCGAACCCGCATATCTTGCGCCGCGGCTTCTCCGTCGGCACGCTGTCATCGTCGGCGGGTTGCTGCCCCCGCTGCACTGGGGAATCCGGAATCTGCAGGCCGGCTGGGGTCAGCGGGCTGACGATGTCCGCTCGGTCGACCGCCTCCTTGTCCGTCTGGTCGTAGGCCAGATACTTGGGAGCCGGTTCGCCGGGCTCGATCCGCGGGCGGATATAGGCGTGCGCTATAGGGTAGTTCTGCGGGACCACCTCTGGCAGGTCGCTAGGCTTGCTCTCGGTGTCCGGCGACTCCATACTCAGCAGTTATGCCCAGGATATTTGAATCAAAGTGTTTGCTCAACCAGTTGGGCGTCACTGCTCGAGTCTGGTGTTTGATCGTGGTGTCGCCGTCGACAGGCAGCACATCAACTGTTGCTTTGAAGCCAGAAGGCCATGCTGCATATTCATGGTCAGAGCTGGGCCAAAATTACTTCATATCGCCAGCCGCCCCAGAAGTACCTGGGATCCAGGACTCATTCTTGTATGCAGCCTTGCATCCCAGCTGGGCGTGATCTGAGGCATCGATGTCGAGTTCTTGAGCACCTACTGGACGATCGCCCCTTGTTATCCAGAGAGGTCGCATCAGAAGCTGAAGGCAACCTGGTTTGGGGGCCGCTTTGCTGCCGGCAATGTCCTGAATGACACCACAGCTCCGTATTTGAGCGTGTCCTGTCGCAAATAGTCCCTTCTGGCCCTTCACGACCCCCAGGACCCCTAGCCGTTGAGCAGATCTGCGGGGCATCATCGAGCCGTTATTACGCCACCAAAAGTTCAGCCGCACTCAAGGAAGCTTGGCTTTCAATGTATACCTTGCTGCTCTTAGCCAATCACTAGGCGTATACGAGGGAGTGACAGGGCAGCGGGTAATCTACCCGGTGAAGAACAAATAATGGGGAAGAATCAATTTCCACACTTCCTGCAATAGGCAAAGGTTATATGCGGTGTGAGGAGAGGTCAAGGATTTGGCGTTCAACGGTGGCCATGGATCGTATGGGATAGACTTCAGTATTAAGCCAAATCTGTGTACTGCACGAAGGAGATTCTGCCGAGACTGTATATATTGCAAGGATGCGCCAATCGAGTGCCCAGAACACGCCGTTCTCTAGATCCCAAAGAACTAATACACAAGCTGTCCTGATCGGGATATCTAATACGAAAGTCCCTTCTCTACTTAAGCTGTTCCAGCCCTCATGTTGCGGAAGAAGTCCTGCCTCAGTTATTAGTTGACGATGCACATCAAACCGATTGCCGACCAGACGTACCATAACACCAGTGTAGACGACGAGGAGAATGCCACCACCAGGTCCAAGTCTGAGCACCTTGGGCAAGAATCCCTTATAGAGGGCAGCGAAACCTTCCTCCTTCATGACAGTGCCACAGGCTCCCCATGCCCAGTTGTACTTGGGTACCGTGCCGGCGACCTTGGGGCTGTTCTGGATACGGGACCTGGACGGCATTAGTATGTGCTTGCATTGCAAACCCACAGGAAGGAGATCTATGTGAGGCTTCTATGGTACGACTGCACATGATGGGAACTGGGGCGGGCTTGACATACTTGACAACATCCATGGGAGTGTTCAGGATGGTACCGACTGTTCCACCAATGGCACCAGAGATCAGGTCGTTGGTGACCTTGCCTTTCTTGGTGGTCGCCTCGGGCAGCAATCCACGGACCTGGAAGATGACACCAAAGTAGCCAGCGTTCCAGAGAACGTGTCTCCACATGGTGCTCTCGAGACCATTGTACAAGGCGAAGATGCCCTCGTTCTTGATGGTCTTGCTCACGACATCGAGGGGACCGCTGTAGAGACTAGCAGAGGCCTTGTTCTGCAGTCTAATCTTGACTGCGTCGAGTTAGTCAAGTATTCGAGACCCACCTCGGTGGCCCCCCGAGTATAGCACATTCTCGGAGCAGAGCTGAGGGTCGGATCGAACTTACCAAGCTCGAATGGAACAACAACGAAGGACTCGGTGGCACCAGCTGAGGCACCAGTCAAGATGGACAAGCCCTGGGTCATGTTTTCGTAGCCGAAGGCCTTCCTGTAGACCTTGCCCCACTCGTCGTTGGCGGCGAACTTGGTGGCTCGCTTGGGCGCCTCCATCAGAATCGGGGCCGTGATGCCTCTGTAGAGTCTCGAAGCGCTGTGGTTGTGTGTGTGAGCACACGCTCGCTTCCCGCTGCGTCTTTTGACAACTCACCCCTCGTGCTTGATGATCTTCCTGAAGCAGTCCAACATGCCATTGTAGTGGTCGGCGCCGGTGGCCGCACCGGTCTGGAGTTGCCTGTTACGTGTGTGAGAGGTGTCGGAGTCGAGGCGCTGGATCTCGGGGAACATACACTCGAGTCTTGACTACATCAAGAGGGTACCTGGGACAGATGAGCACGGGTGTCGAACGCAGCGGGGGTCGCGTGTCCACCTACATAACCAGGATCTATGGAGCAGTCCAGAATTAGCCATTGCCGCGAGTGTACGTGACAAGCTGTGGGCGCGTCTATTCACTTGCCTCGGAAACACCAGCGACCGCGCCTGGGGGCAATCTGTCAGCATCGCGTGCGCACGAGGGCGGTGTCGGGGAGGGACTCACCAGCGGCGAACTGGTATATGAAGGGAAGGGGCTTCTCCTGCGACATCTTGGCTGGCTTCTGGGTCTGGGGAACCGCGTTAGAGTTGGCGCAGGCGGGTGAGGCGGTCAATTGACGGGGTGCGACTGCGTGTGAAGTCTTACCTTTGCCTGGGCTGCTCGGGAGACGTGGACGTGCGATAAAGTTCGATCCCAAATTCCACCGGCGGATGCGCCCCCAAAAATCCCAGCCTTGAGCCGCTGTTAACCCCCACTACTCCGCGGTATCGGATCATTAGCTCTGCTGTAGCTCCCCACGACCGGCGCGATCCCCTGCCCGCCAGACCCACTGGCCCGGATCACCTATCTCCCAAGGTGCTGTAGTTATGTATGTAGCTTGCACCACCTTTCCTGCCGGCACTGCCAGACGGCACGCGAGCAAGCAATTTTCGGCCAATCACGGGAATCATATTCCAGAGATAATCAGGGACAATGGAAAGGCCGGTAATACCCACAGTATGTCGCTTGCGACCTGCTGTCTTCCACGATATCTTGCACGTAGTTGTGCCACAGCACAGCGGGCTACTGTACACTAACAAAGAATACGGTCTATCCCGACATGGGCGATAGTCAATACACTACACTATTGGTAGGCCATCAGTGGCTGTCACGGAAATCAGTGGACTAAGCAAACAGTTATTATACACACAGTGATGTCTGCCATGGTGTACACGCGAGGTTCAACAGCTGATCGGCACCACATATACTGTTTTAGAGGGCCACGTCCTTTGTACTACGTATTAGCAAACGACTCGCAAAGCGTGAACTTGAGCACAACTGACGCAACACTATAGCATTGGTTGTGTCACGGAACAGGCTCACATTGCTAGACAGGTCATCACGAGGTGTATTATCACCATAATAGTTTCTATGGGTTATACCAAGTCACTGACTTCTCAGTAGTATAAGCTTGGCGACTCCCATTGTCACTTCAATGCGAAAAGGCAACGCGCGACTCAGAAGAAGAAATATCTCTGCATCTATATCTCCACTTCGATACTGCTATGTGTTACGGCCAGTCAGCCAGCATGGTGTTAATGGCTCGAGGTTACATCCGCAGTACACCAGATCAGTCTTTGCAGACGGGGAGAAGATTTGTTTTGTCCATTGCGACATCAATCCTCGATATTATCATAGCACTTCCTCATTAGCTGCTTGTTTTCCGAGCACCAAGTACCTTGTCTTTCCTCCCAATGTCGGATGTTGGACTGGCTTACGCCCATTACAAATGAGGGACATTACACAGGTCCACGGTGCAGGTGAGCATCAGTAGAGACATTCGCAATCCCCTGATCTTAAGCTCTTCGCGGCGGCCAATATGCTTAAGAAGGACTTTGGCTGCGTTAACAGCACGGAGTATCAGTGCTGGTCGCATATCATGTACCAGTTTCCTTCTCTGTCTCGGAAAGTGCCAAGGTCGGTAATGTGCGACTAACTTACCCAATGGCAGTTAAGTAGGCAGCGCGCCAACGAAGGGAAAACATGCAAGGCTATTTTCGAGGTAGAGCGCAAGAAGTCACGGTAGTATGAACCCTGAAATAGAGCGGGAAATGAAACCTTCAAACAAACCTGTAGCGTCGATGTGTTCTGAAATCTATGTTTTCTGACAGGAAATGTATTATTGTCGAATAAGTATAAAGAAGGCTGCCAGAACCAATCGTGAAGCTCGCTGGTCTCGATATTCGTTTGCCCCTTCAGAGGAAGGGTTCAACATGGCGAAGCAAACAAGATCCGGCATTCTTCTGTTGCATTGGAAGAGATGTCTTGGTATGTGTGCCCTGCTCCTTTGGCGACATAACCACACCCGGTGTCCACTCCTGATCGGCACTCGTAGCCCGTCAACCTTGCAAAGAGATGAACACGTTTATCGCAAGAAATAAGCTTGCGGCTACAGCTAGGGAACCAGAATAAGGGTGGCAAACATAATTGTGGTAATATGTTCATGTTGTTCGAGATACTATGCGACCATCAGCTTGGGAAAGTGGATGCCGTATACGGACAGACACAGACGCTGGTTCGGCGTCTGTTCCTATTCGCTCTCGGTGTCGCAGCTTTAAGAGATGGAATGGAGCTTCTCCCCACAACGGTTCGGCATGTCATGCAGAAGCGTGTGCAGAGACCAATATGCCAGACTTTAGCGGGCATCCGTACATTGCTAGGGCCTTCCTGCAGTCAGCTGTTTCTCGCACGCCAACGTGCTTGTGATCGAGGCCTGCTGTTGGTCGCAATGTCCGTCCGGGAGTTCGTGGACTGCCTACTGCCTCGTCGAGCTCGGTGCTGTAAGAACGGGCGAATCTGCCCCATGGCGTCGGGGCGCGATCCCATTGGCTGCCGGTAGACCCTAGCCAGCATCTTGATCAAACCAAGGGCCGGGCGCCGGAAGCCCACAGAAGCGATAGCTACAGGCATCGCGGTCTGCTATCAATTACGACACGAATCCATTGCCTCAATGCCCCTCTACCCCCCCTTTGACACAACCGCGCCGCTGAACCCATCCGGGCAATCTTGAACTCGATCTGAGCTTGTCACTGATCTTGTTCTGAAACCTGCAAGACAATATCTCGAGAAACGCCAGCAGAAACTTGACTGATACCCTTGCACCGAGCGCATCTGTCCGTCGCCACGCTTACACCCCTTTGACCCGCCAGAACTCCGTCCGCGTCTTAACCCCGATCGCGAGCGAAGCGCACAGAGAGAGCCAGGACAGGATATCGAGAACACCACTGGCGGATTATCCTCTGGGAACCCCCGCCCCCCTCAAAGTCGCAAAGCGCTTCGACTCTGCACCTTTAAACAAGCCGTAGCCCGATTCTCGAGGCTCCAGCGAGGTGCTACTTGAAGTGCTTTGGACGCCGCCCTCTCCTCCGCTACACATGAGTCACCTACTGTGGAAATACTATTGGGAAAATGATGTCGACAAGTTCTGTCGGCTCCTGGCCCCGGCCGGTTATTCCCACCCTTCAAAGAGCCCGGGAACCGGAGTAGGCAGTCCCGGCGCATTCGGCCACTCGCCTCGACTTTCTGTCAAGTCGCGCAAGGTCTCGGCCCAGGGCTCCGGCGCATACACCAAGGCCGAGATCAACAGCCGCGACCATGCCGGGCTGACAATTCTGCTGCGCGCTGCCTCCTCGACGTCGACCAACGCCATAGCCTTCATCGAGGCCCTTCTCGAGCACCCCGCGATCGACCTGTACGCCCAGGACCCCGAAAGTGGCTGGAATGCCCTTCACCGGGCGCTCTATAATGGTAACATCTCCGTGGCGCGCATGCTACTTGAGAAGGAAAGACGGGACTTGACAGAATCTCTGGGCGCGAACACGGCGACCAAAGTTGGGCAGCTCATCAAAACCAAAGATCACGAGGGCAACAGTCCTTTTGATTTATACAATGCGTCCATCGCCCTGCGGCAGCTGAGGATGGCAGAGGACAAGGCCGATGCCGATGATGGCTCGGATAGCGAGGACGGTACCGACGCCGATGAAAACGGAACCCATTCCACGAGGACGCATGGTCTCGGCGACGAGGTCTTCACTTTTGGAAGCAACAAGAACCTCTCACTCGGTCTTGGCGACGAAGATGATCGTCAGTACCCTGAACGTATCTACCTCAAGCGCCCTGACCATCTCACCCAATACTTCTATGACAAGTTCCTCGAACAGCATAAGAAGGCGCGGGACTTGGAAGAATCTTTCTTCTTAGATCCGTCCGAGATTCCCGCTCTGATCCAGAACCGCCCTCTTGTCATACAGGACGTTGTGATGGCCAAGCTGCACACTGCCATCGTCACAACAGATCCCATTTCCAATCTGTACATCTGCGGTGTTGGTCGCGGAGGACGTCTTGGCCTGGGCGATGAGAACACGCGGTTCAACTTGATGCCGGTCCTAGGTGGCTTGCTTGACAAGAAAGTCACGCAGGTTGCATTGGGCTTGAACCACTCCATGGTAGTCACCTCTACAGGGGAACTTTGGACATGGGGTTCAAACAGTCTTTCTCAACTTGGCTACGCCTTGCCCCCGCCAATGAAGCCCGATGAGGAGCCAATTAGCACTACACCTCGCCAAGTCTTTGGCACTCTAAAGAAGGAGGTTATTCTTGGCATCGCGGCCTCGGCTGTCCACTCGGTGGCACACACCGGATCGGCGCTGTATTGCTGGGGAAAGAATGTAGGCCAGCTTGCCTTGATGGACGCCGACTCCAGGTCCTTAGAAGTCCAGAGCGGCCCGCGCAGGGTGGCAGCCTCGTTATTGTCGACTCACTCGTCTATCGTCATGGTTTCGGCAATCGACAGGGCGACGATATGCTTGTTCGAGGATCATACAGTTTGTGTTTTCACGAACTATGGCTATAATATGATCAAGTTCCCGTTCTACGACGCCTTTACCAACTCGCCGCTGCAACGTTCCGGAGGGCTGTCGCTGTCTTCTCGATATGACCCTGGTCGCCGCGAGATTCACAGCATTACTTCCGGCGGAGAAACAATTGCAGCATTGACTGGAAGTGGTGATCTCTTCACCATGGTTCTCAACCACAAGGCTGAAGGTAATTTACCTGCAATGTCGACAACGAATCCAGCCAAAATCAAGGATGCGGTGACCACACCGCAGCTGGTCTGGAACTCTCGCAAGGACGGTGCCAAGTCCGTCACCGTTGGCGAGAATGGCACTGTTATGATTTCGACGCAGTCAGGTGCAGTCTGGCGTCGAGTCAGACGCACTAAGGCGAAGGACACCAAATCGTCCGAAACTACGGACGCCAAGCGGAAAGACTTCAAGTTTCAGCGTGTGCCGTATATCACTGGAGTGAAAGCCGTTCGAAGCTCAACCTTCGGCGCGTATGCTGCCATTCGCAAGGACTGCGACGTCACGCGCGAACAGATCGAGGTCGATGAACAGACGCTTTGGCATGATCTCGCACCCCTTTGCCCTCTACGTGGTTTCAAAGCCGCCAATTCGCGAGCTCGCACCAACAAAGACACTTGGAAATTCCAAAATCCCGACGTCCTTCGAGGCAACGTTGATAGCCTAGGTTACGAGATCCTGACCTGTACAGATCTGGAGGAAGATCTGGCGACGCATCTGAGAAATTGGGGCTTTAGAAATGAAAGCCTCGGTCTCGTAGTGCAGACAACTTCAGCTCCCCAGCTTCAAATACCGCTACACTCATGGGTACTAGCAGCGCGAAGCCCTGTTCTTCGCACCGGGCTGCAACGGTTCCGAGAAACTGGCATCAACTACGAGATACCTGAGATCCTCACAATCCGTGAAGGGGATGGCCTAACCATCGTCGAGTTCTCCGGTATTGATCTCATTACCCTGCTAAACTTTGTGGTTTATGCCTATGTCGACAGGGTGGTCCCTGCTTGGAACTTCACACGCCAGTCGCCTCCTCTCGCCTACCGGTACCGCCAGGTTCGAACAGAGCTGATGAAGGTCGCCACCAAGCTCAGCATGGCGAAGTTGGAGTATTCCGTAAGGAGTCAGAGCAGGCCGACACGCACAATGCATCAGGACTACAGGAAAGCCATTGAGGATCCTGCGTTCTTTGAAGATGGAGATGCCTTGCTAGAGCTAGACGGCGACGATATTCCAGCTCATAGCGCCTTGCTTTGCCAAAGGTGTCCCTGGTTTCAAGGTCTGTTCAACGGCCGGTCTGGTGGTATGTGGCTAGCCAGCCGCCGAGCTGGTCGGGAAGCTTCAGAGAAGACTCCCATTGACCTCAAGCACTTCGACCCAGAATCATTTCACTATGTCCTGCAATATCTTTATGCAGACGTTGGCGACGAGTTGTTCGATGACGTTGTTGCTGATAGTATCGACGAATTCTCCGAATTGGTAATGGAAGTAATGAGCATAGCCAACGAGTTAATGCTAGATCGCCTCTCCCAGATCTGCCAAAAGACCTTGGGGCGTTTCGGTAAGTAGTTCCACTCTGCCCACAATTGGATGCGTCGCTCATGGTATCAGTCACAACAAGGAATATCTCAACACTTCTCAACATGATCAGTCCATGTTCTGTGGCGGAATTCAAGGATAAGGGACTTGAATATATCTGTCTCCAGATGGAGTCAATGTTAGAGAACCAGTAAGTCTTCAAATTCTTCCCAATGCCTGTGCGCCATTATGCCCTGCGGCAACGTACTGGCAAGGATCCATACTGATTTTCACCAGCCTGCTTGATAACTTGGATGAAGATCTCATGCTCGAGCTGGACCAAGTTGTTCGAGACAACCAGTTGGCAAGATGTCCATTTGCAAAAAGCGGAAGGGCAGATATACTTCTACACGAGCGACACCCAGAGCTATCCGAGGACATTGATGAGGAAAGACAGATACGAGTCAAATCGATGGCTTACAAAGCGACTCACAAGGATGACGAGAAAAAACTATCGTCCTCGTTTAGGACGAGGTTCGGTAGTTTGGACGACCTCTCAGCTGTTTCACCAACACTTGACCGAAGTAGGCGAAGGTCGAAGGCAACTCGGAATGAGCCATTCAGCCCGGACCTTCGGCCCAAGGGCTCAAACGCCGATCTCATCTTTGATATGGACGAAGATGATTCATCGACGTTAGCAAGTCCCATGTCGCCTTCACCCCAGCCGCTCGGCTCGTCGTTGAGGAATGAGCTTGACAGACTCCCTACACTAGAAGAATCGTGCAGAGACGTCAAATACAAAGGTATTTCAAGCCCGCAAGCAATCGCAAGCTCTCCAGCAGGGGGATTGTCAAGTTCCAACCTGTCCAAGTCGCCCCTGGATTTCACAAGGCGTACGTCACAGAACGGAAAGCCATGGGCCTCTGCAGCTCTCCCAACGAATCGGTTGGACCTTCGGGATATCATGGCAGAGTCGAAGCCATCGCAATCTGCGCTCTCTGCGGGTCTCGCCGCCCAGAAGACACAAAACAAAGCCACACCGCAGAAAATGTCACAAAAGGAGCGGAAGAAGCACCTGCAACAACAAGCAGACGAGACGGCAAGACAAGAAGCGTACATGGCTCAACGAGCGCAATCTGCATGGACAGAAGTTGGAGATAAAAAGTCCTCGCCGTGGCAGAGCACGCCCGCCGCACCAAAGACCTCTATCAAAGAAACCTTGAATGCGGATTCCAAATCTTCGCTTGCTCCACCCGAGACCCGGCCTATGTTGGCTGGGGAAGGATCAAATGCCTCTCTTCCACGCCGAGCTGCGTCTCCTGACACCCGTTTCTCTGGTCAGCATCGGTCAGGGTCTGCTACACCGCGTGGCAATGGCAGCCAACCATCCAGGGTAGATTCTGGCAAGTCCGTACCGCAATCGTCACCGTCTCAGCCCAGCCGACCAGAGAATAAACCTCTCGTGCCGCATTCCAGGTCATACATACAGAGGGCGCCAAAACAAGCCGAGTCTGCGTTCGGGCTTGGTCTTGCTGACATTATCGGCCAACAACAACGTGAGCAGGAAAGCGTCAAGGAAGCTGCTGCGAAGAGGAGCCTCCAAGAGATACAGCAAGAGCAAGCCTTCCAAGAGTGGTGGGATCAGGAAAGCCGTCGAACACAGGAAGAAGAGGCGCGCAAGTCAGCTCGCGAGAAGAACAAAGACGTGAAGAAACAAGGCACAGCCCGTAGAGGGCGAGGCGGCAAGCCGAAGGGCGGATCAAACCGCGACCGCGACAACACGGCTGCACCACCACCGGAAGCTCCCAGAGGAGAAAGCGGTGCCAGCAGTTCTAGGGGCCGTGGGAGAAGCCATAGAGGAGGGAAAGTCAAGGCATAGACATAGGAGAGTCGCACAGCATCCTGAAAGACGCCTCTCGGGAGCCGCATATAGACGGAGTTTTGGTGGTACACTTGGTCATGATATCTATCCTGCTTTGATTTGACATCGACTGGGCCGTGCGAGAAGCTTATCACTGTATATACATTTGCATTTCAACGTACCACACACTTTGAGGCCGGCGAGTCGACTCCATATCCCGATAGTAAATACACGATTGGGTTGCGCGATGATACGGCACGTATCCTTCACACAGCAGTTTAACTCTGTTGCCTAATGTTCTCCACGTGAAGCATACAAGAGCGGGCTTCCTCTTTGGGCAAGGGCCTTGCCATTTAGTCCCAGCATAGTCGGCTGACAGCTTGCTTCTACACTCCATCCTTATCCTGGGCGTTTCGGCACCACTGGAAATTCTTCGACCGCCAGAGTGTATGCTCGCAGTACTTGATAAATCCAACGTTGTGTTCACTCTCACTTCGTCGGTCTTCCTGATATCTCGGCCCTATCGGTCATCGATGAGTACCTGCTGATCCCTATCCACGCCCCTTCCGTGGTAGAATACTGGCATCAGTCTACTAATGTCGTACACTATTGAAAGCGCTTTGCCCGCAGACGCAGCAGCCATCGCCCGCGTGGCCACGGCCGAAGAGCCGACGCCCTTCCGCCGTCTAATGAACGGCACTGCGGGCGACAATGACAACATGTTGCAGGAGGAGACCGCCATGTGGGCCAAGGTCATCGACCATCCGGCCCACCTCGTGCTCGTGGCCCGGGAGCAGGACACGGGGCTGGTGGTTAGCTATGCGCAGTGGCGGCGGCCCGGAGGCGAGGAGCCTCTGCACCCGAGCCCGGACCTGGCGACCGAGGAGGTAAGATCTCAACACCAAATCTTGGGGAGAAGGACAAAAAAATATACACGAATACTGTGTACGCTGACACCGGTACAGGAGAAAGCCAAACTCAGGGATCGACGCCTCGCCTCCCTCCCCGCCGGCATGAACGGGCCCCTGGTTCTTGCTTTCTCAGAGCAAGTCGCCGCGCTAGGACGACAGGGCTTTCAGGGCCGCCGGCGCTGGTACCTGAACGCGCTCGGCACACTAGTCACGCACCGGGGCCGGGGGCTGGCCACGCAGCTGGTGCGCTGGCCTTTCGCCGAGGCAGACCGCGAGGGCATCATCGTGGGCCTGTTTACGGACGGCGAGGGCCGGGCCCGTGCCCTGTATCAGAGGCTGGGCTTCCGGGAGACGGCGCGGTTCGTGCTGGAGCTAGGAGCGTTTGGCGGCGGTGCGGAGGATAGGCATGTGGAGCTCGCGATGGTCAGGGAGCCAGGGGCTTCAGAGGAGGGCCGGGACGGTGGTTGAGTTCCGAGGGTCATTTGCGAATTTTGCGCAGTGAATCAAAAATCATCCAAGCTGCGTATGTGAAGCGAGAAGCGCGGTCGTGCCCAGAATTTACCACGCAACACTCACCTCCAAAAAAAAAAGTACTTATTATCCACATGGTACCAACCACAAATGGGCAAAAAACATACAACACCGGGTATTCGCTGGTGGTCACCCACCCAACTACTAATCCAGCCCTCTCCAGTTTATCTAGGGCAGAGCGGACGGGATGCCGAGTTCCCTGGAGGGTATGGTCGTATGTGACAGTGTTGTGGTGTATCCAGTTCTATATCCACAACGCCGCCGGGTATCACAGCCCTGTTTATTGCAGAATGGAGGATCTTGCGGTCGATAGCAAGTTCAAGGGAGTAGTGTCTGGTATTTCTTTTCTACCACGTTTCGACGACCACGGAGAAAGACCCCTGACTTGAGATTCAGTCTACTGCGGGCTCCAAAATATTGGCATTTGGTGAATATTATTCATATTTGGTCATGACGGTAGAACTCATAACATCATTATAATCCATATCCCCAGCCAAATTCAATATGATATCCAGGCTATTCAGTGGACCACCAACCATTGATACTCATAATGTGGCCGCAGTGTGGTTATTTCCTCATGTACCATGGCTTACGTACCAAGTTCCACCCCTCAGATGAGCATAAAAGCTACAAGCAGGCCCGTGACGGATGCAATGGTCAAGGCGACATCCCACGAGCACACACCAGCCGCACTCGGGATCGGGACTGACGTGGGTATGGGCTTCACGACGGAGACGTTAAGCCTTTTAACATATTAGCATCCGCTGTGCTGCGTTTCTTCTCATTCTAAAGCGATGCATGGCGGCGAAAAAAAAAATAAGAGCAAAGCGACAATTCCAAAACGGAAGGAGGCTCAAGTCAACTCACCCGCAGGACCAGCTCGCCGCGTTGCCCGGATCGCCCTGGCCGCCGTACAGGGCCGTCTGCGGATAGGGGCACAGGGGCCGCTGGCGCAGCACGGGGGTCGATGCGTTGTACGGGCCCAGCCAAGACGTGGCCACGACCGACTCGACCGCCGTGCCGTTCTCAACCCAGGCCATTGTGGCCAGCAGGATGTCGTGCTCGGCGTTGCGGAAGCCCGGGACGGACCACACGTCGGTTCCGAGCACTGAGCCCTGGGAGCCGCCGCCGAAAGCCCTGTGCATTCCATTTCGTCAGCGCCGGTTCGAAGGGATAAAGGGCAGATGGCTGTGGCTTTCGGGTATTGGGTAGCAGTCTCATGACTTACCAAGGCGCGCCAACGGAAGAGCCGTAGCAGTGTCCCATTCCGGGGACCTCGAAGTACCGGAAGAAGTCCTGGACACCTGACAAATTACCCTTGCCCATGGCCTCGACTGTCTTCTGGTAGTACAACTCGGAGCCCTTGGGTGGCACCAGCCCGTCGGCCAAACCGTGGTACACTGTACGCATTGTAAGTCAGTAAACTCTCCACAAGTCTATTGAATAGGGGCAGGAGTTGTGTCCGTGTAGATAAAGAGAATGGTTCATGATTCTCCAAGCATCATCAAATGGGAAAAGGTGTAGAAAAGAGCTTCTTGAGTATACATACTAATGAGCTTGCCGCCGCGTCCCCGGAAAGCCGAGATATCATAGTCGTCGGCAGTGGCATTGCCCGGGTCTGTCTGCGCCGCGTACTCGAGTACGCTGTCGTTGTACGCCGTCCAGTCCCACTCGGCGTCGTCGTATACAAAGTCGCGGATGTAGTTGATCCCGTACGGACTCGTACTGGTCTGGTTGAGCACCAGCGACCACTGAGCCTCGCACCCAGGCGTCAGGCCTGGGTAGAGCAGCTCGCCGGACGCCGCGGCGCGGTAGTCGGCGTAGGCGTTACCGGCGGTGGCGATCTGTGCGTCCGTGAGGCAGGCAGAGCGGTTGGCGCCGGCAGGCCCGCTGCACGACAGGGTTGTGTAGTCCGGGTTGCAGCGGCTGGGCAGGCTGACGATGCCATCGGCCAGGCCGTCGAGGGCGTCGCACTGCCGGATGACCTCGCGCGCCATGGCTGGGAACAGCGCGGCGTCGATGTGGTTGGTGCCGTTGAACGGCAGGTTGTACGTGCCCACCTTGGTGACCCACGGGTTCAGGTGGCTGGTGTACCAGGCGGCGGCGCCCACTACGACGCCGTCGAAGCTGTCCGGCGACATTTGCACCTCCTTCAGCCCCTGGCGGCCGCCGGTCGAGCAGCCATTATAGTACGAGTAGGCGATCCGGGCGGCGTAGTAGGCCTCGGTGAGCTGCTTGCCGAGTTCAACGGAGCCGTGGAAGGCCCGCCATCCCCAGTCGGTCTTTTTCTCTGGGTTGTTCAGGGCCCATGCTATGTCCGCCGTCGTCGAGTTGTGCCCCGTGTCCGTCGACACGATGGCGAAGCCGTACTGCACACCGGCCCCCATGTCCAACCAGTTAATACCTCCGCCGAAGCCGCCATTTCCGACGGCGAGGAACCGGGAATTCCAGTCTGAGGGCAGGAACAGACCAAACCGGTAGAGCGAAGTCGGGGACGAGACAACTTGGATGGTCACAGCACAGAGCTCCGGAAGGTTGGTGGGAGAAACGGGATAGTTGAGGTCCGAGGCGCCCTCGCCGTAGCTCGCACCGCTCTCCACGAGTGTGATCTTCTCAATGCTGGCGTCAGCTGGAAGAATGCCGGCAAAGGTCGCAGCGTCGCAGGCGGCCGGCTCTGCTATAGCGACCCCGGCCCCTAGTACCAGGAGCACGGATAAGATTATTATGTCGATCATGTTATTGCAGGCTCCTGTGCGACTGTATTGGTCGCAAAGAAAAACTCTCCGTTTAGGCTATGAGATCGTATCGGTCCCATGAAGTTTCGAATAGAACCACCAAGAGGTGTGTGCGACAACATCGTCATGTAGAGCAGAGGAAGAGTAAATAGGCTAAATTGTCGACGTTGCGGCACATGATGACCTGCCTGATTGGTTCGCCATGCAACCAATACTGTCCCTCTATTATCTGGGTTGGGTTGAGGATTGCCTAATTGAGTATCTGATCTGAAGATAACGCATACTCCATGGACTATCTATGTATCTGTGGGTACAGCGAAATCACATGTAGGTAACACTATTGCAACGTTATAGTATAACGCATAGGGTTACGCAAGTCACCGCCAGTCCCGTCGCTATGGTATTAATTAACCATTTTCTGTTGTCTCGCTCATAAGCCAATGTAGATCTATAACGCAACTCTAGCGCACCTGATGACACTACTATACTCTCAATACCTCCGCCCATGTTCTATGTATGAGTTTACTGTTAATGAACACAAGGACTTCCCAGAACAATTCATACGAGGCTTCACCATGAAGTATCTGAGGCATTCAATCGAGGACAAGATCTTGGGACAAATAGGCAAAGGCACGAGAGCGCTCGATAACGAGGCCGCGTTAAGATTCAAGGCAAATTGATCACAGCAATCTGTATACGGAAAAAGCCCAGTTAAAATTGGGTTTCTTTTGGGAGTCCTATCTAATGATGTACACTGAAGACGCCCTGCCATGCATCCAGAGTTCCTGTTGTGACCCTAACGCGCTGCAATGCCGCAGCAAACACTGGGCCCGTGTTATTTGCGCGACTGAAATTACGCGTTCATCCTTTTCCTCCAAAAGATCCCTATCACAGCCTCCCTGCAATTGGTCCCTAACCTATATTACTCTCCACTCTGTCCTGGAGATATCAATGTCCAGCCATGACAGCATGGTAATGCGACCAGGCTAGATCGCGAGAGTGCCTCAGAAGAACGTCCTCGGTAAGAGGCAGCTTCAGTATGCGCTGGTGATCCATCTGTTCAACTGGGTTAGCTGACGGCATTTCGAGTGTCGTTGACATTCGAACACTTACCTCTCCTTTCTTGGCAAGATCACCCACCACCTTGGCTACAACAGCCGCCATATCCGTCAAGGCGGCATATTCTGTAATGCCGGCTTCCGGGGTGTTGCCATGCATGGCCGGCAATCCCTCAAGCAAGCCGCTGACGAGGGCTGGCGGGCATGGCTCATGCCGCTGCTGAAAGCCCACGAGCTGCAGGAACGCTTTGTATACCTCGCCACCGAGGTTCCAGCCGGGGACTTGCGATTGGCGCCCTGCAAATTGCTGAAGCAAGTCGGCGAGGGCATCAAAATCACGTTCGATGACGGCCACTGGTGCAACCTCCTTGATAAAAGTGCGGTGTGCCTCGTTGTACGATTCCGCGCGAAGAAGACACTGCACTTCAGCAGCGGCGTCCTTCTTGACACTGCGCATGTATAGCGCTCTGGCATGCCAAATCCACTTGGCAGGGATCTTTAGCTTCTCTGTAAGCTTCCTGAACCCATCAGATTGCTCATCGCCAATCAGGCCTGCATGTCGGCAAAGGTGCTCCTGAATGGCTTGAGTACGAGCGTCAGCATCCGTGAGATGGAGAAGGACAAAAGTAGCATCTAGCCAGCTACCCTCATTCGTGAGCTGTGCTGCGAAAGAAATGGTAGCAGCATCGGCCTTCTCCGTTGCGTTCTTTCCAAATGTCACCCTGCCTGTCGCGGTCAGGGCTTGGCCAAGCTGCCAGCTGAGACGGTAATCCAGTGGCGATAATTGAGAGTTCTCAGGTCGCAGTACCGATTCGAGGTCAGCATCAGGGTTTGCGTAGAGCTCCAGCAGGCCCCACAGCAGGTCTTCTCGCTCCATTTCCTTGGGGTCATTCCAGATACTGCCGATGCCCTCTTCGATGAACCAAGACAGGGGTCGCTGCTCCCGGTCCTGCTCAAAGTCACCCCTAAACTTCTCGACCGCATCGGCGATGATATCCTCTGTCAAACTGCCGTACCATAACCGAAGACCGAAGGCTTGCTTCCAGTTCATGCCAAACTTGCGGGAAATCACGAACGATTCCATTCGGTTCTCCAGTGGGCCGCTTTTGTTTCCTTCACACACGCAGACGTTACCGCTGAGCAACTCATACAGAGCACGAATGGGCTCTGAGAACTCTGACAGGACATTTGCTGCCTGCCACTCTTTGATCTGATCCCGGATGTCCCTCTTGATATCGTCACCAGTTCCAATGAGAGAGATGAGAGTGGCAAGACGGAAGTTCTTGCCGTCCAATAAATGCTTGCAAGCTTCGGCGACGCGGTGGCCAGCTAGAGCAGCGAGCGCTTTCTCCTCACTTGAGCCTGCCATTGCGATACCCTTGTTGGACTCTGATTCTACCATGCCCTCCCAGAAGCGGCACAATGCTTCTCGCCGAACTTTTTCGGTGGCATCAGCATCATTTTGCAACTCAGCAGGCACCTTGATGTTATCAAAGAGCGTGCTGGCAAGTTCCCAAACAAGCTTTTCGTGATCAGCTGCGGGGTTCTTGTGTCCACTATCAGTGGCGAAGTCCTTCAGACTGACTCTCGGGCCCTGCACGGTAGGGACACCATCCTCGATGTAGAAGTCAGATTGGTTGATGTGGGCACGGATTGCTTTGGCAGACATCTATATGATGTTAGTCAACATTGACCGAATCATGTTCAATGTTCTTGACGCACCTCGTTTGTGAATTTTGCGATTCGGATGTCCTGAGATTCAGACACGATGGCGCCTTTCATGACAGTCATAAGTCCGTTCTTTTCCGCAATGCGTCCAGTTCTCCCGAACGGTGTCTCTTGAGGGGTTGCGGCAAATACGAGAGTGCCGCTTGGACCCCAGGTAGGGCGGAGAGCGTCATGCCAGGCACGGTCTTTGTCATCCAAATCATTTTCATCGAGGGTTTTCGTCATTCTCTTATAGGGCCACTGGAAACACGAATATATTTAGCAATGAACTCAATTGACTACTCAATCTGTGGTTCTCGTCCCTGAAGAACGCCGCCCGACTGATCAACGCCAGGGTAAAAAGACAAAACTAATAACAACCGACCTTTACATTTGCGGGTCTAACCGTGGGCTGAGATCTCTCAACCGATGGCTTGGCCTGGTCGAAGATGGATTTCATCAGGTCAATGCTTGTGGCGAACCCACGACTATCCGGGACAACTCGCTTCTTCGTGGGTGACGGAAGTTGCAAGTTGCTCTTCGTCCGAAAAGCATCAGCTTCGCGGAGACTCTTCAGATGAGTGCGGTCTCTTTTCCGTGGACTGATGGTCTTCTGTAGCATGTCCATCCAGTCATCACCGGCTGTGACCGTCACTTTGGCCGGTGTGGCCGAGCCCTTGATAGCGCGCATCCGGGCTCTCATGATGCCGGCTGGAGTCTCGGTAACGAGCTCCATTTGGCTGGCGGCAAACGAGTCGTCGTCTTGCTCCGCGGCGGGATGTTGTCCAAAGTCATCGCTCGTATCGTGACTCTCGGACATTGCATATTCATCGTCCAAGTCGTCCTGTGCAACGGGCACAAGGGCCTTGGATGTCGAACCCGCGGAGCGATTAGCTAAAAAAGACGACCGCTGAATGTTGACCTCGGCCATCTCCGGGACGTCTTCCTCGTCATAAGCTACGTCCCCATCGAAGGCACCTGGGAGCGCAGGTCGGCTGTGTCGGAAGTCAAAGGTGTCTTCGTCCTGGTCAAAGTCAGGATGTGCCGAAGGTGACGGGGACGTAGACTCATGACTGCGGCCTCCAGATGCAAGGGTGTTGGCGGCTGGATCAGCCTCGGTTTCATCTTCGTCCTCGTCATCATAGTCGAGACCGTATCTGGTGAAGTGGTCCACCGAGAATGTCCACTCGCCAGTTTCTTCGTTGTAATTCTCGAAGTGGGTGTTCTCAATTCGCTTTAGACGTTCAATATGCTTCTTCATCGCGGGTGCCTTGCCACGCTTGAGGGCTCGCGGCCACGAGTTCTCCAAGTTGATGAGCGAGGGAACATTAAGACCTTTACCCACTGGCGGCTTCTTCGCTTGAACGGGGTATACTGTGCAAGATCTCACATCGAGTGCGACGATGGTCTCGTAGAGGTTATCCAAGTCAATGTTAGTAAGGTCGACAGGCACCTTGAACTTGACCCATCCAGAGTTCGAGCGGCCAACCGTGAAATCCTGGACCTTCGAGCGCTGAACCCGGTTCATGCTTTGGATCTCCTCCTTGCTGGGCTTCATCCAGTATTCGCCGAGCGCCTTGTCAGCAGCGCTGACAGAGGAGTTTGACACGGCAGGAGTAGAAACTTCTTCCTCGTGCACAATGGCTAATTCATTACCCCTGACTTGTTCAACCTCTGGAGTCGACGTGACATCAGTCTTGGAGCCATTGACGCCATTAGTCTGCGCGGGGCGGATGTAGCCGAGCTCCTTTGCGCTTGGAGTCGTGTGTGCGGACCCGTTCGGACCGTCAATGGCCATTGGAGTCTCACCAGGCTGTTGCTCAAAGCTCACGCGCTTGCTAAGCTTGCGCGACCCGTTGGGTGTGTCATCTGGCGACTGCTTCTCCTTTGTGGGAGTCGAGAACAAGTCGCTTCTCAGTTCACGGTTGATGACGAGCTTCTTGACGTTGCTGCCGCCCAACCTGGACCCTGAGCTGGCGGAGAAGGCACCAGGAGCCAACAGACTGTCCTCAACGTTGAAGCTGCGTCGCAGGTTGCTTGTGGATATGCTCTTGCCCAGACTTCTGCCCAAGCTTCCACCGCCGAGTAGACTATGTGACATAGTTGTTCCCGGGGTGCTGGCAACGCTAGAAGGGCTGTTGGGGGTACCATAGGTACTATACGAGAAACCGAAACCTCGCTTCACCGGAGTGGCGAAACGGGAGGCAGAAGCCGGGTTGAGCTTGTACATGGGCAGAACGGAGGGACGGCGTGTCTGCTTCTTGCTCGACAACGGCGTTGCAAGAGGGCCGGGGTCGTTGTTGGCAGTGCTCAGGTTCCCGAATAAGGATCCTGTGCCGTAAGCTGATGGATCATTGACGCTGGCGGTCAAAGCTTGTGGCGTGGACTGGTTGTTCATGGAGCCACCAAACAGCGAGCTTCCCATGGCGTTGTTCTGCTGTTGCTGCTGGTTGGTAGAGCCCCCAAAGAGTCCACCCTGCTGCGTGTTGTTCTGGCCTCCAAAGAGACCACCGCCAGCAGACTGAGTGCTAGCACCAAAGAGACCGCCAGGCTTCTGGGCAGAGTTGTTCATGCCACCAAACATGCCACCTCCAGACTGAGTCTGCTGGGCGCCCGCCTGGTTGTTTCCGAGGCCACCAAACAAGCCACCACCAGTGTTGGTATTTTGAGCGGCAGTGTTGCCGCCGAACAGGCCACCACCAGTAGCGCCAGCGGGTTTATTTCCAAATAGAACCCCCGAGCTCTGCTGGTTGTTGGCACCAAAGGCACTGGCGGTCTGGGTAGTGGATCCCCCGAAGAGACCTCCACCAGTTGATCCAGTGTTGGTGTTCCCGAATAGGCCACCAGCGGGCTTCTGTTGGTTCTGGTTGCCGAACAAGCCGCCACTTTGCGTGTTCTGCTGGGCGCCGCCGAATGCACCTCCTGAACCGAAGCCACCTCCAGTGTTGGAAGCAGCAGCAGCATTGTTGCCAAACAGCCCACCGCCACCAGTGTTCGTATTGCTTTGGGCATTGCCGAACAGGCCGCCTCCAGATGTGTTGGTGCTTCCGAACCCGGTACCAGTAGTCTGCTGTGCCGTGTTGTTTCCGAAAAGTCCGCCGCCGGTGCTGCCAGTGTTGGCGGTATTGTTCGTGTTCCCGAAGCTGAAGCCGGATTTCTGCTGGGTGGCAGCGTTGTTGGGGGCACCAAACAGACCACCGCCGGTGGCGTTCGTATTTGCGCCAAAGCCACCAGTAGTGTTCGTGTTGCTACCGAAGCCACTCGTTCCTGAATTACCGAAGAGGCCACCAGAAGCGGGAGCGGCGGGAGCAGCAGCACCACCGCCAAACATGCTACCGCCGGTAGCTGGCTTGTTGCCGAACAATCCTCCGCCTGATGTCGAACCGAAGGCGTTGTTGGTCGTGCTGGTGGCGCCGAAACCCGAGCCTGTATTGGTGTTGGTGTTTGTGTTGGAGCCAAAGAGGCCACCACCGCCGGTATTGGTATTGGCACCAAAGCCGCTGGTGGTATTCGTGTTGGTGGTGCCAAAACCGCCGCCGAAGCTTCCTCCAAAGCCGGGGCCAGCAGCACCGCCTCCGTATCTGCGGTTCTGGGCGTAATCGGCAAGTCGCAGTTCCTCGGAGGAGAACTTTTTGTAGGGTTCTTGGAATAGGATGTTCTGGAAGGAGTTCTGGGCCAAACTAGTCGCCGATTCCTTTTCTACGGTAGGCGTAAACGCTGTGGTGGCGGTTCCGGGCGCATCTCCAACGGGTCCGCCGAGGGCTGTGCTGGCGGGGGCATTGCCAAATGCGCCGCCCGAGCCAAAGGCGTTGGTAGTGTTGCCGGCCGGGGCTCCGAAAAGGCCACCGCCGGTTGCTCCTGCGGTCGAGCCAAAAGCTGGCTTGTTTGCGGTCTGGCTCCCGAACAGGCCGCCTGAGCCGCTGTTGCTGCCGAAGGCGCTCGTCGTCGAGGCATTGTTGGTGCTACCGAAGCCACCAAAACCTCCGCCGGTCGATGCAGCAGGTGCAGACGAGCCGAAGAGGCCACCTCCAGTAGAAGGTGCGGCACCGAAGGCCGGTTTTGCTGCTGCTGCTCCGAAGCCGCCGGATGTGTTTGAGCCGAAGCCACCTGCAGAGGGGGTCGTTAGTAACGTCTCGATACAGGACTCTGGATGAAAACATCAAGCGGCACAAGGCATACCTGTCGTGGAGCCAAAGCCGCCACCGGTGTTGCTCGAGCCGCCAAAGAGGCCACCGCCGGTGGTATTGGCCGCGCCGAAAGCATTGTTGTTCGTTGAGCCAAAACCACCTGTGTGGGATGACAGTCAGCGAGGGAGATGACTTGGTGTTGTGGCCCATTGATAAAGTGCCCGGTCGCGTTGTGTGTGTGCGTGGGGGAGGGCGAAGGCGATGCCATGTGACGTTGATGTGGTGCTGGGGTTGGGTGTAGTGCTACATACCTGTGTTGGTGGTGTTGGTGTTGCTACCAAAGCCTCCAAAGCCAGTGCCGGTGTTGGTGTTGCTCGTGTTGGAGCCGAAGCCGCCGAATCCTCCGCTTCCGAACGACATGTCGGCGGTGCTCAGGAGTGGTCGAGCTCGGAGGATGGAGGTAGGGTGAGAGGTGGCGCGTCAGACGCGTGCTGAGATGGGAACGGGGGGACCTCGATTCAAAATTTTGAAGACATGGGAGGACCAAGCCAAGAGAATCGGAATCGCCGTCTTGCAATCGCAAAAAGTATCGCGAGGAGCTCGATCGTTCGTGGAACCGCGACCTCGGAAGGGTTTTCTCGCGATCGAGGACGGGAGGCGAGGTGAGGTGAGGTGAAGTGAGGAAGGTCTGCTGGGCGCAAGTGCTGGCACGACCTTTCTACTGACAAGACGAAGCTGGCCTGGGGAAAGGATGGGCTGCAGGATCCGACCAGGGAAGAAAAAGCCAATCGATGCCTTGATGGCTGGCAGACAAGGGCTAGAATTAGTAGGAAGACCTGGCCGTCGAGTGCAGTAATGCAATGGGCGCACTGCGGTCGTGGTCGTCGTCGTGGTCGTCGTCGTCGTCTCGTGGTCGGCTGGGCACCAGAGGTGGGAGAGACGGGCAAGGAGGACGAAGAGACACGCAGAAATTCTGAGGGCGACTGGGGTGCTAGTGTGTCACGCCTGCCTTTTGAGAGACGGAGCTGCCAGCTCGACGCGGGCTCTGGTGGCCTTAGGTTGTTAGGCTTTCCTTTCGCTGTAGACCTGCCTGGGGGGGCCTGGGGGCTTGGGGGGGGGGGGTTCCACAAGGAGGTGCGCGCGCCCAGAGACCAGAGACCAGAGACTAGAGACCAGAGGGAAAGAAAAAGAAGCTTGGACCATCCAACCACCTCACGCGCTTCACTGCAGGCGGCTGGGCCTAAGAACTGTTCACTTGCCCAAAAAGAACAGAGGGGAGACCAAAAAAAATTGAAAAGGGTGACGGAATTGCTCCGTGCCAAAAGAGCTGGGGGTAGCTTCACTTCACGTCTTGCACACCACAGATGTCACCAGAGAATTAGGGACCTTTTCCGCAGCGCAGGCAGGGGCAGCTTTCGGTTTCACTTGCGCATCACAGTCACTTTTCAGTGCAAAAATGTCTCTATGATCACAATGACTTTGTCTTGCATTGGCCCTGGCTTGTCTGTTTCCCAGCTCTGCGCCAGTCTCTTCTTCATACGTCTGTAGGTACACGAGCTGGAAGAAGAGGGAACCCGCCTTTGCCAGAGGGTAGTCGTAGTTTTAATACTTTTCCGAGCCAAGTCACTGCGCCGTCGTTGTGTTACTGCCCTACCAGTCATGCACTGTCGTCTCGCCTTTGATTGTTAAGCAAGGCAGATTTTGGGGTGGATGCCTACAGGGAGAGGGCCCGGGAGCTTGGACCTCTCGATTGGCCGCGCCATTCGCTGCTTATGTAAGGTAGTCAGTCAGCTTTGGAGTCTGGGAGTCGCTCTCAACCACTACCACTCAGGAAGGCGCATTAGTTATCACCTACCGGTTTTCAGGCTTCGGGATGGTTGAGGGGGATTACTAGCATCAAAGAACCGAGAAATTGTACATTGAACTCACTGTGTTCTCACGGTATTTAGTCCACAGCATTGCCTAGTGCATTTGTCAGTATCAAAGTATCAACTTTAGTTGCCCGAAAGTGCAAGCATGAGAAATGGGAGTGCAGTTCGGTACCGATGCCGAGGGGATGATGAAGTACTGGCTTCTAGTAGCCCAGTACACTATGAAACTAGCACAGCGCAAAAGTCTCGTTGCTTTTCAGATCGTTATTGAGTCTTTTGCATCTCACAGCCATGAAGTAGAGCTTCCAAATATGACAGTGACCGGTTTTGCCGGAAGTCAAAAGTCTGTTGTCTGGCAGTTGGGTGTCTGATATGTGACCAACGCTCGCTCATACGGTGGTGTGCAATGTATGAAAGACCCCCTTTTTGGCCGTCGTGGTTTACCCAGCAGATTTATCAGACTACCACCGGTTCCTAGTCTTCACACTGCTACGGTGACGCATTACGTTAAACATGCTACCTGTTTTGATATTAATCAATATAAACTGAGCCCCCGCCCGCCTGTTTCCTCTGTGGTAAGAAGTTTGGCAGTTTGGCAGGCGTATACACGTATCTCAAGACAACCCCAGGAGTATTGATATGTAAAAAAAAAAAAAAATTAAAAAAAAAATATTAGAAATCCCCTGCTGAACTGTAAGGCTGAGGATAGAGGGTCTGTACGCCTAACCGTGTCACAGGGCTCATACCGTGTGGGCAGTCATTGGCGTGGACAAATGACAGGTCGCAATCGTCATGTCTGACGCAGGACAAACATTCGTGGTTTCTAAATTATAGCATGTCTTCTAGACGGGCTTCTATCGTCCAAATCAGTGGAATTTGGCGCACATCTTGCTTTCACGATGCTGATGACTGGCGCAGTGGCCAATAGGCTTGTCTATACTGGCATGTCACACTTCCGCTTCAGGTGCAAAGGCACAAAGTCCCAAGCCTTGCATCTTGCAGCTGCTAGTTGGCTTCCTTCGTTGAAAATATGCGCTCGGACAAGCTTCTTTTGTCAAGGTGCCGAGAGTCAAGGAAGTTGCCTGGCTGTGACTCATCTCTTTGACTAGTGGGCAGATTTCTGGGATCCAATATTACTAACCAACTGGTCTCGAACAATACTACAAGATCCTCTCACATATCCTCCTCCTATGGTAACCACTTCATGGAGCTACGTTGGGCATACTATGTACTGCTCCTTGCGGGCTAATGCCTCAGCACACGATGCCATCAGCCATTGCCGTTGGTGATGAAACATTCCATTCGTTCTCTCGCCTGCCGCTGGAAATTCGTCGCCAAGTATGGCGAGCCTCTTTCAGTCCGCGGACTATTGTCCTTTGGGAGCGGCATTCACTCGAGAAGATGGTCAGCTACCTTGTCAGCCCCACCCCTGCACCTGCAGTCATGCACGTCTGTCATGAATCTCGCTCCGAGGCAGCATCCAACGGCGTCTACAATGCCGCCTGCGTGTCTGATGAGGGTTCGAGGTCACACTATGGATCAACTTCTTGCTCGACACTATCCAGGCTACCCAGTACGGCTTTCGCCTCATAGGTCCAGAGGAGAGAGCTCAGATTCTCAGAGCAAATGTCGAAGTGGACAATGCCTTTTTCTTCTTGGAATTCCAGAAGGATTACTTGTCCGAGATGGTCCGACTAGGAGAGCTAGACATCCTATCCGAAGTGCCACTGCAGGAGTGGGGGAGGGGCTTTGGCCGAGTGCAGCGCTATCTTGAAGGACAATTTGATAGTAGACCAGGAGGGGCTTGCCCGAGGATCAGAATTATTGAATCTGCGACTGGGGATGATATGAACGCTAGTAATTACATTGAGAGGGCAACCGCTCTGAGGGGCCGTGGTGGGAGTTGGCGCGGAGGGGGGATGCAAACGTCTAGGTCATAACAGTTCTTGATTCTAAGCTTCGTTAACTTGGCGTCGGTCGAAATCCCATCATTCTTGTGAGAATCTGATGTCACGCCTCAGCCAACGTACGGCGCAGCTCAACATCTGGAACTTCTTTATTGGAGCTCAAGATAAGTATAATCTGATACCCACCTTTCAAGCGCGCCCAAGGTTTCTCACGTTCAATACCTTGCAGGGATTCGACCTATACCCACTTTCCATACCGATTCGCTTTTCTACCAAAGTGTGTACTCATCACAGCAACACAGACATGTGAGACAGCCAATCGCAAACTAGCCTGACTCGAAAGCCACGCACCTGTCAGATAAGCGATGTCTGGTTTCGGTCTATATGCCAGTGAATCACGTATATGATACAAAGTCAGTCGTCGAGGACGTTGACTAGAATGTGTCCAAAGTCTCTAGCTCATGGGGTCTTTACATATTCCCGGCCCGTTAGGAACCCCCAATAGCCTCGGCCGGAAGTGCCCGTGTAACTACGTAAATACGAAAATACTCAATTGTATTAGAAGAGTACAAGATATGCTCTCTTCTTCGACTACTGCAGCTAAGTAGGTACTATGGCATAACGTCGCCTAACCATCATTGGCTGCGACCTGGAATGGTGCCGCCAGGTCCCTGTCTCGTGATGTACCATCTATCATTATCACGGTGCAGTTGTTGTATTGCACCCTGGTATATCTCGCTCGTTAGCCTAGCTCAAAATGGAAGATCTTTGGCAAAACACTTCACATGTGGCTTTAGCAGAATTAGTCATCGGCTTGCGGAAAATCTGACCTTGTGGATGGCTACATATGTATCGGGGATGTGAGCTTTGGTGTCTCTTTTGTGAGTTTATATGAAGACAGGCGTTGGGGTGATGCGTTGGACCTGTGACGTTATGCAGCTGTCCGGTTCAGCCGTTGGAGTGGTAGCTAACACCTGAAGGCTGATGGTATGTAAGTGGTAGCAGAATGCGATTAATAACTAAAGTGTAATCAATTATAGTAATTCAAAGTTTTTTCTACGGCGTAAAGAGCATTTCAGGGGTTCAGATTGCGCAGGCCCAAACGTCGACAACGAGCCATCTCTTCCAAATTCTACGCTGCATTTGCGCAGAGCGGGATTCGGATATAATGCCAATCTGTGATGGACCAAGAGTGGCCAATAAAAACGTGATACCCGCACTCTTTGGATCTGTTTACAGTGGACTGTGTCCGTCATGGCCAACTAAAGGTTAACTTGTATTTGACGGCTGCACTACCAGCCGAGTGGGATGTAGGTAGCTCGACCTGCAGTGTCACGCTGCAGGAGAAGGGGGAAAAATTTAGCGTCGAATTGGACGCGCAAAGTCGCGACTGCCCCTCGGCGACCCGGTCGAGCTTCGCGGTCGCCCCAATCCCTGACACGCGCCGGACGCCCGACAGCCCGTCATCACTATCACCCAGAGAGAAAAGAGAAATAGACACACAAACCCGACGGCCACGTCCATTTTTTTTTGAACCACCCACGATGCTCTGCAGGGTAGCGAGCCCGAGTAGCAGTTTGAGTTCCACCCCATGAACATATTGTTGATCCTCCGTCGTCGTTGCTGTTTTCTCTCTGTTGCTTGAAATCGCCCGGAACCCTTCCTCGCGCTCTCGGCTGTCGAGACCTTCGTGGGACTCTTTCTTAGTCGCGCTGTATACAACATTGAATACGTTTTCCCAGCATCGTGGCTTTTGGCTCTTCTGTTTTTCGGCAAGCGAAGCGCATCCTTCATACCCACCTTGTTCAAGCTCCGGCCTCCAGCTCCACGATCTGTGCGCCTAATTTGGCGACAGGCCATAGCTTCGCCCGCAACACCTACCTCGGATACCACCACCGCTGGCTTGCGGCGTACGGCGCACAATCCACCACCGAGTGAGCTTCCTCTCAGGGCCAGATCTGAGGCCTTTCAAGAGCACGAACTACTACTACAGCCATCCCAGCCGACAGCAGGAGCTCTGACGCGAGCATTGCCGCTGCTGCGCGCGCACACGCCTCGCCCTCGCCCCCCATGGCTTCCTACGGTGGCAGCAGCAGCATGATGAACAACTACAACGACACGCGAGGCGCGCTTGACCGGCAGCAGCAGCAGCAACAACAACAAAATCCCGGCTCGCGGTCATTACCGTACCGCGGCCCCGGCGGCGGCAGCAACAGCAGCAGCAATGTACGACCCGGCGGACGGTTCGCACCCCCCGTACAGGACCCCAGCCAGGCCGAGCCGTGGCACCAGATCTCGGACGAGCACCGCAGCGAGATCAGCGACTGCTTCGGGCTGTTCGACATGAACAAAGACGACGAGCTCGACTTCTCCGAGTTCCGCTACGCGCTGCAGGCGCTGGGCCTGAGCCACGTCGCGCGGCCCGAGCTGGTCGCCGCCTTCCGCGCCCGTGCCCACCCGCGCCCGGACTGGTCGCCGCTGCCCGCGATCGCGGGCCAGCCGCCGCCGCCGCAGGCGCCCGGGGTCGTCGACCTGCGGCTGTCGCGCGAGGGCTTCCAGGCTGTGGCCGCCGAGTACATGGCGGCGCGCGACCCACGCGAGGAGCTGCTCAAGACGTTCGGGCTGTTCGACAAGGGCGGCAAGGGCGTCATCACGGTCGACGACCTGCGGTCCGTCGTCAAGGAGCTGGGCGAGGACGTGCCCGAGAACGAGCTGCAGAGCATGATTGAGCAGTTCGACGTCGAGGACAAGGGCGGCGTCGGGCGCGAGGAGTTCCTTAACATCTTCCTGAGCGGCTGATGTTGAGCAATGGCGGCGATGGCAACTACGCGACACAAACCCCAGTCTAAAATTTGTGACACAGATATGCCGTCTTCTCCCGGCGTTGTTTCTGTGTTGAGGCAAAGACGCCACAGCATGGCATGGCATGGCATGGCACACAATGGTTGGTAGCACTCCAGCCGTAGCCGGTGTCGGGAGAAGACAGGGAATGCAGGAGAGACGACCGCGGCTGGCAGTACGTCACGGCCAGGGAGGAACAAGAAAAGAACGGTGCGGCATTGGCCCACAAGCGGGGCTAGGCAAAGAGGGACGGCGCGCGGTGAAGGACACGGACGAGGACAAATCCAAAATGAAAGAGGCAAGCCGAGAGAGAACGGAACGTCCAGAGGGAGGGGCCCCGGCGCGGAGCCCAGGCGGGGGATACAACCCAGGCCCGGCTCGGAAGCATAATACAAGGAAAGCCGCGCCCCGAGTCGGAAGCCGGAAGCCGGAGTTTGTTGTATATACCACGTTGTCTATACCCTGTATGCAAAAGAGCCAGGTGGGAAAAGAGAGAAGGAGGGAGGAACTTGCTTGTTTAGTATAATCACATGGCGTACAATGGAAATGGAAATAAACATGTGCTGCTTCTTTTTTCAGGGCGGCATCGAAAACACCTCTTCAGACTGGTGCCCCTTTTCGCTTGAGTGCTTTCAGAGACGGGATATGCAAAACATAATATGCCTGTGATTCAACGACACCACGCAATGCAGCAGTTTCGGTGTACCGGAGGGACTTATAGCAGTAATATATCATTGATCGAAGTAGATCTCCCCATCCACGCTTCCATCCTTCCATCAGTCCATCCATCCCTCCCTTCCTCCCTCTTTCCCTCACGCCAATGAGCGTATCCACCAGTTACCACACCCGGCCCGTGGCGTCACGGTTCTCAACCAAGCGAAAATAAATGCAGTCTAAGGTTTTTTGGTTCTGCGTGCGTTGCGTGCGAACGAGAGAGATAACGGCTCTTTATTTGACACGAAGCCTAACGCCGTCTCGTGCCCCCCGGAACGGAAGAAAACAGCCCGGTCGTAAACAACCAGTCCGCCAGCCAGCCAGTCATCCATACAAAGCCCCCCTTTCCTCCCGGAAAGTTCCTCCCCTCCGCATGTCATCAGAAGGATAAAACGAAACAAAAAAGGTTTATCTTAAAACTGGATCAGGTCCTGTCCCTGGCCGTTCTGCTGCTGCGGCCGCGCCGAGAAGGGGTTGCTCTGTCCACCGAACCCGTTCATACCCATGTTAGCCGGGCCGGTAGCCGCGGGCATTTGAGGGTGCTGCTGCTGCTGCTGCTGATACGACACCTGGGGCATGCCGGTAAACTGCTGACGCAGGAAGGGGTTGTTGCCCGTCGCCTCGGCGTTGAGTTTGTTGAGTCCAGCTCCGGCCGAGTTGACAAAGGTGCCTGGGGCGGTGTGTTGGGCGGGAATACGCAGGTTTCCGGTGTTGCCAAATGTGTCCATGCCATCCCCAGACGCCAGGAGCTGGTTGAGCCTTGACTCATGCTCAGTGAGCTCTCGTTGAGGCTGCTGTGGTTGCGGCGGTTGCTGGAAGGTTGGCTGTGGGGGTGGGGTGAAGGTCTGCAATGACTTGGGTTCGGGCATAGACTGTAGCTCATTGAGAGTCGGCATCGTAGGTGCTCTCTGTGGCTGGGGTTTGTTCATGCCCGAGGCAAATGGGTTGTTGGAGCCCGTTGGCTGAGCCATCATAGGGGACGAGGTCTGCTGGCGGCCAAATGGGTTGTTGCTGCCAGCCTGGGCAACGGGTTCGGGGGTAGCAGTCTGCTGAGGCTGCTGGAATTGCTGCTGTTGCGCATAGGGATTGTTGAAGCCCGTCGGCTGGGGAACAAATTGTTGTGGTTGTTGCTGTTGCTGCTGACCGTAGGGATCGTACATGCCGGTCTGCTGAGCACCAAAGCCATTCTGGAAGCCATTGTTCTGGAAACCGGTGTACTGCTGGTTGGGCATGTTGTTAAAGTTGTAGCCCGTCGGTTGCCCTGCTACCGGGCTTTGAGTGGTAGGGTTGCCGAACCAGTCGACATTGTTGCCCTGCTGGTATCCCATGTTGAAGCCGGTAGGCTGCGGCTGGCTTGTCGAAGGGAACGGATCGTCATCGGCGAATAGGGACTGGGCGTTTTGTTCTTCCAGCTCGCGCTTTCTGCGTTCGTCCTCCTCCTTGCTCAGCTTGATGGCCTTTGCGAGATCGTCGTCGGTGTCGGCGGCACCTTGGTTGCCCTCTCGTCTCCTTCGATCCTCTTCCTCCTGGTACTTGCTCGCCTCCAAAGCGAGCTTATACTCGGCATCGTCTTCGTCGCTGTACCTGCGCGTGCGCTGGCGTCGCTGGGATGGCGGCGGGACGCTGCCCTCTGGTGCGAACTCCTCGATACCTGTCACCCGAGACTTCCAGGTCTTCCTATCGCTTCTCTCGACTCGGAGGCGCTCTTCATCGAGCAGCAGGGCGGTAAGTTCCTTTGCGGCCACTCGGACTGCGCACGCCACAGGTTAGTAATGTGCGCGATGGGAAAGGCTCCAGGCGGAAAGCTGAGGTTCGCCACTCACCATTTTGCCCGACATCGCGACCGTCTTCGTCGACGTACTGGAACTCGCGCAGGGTCTTGATGATGTAAACGTTCTTACGAGCCCACGTCACGACCAGCTCCGAGCCCTCGTGCAGGCAGTAGTCGAGGACCTTGAGGGCCTTGAGCACGTGTCGCCAGTTCTTGCCCTTGTCGTTCAGGCGCTTGTCGAGCATGTCAACTATGTCGTAGAACTCGGTCGACCTGGGGCGCAATGTGTCAGTCAATCGCCGCAGCGCAGCTCGGAGGGGCGGCAGCAGCGTACGAGTTGTATGTCAACTGAGCGATCTCGCTCATCTGCGTCCCGGTCGGGCCCCATGGGTCGTTACTTGTGGCTGCCCAGTGTCGTCAGTACAGTCGTCTCGCACAGGAGGGAGGCCCAATGCCCATGCCGCTGCGGCTCCGAGGGGCGTACCTTCGCGCACCTTGACCTGGACGCTGGAGTAGCCCTTGGTCACATTCTTGACGCTTCTGATTACTTTCGACATGTTGGCGGTATTTGACGGGGTGTGTTTGCGATGGCAAAGGGGCGCCTAGGGATCAGTCGGGGTGGGTTTTGGCGGTGCGTGAATCGAGGCCCCCCGGTGCACGTTCGTTGTCGGAGGTGCCTGATGACGATTACCGGCGGCGCAATTAAAGTCGCAAATCCAGGCCTGTGGATTTGATGCGAGACTTGCGGTCGTCCGCAGGGGCCGAGGGCGATCGAACAAAGGACAGAGCGCTGCGATGGGGGCGACGACGGGATGCGGGCGGGAAAGGCAGCGCGCAAGGGAGTCGAACTGGATGGTCGCCTGTGACTAGCAGCCCCGATTGATGATGTCGTAGTTGGGTGACGAGTGAGAGACCAGGAGACCGAGACCTGGGCGACAGGATGGAGACCTCATGCGATACGGTGGATGGGTGGATGGGTGTGGATGGGACGGGATGGGGTGGTGAGGTTGGGAGAGGGGCCCGGCTGGCCAAAAGCTCTCCACTCTGGGCAGAAGATTTAATTAGACGCCGTCCACCCCCCAAGCTTGCGAGTTAGGTACCACCTAAGGCAGCCAAGATGCGCTGGAAGGAAAAGAGCTTAGGCACCTAGGTAGTACCTAGGTAGGTAGCTCCTAAGACCAGGGCCAGACAGATAAATAAATAAGTAAATCAACCCACCACCCGTCAGTCATGGGAGACAAGAACAATGAAATGGGGAAACCGGTAAATGACACGAGCGGTGAGGATGAGAACGACTGCGACTTTTCGAGAACTTGTCCGAGCTGGGGAGACACCACGGAGATAGCCCTGAGAGTCAACTGGCGTGTCGCCCGCGTAATAAGAAACCCTCTCGTGCTGCTGGGCTGTCTTTCACTGGACACGGCTGGGCTTGGCCCGACTCGATCAGTGGCCAAACTGACGACGCCTGGGTGAGGCTAAGCCACCCTTGGCTGAAGAAGGCCTTGCCTGGAGTCACTTGAGTGCTTTGGTACAGCATGACGTAAGAAAGCGCTCGAGTCGTGCGTGTAAACTGCACACATGCGGCATGGCATGGCATGGCATGCAAACACATAACCTCACAGACAAGCCTGCGATACCGGCTGAGTATGCAAATACTGGAATCGGTATTCCAAATTGGTATCACAACCACACCCTGTTTGCTTAGGAAGAACCCAGTATACTGCACTTACACGTTCGCGAGCAAAGGAACAGGATAGTAGTAGGCAGTAGCACTCATGCATTTCAGATACAGCTGGAGTAATCCACAACGACCAGGTAGTGGGTCAACCCAGTCGTGATATGTGCTGCCCATTAAGTACTCATGGAGGTATCAATCTAACCCGCAAACTGAAACCCTTCAACGCCATCAAACCCACGGGTCTGACTCTGTGCTCGTAGCGTTAGAGAGAAGAAAAAAAAAAAAAACGCCGGTCAGACCCTCTAAGTTCACACTCGACGAACGCTCAGCTGCCGATGGAGTGCCCACATATCAATATCAATAATACTCTACAGTCGCCGGGGAGGCCCGTTCATTCGTCTTCGCCTTCGGCGTCGGCGTCGTCGTCCTCGTCTTCGTCCTCGCCTTCTGCATCCTCTTCTTCCCCGTCGTCATCGTCGTCGTCGCCGTCGTTCATGACAACGTCAGGATCCTCTTCCCCTCCGCTGTCGTCGTCGCCCTCACTCTCGGCGGGCTCCAGCTCGTCATCTTTGTCCTCGAACTTGGCGGAGATCACATCAATCTCCTTGCCCTTCCCACTCTTGCCCCGGGGCTGCTTCACCTGGACGGTGTCGTCGGCGTCGGCGTCGGCGTCGGCGTCAGCATCAGCATCGACCTGATCAATCTCCCCCGCGTCCAGCTTCTGCTTCTGCCGCTGCAGCCACGATGGTGGCAGGCCCGGTCCACTATCAGCATTGCCGTAGTCGCTCTTCTTAGTCCCCTTAGGCCATCGGCCGGGGCCGCGCCCAGTGCCGCCCGTCTTTCGACGAGATGAGCTAGACTTGGGGCGAGACGCCGACTTTCTAGAGCTGCCCATAGACCTCCGAGGCCGTGGGCGTGGTGCTGTAGCTGGGGCACGAATGGCTGTGGGTCGTGCGATGCTAGAGGTGAGGCGTGAGAGGCCGGGCCGTTTGCGGTCGGGTGGAGGGAAAACTTCAAAGCGAATGATCGGAACATCATTGTATGCGGCTTGCCAGTCATCCTCATCGTCTACTGGCGCCGCAGACTGCTCATTCTCCTGAACATCCACATCCAACATCGGCTCGTCGTTCTCCTTGTCAATGCCGTTCGTCTTGACTTCCACCACCGGCTCCGACATTGCGTTGTCGTTCGGCTCTGTCGACTCGAGCACTGTAGCATCAGACTCGAGCAGCGGCTTCGGATTGATGCCGTTCGCGTCGGCAAAGTCGCCGGTTGCGATACCGCTCTGGGCGAGTAACTGGACTGTCTTATTGTCCTCGTCATCCTCCCGAGGTGCGATTGCATTGAGAGCCGGGCCCAGCTCGAAATTTGTAGCATTGCTGCGGCCCATGACATAGGGCGTCCAGGTCAGAGCCTTGTCGTTCAGCTTGACGTAGTTCTTGGACTCCCACTTGCCGACGTATTCGCGGCAGAAAGGGATATCTACCCTGAACGCATAGAGCTTGGTCTGTGGGTCCCGCACGAGACAGCGCAGACCCTCCAGTGCCGACACGACATCATCAGGCATCATGCCCGTGTCGTCGGAGATCTGCCTGATGCTGAGGCCTTTCCTCGGGTACTTATCCTCCGGAGTGTGCTCTAGTAGATATTTGCACATGACTAATCTCCAGTAGTTGCGATAAGAGACCAAACCCATATCAGACAAAGGCTTCTCTGGCGACCCGGTCTTCTCCTCTGCCCGGGTAAGAAGGTATGAGAAATCGATAAGGAGATTGCCATATCCTTTGCGCTGGTGGATGGGAAGCGTTAAAATGCAGCTCACATTGTTCTGGCTGCTTGCCCTCTTCTCTTTGGAGAAATAGCCGACGAAATGATATCCCATGTCGTCGTATTCGCACAGGACGTAGAAGAGAAATGGTTCCACGTCGTAGTAGAGTGTTTTTGAGCCAAGGAAGAGCTTGGCAAGTAAACAGAGGTTTTGACAATAGACCGGATTCTTCCGGCCGTCGACTTCGAAGAACGAGATAGACCCCTGCCGATAGATTTCGTCGCCTGGAGGATGCTTGGCAGGGCACTTGAGTTTGTGCCGCCATGCGACATAATCCGAGTTCATATACTTCAAACAGAACTCGCATATGTAGAGCACACGGTTGCGGCTATACTCTTCGGGATACGGTGCAGCATACCATGTGTCAATCTCCCAGCCACCAAACTCGATACACTCGATTTGACTGGCAGGACCCGTGGCCTTCTTGGATTTCTTGGTTGGGACTTCCACCTCGGCTTGCATGGCCAGTAGTCTTTGGCGCCACTCCTCGTCAGCCTTTTGCTTGGCTTCGTCGAAACGTCTCCTATCGTCTTTAGTAGGCAGCGTCTTCGAGGTGTCGGCCTCGGCTTCGGTAAGGATACCACCGTACGGCCTGCCCTTGAGGTCGTCCGTTTCCTTGTCGTAGAACGAGTAGAACGGCTGCGTATAGCTGGACGGCATGAGGGATGCCATTGGCGCATCGGCAATGGTAATGGTAGCATTTGCGGCCGACCGAGCAGGCCGCGCTGTGGCAGACCGGTTTGGCCGTTTCTTCGGCTTAGGTTCTTGGGATAATATGGCCGCAAGCTCGGTGGGCGGGACGCGCATTCTTAGCAGGAGAGAACTCCTGGATTTCTTTAATATCGTGCACTTGGCAGCTGGGTTCGAAATCTTTAGCCTCAGCGAGCGCGAAGACCGGGGCCTGGCCGCTTCACTGGCCTCGTCCGCTTTGTCTTCAGAACCCTCATCGTCGTGCGTGGATTCCTCCGGCGTAGTTCTCCGTCTTTTCCGGAGGAGAGACATGACCTCCTCTGTCTCGGCCTCAGCAGATGAGGTCTTCCGTTTTCTCAGCACTCGGGAGCCATCCATAGGGTCCTCGTCGAGAACGAGTTGGTTGAAAACAGAATGCGAATCCGGCTTGTTCACCCCGCGTTGGGAAGGGAGGAGGTCGCGTGCAAGTTTGGAGGCTGTGGATCTTCGGGAGGCGGGTGATATTTCGCCATCGCCAACTTCGCCATTCGCATCTACGTCTTCAGGTGCTGATTCTGCACCTGAGTCGGACAAGGAGTCATCACCTGCGCATTCAGGGCATTTCCAGTTTGCGACGACTTCGCACATGTCAGCCAGGCTCACACAGTGTAAATGCCATTGAGGGCTTACCAGTTTCGCTATCCAGCGCATCCGCATCTCTTGCACACTGTTGATGTGCTACGAAGGAACGGTCAGTGCATTCCCAATCAACAAACAGTTCTGTGACTTACAATGCTCGCCGCAGCCCTTGCAAGTCAAATACGACTCGAAGTCCTCGCTAGGGTCGTTCTCTTCGTCCTTCTTGCAGAACAGACAGAGATTGGGCTCTGCCGCTTCCGACTCTCCGTCGTCCTCTTCGTTGTCGTTCTCGGCTTCGGCCTCCCATTCGGTAGACTCTCGATCGCTTGCATCCGAGGCGGCGCTGGCATCAGCATCACTCTCGGACTCGTCTTCATCGGTCTCGCCGGGTCTGATCTTGACAGCTCCCACGCCCTCGGCTTCCTCTTCCTCCGGTTCTTCGTCAGCTTCTGCGTCCGCATCGGCGTCTACGTCCATATCTGCATCTGCATCTGCGTCTGCGTCTGCGTCCACATCAACATCTACTTCGGCGTCGGCATCTGCATCTGCATCTGCGTCTGCATCCGCATCTTCGTCCTCATCCTCTTCGTCCTCATCGGCGTCTTCGTCTTCGTCGACGCTTCCGACACCGTTGTGGTTGGCTGGCGGCAGCATGTCATCCTCCTCCCCTTCGGCATCCTCGTCCGAAATCTCATCTCCGTCACGAACACTTGTATGGTGGGGTTTGGGAGCGCCATTCTCGGCATTGCCGTCTTCTTCGTCATCAAGTTCTCCTTCGGCATCCTCATCATCTTCCTCAGCCACACCTTGCGGTTGGAGTGCTACATTGACCTCGCCTACGTGGCCTCCGGACTGGTTTGCCTCGCTGGGTTCTTCATCTGGATCGGCTGGCGCGTCGTCATCACCGAGATCATGGTGTAGCTGCCCGGTGGGTGCCTTGTCGAGGTCCATGGCCTCAGGCAAGTCGTCTTCCTCGTATTCGGCATCTTCGTCGGAAAGAACGACGCTCTGCTGGAGTTCCTCTTGCGCCACCTGCGCGTTCGCCATGTTGACGGCGTGTCAAGAGGGGCTCGCGGCGAGCTGGTCAGGCAAAGCGAATGTTGCGACTTGCGACTTTGTGGGTGACAAAGCGCGATGGGCAAGCAAACACACGGCGATGAAGGTGCGGGGGGTTGCTTGGGGGCGCAGGTCGCGGAATCAGGGTCGATCACGTCGCATGCCTGTCGCGAATATGCTCTGCAGTCGACAGCGATGCTTAAGCGTCGGTTATCTGGAAAGAACGTGGTGGGAAGCTCTCGTGGCGAGGCGCGCAAGGCATTGGGGATAGTCGATGGATAAGGGAGCTCAGTCGCCGCAGCTGAACGCGCAAAGGCCCGGCACACAGGGGATGATGTCGCAAGACAGTGGGCTGTACGGGTGAAGGACGAGATTTGGCGCGTCAAATCATGCTCTAATGGGTCTGGAAGGGATGAGCGCAGGTGCAAACGAGGCTGGACATCGATTCACTCGGATTCACGGGGATGCCATCGTGCCTCTCAGTCAGGCCACTGAAGTCCAACACCACCAACTGCGACGGGTGGTAGGGGGGAGGGCCTCTGAGTCCTAGCCGATTGGCCCGTCCTGGGCCCGTGGCCGCTCCGTGCCCACTAAAGGTGTTGGAGGCACTGGGGCACTGGTTGACCGGTGGCACTAGAGGCACTGTAGGCATTGTAGGCACTGTCGCAAGAGACTCACAGGCCACTTTCCCCTTTCCCCATACCAGTCCATGGAGCCCGAGCGCATAACTTGCACAAAGTAACACTTGTCCCACATTATGCACTGCACCCGTTTTTTGGAGTCCTGAGGCAGCAAGTCAAGCTCCCATCTCTGGAATTGGCCCGTCGTGCGAAACAACGTCAACCCCAAGAGCCGAGCTCGAGATCCATCCCCAGGCAATTGCGAACACCCCAATTGGCAGGCATTGAGTGAGTGAGCAATCCGCAGTCTCGTCCCGGACTCTGCCATCGCGCAACTAACCCGATTCGTGCCACAGTCAACCCATCAACACCGCCGCAATGCCCGTTCCCTTCGAAGCCTTGATTCCCTACGGAATCATCCTGGTCGTGAGCACTCCCACCCCCCGAGCAGCCCGACCTGCCCAATCGACCCGGATACAGTACTGAGTGAACCACACAGATGTTCGGCGCCACCGGTGCCGGCTTGTCCAAGATCAAGAACATGCAGAACGGCGGCAAGCGCGCGCGTCGCTCGCTAGATCAGTGGGATAGAGTACGCCCGACCCCAACTCCAACCACGACCGCGAGAGGACCCTCACGACGGCGGCGGTCTCTATATAACCCCAGGCAATCACTGACTTGTACTGTAGCAAATGATGGACCGCGACCGAAGGTTGACCGGTTTCCTGCGCGGGCAGTCGGACAACCCGTTAGCGCCGGCGGGCTACGAACTGAACAACCCTTGGAGAGTACGTGCAGACGCCGGGAGCTTGCTTGAACTGCATCAGCTAACATAACCCAGGTCGAGAAGCGCATGTCATAAACGGAGATTTGGCGACGATAGAGGAAAATGCCACGCGGGAGGGGACGTGGGCAGGATTCGGTTCGGGCAACCCTATGTACAAAGCCTACGAATACAGCATTCAACAGTCTTCCCTTTTGTCCAGTCCAGAGAGAGTTCACGCGTATCAAGACGTACATGGCATGGCGTCGAGGTACAACAAGAACTCGTTCGGTTTGGATGGGTATCATTCATTATCGACTTGAAGTACCCGTCATATCCTAATTTCTGGCCTGTTCTTGTTCAGGCCTTCCAGGAGCATGCATGCCTGGCAGAGCTTCTGGCTCGACATGTAACCACATCTCTCGCAGGTGCCGAGTTTCTGCTTTGGCCGAAGAGGAACACTGACGCTGACTTCCGTCTCACTCTTGTTCGTCCGGTCGTGCCGTTGGCCTTGCACTTTCTGGGTCTTTACCTCGGTCTCTAGTCCCTCATTCGCAACCTTCTCGTTCTCACGTAGTTGCTTCTCCATCGCAGCCATCTCGCTTCCTCCTGCTCGGCCATTCGCTGATCCGCACCCGCCAGCGCCCTCATCTTCCACAGCTTTGGGGACGGGCGCCTCCTTGCCTTTACAGCCACAAGAATCCGATGGTTGCCCCGGTACTAATCGTGCCATGTCCTCCCCGCTGCGCACAACGTCCAATATTGCACTGGGCCGGACCTTTTCAAGGCTCTTGATCAACGTTCTGGCGCTTCCCCGAAAAGCCTCGGGGCTGTATATGCATTCGGTGCTGAAGTAGTCCAACTTCTTGTGATGCGCATACAGCACAATCTCCTTTTCGTAAGCATACTTGAGGGGCTTGCTTCTCTTAACCTCACTTGCGTTGCTTCCGGTGACAATGCTCGTGCTTCTCGAGAGGCGTGATAGATCGCCACGAAGCAGATTCATCAGGATTGTCTCGGCCACGTCGTCCGCGTTGTGGCCGGTGACGACGTGCTTAATGCCCAACATCTTCGCTCCTCTGTCCAGGGCCTGCCGCCTGAAGACGCCGCAGTATGTGCAGTTGCCTTTCTTCCCAATGGTCTCCACAACTTGGTCCATGGTCCAGCCGTATAACTCGTCATAGCCAACGATCTTGAGGGGCATCTCGTACTGCACGGCATTGCGTTTCACCGTCTCCAGCGAATCGTCCCGGTAGCCCTTGATGCCTTCGTCTATGCTGAGCAGGACGAGATCGAGCCCGTACTTGTGCCGCTCATTCAAGGTCTTGAGTACAGACGCCAAGACGGTGGAATCCTTGCCTCCAGAAGCCCCTATGGCGACCTTCTCGCCGGGGAAGAAGAGCTGAGACGATGTTATGGTGTGGTGGACCTCATCTTCAAATATCTGGATGAAGCACTGCCTGCAGAGCTTCTGGTAATTCTTGGGCCGCTTGATGAGTGCGCGCTCTGTCTTGCAGATTGCGCAAGGAACAGGGGGCATTTTAGCAGGCCAAAGGTCGCCTCCCTATGATCAGTAGTGATATCTTTTGTCCAGGAGTGTTCTTGTTCTCACAAAGTCGTGCAGGAGGTGTATCTGAAAATTCGTTGTCGCTTGATACTGAGTCAACTCACTGCCCGTCCTGCCTAATAATCTTTTGGGTGAGAGGCGACATCCCACTTCGAGGTACGTACCTACCGTACATTCAGAGGGGCAGTCCTCTACTTGCGCTAGTCCCACCGCGGCCTAAGCAAGTGGAGCCGCCAGACCGACAATTAACCGCCAATCGCTCTTTCCCACGCAAACCCTAGCGGCCTACACCACAAATTCCCATTTCGCCAGCTCGGGTCGAACTTTTTTTGAACTCTTCCTCATCCCTCTCAAGGCCAGGTCGAATCACCCAACACACCCAACGACCACACGACCAACGATCACCATGGTAAGCACCTGAATACACCGCTCCCGTGAGCGATGCGCAGCAATGCGTATTCGCTGCCGTCAATCTGTGGCGCTCGCTTGCCGAGCTGTCCATCTGCCGCCCGTCGTCTCCGGACGCGGGTGAAGAATTTGGCTTGAGATGTCGTGGGTGCACAGAAATGTCACCGCCATCACGCTTCTCTCTAGAGACCAAGGAAGACCACAGTCAATGGAACCCATTTGCTGATGTCTTCTTTTCTCCATGATAGCCTCCCAAGTCTGGTAAGAAGGCCGCCCCGGCCCCGTTCCCTGCGAGCAAGGCGGGCAAGAAGGCACCCAAGGTGGGTAAAATAGCAACCCAACCCAACCCCATGGTCACCCTTCAATGCGATGCTGACGTGGCACCAGAACCCCCTCATCGAGAAGCGCACCCGCAACTTCGGTATCGGCCAGGACATCCAGCCCAAGCGCAACCTCTCGCGCATGGTGAAGTGGCCCGAGTATGTCCTGCTCCAGCGCCAGCGCAAGATCCTCAACATGCGCCTGAAGGTTCCCCCAGCCATCTCCCAGTTCCAGCACGTCCTGGACCGCAACACCGCCGCCCAGGCTTTCAAGCTCCTCAACAAGTACCGTCCTGAGACCAAGGCCGAGAAGAAGGAGCGTCTGACCAAGGAGGCCACCGCCATCAAGGAGGGCAAGAAGAAGGAGGACGTCAGCAAGAAGCCCTACACCGTCAAGTACGGTCTCAACCACGTCGTCGGCCTGGTCGAGAACAAGAAGGCCTCGCTCGTCCTCATCCCCAACGATGTCGACCCCATTGAGCTCGTCATCTTCCTGCCCGCTCTGTGCCGCAAGATGGGTGTCCCCTACGCCATCATCAAGGGCAAGGCCCGTCTCGGAACCGTCGTCCACAAGAAGACCGCTGCCGTCCTGGCCCTCACCGAGGTCCGCTCCGAGGACAAGAGCGAGCTCTCCAAGCTCGTCAGCGCCGTCAAGGATGGCTACCTCGCCAACAGCGAGAACGCCCGCCGACAGTGGGGCGGTGGTATCATGGGTGCCAAGGCCAACAAGCGCATCGAGAAGAAGCAGAAGGCTCTTGATTCTGCCATCAAGGTCTAAGGATCTGGCTTGGTCATGGTTAAGGAGTTATGAATCTGAATCTTTGCACAGTACAGGCGTTGGAGGGGTAAAATGGAATACCAAACAAATGGATTTGCATGACACCTACTCCACAAACTCACAATGTCTCCCATGACTATGACTGCGTGAATGTAGATACCAAATATAATGTGCCCATACAATGTGTCCTCCCCCATTCGTCTCTCGACCATGGCTCTGCCTGCAGAATATCGCAGACTGCGCATAGGAGTATCCGCCCGCGACAGGGATCCAGTATTGACTACATACGAACTTGGCCACTTGGATCCACAAACTGGTGTCTGTTGTACAGGTTACATATTCAAACAGTCTCACATCCCCAGAGACTGAACCGATGGACTGAGTCTTCCCCAACTTGTATGCCGTGACTACCGGTAGGTGCACCACCCGAGGTCGTTCTGCCAAACCCCGTCTAATTTTGTAGACCAACCAATAGATGGGGTAGGTAAGATGCCGTGTTTGCGGTTCATGGAGGCGCAAGATGCCGATAAGTCCGGGCATATAAGTTACTTCAGATGTAAACTCGAGCGGCAGACACACCGGCGTAGACCGCCACTAAGCAGTGAGCGTCGACCAGTCAGAATGCTAGCTTTTAGCACGATACCAAAATTATGGAATCCTGCAATCTGTATAGAGAGAACCTTATAGATACACAGCCAACTTGCTTGGGAGACTTGATCACTCAATCTTGAATCCACAATTGCTCCATGCCCAGGCTCTGTTTGCGTCGTGACACAAGACTGCCACAATGGAAGCATGAGAGAAGGCCTTGGCGATCAAGACTTCCAACCCCACGGACCAAACGGGCAGTGCTTCATATGTCGCCTTGGGAGCAGCGGGTCTTATCGTACCAAGACACTTTGGATGCCGGGCGCTCGGCGTGCCAAGCATGGTCCAAGACACTATACAGACGTTGGCGAACTCCACGGCTATTTGCATAGGGGAAGGTCATCGGCGCGCGATGATCAGGAGGCATGCAGCCTGTTTGAGCGTCTTTGGGTATGTCCCAGCCGGGGATCGCTAGGTTCAGCCATTAATCCTTTCGCGGCGGCTTATCACAACCAAGCTTTGCTCGAGAAAAGCCACTCGGGCTTATCCTGTGAGGTCCGGGATAAGCGTACATAGCAGACAGGGCCCCATGGACCCCCAAATAAATCTGGGGTGGGAAAGTGAAGGAGGGGGGCAGATAGACAAGGATACTTAAACCTCTGACACGTTTCATCCTATTGATACATACCCGGACTCGTGCTTCCTCAGTGCGGACCTTGTAAGATAACACCGGTCACTGTTGCTTGATGGGTGGTTTGTGCTGCATGTGTATCGCCGCCCGTGGTAGTCTCGACAGAGTCGAGGGTGTTGGAGTCGAATGACATTCCTCGCTTCTGCAACTCTCGTACGACCATCACCTTCCATCCTTCTGATCACGATATCCTAAGACCACTGCATTCCGATAAATCCCATTTGGACAAGTCCATCCACAATTGCATAGCAAGAGAATCCCAGCGTATACCTTCCTGAATAGGATTCTGCTGGATTTGTTGGCGCGGAATCCGCCGCTCGTTGTCGAAGCCCCCCAAGGCGCCGCCGGAATCCCCCCTCCAACAAAGAGCCACGCCCTCAACGGTCCTGACCACTCCTGGCCTGCATTAGACCGAGCATAAGCAGTGCGCTCAGCCAGGGAAAGGAAGGGAAGAATAAACCCCTCGAACATTTGAGAGATATTTATTACCTGGGCCTCGTCCGACCCGAGCAACCCAGAGGATCTTGCGATCCGATCGAGAAGAAGAAGCGATCACAAGAGTATACAGTTATAAACAAACCGTTCCAAACAATGTCCCGTAAGTAGTCAAGAGCCCCGTTTTCTCGGATCTTAGCGAGATCTCTCTCCACAGATCTGGCATTTTGACAGCCCAGTGGAGGGGTGCCCCGGATCCCCCAAAATTGCCGCTTTGGTCGACAGAATCGTACGATTTTGTTCTGTTTTGGGGGCCTCCCCTCCGGTGCAAGGAGGCGCTGCCTTTTCTAGAAACGAAAGAAACAGTGGATTTTTTTTTTTTTGGCTGACCGAAAACGTGCGCGTGTGCAGAAGACACCAGGGATCCCTTCACCTATGCGCTGAGCTCCAACTCGGCCTGGGCTGGGTATAAGAGCCACCAGAACCCGGATTTCTTCCCGCGCCTGGCGTCCGGGCAATCGCCCTCCATCCGTACGTATTCTTTCATCCCCAGGCGCACAATCTCTCTACAATGGTCATGAATTTGTGCCGTATCTGCATTTTCGGGTGTACGAAAGAGCTAGGGGGCGCGAGATTGAATTAAGCAACGCGACAAGGAGACTAACGTCTTGGTTTGCGTCTATAGTTTGGCTTGGCTGCTCCGACTCGCGCTGCCCCGAGACGACGATCCTGGGGCTGCAGCCGGGCGACGTCTTCGTGCACCGCAACATCGCCAACATCATCTCGCCGACCGACATCAACACGTCGGCCGTCATCGAGTACGCCGTGGCCTTCCTCAAGGTCAAGCACGTGGTGCTGTGCGGGCACTCGGCGTGCGGCGGGGCGGCGGCGGCGCTGGGCGACGCGCGCGTGGGCGGCGTGCTCGACACGTGGCTCACGCCGCTCAAGGCGGTGCGCAACGCGCACGCCGACGAGCTGGCCGCCATCCGCGACGACAAGGCCCGCGCCGTGCGCATCGCCGAGCTCAACGTCGAGGCCGGCGTCAAGGTGCTGATGGCCAACGTCGTCATCCAGGACCACATCAAGGAGCGCGGGCTCCAGGTCCACGGCACCCTGTTCGACATTGGCTCCGGCCGCGTCCGGGACCTGGGCCACGGCACCGGCAAGCCCAGGGCCGCGGCGTTCGGCGGCGGCGCCGCGGGCGACGGCGAGGTCATCAGGGGCCGCCATGCCACCTTGGTCTTCCGCAGCGAGGGCGCCGGCATGCAGGCCCGGTAGGCAAGTGTTATTTGTACGGCCTGGAGTCGGGTGACCGGATTGGGTTAGGGGGGGGGGGGACGTCTGGTGAGGTTATGTGCGCACAGCATTCACATGGAGTTCAACACCGTCGAAAAGCGAAAGGTGACATTTGGTTAGGTAGACAACAAGCTGGGCCTTCACAGTACCTAGGTGGTGATTTGTCTGGAGTATACACGAGTTTAGGATTTGGTCATTTCTGAACTTTAGCGCAATTGCTCATTTCGTATAGTCTTTCCAAGACATTGGTCAAACTGTTTAAAGAAGAGACTTTTTCCCATGTAAATCGAGTATACGATCGGGATCATCCCAACCTGAAAGGTCGATAGTGGACCATTCCAACCCGTCGGCCCAGTTGGTATTGCGCACCAATGAAAAGCGCTAATTGGCGTATGCGCCTTTGGCAGCAACTTGGAGCTCAGTCAGCCTCCATAATACCCCTCCTACGTCACCCGCAACCCCAGAATAGAGGAGCTGTCTTTTGGAGGGGCAAAGGATTCACCGACACGGAAGCTCTGAACAGCTTCATGCAACACTGAGCGTTTTAGCCAAATGAGTAGAAAGTCTCTTGACCTCTACCAAGCAAATGGCCAATTATCGAATGAAGTGAGAAGATCCTCGTCAGGGCAAAGATGGCGTGCGTTTTGGGGAGACATCACGGTGGTGTCCCGTCACGGTGGCGCTCTGTTCTAGAAGCTCCTGGTCCAGCGCCAAGTGTTGGAAGCCCCATCAAGGATCCAGCTTCTTCAGGGTAGACATCTTACAACACACACTGGCCGACCGTTCCTTCGTCTTATTGCTCATGAGCCAACATCTCGGGTTCTCGCTCTGACATCGCGGCAAGTGTCCCTGCTATACAAGACTGTACAAAAGTTTGTGCTTGTTTCCCTTGTCCCGAGAGGTGTGATACCCATCTTCGGCCGAAAATATGGCTCTCGCCGTCCTCTCCGACGAGGATATCCGCAGCCTCCTAGAATCCCTCACCCGGGAGGAGGCCGAGGAGTTCGCGCACTCCCTGAAATGCGCCCTCCATGAATATTCAACCGGCACCCAGTCCATCGAGGCCGGCCTCATCCACCAGCCAGACCGGACGTCGGTACATTCGCAACTCACCAATGCGACAACCTTGTTCATGCCATCGTGTAGTGCGGCGGGCCATGCAGTAAAGGGTGAGCAGCAGCCACTTCTCACAGAGCGCTTCAAGTCTCCTCAAGATATTACGCGAACTGACATGCTCTAGTTGTCACCGTTTCTGCGCCGAATACTGACCCGTCGCTTCCGTCGATCAAACCCACCGGCTCCGTAACGCTCTTCTCGCCCCTCGGGCAGCCCATCGGCTTCCTGCACGCGCAGACCCTGACGGCCTTCCGCACGGCGCTGGCGTCGTCGTGCCTGCTGACCAAGCGGGCCACGGTGCGGACGCTGACCGTCTTCGGGTCGGGCCAGCAGGCGTACTGGCACATCCGGCTGGCGCTGATGCTGCGGGGCGACACGATCCGCACCGTCAACATCATCAACCGGCGGTTCAGCGACAACGCCCGGGGCATCCTGCAGAAGTTCTACGCCGTGCCCGCCGCGGTCCGCCGCCGCGAGGGCTGGGAGCAGACCCAGTTCGGCGTGCTGACGCCCGGCTACGGCGAGTTCCAGCGCCTGCAGAAGGAGCACGTCCGCGCCGCCGATGTCATCTACTGCTGCACGCCCTCGACCGAGCCGCTGTTCGAGAGCGGCATCCTGACGAACCACGAGGGCCGCCGCAAGGGCCGCCTGATCGTCGCCATCGGGAGCTACAAGCCCGACATGCGCGAGTTGCCGCGGGAGCTGTTGGAGCAGGCCGTCAGGGTTGGGGCCGGGCATGCGCATTTCCATAAGCATGCGCTGGAAGGCGGCGTCGTGATTGTCGACACGCTCGACGGGGCGTTGAAGGAGGCTGGTGAGGTGATTGAGGCGGGATTGGAGCCAAAGCAGCTAGTTGAGTAAGTCGTAATACCCCGATCCGGCACTCTTAAGATCGAGTATATACGGTACTAGGAGGAAACACAGGTCCGGCAAGAGATATATTCAGGGGGCTAACATGAGGACAGACTGGGCGAGCTTGCAATGATTCACAAGGCACGGATGCGCGAGGAAGAAGAGTCCATCACCTCGGAATCGACGCACAGCTCGACCGATATATCGACAGACATGGACTCGCTCTCGCTCGGTGGCAGCTCGGCCATGTCGACCGTCTTCGGGTCGACATCGTCGCAGTCCAACGACTCGGCACCGGGCTACAAGCGGTCGCCATCGCGCACCTCGAGCCCCAGCCGTTCACACAGCGGCAGCGGCGGCGGCAGCAGCATCGTCGGCGGTCTGTTCCACCACAAGCGGCGCAGCTCGAGCCAGGGGTCCGTCGACCGCGCCAAGCAGAAGCGCGACGACCACCTGGCCCGCTGGCTCACGGCCGGCAACGTCATCTACAAGAGCGTCGGGCTGGGTCTGATGGACCTGGTCGTCGGCATGGAGATAATCAAGAAGGCCAGGGAGAAGGGCCTGGGGAGCCACATCGAGAACTTTTCCTCGTAGGACGAGGGTCGTGCGCCGTTGGCCCCCATTCTGAGTTGATCGCGCGGGGAGTCGCATGGGAGGATGTGGTTGGAATCGTGGAGACTGGCACCAAAATGGGGACGTGGTATGGTGATCAGGCGTTAAGAGATTTTGAGACAGCATTTGCATTGAACGTGCGTCTCTTGGGGGTGGCAAGCGAAGTCGGCCTCATAGCATGGTCTTCATAGTACAGGCAGGCAGAGTCGAAATTTGGAAGATGACAATCATGATGCGCTAGTCCAGAGCAGATGGACGTGAAAACTAATCAGGATTCAATGGACTTTAACTCCAAGCCTCGTAATGATGTTTATCTAAGTCATACACATATATGCTCTTCCCTTGCGGTCCCATATGTCCAATCTTCTGATCATGATTGACGGTACATCCCCTCCCCCGTACTTTATAATATTTATCTTACTTTACTCGGCAACCCAGATGGCAGCCATACCCATACCGGTGCCAACGCACATGCTGGTCAGGCCGACCTTCTCGCCGCGCCGCCTCAGCTCGTACAGCAGCGTGCTGACCTGGCGGGCGCCGGTGCAGCCGAGCGGGTGGCCGAAGGCGATGGCGCCGCCCTTGGGGTTGATCTTCTCGAGGGGCAGGCCCAGCTCGTTGGCGCACCACAGGCACTGGCTGGCAAAGGCCTCGTTGATCTCGAAGATGTCGACGTCGTCCTTGGTGATGCCCGTCTTCTCAAACACCTTGGGGATGGCCTTCCAGGGCCCGATGCCCATGAGCAGCGGCTTGACGCCGACGATGCTGGCGGCCACGTACTTGCCGAGGATCTGCTGGCCCAGGCGCTCGGCCGTGCTGCGCTTCATCATCAGCACGGCGGCCGCGCCGTCCGAGATCTGCGACGCGTTGCCGGCGTGGATGGAGCCGCCCTGCGCGAAGGCACCCTTCATCTTGCCCAGCGACTCGGCCGTGACGCCGGGCCGCACGCCGTCGTCCTTGGACACGGTGATGGTCTTGGTCTCGCCGGACTTGGGGTCCTCGAACTTGACCGTCAGCGGGTGGATCTCCTCGTCGAAGAGACCGGCCTGCTGGGCCTTGCCGGCCTTCTGGTACGACGACGCGGCGAAGGCGTCCTGGTCTGCGCGCTTGATGTTGCGGTCCGCAGCCATCTGCTCCGACAGGACACCCATGGGCACCTTGCAGTTGGCCGACTCGGGGTGCGACTCGAGGAGCTCGGAGAACTCGGTAACGGCGGACGGGCTATTTCCTCGTTAGTAAAACGGAAGAGATGGTTATTGGGTGGGTTCGTGTCTGTGTGTGTACATACCCGTACTGCAAGCTCATGCTCTCAACGCCGGCACCGATGCCGACCTCGATCATGCCGCTCTTGATCTGGTTGGCGACATCGACGCAGGCCTGCAGGCCGGACGAGCACTGTCGGTTCAGGGTGCGGACGGCCGTGGACTCTGGGAAGCCGGCGACCAGGGCAGCGGCTCGCATCTCGGTGGCGCCACCGCCGGGGGCCAGGACCTCGCCAACGCAGACATCCTCAACCAGGGCGGGGTCGATCTTGGAGCGCTCGATGATGCCCTTGAGGGCGCCGGCCATCAGGTCAGCGGCGGCTGTGTCCTTGAAGCCGCCCTTGCCGCCCTTGGTGAAGGCAGTTCGGAGACATGCCGTTACGACGATCTGTGGCGAGGGAGGGCGTGGGTCAGCATTCCCGTCTGATGGTTGGGGCCCGGCGAGACTGGGGGTTTGGGGTATGTTCTTACATCGTCGGGGCTCTTGATAAGGAGCTTCTCCTTTGCTGATTTCGATCCCGCGATCTGGGAAGAGATCTGTTGTAATCTGTCGGCGGCTGTAGGTTTCCAGTGTCAGTCAGGGACCAATGCCTCGGCCATGCTGCATCGCCAGAGAGGATGGCTTCACTTACCACCCATCTTGTCTGCTGTGTGTGGACTCTCGAGGTGATCAATACCAGGGCTGGAGAGTTTGATGGTATAGTTGGGTATAGAAATGACAACAGTAGAAAGGGAAACTTTTTTTTCTCTGGGGAAGATATAACGACAAGCTGGCTTCTATCTCGCAGTCTTGTCGGCTTTGGCTCGCTCTGGCTTTTGAGTTCCCCAGTGGTCTCCAGATGAACCTCGGAACTTGAGCTGCAGAATCCCTGTCGGTTTCAGTGGGCTGACATCAGAAGGGGGCCGCCTAAGCCGCCCTCGACGCCCTCGACGCCCTGGCCAGAGCTCGCCCGCCGGCGCGCACATGTCAATGCGGGTTAGCGCCGGTCCAGCTGCTAGCGGCCCTTCACATGCCAATGGGATACCCGCGACACCGCCGTCCCCAGCAATCCCCCCCAGGTCATGAGACTCGCTAAATACGGCCCCCGACTTCCGCCCGCGGAACCCAGGGCAGATGATGGAGCCATCTCTCGGGTCTACTATGGAACATGCCGAAAGAGAATACCCAGACCTCCGGCCAGGGGCCTAAGGCTATAGTGTTGTACACATACTGTGGTCACTTGGTCATGTTGGAGGCGAGTCAGGCGAGTCGCTGTAGAAGTCAAACAGCCAGTGGCCAAGCACTGGAAATATCATAACCATCAGAAATAGTACCGTAGGTCTTCATGGGTCATGATTCCAGAGCGTACATTCCAGTTCAAATGTCAACCATAGTCTGCTATGCTCCAGATGCTCACCGGGGCCATATGCACACTGACGACGAAGGGGGGCTCTGTCTCCGTATGCTCGTAAGGGATCATTAGTCCTTCCTTACAATACTCGTGAGCGTATGTATAGGCACGGTCCACTTTGACAACCAGCCTATAGATGCTGCTCAGACATTATTCCTTTCCTAAAGAGATCCTCAACCCCTTCCCAGCATCCCATTCGCGGCGCGGCCGAACTACTAGCTTGACCGCTTCCCTAGGCTCGAGGATATGCACAGGCAGCACGGCATCGTTCTTCTTCGGGACCTTGATCTTACCACCGTCTGGTGACTCCATGTCGAACTGTAACACGATCAAGGCCACGAAGCTCAGTATTTCGTATGTAGCAAAATGGCGTCCGGGACACAAGGTCTTCCCACCTCCAAAGGCACGGAACGCCGCTGGGTGATACTGCTTCTCTTTTTCTTTGGTCAGCCCTGTCCCCTGCCCGAGGAAACGTCCATGGTCGAACTCATCCACATTGCTGCCCCAGATAGACTGGTCGGCGTGGATCACGCCCCCAGCAATCTGCACGACGGAGTCCTTGGCTAGATAGTATCTGTCCGCAAGAATAGTAGGCTCCTTGACGATTCGAATGCTGTTGTTGTCAGAATTCAGGCGTAGGCATTCTCTGTAGACAGCCATGAGGACAGGACATTGATCTTTGAGCATCTCGACGTTCAACACACGGGCTCCCTCGCCATCTTCACCAACCGAAGACACGATCTCATCACGAACTCTAGATAGTATGTTGGGATCCGCGAATATTTGTAGAATAATCCAGAACGTCGATGTGGTGGCGTTCACGATGCCCGCGAACAGGAACGAAAGCTCTGACCTTGCCACTTCACGCAGCGCCCAGCCATGTTTCAGGGCTAGTGATACTCGCTCTTGTATGATCTGAGATCCAGTTCGATATGCACTTGCCTCAAGATAGTCTGCCAAGGCTTGGACCAGTTTCTCGCGACCTTGATAGGCTTTCCGTGCTGTGATCGACGGCATGATGTTGATCATCAGCGCTCCAAGGCCGTGATCGAAGTCCCAGAAGGCTTCTTCAAGCTCTGCGTGCTTTGATAGGGGGTTTTGCGGCCCATAAAGATACTTTGCCGTCGACACAGTCACGAAGTGCCGTACCCACTCGAGCAAGTCGATGAGCTCCTTGCTTCCAGGCCGCGCTTCGAGCGTCGTTCTGTAGCCATCTACCTCGTTCTTCAGTTCCTGAGCTGCGTCACGAGTGAGTTCGCTGAGGTAGCTTCCAGGTCCAAGTTTGGAATAAACCATTTCCTGGATATCTGCTAGAAATCCTCTTTCGTCCCCCGGCCCTGGATCGAGATTCTTGCTGGCAATGCTCTTGGTTGCGGCATCAAGTCCCAAGATTCTCTCAGTGACCTCGGGGATGATCGGAGTAAACGACAACGCTTTGGACGCTCTTTGGACAGCAGCTGCCAGCGATGGATCCACGACAATGTAGATGCGTGAGTTGGGCACCGGTAGTGTGAAAACGGGAGTCTGTCGATTGCGTAATCCGATGGACTTCACATACCGACCTCCATAGAGGGCCATGCCAAGTAGATGTCCGACATATGGTATGCCTGACGTAATGATTGGCGGTTCCCGTGTGTCGAGTTTTCGAGACGACGTCCAGTAAAGCCCAAGGTACACAGTAATTATCCCAACGACGACCAAAGTCGGAGGTGATAAAACATCAAGCGCCATTGTGCGATCAACGGGACAGAAGACAAAAAACTGGTGTTATGTGGTGAGTAGTGACTGTGTACAGCTTTCGCATCGCTTTTGGATACCTCGGGAAGGCCCATTGACCAAGGGCACCGCCAACCTTGTCTTGTGCGAAGGAAGCCGTGATGGGATGGCAAAGGTTGATGTTTCTCCAACTGCATATGCGTTGCGGAGAGCATGTATGGGGGTGCCAAGATTCTTATTGGCTTAACCAAACTCAACCAACAACAGTGGCACTGGGCCCAATCATATCGCTTACCCCCTTTGACGAAAGACGGAGTAACCACAAAATCCTGGCTAATTCTCTGGGTTTGAAATGGCCGTGCTCAGCTGCAGATAGTGAGTTACTATTGTAGCGAGATTACCTATCGCTATATTCACGCTACTAAATAGCTCGAAAAGAGGTATGTGAGCTCGTATCAACCTCGCGGTTAGTGGATCTAACTCACAGGGATTGGCTTGAATATCAAGCTCAAAATGAAACTATTTTGAGCATACTTACAACTGCACTGATAGTGAGCGCAATGACATACTTTGCACTAAATAGAGCAGGCTCTCTAACAGTCACGTACCATACCATACAATGTGCTCAGTCCTGTAAAACCACCAAAATGTGCCCTTTCACTTTAGGACATTTTGCTTCTTTATTTGGAGCCACAAAATTCCAGTCATCGGATACCCATATTTCAGCATGTAGATATTCCCAAGTTCTTTGAGCATGAGCAAATCTTATCTAGACGTGACCGCCGTAGATACGTACCAAGACACTCTTGCTTTGACCCTCAGAAATTTCGAGTATAACCACGCTCCGCATGTTCCCCCCATCCCAGATATACCAAATGCCGAAGCTAAGTCAAGTTTTAAAAATCTGCGCGCTCATACACAAATGAGCACTCTTTATTTTCGACTTGGCCACCCGCAATCACTTAATTCGTCTTACTCTAGTATTTTCACTTTCAATCCCACTTGTCCGACTTCATGTCGAAACCGGGGAAGGGATATGGCTGTAGATCGCATATGGGTAAGGCGAAGGATCTATATGGTAAGCCGCGCTGGAGAGCCTGCATTTGGGATCATTAATATCGACATCATCGTCTTCGTTGCGGTCGCGTGTCATGATCAGGGATCGGCCCAAACGACTGTTAAGTCTCTTGCAGGCCTAAGGTAAAAATGCTATGTGAGTCTTGTCAATGTCGAAAGCCCTAGCTTGCCTGTGTAGACGACTTTAGGACATGAAATATTATGTTAGTGCTTGCTTCATATTGCACGCGAGTCAAATCTTACCTTGAAATTTCATGTCTGGATAAATAACTTTCTTCCATATCTCGCACTGGGCTATACATCACCAACTGGCTCCTAATACGCATATGGCGATGTTACAATTTGGATTATATTATATCAAAACCATCACGTACAAGTATTTAATAAAGCTTAGCCTTTTAAATTTAAACGTTAAAATATAAAATCCATTTAACGTGGTTTCCCAGTCAGCCGGTTATATTAGTCGGCTCGGTTAAACCCCACCAGATCGTCCATTTAAATTTTGACATGTTATAATTCACCACAGTAATGTTTGTTTACATTCGAGAACAACGGATTTTATCGGCAATTAATGCCATCGCGAACGCCAAAAGTAACGGCCAGAAATTATCACAAACTCACGCTGGACTCTGCATTGCTGGGCTGTGGCCATGACTTCCTAGAACATCCAGCCCTAGGCCCTGGAGAAGTATGCCTCGTGGCAGGGGTCAAGCCACTTTTTAAGGAGCCACTAGTGAAGGGATGCAGGGGGTTAGGCTCCTTGCCATGTTTTATGCAGCTCATTCAGTGATTATGACCTCTTAGGAAGTCACAGCTACGGCCAGGTTGTGCAGAGTGTGTGATAAGAAGCCGAGCCCTTAACCTCCTTTCCCAAGAACCCTGTCTGGATGACTTCCTGGGAAGTCATCCGTCCAAGCATCTTAGGGAAGACTCACCCGGTGGCAGTGACCTCCTAGAAAGTCGTCCAGATATCGTCCTTGGACAAGGTTGACCTTATGGCAGTGTTGATCGTAGTGGCTCGTCCCAGAACAATGACTTCTCAGGAAGTTGTCCAGACACCGGCTCTGGAGAAGGTCTGCCTTATGACAGTGCTGATCGTGGTGGCTCGTCTTGTAACAGCTACTTCTTACGAGTCGACCGTGAAGATGACTTCCTTAGCAGCTACCAGAAAAGAGGTGAATAGCTAAGGTCCTTACTACGCACTTTGTATAGCCTACCTAGGGAAGATGGCTTCCTAAGATTTTATTAGTAGAGGGACGGCAAGGTTATAAGAAAAGTTGTGTGTTGAAACAGTTTAGCCACTGGACAAGGTGATGTTGTGAGGGGAGGCTATGGCTAACCAAAAGGTATAAATAAAGGCATACACCCGACCCTCAGAACACGAGGACTCTTCTCTCTTTTTTTCCAACTTGACATCCGTGCCGGGTTGACACATACATGATCATTCTGGAATCTTATCATCGTTTTCAACCCCTAATAGCAACAATCATCCGCTCTTCAGCTCGCAAGCCGTTACCATCACACAGATGTACTGGTAATTCTCCTTTCTTGGCCCACAGCTTCACTGCCACACGTGTGCACTGGTAACACGTTCACGTGGTAGCGAGTCCATGGCTTCACGAGCGCAGAATGTCCATGGCCCATAGGTGTACTGGTAACACACCCAAGTTGTACCAGTCCGGCGTTGGTGTTGGTAACAGGCACACACCTTTACCAGCGAAAACCTTTACCACCACGTAAGTGTTCTAGTAACATACTCAGGCGGTAGCGATCGCACACTGTACTGGCTCACAGCTTCACTGGCACGTAAGTGTCCGGTGGCTTCTCAACAATACATATATATTCATCATCAGGGGAGCTGTCTAGTTCCACAATCTCTATTCTCCGGCGTTTTGCCTTCCTCGCACGGATAAGACCGTGGCCCTCAACCCTCTGCTCCCGCAGTGGCGCCTGAGCCATTTCTGGCATCACATCCGCCGAGACAGCCCTGTCCTCCTGCCGTTGAAGAATCGGCAATGATATGACCTCCTCAGTCTCGATGATATTCGGCTGTTCTTGGTATAGGCAAAAGAAAATAGTTCTACCTCCTGCCAGGGAAATGACACCTTTTCCGCAATGCATTGCCAAATTTGAGCTCTTTCTTTAGCGAACAACAGGCATTAGCATTCTGGGTTATATAAGGGAACAACTAGTCGTACCGATTATATTCTTAAATGACCTCATCCGATTTGGGGACAAGACCTATCTTGCCAGCCAGAGTCTGGCGATAATGCCTGGCGCAGCTTAACGTAGATCTTCCTGGGATAGCGACACTGATCTCTTCCCGAGGTTTCCCATGGGCAATTAGTTCCATAAGTTTTCCGCCTTCTTCTGGTTGCCAATGATATGCCGGCTTCGAGACGGCGCGTGCTTTCATAGTTGCTTGTTGAAAGTATGTCGAAGCCATTGTTTGGGTTAAAGTGAAAATCAAAAAAGAAAATCAGAAAATTGGAAAGAGGCCAGCCATTGAAAGTGAGATGTGGAGTGTGACGAATATGCTTCCTAGGATAAACCGTAGAGAGATATAGGCACGTGGGTTTATGCTAATAGGGTAGGTTAGTCTTACTAGACTATAGTGGGTAGCCTATAAATGAACAAAGGGAACAAAGGTAATAAAGGTCTGTGGTCGGGCCATAAGTATAACCGTCAAGGCTTGATAGGCCTTACTTATAGGTAAGATAGATGCTTAAATAGATCGCTAAGGTAATGACTGTCTATGTAGCTAGGAAATCCCTTTTATTATATATCCATTCATTCTTTTACTGGTATTGGTTGGATCACCGGTGTTCTTTGTGCTGATCACCGTTGGTCCTGGGTGATCCTGTCCCGGATCACTTTCCTTTCTGCCCGTGATCGCCTATGCCTTTGGGTGATCGGGTCACGTGCTATTGGTCCCGTGGTCTCTGTGTCTTGCCGTTCGCCTGCCAGCTGTCTGGTGGGTTCTAGTTGTTCCTTTTCGGGGTCGGGGTTCGTGAGGCCATGTTCGTAATAGTTATTTAATAAATACTTCAGTCATTACTTCCTTATGGAGGCCTCGGGCTTGAAACAAGAATTATGAACAGATGCCGCCTACCCTAATAATCCCCGATCTGGATTGGCGAGCCATTCTCGGATTAGTTTCAGAGCATATATGTCATGCTTCCCCTGTGACGTATAAACGGGCTCCTTACACCACCCTGGCGTACCTCCTTGCATCAGCCTTGCCCCAAACGGCTGACACGATCCAAAATCGATTATAACGGGCATGTTGTCTGCTGTCAGCATGACATTGGCCGGTTTTAAATCATTATGAGCCAACCCGATAGAGTGGAGATGGTCTATAGCTGACATCAACTTCCCCATGAACATATCTAAGTCCATGTCCAGCTTCCCCCCACACTGGAAATGTTCCAGTAGGGTATGACGATATCGCTGAAGTGCTATCCCCATCAAACGGCCGTCTCTTAAATGACACCCATGATATTGTACGATATTTTCATGGGGTGTCTGCGATATTCTCTCCAAGATCAGCGCCTCCGTGAGAAAAATGTTGCGTATCCAGGTGTTATCATCCGGTTCTCCATACCAAGAGAGCGATGGTCGTTTCATGTACAACTCATCTCTAATTGTACCAGTCGTCTCCACCATCTTGACGTTTGTGTTCACTTCTGGGTAGATTTCTTCGTCGGGGATTCGCCGTAGTGATGATTTGACATCCTGAAATGTAGTATTTGCTCTTCTTTTGGGCACGCGTGTGAAGTATGCATCTCCAGAATCGAAGACCTTCCAAAAGACTGTGTATGTTTCTTCAAGTGAATCTGACTTACTGATTTGCACGGTGCCGTCCAGATCAGTGAATGCTTGGATGTCGTAGGAAGGGCTGATGTTTGCCATTGGGAAGATAGGACAGTAACGTAGGATGAGTATGTAAGGTGTAATTAGCGAAGTTGAATACTAGATAACAGAAGAAGCTGTAACAAAAATTTGACCATGACGCAGCCTGTGTGAATGTCTCCTCGGATCCCCAGCTGAGGGGTAGGTATATATGCATTACCAAAGGACTATCACGTGACCGAGCTCGTCTTGATGTGCTGAAAGTGGCGGGGCGCGATGGCCCAACGGATCAACCAACAATCGCCTTTAGACACAGGAATGAAGAATCATTCCCCGCCATCTTCCTTTCCATGAATAGACTTTCGCTGAATTTGTTTCTGATAACTTTATGACCAATCAACCGCTCCACATTTTCGAATTCGTACTTACGTTTTGTTTGTTGGTCGGTCAGGATTCGAGAATGGTCCTTTGATCTCCTGCCATTCCCATTCCGATGTGCCTGTACTATTTTGTTGGCCGTTAAGAATGTAAACGGTTACTCCACCATGTTAGGCGTGTCTTCCATATAACCTATGGAATTTGAAGACTGATGAATTTCCGGATCCGTCGGAGGTTAGTATCAGTAGGGTCTGATGTCCTTTTTGTCACGACTGTCTACTTCGACGTCGGAATACTGTCACGGGACACACTTACATACCACTTGCTGATATATTGAGCCATATCCTGGGTCATTTGACCAACTGAGAAGTCCATTTTCGCCCTTCGTCCAAGCTTATGTACCCTGAGAGATGTTATGTATGTCTATTTAAGACCAACAGGTATGACGCGTTCTGTTCATTTCTTGTTGGATAGAGGATATTTAATAGAGAAAGTGAGGCGGTCTGTTGGAACTGTTGACTTTGTCACGGCACCACAGGGAGGATCGAGGCTGTGCTGCAAAATCCTGTAGTATTGCGAAAAATCTAAAGCTGGAGAGGAAAGGAAAGAAGAGCTCTCTCTATAACTGTGGCGTTTGCTATTTATAGGTGGGGTGGATCACCCCTCGTCCCCCATTATAATAACCACCTGCACTAGCCAGCCCGTAACAATATTTTCATTTATTATCTTTTTAAAAGGACTTAAGATAGATTATTTATTTTTAATTATATATACAAACGCGCGTTTATATGTCTTTAACTTACGAAGTATATAGAGATCTCATTAGAAAATTAATAGTGGTGCGTTTCCAGGTATGGTATAGTGGATTTAGCATTAAATGTTGCTCATATAAATTTGGCTAGTTCGTCAAGCCAGACCAGTGGCTTACGCAGTAAAACCTGAGTCGCGATGGGATCGTGAAGGTCTTCCCCCCCGCCTTTTCCCAAGGTGCATTATGGTCCCTAAACCTATATACGTAAACATCTCCATGCCAGGAAAGTGACATTAATGGGTGCAGTGATATTCATCGTCCGCAAAGAAAATTAAACAGTTTCCCTCGCTCGAACCTCCTCGAGGTGATTTGTGCGCTCATTCCCATCAGCCTCATTTGTCTTGACGACCTCATATCCTGGCATCAATCTTTCGTTCATCTCCTGTTCTTCACCCACTATAAAATGAATGTTAGCGTCAAAGGCAGTTGCCCATTAGCGGTGATGTAATGGTTTCCCCTACATTTCATGGTAACGATGAACGCCAAGACAGTCGGAATCCATTGCCCCAACGCAAGGACTTGGCCAAAACTCCATTCGGAATCTTCATCAGTACTTGGTGCCCGGAGTTTCACAAGGTCTCTATACTCCATAACATAGTATATAAAGACCCACATCGCCACAGTGTAGATAGCTCCCATCAAGGTGCGTAAGACAGATGATATCCGCCCCCAGTACTTCAGTAGTGAGGTAGAGTCTTTTGATATGCTTTTCCCGTTCTCTGGCTTTGATTTGTGCCGTGTCTTAGTGCATTTTGCCACATATATAACTATAACGGTATATATAAACCACACGACACTGACACCTTGTATAATGTGCCCGACGGTAATGAGGTCTCGCATGCGGGTGGTGAGAGAAGTGTCGTCACAGACCGATTGCCATATTGAAGCGCGGGGAAACCCGGTCTTGCGCAGCCGACTCAGAATCATGTCGTAATCATTCCCGCCCCTCGGGAGGATGTCGTCGAGCGTGCTTACGCAGATTACCTTGACTGCAATAGAAAGAGCAATGACAAGGGTCCAGAGAAACAACCTGAGGAAGCGCCACTGCGAGAGGCTTGCGACTGTTTGGAGTATCAAGCAGGGAAACACGGATAACACAGCAACGTGTATAGAGACCATTGCCGAATAAATCATCATGTCGTCAGAGTCAGGCTTACTGTCGGGCTCGTATATAACACTGAAACGGGCGAGTGCGGCTCCAAGCATTGAGGCGGCGAAGATGAGTGCAGCATCCAAGAAACTATTGACAGATACTCGAAAGGCCGCTATGAAGCGTGTTAAGCTCCATATTTTCGAGGATGCACCATGGAAGGGGTGAAGTCTATCCAGTGATAGCACAACGAAGTATATGGTTGCGAGAAGGGCAGCTGTCGTGGTTAGCCGACTTGGTTGTTTATGTCTCTGCCCGTCGTAAAACATGAATCAGAAAGGAGCTCTGTAGATGCTGGCTTACCAAGACAATAAGTAACTAGCATCTATTCAATATATTAGCGCCAAGCCATGCTACGGTCCCGGACAGGAAACCCTTCATCACGATTGGGTGAAACTCACGCCTCTTCCAGAGATATCTGGGTCACCCCTAACGTTTAGCTTGTCGCAGATCGTATAATTGCAGTCCAATGCCAGACTGAATGTTTTTTTCAACACGGAGTTGTATTCGGCTGTTTCGAAATATGTTTGGTTGCTCCATACGTCGTTGTACCAAGCCATGAGGTTCGGCGCATACGCAGGATTTTCGCGGCTGCGGTTTGGCCAGTTGTCCGGGACCAAGTGATCTAGAAAGTTCAGTATAATTCCTACATCTCCAACCTTTGACTTGGTCGAAAAGTCCCCCTCGTCCACCTGGTCCAGAACTAAAATACTGCCGGCATAGTATTCCACCATGGCACTGCAGCCGCTGATATTCAGGTCACTGAATGCGGGAGCTGTCCATGACGTGGCGATGTCCACTGGAGTGTCCATCTTGAGCTGGGACGTTATGATTTTCGAAGTCAACACGACCAGAATGAATCTCAAAATCTGCGGGCACACACAGCCTGGAGTTTCGTTTGGTGGAGTGCCAGAGTAATATGGCGCGCGAGGCGCTGAGGGAAGTGCAGAACTCCGTTTGTGACGGTCCAGCCCATCTCATTCAGCGAGAACCGCAGGTTCCATTGTCGTGAGTTTAGCCCCCAACAGCCCTCCAATAATAATATGCAGCATGGCAGCAGTTAAGCGTCCGCCAAGACATGACTCTATAGCCAATAAGAGGGTCAACATAACGAGAAAGGCAGCAAGATGATCTCAAGCAACCAGGATTGTAATCCACAAGGCGACACACGTCTCGATGCAGGCACCGTGGACACCTCACACGCTTAAACATACAGAATAGGACACTGACGGTGCGCAGCCTTGTTTCATCGAACCACGATGATATATACAGTGCCGATCATGACGTAGGCCGCTAGAATGGAGTCGTGCGATTGGCTACCTCGCCGCAAAATTGCATTCATGGACGCTCTGCGGCTGAGAAAAAGTGCCCCCCCCCCCCTTCCCGTCTTGTAGGACTGATCCACTGACACAATCATCACTGGGTACTGACCCCATTTTCCTATTCCAGAATAAGTAGTCGAATACGCGTGTAGCCAGGGTTGCGAATTGGCAATAATCTGCGCAAAGGATTACGTCTTTATCGAAAACAGCTTTAACCCGAGACCTGGAATACGACGTGAAAAGATAATCGTATGCGTCGACGAGTCCTACTTGATATGTATTGACTAGTAAAAAAACAGGATACATAATCTCCCTGCCCGTGGGTAGGGCTGAGAGAGAGTTTGTGGGCCCAACTTGTGTACCATAGCAATACGGTCCTGTGGCGGCGCAGCCATAGGTGCCGTCAGCCACTCCGTAGCGTATCACCGCTCATCGTGCGTCAGATCTCTATTCCGGGGTCTTCTGTCTGTTTTCTCTAGGTCCACTGCATCAGCAAGGCTCTTAACCATTCCCTCCTTTGTGTGAACGGAAACAGAGACAATGGTACAAGGTATTCCTATCGGCGGCGCCTCTATATAGCAAACGGCACCGCCATACCGCTGTTCCAAGGTACTGAACGGTGGACTTGACATATCCCTCAGTCATCGCCTATCTGCATCGCTAACAATTGCGCTTCGAAAAGAGTAGTGCGACTTTGTTAACTTGGCGGATCAAGCATGTGTTAAGGCTCATTTGTTGGCACGAAGCACTTCCCGGTGTGCAAAGCTTAGAGACGATCCGTACTCCTGATTCGAAGTGTACTCACAGGGCGACTTGAGTCAAAAACATGTATTGCATAGTGTGCGAAGAAGAAAAAAAATGAGGGCTTCTGTAACAAATCGTTATTACCATGTTTCCCGCTCTCAATTATCAAGCTGTAAGCCACTGGTTGGGTCAAAGTCGCATCAACGATCGTAACGTAAATTTCACTTCCACTCGTTTCAATTAATGATTTTCTATAAAACCCCAACCCCAACCCCCCATTCCCCATTTCACAGATCCTACCCTGCGCTCTTTTTGATCCGATTGTCACTGGGGCTGGATGTTTCTTGTCCGCCACTTCAAACCCTTTACAAACATGCCGATCCCCCTTTGTCATTCCGCAAGTTCTTCAACTTCCCGAGACAGGTGTCAGGAGTTTGGTCACGGAGTGAGGAAGACAGTAACCGTAGTATATAATAGGGGAGGATAACAACTAATCTCTGTCCTTTTAGGGCGCGGGTACCTTTGAATCTATATCAGTACTCGGCAGTAACGCTCGCCTTATTGCCGCATCCCTAAGCGTGACTTGATACTGGTGATTCAGGGAACAGCGCACCTGGATTTCATTGCTGCCGCTTGTTACCAGTGGACCCTGACAAAGGATCGTAATATAAGTGAAACAGCATTCAGAACTCTAATGGTCTCACAATAAGAATATCGTGCGTTCTCAGGGGCTACAAAAACAGATACTCAATTCCTATATGTTTCGAAAGCCTTTCTTTGTCACAGGGAGCCCCTTGGAAAGGCTAGGTTCTGCTGCAGCACTGAAGAGACTCCAGTGCTCACTAAGGAGAAAGGCATCAGATCCACTCTTGAATATATACATCCTATGGGTGGTTACATCCATTGAGCTGAACCGGCGATTATGGCCACGCTGTGCGCGATATCAATAACCGGGCCTCGTGGTCGCCGCACAAGGAGCGGAACATGACGCATCGGTTGCATGTTCCGATTTGAAATGTGCGGGGAGGAAAGCGAGGAGGAAGGGGGAGGATAGCGGAGGAGGGAGGAAGATAGATCCAGCTAAAGCAGCGAACCTAATCTGTCTATGCACCGGTCAATGCAGTCAGCAAAAGCATCTGACCCTCCGCCTGTATGCTATATCACCTATTTGGGCGTCCTAAAGCCAGTCGAAGAACAGCCTGCTTTGGGTCGTATCGGGAAAAGCACGCTTATGACCGCCCATTGGTTATGCAATGCATGTGGGAGAGAGGCCGTATCGTTTCGCTGCACATGTTGGTACGTTCGAAGCTGGGTTTGGAGACCATACCGAGACATTCGGCAGATCATTGCCACAACCTTATATCGATGCTCGAGATTACCGTTGACTAGCAACGAGATCCGGTCCTCGACGCACGGTAGCTATAAAAGGAAAACACAACTAGCTGCCTACAGATTTGGGTCTCAGTCTTGGCATTAATGGTCCGCTTGGAACTCTTGAAGGCTTACTGCAGACTTTGGATCAACAAGGGTACGATAATCAACCCATTGCGCCGCAATTCTATCTTGCTCGATTTTGTGAATTCTGCACCTTGAAAACATGATTTGCTCGTTCTGCTTGAATGCTATTTTTACCTTCGTGCCCGCGTCGAAAAACGAGTTGGTTCCTCACCACCCCGACGATAACGCATGGGCTCGTTCGCTCCTCATGCCGGGTAAGTGCAGAATCTTCTGGATGATGTAGAATGAAGTTCGTAGTCATTTTGAGCGGCCTGTTCATCGGCCATCGCATGAAGACTGCAATAACGCGACATCGTTGGCTGTTGCAATTTCCGATCATGTGGACTGCTGGCCGAAGTTCGCCACCTATGTATCCGAACATGGCACATGTTCCTGGATATCGGTGGCGGAGTACAGGGTTTACAAAGGCGAGCGCCAGCCTCAATATTGTCATCCGAATGCATTCATATTGCAACCTACTGAGGAGGGTGGGCCTCGGCCTGAACTAGAGGAGTTATCGGTAGCAAACATTGGCTTGTCTGTTACTGCTCAACCGATCCTTTCCAGTGCTAGCCAACGCCATGAAATGCACCGCACAGTGGCTGCGTGTATGCAACGATACGCATGCTGAATGCCGGAGTTTTATCCAGAGGCAGCAAGAGCGACGGCCTCTGCTGACTTTATGCCAACTCGTGTTCTATTGGCACATCCACCAACCCTCACCTGCGCGATCCAAAACTATTCGTACCACTACGAGTCCGAGACAACATTCGAGATTTTGATCGACATATAGGATTTGACTCACTTCCCTGAACATTCAAGGAATCCGTACAAGTGTGCTGGGCGTTAGGGATCAAATATCTTTGGATCGATTCCTCTGTTTTATTCAAGACAAAGACGACGATTGGGCACGAGAAGCAGGCGAGGTCCGTTCTACTTACAGAAATTCGTACTGTAACATTGCAGCCGAAAACTCGATATACGCTCGAGGGGGTTAATGCAATATTGGTGGCTAAAATGGCTAAATGTGACCTTGTTATGCACGATGCGGCCTTTTCAGGTGAGGTACAGCGTGAACCTCACGCAATGCAGTGTCGATCCTGACGTAGGTGCTATAATAGATCGTTGGGATTAGCTGCCTTGCTGCCATCTTGCATTTATGGACAATTTGCAAGGGAAGACTGAGCAAAGATGCCACGAAAAATTGTAGTAGAATTGACCGAATTGCCATTGGGTGTCTAGCCCTCCTTTCGGAGTTGCACGACAAAAAGTAAGATATGCACAATTTAGCTATCAAAGTATCGCCACCACGTCAACCGCACCGCAAGTCAGACTCAGACTCTGCCGCACTTCAATTTCAACGAGTTACTCGCAAAGTACCAGTGTCTGTCGAATGACATCAGATCTGAATGTTCCAAGGCTTACCGGCATCTCCAGAAAACAAATGGCTATTTGCAGCGTGTGTCATGATCTACGGAGAAAGGATGACCCTAGTTTCCATCGCCTGGCCCTAGATTTTGGGCCCGATGAGCTGATAGAATCTGCCAAGTCTAGAAAATGCCCACCCTGTTCAATAATCTTCAACAGCATTCAAAGATTTGAGAAACATTCATGGGATTTACCAAACGATGTCAGGCGCGTCTATATATATGCACTAGAGGACACGGACAAGGATGGCTCACTCCGTGTTGAGCTCTACTTCCACGATGACAGGCAGAAACTTTCGCTGGAGATCTTCCATGCTACAACAGGTGAGAAGTTAAGTCATCTGCAGGCTTTTATGATGCTCATTTTATAGATGAGCGCATTTGCCCTTGGCCGGCAATCAGAACAAAACCGTCAACAAATGGACACCCATTGAGTCCAGAGTCTGTTACCTGGGTAAAATCCCACATCAGCGACTGCCTTCGGAACCATACAAATTGTTCATCAAGAAAAAGAGTGAAACTTCCTCATCGGATCTTATCTTTTAAGAATGGCCGACTGGGAAATATCACTGTGCGGCTGCAGGAGTCTTCGACTAAACGAGGTCGTTATGCGGCACTGAGCCACTGCTGGGGGAATTACCAGGGCTTGATTACGACGACTACTTCCCTTCAAGCAAGAAAGCAGGGGATTGACTGGGAGGAGATACCACAGACCTTCCAGGATAGCATCAGATATTGCCTGCTGCTGGGCATTCATCATCTTTGGATCGATGCTCTATGCATTCTGCAGGATGATCTATTGGACTGGGATCTTCAGTCTGGCAAAATGGCGGACATTTATCAGAATGCAGACATTACGCTGGCCGCAACAAGTGCCATGAATGATTCTGCTGGATGTTTCACTAACATCTACTCTCAGAACCCGGAATACAGAGTCGATATAGACTCAAAACCTGCTTCTCCGCTCCTGGTGCGTGAGAAGCTTCTCCACTGGGCCTCGTCTTCATATAATGCTACAGTGGACCATTGGCCTCTCGTTACTCGCGGCTGGGTATTTCAAGAGCGCCTTCTTTCAAACAGAGTGTTGCATTTCTGCAGGCGAGAGCTTGTATGGGAATGCTGCCAATTGACAGACTGTGAATGCGGCGGAATAAATTCTTCTGCATCTTGGGAACAAAGTTTTGCGTCCACGGATGGCCAAAGAGTCGGAATACAGGAAGAACGCGGAATACACGAAAGACCCTATATACCCGTAGTATTGCGGAATTTTCATTATTCAACTATAGACCTTGCAGCTGCCCGAGGTGCTGGGCCTATTACTATTCGCGAGTCTACGACCTCTAGCAGTACAAGCCTCAGCACAGTGCCTTATCCGTCTCCGTTTCCGTCTCAGCCTCAGTCTCCGGAACCATTTCGAAGAAAACGTCGTTTTAAATTTATCCACAAGGCTGAAGGCTACTTTAGGAAGTACACTCGGAATACAATCAATTGGGATGTGGCCCTTCCGCAGCCCGGGAGGGAGATCATCCTCGAAAGTTGGCACCGGGCTATCGAGGAGTTTACCCGCCTAAAGCTTACAAAACCGACGGACTGCTTGCCTGCTCTTTCTGGACTTGCGAAGATAATGGCTATGGGATCCAGAAAATATGCCTCGGGCCTTTGGAGGGACACCCTAGAATGGGACTTACTATGGCGAGTACATCGGCTCGATCATGAAGCCAAGAGGCCAGCCGCCTATCGAGGACCTTCATGGTCCTGGGTCTCTGTCGCGTCGTCAGTGGTATATTGGACTCAGAATGAGTTAGAAAGACACGGTAACCCATACCGCGATGCGCCGGAGTTCACCATTCGCCATCAAGTAACGCAATTCGAAAACAGCGTACGAGGATTTTCCTTAGCTATTGTACCTCCCACTTCTGAGGCGAAGGGGAATAATCCATTCGGCGAAGTCGAGAATGGCGAGCTCATGGTATTTGGCCACGTGCTCCCAGCTCGGCTACTATATTCAACATCCAGAACCGGAAAATCCGGCCAGAAAGAGCATGACCCCTTCCACTACGAGCTCTCTTTGGAGCATCCTTTACATGCGAATCTCGAATTTCCCTTCTTCGCGGATTACATATTGAGCAACAGGCAGGACGATTTTGTTGCTAACCATACAGAAGTGCTTCTGCTCGAGATTCGTGTCAATCTTTTCCTTGTGCTCAAAGAGACTTCCGTGCAATCAGTCTTTAAGCGCATCGGAATTCTCAAGTGCCGTACTGGGTTAGTGACTGAGTGCGGCCAGAATATGATGAATGGGACTGGGATGGAGGTCGAAATGCTTTCCATAATATAGCTATACAATGCATCAGTCTTCAGGTCAGCACATGAAACGGATTGACTATATATTCTCTTCAATGTATAGTCGACAGGATCAAGCACTGCCCTCACAAATGCGGCATTACTCACATGCCAAAAGTATTCTGCTAGACATTCTGAATGTTCTTGCAATATTATGTACGATACAGTTCTTCTTCATTTCCCTTGAATGACGTATGAATGGTCTTTCAAGCGAGATTTAGCTTTTACAATACCTACCCCATATTGTGTATTTCTGAATGTACCTAACCTACCCCTGTGCATGGTACTTCAGGTCTAAGTCAATCATACTTTAACTGATTTATAACTTTCCATTCAAAAACGCCAATAAAGGCAGGGTGCCCAGCTGGGATGTGAGCAGGCCATACAGAGCATGGGCCAAAGGAAGGCACAACAGCACATTTTCTCCCGGTCCCCTCCCCCCCCACCCACCCACTCACCCAACCAACCAACCAAATAGCGCAGTTTACACAATGTCTGAGATGCAAAGACATTACTTTGGAACGGTCCCGATTCCCATAGCTGGTGAGTCCGCCAGGGGTGACAGAGTCAGTGAGGAATGGCGGACACTGAAAACATTATGGGTGAGTCAATACCAACATCCGGTCCGCGTTGGGGATCTTGCAGTTCTCAAATGTAGTTTCACTTGGAGGCCTTGCATTCATCAACCGTTTCTATTCGTGCTTGGCATGCTTATACTAGATCTTCAACTAACTAAGTGCAACCTTGTTATCGTTCAACGGCAACGTCTTCACGATTCAGGGTAGACCACCGCTCGATCACCCGTAGTCCACAGGATCTTGATCTCCCACCGCTTGATCTTCCACAAGCCATCGCCGCTGTGCTTGACGAGATCTATGAAGTACAAGACCGACGCCGTGTACGACGTGTCCTCGGGCTTGAGCGCTTCCTCCGGTCGGAAATGGTACGCGATGGCGTGGGCGGTCAGGGACGCCGTGTCCGCGCCGTCCTTCAGCTCCACGCGGACGTTGCTGGTGATGTGCGTGGTGACCAGGACGAAGACCTTGTGGAAGAACTCGCTGATGGCGGTCCAGCCCTCCACCGTAGCCGGACCAATGACAAGCGCCATGCTCTCGTCCTTCAAGCATCCCGACTCGAACAGTTCCCGGTCATTGCTGTCGATACCGAGGAGGCAGCGGTGCAGGGCATCTGCGACGGCCTCGCGTGGACTAAGTGCTGAGAGTGCGACTGGGGTGGCCATTGCTTTGTGCGGAGGGCACTAATGAAACTCTAGGCTAGGATATACTCTGTGTGATCGGGACCACATTTACCTCTTGGCGGCCAAGCTTTATATACATTCCTTATCTCAATTGCAACTATACGGTCGTTGCACGTTCAGCTTACGTGGATTTACCGGATTTATCGGTGTTATAACGGAAATAGAGCATTACGTGCATAATCAGCCTACACATTCTGCATTGATTCACTCACTCTTGGTAGCTTTGAGCTCAATAGTCTTTACACGTAGATTGTGACATAGCCTATAAAAGTGACTGCGTGCGGGGAGTTATAGTAGCTAAATTCAAGTCACTTTTATACTTTTCGGCATGGATGGTTTTGCGACACAAAGACGGGCGTTCGTTCTCCCTCCTGAAATTGTGACATGATCTTTTGTCGCGAGGATGGAAGGCTTTAGTTAAGGACGGAGACGCCATGTAAGAAATGTGGTTCTGCGTTTCGTCGAGATCTACCCAGAGAAATACAGCAGTCTGATATATGATGTGGACGTAACATATCCATAGCCCGTCACGGAACCATCGTCACCATCAAGGGGCAATTGGGAAAACATGGGCTGAAAAGGTGATTCGCAATCAGACCGGCTACGACAGAGGCCCAAGACTCAATCAAGACATGCATTGACGTATGGTGAAGTCCGTCTTTGGCTAGATCCACATAAGCCCAAGCTGAAGCAGGCGACGCTGTCTATCTCACCAACATTCTATAGTCATCAATCGGCTTGTATGACCAAAAGAGAGTTTCGGTTCTCGATCAAGCCATCTCACACCGATATTCTCCTACAAGTGTCACCGAGGCGGAGCAAAGCCCCGCGGCTGTTGTACGGCAGACAGCGTATACCTCAGCCGAGCCCCCCACGCCTTGACACATGTGCACCCCTGATGTAAGCTTCGGCTACCACCACAGCTGCGCGCGTGCTTCCACGCAGAAACAACAACCATCAGCCCTATCTCTGGTGCAGCAGGCGTCTCGCTAAGGCGTCTCTCTCTGCACCTCTCACCGCTTTTGAAACCACAGCCCACCGCCGCTGATCACTTGTGGCACTGGCAACTGCAGGCCCCCAAGTACAGAGCTGACTCAGCCGTTGCTGTTGTTGGTTGGACCTGTGCTGCGACCAGTTTTCACGCTGGGGGCGGCTCGGCGGGCTGTTTTTAGAAAACCTCGAACAGGTGTTCAGCCTTATAAAGAAGAGCTTTTGGGGTCGGCGAAGTGTTCTTTTTGTTTGGAAATCATGTCTCGCAAGAAACCCCGCGCACACTGCTACCTGAACGTTTGAACTATCCTGGACCGGAGCCTGATAATAGCCACACCCTTCGACAACTCACACACAATGCCCAAGGCCACACGCCAGACCTCGCCACCAGCGGCGACCACAGTACGGAGAGAGCCGCCTGCCACTCGCAACACGAGCACAAAGGGGGACGACTCGACGCACTACACCTACGTTGCCGAGGACGCGGCGTGGAAGATGCGGCTGTGGAGGCGTGGCGGAGGTTGCATGGCTCATGGGCAAGGGAGCTACGGCAGCGCTTGAGTCTTGACGGCCGTTGTAGTGGCGTTGTCGGGTCTATGCGATGATGATGTTAGAGTGCATTCCAATCGGCGTCTTCTCTGAAGATTGGTGGGTATGAAATTATTTGTTGAAATCATGTAAGTGGGCCGAACCCATGGGGCAGCGTTATGGAACCTCCAGCTGACATGGAGGCAAGATTTGATCTATTCGTCTCGAGATGGATGTCATGAAGAGGCATGGGAAGCGAGTTTTGCTTAGGCGTCGGGTGTTTTCATGAAATTGAGATAGCGCTGGCCTTGGCGATCGAGGTATCAAGAATGATAGGCTCAGCGCTGCACAGGAGACTGCTTGAAAGCGAAGGGACGATGGTATCGCTTTGTTTTATGCACGTTTTCATTATCTTTGGAATCGAAACGGTTGTCTGTCGCCGATTCAAAACTTGCTAGCCCCTTTTGATACAGACGCGATGATCTCAGCTCAGTGGTTTCCAAGGATCTATTCCCTAAACTCGGCAAATAATGCTCGATTTGCCCCGAAATATGAGTACAGGCATATGTACAAAGCGTGTCCTAATCATACAAGCACCGGATATGGGATGCCGCTCTATCGCCGGCCTCTCTTGGAGGCTATTGCCGGGTGGTTCAAGTTTGCTCGTGCGGCCGTGGCCAACTTGTGTACCGTCTGCCTCTTGTCCCACACCGACGACTTGCCCTCGACCACGGACACGATCTCCTCGGCCATGCGCGAGGCGAACTGCGTCCTTCCACTGCCCCTGGACTTCTTCTTGTTCACGACGTCGAGGATCCACAGGATGGCAATGCGCCGCCGTTGCCTCGCGGTGAGGGGCTCTGGCAGTTCGAGGGCGTTGCCACCACCGGCCATACCCTTCATGTTCTTGATGCGCATCAGGGGCGCCACGCTGTCAATGGCCAGGGTGAGGTAGAGAATGGGGTTGAGGGGGAGCTGCTCGGGCGGCGGCGAACCGGGCAGAAGAGGCCGTAGGGGGTTGATCTTCGGGGCGGGGGCGGTTCGGAGGAAGTTGAGGATCAGAGACATGTGCTATATACAACGGGTTAGCTTTGAGCCGGCCGACTATGCTACCATATGCTCTCCAACATATGCGGCACGGCGGAGGGCGTGGCTTACCCTCTCGGCCTGGCTGAGCTTGCCGTCGCGCATCAGCAGCCTTGTGATCTGGTGGATGACGGTCGGGTATCTGTTCTGCAGCTTGTCGTCCTTGCCCGGCAGAGCAGGCATGCCAAACTTGTGGCCGGGGTCCTCATCGAAGAGATCCTGGCCGGCGGCGGCCTGCTCGAGCTTGGCCAGGGCCTCGGCGTTCAGCCAGTTGTCTGCGAAGTGCTCCGGGGGCGGGCGGACGTATTTGGCGGGCGGCGGCCTCGAGGCGTTGGCATTGGGGCCGTCTGATCGGATGGTGGTGTCGTCGGCGAGTCCTCGTCTCGCAAGGGGGAGGGCAGCCCGTCGCTCAGCGCATTGCAGGGCGGGCCGGGACCGGATGCACAGGCTGCGGCAGACGCCCCAGGGGTTGACTTTGGAGGCCATGTTGTTCAGCAATGCGACATCAAGCCCATCGGCTGGAGGGCGGAGGGCGGAGGGCGGGGGGAATCTCGCGATATCGAGCTCCTGAGGTCGAGGCTATGCGCTTTGCTTGGGCGGGTTCTACGTAGTAAAATTATTTGGAGCCGCGCCCCGGCCTCCGGTGCCAGGCCAGCTGCGCTCCAGGGCTGCCAGAAAGGTGTCGCGTGTTGAGTTAATCCGGACGCGGGCGACTTGCACAACTTGGAATACGATAGTACCGCGAGTTATGTAGTAATGCATTCACTGGAGAATTATGCATGGACCAAGGTGTTGAACGAGATCCACTCGCTACCTTGACCAAGAGCCACCGTGGACCCGTGGTCCGTGGTCCGTGGCCCGTGGAGCCAGTCGCTACCTACCACTCGGGCCACTGCGGGAAAATCCACTGCCAGGACAAGTGAATCCGGGGTCTTTCTTCAGTGAGCCCCTGCCAGCCTTCAGTGCCGCCAGTGAATGCCTCGGTGGACCTCGGCATGTGAAGCCAGTCTGTAGACTCGAGCGCCCAGAGCCCCCCCAAAGTCTGAGTTAGCGCACCCGATAGCGACGCAGTCGAGTCCACACTCGGTTAAGTTAGAGAGAACCAGAAGTGAGAGAGCGCGCACTCGGTCGATGCTATCTGTTGCTCATCATCAGCATCATCATCACCACCAGTCTGCTGCTCCCAGCCCGCCCCAGCTTCTTCTCCCTCCCATCCCCACGGCAGGCTACGACACCTTTGCCCTCCACCTGCTGCTCATCTGCGTCTTCACCCACCGCCGCCGCTCCGACGACGATACCGATACCCACTACTACCACCACCACAGCGACAGCAGCTCCCCCGGACCCCCGAAGCCGATCACCACCATGGTCGCCGACGCCGTCATCTACCACCCCTCGGTGTCGCACTACCTCAAGTTCGTCGCCACCACCGTCGGCCGCGACAAGCTGCTGCGCACCCTGCAGTACTTCTCGCGCTTCTACGCCTGGTACCTGTTCCGCACCAATGGGTCCAAGGCCGAGATCGCGCCCTTCGAGGCCATCAAGAAGCAGTTCGGCCTGACGCGCAAGCTGCTGCGCGTCGGCAAGAACGTCGAGCACCTCAAGGCCGCCGCCACCGCCGCCGACTCCAAGAGCCTGGACCCCGTGCTGCGCTACGCCGCCGTCGGCCGTCAGCTGGGCTACGCCGGCTACCTGACCTTTGACATGGCCACCGTCCTCGACGCCGTCGGCATCCGCAAGTGGGAGGGCGCCAAGGCCGCCCAGAAGGAGGCCTACCGCTTCTGGGCCATGGGCCTGCTGTGCAGCATCGTCGCCCAGACCTACACCCTCTACCGCCTGCGCGAGCGGGAGGCAAAGGTCGACAAGAAGGAGGGCGAGGGCGTCGTCGAGGCCAAGAGAATCGCCATGTAGGTGCCCATTGCCGTCGGGCAATCCCCTCCCTTGCAGCAACTGTTCTAGATTCTGGAGTCTAACATGATACAGTGAGCGTGCTGCCAGCCAACTCCAATTGGTGTCCGACCTGTGCGACTTCACTGTCCCGGCGTCGGCACTCACCTGGATCGGGTTCGATGATGGCTTTGTTGGTCTGGCTGGAACCGTCAGCAGTTTGATCGGCGTGTACACACAATGGAAGAAGACTGCTTAGATGGCCGGCGGTGGACTTATTTGGGAGTAGTTGTGTGAAAAATTGCTCCAACATCCTCGAAGGTCCCTTCTGCACAAGCGTCTGTCTGAGCGGGGGATGTAGAGGATTCTGATGCTGGCCTAGAAGGCGACCAGGCTCAGGAAATCTTTTGTGTATAATGACTTATATCCTTGCCTTATCGGCGCGGCGCGGCGCATTGCGATTTGCTGCAGGGCGTAGAACGACGGGCGATTATTTATCGGGCAATTCAAAAGACATATTCATTCACTAAAAAGGCGTCTTTCTCTTCATGCCCGCTTCTACCCAGCAAGGTGTACTGTATATTGAGAACCAGAACATATGTAATAATTGGTCTATACTCGTATAAGAGCGGCTGATACCAACTCGGCTATCGATGAGTCGTGTAGAGTACAGCAGGGTATCCTTCCTACATGCACGTAACTAACTATAACTGTCTAGCTAAGCCTTCATCGTCCAACTGACGCCTTCCAAGCGAAACATCTATGTGTTGCTGGTCAAGGGCCCTCCGTGGCGCGATGTTTGGCTCGTCGTTGCTATAACCTTACTAACTCCCCTTTATCGAACGAACCGGAGCACGGTGTGACCAATGCACTTGGAGGCGAACCACCAAGGTGGCTTTGCGGGAAAGGCAAGTTCGAGATTATATCTCGATTCCCTCTGTCACTTTGCACACGAACGACACACCGTCCCCAGCACAGAATGCTATCAAGTGCAACAACAGGAAATATAGCGGCTCTCGGCATGCCCGAAATCCTTCTGGCTGCATGGTCCCGCTTCCCCTGCATCTACTACGTAGGGTTATCAGCAGCGAGGGGCAGTTTGGGTCATCTCGTCGGACGTCTGCGCTTTGGTCGCGGCAGCCCATGTAAGTCGGGCATGGTAATGCGGAAAAGTTGCGGGATAATAACATGATGCCGGCTTCTTAACTCGAACTATCAGCCGAGTGCCGTATTCACGAAAGAGGAAGACGACCTCAAGCCCGCGATAGTGTCCCTACGTAGACCGGCCCGCAACCTGTCTGCCAAAGTTTCTGTAAGGAGATAGCGAGACAAACACCACGGTCTGTCACTAGCAAATTGGATGGTGTTCTTTGAGCACAAGACCATCTTCCTTCTTGGACGGGAGTGGCATCAGCAATCCGTGGCTTGCATGCGACAGGGGGGGATCGGGCTCTACCAGTGGCTGCATTCTGCCCGCCAAGTCCGCTAACGTGCTGGAAGATCTGCCGTGGCGCTCGTCTAGACAGCGACAAGCTTCGGCCATGCCCGCGAACCCGCAGTTCAACGTTACCTGCCTGTTGTCGGTCGGCTTCTCGTGGGCGTTCTTCCCAAGGACGTTTCGTTCCACAAGATGAATCGGACGCGCGCACATGCGGCACTCTGTCCCAAGCTCGATTACGGGGCTGGCTTGGCACGGGATAGAATCGCTTCGTCTCATAGGATGCCCGGCGGCGCGGAATCAGGCCGAGATCCACAGAAGCCTGGGACAGCACGAACTACGGATCCTGACCAAAGTTACCTGACTACTAAGTTACTTGACTACTGTACAAGCCAGCGTGATAGGTCATTGCCCGATAGGCAAGATAGAAAAGAACACACGACGGTGGAGCCTGGTTCGTCCGAACGCATCCCAGTCTGGTGGATTCCCAAGGGTCCAAAGGTTGGGATGCGTCGTCAAGCAATGGGAGATCGGCATCACAGCAGGACTATGATGATAGCGTAGGGGGCGTAGCTCGCAGTGCTGCCACATTGCCTGCATTTAGTACACAGCGGGATTTCCCAGCGGCCACATGGTCCCATCCCATGCAGGTAGCTAAGTTAGAGGTAAGCCCGTCCGAACGTGAGTGTGAGTGGTCGTGCATGCCGCTGCAGGATGCGGACCAAATACCGTGACATAACAAGTAGTCAACTAGCCAAGGTGAGCGAGTAGCTAACTAGGTTGCTCAGCTATTAGACAGGCCGCCTGGTGCAGGGTAGCATGCCGAACAAGATTTAAAATGTCTCTGCACCTAGGGTGTCTATTCCTGAGCTCTGTTTCTCTTGTCCCTCCTGCACTAGGTCAACCTCAAGCCTTTTCTTGTCCTTGGCTTTCTCTTGGCCTCCCTTGAACTCTCTTGGGTCCTATCAATCCTATATAATATTTCAACTTGCATGGAGATATAGTATACAGATTGTGCTGCGCCTCGCTCTTGATCTCCTACCTACCAAACCCCCACCTTTCCGGCCGTGATACTTTTGTGCACTAGAACCGAGCGAGTGCGAGGGCTTCCCTGGCATTCGGAATGTTGGGCTTCGCGCGCAGGAAGAAGCAGCCCGCCGCGGAGGAGCAGCAGATCACCAACGTCGACAATGGGCCCCCCATCGACCAGAAGCCCTTTTGGCAGGCCATCTGGCCCGTCATCGCCTGCGGCGCCGGTCTGTTCTCGGACGGCTACATCAACAACGTCATAGGCTCGGTCGGCACCGTGCTCACCTACGAGTACGGCGATGTGTACACATCGTCGCCCGCGAAGCAGAATGTCGCAGCCATTGCCTTCGCTGGAACCGTGAGCCAAGCCACCATCATCTCCACCGCCCCGGCGAGCGGGCAACGGAACGAGGAGCGCAAAATACTAACGCGAGATGTCACTTATAGGTCGTCGGGCAGCTCGTGTTCGGATTTCTGTCTGATCACTGGTCGCGGGTCAACTCCCTGCTCGTATCCACGATTGTTCTGATTGTCTTCACGGCCCTTGCTGCTGGATCGTACTGGCACGGCGAGGCCGCCGGCATGTTTAGTATGCTGACCGCATGGAGGTTCTTCGTAAGCTCACCCACCTTGGGCGGTACTAGAGTCACGCAGTTCAACTAACACATGCTCAGGTGGGAATCGGGATTGGAGGTACGACATACGAACTTATGGTCTTTTGCGCTATCTAATAGTCATATGTAGGCGAATACCCGGCAGGAAGCGTGAGCTGCGCTGAGTCCAGCGGCGAGCTCAAGAGCGGTACCCGAAACGCGTGGTTCATCCTGTTCACAAACTCCATGATCGACTGGGGTTTTGTGTTTGGCGCATTCGTACCATGTAAGTCAAGCATCCCTTGCGGTGGGACTTGCTATACTCGCACGGCTCCACTCTGGCTAACTCGACATGATCTACAGATGTCGTGGCGGCCGCCGCCTCCAATATCTACTACGGCACCATCTGGCGCACGAGTCTGGGGATCGGTGTCGTCTTCCCCTTGGTCCTGTTCCTCATCCGCCTCAAGCTCAAGGAACCCGAGGAGTTCAGCCGCAACTCCATGAGGAACACTAAGGCGCCGTACAGGCTCGTCTTCAAGTATTACGGGTTCCGGCTGTTCATAGTCTCGCTGATCTGGTTCATCTACGATGTAAGTCACATGCCGCCCCCACACGGGAAAGCCCCCCTCTGTTCTGCGGGAACCCGGACTGAACAATGACTCCCCTTTCCCTCCATCTAGTTCTCCGTCTACGCCTTCGGTATCTACTCGTCCCCGATCCTGTCCAGCATCTACGGGGACGGCGCGGCGCCGCTGACGACCGTCTTCGGCTGGAACACGGTCATCAACCTGTTCTACATCCCAGGCACCATGATCGGGGCGCCCCTCAGCGACCGCTTCGGCCCGCGGTACACGCTGGCGGGCGGCGTGGTGGCGCAGGCCGTCGTGGGCTTCATCATGGCGGGCCTGTACTCGCGGCTGGCGCAGCCGCAGTACGTTGGGGCCTTCGCCGTCGTCTACGGCGTCTTCCTCAGCCTGGGCGAGCTGGGGCCGGGCAACAACATCGGGCTGCTGGCGGCCAAGACGTGCGCGACGGGCGTGCGGGGCCAGTACTACGGCGTGGCGGCGGCCGTGGGCAAGATCGGGGCCTTCGTCGGCACCTACGTCTTCCCCTACATCGTGGCGGCCGGCGGCGCCGTCGACGAGAGCCGCAAGTACCAGTACCCCTTCTACGTCGCCGCCTGCCTGTGCATCCTGTCGGCCTGCCTCGCCCTCTTCTGCCTGCCCCACATCGACCAGGACACCATCACCAAGGAGGACGCCGACTTCCGCGCCTACCTCGAGAGCCACGGCTGGGACACGCGCCAGCTGGGCCTGAACGCCTCGAGCCTCGAGGCCGTCGACAGCGAGCAGGCCGTCTACGGCCACGGCGCCGCCGAGCCGCCGCTCACCAAGGAGGCTGCCGCGTAAGGGGGATGCCACATGGTGAGGCGGCGATAGGCTGGTGCTTCAGGGTACTCGAGGCAAGGCGAAGTGGTGCGTATCATATACACCCGCTCTCAGGTCTGTAGATGCCAGTCTCATAGGCTGAGGGCACCCGACCTTAGTATGCGATCGCGAGGTGGGTGGTGGCTTGGCTCAATGTGCAGGTCGAGGTTGTTCATGTATGCATTTAGTCAGATACCCTTAAGGACACTTACCGAAGATCTTTCGTAATACGTATGCTACACATTTACCTGCGTTAATAAGCAATGTGACAATAGTCCATGTGTATAGACTACAACATATGCATGCTCTCCACTCTCCACGCCATCATAGCCTTGCTGGAGCCAACAAACAAAGGTCCATAGCTAAGAATCGTTTGTCACGTGCAAGGGTTGTAAGACCAGAAGATTGCATTACTTTCTTTATTTTTTTCCTTTGGGTTCCGGTGGGGTATGCTATAACATCTGAAATCAGAAATCTAGGAATTAACTACTAGCGGTTGCTTCCCTTAATTTTTTTACAACTCATCGTGACCTTCGGGCTCGTCATCCTCACCGCCAGGGCCACCTGCACCCTGGTACATCTTGGAGGTGATGGGGTAGGCAACGTTGGACAGCTTCTCCTTCTGCTCCTCGAAGTCCTCAGCGGTAGCAGTGGCACCGTTCTCGTCGAGCCACTCGGTAGCCTCCTTGACAGCGTCCAGGATCTAAGACAGAAAATGTTAGCGTCGACGTTTCAATGAAGATTGGACTGCTCAGTGTGAACTTACGGTCTCCTTGTCCTCGTCATCAATCTTGCCACCAAGACCATCCTCGTCGTTGACCTGGTTCTTCAGGTTGAAGGCATAGTTCTCAAGACCGTTACGGGCCTCAATGCGCTCACGGGTAGCCTTGTCCTCCTCGGCGTACTTCTCAGCCTCGGCAACCATACGCTCGATCTCCTCGGTGGTGAGGCGACCCTTGTCGTTGGTGATGGTGATGGACTCCTGCTTGCCAGTTCCCTTGTCGTGGGCAGAAACCCTGAGGATACCGTTGGCATCGAGCTCGAAAGCGACCTCGATCTGGGGAACACCACGGGGTGCCGGGGGAATGCCAGTAAGCTCGAACTTGCCGAGAAGGTTGTTGTCCTTGGTCATGGAACGCTCACCCTCGAAGACCTGGATCAGGACGACGGGCTGGTTGTCAGCGGCGGTCGAGAAGATCTGGCTCTTCTTGGTGGGGATGGGGGTGTTGCGGGGGATCAGCTTGGTCATGACACCACCGGTGGTCTCGATACCGAGGGTCAACGGGTTGACGTCCATGAGGACAATGTCACCAGTACCCTCCTCGTTGGAGAGAACACCAGCTTGGACGGCAGCACCGAAAGCGACAGCCTCATCAGGGTTGATACCCTTGCTGGCCTTCTTGCCACTGAAGAACTCCTCGAGAAGAGCCTGGACCTTGGGGATACGGGTGGAACCACCGACGAGGACGATGTCGTCGATCTCCTCCTTCTTCATCTTGGCGTCCTCGAGAACCTGCTTGACGGGCTTGAGAGTACGCTTGAAGAGGTCCATGTTGAGCTCCTCGAACTTGGCGCGGGTCAGGGTCTCGGAGAAGTCCTTGCCCTCGAAGAAAGCCTCGATCTCGATGCGAGCGGTACCCTGGGAAGATAGAGTTCGCTTGGCCTTCTCGGCCTCACGCTTGAGCTTACCCATGGCCTTGAGGTCCTTGGTGATGTCGACGCTGTTCTTCTTGTTGTAGGACTTGGCGAAGTGGTTGATGATGCGCTGATCGAAATCCTCACCACCCAAGTGGGTGTCACCAGCGGTAGCCAGGACCTCGAAGACACCCTGGTCGATGGAGAGCAGGGAGACATCGAAGGTACCACCACCAAGATCGTAGACGATGATGTGGCGCTCGGAGTCGGTCTTGTCCAGACCGTAGGCAATGGCGGCCGCAGTGGGCTCGTTGACGATACGGAGGACGTTGAGACCGGCAATGATACCGGCATCCTTGGTGGCCTGGCGCTGGTTGTCGTTGAAGTAGGCGGGGACGGTGACAACGGCGTGGGTGACCTTCTTGCCCAAGTAGGACTCGGCGACCTCCTTCATCTTTCCGAGAATGACGGCAGAGATCTCCTCGGGGGTAAAGGTCTTGTCCTCACCAGCGGACTGGACCTGGACAACGGGCTTGCCATTCTTGTTCTTGACCTTGAAGGGGAAGTGCTTGATATCGTTCTGGAGGTCCTTCTCCTCGTACTTGCGGCCAATCAGACGCCTGTGAAGAGGGAGAGTCAGTCAGCATGTTTGGCTCGACGGAGAGGTGATCTCGGGGCAAAGATTGAGGGTTTTTACTCACTTGATATCGTAGATGGTGTTGGTGGGGTTGGCAGCCGCCTGCTGTTTGGCGGCATCTCCGACCAGACGCTCCTCATCGGTGTAGGCGACGTAAGACGGGGTGATACGGTTTCCTTGGTCGTTGACGAGAATCTCAACGTTGCCCTTGCGCATCACACCAACGCAGGAGTATGTAGTACCCAAATCCTGTGGGGGAGAAGAAGCAGGTTAGCGAGAGGAGGACAAGGAAAAGGAAAAGGAAAGAAGGTGGGGAGGGCAGAATCGGCAGCGGGTTCTGCGGGTGCGTGTGTGTGCAACTTACAATACCAATGACGGTGCCGTATTCTGAGACATCATCGGCGCGAACTGTCGATGCGAAGAAGAGAGGAGCGCAGAAGAGCAGGCCGATCCAGGCGATCAGGCCGACGCTCAAGGCCCACGAGCTCTGAGAGCGAGCCATGGCGGCTATCGTGGGGGGGGAGAGTGTGTCGGGGGGAGAGAAGACGGAGACGAAATCGACTACAGCCAAGTAGCGATACGATAGGGTACAATCGTGGGGGAAGAACAGAAGAGGTAGAGGGGCGTGGAAGAGTGTCGCCGATGGAGAATCACTCTTGGGCCCTTCGAGTTAGTAGTGCTGTGTCCGCCGGAGCACGTCAGTTGTGAATGGGGAGGAGAAGGAGGGAAAAAGTGAAGCTCGATCACAAAGCCTCTGGCGACTGGCTTTTGTAGAATGATAGAGAACAGATCGCTCAAAAGGCCACATAGCAATTTTTGAGCACGGGCCAGCGACTAAACCAGCAACCCCCCGTTCCCCTGAGGCCAGCAAAGTCATTGACGGGAGCTGGATGTATTCGCCGGGTAGAGGCCACGGTGGCGCCCGCCGATCACACCGCCGATTCAGCCGCAACGGTACTCGTCGGTACTTGTGCTTGCCTCCTCCATGTCCCTCGTCCCATCCATTAACCGCCCGCCCATACCTGGGCTGCATGTGTATTCACCAAGGAAGCCCCCAGCTTGCCTTGCCTCTTTGCTATTTTCCACGTTGCAGATTTGCACATCGAGTTAGCCAGCCAGACAAAGGCCAGCCGGTGCCGTTACCGTGTTCAGATGGTCACCACCTGCGCATACATAGCTTATGCGGGTTCTAGAAGTGTCCCCAGCGCTCCCTCTGGCTCCACTGTCTACTGCCTACGCGGTGCAAGTAGTTGCCAGTTTTTCACTGCTTTGCCCTTGCACCGACCTATCATTCTGTGCCTCCTTACCACTTTAAGCTTATATTCGCCGCTGAAACTGTGGCCGTCGCCAGTGGATTGGACAATTGACACAGCTCCTGTCAACTGTCCTCTAAACCTGGGTGGGAGCAAAGAGTCATAGTTGATGGCAACTTGGCCACTCTCCCTCGCCTGCCTCGCCCGTCTGAACTTTGATGATTTATTTGGCCCATCCGTTCCTGACAGGTTGCGTGGCATGGATCTGTCGCGAAGCTTCTTCCTCCTCCTCCTCCTCCTCCCTCCGCTTAGGTCAAGGGGGGGGTCCCCCGTCCCACTTCAGCCCAGCGTCCGCCAGAACCTTGACCAGCGTGGCGGTGATGGGCACTTGCAACTGAATGAGATGCGATGACTCGTTCCATCATCGACATCCAACGCCATCCTATGCAACTGACTCGACTCGAGGCTGTCGTCGTTCCAGTGCGAAATTGCAGGCAAGTATGCAGATGGTCAACCTGATTAAAAAGTCAAGCCAATTCAATGCATGCACCTCTTCGGTTCCAGTCTAGGGACTCGATACTCCTTTTGGGGCATCCCGAAAACCGATCACCTTCCGTTTCTCCAAAAAAAGAATGATGCCCCCTTCACCCTTGGGAGTTGGGGAAGAAGAGCCGCTGCGGTACGTGGTCATGCGGGGACGACCCTTGCTTGTAGCCACATAAGCCAAATCTTCAGTCCGCAGCACTCTGACGGTTCTCCCGCGACACTCCCACTCTACTATCTCTACTATGGTACACGCATGGGCATCGTGATCCGTCAACTACTATTGACGGGAGCAGGCCATCCCTGTGGACGGATAAATTCTACGACGGCCCAAAGACACGTACAATAGACCCCTCGAAAGGGAAGACTGTGTCCTTTATCTCCATGTGTTAGGTCGCTGTCTACCTGTTGCTTGATTTGAGTCAATATGTCCGCACCGTTGGTCGCACTGCTGCAGAGTACAGATCGATCAAAGCTAATTGATGACCGAGATCTGGCCTGTCAGCGGCGGGCACCAGATGTACCGAAGTATGCAGGTCGCATCTAAATAGAGTGTGGCTGTTCTCTTGCCCAGAGCCTCAAAATGGACCCCTATTGCTGCTCAGCCCCCAGGGTCCTAACTAGCTCGGCTGCCAAAAGGAGACGCAAGTATGGCCAGACGATCCAACCGTAAAAGCATACATATCAAGTTACGCAACAACATCGCTGTCGGATCCGCACGACATTTGCGGAGAAACTATTGGAAAAACTTCTTATTTTGGTTTATAGTCGTACCTCATTAAACCTTGCTCCTTGGATAAACCTCTTGCGATGCGTGTTTGGTTGCGAGGAACCCTCATTCCAACAACCCAGCAGCAACGGTATCTCCGTTGCTTCGTAACACAACTCTCTGCCCCGCCTCGAGCGGGACCTTGCTGCTCATCTTGACCACGACTCTGGCCACGCTGGCTGGCTTGACTATCTTGGGGTTCTTCTTGAGTATGGTACCCTTGACCTTGTCCAGCGTCGCCGGCATCTGCACGATCTGGCCAGCCGCCCACATCCGACCCCGATGTACGTCGACCTGCATTGGCATCAAGATGTCAAAGGCCAGTGCCTTGATTGTAAACGTGTCGATGCAGTTGACGGGCGCCTTGGGGTCGCAAACGATATCTCCGACCCGGACGTGGATGGGGTCGATGTTGCTGAGGTGAATGACGACGTTCTGGCCTGCGACTGCCCAGTCAACCGCTTCGGAGTCGAGCTCCAAAGATTTTACATAGGCCTTCTCTCCGCTTGGCTGCACTAGCAACGCATCACCTGCCTGTAAGGATCCTGCATCAATCCTCCCCGATATTGTCAAAGGACTCTGCGCAGATCGGAAAACCTCTGAAATAGTTAGACGTAAAGGCTTGTCCAACGCACGGGTCATCGGCTCCGAGTTCTCCAACTCCTTGATCATGGTTTCGCCGGTATACCAGCTTGCTGCCGGGTCGGTCGACTTGTTAACGAGGTTATCGCCCAGCAGTCCGGACACCGGTACGAAGCTGATGTTCTTCAACTGAAAGCCAGTTGCTGACAGGAAGCCGGATACTTGGTGAGTAATTTCGTCGAATCGCTCCTGAGACCATCCAACAGTGTCGAGTTTGTTGACGGCAACGATGACTCGGGACACACCCATGCTTCTTATTAGCAGTGAATGCTCTCGTGTTTGACCCTTGAGTCCGGATTCAAAAGACCCCGTTGATGCGTCGATCACAAGAATCGCAAAATCTGCCTGACTTGCACCGGCAATCATGTTTGGGATGAAGTCACGGTGGCCTGGTGCGTCGAGGATGGTGAAGGATGTCGACTCGGTCTCGAATCGGTTGGTGGCGATATCAATCGTGACACCTCGAGAGCGCTCCTCGGTTCTTTGATCCAGAACCCATGCTAGCGCAAACGAGGACTTGCCCATCTGTTCCGCCTCCTTGCGGTATCTCTCTATCGTGCGCTGGTCCACCACATTAAGGTCGAGCAGTAGCCTGCCCATCAGAGTACTCTTTCCCGCGTCGACATGTCCTGTTCTGCCTTAGCTGTATGTCCCCAACATCATGATGAGTATCAGGGAGCCTTACCAACAACTACGAAACTCGCACTCTTCTTGCCTTTGCTCTTTTCATATTCGCTGAGCACGTCCAGGTTCTTGCTCTTGGGTAAGGGTGTATCATCGACCTTGAGAGCCTTGACTCCGTCAGCGGCCTGGCCCACCTTGTCGTCGCCGCCCTTCTTCTTGGTAGCGCTGGCAAGTTTCTTATTACTCGCTGAAACGTCGTAGTTAGTAACTCATTTTTCCGGCTTCCTAGCTGCCAAAAGCGAACCTTTGGCCTGTGCGTTAAGCACTACATCATCTGGACTAGGTCCTGAGAAAGCATCAGACACAGAGGGCGCAAAGGCCGTGTATGGAAAGGCAAAGGTCCTTGGCACGGGCGGAGCCGGTGGAGCAGATCCCAGGAGAGTTTGGGCAAAAATCGAAGGTGCAGCTGTTGCGACTGGGGAAGGCTCTTCCACACTTGTGTCGGGCACTCCTGGTGGCGACTTCGCGCCAGGGCCCTGGAGCTGAAGAAGATCACTATTCCTCCTTTTCCGGCTCTCTGGCGTTATTGGTGCGACGTCGGCCTCGGCGACAGAGCTCGGTAGACTGGATGTGGCAGGCCGAGGAGTCTTCCCACTGTCCTTGAGCCCGAGGGACATCTTGCCCATCTGCTTGGTAGCATCCTTGACCTGTGGCTTGCTATCGTCCCCCTTGCTCTTGTCTCCCAATTTCTGCTCGTCTGCCTTCTTCTTGCGAGCAGCAGCCAACTGCTGCAGTTTGGACATCTTTGGAGGGGCGCCGGAACCACCCAGCAGTCCGCCACGCGGGTACAGGGGTTGAACAAAGTTGGTCTGGCGATCCTGAGGGACGTTCAACCACGGCATGTCTTGGAAGAAGTCGGCAAAGGAGAAGTGCTGCTGGCGCCTGGCCGTGATGTCCGCTGTGATGCATTATTAGAACCGACTGTTCAATGCGAGCACATGAAAGCGCGGCAACGCACCTGTAGCCACGGGACAAGGTAAGGTGTGTACAGCGTGAAAACTCCTGGGATCTGCTCTTTCTGACGACTTCGCCATTCCGCTCCAGTGCGCTCCATGCCATGCTGCATGTCAGGTGTCCGAGAGGAGGAAAATGGGGACCCACCTTGTGGTTTGCTGGGTACCGGCTTGGGCGCGGGCGGCTCGATGAACTTGTTGACGAGGAAGGCGACCGACTTGTCGACGTCGTAGTAGTAATGCCAGAGCGCCTCCTGGATCTGTGCGGTGGTGACCTTGCTGGCCCTGGGTCCGAGTGCGCTGCGTACTTCGGCGGTGCCTGCGTCCATCTGCGCTGCGACGGGGTTCAGCAGACATATTCTGGTGCGCGAGAGGCCCTCGGGGCCGAGGCGGAAGGAACTCACCTTTGTCCTCTGGGCTCAGCTCCTCCTCACCCTCTCCATACTCGTCCTCCTCTCCATCGAACTCGTCGAGGTCGTTCTCGTAGTCGTAGTTGCGGTAGGCCTGGTGTCGAGACATGGTCGCGAGATTGTGATCGCGTGGCGCTGCACGCGGTACGCTGATATCGGGGGATGATTCAAGTTTCGGTGCTTCTTTGTCGTGGAGGATGTCTGTCTCGTGGCAGGCTTGGGAGAGGAGGGGTTTAAATCAAGCAAATGAAGGTGCAAGATGAGGTGTCGGAGATAGGCACGGTGGCAGTAGAAAGTCGGTCAGGTACCATGAATATACTTTCGACACAGGCAGAGTCCACAGCTATCGAGGAACTTAGTACCATACACACAAAAGCTTCTTTCTTGTCCAGGTGATTTGTCGTTTGGCGGGGTTGAGGCCTGATGGCGGGGCAACTGGGACCATTTCCCATCTAGTATTATTTTTTTGCTGCGTAATGCGCTGCTTCTCAAGCTTCGAGCCCCTATGACGTAACGTATTTTTACAGTATTACCCTGCACTTGTGCGTAAACCTCCGGATATGGATCTGAATCTGAATGAGCTAGCAAATGCTCTGCTGTCTGGTCTTATACCTCTCTATGTTGACAGGCAAGTAGAGCTGGTGCACGTTTTGAGGTATACAATCAAACTGTATATCTCAGTGCGAAGGCTATGAGGGATCTCGCCATCCTGAATTCGTATATACGCAAATCCTAAGCACTCTTGGAGATTTCATGTCAGAATCTTTACAACTAAACTTGCGTCTAGAGACTAGACATTTCGTGCAGTTCATCAAACGTGTCCATATTCATTTCCTCCCTTACATAGGTACCTATTCCAGCAAGGAACCTCGTTCAGCTCTGCCATACACACAAATTCTCCAATACATGCGCCAGCTTATGCAACCCTTTGTGTCCTCGTCTTCTTTCGTGCTAAATGCTTCGTCGGGAGGGTGCGGTTTCGGGGGATCTGCAATCCGCAGTCAACACCAGACGCCCGAGATGATCCCTTCCCTCGTCCTTGGATGGACTTACCATGTGTTGTCAACGAACGCCGTATCTACCTCCGAAATCCAGCGAAGCGGTGCGCCAAATTGATATATCCTCCCTCTTATATGACGCCTCAAATACCAGTTAAACCCACCCCCTCATACATGATCAATGTTGTTGTGTACATGACAGCCATACCTATATCCAAAACGCCTCTTCTTTATTTCAAGAGAGACATATGTCGCAAACCATTAACGTAAATTCCATGCATGCTTCCCTGAAAACTCGCACGACGGGCACCGCTCTCGTTTACGAGCCACTGCCCCAACGGTTCTCCTCAATCATGCGCGAGCCACCGCCTGCGCCTCCCGCGACGGATGGCCGGGCGCTGCCGCTGCCGTACAGCATCTCCATCAGCTTGCCCTTCTGGCGGGTGCGGACGCCCTCGAGGTAGACGCCGACGTCCTCGAGGCCCTTGATCTGGCCCTCGAGACTGAGGGTGCTGCTGTTGACGCTGCGGACGAGGGGCGAGACGAGCTTGCGGCGCAGGCTCTCGAGGTTGGCCTTGAGCGTCAGCAGCTTGCCGTTGTGCTCGACCAGGATGCCCTTATTCATGACGGTCTTCTCGCGCACGTTCTGCAGCAGCTGCCGGTTGCGCTCGTACTTCTTGACCTCGGACGCCTTGGGCCCCAGGATCCGCGTCCACAAGCTCGACAGGTCGTCGGCGTGCCGGTCCTCCTGCAGGCTCGACTCGCGCACCACCACCCGCGCCAGGTTGAGGAACTGCCGGTCGATGGCCTCGAACAGCCCGAACAGCGCCAGACTGTGCTGCAGCTCGTTGTTGATGGCATCCTCGAGCACACTCAGGAACTCGCTGAACGTCCTCTGCAGCGTGCTGCGCGTGCGCTGCGGCTGGCTCATGCCGAAGACGCTGGTCGCAATGGCCCCTAGCCGGGTTGGCGTGCCCGTGGCCGGGTTCTCCAGTACGCCCGCGTCGCACAGCACGTTGTGGATATTTGCCCAGGCCGTTGCCAGCGGAGGGCTCGGCATACCCTGTAGCTGGGTCAACTCGCGGCGTGCCCAGTCCATGACGATCAGGATCCCGTCAATGTCGCCGTCAACGTTAGCGAAGAAACGGGTGAGCTCGACTGCGAGAGTCTTCAGGGAATCCGACAGCTCATCAAGTGATTTCACAATGATTGGCGCCGATGTCATGTTGCTGCTGCGCACACTCTCGCCGAGGTCCCAGACTGCGACGCCTGTTGCTTGGAGGTCGCCAACTTGAGAGACGCCATTTTCCGAGTAGTAGATGAGAGGCTCGAAAGAGCGGGCGATTCCTGCCACCTTGACAAGATCCGGGACTGGCCGTTGTGAGGCCGGCTGAAAGAGAGAGCGAACTGTCGTTATTGAGAGCAGTGCGACTAATGTTGCTACAATGATGTTCGCCCATGATTTGGTAATGGAATGCATCTTTGACCGCACAAACTTGATGGCAGTCTCAATCGGCTCCGTCCGTTGCTGTATGTCCGCGCGCACGGCAAATCTGATATCTGAGGGATGGTCAGCACACCGGCAATTAATAATAGGCGACGAAGCAACTTGCAATTATCCCTGACAGCCTCAGGAACCAAAGAAGGCATAGGGCTGTCTCTCTCCTCTACCTTTACCTTCGCTGGCGACGTAGATAAAAGCTTCATCTTTACTAAGGTTTCGTCCTCATCATGGCCTGGTTCCGGTGTTCTTCCTTTCTCAGGACTTAATGATCCCGTGGGCAGCCGCGTCCTAATGGCTTGCTCTAAAGCATCCTCATCGCCACCACTTACACCGCTGCGATACCTGTCTTCGAAATAGTCGTCCATCGGCGGGCTCTCTTCCCTCCTCCGCCCGTGGGTGCCTAGACCCAGCAGATTGTCGGACGGGCGCCAGAAGCCCGAGCTGCGATTACCGTTTTCGAGACGGCGCCAGGCCGGCGGGCTGTAGCCACCGCCGGAGAGAGAAGACAGATCGCTGGCGTTCTCGTCCATGGCCTCGCGCATCGCCGCCTCGTCCTCGTCCTCGGTGCTGTGAAAGAGGCTGGACGACTGCGCGAACCCCGAGCGCGCCGACGGGTAGCGGACGAAGGACGGCGGCAGCGTCGGCGGCGGCGTCAGTGGCGCGCGGAAGTCGTCGAGCGAGGCGTCCAGCTGGTGAGGATCGTGTTTGTAGGCCGTCATTCTCTTCCTCCCCTTGGTCGTCGGATTCGAGCTCGCTGATGTCTATTATGGTGCCACGGCGTTTGGTGGGACTGCTGGCCAACGACTTGATACTGCTGGCGCGACGGCTGGATGAGAAGAAGGACCGCAGACTGCTGCGACCTGGCGACGCCGCGGGCGAGTTGTGCTCGTAGTCTGTTAGCTGGAGAGTCGGCCTGTCCTGCTGTGGTACCGCCGGCAGCGCTTTCTGTTGCTTCCACTCCAGAGCCGGTGAGGTGACGGGCTCGGGTACGGCCGTGGTTACGGCTCGACGGAATAGGCGGGGAAGCGGGTTTATACTTGGGAAGCGCACGGCAGGGGCGAAACCCGATATAACCAGGTAGGCGAAGAAGAAGAACAGCGATAGAGTGAATGATGCGATGAAGGTACTCGGCGCAATGTTGATGTGAAAGAGTGCGACGTGGTTATGAACCGCGATCAGAGACATGAGAGTGTTGTAAGTCCAGTGTGTCGCAGGACGAGCACGAGTCAGGCGAGTATCGAGTCGTGTGCTAATCGGGCGTGCAGGTGCACCCGTATAGGCCTGGAATGCGGCGCCTATAGTGCGGGAGCTATCTCGTTCAGGGGGAGTGAAGGCGATCACTGACGGGGAGAGTGCCCCTGCCCGGATTGAGTTATGCGGATTCAGAGGGGGCTGGTAGAGCAAATGAGTGAGACCGATCTCCTTCCCGTGTCGCAGTTCCAGATGATGGCAGGCTTCTTTCGGATCGGGCGTCGACGGAGTGTAGCTTGCAGTCTATGTGACCAGAGCCTCCCAGCCTCTCGATTTCAGGTGTTGCGGTCTAGTGTCGCTCTGGAGGCCCGCAGCCAATGGGTTGCCGGGGAACTGATGCAGTGATGCTAGGGATCGCGCGGGGATCCTGCTTCAGCCCGTGCGCCCTATGGTGGAATCCGAGGGGTGTGGTGTGTTCCTGGATTGGATGCGAACCGTGGAGGCGTGTCGTTCCCTCCAGCACTAGGCCGCCATAACTGGTCTGCCCGATAACGTTGATGATCTCTCTCTTGCCTATTTCTTCAGTCAGAGCAGGTCGGGTTGCACCGAATGGCGAACGGAGAGGACAATGTCGTCTGGTCTTCCCTTTGCCACGAATGACTAGAGCCCGTTACCCTGATGGATGGTCTTCCACCCATAGCGAGACACTGACATAGGACCCTGTCCTGCAAGCACTTAAAACACGTGGATCCGATAACCACGTCTGTCCTCTCCAATGGCATCCTTGACCCTGCGACCAGCCAATGCTGTCGTGTTGTCCTGCATGGGTCTAATATCTTATCACCCCGCAATTGGCTGATCCATCTGTCAAGACCCCATATTGGACGGTTCTCACTCATGCAACCACTTCATTGCGCTAGGGTGTCCACGTTGGACGCTTCGCCGTGGGAAACGGGCAACTCACGTGATGCAAATGCCTCAGGCACTGCTTGGCATTCTACTACCACATAAGAATGCCAAAACGCATGGTAGGTAGCACCATATGTGTAGGATTTCTACTGATGGTCACAATGCTGCTGACAGAGAAGTTACCCACATACATTGCCCATCGGACTCCCAAGCAAACGGCTCCAGAAGGAAGACCAGACTGTTTTCGGCGCCCTGGTGCTTTACGATCTAGGCATGTTTGTAAAGACTGGCGGATTGCGTAATTGGATAACGCCTGCGATGAGGGGAATCAGAACTAGACACAGGGGGGATGGGATTGACCTTGAAATTTGAATTGCGTGCATCAATCTCATCAATCGTGATAACGCTTATTTTGAAATACCAAGGTGGCCAAAGTGTATGAACATATATTACATTCAGGCTAAGCATTTCTAAGAAGATCTAATGATGTGTGAACTGGACACGCTTACAAGGGTTGTGTCGATAATACTAGTTGTTAAAACTGTATAGTTCGAGTTTCAGTTCACAGCAATGCGGACGCTACGATGGGCCACATTGGCAGATTACTGAGTGTAGCTATTCTCCTTCTATCAGTATTTATTTATAGATGCACATGCCCCTATGCCTCAACGCATTTATCAATGTTTTCTGAGATCAGCTTAACAATTTCCGTATGATCAAAGGCTTGAGCAATGTTTAAGGATGTATCCCCATATCCGTTGCACGTTAGACCGTTGGCCCCGTGATTAATAAGTAGTTGAACCAATTCAACGTTCCCTTGCTGTGAAGCCGAGTGGAGTGGTGTCCATCCGTCTTTATCAGCAGCCGAAGCGTCGGCTCCATGGTTAATAAGCAGCTCAACCACATTACTATTCCCGCTTCTAACGGCGTAGTCTAGTGGTGTTCGCCCGTAGACGTCAGCGGATATAGCAGCACTACTTTCAAGAAGCTGTTTGACTAAGAAAGCATGCCCTTTCTCAGCTGCAGACATCAAAGCAGTCATCCCTTCGTTGTCCCGTAAATGCACATTGCACTCCTCTGTCTGGAGAAACGACAACGCCATTGCCTCGTTGCCGTACTGGACGAGTTGATGAAGCAAGCTCTCGGCTCTTTCATAATGAAAATCTGGATGTATATACCAAGTTTCTCCGGCAAAAGGTAGTTGTCTCCACAGTGGCGTAGGTGAATAATTTGGGAGTCGTTGTGCCTGGAGGTCCAGCATGACTTCGATTGCAGTTGAGTTACGCATTGCGGCTGCTGCGAGAATCGGAACTCCGTACCTCTCGTCTTCGATGTCAAAGCAAGATTGAGGGCACGGAGAAGCACGTATAAGTGCTGGCGTCCCAGCTGCTGCCAGGATGTATAGGAGACTAGCTTTGGGTGTGTATCGTCGATCTGTGAACATGTAGATAAGGTTGTAGTGTTTAATCCATTTGGACCGGTCGAATTCATTCAGAAAGTCGCATTGACTTATGTCGTGGCTCTCTGCTTGATCAGCATGATACAAAATCCCTTGATTGGCGTACTCAGAAAATGGAAAGGTCGCAATGATTAGACCATAAGGGCTTTCCTCAAACTTGAGTAATGCCGTCATATCCATATACGAAAGGCAGCACTGCTTGAGTGCTTCATGACTTCGTCCGGGAATGTTTGTTCCAAGACTGGGGAACAATTTGCCAAGCCCATCTTCTTTGAGAAAAGAATCCCTGACTGATTCATGGATAAAGTGAATAGTTGGATATTCAGATTTAGTAGATTCGGCCAGTCCTTTGGAGGTGTCGAGAATGTATCTTAGCACATCATCTTCTGAAATATCGTCGGAGTGACACTCTTCTAGGTGACTGGACTCCGTGCCAGACAAGACTGCAAGGTATAGCTGTTTTGGCGTAAGGGGTCGCTTTGCGAATAACAGCCACTGAATGCAAAGAAGAAGGCTATCTTGGCGTTTGACATCGCGAGTTAGAATGTCGTGGAACAGTGCATGGAGATCTCCGGGAAGTTGACGAAGCCGCTGACGAAGGCTGTGCATTTGTCCGGCGTCGTACTCTTGGTTGAGGATATCGACAACAAGCACAACCCACATAAAAACACCGCAGGCTTTCTCTTGAAGTTCAGAACGTATCTGTTCGGAAAGTTTGCTGTGCCCAATCCGCAATGCACTACTTAAATATGCAGTGATATCTTGCTGGTGCTCGTTTCTTTCCTCAAGAATGATCTCAAGACCTTCCACCGTGATATGCGGATAGTGCCTGCTAGCGAAGCAGATGTACAGTGGACCTCCTTTGTCGACTAGGTCTTTCAGAAGGAAGACCATGTCGCGGATTTGCTGCACGTCACATTCATCCAAGGCGTCAATCAAACATACGACTCGGGTTTGTGCCAATATTTGCATAGCTTCCTTGATGAGCGACGTGAGAGATCCGATGGACCATTGGTGACTTGGCCGCAAAGTGTCCAGGATATGTTGTAACTCAGGCCGCGCGTTTAGTAACTGCCACAGCAACGATCTGTATAGGCCGGTAGTTGTCTTTTCCAATTCATCGCCTCTGGCATCAAAGAAGAAGCTGACCAGGATGTCGTTGCCAACGTTGTTCTGGCGAAGTCGGCTCCGTATATGGTGCAAGAGAAACTTCATGAGTGTGGACTTGCCGGCCCCCGGCTTTCCCTTGATCCATAAGAAGTTTGCATGATCTGACAATCTACTCTCTTCCCATTGCTTGTATGACTCAGTATGTAGGAACCAGCGGCAGGTATTCGCATGGGCTTCTTTGATACTCCATTCCCGAGCGTCGATCTGATCGAACCATAGTGACTCGAGCAATGACTTTCTGGCATCGCTTGCGCTGGTCTTCTGTGAAGAGGGATTGCAGTTGATTGAAATATTTCCTCCGACGTGGAAGTTTCCATTCGTATTCGAGATGCCTGAACCATCGAAAGTGCTAGACACGTGGCCTGGGTACGTATTATGGGCTTCTCCGTTCGAGTGGCCGCCATAGTTGTTCGAGGGCGGCTCGTCAATTCTTCTTCGCTTTTGTGGTGGCTCCATGCTCCATGCCCAACGATATCTCCATTCCAGGGCAGCTCCTCACACGTGTACTTGGCAACGCTGTATCGGCGCTCGTGTCTTGTTCCGTTGCATATATGCTTGAGTCTCGTTGCATTCAAGACGAGGCATTCGAGCGTAGCCCGAAAGGTGGCAGAGGAGTGTGATGACCGCTCGAACGTTTGTACGGCAAGGCTGTGAGCGGGGAGAGTTTTGAACACCAGAGTTCGCCCTCTCATCATCTGATGGGGCTGAGCTAGACTGCGGTCAGGCAGACACATCACTCCGCGCAGCTCCAATCAGGGGCCTTCCACCAATGGCTGTCATTGTCCAATCACGAAAGGTCAGTGGCCAACTGCCCGGAAGCCCCCTTCCACTCCCCAAAGCTTCGTTTTGCCTTGTTGTGGAATTGGTCCTGAGATCGATGTTTGATTCTCCCTTGGCTGCTCTACAGCCCTGCAGAGTTGAACAAGCAAGCAGCCACCTCGGCGTGCGTGTGATGGGGCGATGATGAACTTGTGAACCAGCCGTACTGCCAGAACGTAGCACTATAAACAGCAGATTACGGTCCCGATGATGGTATTGATACATTCTTATTTGAAATTCAGAGCATGTGACTCGCTTCTAGCATGATATTTGTAAACTCCAAAAAATGAAAGCGGAGTAGAAAAACGCCGAGCAAAATCAATCAACAAGTAGACGAATCTTCCGTCATGCGCTCATGGGGCCGGGCCTGTAGTCATGTTTCCTTAACGCTTTCCTCAATCACATCATAAATAACGCCCAGCAAAGAATCACGGATGAAAAAGACAGCGTACCGCAGCTTATGGTGCCAGGCGGTTCTGAAGGGGGGAAATGCCACCGGTACAAGAAATCAGTGGTACCCTTCCCGTACCATACTCAGGCGCCGCCTCATTCTCATCTGAGCAGCATGATCTGCCGCCTCGTGTTCCAGTCGTGCGATCAATTCGACAAGAGTCTCCTTTTCCTCTTCCGGGCACGCGGGACCGAAATACTAATCAATCCTTGCCGTCTCGAGACTGCGCGCGGACGGGTTGGATAAGTTGTTGACCTGCCTGGGCGGTGCCTGGTACTTGCTCTTCTTACGAAGCCGCTTGCGAGCCACCATGACTGGCACGGAGCTCTTGGTCACGAGGTAGTTGGAGAAGGATCCCAGGAGGGTGCTAGAACAGGCAGTTAGAACAGTATTTTAATCCGAGAATGTTGTGAACTTACCCCTTCAGTGCGCTCCTGCCACGACTGCCTAATATCACCAAGGTCGGGTTGACCAGGTCAATCACTTCCGTAATCAGATGCTTCGGATTCTTGCAGTGGATACACTCAATAATGACGCGGACCTCGAGCTGCGTCTTGCGAAGGAGTCTAGAGACCCGATCAGTGACGTCTTGGACAGCCCTCTCTCGCTCTTCTTCCAGCTTTGACTTGCCCCTGAATGATGGTGCTGGCGACGGAGTGTTGCTATGACTTTCCAAAGCTCGCACTTGAGGCGATGCCGATGATCTGTTTAGGTGGAAGGGGCTGGGGCTGCTGGTGAACGGAGGTTTGGTGCTCTTGGTCATGGCATTGATAGCAGCTGCCTGCTCCTTCATGGACTTCGGATCGTCGGGGACTTGATTGCCGGCGTCGATGGAACCGCTCGCCTCTTCATCCATGCAGTAGAAGGCAATCAGTGTGTCTCCATCGCGGAGAACGGTCCCGACGGCCCACTCCAGAGCATGAGTTGACTCGTCGCTCATGTCCATGGCTACCAGGTACTTGCGAAGACGCCGGTGCTCTTCCTCGGCGCTCCGTTGTAGCTGGACAAAGTCCCCGCGGTAGATGATGCGGATGGACCTGTGTACCTCGGGGTTTGAGATCACGGGCGTCAGAGAGATCGGCAGGTTCTGGGCGCGCTTGATTGCGTTCACATCCTGATCATCCTGATCGGCATTGGGGTCAGGTGTTGCAGCGCGTGTGGGAGGATCCTGATCAAAACTCGTCGATGGCTGTACCGAGCGCTTATTCGATTTCTTGCTCTTGTCCCCGTTCGGGCTTGTCACCGTTATTTGAGGATCAAATAGTGACGTGTACTTATGTTGTGAAGCGATTTGCGCCCCTGTGAGCATTGTCAGTATCATCCATAATGGCATGGGTCCTATCTGTGGACGAGGACTTACGCTCGTCTTCGGCAGCGGCGAGCAGACTCTTCGCTGCTCGCTTTGAATCACTTCCGCCTTGGCTGTCAGCTCTTGTTGTCAATTTTCTGCCTCTCTCGTTTTCCTCGTCGGATGAGTTGCCCACATCGTCGTCCGTATCGTCGTCTGTCAAGATCTCTCCGTAAGGGCTCATGTTAAGTTTCTCTATACGGCCGTGACCGTCAGGGTCCGACTTCTTCCGCGGAAGAGACGAAAGGCTTGAGCCGCCATAGAGCAGGTTTGCATCCGAGAGTCTGCGATAGGCGCTGTCCTTGTCAATGACTGAGCCGTCATCCAGTGTAATGGTCGTAGTGTCCCGGGTGCGAGAGGAGGAACCTCCCAGCAAGCTACCATGCGGCGAGTTGGATCGCAGGTTGAAGCGGTTGTGTGGTGACTTGGACTTGCTATTTCCTCTACGGGAGAAGCCAGACCTCCCAAGCTCGCCAGGTAACACGAGGTTCGATAGGTCTGCACTGCGCAAGGCTTCTCCAATGGAGGAACTCGATCGAGGGTGACCCTGCGAAGCACGTTTGCTTCCCGGATGGACCTGGCCAAGATTTGTGGCGTATATATCGCTAAACTTGTAGGCCTCAGTGGGGTCGAAGTTTCGGTCTCGAGGGAGCGGAGGAGAACGCGGGCCAAAGTCAAGCATGGGCTTCGTGGCGGCATCCGACATGCTTCGGTGGTGGACTTCAGCCGGCGGGACGGCGGACCTGAAGGAGAGTGTCGGTGACGTCTTAGCACTCGACACGACCGGGGACTTGGGTGCGGCCGGGCCATCAATGTCCAACATGCTGCGGATGGGAGCTGTGGGAGGCGGGCTGTCGATGTCCAGCATGCTGCGCACAGGTCGGGGAGGGCTTCTCCTCATGCCGGCCGAGGATCCAGAGGCACCTCCCATATCAAGCATGCTCCTGCCAGGCGAGCGCGGGCTCACGTACGGCGAGGGGGACCGGGCGCCGGAGATAGAGGGAGGACCTCGGGAGGGTTGGTGCGACGACAGCAGGGCCTCGATCTGCTGCCGCTCCTCCTCCATGGCCGCCTCGAGCGACATGATCTGTTTCCCAGCCATACTGGGGGATAGCGCAGACAGACGCAGTCGAGGTGAGGGGTGGGCTTGGATAGGTGTCTAGGTGTCGGCGATGCAGTCGCTGTCGGGAAGAGCTTCAGGCAGCGGGGCGAGGCTCGACGTCGTTGGGGTCCGGCTTTGCGCACGGTAGTGGTGGTGATGGTGTAGTGGCGGTGGTGTGTTGGAGGAACGATGCGGGATGTGGTCAGATCAGCCTCGTGGGGGTGCGCCAGTGACCAGGCGAGCTTCGTACGGTCGGGATGGAGGAGAAACGATCATCGTGGGTGCCGGTGTTCCTTGGGTGTCTAGCTCATAGCACCGCCAAGGAAGCTGCGGTCCTGGGCGTATGCAATCGATACAATCCGTACTCCGGAGTCCGGGGTGGGCGTTCAGGCGTTCAGGCGTTCTGAGGCCGCGTCTCTGGTGCCGAAGCTGCCCTGGAGGTTTTGAGTCACCCGCCGGCAGGATCAGACACGACAATTGGATCCGGGAGGCCTCGTGTCGCCAAGGCTGTTGGACAAAAGGTAGTTTGTCCCTGGGGGAGGAGTCGGGACGTTCAACGGCGCTGAGACGGGCGAAGCGGGGGAATGAGGTTCTCTTCAGGTCTGCAGGCTTGGCGGGTTGTAGTTAGCGACTTTGCAGGTCGGGGGCGTCTTGGCTTTTCGCGGCGATTGGAAGTTGTCGCTGTTGATCAGGAGCCTTGCATCTAGCACACTCGAAGGATGGGAAAAGGACAAGGACGCGATGTTTTTCAGAACGAGGCACAGCTCAGCTTTTTCCCGCTCTCTCACAGGGTCTGGAGCTCGACATGGCGATCATCGACTGATAGGCTCGAGCTCTTGAACTAGGAAAAAACGTGTTGATGCCCAGTCAGCTGGGGCCCCTGTTCGGACGATTCATACCTTACCTACAGCTAACACACATTACGAGCGCTATCACAGGAGTTTCAGGGGTTTAATAACTTAATCAAGTGCACATGTCATGTCGTGTTTTTCGTCCACTTAGATATTCCCCGTGTTCTACACTCTCTTCAAAAGTTTTTTATTAGTTGTTCGCTCCTTGCGCACAGTCGACGTCATCGTCGCGAAGTGGATGCTGCGTTTCTCTATACTTTTGTGAACGTCTAACCAACAAACCTTGTAACAGCTGGTCAGCCATTCTTCTCGCGCACATTTGGTATTCCAACATGTATTCCTCGCATTTGATGATTTGATCACGCTCACCCAGCTGACGACTTAGTCAATGGCTCTTGGTGCTTTCGCCATCGAGTCCAGGCTATAGAGTCTAGACTCGAGGCGTGTTGCGAATCGTGGCACGTGTCGTTGAGGACGGCACTATCCTTTGTAGACAGGACACACCGAAATGACCGCCAAGGGGGCTCATGACAACGATAAGTCCTTCGAATGGGTTCCAGCCGAATCGGGGGCCGGCTCGTCCACCTGGTCTACCCCAGACTGCCATCCGACCGTCTACCCGCGGAAGAGGCAGACCTGTGGAGAACCCACATGGCGTATCCACTAACTTACACTGTCACAATGTCCGCTCTAGTCCGCACGCTATCATCCCCATACATTTCGCATTCCTAACTGTAGTCCAGGGGAAAGACTGCCCGAGGTATCAAGGATGGTATTGGTATCCGTGTTGTGATCACAATCGTCGTTCGCACCTCGAAACTGAAACCAAGACTGGAAATAAGATCTTATGATTTCAATCTGCGACGCAAGGGACGCTCAGATGATTAAACTGGTCAGATCGTCTATAGTCGGAATTACAGATTACATTAAACTAAAGAGCCCTCCATATATCCTCAATCCCGTGCCCTTGTCTGGATAGGATGACTCCACGAGTGCTTTTGCACGATCACCCCCAGCCCACCTCCTTTATTAGAAAGACAGCAAGATTTCAGACTAGTACTGACTCCAGTCGATCGCGGCAACGTCGTCGTAGCACTTGGCCCCGAGCGGGCGGAGGTTGAACTCGTCGACGCCGTGGAGCTCGGGCAGCGGGGCGCACTGGGCCAGGAGGCTGATGGCGACGCAGTTGTCGGGCACGGCGGCGGCCTCGAAGCGCACGGGGTACTGGGGGCGGCCGTAGGTGGGCGCCGTCTCATTACAGACGACGAAAGTGCCGGCGTCGAAGCGGATGAATAGGTCGGCGTACGCGCCGCGCAGCCCGGGCGTGATGCCCGCCCCGACCGTGCCGAACTGGCCCAGGTTCAGCGACAGGTACGCCTCGCGGTCGTTGGACGCCGCAGGGCCGAACTGCAGCCCCCCCGGCATGTAGTTGCCGGTGCCGAAGTCCACGGGCGGCGACGCCAGCGAGGTCGACGCGCTCGAGACGTCCTGGCCCGTGCCGTTGACGAAGAAGACGGCGCCGCCGCCGGCGTGCAGTGTTGCCGTGTACAAGTTCGCGCCCACGCGGGTACCAGAGAGGGACCAGCCGTTGATGGGTGGGTCGAAGATGGCCTTGCTTGTGTCTGTCACATTGGCCACGAGAGTGAAGGCCTGCCCCTCGGAATATGGGGGAGCCGAACGACGGCTGATGGGATTGGCGGCAGCAAGGCTGGCTACCAGTGTTAGAGAAAGCGATTGGAGGAGCATTTTGATGTTCTCTTGAAGAGTGAAAGGGTGTAAGGTTACGAGAGTATAGCAGGGATTCGAGGTCGTAGAATGGATAGTCTGGACTTCAGTTCTGCCTGTGAAACCGATGGAGACTCAAAACCTTTTATACTCAACTTTCTTTTTCACATCCTTCAGCTGTGTCTAGTATTGCGAGCTGTGACATTCCATCGTCTGACTTCTGACCGCCATGCCTGTTATGGAGTCGCCGAGTGTGTGCATATGGACACGAGAGTATAGGATCACCACCTTGAGACTCGCATGGGTACGTAGATAGTCGACTGTACGACATTAGTGGATTTCCGAAAGAACCATGCCTCCGTGTCAGAACCAAAAGGGGAAAGGTGCCATCGTGTATGCACCGATGCGGCAAAGCCACCAATACTGGGTTGTCGAGTGCCATCAGGTGGAACGTTGAAGAAGATGCATTTGAATAGCTCCGAGGCGCAGGCTTATGAGCACGATTTGAACGATACTATACGAACTAGTGTGGCTTGCACAATGCTATGTTTAGTCGCATTGAGAAGTGAATGAGACTTCCGGTTACCGCCGCTGGTAAGCAGAGCGAAGAAGCCGTCTGACTGTCTGGGAACGTTACACTATGAGACGGAAGGTAACAATCATAGTCCTAAGCCACATGCGGATGTCTCGCGGCAGGATCAATGAGAGCCATATGTTTCGCTGCAACTCTCAGCCTAGGCACCTTTATGATAAGGCTGCATTCGGCTGGGCTCTCATGGAAATTTACAGCCTAGAGATGGAGACATTGCACCGAGACAACTAAATTTGGGTGAAATACTTTTTATTAAGGTATCAGAAGTTCCTATCTGGATTGACCTCTGATCCATCAGAAGGGTGTGTTCATGTAGACGGCTCCTTGGGTATTTGGGTCAGAATCATAGAGCCGCCGCTCCCCTCAGTGCCAGGAAAAACCACAGATTGACCGACTTTTGACCATAAACGCCTGGTGACTGAAAGCTGAAAGCCCACCATTTTCCAGCAAAAGCAAGTCTATCGATACATGCAAAGAGTAGATGGTATTCTTGACGTCGACTTCTGGGGTCTAAGATGGCCTCAGATCCGTCGAACATCAATATGTACCAAAAAGCCGTAACATATGATGCAATGGTGGAAGAAATGCATCATGATATGGGACCATCGTCGTGTCAATGGGTACCAGTATCACTAATAACTTTTCTCAAACCGTTCCAGAGATCGGCTGTAGCAGCGTAGGGGAAATTGCGGGACAGGGTCATGAAAGTGAAGGAATCCCGGGTCGTAATCGTGACGGTCAAGCAAAATCATGCAAAAAAACAAACTGCAGTGGGCATAGGGGTCTATGTCGACACAACGGTTTGTTTATGCCTTCTCCTCGGCCTTCTCCTCCTTGGCGGGCTCGGCCTTGGTCTCAGCACCACCCTGCGACTTGACGTACTCGTCATAGACAGCAATGGCCTCGTCGACCTTGACGCGGAGAGCATCCTCACTATCAATCCTGCAAGATGGGTTAGTACACTAGCCAATGTGCTCGGTCGAAGGAAAACTTACAGGTTGACGAGCTCGTTGTTGTCCATCTCCAACAGCATACCGGTAATCTTGCCGGCCAGCTCAGGCTGCAGAGCAGCGATCTTGGGGAAGATGACCTCACCCAGCATCTGCTTCTGCTGTTGAGGGTTTCCGGCGTGGGCCTGAAGCTGCGACTGCAGAAGAGAAGCAGGAGTCAGGGGCTCTTGCGGCTGGGCACCAGCAGCAGGAGCGCCTCTTCCACCCTGAGGGAACTGGCCACCCATCTGTCCGTTGCGCTGGTTCATGCCACCGCGGCCGGGGCCACCCTGCCTGGCGTTGGGAGGATATCCGGGCAGACCAGGGCCGGGCATGTTGGGCATGTTAGGCATGGGTCCGCGTCCGCCGGGGCCGCCGCGGCCGTTGTTGAGGGCAGTCTGCTGGGCCTGTGCCATGGCAGCCATGAACTGAGGGTTGCCAGGCTGGCCATAAGGAGCACCAGGAGGGAATTGGCCGGGCATGCCGGGCATGTACATACCCTGGGGCATGGGTCCACCACGGCCACCGCCCTGGTAGTTGGGGAACTGGCCGGGTCGGCCGCCCTGGACACCAGGCATACCCATGCCGGGCTGAGGGAAGGGCATGCCCCGGCCGCCGCCAGGAGGGAAGACGGGCTGCTGGCCTGGGCCGTAGAAGACGGGAGGCTGGATGAACTGCTGGGGCACACCGGCCTGGGCAGCAGCGTGTTGCATACGGAGCTGGTTGCGAGCTTGTATACTAGCCTCAAGCTGGCTCTTCCTCACATCCTTGCGCTGAGCCAGGGCGACGTAGAGGGGCTTTCCCTCGATCATGCGCTGGTTCATCTCGGTGACAGCCTTGGTGGCGTCCTCAGGGTTGCTGAAGCAGACGAAACCGAAGCCCTTGCTCTTGCCAAGCTTGCGGTCGCCCTTCTTCTCCTTCTTCTCACCCTCCTCCTCCTTGGCCTCCTCGGTAGGCTGCTCGTTCTCCTTGGTGTTCTCCTGAGTGCCCTCGTCCGATTCCTTGTCCTTGCCCTCGTCGTCGCTGGACTCGCTCAGGCTGTCACGCATGACCTTGGCAGAGGTGATAGGACCGAACTCGGAGAACATGGCGCGCAGCTTCTCGTCGTCGACATCATCGGCCAGGTTCTTGATGTACAAGTTGACGCCCTGGTACTTGCTGGCCTTCTCCTGGCGGGCGGCCTCGTACGACTTGCGCAGCTCCTCCTCGCGCTCGTGCTTCTTCTGAGCACGGCCAACGTAGAGGTCCTGGCCCTGGAAGTCCTTGCCGTTCAGCTCGTCAACAGCCTTGGCGGCAGCCTCGTGGGTGGTGAAGTTGACGAAACCGAAACCGCGAGACTTGCCCTCCTGGTCACGGGCGAGAGACGACGAAGTGACGTCACCGTACTGCTCGAACAGCAGGCGGAAGTCATCGTCACTGGCCTCGGTGGCAATGTTCTTGACGTAAACGTTGGTGAAGTTGGCCTTCATCTCCTCGAACTTGCTCTGGCGGTCCTTCTTGGGGATGTGGGGGCCGACGTAGACCTTCTTCTCGTTGAGAAGCATACCGTTGACGTGCTTGATAGCAGCAGCAGCGGCCTCGTCGGTCTCGTAGTGGACGAAACCGTAGCCCTTGGAGTTACCACTCTCGTCCTGGGCAACCTTGCAGCTCAGGATGTTACCGAAAGCGGCAAAGGTGTCGTGCAGAGCCTTGTTGTCGATGGCGGCGTCAAGGTTCTTGATGAAGATGTTGCCGGAACCGGTCTTGCGGAGGGCAGGGTCACGCTGGGACCACATGATGCGGCAAGGGCGGCCCTTGATCTGGGTGTAGTTGAGCTCCTCGAGGGCGCGCTCACCATCCGAGGTGGCGTTGTAGTTGACGTAGGCGTAGCCCAGCGAGCGACGGGTGACGGCATCGCGGCAGACGCGGATCGAGGCGACAGAGCCAATGGATGAGAACAGCTCGAAGAGCATAGCTTCGGTGACGGAGGGGTCCAGCTCACCGACGTAGAGGGAGGCGGAAGCGTGAGGGTGGGGAGTCTGGGCGGTGTTGGGGGTCGCGGTATCGGGCTCCTCGCCCTGAGCATCGCCAGCGACGTTGGTGTTGATGGCAGCGGGGGCCTTGGCATCGCCGCTGTTGAGGGAAGTGTTGCCGAGATCAGAGGCGAGCTGATCAACAGCGCCGGGGGTAGTAGCAGCGGCCATTGTGTTCAAACGGATAACGTGTACTGTTGGAGGGTGGGGAGTCAGCGATACGTGTCGCAGCGAGAGGTGGATGGCTTGGAACCGGCAGCGCCTGATGCTCAACACACGCATGCGGCGGCGTTGGCGTCGCCGACCCCTGGCTGGGAATTGCCTTCCTCCTCTTCTGGGCCAGCGCGTGTCTGAATGGCAGTGTGTGAAGGAGAAGAGATTGCTTACCAACAACTGAATGTGAACTGTGTGTCTCGTTTGACGGACGTTGCGACGGGGCAAATGAAGTCTGGACAAAGGCTTTGTCGGGGACTTCGAAGAGCTGGATATGTCAAGAAGGTGAATCCTCGAGGAAGAGAGGATACGGGATCGTGACAGGTTGGATTCGAGGTGTGCGGAATGGGAATAGAATAGAGGAAGAGGTTCGCGATAGGCTCTATTCGCGTGGGTCGTGGGAGAAGGGGGAAGGGGATTTTTTCTGAATTTTCCGAGTTTTTTTGCAAGGGGTTTTCTGATATGGGATTTTCTGGTGAGAATCAGGAGAGTACGACAAGGAGCGCACTCGAGACTGATCTCTTTTTCGTTCAGACCTTGTGATGATGGGTTGGGTTGGTGAGGGTTGGCAGGAGAGGACAGGCAAAAGGCGGTTTTTCAAAATCTTTTTTGAGAACGAAAGTGGGACCCACCCGAGTCACCAATCACGCGGAAGCGACGCTTGCAGACGTTGCACCCTCCCTGGTCTCCCCTCCAGCCATGCCCAAATTGCCCATCCATCCATTCCACGTTGAAGACTACAGTGCAGTACCTACTCAGTTATCTGACATCGGAGATCAGGTTTGGCTGGTAGGCTGGATGTGGCGGATCGTGTGCAGTGAATCCGCCATGTCACTGAGTTCATTTTGATGCGCCGATGTGCGCGTGGTTTTTTATTCTGTGGTTTTATCTGCGCTCTACCCAAGGGGACAATACAAGGCCTCGCCTCCTCACCACCAACTAACTATCGACTTATCGTCACCCAGAGTTGAGAGGGCATCCAGGGTCGCTGGGCCTGCTCCCAGCCTCCGCCCTCTCCATCTAAACCTGGGCCGGAGAGCATTGATCACCCGGCGGTGGGACTTTCGCCGGGGTCGTTCGTCTCGTTCTGTGCACTCGATGCATCCGGGCAGCATGTGCGTGTGTCTCAAGTCCCATCGGTCTGCATTTCAGCCATTTCGACACGCTATCTGTTTCCGTTTGCCCTTGCCAACTCATCCAGGCCGGGATTTTCACACAAGCACCCTTCTGTCACTGTGGCACTAGGTAACTCTATCTCTGACTACGAGCTACACGCGGGTCTCCAAAGTGTTATCGATAAGGCGGGAACACGACCCTTTGAAGAGGTCGGTACGGTCGCGCTAGGTATTTCTGTAGCACAGGCGCAAAGTGGAATATTCACCGTTTGAAGCCGCCTCTGACGTGCGGATCTGATCGAGATGTCAGCCTTCTCCCACCAGAGAGGTGCAAGTTCCGGTCACATCTCGGTGTTGAGTCTGGGCAGTCACTGCATGGAACAGCTATAACACATACATGCATAGTAACGCCCATAGAGCTCGGATTCATCGACCTGTCGTCATATGCACGGGATCAACACACAGAGGCCATTGTGTCACACTCTTTTTCAACAATCGTGACTGGTGCCCAGGTCGCTTGCTTCCACGTAAATAGACATCAGATGCACGTCTATGTCAGCCTGTAAACGAGCAACGGTTGCGGAGGTAAGTCTGGCCTCGTTTATACGTGCGCGCACCAGACTTGGTTCGACAGGCAGTCTTCAATTTCTCGCTTATCGCAACGTAGATAAAAGAGCTACCCCGCGATACCCTGGGAGCTCTATGGGGCCGTTGGACGCCCACCACGGATGCAAGCACTGCCAGGCCAGGTTGAGAGGTGGAGGAGCTACCTGAAACTTCACGTCAAGCCAAAGGAGAAATTTGTTGAATACACGGAACCGAGTATGGCGGTATGAAAGAAGCACCATCCAATGGTCCTTGCACTTTTGTCATCGATGAACCTTGGCGATTGTAGAGCTCCAGCTAAGGCAGAGCAAAATACCTGCGTCCGTAGCCTTATTCCGGGCTGCCGGGTGTGCAAACAGTACGTAAGTTAGTGGGCTGCCTGGGGCGCTTGGGTACCTATTGGGCCATCTGCAGGCGGCGGTGGCTCGTCGTGGGGCGGGCATGCTGTGGTGGCGTAACCGTCTGGAATTGCTCCGAAGCAGCTGACAGAGCATTGCGACGTCAACGCCAGAGCTCAAATGCGCATTTCACGCCTTGCGCAACTGCCATGCAGCCGGGTCTAATCGTCAGCCTCTTTGGAAAGGTATCGGCGTTGCCTGTTGTTGGTTTGCCTTGATTTCTCTTTTGGTCTCCTACCCTGGTCCAGCGTTTGCTGTTCCGAGGTTCGCCGGTGGTATTCTGTATGCTGTTCACGGACGGACACTCGTACGTGATTCCCAGCTGCCCGCTCACCTGGACTACATTCACCAGGACTTATTTTCGCTAGATAACGTTTCTCGATTGGAACCCTCAATCTGACAACTAGAGATTTGGACATCCTCAGACTCTGACGCCTGGCTGCGCTAGCTCGGCTCCTGCACACCACTTCCGGATCAGCAGTTCGAGGCCCAACACCGACCATCGGCCATCGACCTTCCACCTTCCCGTATACGAACATTCATTCACGTTGCCGAGGTCTTGGGAGGCTTTTCTAGCCAACCGTCCCTCGTTGCCGCTTTCAGGATGTTTCACACCTTTTCAGGAAACTCGAGACGTCCTCGAAACGTGAACCTGAGCGGTCAAAAAAGTACAAACCCATGGGCGAACTCGGGCTGGACGCCGGCCCCGTCCGGCGCCTCACAAACGGTTGCCAACGCCCAAGCCGAACGAGAGAAGAGACAGAAAGAGCGTGATGAATTAGCGGCTGCCAAGAACCTGCAGCGTGTCTGGAGAGGTCACACAAGTAGGCACAGCACAAGGTCGAGACACCGGAAAGACTGGGATGAACTATACAGTACCGAGGGAGATGCCAGCAAGCGGGTCCTTGGAGCATTACCGCTGATACTAGCTTTGTTTGATGCAAAAGACCCAGGCGACCAGTGCAGGCTGGCTCAGTTCATCAAAGATCTGGATAGTACGGGTCCGTGGGACCTGGAGGCTCGACATTGGGGGAAGCTTGCGTCGATACTGGTGGCTGCTTTGGAGCGTTGCCCCGCCAATAGTTCGCGAGATCTCCTCGGCTACTTGGTTGGAATAATCAAGCGAGAGCCCGCTGCAATCGTGGCAGTCTCGGACAGGTACTACCGCTTGGTCAAAACCTACTGTGAAGGGCATGGGGGCAAGGCAAGTGAGCTACCATCCACAGAGCAGCAACTGCTAGCGGAGGCGATCTCCGCTCCCCTCGCTCAAGGTGATGGGAAAGCATATTCAGCATTCGCCTTTTCGTTCCTGACATCGACAAATCTCCACTTCCTACAAGTCAACCCGTCCCAAGTTGCGTCATTCCTCGACCTACAAACACTGTCAATCAGCACCATCGACGTTTTCGCTCACCAGGACCGCATTCACCAACGAACCCGAGATGAACTCTTGTGGTTACTCGCCCACTTCATCGCCCTCAACCGGGCCTCTCCGACTTCCCAGGGAGTTGTATATCTTGAAGCGTTATACCGGCAGCTGACTGAGCTGGCGCCAGATATCCGGATGCGTACTGCTGCCCAAGGAGGCGAGGACAGCGCTGAGACATCCGAAGATGAGGCCGACGAAGCCGACTTGGCGGCTGCGGGACCTATGCCGCCCTATGTTATGGAGCAGCTACTTTTCTTGGTCAACGAGGATGGGATTGCAGATCTTTTGAGCCGATTCACATCTACAGCAGCTTCCACAGCGCGTATTTCTGAAGAAGCGAGCCTGTTGGCTGGGTATACACTCATACTGCTGCGATGCTTTCCAAGCCATGGCGATGACATCAAGTTGAGGCTGTATCAAGGTGATATCCCCACTACGGACTCAGGCACATCCACGTCACTACCGTCAGTGAAGTTTTTCTGGAATGCTGTATCGAGGACAAGCATATTCCCGTTGATAGCACAGAACAGCACAGGGCAGAAGTCGAAAAGCGTCGTGTCTCTACTCCAGCCCAACGCCACACGAGACTCGGAATGGCGGACACTACTCCTATTCTTGGAGCTATACGGTTTTCTGCTACGAGTTACGGATGACGAAGACTTCCTTCCTGCAGGCAACGAAGTTGTTTCTACACAAAGCCAAGCAGTCTCACGAATTAGAGCAAGCGGACTCAAACTCACCGAGCTGAAAGATCTTGTTTCTTTTCTTAAAAACCTTGCCTTTCCACTCTACTATAATCTCTCTGACATAATGCCTTCTACAAGAACATCATCGGAGCCAAGCTTCTCCACCATGTTCGGATCTACCGGCTCAAGCTCGAGAGAGAGTGCAAAGAAGTCAACCAGTACTGCCTTTGCGGGCATAAACGGCATTGATGTACTCACTCTAAGAACGGCTGCAACGGCAACTATGCGGGCTCTGTACGAACGTGACTCACGTAGGCCATTCCTACAAAAGGATTTTTGGCTCATGACCTCAAGATTCGACATGGACGGTTTCCTCTCGGCCGTTATCCTCGAGGAACAGAAGAAGGCTGAGGCTGATGAAGACGAGCTGAGTGATGTTGACATGGACCGCCTTGATAATTTTAGCACCGCTTCCGGTTCTCGTATATCTCGAGCAGCTCAGATCGAGCGACAACGACAACACAAAAGAGTACAGAGGGAGAAGTTGCTTGCTCAAGTCGGCCCGAAACTCGAGGTCCTCAGGAATATGCCTTTTACAATTCCATTTGAAGTCCGAGTTCAAATCTTTCGGCAATTTGTGAACCTCGACAAGACCAGAAGAAGGAAAGGCAATATAGACCCTGATCAGTGGAGATTCTCTATGATGAGTGCAGCAGGGCTGGCCAATAGAAGAGACGTTCTTGGCCGCCACTCCGCTACCATAAAACGAGGCCAGGTTTTCAACGATGCTTTCGAGCAGTTCTACTCTCTGGGAGAGGGGCTGAAAGAACCCATCCAGATCACTTTTGTTGACCAATTTGACCAACCTGAGGCTGGCATAGACGGCGGTGGTGTGACAAAGGAATTTCTAACCAGCGTAACCAGCGAGGCTTTCAACCCGGAAGCGCATGGAATGTTCGTCACCAACAGCCAAAATCTGCTATACCCTAATCCAACTGCGTATGATGAGCGCCTGGAATTGATGCGGTACATCGGAACCCCTGAGCACTCACCAGAATGGAACGCTCGCTTACAAGAGCTTTCTAAACATTATGAGTTTCTCGGTCGTGTTGTGGGCAAATGCATGTATGAGGGCATTCTCATAGATATCGCATTTGCGAGCTTTTTCCTACTCAAATGGTCGTCCTCAAGCCCATCGGACTTCCGTGGAAGTCTGAACGATTTGAAAGACCTCGACCCCGACTTGTACCGAGGATTGATCACGCTTAAGAACTACCCTGGCGATGTTACAGACCTTGCCCTCGATTTCACAATCAACGACCGCGTCCCGAATCCGCTGACTGGAGAAGTACTGACCAAGATTCGTCCTTTGCGTCCAGGCGGCGAGGACATCCCTGTCACAAACAAGGATCGGCCTCTATATATCTCTCGCGTTGCACACCATCGTTTGGTAGCGCAGCCTTACAAGCAGACCAAGGCATTCCTGCTCGGTCTCGGGAGCATCATCGACCCTTCGTGGCTCTCCATGTTCAACCAGTCAGAGCTGCAGCGTCTCGTGGGGGGTGACAGCTCCGAGATCGACGTCGAGGACTTGCGTAACAACACCATCTACTCTGGCTTATACGTTGTTGGAGACGACGGCCTCGAACATCCCACCGTCCAGATGTTCTGGCAGGTTATGCGCGAGCTCAAGGACGAGCAGCGCAGAGAAGTCCTGAAGTACGTTACTTCGACGCCGCGGGCGCCATTACTTGGCTTCTCGCAGCTGAGCCCTCGGTTCTCCATCAGAGACGGAGGAACGGATGAGACGCGCCTGCCCAGCACAAGCACGTGTGTCAATCTCCTGAAGCTGCCCAGATACAGCTCAGCGAAAATATTGAAGAGCAAGCTCCTCTACGCGGTCCAGTCCGGTGCTGGGTTTGATCTAAGCTAAAGATTCGTTTGGTGGTGATGAGGAATCTGGAGAGTGACGAGATGTTGAGGCGTTGAGCAAGGTCACTTGAGGTAGTCTGCTAGCGATATACATATTGACTTTATTCTGAACCGTCTATGTATTCCAGCCGATCGTGATGCTATAGCCAAGACGGGGTTCGCCCTAGAGCTTCGTTTTGCCAAAATGCTAAAGCTCTTTGACCTAACTGGCTTTTTCGAACCGTAACCAAAGCTGCCCACTCGTGGGGTGCGCTGTATACCCATCCGTTGGTTCAATACCATCGTCATTGACGATATGGCTCGTGTAATTAGAGTATATGGCAGCAACCACGAGTTTCATTTCTATCCAGACTGTAATTAGCAACATTCATCACGACGAGGCCCGCTTGATTAACTTACCATGCATAGCAAAGTTGGAGCCAAGGCACATCCGCCCGCCACTCGAGAAGCCCCAAAACTGCCTGGCGAGGTTCTTCTGTGCCTCATCACCATCTGCTGCACGCAGCCACCTGGAGTGGTCCCACGTCTCGGGGTCGGGGAAGTACTTCTCGTCTCGGTGCAAGTTATACACCGAGGCTGAGATGCGTGCTCCGCCCGGGACCTCGTACGGCCCGATGCGGCACGACGGCGCGGGCACGACTCTGGGCTCTGGCCCGCCTGCAGGGGCATATCTCCTTACCGTCTCCACCACCAGTGCGTGCAGTATGGGCAAGCTGTCGAGTTGCTTTGGATCGGGTATGTGTGCCGTGCCATTTTCCAGACGCACGTCTGGCTTGAGAGTGAGAAGCTCGGCTCGCAGGTCCCTCTGCAAGTCTTGAGAACGCGATAGGTGCCATGTCAAGAAGGTCAGGGCGACTCCAGTGGTCTCTTGGCCCGCGAGCAGGTGGTCGATGATCTCGGAGGCGACCGAGGCCTCCGGCTTGAGGATCGCTGTCGAGTGAATTGGGGAGTCCTCCCCGCTCGACGCCTTCTCCTTCTCCAAGCCCGTCAACAGGGCACGAATGACAACGGGGTCATCCGCGGAAGCTTGGGTCTCGCTCCCTGTCTTCTTGAGAAACGCCAGAGCGGAATCGCACAGCTTCTTGCACCACGCTTCCAGCTCTTGGTTGGCAGCGAGGACCCAAGTCGGCGTCAGGCTGATCCAAAAGAACCCCAGGGCCCGTGACAACAGTGGAAGCTCTTGCGCGAAGAAACCGTACCCCTTGCGTACTTTGTACAGCTCCAACCAGTGATCGCGGAAGTTTTTCCGCTGGATGAAGTTGGAGCTATTCTTGATACCGAAACAGTATGCTGATATGAAGTCCATGGCAGTAGCGGCAAATAACGAGTGAACATCTAGCCCATGGGGGTCCTGGTGCTTAGAAATTGAAGTCTCGAGAGCCGGCAGGAGCCTTGAGTTGAGGATAACATCGCTCTGGGTGGCCAACGATGCCGAAGAGTGAATAAAGGACTTCGAGTACACATTGGACACCATGCGCTTCCTCAGCGAGTGGGGCTTGGCCTCCAGGGAGGAGAAGGTGTTTGGGACGCTTTTCGATGGGAGTAAGCGGGCATCCCGTTGAGGTATAATGCGGACAGAGGACGGACTCACCCGTAGTTATGAAAAACGGAGTACCATTCATGCTTATCGAAAGCACCCTGTACATACACAGTTTTCACTGCATCCATGTTGTTCACCGACACCTCGTTGGGTGCGACGCGCACGACGGGGCCATGCCTGCGGTGTGCCTCGTGCAGTGTCCTATTCTCCCGATTCTGGAACCTAACCCACAGAATCCAGATTGGGGAGACTGAGCATGACCAATGAGCGCTGGGGATCTTGGACAGCGACGAGAGAGCGGCGGGATGCAATATGTATCTGTATACAGCCCCGACGAATAGGATCAGGAAGCCTGTGGCGGCTAGAGTGGGCGCATCGAGTTGACTCATTGTCTAGGTCCTAGCAACTCAGCCCCTTGCGAGTTGGTCTCATGAGTCACGTAGAACCCTCGAAGTAGAACTGCTTATAAATTTTCAAGTTGTCCCTGCATTGGTCCAAAATTGAGGCTCCTCTGCTAAAGACCTTAGGTGAATAGTATGCGCTGGGAGGAAGACACTCTAGTGTTGAGGTTGAGGTGACGTCTTGCTAAGGTATGCAATCCAAATCTCGATACCAGCATGCAATAATCGAAGCTTCCGCCCCTCTTATTCCCAATACAATGCGCCAGTTTTCTAGCCCAAGAGGTACTTACGAGTCTACACTATTTCCCAATGGCTAGTTTCCGGTGCCATCTGCTGTACACTGCCATATTTTGTCCGCTTCCTATTTAATCTCGTGTTTGAACGATTCCATGTAGACAATTCCAAGGTCCCTCGAGTCAGAGGCGAATCGGTCCAATGATGATGTCAGCCAGCGACCCACTAACTTGGGCGAGCGATGACTCCCAACTTTTTAGCCTTACTGCCTTCAGGCAATTGCGTGAAAGTCCCTGCAGCGCTATGCATTTTGCGGAGCAATATCGATGCGGATATCTTAGATTGCATTGTCCCGAGTGTCGACTATAAAACAACAATATCCCGAGTCTCAATGCAGATGGACTGCCAACTCTAGAACGCAAAAGTAAAATTTCACACACCGACGTACCGCTCATCCGCCACCGTGGCCGCACTTGACACCGATCATCTCAAGTCATGGTCAATATTGGTGCACTAAGCTTGGAAGAACGACCAAAGCTCGAGTCTCTGCCGCTGCTGCCTCTGGACATTCTACTCATCATTTTCTCGCACCTGGACACTGCCCGCACTGTTGCGAGCCTTGGTGCAACATGCAAGACGCTGCATAAAGTCGTCAAGTCGAACGGCTGGCGCGTATTCGTCCGGAGCCACTTCCCCAGCCTGCAACTCCCCGCGTCCATCGCGGACAAGGACTGGAGAGCCTGGGGCCGGGATTTGACCTGGCAGTCGCGCGCTTGGGACAGACGTGCATTTACTCTGGCCACGCTGGTTCCACCGGTGAAGCAACAACAGCAGCAGTCGCAAAATGCCCGGGGTCACAGTAACCGATTCAGAGCTCAGACTGTCCCATGTCACATTGTCGTTGATGCAAAGGTCAAGACCGAGGGCAGACGCCGTACGGAGATCGTCGCCTGGGGTGCCGGAGAGGACGTCACAGTCCGATCTCGACAGATAGGGCGTTCAGCATCTCGGGCAGAGCAATGGACAAGCATCGAAGGGTCGTCTTTGGGCTTTACTAGCGGCAAAGACGATGTCACCTCGATTTACATACTGGATTCATCAGCCAGAGCCGGCGCAGGGCTGGTGGTTGGTCGAGCAAGTGGCGATCTACGGTTGCATTCCTTGGACCCTGATAGCATCGGGCAGGCAACTGCAACTTTGCGGCCCCAAGTGACTGCGGAGCCTGGCCTCGAACAAAGGGAGATACAGTCTTGCGATTTTGATAGCTCTCAAAATACTCTGGCTGTGAATACCAAGGATAGCACTCTTCTGTATCGCCTTGGGCAACAACAGGATGGCGACCAAACTTCAAATGGAGTTCAAGGGCAAGATATCGACCCAAGCGAGGCTATATCGTTGAGAGCGATGTCTGGATCAAAGCCTTTCAAGTTCTTACGCTCGGTCAAATTCATGGGAAATGGGGACCTTGCCCTGGGTGTGGCCAGTAGTCTGGAGCCCTTGCGCTACCTCACACCAACCCCCTCTGGTCTCGAGCTTGTGTCCGCGGCCAAGATGCAGCCCTCTGACAGATGCATAGAGTCGTATCTAAACAATGGCCAGGAACTCGAAACAGTACGCGACATTCTCCCCGTCAGCGCCGGTTCTATGGCCGGAGGGCGCGGTAGTGTGGTCCTCAGTTCATACGACGATGGTACGGTGCGACTCCAGGATCTCCGAACGTCCTCTGCCATCGACACGATATATCAAGATCACTTTGAGGTAATGACGCCCGTCGGGCCTCTTGCAGCATACGGTACGGAGCGGTTCATCGCAGGCAGCGCAAGATCGGCCATTCTCAAAATCTTTGACTTTCGATGGACCAAGGGATACTGCTACACGGACGCGTTGCCGTGCGGCGCAGCGCCGCTGCTTCCAACGCCGAAGCCGCCTACCGTCGTGTCGCCTCCCTATTATTCAGGAGTAGCAGGGAGGTGCGACCACATGTCCGGACGGCTCTGCCAACGCCACGCCTTGTCGAGGACCGACTTCTACCGCCCGAACTGCAGCATCTACCTGCCCCTGGTTAGCCAGCTCGCCTCGCCGGTCTACTCCCTGGCGAAGGTGTCCGATTCGTCCCCCACCGTCTACGCGGGCCTGGCTGGCGAGCTGGTGGAGATGAACCTGCGCGACAGCGGCGAGAGCAGAAGGGAGCCAGCGGCCAAGCCGAAGCGCCAGGCCAAGCAGGCCCGCGCCGGCTACAGCTACCACGAGAGCTTGGCCAACATGCTCGAGACGGGAGACGGGATCGCCCTGGCCGACGTCAGCAAAAGCCAACGTGTGCCTGAGATACGAAAGCAAGCCCATCACTCCAAGTCCGCCTCCATGCAGGGGATGTACCGGCTGGACGACCTCTTTGTGTCCAATATACAGTACAATCAACGGGGGTATGCGTCTGACGATAGACCAGTTATTGCTAGCTGAGGTAAAAGGATGGCGGATACACGAGACACAACAGATCAAGGGTAGCTATATAGCAAATCCGCATTTCTAGAAAGCCCCATCTTGAAGAATAGAGGCTCCTTATAATTACCCACATGGAGGTTCATATCTGGAAGATGTGCACGTAGCAATATGATAGACAAGACTCATATGATGAGGACCGTACACGCAGAGACGATGATGGATGAAGATCAAATATGTGGAGAGCGAAAAAAAAAAAAAACCCCCTGTATACCGTAGTCTCCTATCTTCCAACCAGCTTCCAAAGCCCGCCTAGTCAGCCATGCCCTTCATCAAAAACGCCCGTACTTATGCAACCTTAATGTCCTATTTAGTTTCTAAGGTTGGGTTGTATAGTCGTATATCTCGGTTTGCCAAAGATTGTGTATAAGTCAGGGCTATAGTCGTATAAGGGGTCTAAGCGAGCCAAATCACCGCTCCCCAAGACTTGAAACAATGCATTTGCAATGAAGTGTGTTTACGCGGATAGGCCTGTGTGGACGAATGGACAACGTCAATATTTGATTCTGGCCAGGCTGTTGTGCATAATCACTTGTATACGCGATTTGTTTGTGGGTGAATCTCGCACTGAATTGCTGACGTTTGACGGCGTCGAGTATGTAGCAGTCCGGAACCCCGCGATGGCCAAAAGAGGTGCGCGCGGCACCCGAAGTCTTGTTGCGTCGCATGGTCCAGTGTCTGATCGGGATGGCACGGCGAGTTTTCATGCGAGACGGGTTTGAATATATATCCGTTATTTCCCCCATCTGTGCCGAGCCAACATTACTGCTGATGCATGTTAGGATTTCACAAGGGGAGCTGACGTCGGCAGCGCAGTGGTTTCTTCCCGGGTTGTGGGGGATGCATGGCCCTCGTAAGAAACTTGAAGAATCAGTCAATCGAATTCATGCTCATTATGTCAGTATCTTCTTCTCTGTAGCCATCGGCTCTGGTATCTGCAACTCCCAAAGATATGATTACAAGCCATAGTCCAATTCACACAAAGTAATGAGTACGTGCCCGACGTGGCCGCGTTTTGGAATGCTGGTGGGCCCTTTCTTGACGCCATGAATTTACAACAAAATCTTTATAGATCAATAAGACTCTCCTCCACTGCGGGCTGTTGCGGCGCGTGCTGCGGTGCCGATGGGAATGATTCCTGGGTATATCCCGCTTGATACCCCGGGTTCTGGTTTTGATAAGCCTGCGGCGCGGGTCCCGTATGCTGTGGCTGCTGCCAATATGGCTGTTGCTGAAGCGGCATTGACGGCTGGTACTGTTGCGGTGGTTGAGATGGCTGGGCCTGGGCTGGCTGAGACGGCACTGAGCCGGGAGTTGGAGGAATCGACTGCATATTGTAGTTTGTCGACTGCTGAAGGTTGGGATAGGGAGATGGTACGGAGTCGCCTGCCACACTAGGGGTCTGGCGGCCTTGACTTTGTTGCGCGTTGCCGTAGTAGAAAGCAGCGTTCGGATCAGCGGGGGGCAAGCCTGCCTGTTCAGGAGCTCTGCCGGGCTCTGGTTGAGAAGGCACTTGCGGATGGTGTCCAGGTTGTGGTTGTGGCTCGCTGGGCGCATAACCGGGTCCAGGATACGGCGAAGGCGCCGAGGGTGCTTGGGCCTGCCAACTTTCACTTCTTTGTACCTGCTGAGGGGGGTATTGACCGCCTTGTGGCACCGAAATAGAAGCTCGCTTGTCATAACCAGCATACTGCGGCTGGGGTGTTTGCACCGGCTGTTGCGGGTACGCCTGCGGTGGAGCGTAATGTGCAGGCTGCTCACCAGTATAGAAACTTTCGGCAGGACCTGCAGCACCGGGCGCACTGCTATGTATCGAAGGGTACGGCCCGGATGACTGACGGGGTGGCGGGAGGTTGTAGCCTCCAATTGTGTGTTGGCTATAAGTCTTGGACAGCCTATCTTCCAACATGCGGTCATAATACCGCACGACTGTCGACAGCTTTGCATGTAAATCAAGCAATGTATCTAGTAATTGTCAGCGACTGAGTCCGTTTGCACATGCAATGTCTTCATCTTACCGTGCTTGCTCATGGTCTCCCCATACGTCCGTGCCAATTTGGGTCGTAGTGTGCCGATAGAATCGTAAAGCTCCTGGATCTGTGGCTCTCTGAGGATGGTACCCGGCGGCTGTGATTGGAGACGGTCGACCAGCGTGGCAAAGAGATTGATGTTCTCTGCCTCAACGGGAGACAGCTCGTAGTCGTTCTTGGGCAGCGCAAAGGGGGTTGCAGACGCGGCGGGCCGGCTGGCGCTTGTTTGCTCCTTCAGAGCAGCAGCATGCTTCTTCTTCTGCTCCTCCATGTCGGCCAGCGACGCGGCAATAGCCGCCTTCAAGTCTTCGTCGTCATCCTCGGCCGGCTTGCTCGCCGACGGTGATGGGCCATTCGTCTTGGCGGCAGTGGCGGTCGTGTTGGGTACATAGCCGCTTCCCATGGAGTGGCTCTGGACTTCTTCCAGGCTCATAGCAAGGGCCTTCTTCAGGTCCTCATCGAAAGCGTCGTCCACACGGGCATCGCGGGGTTGCATGGACGCGGCAGCCGTGGTGCTTCTGTTCTTGTGGGGGAAGGACGAGGTGGTCGGCGTCCGGTCCTGTGAACCAAAGCCGCCCTTGCTCGACTTATCCGTGAGCTTGGTGTAGCAGCCATCGTCGACACGGACGGGTTGCATGATGCCCAAGTGAGGCAGGGGCAGGGTCTTGGTGGAACATTGCTGGTCGAAGCAGTTTCCGCAGTTGCGGCAGTGGTGCTTCCGGTTGGTGAAGGTGAAGGCAGTTCGGCATCGCATGCAGACATCAGAGTCGACCCATTCCGGGGGCGCGCTGCTGTCGATCATGCTGCTCGCGACGGTGACGCGCGGGGGGAACTGGAAGCCCTCCCGCTGGAGGGACTTGCACGTCTCGTCGATGTACTTGAGGTCGTACCGGTCGGCGGTGGCGGCGGCCCAGGTCTGAATCAGCTCGAGGATCTTGGCGCGGACGTCCTGGTTGACGGCGGCGGGCCCGACGGCGTGGAGGAGCGAGACGAGGTTGTCCATGAACTCGCGCGAGGCGATCTCGGACAGGAAGTGGGCGCCGCCGTTCTTGACGCAGGTGTCGGTCAGGTTGAGGGCGCTCAGCTGGACGTTGGGGTTCTTGTTGCCTATGCGACGCTTCAGCGACCGCATGGCCTCCTTGGGCTGGACCGTCTTGGATCTTATGACATCAGATATCTCGAGGTTGAGGGCAATGTCCTCTCTGCGGCGGGGCGGCGGACGCCGTGGTTAGCAAGCATCCGGGGGGTCGGGGCATCGGGGCATCGTGAGCCAGGACATGACCTACAGACTGCTCCCCGTGGCCTTGTCTATCTGCTCGTCCAAGGCGCCGTTGGCCGAGGAGGACCACCAGCCTCCCATCATCTTGGCGTGGTGTTTTGGGGGAGACCCGAGCTTGGTTCAGTGAGTTGCAGGCCGGAAGTGCGGTTCGGTAGGGAGCCTCGGGGCGCGGGTGTCCGGTTCGAGAGATATATCAGATGCAACAGCAGGCCCTTGAGATAGTTAGGCAAATGGAATACTGCAGAGCTGCGGTTGTCGTCGGTTCGTTGTGTGTGATGCTTGCGCGGCAGCAGGGTAACTCGAGGCAAGGCAGCACTCTGGCGCTGTTGACGTTGAGGCTCATGCGTAACTCAAGTTACAGGAGGTCCAGGTACCCAGGTACCCAAGTTACGGGCCTGGGCAGCGGACCTTACGTACTTCCAAGGCTGGAAGTTGGAGCTAGGGCGGGTGGAGCTTGGAGCTTCAGGCTGACCATCAGTGGATGCGCCCCAGCAGACTACCTAGCAGCCTACTTAAGTAGGTACCCCGTCAACCCGTGGACCTCACCGTGGTGCGTAACTATTCGCAGGGGCGAGTCGACTTGATTGGCCGACGTTTCAGTGAGATTGCCTTGCGGTACTAGGTAGTAAGTTCAAGTTACTACAGGTACGGAGTTCTTTGGCATCGAGAGAGCTAACGGTATACTGTAGGGTTACCTCTTTTCAGATGTTGGTGTCGCCATCAAGGAGATATTCTAGTCTCTCCGAGACAACCTTGAAAGCTTCACCACGGCCATCTGCCCGATGTAGTGACATGGGTAACTCTTGCGAGCATTCAACTACTGTGTACATTGCATCCATGGATAGCACCCAGGTACGCCAGGCGCTGTGCTGTGGCGCACCTAGGTATCTACATAGTAAGGTAGGTAGCAAGGTAGGCAGCCACGTTTGTCGCTGTAAATAGCGCCCCCAGCTTGCCCCCAGGAGTCATCAGTGCCCAATCAACCAAGCAAATCCTCCTCCACCAGACAGACACCGCCAAAACTGGGGCCCCTCTGGGATTGCCCCTCGGTCGTTGGGCTTTTGGAGCGCTGTGAGTCTGTGACGTCCAGGCTGCGGCCCGCTTCCGGACCCTGGGCGGCGGACGCTGCGGCAATGCACACATACGCAAACGCACACGGGCTGGCTGGCCTGACACGACGTCAGTTGGAGACGGCCAATACCAAGTCCAACCGCCGACACACCACACCACACCCACACCGCAGCCGTGATAGTCACATCCCACCTTTTGCAGCATAGCCGCGCGCACATCTTGGGCCGCATAGGGAAAGGTATACCTGAGTAGACCACCGTACCACACCCGGCTTCGCGCGCCGTGTGCTTACACCCGACCTACCCCGTCTCGCCCCTTGCGCTTTCGCCGGCACCTGGGACGTCAGCTCTCCTCCAAGAATGCCACCGAACGCCGATGCTGGCCCTCCCATACAGCCCGCGACGTAACTTGGCCAGAGAGGGTGAGCCGCTCTCGCCGCAGACACCTGGGAACAACTAGCACTCGCCGGCCCCTCCTCTCCTGCGACATGATAGCCAACACGTAGCCTGGCACCCGACAAATGCTATGGCGGCCCCTACCAATGGCTACTCGTCGCCCTCGAACGGCCGCAAGCCCTTCGCCCACATCGACGATGTCACCTCCGTCGCCGTCGAGATCGACCCCCATACGCCCCTGCGCAAGGTCCTCGAGCTGGGCGATACCCACATGCGCCAGGCCATCACCTTCAGCGACTTCAGGCGCCCCGACCTGGCCCTCCAGGAGTACATCAAGGCCTTCACCATCGCCGTCGACAAGATACCCAAGCACAAGGACTATCCCTCCCTGAAGAACGATCGCAGCGACCTGAGCAGGCTGTACAGCGCTCTGAAGGTCAAGATCACCAACAACTCCGACAAGTTCGACAAGATCAAGGCCGAGATCAAGGAGGACAACCTGCGCAATGGCGTGCGCTCCGCGAGACGCGCCTCCGAGGCTCTTCTCATGAACCTGCCCAGTGTGCCGGGCTCCCTCCCTAATCAGCACAAACCCAACGGCCTGAACGGTACGGCAGACAAACACGCGGGCAACGGCTTCGAAACCCGGCCCAGGAACGGCAGCGCCAGTGGAAACGCGAGGGCCAAGCCGGCAGTGCAACCAAAGCCACAGGTGCTTCATGGGAACACCATCAACAAGCCTTCAGCCGGTCCTGTCGGCCAGGACCTGGCAAGCAGGTTTGCCCAACTGCGTAGCGCTCAAGACGCGTCGCCTATACCACCGTCGGGACACGGCAAACCGTCGGGGCCTAGAGACATGCCCAATACAAATCGCCCGCAGCCACATATCAACAGCGCTGTGCCGACCATGCCCAAGATGCCTGATGCTATCTACAGCCCGGCAAGGGGCACCATTACCAGCGAGATAGCAGATCTCCCTTCCAGCACACCCAGGGGCATGTTCAGCCGCACCAACTCCATTGCCTCCGTGTCCTGCTCTTCTGCGAGGAACTCGATTGACATCGGGTCGAGGCCGATGGCAACCGAGCATTCCGTCCCGACGCAGAGTACCCACGAGAATGGCACAGCGGCCGCACCCGCTTCGCCACGGATTCAAATCCCACCAGGCAATACAATCACCCCTGAGCAGCTCCAAGGGTACATGCAAAAGGGGGCAAGCGTTGTCCGCTTGCTGATCATCGATGTCCGCACTCGGGAAGAGTTCGACGATGGGCACATCATGTCCCAGAACACCATCTGTGTCGAGCCTTCTGTTTTGGCCAGAGGCGATATCTCAGCTGACGATATCGAGGAGAGCATGGGAATAGCACCCGATGAAGAGATGAAAGCATTTGAGAACCGCGCCAAATTCGACCTTGTGGTCTTTTATGACGAAGAATCAACCAAACTACCCGAGAATCCCCGGAACGACGAGGACGGCTTCGTCCTGTTTACTCTATACCAGGCACTCGACCACTTCAATTATGGAAGGGAGCTCAGGAACAAACCGAAACTGCTGCGGGGCGGCGTAGAAGCGTGGACCGACATCTTTGGCCGGTACAGTCTGCAGGAATCCAAAACATCCGCAGCGATCAAGGATGGCAAGCCCAAACCTGACCTCAGCCGGTTCAAGCCAGGTTATAACAACAGGCGGCGAGCTAGAGCGCAGACGAAAGCATTACGACCTGAAGAAATCAAGGAATTTGAGAGAAAGCTGCGGGAAGATGAAGCAGCCGCCAGGTCACCACAGGAGTACGTCAGAAGTACACAAGATTTCCTGCGGCGATTCCCTTCGGCTTCCGAGATACAGCAGTCCATGTCATCTCAGACCTCTGGCAGCCAGGACAGCTTTGAGTCTGATCTCCCTCCTGCGCCGCCAACGCGCCCAGCTCCGGCAGTACCGCGTACTAGTTATAGCGGTCTTTCGACCAAGAGCCCAGAGAGCGATGTGCCACTTGCCAAGACAGCAAGCTCCGGCGTTGTCGTCCGGGATCGGCCAACAGGGCTTATCAATCCTCACAACAACTGTTTTGCCAACTCCGCCATACAAGCAATCTTGGCTTCGCCGGGTTTTGCTCCTCATTTTGCCTCAAAAGACTGGCCAACGAGCTGGAAGCCTGCAGATGATAATCCACAGCTGATGGCTAGGATCCTGGGAAACTTGATCCAGTGGCTGGCTGGAAAGCAGTTTGAGTCAATGCAGCCCACAACTTTCATGGTAAGAGCTTTTGTCTGGAAATGCTGGCCACTTTTTTACTAACTTGTCTGCAGAAATACTGTCAATCTATCCACGAAGGGTATCGCCTCCCAGGATCAAATCGACTTTGCAAGTTTGGCGATGGAACGCAGCATGATGCTTCAGAGTTTCTTTTTGACTTCGTGTTCTCGCAGCTGGATAACGAAACAAACCGGAGCAGGAATACGCAGTTTGTGAATTACTCACAACCTGGTGAAGAATTAAAGAAGAAGGATAAAAAGAGAGCCCAGGCACTTCCGCTCATCAGCCTTGCCTTTGACTCCTGGAACAAGTATATGTCATTCCGTGACACAGTCATGACATGGCATTGGGGCGTCCTCCATGTCGACAGAAACGTCTGCCGGACGTGCCGAGACTCGGTAGACAGTTTCGGCTACTCTAATTACCTCGATCTGGGAGGCGTGTCTGGGCGGTACAGCGACGAACCTATGACGCTAAAACAACTCCTTGATGAGCAATTCAACTCCAAGGAGACCAGACAGGCCGATGGAGACTCGGGGTACGAGTGCGGGACAGAAGTTGGCGAAATCCACAAATCCAAGGAAGCCTACACCAAACTGGTCCGCCTGCCGCCGCTGCTGGCCATCCGGTTCAAGCGGTGGGACGCGATGGGCAACAAGGTCAAGCGCAAGATCAAGTTCGACGTGGACAACCTCGACCTGACCGAGTACACGATCGACACGTCGGACATCACGGACCGTGGCACGGTCAACGGCTTCAGCGCCGAGAAGGTCTACGACCTGTACGCCGTCATCGCGCACCGCGGCGACACGTCGAGCCAGGGCCACTACGTCTCGTACGTCAAGGACGGCGCCTCGCGCGACGCCAGCGCCTGGTTCTTCTGCAACGACCAGCATGTCTACAAGCGCCGCGTCGGCAGCCCCACCATGCCCCTCGAAGACGTCTGGTTCCAGTGCCTCGACGGCTTCACCCCCTTCGTCATCTTCTACAAGCGCAGGGACGTGCCCTGGCAGTACGCAAGGCCCCCGGCCGGCATGAGATGATGCGTCGCGGCCCCCCACATGCCCGGAGAAGATGGATAAGAGGATAGGGGAGAGTTGCGGAGAGAAAGATAGAGTAAAGAAAGAGCCAGGGGAAAATACGCGAGCATGAATGAGCCAAATGTCTTCTTTGAAATGTTACATAGCGAGCGGGATGCATATTGGAGAGGCGTTGGGTCGGGATCATCACATGCATCATGATCCTCCCTGATACAACCTTATCTATATAGGTCAAATACCATGGCGATGATGTCTAATTAAGATCATGATACGGGCTTCTCACTTATTTCATCAGGAAATCTCATGACAGAGATGGAGATTGTCTCGTTTCAATGATACTATATCTAGTGACTTCGTGCCACCTAGAACTAACCAAGAGACCCTCCGGTGTGGAAATAGCAAAGCGTAACATCATGTGAAAGTAGTCATCTTAAAGCAACAGTTGTAGTCTCAGTCAACTGGCGACCCTCTTATTATGATTGGTCTCGATATATCGTACAGCCAAAGTCGCCCGGCGCCTAACCCGGCATAAGCCTTCACCAGATCCGCGAATGCAACCCTCGCTGTTTAAGTAGACCGGAAATCCCACCCGCCTGCTGTTGAAAGTCATTTGAGTATACCCACATAACCAAATGCTGACGATGTGCCCCATATATCCTGTTCCCACCCGCGTAGTGAGGCGAAGGCCTCCTACTCAAAGCCTCTCTCGAGCTCCTTGGCGTACTTTTCCTTCAGCGCCCGCCTGTTGACCTTCTGGGTCGCCGTGACGAGGTTCTAGAGTCGCAATCTGGTCAGCAACGTTTCAGGCGATAGAGATAAGGGGGAAATTCCATGGAAGCAGATGAAAAGAAGGGTAACAGAATGCACAACTCACGCTAGCAGGCGTCCACTCGTCGTCCACCAGGACGGCATTGCAGATCATCTCGAGGCCGCCGAGGCCGCCGTTCTTGCCGACGGTCTGGAGGTCCTTGAGCACGGCGGCGCGGACCTTCTTGTCGCTGTGCATGGCCTTCTCCGGGACGCCGAGGCTGTGGGCGAGGTCGGCGAGGGCCTTCTCGTTGGGGCTGACGAGGGCGATGGCGCGCGGGTGGGCGCTGTCGCCGTAGACCATGAGGTTCTGAACGTACTGGGAGCCGCGGTAGACGGCCTCGACCTTCTCGAGGGCGATGTACTCGCCGCCCTGCATCTTGACCAGGTTCTTGACGCGGTCGACGACGCGCACGTGCCCGTTGGCGTCGATCTCGCCGATGTCGCCCGTCTTGAACCACCCGTCGCTCGTGATGGCGCCCGCCGTCTCCTCTGGGTTCTCGTAGTACTCCTTCAGCACCGGCTTGCCGCGCAGCAGGATCTCGCCCTGCGGCGGTGTTGATGAGGTGCTGTAGTTGAGCTCCGGCAGCGAGACGAGCTTCAGCTCGACGGAGCCGGGGACGGGACCGATTGCGTTGGGCGTCCACTGTAGGGGGTTGCCCAACGCTCCGTTGGCGCAGGTCTCTGTCAGACCGTACTATATAGGTTGGCAGAGTCAGTAAAATTCACACCTAAACACAGTTTTGCCGCTGTTGGCTATACTCACCCCAGTGATCATCGGTGCCACAACCATGGACATGAAGTGCTGTGTGCCTTGCGAGATGCCAGACGCGCCGTTGAAGATAAACCGGAGGCGTCCACCGGTCATCTGCCGTACCTTGCCAAAGACGATGTCGTCCAGCATGGTAGCTCCGGGCATGCCGTACGATACGAGCGCAGACTTGAGGTTGTAAGCTCCCCAGAAGAGGGCCTTGGTCACGGCCCCGGAAGAGTTGACCTTGGCCTCCACTCCCTTCCTCACCGTCTCCCAGACCTGCGGGACACCGACCAAGACAGTCGGCCGCAGTTCGCGCATGTCGCCTGCGCAGTTACGCATGCTCGAGTCGGACAGAGTTCTCGACGAGCCGTAGCCCAGAGTGCCGCCAACGAAAATGACCAGGTTCTCGACACACAGCTCCAGGATGTGGGCGGGCGGCAGATAAGCAAGGACGACTTCCTTGGAGGATATGCCTTCTTCGACGTTGCAGTGCAAACCAGCAATGCCCGCGATAATACCCTCCTGTGTGATGGGGACACCTTTCGGCGGTCCCGTTGACCCGGATGTGTACATGATACAGTACAGGTCCGTAGGCTTTGGCGGAACCGGCGGGACCGGGTTGGCTTCTCCTAGGGCTCGGAGCTCAGAGATAGATATAACCTTTAGCTGCGGGTGAGCCTTCTTGAACGATTCAAGCTCTTCGTCCTTGATGGGCATGTTCGTCTCGTCGTTGTAGATCAGGAACTTGACATCCTTGGCCTCCTTCAGAGGCCCGGCCGCCGTCTTCAGCAAGTGCGGGTCCGTGTACATGGCCTTGGCCTTGGTTTGGACCAAAGAGTGCTTGACACCATCGGGCCCTAGGGTATCGTAGGCGGTGGCGATGGTGAGAGACTGAGAGGAGCACGCGTGCGACATGCACAGCCAGTTGCGACTCGACGCGGCAAAGAGGTGCAATTTGTCGCGGGGCTCCAGTCCCAATTTCCGCAGGCCGGCACCGACTTGCAACACCATCTTCTCGTACTCTGAGTAGGTGTGGTAGGAAAAGCCGGACAGTTCGAAGAATGTCCACTCCTTATCGACCTTTTTGGTCTCGCCGTCCACGACCTTGTCGACCTTCTTCTTCTCGGTGTGTGTCTTGATGAGCCTACGCATGCCGACAGCTTCCTTGCCCGGGAATTTCTCTGCACTGTTCCTCAGCAGCTCGTAGATGGTGCTGACATTCGGCGCCGGCTTGTCAATGAGACCATCCTTCGCCTTGACGTTTCGGTGGGGGGCCGTCTCTCCGTCTTTCGCAAGTTCGCCCGGGGACTGTATCGAGAACGGGGGGCTCTGGACGAAGTGGAGGGGCATGATGCCCTCTTTCTGTTCGGGAAGGCCCATCTTCGATGGCTGAAAGATGCGAGTATGCTGCAGCGTGAACTATGGTCTCGGCAAGTTGAGGAGGCTCGGGGCCGTTCGTGTGAAGCTGAGAAGTTCCGGCTGGGATTCCCCACAAAATCACTCAATGAACCAGGAGAATGTTTGAGGGTTATGGGAAGTGAAAACGTATGTCTTGAGGGCTATTATAAGGGTAGTTGTGCAGCAACGGACTTCTCGGGTGTAGCAGTCGGATTTGTTGAATATTTGCGAGCGCAGAGGCAGGCAATCGTCGCGATCGGTAGGCTGAGAGCGTGTCAGGGTCTTGGGGATCCTCGGGGGTGACGTCGCGGACAGGGGGTTGCGCCTGGCGGCTAGACCAGATGCAGCTAGACCTCGCTATAGCTCCGGCCACTGAACTGCCAGCGCTGGCCTGGCTGGCTCCTAGAAGGGCAGTAAGGCAGCAGCAACCAAGAGTTCAATAGTGAGTGCTTAGTGGAGGGGAGTGTGCTTCAAGTTGCCCTGCGGCTGGGGTCACACGTATATACATATCCCCAACAAAACGGCAGAGGCCAGATAATGCTGATAACTTGGGGACTTTCGACTCGGCACGGGGACGAGCTGGACGACGCACAGCCGGGCTGCTGAACGCTGCTTTCGAAGCCGGCCACTCACGTGTCGCCGACGACCCTGGCGAGCCGAGGCAACGTGCCCGCGTGCCGCGCCCGCCGTAAAGCCCGACACGTTGACAGCGCTGACACGGCCGTTCGCCTCACCCGGCCGAGAAAAAAACTACCAGCCAACTATAGCTCGTGAAATAACATATATGTAAGCAATCCTACGTGTTAACCCCACCAAAAAATGGCCTTGCATGGCACACAACGTTGTACGGACAGGGAGCTAGTAAACTTATCAGTATAGCGTTACCAGGGGGCAAACGCCAAAACTGTTGGTTGCAAAATGACGGACTAGACCCTGTCAAGTTTTGATATACTCGACCAGCGAGCCCAACCCACAGCACGGGCAGGTCTGGCCAGCCTAAACCCAAGTCTCATGTATTCAGCGTATGCGCGAAAATCGCAACTGTATATTCTTTCTTCTCTTCAAACCATATATGATGCAATGCAACCCACAGATCCATTCTATTCCATTCTATGGTCATGTACTTCTGCTCTATGAAGAAAATGATACTCTAAAACATGACTCTTGAAAGAGAAAACAGTCGCAGTGAATGGCTTTTGGTGTAGCTTGGCCAGGTGGCCAAGGCAGCAAGCATGCGCATACAAAAAGGCTTAGGCTACCTCCTCAGACCTCCAAGTCTCTGGTGGATAGAACCTTGCTTCCAATCGTTGTGCCTTACGACCCCGAGTTTAAAAGTGTCATATTATTCGCGTTACCCAGAACGATTGAATTCGAGACGTAGCAGTCCCCAAGTGTGCGTGGTGGATGTGGAAGCTCACCAAGCTACCACAACACTCGGTCAAAACCCCCCAGTGGCCACAGAGACCTGCCGACATCACCATGACGAGCCGCAGCAGTTCAGTTCGTCTGGTTGAGTGGAAGCCCAACGTCTCAAACACCGACGAAGACTCATGTGCTGCCAAAGTCCGAAACTTCGAGTTCCTGTCTTCCAAGAAGGAAACCCTGCTTCCAGTCGCTCGCAAACCAACCACCAAAACCCCCTCCTACAAGGTCGTGAACATCACTCCTGTTCTTAACAGGGGCAATAGATCGTCAACCATGCCATCAGCCAAACCCAACATTACCAACAGCGCAGAAGCACCGGCACCTCACTCGCCCAAGTTCAAGGAGATCCTCAGCAACGCGGTCAAGGCAGGCGAGATTCTGAGAGAGCTGCCGGAGATGTCGACCAAGGACCTTCTGCTCCTCAAGCGTCAGGTTGACAGCCACTTAGCAAAACGAGGATCAAGTACACCTGCGGTCGCGCCGCCTGACGACATGGAGGAGTGGGACGTGCTGGATGAGGATCTGGCCGGTTCGGCTGACCAGTTCGATATCGTTAAGCACGAGGAGGTCTGATGATGCTATGTTCGTGTTCGTGGAGAGGGCTTGGTTGCCAATGAGGCACAGGGAACGGGCTGCTTTTCACCGAAGAGCACGACAAGCATGGAAATGGCTTGTACTGTATTTCAAGTGCTCACAAGCCTTGGTAGGAGAGTTCGTACTCAAACAACTTGGTATTTCATGCCTCTTACTGGCCTAGGTCTGCGACGACTACTGCGATGGTTTTTTTTTTTTTTTTTTTCCAGGCTCCGCACCAGGCGATCATCTAATGTCGACTTGTTGCAAGCCGTCTAATACTACACAATGATTAGAACTCAGTGTAATGGACATGAACCACTACATACAGAAAGAAGACTTTCAAAATCAAATAGACCCTGTATTGCATGGGTAAATAGGGTGTTTCGTCATACACTGTTTAAATTCATTGCTAAGCGCATCTTAAGCTGATATAATGGAAGAAACGCAGAATTCCCGGTGTCTTGATGGTGTGCGAAGTGCACAGTCATATATAGAAAGTGGAAGAAAGGCCCTGGTGGGATGCAGAGCAGCAGTCGACATACATAAAAACAAGGATACCACCAAATCACGGACTTGACCCGCGTACCACACGATCCGGCGTTGGTTGAGAATAGGAATCGCATTCCAGAGCCTTCCCAGCCGTTTTCCACATCGGCGAGGTGGACCACATGTACTTGATGGAAATGACACGGCGGGGAACAAGTGGTTCGAGATGTGGCTCTTGAGTCTGGGTGAGAGTGTAATGCAAGGACGTAGAGGTAATTATGCACATCATCTGACTTTCTGTTTCCTAGTCTTCAACTTCCTAATGAGGTCTCGAAGTTGGAGGATTGCCTAGGGTTGTTCAAAAGAACCGGCGTTCCAATGTGTTGAAGGCATATATGTGAGACTCACGCCAGGAATCACGGCCGCTCTTGCCACAGTACCTGCGTACGATTGCAACAAAACGTTCAGTGATTGATATATCCAGCAATGCTGCCGGGTGTTCGGATCCAGTGTCGATTCAGAACCAACATGCATTGTGCAAACATCGCAGTACAGGGGCAGGAAATTGGACTGATTTCGACTGGCCCTTGTTAGCTTCCTCAATTACTGGATGTGGAGGGGCAAGCTCCAAATGTTGGCCCGTCCACGATACTGAAGCTGTGACAAAATCATCCTAGCAGCACACAGCTGATTCACTTCTCCACCTACAAAGTTGTTCTCTACCGGCTTGTATCGAATTATTTAACTCGGCTTTCATATTCGCTGAAATTCGACATGTCACGCGACTTTAAATCTTCACACTAGATTGCGAGATTCACGTGGTACGCTCAATTTCCATCGTTCTGAGACAAGTGTTCACAAGCGCATTCCGGCTCATTTGGGGCTAACACACGCTTTCTGCACCATCGAAGGCTCCTGGCTACTTCTCCCTCAATACCACAACCTCCCCCAAGGACGCCACTAGCAGCCTACCAGTCAAGGAAGACCTGCGAGGCTCTCCCACGATGTACCTCCTGTACTGCTTCTATGCCTGTTTGGCAGGCCTCGTCAGCGCTCAGATTGGCGGCGCCCACGCCTTGGCCCCTAGCAGCGCGACGGCCCAGCCCGCAACCATCACCAGTGCCCCGTCCGCAACTGAGAAGCACTCCACCTGCAGCGAGAGCACCTCCAACTGCTACTACTCATACACCACCTGCTTTGGCAAATTTGGCTTCTACTCCAAGTAGGTTCTCCACTGACGCCCGAGCGCGTCGCTCAAGAAATAGCAAGTTTCCACAACGCTGACGAGTCAAAGCTGTTATGCACCTTGTGTCACTTCTACTGCATTTACCTGCGAGACGACCAGTACCAAGGCGACTATAGCAACTCCGTTTGTGGTGCAAGATTGAAGTCCATGATTGTGTTGGGTAGCCCGGTGGTGCTGGGGACGGATGTCGGTCAGTCAAAGCCAGAGGCATGAATGAAACACTCGAGACGGGTGTTTAACCAGCATATGACTCTCACAGCCTGGAGAGCCAGTGAAAACTGTCTTTCAGGTAGAACAATAGAATCATATACAAGTATAGCCGGCTAAAGTTTCTACCCTCGCCTTCAGTAGTCCAAAACATGATTCACCTCACGTCGGTTGCATATATGACCCCCTTGTTATCTATCCGAAATCGTAAATGGGATATCATCCACTGGCTCGAGATTTATTAGAATAGTCTATAAAACACGGCATAAACAAGTTTCCGAACAACCTCACCAAGGCACTCGAATGGTAGTGTGCTTCAAGGCAAAGATAAGTGTAGCTTAGAGAGCCGAATGGACATGTTATTGGACAACTGGAGTTAAGCTTATTTGCGTCATCGCGGATTGTGGTATCATTTTGACAACTTTCGTGCAGTTGAAAGCGAAGCAAATGGGAGAGGCGGAGTTATGAAGAACCAAATACACGAAAGGAGACTTTTTGTTTGTGACAGAGTATGGTAGGGATGGACACAGTTGCACGCCATGCAAGGGAAGATCAAACTTGCATATATAGCAGAAAATGCTGCGTAACCAACCACAAATGAACATAGGTGTAGTCTGTGTGAGCTGCGGTTGCTTGCCAATCCACGGCGTGGAGCTGTAAAAACCAACGGTGAAACTACCCTGCCAAGGTGTGAGTCCAGTATTGGCCTGGCTGTTGTAGATTCACTACATATATCCCTTCTCATATAGCAGCTTCGATGTGGTGCGCTATACCCATTTTGGATTGATCCATACCCTGTATAGTCGGCTCCCTGACAGGCCAATAAGAGGGCGAGGCGAAGTGCCACCCTTGGGAGGGCACGATGGTCATTAAGTCCGTTGCCAGGAACAGGACTGACCTAAAATCGAAGATAATCCCAGCTGAACACTGTCGCGGCTTATGTTGAGTGAAAGAGGTATGTTTGCGTTGCGCTGGCACGGTGATCCCATAACATGAGATTTATGGGGTTTGGGGTTCGTTCTACGGCTTCTCTGCAACGGTCTGGAGGTCTGAATAGTTTCTGTAGTTGTACAATAAGCAGTTCTTCAAGTGACGTAAGAAGTTTGAATTTATTTTCTGCCAAAACCCGGTCAGACTGTGCCCAGGAATCCACTTAGCCCATTATTATTCCTGGGGACGAGGGCAGCGTCTGCATCGTTATGTGACTGGTCTTCCACCCAACGATATGAAGCAATATCAACGGAATACGAAACTGTGCTTCCCTCCACCGCTCCGTATCAAAACCGACTTTCGTCCGCCCCGCCCTTCCACAATCTCAAAAACGGACCGCTTTCCCTGACCACCGTTCACCACGGCATCCATCCCGTCTACGGGGACAACGACCTCGCCCGTCGTCCCATCCGGCACGTCGTAGTCGACCTTGATCGAGCCGTCGTCCGTCTTGGTCCAGCTGGCCTGGAACTTGCCCAGCCTGGTGGTGAAGCCGCCCTCGGCATGCGTGAGGTCGCCGGGCTGCGGCGCCAGGCGCCACTCGGAGCCGGCGCGCCCCGTGACGCTGAGCCCGAGGATGTGCTCCGTCAGCGCCGTGACGGGGCCGGTGGCCCAGCCGTGGGCGTGCGACGTGTACGAGTAGACCTCCTGGTAGCCGGCATCGTGGCGGTAGCCCCAGGTGCCGTCGACCAGGTAGCCCTCGATCATGGTGCTCTGGGTGCCGTTGGGGTGGTTGAGGTACCAGCCCCAGCTGCGGCGGATCAGCTCGAGAGCGCGCTGCGTCTGCCCCGCGAGGAGGTGGGCTTGGATCTCGAATGACGAGACGAAGGGCGAGATCTCGCCCGGCAGCTCTTCGCACTCCGCGCCAATCGGCGTCCAGTTCTGGGTCAGGTAGGTGGAAACAGCTGCGGCCTCGCTCGACGAGGCGTTCACGAGGCCAAAGTAGACTGCCAGCGAGTTCCCATCCTGGGGATGGATGTTCCTTCTTTCCGACGTATCAAAAAAGGCGCCGGATTGGCTATCCCAGTTATTGGTGATAGTCAGTCCCTTGATCTTCTCAGCCTGCTCAAGCCAAAGAGGTCCCAAGCCTGTTGTGTCACCGGCCCAATCGGCGAGCACTGCGCCTGTTACCAGTGTACGGTAGAATATCGCCTGCAGTGACGTCAAAGTGCCGTTTGCATTGAGGCGGCCCCAGTCGTGCTCAGCACTGTCGCCGTAAAAGAGTCCGCTTGAGTCGATCTGGTTCAAGGCAAAGTTCATACCGAGCTTATACTTCTCCCAGTTTGCTGTGAGAAAATCGAGGTCGTCTGAGTAAAAAACGTAATTATATGTCCCGATCATGGTCCACCTGCAGCATGGTAAATATCTGTTGTCGCCCGAGCAAATGTTCGGCAGCTCACATGTGGTACGAATCACTCCCAGTCGCAAACAGCGGGACCCCAGAGAAAGGGAACTCGCCCGAGGCTGTGTCCTACCACGAAATATTAGTGCTGCAATCCACGTGGTGATGAGTGGAACGTTTCACCAACCTGGTAGTCGTACAAGGACTGGATAGCATTTTTCGTGCTCCTGCAAAACGTTTCAGCAGAATGAAACAAGCTGCTGGGGGAAGGGAGCGCACTCAAGATCACCCGTACTGTAGAATGAAGCCGGAACAGCTACGCCGAGGTCGCCAGGCCATACAGTTCGATCCCGCTTTGCGCCATCAGTAAGAATTGTCTCCCCCGGCCCAAGTTGTCCGGTATTCTGCCATCCCGTCTCAGGTGCGGGCCAGACCCGACCGGTAGACGGATGAACGGCGTCGGTCTGGAGGGTGTAGGCACCGCTATACCAGATCTTGTTCAACAGATCATCGCTACTATGAAAATAACCTTGGTATGCCCGCAGGTCCGACCACGTTGGTTGAAAGGCGATTTCCAAGGATACGTTGTGTATCTGAACGGAAGCACTGCCGGGCTGAAGGAACAAAGTCATGTAGCGGAATCCCCCACGTAGCTTTTCATCCGGCATAACATAGGTGAAGTCCCCCTGGCTCGAGAAGTTTGCATAGATTGCACCATCCTCCCTGGAATAGATTCCGCTGGAGCTGTCCGAGCTCGGCCCTACGTAGTCTTTGGCTTCCGTGAAAGATAACCCAAGAGCATTGCTCCCATCCACCGAAGTTACGGTGTAGTCGAGGGTGACAATCCCACCGACTTCGAGGCCAAAGTCAAAGACCACTGTGCTCAGCTGATGGTCCAGCGCCAGAACGCTCGGCCACGAGTCGATGTGTTCACCACTGATTGTATTCGATATTGCTGAAGGGGCCACCGTTCTCGACGAAGGGGCGAAATTGTTGCTTTCCCATTCTCCAGGGAATGAAGCAGACTGAATACTGCTACATGGCGTATCCTTCCAGCAAGACTGGGCAAAACCTTGTTGTACGGCGACCAAGGACGACAGTAGGAGCCAGGTGCCCACTGGCAGGGCAGAGATGGCCATCTGAGCAAGGTAATGACCTGATAAAGCACGACACAATGATAAAATCCCAAACGTTACGAGAGAAAGATAAACGCAAACATCGGGGTGTCAAGTACACGCCGATGACGAGATAAAGTTTGGATTCCCTGGCCATGACCTGGCTGTCGGCCGATTTTAAACAAACATAACGCGACGCGGACTGCTGCCGTAGCTAAGGTACCAAGAACGACCCCCGGGAAACTTGTGCGGGTGCATACCCACGGGGATCCATCGTATCTCAAGCTGCATTCTCGTGTGGTGTGTACACACAGTAGCGGGACATGACAAGTAATTCTGGGGTGACCGGGCCTGCAAATCAGCTAGCGGATCCGGATCCGGGAGGTCTGTCTCGCAGATCACATACCGCGGGTCACGAATATGCGGGGTGATGAGCATGACTCGACCTGGTGCTCGGATCCCGGCCAGAGCCTCGCTGTCGAAGGTGGTATAGGACAAGACCGATGCTTGCCTTTTGGTGTTGATACAGTTGCAGGCTTGACTTGAACCCGTACTGTTTACAACAGGAAGCAGGTCTCTAGGAAGAGCCCCAATCCGAGAGACAATTACGATCATTTGGCTTCGGGAGCAATTCTTTCCAACCAGCACTTTTAAGGCCAACTTGGTACTCGTTATCTATTCGTATGACTACTGTTTTTTTCTCCGGCTTGCAGCATACCAAGGACGAGGAAAGTGGAGGATGGGCAGGTTACCGGCTTACATGCAGATATGCAGCACGGCGAGGGGCGCGTGAGGAGGCGCATGGTCTTCCACAACGGTGCTAGCAGTCCATGCATTCACAGCGGGTGCTTGAATCCGCGATGGTAACCAACCATGAACCATGAGGCTGATTTTGCACGGGCCAGAAGCCTGTGTTGCACGATGCCGTGGACTACAACGCTCCAAGGGGCATTTGGAGTAGGCTTGAGGCTGCTGTTACACGAAGCAGCGATCCACTGCAAGGCCTTCAATTCTCAACAAGGCTGTGCGAGGTCAACAGGGTCAACATGGAGGCAACAACTGCCGTGTCATGGGGCACGACGTTTTCAATAGGCGGTCTGGTTCGTGACCAGCAGGTGTTCAATATCCCCCGCATCACGCTGCAACGTGACGAAGGGTTCGCTGAATAGAGGGCGTCCAACACTGCTCAGCTGCAAGCAACATTGTGCGACGATTGGTTGAGGAATCCATCCTGATCTTTAGCTACCAGGGTACCGAAGAGGTCCCTAGGTTAGCGGCGTCGGATGATCCTGGTCTCCGACTTCACGCCCGCAAGATGGCAGCTCCATGATCCGGAGACCGGGTGACTTCCCTGAATGTCTATCCTTTATCGATTCTGCAGAGCCTGTAGGAAGGCTTCGGCCCATCCTGGATGGGGGAATTCTGACTACCTGCATAGGTAGGCAAGGAACTCCGGGTAGAGATGTTAGTACGCCTGCCCAGCAAGCCCAGGTCCTCACGACGCAAGCAAAATGTTAGTTTTGAACGCCGCGCAGGCAGTTTTACCCCTGAAGTCTATTCCAAGGTTCCCCCTGAACAACTGCTCAAGCGCCAGCCTTGCCCGACTGGAACCCCTTGATACTACATCCGCAGCGGCGCCCGCAAAATAGATGGCAGGAAGGGCATGCCTGTGATCAGGGCTCGACTGCGCACCCAGCAACTAGGTACCGTAGTTACACAGTTTGAAGTTCTTTCGGTCTGTCGCCGTTATCCTTCAGGGCAGGCCAGGTCATGTTCGAAATTGGTTGGCGGGGTGGGGTGAGCAAATCAGCCACTTGACGACACAGGTATATGGCCGATTGCAGTCATCACTAACAAAGGCCGTCACTATTGTTAGAAGGTAGGTGGCAGGCCAGTGATAAAATCAAGAGCACTTTGCAATCGTATTGGCTGAGTGCTGCGTTCCCGCATTACCATTTCCACGGTGCCAGCCAGCTAGCCGTTTGAGGAGCGCTGGAGCAGAGCGCGACGGGCCCAGCAGAAGAAGGTTACAGGAGCCGAGCGGCATGATGATGTGTTCGGATCTGCGCATGGCCCACGGCATAAATAGCAGAAATGACGTTTTGGCCGCCGCGATGGGCCGTGATCTCCAACGTTTATCCGGGTTTGGGTTCATCGGAGAAGTTTGGGGGTCGGCAGCCAAGCCTCGTTGCACGCTTGCACGCTACGTCCATGACAGGGGCCACGGGCGGTCGTGGAGATAAGAGGCCCCGAGGGTGAGAGCGAGCCCAAAGAGACAAGAGGGACAAAACCGTGGCGGCGCCGCGAGCTCGGCAGGCTGAGATTCTAGTTATGAGATCCGGGGGTTAAGGTAAGGTGGCGGTGGTTTTGGGCGAATTCAAATTACATGATAGGATGCTTGGGTGCAGCCGCTTTCAGACACCCAAACTTAAAATTATGGAGGACTAATTGAGGACCTCGCCGGTGGGAACATTAGGCCTGGGGGCCTGGCTGGTGGGCACCCAGGCGGGAGCCCAGGCGACTGGATCTGGCTCTCATCAATGCGGACGCGCCGCTTGTCAATGCATGCAGGTGCCCTGTTCCTGTTCAGTGCCCGGGAGGCCGTCCCCTAACTTCTAAGGGGGGGGGTCACGGTCGGAAGCCCCTTTGGGCGTCTTTGAGATGCGCGGACGACGAGGGAAATTGTGCAAAGGCTTTTCTTGTTCCTGTTGCAGCGACAAAGAGGAATGGACCAGCACGGCAGTCCAGTGTCTAGATACAGGCGGTCCACCATTCAAGGGTTTACGGCCGCTGCACGCCGAGATGGAGAGAACAGTATTCGGCAAGACGAGCCGTCCGTTTTACTCAATTATATAGGTGGTGGCCACGAGAGAAGACGGAATATTAATCCGCACGTGATGCTTCCCAAAGACCTTGCCCCCCCCCCCTCGTAAGCTCTGAGAGTGTGGACGCTAACGTTAATGAATGGCAAGCGAAGGAGACCTCACAGACCTGGAAGAAAGAGGCCCATCAAGGCCCATCAAGGCCCATGGAGGCCTGTCTGGGACATCCATCCATCCATAGTTGGCCCTTGGCCCCCCCGTCCTGCCCGTCCTGCCCGTTCTGCGCGTCCTGCCGTCTACCACGTCCCACTCAGGCCGCTGCCCTGTCCCACTGAGAGAGAGATCCCAGGGCCCCAGTTCCCAGTCCGTCCTTGGTCCCCCGGCCTAGATCCAAGGACCCACGGCCTCCTATTGGCAGCCCCGAGTGCCAATCAATCCCGTCCGCCCATCACCTGCAGGCGACGCCTACGCCTACGCCTATCCCAAGTCCCCATTCCCAGTCTGCCCATTGCCCATTGCCCATTGCCCAGCAGCCAGCGATCCCAAAGGACGCAGGAGATGCACGCCAGAGATACTACCTCCGTGCCATGATCATGAACCACCCCTCGCAATAGCAGTCATTCATTCCTCGAGCCAGCGCAGCATCGCACCCATCCAGTCCGGCGCCCACCCTTCGCCCGTCCGTGTTAGCGAGCCCCCTTTGTTTGTTAGTAGAAGAAGAGGTCCGCCGGGGCAACGACGCCAGCGCAGGAAGAGAAAGAGAGAGGTAGAGACGAGAGCTGGAGAGACGCCTCGTGGTGATCGATCGACGCGACCTGGGCCCCCGACCGTCCACGGCCACCAACTGATAACCACGTCCCATCGTCGACCGCTGCATCCGGTATTTCCTGGCCGTCCGCAATCCCGCCATCGCGAGCCGCCCTCAGAGACCCGATCTTGGGGAAACCCCTTCCACCGACCGACGCCCGCGCTGATTGACTGCCCTACGCCGCTGCCGCTCTGCGCTCCCACGGTAATGCCGCTTTTGCGATACTCGGAATAGTGCCCCGGTGCCACACAAACTTCATCGTATAGGGGCAGATTATGTGCTTTGGGCTTCACTCGTGAGGTCGCACCACCACTCCGATATAGATGATGGTGAGTTCCTTGCCGCTCCCGTCCCTGCTCCTGCTCCTGCTCCTGCTCCACCCCCGAAGGCCTCGGGGCTGCCGCCCGAGATAGCACTCCCACCCTTCCTCGCCGCCACGCTCCCCCTGGAAACAAGAGCTGACCTTTCTGTCAGACCTCGTCGCGGCCCCGCCATGTCGGTAACAGCTTCGCGAGCCGGCGTGGCCATGCTAACCAGCTGTCCATATCCGATTCGAGCCACCACATCACTGAAACTATAGGCACACTGTACGGCGACGACGACGACTACCAGTCCAATGACCGGCCCCTCAGCTTCATCGCTTCCCCATATGGCGGCGAACAGATCACGCGCCATCGCGGGGACCCTCAGTCTTCCGAGGATCATCCCCTCCGTCTGGTCCGCTCCCATTCAGACCATGCCGGCGAACAGACCAACCCATCTACGAACCATGCCCTCAACGGGTCCGGTCCCAAGAAATCTCACACTCTGCCCGGCCGCATGCCAAGCCAGAGGAACGGCGCCCCAGGTGGTCCTCTGTCGCCCAAGTCGCCAACGCTGAGGGAGATGCGGGGAGGCGAGGCTTCCGAGTTCCCCATGGGGAGCATCGAGAACCCCAGTGATATAGCGCAAGAGCTCAGCAACCTTCAGGCCCTCCGCCGCATGTCCATGGATGTGTCCAACACCTCCGATCCTGACTTGCTGCCCTTCCAGAACATGTCCCTCATGGCCATGCCCTCGATCGCCCCCCAAGGCGACGACGACGAGGCTGACCCTTCCCGCCTGCTGTGGGTGCCTGCTGGTGTGCACCCGGAGCTGGCCCCCACCGAATTCAAAAACTTCCTCGAGAAACGGGTGCAGACGATAAAACGGCGGTCCAACGACTCGTCCCTCTCTGTGGACGGCCTCGACAGGAGCAACTCGGGCTCGCTGAGGCGGAAGAAGTCCATGCTCTCCAGGCAGATCGACAACGCCGGCGGCCGTGGGGCTGATGGGTACATGGATGGCGCAGAGCGGCTGGAGAGGAAAAAGTCGACGGACCTCTCAGGACAACCCTTGCCAGAGGGGCTGAGCTTGGACGAACTTGTGAAGGACCCCTCCAAGGCCGTGCAGAAACTCACGCTGGAATCGCAGCAAACCGGAGGCGACAGTCCGGCGGACGACATGCCAATACTGCCTGTGGCGCCGGGCATGGGCCTCCGTCGCTCGACGAGGACGACATATCGGAAAGGCGGCAGTCTGAAGGACCGGCAGGGTGGCTCCGTGAGGGGTGATCGCTTACCCTTCTCGAAACGTATTGCGGCTCGAAAGGCCGGGGAGGATGCTGGTGATGCGTCGTCGCCCATACTGGAGTCGCCCATCGATGCGCCCCCTGGCCACGGCCTCTCGCGGGTTCAGTCTGAACCTGTCGGCCCGCTGGCTGACAACTACTCTCGTCCATCACGCTCGGTCAGGAGACAACAGGGATTCACGCATGATGCAGACGTTGGCTCCTCCGAGGAAACACCACAGACATACCAGGATCCGGCGCCAGTTCGGCCAGCAGAGCCGAAGCGCATTCCGTCCAATGAAGGATCTCGCGCACCACAGATCCCTCAAATTATCGAATCGCCTGCATTTGAGGATGAATTGGCAGAATATCAATCGTCCCAGTACCAGTCGAGACTATACCCCGAGCGTTCATCGTCGCAACCAGTTGTTGCGCAGCCCGCATCTCAGCCGGCTCAGGTGCCTGAGGAGCCACCCGCACGCTCGAGCAGGCGACCTAATAATTATGGCCAGCCTGCACAAGCTGCAAGTCAACCCCAACCCTCGCCACCAGCGGCACCGCCGTCACAACAAACTGCACGACCTCCAAAGACAGAGCAGTCACTAAATGAAATGGCTCACCAGCCATCACCCTTACCAGGGGGAGGGGCTACGAGGACTGACAGCCTCACTTTCATCCCGACTTTTGCAGCTCCCGAGGAAAGGAAGCCAGAAAAGAAGGGCAAAAAGGATTCCGAGAGCAAAAGCACTTCGTGGAAATGGTTCAAGAGTGATGACAAGGATAAAAAGAAGAAGGAGGAGAAGAAGGAGGAGAAGAAGGAAGATGACGTCAAGAAGTCTAAGGCCAAGGCCTTCGTCGAGAAAGCACACGACAATGTACGATTGGACGTCTTGCAGACTTCGATCGACACCGTCAAACAGAAAGGCCGCGAGAGCCTGTTGTTGGACCGGGACAGCGTGGACAGTAAGCTAGAGGAGGAAAGAAGGAAAGAAGGCCACCGGAAGAGCGAGTCGAAGAAGGAGAAAGACGGCCTATTCGCCAACTTTTTTGGAGGAAAAAAGAAGGGGGACAGGGATTCAGGCGGCAGAAAGTCTTATGGGAACCGGCCTCTATCTCCGGAACCGGCACCATACCGACCCCTCGAGCCAGATGTCGACTATCACTGGACCCGCTTCCCTATCCTCGAGGAGCGTGCAATTTATAGGATGGCGCATATCAAACTGGCGAATCCCCGGCGAGCGCTATACAGCCAGGTCTTACTCAGCAACTTCATGTACGCCTACCTTGCCAAAGTGCAGGCAATGCATCCTCAAATCCAGGTGCCTCAATCGCCTCAGCAGAAACGACTTCAACAGGAGGAAGAGAGGCGGCGCCGTGAGCAGGAGCAGCAATACCTGGAACAGCAGCAAGCGCAGGAGAGCATTGAACAGTATAACTTTGAATACCACCGCGTGAGTATCCTCACTGCTGAACTAGGGTGTATTTGCATACTAACGGGAAGACGCAGGAGTCGAATCAATACGGTAATTCAGATGTGCAACAAAGTGGGGACTACCCGGAAGACGCCGAGGTGTATGACTATGAACACGGCAAGGAGCAATACGGCACGAATGGCGGCTACCACGATAATCGGCAGCATGATGAACGGGATGATATGTGGTGATCATGGCGATCAATCTCTAGTCATGTAATCGGAACCTGACGCCACTACATGAAGCCACCACAAAGGCGCTTTTCCATGGCAGACATCATCTGCTGGTACACGCACACGCAGACTGGGGCGTTGAGAGAGTTTGACGTTGAATATCAGGACGAGATCTCAGCTAATATCAGCAATCCATGTCCCGACGCATAGAATTGAAGTTGAAGGAGGATATCGAATCGCCACTGCCATGTCTTTGGTGCATCTGCAAGTTGGAACCGGGGGGTTATTCTTGATATTTAACGTCTTTCTGCTCCAATTCCCACCAACGCGCCTGTCTGCGACGAAGGCGTGCGCTCTTCCAATACCCTTGTTATAAGACATATTGAGGGAAGAAGAGCGACGATGATCCGCAGCCGACGCGGCAAGCGAGGGAAGTAGACGCGACTTGAAACCAGTGGCCAGGTCTTGTACCCTTGAAGGGGCACAATATTAGACTACTGGTCCTGCGCGCTGCAGATCACACCGACTTGAGATGTATGATAGGTCTGGAACTGGAACATCTATGGGTGAGGAGGGTACAAGGCATTAAACATAGCACGGGAATGAGCCTCGCATCCTGTGAGTAGAAGGGAATGGGGCTGTGATAGGATCAAGGCGGTTTATACAAAGAAACGACACGATATTGCGATGTTCTCAGGACCCCGTAATGCTACTATATCTACTCAGTATAGCTAGTAGTGAGAGGCGAGAGAGTGCATGGTCATGGTGGAAATGTCATGCATATGCCATTCTTGCCACGTATAATCTATAGTCTATAACTCTATTGGGTATCACCCCAACTCCTATGATACAAATACGCTTATACAACTATCAAAATGCCTTTTCATACGCCTCCTTGAGCACAGCGGCCTCCGTCGGGTATCGCCACGGCAAGATCACATCAGGCATTCCGTCCACGACAAACCCAGATTCCACATACTCGAGCTCCCCATCGCCCCGGTCACGCATGACCCTGGGGTAGCAGCACGCCTTCGCGTACTCCCAGTATGCTGGATAGTACCCGGCCTGGCTCCAGTCCAGGATCCCCGTCACCCTGCCGTCCTCGTCGACGACGACATTCCGCGGCGTCAAGTCCCCGTGCGTGAAGACAAACCCCTGCTCGGCCGCCGCCGGGCGCAGCCCCAGCAGCCGGTGCTCGATATCTCGCACCTCTCGCACGTCCTCGTCATCCTCCTCGTCCTCCTCATCATCACAACACCCATCCTCATCCCCGTCTACGCTGGCGTCCAGCGTCCGGTCCAGAAATCCGTCCACAATGTGGCGCCGGAACGCCGTCTCGGAGCTGTAAACGCCCTGGTGCAGCTGCAGCATGACGTCGCGGGCGGGCTCGCCATCCACGGCGGCGATGCGGTCCGGGCCACCGGGCCCCGTTTCCAGCGCGCGCATCTGCGCCACGAACCCGCGGAGCTGCGCGGCGACCCGCCGCCGCGCCCCGGCCCCCAGCAGCTCGTACACGTCGGCCAGCAGCGCGCCGGCCACGCCGTCCATGCGCAGGCACCAGTGGCCGGTGGCGGGGTCGCGCCAGCACCCGCGGGCCGCCGGCACGGGCACCGTCGTCCGCCGCCGCACGAAGGCCAGCGTGCGCGCCTCGGTCGGCCGCACCAGCCGCCCCGTCTTGACTACGGTGCCGTCCGGCAGGCGGTAGAGCCGGGCGAAGCGCGGGCGGTGGCCGATCTGCGGGTACGCGGACAGGTCCGGGGGTGCTGGGATGAGGTGGATGTCTAGCGGAGACGGAGACGGAGACGGAGGGGAGGTCTGCTGCTGGTCTGCGGCTTGGTGGTCCCCGTCTTCTGGCGGAGGGGTGGGGAGTTGGGGGCGCGCCATAATGGGTTTGTGATGGAGGACGTGGATAGGTGACTCGTCCTGTGTGTTGAGATATTGTTGCTTAGCTTATTGGGAATATTGTATAGCTGCTGCTGGTGAGTATGTGCTGTAGATGCCAGGACAGGGCTAGTAGACTTACTGCGTATATGCCGGGTCGCCTCAGCCGTGGTTGAGTTGTTCGGCCGGGCGGTTGCTATAGGATTTTGATATTCTCTATCATAAACCCCCATCGACTGCGTCTATAGTCTGGGGCTAAAATTCCAGAAAGAGAGGAGGAATATACGCAATAGAAATGAGCGTTGTGCAGAACGGGTTTCGTAGGGCTGATATAGCCCTGCAAGTGCGGACGAGCTGAAGGGTCCTTGCGGGTGACTGATCACATCCCCGGGGTAGGTTCGTCAGCCTAGACGGAGCCACAAACGCCCTGCAATCTATTTCGAATCCGGGTCTTTGGTACGTATGGCGTGCTGTCCGTCGCCAGATAAGGTTCGGTCAGATCCTGGGATGGAGGCGTGCGGCCGCCGAAATCTGCAACGCCAGGGGTGAGATTGCTTCTGCTTGGCCCTTTCTTTTTATGCCTTTTTGAATCTTTCGTGTAGATGAACCACCAAAAAGGAAGTTTCCGGCCGCTAATGTTACCCACGCGCAAGCTCGGCATCCTATGAGTTTGGGGATCAGTTACTATGCGGATTTGTGCGGTCTGCTGTGAAGAAATCAGAGGCAATGTAAACTTTTTGTGAGAAGTGATAAATCATCAGGGGTCGAGAAGCAAACCAGCGTAAGCCTGCGACCATTGCTTTCGTAGAGGGTATTGAGAAACTCGCTCAACTCGCATTCCTGTTAAGTTTTCCACATTGCGGGTGTAACTATGTCGGCCCAGGCTCTTGGATACTAAGTAAGTTGCCGCTCAGATGAGGCGTTCCCGAGCTGCTGTTAGCTCCTGCGGATGACGTTAGATTTTGAGGGCGTATTAGTATTGCTCGGATGACCAGCTCTTCCATGGGAGCAGAGAATTTGGTCTTGGGGAAGTTACGATGGTTTTCACATTCACTCCCGCTTTGGCCATACACTGGTCACTTGCAGCCACCGTAATGCTACTGGATTATGTTAATGCGCTCATAAAGGGTATACTCGAAATGCGGATTGCACCAGATATAGAACTTTGGCAAGCAGAGTTCCAACGGCAGTCGCTCCTCAAGCGAATGCTTCTTTGCCTTTCAACAACATCCTAAAAGCTGTAATTACCAGAACTGCCAAAGAGTAGGTTATAACAGAAAGTCAGAGAAGTAAGGTTGAGTGTGGCGTAGAGTGTTATTCCGAGAACCACACGAACAGGTCCTTGGAACACTAACGACCTATCCGGCAGTGATGGGAATGCCACTCCATGGTTTGGAATATCTGGACCGGCGGTAGTCGGGACCTTCAGGCGCCTGATTGCAATGGGCATGGGACCGAAAAGGCTCAGAGAACTGTGTACAGGTCCGATTTGGTTCTCATATGTCCACCAGATATGATAATACAACGGGCTCCTACTGTCCCTACTGTACCTACTGCCCCTCACAATTGACTCATCCGAGCTTTTAGCCTGTTCATCTGTGCGAATGTTCACTCTGATCTCCACGTCGGTCGAGGGAAGAAATCGTGAGAGGGCAATTTGGGACAGTGATAAGAATCCACGAGACGTCAAGGGTTGACTTTTACTGTTTTTAACCCGCTTCCAGAAGACGTGATTTCAAGGGAAGGATAAAATATCATATTTTCAGCCCAGACTACTTGTAAGTGCCCTCTTAAGGAGAAACATACCGCCATTCCCGTCGTGCTGAAACAAAATACATGAAATGGAAGCGTTGCAAATCGAATGCATGTGTATTGGAGGCAATTATTAGAACAGTATAAAGTGGATGAATAAGATAGCTTGACATGAAACATGGGGAAGCTCACCCGGAAGAGGTGAACTGGAGTGCCTCGAAATGCCGAACATAATCGGGACTGTGGACCCACGTATACGGAGACACCCGATGCCCGGCGCACTCCGGGCCCCGCAATATGCGCCGCTGCGCTATCTTGCCGGCTTATCAGCATCTTACCCAACGTCGAAGGGGTGTAACACCGTATATGAAGTAAGCAAGGAATGTTTAGACAGCTGACTCTCGGTTTATTGTACGTGAACTGAGTTTCTAGAGTTCTTATTGTGTAGCAGCACTAGCAAAGCAACAACCAGAAGTCCGGTTTCGCAGTTACTTCCGAGACGTTCAAGATGACTATTGATAAACCCGCTCGCTTCATCATTCCGACGGTCGATCTAGGCCCGTATCTGGCTAACCCGTCCTCGGAAGAGTCGTCCAAGGTCGTCGAACAAGTCCGTCAGGCTTGTATCACCAGTGGCTTCTTCCAAATTGTTAACCACGGCGTCTCCAAGGAGTTGCAGGGTCGAGTATCGAAGGCGGCTGAGGCGGTCTTCGCCTTGCCACTCGAGGAGAAGAAGCAGCTCAGGCACCCGACACTGAAGAACAGAGGTTATGAGATTATCGGATCCCAAGCACTCCAGGAAGGAGCGTTGCCTGACTTGAAAGAGGTATAGTTCTTCTATCGTCTTATAATGCGTGTGTACCGCGGGTGCTGAGATGTACAGGGTTTCTATATCGGCCAACATATACCGCCAGAGGATGAGCGGACCAAGATCCACCCTCACCTGATTGGGCCCAATATATTTCCATCAAGTATCCCCGAGGGAGTTCTGAAAACACCTACGGAGGAGTACTACAGGGAGTGCCTCGGTTTGGCTTCCAAGATTATGGAGATTCTGGCGAAAGGCCTGCCTTATGGAAACGACATCTTCGTCCCCTTCATGTCCAATGACCCTGTGTGCTCAATTAGGTTGCTGCATTACCCACCTCAAAAGTCTACCGACGCCAGACAGCTCGGCGCCGGTGCTCATACAGATTTCGGTGGGTGACTCTAGAATTGACTTGCACGTGATGAGCGAAAGGACGGTGGTTCTGACCGAGAGCAATAGGCGCAATCACTCTGCTTTGGCAGGACATGTCTGGCGGCCTCGAGGTCCTTAACGGCAACACCAACGAGTGGATCCCCATCGACCCCAACCCGGATGCATACGTCGTCAACGTCGGCGACATGCTGTCGATCTGGACCAAGAATGCCTATAAGAGCGCCGTGCACCGGGTCATCAACAAGAGCAATAAGGACCGGTACTCGGTGCCGTTTTTCGTCGACGGAAACACCGACGTCAAGCTTGTGCCGTTCGATGGTAGCGAGCCGCTGACCGGCAAGGTGATCACGGCCGAGGAGCATATGCTGGAGCGGTTTGGTACGACGTACGGTCGGGCGGCTGCTGCTGCTAAGGCTAGTTAGAGCAAAGGTGGTGGTCGTGAATAATATGGGTCAGTAGTACAGCATCTCAATGAGCTCTCAGAATTGACTCCCGAACGAGAACGGGCCTCGCCACTTGATGATAATATACCTACGGTTCAACACACACCGGATTACAGAGTTGATAGTATTTTGCAATCGAGGATGGAGCGAAATACTGAGCTATACTGTGAATCAAAGCCAGACGACGTGTTGACTATGACATTGAGAATTGGTCGCCGCCATGCCGTTTCACATGCCAATAACAAGTTGGAAAAAAAAAAATAGCCGATGGTGTTTGGTTGCAGACAAATGCTCTCTACACCAGGTTTTCTGATGGCATTTTCTTGCGGATCGGGTTTAGTTTACCATCTGAAGAGCTCTCAACATCAGACCACCAGTCATGGTTCGCTTTGGTGCATTTGTATTCTGCATCCCAAGTCATCTTCGAAGTTGCATAGTACATGGTCTCCAGGTACTTGCATGTTTTAGCGTGGTCAAGCCCTAGTCGTCAAAGGCAGAGGTCCCGTCATGACGTATCCCCGTACTCCTCCGACTAAGACACGGGAGCAGGCGACGAGTCTGCGGGCTCCAATTCAACTAGAGGCTCTCACAACGCACCAACAAAATAAATATCATCATTGTCTTGAGAGAACCCTTGAGCCCCTGGTCGAGTGCGAATCCGCTGTTCCGGTCTGGGCTCCTGTTGAACGACTCTCAATCTTGGGATCATCGGTGGATCCCTCGGGGATGAGCCCCCCCAGTTCACCGGCTGCAGCATTCTTTTTTCGCCTGGGGCACAAGTACCAGGCCAATCACACAGTTCGCACCGTTGGAGCTTGGCGGGCCAATTCCCCGTGCTCAAGCTCAGCTCAGAGCTCCCTCTCGCCCTCATTTCTCACCCATCCATCCCACTTTCTCACTGTCGACCGATCGCGACAAGGGGCAGCCGCAGTCCTTTCAACAACAGGTCCTGGACCAAGCCATTGGTGGCGTAGGCTATATCGAGGTTGATACGTGAGGGGGGTTCTAGCTCTGTACTGGTAACAAGCCGCTCGCCGAAGCAACTAGCCACAGAGACCTGCATCCAGTGGCATCCCGTCCTCGACAGCACAAGACGTGACGTGCCGCTTGCGACGACGTAACTACAGCTTTCCGCGCCTTCGCATACGGATCCAACCCAGTCGCCGGATTTTGCTTATTTCAGTATTGTCACTGGAAGACATTTCTACGCCCCAGCTGCTCCCGTTTCTCTCCAATCTTCCCACACCATGCCGCGGCAACGACGCGAACTCGATGCCCTGCGCACTCTCCGCCCAGCCGTCCTAGGCCTTGGCAAAGCCCTTGCTTTGGGCTACTCGACCGTGACCGCCGCCCCAACATCGATTCGGCCGTGGGACCACCATGACAACGTGCCCGAGGTGGAGGACGGCGCTGGGCTATGGATTCTCTACATTGTTTCCATGATCCTCGTCCTGGCCGGCGGTGCCTTTGCTGGTCTGACCATTGCCTTGATGGGCCAGGACAGCATCTATCTCCAAGTCGTCTCGCAGGACCCGGAGGAGCCGCAGCGTAAGAACGCGAAGAGGGTCTTGTCGCTACTGAACAAGGGGAAGCACTGGGTTCTGGTGACTTTGCTCCTGAGTAACGTCATAGTCAACGAGACCCTACCCGTTGTCCTAGACCGATGCTTTGGTGGTGGTGTGGCTGCCGTCGTGGGAAGTACTGTGCTGATTGGTATGTCGACTCCTGGAGGCCTTCGTTGGCTTGGTTTTGGGACAAGCTGCTCATCAGCTGCCCTTGAAACGTCACTGGAGTACTTTGGCTAACGCTCAATGTCTGCAGTCATCTTCGGCGAGGTCCTCCCTCAGTCTATATGTGTGCGCTACGGCTTACAGATTGGTGGCTATATGTCGAAACCTGTGCTCTTCCTCATGTGGGCAAGTAAGTAACCTAATGATGCCACTGTCCGTTCCGTGGTCGTGTTCCGTACGCGCTCGTGTCGCCGAAGTGACCACCACAGACACGAGACTATAATCTATTTGGAAAATGCTAATTCCATATTACAGTGTTCCCCCTTGCGTGGCCTACCGCAAAGCTTCTCGACAAACTTCTCGGTGAAGACCACGGCACCGTCTACAAGAAGAGTGGACTGAAGACCTTGGTGACACTCCACAAGTCCGTCGGAGATGTCGGCGAAAGGTTGAACCAGGACGAGGTTACGATCATCAGCGCCGTGCTGGATTTGAAGAGAAAGCCTGTCGAGGAGGTCATGACTCCCATGGCTGATGTCCTGGTCTTATCCGAGGATACTGTACTGGATGAGGAGATAACATCACTCGTCTCGGATGCGGGTTTCTCTCGCATCCCAATCCACCGGGCAGGAAACGATAGAGATTTTGTTGGTATGCTGTTGGTCAAGATGCTCATCACGTACGATCCTGAGGATGCCAAGCGAGTTAGGGACTTCGCATTGGCTGCGCTCCCAGAAACACGCCCTGAGACGAGTTGTTTGGATATTCTCAACTTCTTCCAAGAGGGGAAGTCACACATGGTTTTGATCTCTGAATACCCTGGTGAATCGCATGGGGCTCTCGGTGTCGTCACCCTGGAGGACGTTATTGAAGAGCTGATCGGAGAGTGAGGATCCCCCTGACCAGGAGCTCTTATTTCACCTTGCTGACTCAAACAGGGAAATCATTGACGAATCTGATGTGTACATTGATGTACACAAGGCCATCCGCCGCAGTCACCCGGCACCGAAGGCTCGAGTCCAGCGCAAGGATGTTATGGTGAAGGATGTCGCTGTCAAGGATGGAAAGCTGATCGACCTGGATGAGGAAGAAGAAGATGGCCATCGCTTGCAACTTAGCCGGACAGCGTCCCTCACTGGTAGGAACGACTCGTCCGCGATATTGTCGAGCAGTCCGAGAACCACTTTGTTGATGCGCAGGAGCTCGACGGGCCAAGACGGCAAGATGGTCCACACGACGGTTCCGGTCAAGGCCAATTACGAAGAGATGAGGGGCCACCTAAAGCATCTAGGTCCATCCAACCCAGCGTCAAACCCAAAGAGCACCAAGGTATCAACGGTCAAGATCAAGCAAGGCTCTGGAAATCAAAGCCGTTCCGCGTCCGTTGCATTGGACCCTCACCCAGCAGATTCAGCTGATACCGACGGGGTCAACGAACGCACAAGCCTGTTGAGACCAGCTCCGAACGGGAAGGAGGCAAGCTATACGGACCCATCTCCACCCCCGCCTGAGCCCACGCCGCCGAAACTCATTGTCACCGGTAACGAGGGTGCGGATGAAGATGGAGCCCAGGGGTCAGAAACAGTTGGTCATATAAAGGCTGCCGTGAGCAGCACCTCGCTCGCAGGGTCTGCCAAGAGTATCGCAGCGTCCCCTACCGGCAACCTCATGTCGGCTATAGAGCGCCGTCAGACAAACAGGGGCAGCGTTCGTAGCGGCAGCATTACCGAAATTGAAGTGAAGATGGGTGGCGTGCGCAAATTCGTCCTCGAAGCCACTAGCTCTGGCGAAGACGAAGAGGGCGAAGGCAGCAAGTCTAGTCCTACGTTAGGCCAAGTGCCAGAGGAGCATCACGAGGACATCCACTCCGATGCTGTGGCCTCCGAAACCACAGACAAGTCCGCCGCCGAGACCAGTCAAGGCAGTTCGAATAAGAAGAAGAACAACCGCCGCAAGAAGAGAAAGGGTGGCAAGTAGACATGATCTGCATCAAACAGGGATGCACAACGTTGTATTAATACCATGTACATAACTTGGGTCATTGTCTTTGTACATTAGCTATACCGGGGTTTCCGCAGATGGCATTAAACAAGATCATCATCGTTACACTTTCCGCCGTCTTAGATAATTGTGTGAAGTGCAATTCCCTGTTCACCTGTCTAGAGGCTCAAAGTAGTCGTCAAGTCATATGAATCATTCTTTGCCTGTCTAAGTATAGTATAAATCTGGTTGGCCCTCTCCCCTTAATCGTACCAGATAGCATTCATGCCAAACCCAGGCTCCGGTATTCTAACCCTCGCCACGCGGCCGAGGAACTCGTCTTTCCACCGGTAGATCTCGAGCCAGCCCTCCTGGTCGTCGGTGATGGCGATCCACTCATCGCTCCAGTCGCACGGGGACACGGCGTTGCTGTGGCCGCCGCTCGTCGGCGTCGGGTTGAGGCAGATCTGCTCCTCGATGGAGCCGCAGTCGCGCAGCCGGAACGCGGCGATGTAGCCCTGCAGGTCGAAGCTGTTGGCGCGCGCCGTCGCGAACAGGTAGCGCCCGCTGCGCGTCAGCGTGCACACGTCGCTGCGGTACATGGTGTCGTAGTTGGGGATCCCCGGCGGGATCAGCGGGAATGAGTGGTGCGTGTACACGGGCATGTGCGTCGCCGGGTCGATGACGTACTCGCACAGCCGGTTGCCCGCCTCCATCAGCGCGTACAGGTACTGGCCCGACGGGTGCATGGCGACCCAGCGCGGGTGGTCGCGCGGGTCCGGGGCGTCGACGGAGCCCACCAGCGCCACCTGGCCCGAGGCCGCGTCCTTCTTGTGCACCCACAGCTTGTTGGCCTTGAGGTCCGCCGAGTACAGGTACGTCTCGGTCGGGTCGAAGACCATGCCGTGGATGCCCGTGTTGGGCTGGTACTCGTAGTTCTGCGTGTTCTCGGCCAGGGCGCCCGTGTCCGAGACCGAGAAGACGGACCCGTGCCCGGCGTGGTTGTAGAACGGGTTGCAGTAGACGGCGTAGGGCGGCTGCTTGGCCGCCAGCAGGAATATGGCCCGCGTGTTGGTGTCGGCGGACGAGGCCTTGGCTGTTTCGCAGGTGGCGAGGGGGTCAGCTTCCGGATTACGTTGAATGCAACTTGGGAGGGCAAAAAGCAAGGGAAAATACGCACGATCGTGAAGCATGGGATGTGAGGCCTCGTGGACGATCTCGGTCGGGCTCTTGACAGCGAAGCTGGACCACTTCTTCATAGCCGCGCCGTAGATGTTCTTCTTCGCATGCTAGATTCATATACACAGTGTTCAGCCCATCGCAACACTCAATTGGATCGTCTCAATGGAGGGCAGCTCTCACGTCAAAGGTCATCCACGAGATGGGCTCATCCTGGGGGATCTCGGTCCGCTTGACCACCTCACACGTCAGCTTCTCGTCGTCGAATGCGACTGTGAAGATGGCTCCCGGCGGAGTCCAGGTCCCGCACATCAAGTGGTGGACGGGCATCTTTGCGGTTCTCTGGAAGATCTGGGGGCGCAATCGCTTGAAGGGAGAGGTCGTCCTCAACATCTACACCGAGGGTTCGTTTGCCTTTCCTCCCAGCTCCCAATGCCAACGAAGTGGTCAAGAAAGTCACGATGGGTCCTGCGGCGCAAAGTTAACCCCCACGAGCTCCGGCGTCTGTTCAATTGCCTGTTTAACCTATTCGCTAACTTATTTGCCCTGCAAGCCATGCGACCCAGTCCATTCCGCAGTTCAATGGGCCGGCTCAGCAGCGCCTTTGGTCCATCGTCAACCCCACATCCTCCAATGTCTACCCCATTTTCCAGCGAGTCTGATGGATCTAGCGCCCAGGCGATACCTTAGCGACCCCTCCCCCTCCCCCTCTATTCCGGGAATGCAGCAGGGAAGAACGTTCTGCAGCGCTTCCGGCCCAGCGAGTCGGCACCGGGTGCGGTAAATCGCTCCGGGCCCAGTGGAACCTATGCTCAGGTGCCGGATAAGTGCTTCTCCCCCACGACTGGGTCGACTATAAAGCCCAGAATCACATTGTCTTTTATATCTGGCTGCAGATCCCGATGACCCGTTATATAGTAGACACCAAGACTTGTTTATTCGGGCATTTGCAGAGATAGAGATAATGTAGCTCTGATCAGCGAAGGAAGGGTTTCCACCGAGGCAGGGCAATAGTTGTCCCGCCTATCCCCACACATTAGTACAAGCATTTCTCAACTCAATTTTCACGTCATATCTGTTGTGCTACCAAAGTCCAACTATTTACACCGTATGAGCTCAGCCAGATGATGAGACCTAGCTAGACTGATCTATGCAAGTGAGAGACCATAGAAATTGGAGGTGTGTAAGTGAACCACTACAATTTCATCAAATTATGTGATTATGTGCAATACTCTGAAAACAATCTCAGTCATATTCATAGAGCTCGAGGGTGGTCTGAGAGACACTTATTCATAGACAGCCTACCTCACTTTGCAAACAACTTCGTTTTGTGAAAACCTTTCTATGCATGCCTTCATGGGCCTCGGATGATATCAGCGATTCTAAGATATCACAGAAATCTGCTCTCTCCAGATCGGTCTTGCTTCCACACAGCTTTCTCTAGATGACATTCGATGAAACGATGCCCAAGATGGTTCATAAAATCCGGTACATCCTCGCCGCTGAGTTAGTCAGCCGGTTCTCAACTAGACGCTCAAGCTGTTAGTGTTCTGGCTCTTTGTGATAGTATACTGGACATTGTACCTCCCATTCCTGAGATATTTCAGATCTGACGATGAGTTTCGAGTCATGCTCACATGTCCCCAAGTTGCCAATTTCCCGTGCATCTCCAGGCTGGTGTTCTAAGAACGAACCTCGCCGTTTTCGTGAGATGGTTGGAGGATGGCTTTGAGGAGGCCGAGTCGATGTATCACCTGGCAGTAAGCTTGCGAGCAAACTCATAGCCTTGAAATTATGAGGCCTAGTATTCGTGACGCATTCAGGTAAAGCCGTGAGACCAGTAAAGAATGATTTGGCACCTCAAATAACCTGAATTTACACATAAGGCTCATTGTCCATCTTTACAGACTTGCTCGCAACACCATCAATGCAACCCAGCCAGCGAGCACGCTTTGGTTTCGTTACTCCCTACCCCAGACTGGTCCTTTGTTGTGCATGCTGTAAATGGCTGGTAGGCGTCTATCAACCAACTTCTCTGCACACCATAGTAAGTTGTTATCATCCTTTGCCGACCTGGCTGGAGACATCAGGACGGATTGATTTGTGGCTAACATGGTTCTAAGCTCATGCTTGGAGTACGAGGCTGCAAATGTTTGGCTACACCTAAGCCCAAGCTATAGATGGGATGATCTTGATCATTACCCTGCATCAATGCATAGAGTTCGGCCGAGACGGAGAATATCAGACTGAAATGCATGTGATGACTTTATCATGCAGCTGCAGTCATATCACAGGGCTTGGAAGGAATTGACGATTTTACGATCCATCGAGTCGAATCACTGGACACGCACCTTGGTCAACCTCCTGATCGAGAGTCATTCCCCGGGTAATCTCGGGATGCTCTGTCCCTTGATGACAACAGGCGTTTGGCTTCGGTAGTTCCTGCACTCATTCCTCCCAACCTCTCCATCAGATCATCCGTACATGGGAGATCTGTTCTGGATCAACATGGCACAGTCTCCTCAAGGTCTCTGACAAAGTCTTGGTTCGATCATTCGATCACGCATAGCCCGGTGTCTCAAAGGACCTTCGGCGGCGGCAAGCAGAGACGAGTATTACGTGTACGTAGTTTGGTAGGTATAGCAGGCCAAGTGAAATCGCATAGTAGACCTCTGTTCCAGCAGGCTCTTGGCAGGAGACGCAATGACGACTGTGACGAGCGTAACAGTAGCTGTGAACGTCCGTCCTTTCTTTTCATTCGCCGACAAGCGCCGCGTCGTACGTAAACCCAACAAACGGGTCGCTGATCAAACCGGCTCCTTGAGGGAGGGTCTGGCGGCTCCACTCAGACAATTTGTCAACTCGAGGACCCCCCTTGAAACGAAGTTCAATCCAATCGGGGGTTTTTGGACCATAGCAAGAGTTGGGCATGTATCTCTGGTCCCTGTCCTGGAAGGGGGGCGGGTTGACAGGGGTTGAGCCTATATATTCTCCGGCCCCGGAGCCGCACTAGCGGAAGGGATTCTCGAAACACCTGCCAAGAGCTGTCAAGCGTTTCGGCCGCCTCTACCCGGGCAATGCTGCTGCGGCCGTGCAGCGCCGGACTGCCGTGCATGTCGATCGACACATTTTTCGTCGCTACCAGTGGGGGCTTTTCCTCGAGGTGCATGTGCCACATGGGATTGCCCGGCCCTTGCTCTGGGTCGGTAGGATAGTACGGGGAATCTGGTAGTGGGGGCCTCATGAGCTTGTCTCGTACGGGAGGAAAGAGGTCGTGCGAGCGAGGCTCCGCTACTAACACTCTGTATGGAACCTTCTGAGGCTTATTTGGACTGCTCTTCTATAAGCAATTGCTTGGGGGTCCAGCTTAGTCTCTACTTCGTCTGCATATGCTAGTAGTCGCGATCTACGTTGTGCTCTGCCCAGACTTTGGTTGCTCCTCGATTCGAGTTGCCTTGCTGACTGTAGGTTAAATACAGTTCACCCGAAGCTGGCTCCCTTGGCCAGCGATAGTTTACTCCTGTGTCTGGTATTTGACTTGATGACCCCGTGCTCTCTTGGTGTTTCCTTGGGCATACCTGATTTCCTTGATATAGCTATATGCCACTGGCCTCATCATAATATGATACCTAGGCCAAGTATACTTAACCCAGCCCAGGCTCTTGGCATCGTATCAACGTCAGTTTCAGAAGGGCTCCTCGGTGTAACTTCAATGTACCTTCACCTGATTTTCATGTTTGTGCCACTTGGAGAGTGGAAGCACTCTCTAGTAACGGTAAAGACTGGATGATTCGGATTTTTTTGCTCTTTTCTTAGGTAATGCTGTTTTCATGTACCAGTGGTTCATGCGCACACTGCTATGATACAACGGAATAGACTTTGGGGCACAACCGCTCTATTATACACGTGCCTGATTCCGAATGCCTGCCAGAGCTCATGGACCGGAAGGCCCTGTTGTAGCTTGTGAGAGCTTGCCATCTCTTGACGTACCCAATGTGACTCTATGATAGTGACGCAGTGAGGCGCCATCTTCCTTTCTATATCCGGTCTAGCCATGTATTGAGTTATAGAAGGGCATTGAAGAACGCCTGGTGCAAGGAGGCTGTCGAGAGGCTCGGCGCATTAAGGATGAAAATGTCGGTAAAGACCGTGGTTGATGATAATTCGCACCAAAGAATGGCTTGTCCGGGAGACCCCAGAAGAGCGGCTAGGTACAGCTGCAGGTAATGACAGTCAGAGAAACCTGGAGATCGAGAACTCCGTCTCTTTCTCATTTTCTCTCACAGAACCGCCCATCTCTGATAAACAAATTCTCTGCTGAAGTGTCCAACTGCAACTTCTGTGGTTCCTTGAATCCATCGATTTTCGAGTCGTGACCTGGCTGTTTCATTGTGATCTGAACGAATACAGAGGCTGGTCGGCTGGCAATAATTGTAGTTCTTCATACCGGCACTGAGGTCACCATTTATTGTTGTTTGCAATTAGGCAAATGCACCGACAATGGACATGCCAGCAGCTATCGAGAGTCAGCACATTGAGTATTAGTTAATGAGCGATGATAAATCACAAACCTCCAGTCAAGACCCAACAAAAGGCGGTAATCTTGTCCTTCTTGGTCAAAGTCGCTTGTGCCTCTTCCGAGAGGAAATCCTCGGCAAGAAGGTCTACAGTGGCAGCGTAGATCAAGAGACCCGATGAACTGAGAAGTGTTAGTAGCTAGCTCTTAATTTTTAGTAGAAGACAGGAAACGTACATGGCATTGAAAACACCGACTATGATGAGACCAAAGGCGCTGTTGGGGTCGTAGCTGTTGCGTGCGAGGAGACCAATAGCTTGTCCGATAGGAGCGGTTGTTCCGAAGGCAACAACAAGCAGCCACGGCTTGATGCTACCCTTGGGGTATGGAACAGCAGCGATACGCGATCCAAGACCGAGACCCTCAAACATCTGATGGAAGAGGATGGCGACCAGGAGAATGACGAATCCCTCAATGGTGATGGAAATGGTCATACCGACGAAGACGGAGTGGAACAGGATACCTCCTTCGAGAAGAGTGATGTTCATGGACATCTTCTTGTAGACCAATGGGTCCACAGCTTGACCCTCAACATCGAAAATGGGCTCCGAAGCGACAATAGGGGCCTGCTTGGGCTCCTGGTAGGAAACACCGGCAGACTTGATCATGGACATCATCTCGAGGCGCTGGCGGACATATTGCTCGTAGAAGACGATGAACCACGGCGGCATCTCAGAGGGTGCGAGGTCCAGCTCGTTGTTGTCAGCAAATGGGTTGCCATCCTGTGTCCTGGTGTTCTCCTCGTACATCTTCTGAGCCATCTTCTTCTCGTAGTTGATATCGTCATCGGTCTCGAAGCTGCTGCGGTTGTATCTCGGGGGTCGCTGTGGTGTGCCAAACTGTTGTTGCTGGTGCTGCTTGATGCCCGCCATCTGCGCCATCTGCTGCGGGCTCATAGTAGCTTCAAACCCCTTAGCGCCACCATGAGAATGGCCACCCATTTTGCTGTTAAGCCAAACCTCGATAACGAAAAGAGAGAAAAGTGATGCCATCATAATGACTCCGGGCATAGGAGGATACTGGTCCGTGAATAGATCCGGAAGGCAAGGGTCTGACAGACTGAAAAATGCGGTGGGGAGCAACTGGTACGGGATTAGCGTGGCTTTCTTCATTATGGCGAGGAAAAACACCTACATGAACGAAAGCCGTAGCAATGAGAACGCCAGTACCAAAGTGCTTGCAAGCGAAGAAGACTCTCTCCGGGACCTTGAGCCACTTGATCTTCTTCGCTGCTACGGGAAACCCAGCGCCAAGGATAGAGGCTCCCAACACCAAGACTTGGAACTCTGGTCAGTAAATAAGGAAAACTGTTGGCAAGCAGCTTTGTCACTTACAGAGACCAGCAACGTGAAGAGGCAGGTCATACTCTCCCTCCTCCTCGCCACCACCGCACTGGGGCTTGCCCATATCCATTGCTTCAGCCATTTTGGAAGTCTGGACAAAATCTCCAACGCACTATATTAAACTGTATATTCGAGGTGAAGAAGAAACAACATCCGGAAGCCTGTTACGACTGCTGAACCAACTCTACCCTTCGAGGGAGCGTGACGAAGCGAACGGACGAACAAGAAAAGTCGTCCGGCGACTTCTGAAGTGAATAGAACAGACGAAAAGGAGTCGATCCTCACGTCAAGAGAAGAGAAGGCGGCGAAGGGAAAGTAGAAGAGAAAATAAGAGAAATGAAGAAAGAATAAGGAAACCCGACCCCAGACTTGGTAGTGCACGAAGACCTTTTGGTTGAATGCAGGAATACCAAGACTTCTTGGAAAATCTGGGGGTCGTGGCGCTTTATGAGTATTAGCATTAACGGACAAGATTCTTAGCATCATCGGCTAACCTTGACTACTGTGGATTTGATGCCTGTGAGTTGATCTACGAGATAGAACGAGTGATAGTCGCCAAGACCAGTTGCATGTTTGAGCCTCACCCGTGCCTACCAGAGAAAGCGGCTGTAGAGCGCACCGGACCCTGTCTTACCTGAGCTATACTGGCCCACCGATCGACTTGTGTCTTCCGGATGGTTTCGAAATAGCTTGTCAAGCTTGTGCATTCCCCAGGGATGGGGCTGCTTCGCCACGGATACACACCACCGAATAGCTGGCAGTTGCCATCAGACAATCGTGACGAGACTTGTGAGAGCATTGCACGAGTCTCGTTTGGGGCCGCTCAGTCTGGGCCATCTTGGCATGATCTGCGTATGTGAACATGGAGCTTGTGCGCAAGTTGAGCCGATGTCGACATTCATTATTATGCTGCCGCTATACCGGCACAGTCCACTTTGGGCGTCGTTTTGATATTCCCGTGGCCACGGTGAAGTATAGAGCATCAGGTCACGCTAACTCGTATCTGCTTGTTGCTTTTGCGCGCCTATTTGAAAGCATGAAACCAGGCATCCAAGTCTGTGGTCCCTTTAGTCTTGCGAGCTAAAGTCAAGTAAGGTTTGAGAGCGCGCGGTCGATACTCCCATTTGAAGCCTAGTCCGGTAGGGCTGCGGGTGAGGCCAGCGATGCCCAGCTGGCCTGGAACAGCTTGGACAGAGCGGAGCGGTCGACACAGCCTATCGGGTGTTTTTGGGGTGAGCTGACCCTCCAGATGCGCGCTGCGGCCTGGCTGCAAGAAGGTGGAAACTGGGGAGAGGGCCGCAGTCGTTGGTGACGACTAGGCGAAGCTGATGTTACTGTACAACTTCTCTATCCGACAAGGTAATGCCGTGACGTAAAGCCGTCGCGGTTCTCAGAGCAGTGGAGAATGACATGATGCCCACGCCGTCAGACCTTCATCAGCCTCTCCAATTTTCAGTAACAAGACACGCAAGACCTCTGCAACCGTGGGAGGATGGACCGTGTGCGCAGTAAACAATGATGCTTGGACGTTGAGCCAAGAATGGGGAAATTTGTGGACTGTCTTTGACTATCTCCCGAAACTAGTCTATAGCTTGGCGGCCTTGGCGTTGTCTCCGGAACCCTGAGTTGCCCTGAGCTGTGGGCCCGTTCCGGAACGGCCAAGACTTTACAACTCTAATTTGTTTGGCCAGTGCTATAACAGCATGTGGTGCTGGGCAGTTGTGTGACGAGATTTTCGCGGCTCTTGGACATGCCGTCTGCATTGAAACAGCCGTGACCAATCGGAGCCGTGTGCAATGGCAAGAAACAACGTAGATCGCAAGCCGATGTGGCATCATAATCCCTGCATGCAGCTTAATTCCCCATGCGTACCACTGAACGGCGGCGGTCCGAGCATTGCAACACTGGCATGCCGTTTTCCGTGGCCGACCACGACGAGAAAAACAGCCAGGCCGATGTCACGAGGTATTGATAACAGCCCAGGCCCCAACGGCACACAGTCACAGACTCTGGCTTCCCTCCTTGGCCACTGCCAAGGCCCGTGAGTGGTCATCTCACACACAAAGGGGGTGTGTGAAGGAGTTGTTACGTCTATAGATGGATGTCAGATAGGATTCCAGATCTTCTAGAGCATGCACCGAACAGATCTGCCTTCAGATGGCCGCTAAGGCCTGCTCCCAACCCCAGCAGCATGTTGATTAGGGTGGAGGGGGCACAGTTCAACGGTACATAGCGCTGCAAGGAAGGACGGTTCCACCCTGGGTTGCCTCGCATAAGTCCCATACCAAGCCAGCCATATAATATTGTCGTCTAACCAGCAGCGATCGGCTGTCTTCTCCTTCTTCCAAACAACTGCTGTATTGCATTCTGACCCAGAGCATAAACAGTCCAAAATGACACGACCCGAATCACCAACCAAAGTTCAGCCGGCTGCAGGTACGTTGTTTCCAGAATTAGTCTCCCCCCCAGCCAACCTGCCCTCCACTGCACTGCCTTCAATGGAAACATTTTATCCGAACACCGGATGTGTTTGAGAAGTCTGGAGCTCAGTAGCACCAGCACCCGGTAGTTGCTGTGATGGGCCAAGAGAGAGAGAGGGGGGGGGACCGAGGAGTAAGCCTGGACACAAGGTGACTGACCGGACGTGAAGACACTGTCGTGAACAGTGGAACGGCAGACGATGCCATCACACCAGTGGTAAACTCGGCGCAGGCTCAGCCGACCCAACAGTCCCAAGCAACAGATGACGTTGATCGGATCTCACCAGTCGTGGAGAAGACCGACTCTGCCAGCCAGACTGTGACAGCAGCTTCTACTTCAGCCGAACTCGACCCAGCAGATCCTCTGAACTTTGGACGCCATCGCCGCGACAATGTCACCCAACGTCAGATGAAGATCGACCATCCCAAGGGCAACAAGAGAAAGCTCAAGAAGTTCTACACCAGGCAGAACGAGCTGATCGACCAGTTCCTGGGCGCTGAAGATGAGGAGCAAGTAACCCTCGAAGAGGATATCCGGGTTGGCCCCAAGATTAAGTTTGCTGTCAATGCTTCCTTCACGGTCAACTTCTTCCTGTTCGTAATCCAGCTATATGCTGCCGTCTCTACGGGGTCGCTATCGGTAAATGACCCTTGGTGCGATATTCCCATGCTTGAGATCATAGTTGACCATTTAATTAGCTGTTTGCCACGGCCGCTGATGCCTTTGTTCGTAAACCCATGCTACGCTGAAGTACTGCCTGTTGACATGCCATAGATGGACCTTGTGTCGTCCTTTGTAATGCTCGTTACCTCTCGTATGGCTGCTAGGCCTAGCGTATACAAGTACCCTGTGGTAAGGATCAGATGAAACACCGCCTACTCAAGAATCATGCTGAGCGTTGTACTGTGCACAGGGCCGGACAAGGATCGAGACAATGGGTATCATCCTCTTCTGTGCGTTGATGACCACGGTGGCCATTCAACTGATCGTATGTCAGCCCCATGCTGTGCCCCAGCCGACCCCTATCCCCTTGGCAAGGTGCTCCGTACTGACTTCTGGTCCTATAGGTTGAATCGGCAAGAACTCTCGGCGGTGGAGAGTCGACAGATTCAGAGCAGCTGCACCTCATTCCCATCATCTTCGTGTCCGTGGCCATATTTGCCAAGGGCTCCCTGATGTTCTATTGTCTCGCCTACCGAAAATACCCTTCAGTCCATGTCTTCTTCGTAAGTCACACCTAGACTCGTGGCCGCTGCTGTCTAACCGACCCTTCTAGATTGACCATCGCAATGATATTGCCGTCAACATATTCGGTCTTGTCATGTCCATTGTTGGCTCAAAATTTGTCTGGTATTTAGATCCAATCGGTGCCATTTGCATCGGTCTTCTTATCCTGTTCTCATGGGTTGCAAATGCGTTTGACCATGTATGGCTTCTTGTGGGCAAGTCAGCTCCAAAGGAGTTCATCTCAAAGCTCATCTATATGTCCATGACGCACGACTCCCATGTTGTGAAGGTTGATACTGTGAGTATCTGCTTGTTTCCTGCTGAAGATGAGCGTCGCTGACAGCCTTCGAAGTGCCGCGCATATCACGCCGGCCAGAAGTACTACGTCGAGGTTGATATCATCATGGACGAGAACCTTCCTTTGAAGATCTCGCATGATGTGAGTCAAGCACTGCAGAGAAAACTGGAGGGACTAGCCGATGTCGAGCGAGCCTTTGTCCACGTGGACTACGAACACGAACACGACATCTACGAGGAGCACAAGCCCTTGTACGAGAAGCAAAAGCCCCGCCGGACTCTGAAAGAAATCCTGCTGGGAGCCAAGAAGAAGGGCGAGGCGCAGGTTGCACAGCCAGAGTAAGGATCTCTCCGTTGAAGGCCCAAAGATGGAACATTAAAAGGTGTGATGGGTAAGAGACGAGGAATAATCGAGCGTGCCGTGTCGATGAGGCAGGAGCGATGCCACTGTATTTGTACGACCAGTGTGAACTTTGCTTTGCTTCTCAAAGCGCAGAGGCAACCGGGCACATCAAGCGCCGCTTGAGAAGTTGCAATGCCTCTGTAGCAGAGGAGGTGCCCTTTAGTCCGTATAATCCTTCGCAAGAAGGTAGCCAGCAGCGAGAACCCATAGATAGAACTTCAAAGAATACACGAAGAGATTAACATCATAGATTCGATTTATGCAATGCGCCTCGTTCTGAGAGAACTCAGTTATGCCCTGACCCATCATTCCTAACGGGAATCTGCGAAACTGAAGTCATCATATCGGAGGTGGATACGTTGAAAGAGGTTCATAGTCAAAGTGATATTGCTGTCACAGAAATGGCTTGGACGCACGTTCACCCAGAGCACGGTTCGTCCCGTGGCAATGGCTCAGGTTGAATATTACATTTCCGTTTCATATTCACATATCCTGATAGCTTGTCGACATACTCGGCGGCAAGTCGTCATCTCTCGTTCCCCACGTACTCTCCTCCTTCCCCAAAGTCAGTTCAAGCAACCCGCCGTTGTAGAAGAAGTCGTGAGCGATCCAGCTTTTCGTGTATGGCTTCCCATTAAGTCGCGCGCTCTGGACGTAGATGTTCTCGTAGCGTGCGTCGAAGCCTATATTTCTGATTATGGCGTAGTTTCCTGTCGGCGTTTTCAACCTGACCTCTCTGAACAGGGGGGGTGTGAGTAGATACACGTTCTGACCAGCCACGGGAAAGAAACCCATGAAGGCGAATGTGGTGAATGCTCCCATGGCGCAGTCGTCGTTGCCCGGGATGCCGTTTACGCTAGCGTTGAATTGATCCGGGATATACTGATGAACCCAATCTAGATATCACAGTCAAGTTAGTCCCATAATTTCTGCATCTTAAGTGGTTTGAACTATGTTGTCAGACTTTCGGAATCACAAATCTGGACACTTACAAGAGCTCAAACCGGGCCGCCCACCATAGTGGAACTGGAAGGTTGGCAAAAACGATTGCTCATTGCCCATATAAATGATGCCTGATGAATGAAAGTAACTGAGGCGCTCGATAAAAGCCTCTTTCCCTCCTAACGTGGTGATCAAGGATGCCATATCCTGCGGCACGTAGAAGGTATACAGCCATGGACTTCCTTCGTACGTTTCATACTGTGTATCGAAATAGCATACATGCTGTTCGTAAATTGGACTGCATAGTCGTGGAGTTTGTGACGTGAACGTCCCATTCCTTAGGCGCGGTTGCAAAAATCCTTTGAATGAACTTCCGGTGACTGGATCGTCATTGATCCTGTACTGATCCTCCTGTTCGGGATTGAACAGATTCTTCCAGTTGCGGCTTCTTTCGAGGTACTTCTTTTCCTCAATTGGCTTACCGAGCCCTCGGGCCATCAGTGCGATTGAGAAGTCCTCATAAGCATACTCGACAGTTCGTGAAATCGAACGCGTCATGGGTCCGGTCCCGTTGTTGTCTTCGTCATCTTGCGGGATATAGCCATAGCTCTTCCAGCTCTCGATCCCACCCCTGCCCACGCTGGTCCAGTCTTTTGGTTCCACCTCGGCATCAGTGATAACCGCTTCGTACGCCAGGTCCCAGTCAATGCCCTCTTTGAGGCCCTTGACAAAGGCATCCGCCAGCACGACATCGGCATTGGAACCTCCTTGGGTATAACCTGGGGTAAAGCTCATCCGACAGTCTGGCAGGTAGCCCTCATGCTTATAGATATCGAGCAGGGCTCTGACCATCCGAGTCTGCTCCTGCGGATCAACGATCGACAGCAGTGGATGCTGGGCCCTGAAAGAGTCCCAGATGCAATAAAATGAGTCAAAATAGGGCTCGGTAGAGTTCCAAAGATAATTCTCACCCGTGTAGTCCTGTGGAGAGAGAAGAGCACGGTAGAGGCCAGACCAGAAAGTTTGTAAGAGATCAACGTCCAACCCAGAATGATCAACTTCAATGACGGACAGCTTCTCTGCCCACGCCTTCTCAGCATCCTTCAAAGTGCGATCGAACTCAAAAAAGGGGATTTCCTCCTCGGCATTTCGGCAAGCTTGGTCCACGGAGATGAAAGAAAGCCCAACTCGTGCTGTTATTCGGTTTTTGGCAGCTCGATCGAACTGGACCCAGGCGCCAGCGGAACCACTGGGAATACGGAAATCACTTCCTACATCTCCTAGAGCTTTGACGGTATCATTCGCCTTAACGTCCAGGAAAGTGCCGGTCTTCCAGATGGCGGCCCCCCGAAAATCAGCACAGAAGTGTGCTGTATATTTTCCTCTCCCAAACGATGGATTAAAGGTCCCGTTGCCTGAGATTCTGCCCGTCTCTGGGTCTACCTGCACGTTGCCCCCGTACCTGCTATTAGCAAGATCACTAAGGTCCACAAGTAGGAGCGGCCTGTTAAGAACCACGTCTTCCTTGGACTGGACTTGAGAAGCAGCAGGTAGGTTGAATCTGTACAGAGTCGTATGCTTTGTCGCAGTCATCTCTGCGCGGATGGAGTTATTAAGCCCGATGGAGAAGTAACCGGGCCGCGCCTCTGTCGTATCATTAACCCTATCGACTGCCCTGGACGCTCTTGTGTATTGACATTGTTGAAAATCATCCTCTGGGCAGCCTGGATGAAGAAAGATGGGGAAATTCCCCAGCGATGGTGACTGCAAGCCTTTGGTCAATGTCTGAGGAGTCGGCTCGACAGAGAAAACTTACACCTCCAGTACCTTTTTATGGGCTGTTAGCAAGAGTTCTGGCTAAAATACATGGGGGCACGCACCAGAATCATGCAGGTGAGAGAAACCTGCAATTTTAGAGTCATCCGATACAAAACCGGCGGCGGTTTCCCCCCAGTTGTTCACATCCGCGACAGCTTTGGCCATGCCTATGCGAGTGGTATTATTAGCGATGAGACGTTCGAATCATGTCTGATCAGCTTATTCTACTCACCGTAAGGGAGCGTTGCTCCAGGAAACACGTGGCCTGCTGCGATCAGTTGTGCACGCTCGACACCATGGAGGTGAACCTACCTCCGTTGACTGTCCCTATTAGTGGGTTCACATACTTCAGGACGCCTTCACCAGTATTGAATCTGGCGCCAACTAGAGCAGTGAAGACTTTCCGCGACGAGGCCGGACTCTTCAGAGTGAGAAGGATGCAGCTAGTCGCCAGTAAGACACCTAACAGCAGCATTCGTCTCACCCGTGGCACGCCTGCAAGGAGCGGAGCCATCACCGACTCTGGACGCAAGGAGCGCCCGACTGCCCTCCACCGCTGACCTGCTTGTTCCTCATTCGCCTGCTTCGCAGTGGATCAATCGTGGCTTCAGCTTCTATCGGTTTCGTTTACCATCAGGCGGCCTACTGAAGTCCAGTGCGCGTAGTGTTGTTGCAACGATTTTGTGAGGACACTGTGCAGAGATCATGAAGAGATGGGAAGCAGCCTCAATTCGGCCAGGCCATGTGGCCAGACTAAGCCAAGCTTTGTGCTGCCAGGATTCCATGCAGCTCAAAAAGGTCCTACGGAGCTTGACTATTGTGGTGACCACTTATGTTCGACAATTTTTGTCTCAGCTCAAATCCTTCTCGGGGTGGGCTAATTGTAGTCAATGCTTGGCGACAACTCACCAAAATGAGTATCTGGCCAGATTTTGCCTGAAATTCACTTAGGTAAGACTTACATTGACTGAAGGGGGCAATTGGAACATCACTGGGACTTTGGTGGAAGGTTGCGCACCAATCATATTGAGACGCTGTATTATTAGGTCCTGCCTTATAGGGCGAAGGCTCGGCTGAATAACACCCTGAAGGAGCAGCCCATTCCGCCGGGGATTGCAACCTCCGACCATGTCTCTACGAAGCAAAGACCTGTATGCCTTTCTCCACCGCAAATAGCAATCAAGAGAGAAGCCATGTTTGAGGTTATGCTGGGGCGTATGGAATCTGGATGGAGGAAATCTGAGGCATTCGGCCTCAAAGCCGTTTCGATCTGTCCGTAGCCTGGTGATCTCCTGTTTGTAGCACGATAACACACAGGCTGTCAACTTTTTGAAAACCTAGTAACATGTGGCGAAAACAAAATGAGCACCGTCAGTGCTAAAAGTCGGGCTCCGCCGGCGTCGAGAGTCGCTCGAGACAGACGCACGACTCTATAGGCCTGCCGGGTCCGAGAGTGGGTACATTTGGTCGGCATAGAACAGCTCTCGGTTCGCGAACTCAACTCCGACCGACAGCCGGAGGTTACTTGCTCGCCGAATACTACCGGAGCACCTAAGTGAAATTTGTTTGGTATGCTGTGTAATACTTCTGTGGTCGAACTTTGACCTCCAGTGATCATGATATAAGGCAATAAACTTGACGTCCCAATCATTTCCAAATACGATGCCCTACTTTCAACTAGGCGAAGCTTCACGCTTCTAAGTTTCTGAAAAAAAAAAAAATGCCTGTCCTGTTACTGCCTGGCTATGCATGTGGCAGTTGAAATTTTACCTTGCGAACCGCCCCCCCCCCCCC